AGATACAGGATAAAGTCAGAAATAAGAAATAATTTACCAAACTTAACATCACTAATACATATAATCACCTCAAGATCAAAAAAGATAAAGAATAGAAAACAGCATTCAAAACAAAATATAACCATTTTAAATACTTAGTTATACTATTTAGACTTACCAATGCACCAGCAGCATTTCAATAATACATCAATAATGTGATGTTATCTTACCTACACGATTTTACTATTATATATTTAGATGATATCTTGATATTCTTAGATATGCTAGAAGAACATATATAACATATAAAAAAGATACTAAACAACCTATAAGAAACCAAACTACAAGTCAAATTAAAGAAATATAAATTTTATATATAAGAAATAGATTTCTTAAGACACAGAATTACATAAACAAGAATCAAGACAGAAAAAAAGAAAGTTAAGACAATCTAGGACTAGTCTAAACCAAAAAACCTCAAAAAATTACAATCATTCATTAGACTAATTAATTACTACTAACAATATATCCAGAACTATATAAAAATTATAGAACCTATATTCAGACTATTAAAAAAGGATTAACCATACAAATAAAAAGCAGAATAAGGAAATATATTCAAAGAAACTAAATATAAGATTATAATAGCACCAATATTAACACAACATAATCCAGAAAAGCTAATAATAATAGAAATAGATATATTAGACTTCATAATTAGAGTAGCTATAATATAACCAGATAAAAATAGAAAACCAAAACCAGTTATCTATTACTTAAGAAAACTAATTAACATAAAACTAAACTATAAAATATATAATAAAAAACTATTAGCAATAGTAGCAGTATTAAAATATTAAAAAATATACTTAGAAAGAACAAAGTATCCAATACAAATCATCACAAACCATAAAAACCTTACTTACTTTACAATAACTAAAGTATTAATAAGAAGACAAGCAAAATAGTCAGAACTACTTAAAAACTATTATTTTATAATCAAACACTACAAAGAAATAGAAAACAAAAAAATAAATATTCTTAATAGAAGACCAGACCATAAAAAAGGAATCAAAAAACTTAAATCAGCATTACTATAACTTAATAAAGAAAGACACTTAGAGTATAATCTATAAATAGCTATACTCACAGCAACAGCAAAAATAACAACAGACTCCAAACTATAAGATAAAATTATCAAAGAAACAGCCAAAAATAATATAATTTAAACTTTAATTAAAAAGAAAAACAATAAGATTATAATAATAAAAATCAAACTAGTATTTTAATATAGTTTAATCTATATCCCAAAATCACTATAAAACAAAATTATTCAACTCAATCATAACACTTTAATTAATAATCATCTAGGACAGATAAACACTATAAAAAAAATCACCAGAAACTATTACTAGCCAAGAATAATAAAAGATATTAAAATATACATCAAGAAATATAATTCATATCAGAAAAATAAGATCAAGAGACACAGACCCTATAAATTACTACAAGAAATCAAAGTACCAGAATATCCATAGCAATAAGTTACAATAGATCATATCACAAAACTACCAGAATTAGAAGAATATAACACAATCTTTATAATAGTAGACAAAATAACAAAATATATGCATTTTATATCAATATCAGAAGAAATAGACACAGAAGAATTAGTATTCAAACTAATAGATAAAATATTCAAACACTATAGAATACTAGAAGTTATAATATCCAATAGAGGACCAATATTCTCATCAAAACTATAGAAATCAATGATAGACCTTATAAGAGGGGAATAATAATTATCAACAGCATATCACCCTTAAACCAATAGTTAAACAGAATAAATAAACCAGATGCTAGTATAATACCTATAACACTATATCAATAATTACCAAAGTAACTAGGCATTATTATTACTAATAGTATAATTAGCATACAACTCCACACAACAATCAATAATAGAAGTTACACCATTCTTCACAAATAATAGAAGAGAACCTAGACTACTAGAATAATCACAATATTAAGAATCTATCAATAAAGTAGCAGACAGATTCATTCAAAGTATAAAAGCAATATACTTCTACCTTTAAATAGAAATCATCAACTAGAACAAATTGAATAAAGAATATTACAATAAAAAACATCTAAAAGAACCAGACTTCTAAAAAGAAAAGAAGATATACCTTTTATAAAAAAACATTCAAATTATAAAACCAAGCAACAAACTTAATCACTTACAAATTAGACCATTTGAAATTAAAAAAAAAATAAGTAAAGTCAATTATAAACTCAAACTACCAGACATAATAAAGATACACCCAATTTTCTATATTTCATTACTAGAACCAGCACTGCAAAATACAAAAATGTAAAACAATATCATTATCAAATAAGAAACCTACAAAGTCAAAGAAATATTAACAACTAAAATAGCTAGAAACTAAAAAAGATACTTAGTAAAATAAAAAGGATATAACAAATCAGAAAACATATAGAAAGTGATCAAAAACCTTACTAAAGCACAAGATGCAATCAAAGATTACTATAAGAAACAATACTCATCAGAAAAACATCCTATAACAAGAGATCAGACAATATAAGTAATTCAGGATTAGCAAATAATACCTCAATATCCAAGGATTATTCAAACATAGCATTCAAATACTATTCATTAGGAGAAATCAAGACCAGATCTTCAGAATCCTCCTTATTAAGGATATCTAAGATGTTCAAATCATAATCCAACATTTTATCACCACAATCTTTAAAGAGTTTTTATTATTTACATAATTAGATAAGCTTCACAATAGCCTCCTATTATACCTAGATAGAATATTACTATTATAAAAACAACTCTTATTATAACCATAAAGACTTTTCAAGACTACTCTCAATAGACTCTATATCAGTCTTAAGTTTCTTTTCCACATACTACAACCTATTCTAATCTTTTTCACTATAGAAATAGTATTCATATTTCTTATTATTCCAAGTACAGGAAGCACAATTACAACTCTTTAAATCTATTATATAAAGCAAATCTCAACAAACACAATAAGAACATAAATTATTAATAAAAAAACCATTCTAAATAATATAATCAGCCTGACAATAACACTAACAGGTTTAAAAAGATAATTCAGACATATTAACACATTTCAGACACTTATCAAAGAAGAAAACAAGATCATATTAAAAATAAGAACAAGTCTTTCTATTTAAACCTTTAGAACAAAAGTCTCAAAAAGAGAGAGTGATATTATAAAACCAACTTATATAATACTAGACAGAATCTAGTACTATTAAGAGAAGGCATTTATTATAACAGCTAACACTATATCTAATTATTTCTACAACTAGATATACAGACAGTCAGCTAAAGATACAAACTTAAAAATAACTAATCAAGAACATATAACACAAAATATATACTAAGATATATACAAAGAAACACCAGGAAGTATATATAAAGTATACACTTCTAGAGACATATATACTAAAGTATATACTAAAAGGATCTATATAAACATACTTATTTACTATATATTTAGTCATTCTTTATAGCTCTTTAATATAAGTCACTCAAATACAATAGTAAGAGTCAGTAAGACATTCACACTCATACAGGCACTAAACTATACAAGAGATCTCTTCTATCTTAGTTACATTAAAACTTCTACCTCCAATCAACTATTATTATCCTATTCACTTAGCCTACCATATCGACGTTCAATCCCGAACCTTTGTGTGGTTCAGCAAAGCCTAGCGTACCTTGACACAACGCTGTTTAACTAAGGTGGATCCAGGTCCGTGACATACGGGCGGGTCTGTTACCATCCATCACAAAATACTACCTCTTCCTCGCTCAGCGACTTTGGTTGGAGTACACGCTACAGAAATGGTGGCAATGGAGCCACTGAGTCGTATGTCTCTCGCTGGCGATACGAGGGCCTGGCACAGGAGGTCGATAATGGTTTCTAGACCTCTGCAAGTACCATGGTACCATGCCCATGGGCAACCCTAACCTTGAATTGGTGTTCAATTCTTTCAATCTGTATATTAAAAAATGCTGTAAAAATGATATATGAAATTGTGTTATGTAATGTTGTATAAGATCCCGATTTTTATGTAAACTAAATTCGCGGGCTCTATTTGACACAAAATTGGGGTCATTTACGAACCTTTGATAGCACAATATTTGAAACCTTACAGCGCACCTTGCAGCACATTTGGCGATTCATTTGGATACACAGATTGAAAAAATGACAGCCAGGACTTTGTATGGCGTTCTCAGGTATAAAAAGAACAGGAATCGAGCACAGGGTTGTCAATGAGGCAGGTCAATATTACAACCGATTACCACCTTACATTTTTCTTGCTTCTTCGGTGCTAGTGGTAAAAACCCTCCAATCATCGGAAGGACCCGTGTTGTTGTATCGATTACAGTAGCAGTTGCAGATATCCGTCAGGATGCTACGAGCACAACAGGTCCAATTGGCCAAGGAGAAAGAGTAAGAGAAAAGTTATGCTGAAGAATGAGCGGAGGGTACATGTCTGGTGCTTTCGTGACGATGAACAATACTAGCAAGGGGACCTGGGATAAATTGGTAAATGAAATCTTATTATTTTGCCTCCCTCCAAATGTTGCTGAACCCAGGACAGCCAAGTTCTTTTTGGAGGATCCGTCGTAGTGCAAAACCATGTATGTAGACTAGTCCAGCCCCGTATGACTTAGCCCCCTGTCGAGCGGCGACCTTCTCAGGTGGCTGACATGCCTTACGTAGGTATGCAGTCTGTATGCCCCTGAACCGCCAGGGAATAAAAGGCACCGTTACGCAAAGCTATTAGAAATAGTTGGTCGTCGTCTCAAGCTAGTAGTCATGGTCCAAACTGGTGAAAAACTATCAACTTCGTTTTTGTGCTACCTCCTCTCCACCTGGAGCCACGACCTTGACTAGTTTAGGTGTCACCTTGTTTGAGAGTGATCGCACGCCCCAGTTGGCTTCGGGATATCCTCACACTAGCCAGTTTTGAAGTCGTGCCACGACGTCCGCAATTAGCTGCTCGTAGTATATGCCAAGAGGAAGGAACATGGACTGATGGGCGGTGATTTCATCCATCCCTTCCATGAAGAGCGGAACCCATAGCTGCTTTTTGCAGGCTTCATTCGAAACAAGACAGAAGTGCCGGCCCCCTGATCTCGAACCAGAACTTAAATCACCGCGTCTGTTTCCACGTTCATTTGCATCGTGCGAGCTTGGAGGAGAACTACTGTCAACGTCGGGGGGAGACAATACTGGATCTATCGCCGAGCCAAATGAGTCGCCGTCCGTTCCTGTCACTCGCCGTCCAGGTATCATAGTTGTAGGGTGTTGACACTCTATGAAATCCTCATGTAGTTCCGTAGTCTCGCGACAGGTAAAATGTCTCTCATTCCACAGTCTCTTTTGCCTGTCGGTGTCACTGTCCAGCTTTTTCTTAACAGGGAAGGCAATCGTGTAATAGTTGACGAATCGGATCTGCCCGCCACTCGAACTGGGACCAGGTATTTCGTCAACTCTGGCCATACGACAGAGTCTCTTATGTCGTCTTAAGAGACCAAAATAATCGTGAAGGCAACCGGCATGGTCATAGTATGAGAATACATACTGGAGTGCCGAACGGGATAAATGACGTGAATGCTTCGCAAAGAAGTGGCGGGCTCCTTCCCAACCTTTCCACCGGGGCCTGTTCACGTCGTTTGTCAAGACCGGGTTGAATGTCGCATCGTTGATGGCGATTGTGTCGCGTACGGAAGCTTCCTGATCTTTGCCATTGTTCGTATCTGCTTTGGGATGAAATGMCCTGCCGATTCCCGTTCCAACAACGCGTGGATGAAGCCCAATGAATGGTGCATCGAACGCTACCAGGCCGACAATGTTATGTCTCAGGTCCTTCCCTTCATTCTGACCAGAGGCCGTACGAGATGTCATGAGGGCAACCTCTGCAGCGATAAGACCCCCTAGACTGTGGCCAAGGAATATGACATCCAAGTCCGACGCCTCGTGCGGAGATAACCTGGAAGACGATAAGAGGGATCTAAAGTACTAGGGATAATTCTGCTGAAAGGTAGGAGATTACTTACCACTGGCTGATACCATCGCGAGCCTTTTGTAAAGGTCCCCGGGTTTTGTAGCGTGGATATATTTTCGAGTACACAACATGGGTCTCCGCCAGGGAGACCGTCAGCAAGTCATGCACCATCCCAGGAAACTGACAAAAGCTGTCCTCTGACCCCAAGAAGCCATGGATATAAATCAGAAGTAGCCTGCGCTTCCCTTCCCGCCTGGGAAGTTCACAAAAATCAGCGTTAGCGGACTCCGGGAGATATCTCTCAGAAAAATATTTTGCGGGTTCGTATGTCGACATCAGGGCATGGATGATAGATGATTGCAGGGAATCAATGATAGTCCGCGGTCTGCCTTCCCGGGGTCTTGGAGGATTTGTACCTCACAAACTCACCTGACAGTATTAATTTACGTGTATCCCGGATATGGTAATTGCAGCGCAAAATTCCACTTGTGAGCTCCGATTGGATGTCGACCGGTCCTCGTTATAAGGATTTATGGAGAAACCCCTTTACTAAATTACGTCAGTGCTATATTGTACTTTGTTACATAGTAAAACACCTACATACGCCACGCGATATAAATTATACATAACTTGGAGGGCTGGATATTTGAAAATCACTCATCATCATATATTTGATTCTTCATAGCTCTTTAATTCAAGTCACTTGATATGAGGCTTTCATACAGTGAAAGTCAGCAAGGCATTCTAACTCGTACGGGCACCAGGCTGTGCAGAAGATCTATTCTACTTTTCTTGTGATTACTACTTAAGGATATCTTCTCAATCGCACCAATACACCATTCTCTTAACAATTACCTTGAGACAAGTGGAACCTCTGTGCAGCTCAACCGATCCTGACTATCTCTCTGTATTACGAACAACAAAGGTGGATCCAGGTCTGTGACCATATTTTGTCTGACAGCCTATACCAGAAATATTATTTCTACGTAGGAGACACGGAGAATACAGTACAATACGACGTCCCACCTATCTTTTCATTGCCAGATTTTAAGTTTTCCACCGTCAACGGTAAGAATTTGATCGTATTCGTATATGAGGCCCACTTCGGGCCGAAGACTCTGGGTCGAAGGCGAGACTTGTCTCCAATACAATAAAGTCGTGTCTCCTTTTCTAAGTACTAGCAGAGGTGGTTATTTGAAGCCGCTAGGGGAATCGATCAATCTACTACTCCTTGATGCTGATAACTTTTTGATTTCATTTTTGCTCTTTCTAAGTGATTATGCTGGGCTTTTCTCTGGGTGATGCCCCATTCATGGGAAGACACAGAGCACGGTTTTACTCAGTGGCGTTCTCACAGGATCGCCGGCTACAGGCATCAGCTTCTTCGGATAAAGCAGTCAGGCTCCGGAATACAACCACTGGGACTCTTTTGCAGACCTTTAAAGGCCACTTATGTTGGGTTCAGTCAGTAGCATTCTCACCAGATGGCTTACCACTGGCATCAGGCTCTCGGGATAACACAGTCAAGCTCCACGGGAGCTTTACAACACACTTGGACAGTTGACGTGGTCACTACTGGTTTGAATTTTTCGAAATACAGTCCATATCTCCTCACCAATTTGGGTCCCTCTCAACACCCAGTCTTCGTATGATAATTATACCTCGTACGTGCCAAGACCATCGTTGGGGAGGTTGCTTTAAGAGGGGATCGTTGGTTTATCCTTCGGCGTAGGATTGTACTCTGGCTACCTCTTCTAGTGAATATTTCCATTGTTTGCTGCTATGCGTTGAGACAATTTTCATGATACATCAGTTGTGAATTCTCCTGCCTCTGATATAAGCTGGTTAAAGCGTGTGCGTCATTCCTTAATTCCTCTAGAAGCATACGATATCAGACAGGATACTGGAGGTGTTTGTGACCTGTTCACATAGGTCACTTAGTAGGCATGCAGGATCTAGGAAACTAAGCGTTGCAAATTGCAGCCTAATTCTAACGATTACACGCAAGACATGACTAAGAAAGATCGCTTTTGATTAATTTGGCAAGCGGGTTCGTGGTGGACACGATCAATACGTGAAAGCCTTGAGTGAACTGGAGTGATACCCATGGCAATCGGCTACCAAATCATCCCAATTATCCATGGTCTCCTTCATGACGTCGGTTCCTATTGGCAATTCCATCAGTAATGAAACATTAAGAAATGTATTCATTTAAGCAAATACTTACCCCACATGAAATTTTGCCAGTCGTGATCCGCCCACAGATCTGGATTTTTTCTAGACTCTTATATTATCTCATCCCTTTTTTTCTGCTCCTTGCTATCTTATAAATATAAGACTCTCTAGGTTATAAAGGCACTATTCTAAATCTTTTCTACTTTTTCTTTTTATATTTTCTCATAAACTGTCAGAGCTATTATAATATTATTTATTAATAATAGTATATAGGCTAGTATCCTAGTATTCTTAATTATTTAAGTAGCTCTCTATACTATATATAGCAGTATAAAATAACAGACATTACTTATTAGCGCATACTTATTCTTAACCTATAAAAATAGAGGGAAGTATAAGTTAAGGGTCTATTCTATCATCTCTCTATCTAGAATATAGCTTAATAGATCGCGCACCAAATCATTCTAATCTTTATAGAAGGCCTCTATCTCCTACTTGTCACCCTTATTCATCTAAAATTCTTTATTAAAGGCATTTATTTTCTGTGGATAAAGTAGTATTATATTGTACACCATATTTTTCTTAATTGGATATACTATAATATACCCCCTAGGACTTATCTAGCGTATTCTAATATTATTATTTAATAAGTCTAATGCTCTAGGATTCTTCTATATATACTTTTTTAGAATTAAAATATAATATACTGCATTACTAATAGGCTAATAAATATCTTTCACATTATGCTTAGAAGCTATTTGCTAATGAAGGCTAGATTTAATGCTATTAGCAGTAATAACTATATTCCTAGATACTTATTCTCTAGATTAAAGCTGGACTTTTATTTTAAACCTTATATCAATAGCTATAACATAGGAACTAGTTCTAAGATTGATTTTGGCGGCTTTGACTCTATCTACTAGGATTTATTATAGATCACCACAGTAGATAATAGCTAATAGGGTGTAGTATTTCTTGTCTATCTATTTACAGATATTTTAATTTACATATTAATACTAAAATAAGAGCAATATACCTTTAATATTAATAGTATGGAATTAAGTTTAGTATTGTTTATATATTATTATAAAGAGTTTTTTTCAAGCATATTTGATTTTTCTATAACTTTTTCGAGCAAGCCTAATCAACCAAGAATACGTGATGTATTAAGAGCAACTTGAATACCCACTCCAATCTCTATAATTTCATGAACTTACTTAAGAAACATAATATTATAACCTGCTTTCTTGAGCGCTAAAGCAGTAGTAAGACTGCTGATATCTACTCTTATAATAATAATCTTTAAAGATTGCTTGGCTTCTGGAAAATCGAAAATATCTTTATAATTATCTATCCTTGTAGATCTTTAGAATACTAATGCCCCTTTAAAATGATGAAAAGAAATAAAGGCTTAAATTTTGAAAGATATAATTACTATTTTAAGATTATTGCTAAAAATTATAGTAGTTACAGAACTCTTATAGTCTTGATTTTGTGGATTCTTTAGAAAAACATGATATTAACCACAGGATTAACCCGCCTTCGGTAACAAAACACAGATGGAAATACAATAGCTAGATAGTCGTGCTGTGGAGTATGACGAAGTCTATGATAAGGCTAGAATTAATACTTCTAGATATATTTATGATACTTTCAGATAATAAGTTCTTAAAAAGCAACCTAAGGGTATCTCTTTTATATAGTTATAATTAAGACTTAGAAGACTCTAAATTTCTCTTAAGAGATGATCTATGTCTTAATACTAGTATTAGCGCTAAGATAGAGATATTTCCAAAAATATCTAATATCTCTATAAGGCAAAGAGACTGAATAAAGTAATTTAAATTACTATAGGAATATCCTAAATACTAAATAGCAAAATACTTTATATATTTATGATATATTATACTATCTCTCCGCAATAAATAAGAATTTAGTCTAGTGAGATCTGATATCAATAGATATTAGATTATTTCCTAATTCTCTACTTTTACCTAGTACTATTATATAATTATCTAGTAACTAGGAATAGTAATTAATAGATCTATTACTGATGGTAGTCTTAGATAGATTTCCTATTCATTACTTAATCTTTATTTATAATAAGATAGATTTGAAATCCTTAATCTAGGCTTATTTATTATGAAATTAGTAGAAAGAATTTAAAAAATATTAGATATTAGCTATACTATATTATATATATATATTATTTCTAATTAGATTATCAAGTTTGTAGTTCTTCTATAAGATATAGTATTAATAGAGTTCCTAGTAGAAGAGTATATAGTTAAATTAAAAATATAGCTTTGGCTGGCCATTCTATAAGTGTTATTATAATTAGTAGAACTTATAATATAGTATCTAGTATATACTGATATAGCTATTATTTCATATTACCTTAAAAAGTTACTTTAGATAAGATATTTAAGTAGATTTAGTATAATATACTTAGTATTTATCTTAGCAAATCTATTTCTTTTTATACTGCTATAATCTCTACTTATTTATCTATATCTAGTTATATATAATTATAATTTGCTTATTAAAGCTGTAGCTATAATTTTATTAGATCCTGACCCTTTTTGCTGTGAATAGATTCTAATAAAATTATTCTATCTATTAAATTGAGATGTAAATAGTTCAGAAATGACTTAGTTTCAATCCTAAAATATTAAATATACTTAAATAAGCGCGCTTTAAGCTTAGGAGAGTGAAGCCTATTGAAGGAAACTTGGTTAGTAAATATATTAATAATCTTAGCTTAATAGTTTATTAAGATATCTACCAACTAAAAAGACTAATCTTTAAAGTTAAATTTAGTATATATTTATAATAGATAATCAACTTACACTAGTATATTAGATAATAAAAAATAATATTTTATAATTATTATAATAATCTTTCTTATATTAATTTATTATAAAACTATAATGGTAAAATAATAGAGAGATATAAATTTAAATAGATACTCTTAGCCTTTTTATTCTTAGAAAAGTATATAATATACTAAAGTATATATAAATTATTAACTAGACCTCTTATATATCTATCTCATATTAATATTATATATTATATCTTAGCTAGGCTTAGATTACTTAGATTTTAATAAAATAATCTAACTCGTCTAGTTAGGCAAATAAGATATATATTTAAATAAGTAACTAAGATGTGATTAGCTATAGGTAACTAGATAATATCTTTTTAAGAATAATAGGTCATAAGTATTAGTAATTCTATATTATATATTTATATTGATAGTCTTGCTCTTGCTTGAGGAATTTCTATCTTACTATGTGTTGGTCTTTTTACTGATCCTAAAAATAAATATTATTATTAAGATACTTGTTTTATATTCTTGAGATATTTAAAAGTCTCACTGTATAGATTAGAACCAGTAGCTTAGGTAGATAGTATAGAACTTAGATATGCTATAAGATAATTATATCTATAGTCAATCTAGCCTTCCTAGATCTCTGATATAGAAGACAAGCATGGATTATATCAATATTGATCTACTATTAAATATAAAATAATCTAAATTTACGCAATCTATACTATAAGACCTATTAAATACTTTTATCTTTATAAAGTCTACTAGTGATCCTAACCTTAAGCCGGGACGTATACACCGCATGCGGTTCAGGAACGAGGACACCACACTTGTTTATAGCGAGGCGGGCGATCGCGAGACTTTGAACCACCAGCTGTATACAGTTAACCCTGTCTACTGAACCCCTGGGTTTGCTCCGTAAAGGACAGGTTGGTGTGCAGGAGGGGCAGCTATATCTATTCGAAGCGTGAGTGAACATGAAGAATAAATTAAGACGTAGACAGCATTAAGCCCGATTAAGATAATGTCTTAAATGGAACCTGCAGCTTCATGAGTGACTATCATTGATCAACCAATATCGGTTCATTTTAGCGTGTATGTCCCAGCTCGCTACCGAGCCGATTCATACAAAACCGAGGTTTTCTGACAAACAATGTATCAAAAGAACACTATCTAACTGGGTCAAACTATCCACTTGTCGTCTGCGACCCCTTGATTCTATATCTACGCCCTCTAAATTGACTCCCCTCCTTTGTGCCCTTCTCATCTCTCTCGGTCAACCTTTTGAATACTAAGACCGTTTGATCGATTCCCCCGTCTATGAGCGGATAGAACGTGACCATAAGCATGGTCAACCACAGCCATACGATTGACACAGTTACCCATGCAATGAAGAACTATGACGTGTTAGTATACGATATCTTCTCATGAGCAATGTGAAATTTATATATGTGGGAGGCAGAAACGTACCCGCTTCCCAAAAATATATCGACTTCCGTACATTGGCAATGGCCAAATAACCCAATGGCCCAAAAATGTCGCAAGAGACCAAAAGGCCGCGATTCGGCCCCAGCGCTTGAGCTCCTTTGCATTATTTGCAGCCGAAGCCAGCTCCTCGTTACCCCGTTGGTGTAGCTGCTGATCCTCATGCGGACTATTGAACACGTGATGAGTCGTAGTCAAATCCGACTCCAACTTTTCAAGCGCAAGATGCTCCTTTTTGAAGTCTGCCCAGTCATAGCTCTGCGGCCCAGTGAGATATGTTATGATAACAGAATAGAGGATTGGCGAGAATGCTGAAGCGACAGTGCCGTACACACAGGGAAGAACTTGGCCTGTGGAGGAGACTGTAACTGCACCATAAAAGCGATGGGAAGTGCTCAACCAGACGGCCAATCCTGTTGCAAGACCCAGTAAAGGAGCAAGAATGGCGGCGGGCGTGTTTTGGCGACGCCAGAGGACGGTGAAGGCCATGGGGAAGATACCGGGGCATGTAACGACCCCTACTTTCATTGTTAGATATATATTTGATTGTAAATCAGAAAAACTCACCAAGCATATATAATGTCCACTGCAAATCCGCACCGACATAATACAACATGGTACTAAATGCAGCAGAAAACAAGGCGAAGAAAACAACACCAAAGTGACTCCATCTGATGATCTGCCTATCCGATGCTGACTTATTGAAGTACTCCCGGTATATATCAAAACTGATAATCGAGCTCACGGCAATGACTTGTGCGGAAAGTGTGGATGTTACTGCCATAAATGTGATCAGGATAACGGCAGCGGCTCCTCCGCTGCCGGCGATGGTCAAGGCTGAGTATGGCAAAACGAGACCGGAGCTCACTTCGGATGGTGTCATACGCTGATATCCGACGATTAAAATTTTTTCATTAGTATTATAGAGATCAAATACTTACCCTAGGGTATGTAGGGAAGACAGGGCTATTCTCCAACCCAACGGCAACAGAACTCATAATCGTACCCAATGCCCATGGTATAGCGAAGTAGGCAACTCCTCCAATAGTGTACCCTGGGACGACTGCATCTGGGGAAGCAGCGAAAGCTTTGATAAAGTAGCTAGTGTCCATCTGCTTATGTTAACCTTGGACTTTTTGGTGTGTCTATGTGTTGTTGTAAACCTACAATCACCAGGCCAAAGTTCCCACAGATGTGGATAATACCAAATAGAATTGCCTATTATTGCATCAGTATCGTGCCTTCTATAAAAAATTAGGAGCATGAGAGAGTTACATCCTTCGAAGTCATTGTCAAATATGCTCCCTGGGCATTCCCTGGCACCGGGTTCCGTGCACCAGCAGCCTGAACAAGATCATACAGATGTCCAGCAGATCCGACTGCGCTGAAAGTGAAAGCCTTGATTGAAAAGTAGCATGCGACGAAGACGATAACGATAGTATGAAAGTAGTCCGTAAGAAAGCTATCTTTGTCAGTCTTATGCTTTAATACATGACTCAAGCTGTGATTGAGACCTACGTTGCCTTGATCCCTCCGACAAAGGTGTACAGTGACACACCTAGAGGTAGTAAGAATGTTGCTGCTATGACATGCATCCCGGTCCTAGATAATCAGCCACATCCCACAGAACTTCTCAGTGTCTGGTAATCAACGAACATAGCAGAAATAACCGCCGAAGCACCCAACAGCATATTTGCACAGGCAAATATGTTGTTGATAAGACACAGAATCATAAACACTACATGTGCCACACGCCCGTATCGTACCCGCACGACTTCTAATGAGGTGTGCGCCTCCGGAATTTTGCGCTTACAGGATACACCCAGTAACGCGAAGAACACGATCATAGGGCTGCATCCGGCGGCGAACCAGAACGGGCCGGCCACGCCGTAGTTGTATCCGACGAGACTGGAGCCGAGGAGCGCAGTGGACCAAAGCCAGGACTGCATGTGTCAGTTTCAGAATCAGGAATGTGAAGCTGTCTTGAGAGGAAACACACAGATACCACCGCAGAGGCAGTGAGACCAGTCCGAACTGTGCGGTTGGCAGTCATGAACCTGTCGAAAGTCAGATTAATCCTGCATAGATGGAGATCTTCCAGGAGAGTTCGGTATGCGTACATCTCAGTCTTTGTGTTGTCTTCACCGAGGGTTTTGTTTAGTAGTCGCGTGGTAAACATCATGACTGGATCATTATTAGCCGGATTATTATCATCTGTCCAGAACAATTCCTACCAATCGCAATAACCATCCCGACGACAACAACAATTACATATCCGACTGCTTGCGATAGCGGTGGTTGCACCGCAACGCCAGTACTGTCAGTTCTAGTTTCTGAGTAGGGCATGTTGATTACTGGATATGATTTTTTTATGGAATATCCTGGAACTTCAAGATTATATCCCCGTCTAATCTTCACTTAATAAGTCTTAGAATCCGGGTCAACGGACAAGATCAAAGTTAAGTGATGATCATCTTGCGACGCAGATCACGTACTTTCATATGATATTAGTCCTACTTTACAGGTAAGATAAGTGCATGTTACTGTCAAAGATTGCATAACCTTATTGTATCCTAGCACGTCGATCTTCACTTCATTGTGGACCACGAAATCAGCGCATAATATCGAAACAGTTTGTGATGCCTTGGCTACAAAATATAGTATCGGGAAGTCCAAGTACGTGCCTTGGACTTAAATGATGTGATCGCACCACGGAGCTAGTTTGTATGGTTCTCGTGTTTCAACTGGAAGGATATTGCGCAAGAGCGGGAATTGTTTACGCTTATGCTTTGATTTTCCGGTCCCAAAAGTTTATGTTAAAATTGATTTTAGTCGTGATTTCCTGATTCGGAATATTCTCTTTGCCCCTTCTTCCTTCCCACAAAGATCATACCGTTCTAAATTGTCATTGTTGTGTCCCTGCTTTTAGTATATAGGTTTTTTTTTTACGAATGTAACACCCTTAAGCAGAGAAATTTCGTTAAACATCGCTGTTCAAGCGGTCTTGGATTGACCTGGACTGCATGTGTTATCTCAGCAAGTCCCAGTAATTCACATTCCCCACCCATCTCGCTAAAAATACACTGAAGGCGTAGTGAACACAAGAAAAGTATGATGATTGAAGTTGACACGTCTTTATCCAGCATGTCATTTACCCGCCCTTGATGAGATTCTCGCAGCCTGCAGCGAGACTTGCCATGGGACCAGTGGAGGATTCCGGAGCATGTGCAGATCATCTAATCGGGAAGAGTGTTTCGTCATTGCATCTCGATCATGTGTATCGCAAACAAGTGTGCTTTCAAAGAAATTTTCTTTCTCTACATAATTGATCAATAGAGGTAGCAACTATCTATAGATTATTGCCCTGAAGGCTAAAGTTTCCGAAATTTATCGATCGACAAGAAACCAGAATGGCTACGTCTGGAAATCCCGCTCGCAAGAGCTTGATTCTCAATGCCTTCGTCGAGATGTGTAAGTAGTTCTACCAGATTACGTTTCGCCTTCAACGCAGCTAACAAAATTAAAGGTAGCGGACATCAATCGCCTGGTTTATGGCGACACCCCAACGACGAATCCTGGCGCTTCAACGATGTGCACCACTGGATTGAGCTCGCAAAGCTGCTCGAGGAGGCAAAATTCCACGGAATATTCATTGCCGATGTTTTAGGTAAGATTACACCTTTCATCACATACAAGCACAGTAAGCCCTGATGGTGTAGGTGGATATGATGTATACAAGGGACCACGCAATCTCGACCCCGCAATTATCTCTGGCGCGCAATGGCCGGTGAACGAACCTCTAGCTGTCGTTCCCGCAATGGCTGCCGCAACGAAGAATATCGGATTCGGTGTGACTGTTGCTACGACGTATGAGCAGCCATACCATCTAGCCAGGAGACTGTCTACTGTTGACCACTTGACAAACGGACGGTAAGCTGCCTGTAGTACCAGAAAAAACTTGACATTATGAATACTGACAGATTAAGAATTGGATGGAATGTCAGTTACTCCTCACCTTCATTTAAAGCGGTAACATACGCTCTAATACCTACGAAAAACAGGTCGTCACAGGCTATCTCGATTCGGCTGCTCGCAATTTAGGACGGTCCGAGCAACCTCAGCATGACGACCGATACGCGGTTGCCGAAGAATATATAAGAATTACCTACAAACTATGGGAATCTTCGTGGCGCGATGACGCCGTCGTGCGTGATCGCGAGCGCGGTGTCTACACCGAGCCTTCGCGAGTCCGTCTCATCAACCATGAAGGCAAATACTACACCGTGCCTGGTCCACACATCTGTCAACCAAGCCCCCAACGCACACCTCTAATCCTGCAAGCTGGAACATCCAAAGCAGGCAAAAAATTCGCTGCCCAGCACGCCGAAGCCATTTTCGTCGCAGGCCACAGCCCCTCCGTAGTATCCAAAAACATTGCTGAGATTCGGGAGCTGGCGAAGACGGAGTTCGGGCGTGATCCGCGTAGTCTCAAATTTCTAGCTCTTTTCTGCCCGGTCCTCGGTCGCACAGAAGAAGAAGCCCAAGATAAATTCGCCGATTACTGTAACATCGGCTCGATCGAGGGGGCGTTGGCACTTTTCGGCGGATGGACAGGCATTGATTTGAATCAGTACAGTGACGATCAGGAATTGAGACATGTCGAGAGCAATGCAATCAGATCTGCTGTTGAAGGCTGGTCCAAGGCGTCACCCGGTGTGGCGAAGTGGACTAAGCTGACTGTTGCAAAGCATATTACCGTCGGAGGACTGGGAACGACGTCAGTAGGCACACCAAAGCAGGTTGCGGATGAGTTGGAGAGATGGGTAGCGGAGGCAGATGTCGATGGATTCAATTTTGTATGTTTCTTATGTCTCATAACCCGCAATTTAGGTGTCAATCTCTGACTAGCACAGGCATACGCAATTAATCCCGGCTCGTTTGTTGACATTATCGAGCTCTTACTTCCAGAACTGCGCCAACGCGGCTTGTTCTGGAATGACTACGCAGTCGTGAGGGGAACATATCGCGAGAATTTTTACGGTAAAAAAGGGCAGTCCGGCCCGTTGGAGGGGCATCCGGCGGCCAAGTATAGGTGGAAGGCAGGCGTTGACGCTGCGGATCATAAAATTCCTACAGATTGAATTGATAATGCGAGTGGAGAGAACCTAAGCCAGGAAGATGCAAAGAAGAATATCCTGTATCTGTAGTCTGTCATATTTAACACTGTGTCATATCTAATCAGTCGTACATACAACCCACTTGAGCAATGCATTGTGAATATCATGAGCCATAAAATCGACAAAACATCTATATGACTAGGAGGGTGCTGTCGCCCTTGGGCATACATTATCCTATATAAGCTTTTCATTCATTTGGACATGACGAAACCCAACCCAACCTCCTAGGTTCAGGTCGAGTTTTGTAAAACCAGTTAGCAGCAACCTTTATACTAAAAGGTAACATAATCTCTCCGATACAATATGGTCTGCAACGACAGCTGGTAAAAGCTTTGCCCTAAGGCTCAAATCCTATCAGATGCCCTCTCGGAATATCTCCGATGAATCAATTAGAATTATCGGACGAGAATGAACCACCCTAGTAAATAGAATAGAGCGCGAATTCGGAAAAGAAAAAGTCCGTTCGCTTACTGATCACATTACTTACAATTGAGTTTAGAGCATCTGGCGAAATAAACATCTATCATATAACTATTCCTCTCTATCTTTTAGCATCGACAAAGACTTAATAGCTGGTAGACGATTCCTTGCTATCTGTCTGAGCATCATCTTTTCCATAGAAAATATCAAAACGAAAAATGACACAAATTTCGAAAAACAACAGCATTAGCATGGATGGTAAGGCGCTAGATAGGCCAATTCCATTTCTTGGTTACTGGCAGATATCGCTGTTCACTATGATGGCCAGAATTTCAGTCTCCAGAGCAATCACCACCTCCGTGATGACCTCTTTTATCTATCTGATGATGAGGAAAAGATAATTCACCAAAGCACCTATATTGGTCACTTAGAAAGCTATTCCAACCATCGAGACGATGTATTTTAAATCTGCCATGGGAAACAGTATCTTTCACAGGGCGGATCGTGGACAAGCAGCATTTTTGCTGCGCTCAAGTGTGAGATTCATCCTATGAACAGATATGACGATCCTAGAAATGTCAACATTCTCACATCACTTTCTGTTATTAACGATCACAATCCTATCTCTGTTAGGCAATGATCTTTACCACCCAAACGCGTGTTTCTATCTCTACCCCCTTACTAGTGACTGCCTCCGGACAGGTGACGCAGGCGAAGGCGTATTTTCGGAGCTCTTCTTTGGAGGGGATATATACAGTAATGGAGAAATTTTCCGCCTTTCCGTGAATGATGACAAGACGACGATCCGATTAGGTGACAAGTTCCTTTCCGTCACCCTAGGACCGGACAATGCAAAGTACCTACCCGAAGGATGTCGGCAGCACAATGCTTGGAGTAAATGTCCATAATGTTCGCATTCGTACAACCTTGGCTTGGAATCTTTGCCTGATGATTCTTTCACTTTCATCCCTCGGGAGTTTCCAAGCATGTTTGTTCTGTATGATGGCGCATACTACTATCGTGTTTCCACCCTCAAAACTAGCTACGCCATGACAGAACGAGTTGAACGTCTTGAAGATGTATAGCTGTTCCAGTTTGTAAGCGTGTAATATATTTAGCATCATTATAGCTAATCTTTAAAGGATACATTTGTATATGTAAGGCGGTGATCGTGCCGACTAAGGAGGGAGTACCGAGGCTGGCCCCTGCGACTATATATAAGCGTGCAACATTCCAAGGTTGTGATTTCACAACAAAGACTCCGCTCGAGAGTACCGACTCATACGGGATTGTCACATGACTGCCACTTTAGGAGAGTTCTCCTGCTATGTCTTGGTTTCTGTAATGCACGAATGCTGCAATCTGACGCTTGGCACTTGAATGTTCGGTACAGTCGCTCCTTGCTTTGGAATGCATGTTGGACTTGAATGGGCGCAGCAGGGGATGTGCCAGAGCGATTAAATGCTCCTTTTGTACTTGAATAATGTAATGCCGGAACGCGGGCGGCATCCACCCCTCGAAGGTGATACTCGGTCTTCATGTCATAACGCCGTATGCACGGGTGGTAATGGATGGATGTGGAGAAAAATTCCGTAATAGGTCACTAGAAATTGTGTTTGCGATGTGCCTTATGACTCGAATTCATCCTGAGTAGAAAGTGACAGCAATTGTAAATGCCATTATTATCTACCATCAATTCGTGGCCCAGGCTGAAAACGGGTCAAGTAGTACAGTGAGAAGTAGACAATGCTCACCACTCTCCGGGAGTCCCATTATTCATCTCTCTACATTCTGGAAGTTCAGTCTCCACATTACAGCTTCACAACGCAATAATCAGTGCTTCTCCAATTCGTAAATCGTTACCTCTTGTAGTGCAGGCATGCTGTCAGAGTAGGGAAATTTGGATGCAGCTGTAACGTGGTCGGCATTGATTATGGCCCAACAAGAACAAACCCTATCTGGAAAAAACCTTACATACCCTAGATTCAAGAAGTTTTCACTACGATAGTAAAAAATATAGTTGCAAATCTCTTCGTGCGTACCCATGATAAGCGAATGCAAAGCCACGTTCACTTGCTCACTGTTTTAGGGACATCGTGTCACAATGAAAGAACGATTTCACATTCTCGACCAACAGATCGCCAAGTTCACAGAGTTCGGAGTTATTATCGTTCTCGCTACCGAAACAGACGTCGACTTGCTTCATCTGCGGAATACGAGTCAGAAACTGGCAGCCCAGTGGCCCATTGTACGAGCGCGGATCAATGTCTTAGCGAGTCTTTTCATGTCGAATTTATTCGTTGACACCTTTTAATCTTAAATTGCAGGACCACCAGCCCCGAGACTGCGGCGATCTGCCGATAGCCTGGCAATCGAAAACCTTTGATCACCCGTTGGAAGTACTTCTCCCGGGCTTGAGTCAGCAATCCCAACGTGACGAATCTATTGAATCATTGTTTGATTTTGAATGCGGCTGGAGGAGTACACTCTCTCCATCGGCCTTATCGATGTCGGCTATCAAGTTGCATGACGCATGTTTGCTGAGATTCTCTGTCCAGCATGTGCTTTGCGACGCGACCGGTATATCCCAGAGATGATGCTTCCATCCCTTGATGTCTCATATATATCGCTAGGTCTCAACTGCATTGTACAAGCGTACTGTTCTCTGCTGCAAGGCAAATCATTGCAGCCGCTCGAATCTCGACCTGATCCAATTCGGATGAGAAAAGGAACTGCGAGTGTGTCCTCGTTGTCAGATACAGAAACGCGTAGTGCATATCTTGCACAATTCCAAATTACCTCATCCCGAGTCGGTTGGGGACCGGCCCTTGACATGATCCTCTGGAATGCATTCGTTCCTCCCAAGCGCATTTCAACCTGTTGCATACCATCCGTTGAGCACCTGCTGAAACTTGCCCGGAAGAGTGAAAAAAAAGTGACCGCACACGATCTAGTCATGGCACACATCTGGAAGGTTAGTACGAAGCACCTACCTTGATTCCAGATGATTTTCTAAATATAGCGAAGGCTTCAGCAGCTTCGCCGTCATGGAAACGACAGCGAAAAGATCAGAACATATATCCACCATTCAGCTTCGCCTTGAACATTGAAAAGTTTCTGGACCGTACCAGCGAGCTTCACAATAGGTGGATGGTCGTGACTGTGCCGGATCTTGAACGGACGACCAATAACGAGCAAGAGGAAATTCTGGGAATGGCACTGCATCTGCGGGACACTATCAAAAGCGCTCGCACATTTGCTTACCTTCAGCCGGTTCTTGATCATTACCGAAAGGCGGATGGTGCGCCCATCATGCCATGGACTGACGGATTATCTGCAGGAGTGTTTTGCAGTTCCTGGGGCAAAAGTCCCCTATACGATCTGTCGTTTGACCTTCCTGGGGCACCAGGAACACGACCAATGTACATTCAGCCATACATCCACTCATCCCCAGTTTTAAGAGCCTTGCGACAAAAAGTCCACAACACTGTTCTTACGTGGACGGACCGGGATCATCGGTTCTGGATACATGGAAGCTTGGGTGATGAAGTCTGGCTAGAACTTGATCGACTGAATAAAACTCATAGCGATTAAATTAAATGAGAGCCGCATCAATGCTCATCCAGCCGGCGATCTCCATGTGCTATCGTCAGATCTTAAGTAGAGTATTGGCTTGATAATAAGCAGATCATATGATAGACTCCCACCCCAATGCACGAATCAGATGACAACACGTCTATCGAAGGACATAAGTCGGATGGTTGGGAGGTTATGATTTATTGCATTGCTTGCGTTTGTTTAGAGGACAGTCGTGGATTCGTTAGCTTGTGTAACCTATTACTCGCCGCGCCGCCGGCCCCCTCCATGCACTCAACAAATTGTTTATCATCGGTCCTTCTACGGTATCTATTTGGTTTCTTAGCCCTATGAACGCTTTGCATGGAGTCATATCCAGTCAAAGGTCATCCGCATGTCGAAGCTGTCCTAAAATCTGAGGATTTCCGGAACGTGTTTATATAATCGTTTGGCAAAACCAAAGATCGCTAGAAGTGAATGGCTGCACGGAAAAACAACTGTGCCGATTGATTGCACAACGTCAATCTAGATCTCTACTCAAGCCAGCGTGGAAGCCAGAAAGTCCACCTGACGATATCTGATGCTGACTACGAGATACCCCGCTAACCTACTAAATCAAGTCTTGGGTGTCAAATACAACCAAGTCGAAAGTTAATGAATCATGCTATAACATCTTCCAGCAGATGAAAATACTGCCTCCAATCAACGACCTTCAACCTAATCAATTCCATGACTCTTATCAAACCTTAGAACATACAGTCAATTGCATAGTTACTGTTATGGCCCGTTCCGGAAGGGCCTAAGGCAGGTCATTCTGAGTTACGTGCTTGCTCTGCGTACACTAACTAGCTTTCAGCCTTGTGTATAATCGTATGTGTCCTTCTACTGTGACTTTGTATTGACAACGCACGTACAACAAGGATCACTCATACATAGCTATGTCTTTCATTATTGTTCAATACCAGGAGTGATTGGAATTCTTAGACTCACCCAGAGCGAGAATGTTGGGATCTGCAAGTAGCATTTGGATTATGATGAAGCGGTTGTGTCTTATAGTTAGGTACAATCGTGAATCCCCCCATCGATCCTTGAGGTTTATATTGGTTTCTTCATTCGTAAAGAGATACCTGATTACGTCGATGTGACCTAGCGAATCGCGTTTGGAAGTAGAGTTCGCCCATCTTAATCCTGTAAGTAGACATTGAAGTACCGCCGCGCTAAAAGTTGATTTAACGCAATAGGTAAGTTCATGGGAACGCTCTTACTAAAGGATATTGTGTCTATATTGGCCTTCATGACTTAAATAAAGATTATATTATATGGTGAGAAGCAAGAAATTTGATCAACATTGGTATTCGACTGCGCACATGAGAGGAATTTTGCTATTCTGGAGAGTATTGAGGTTCTGCCGATAGAAGTTAAAAAGCTTCTCTAATAGGTTGATCTTTCCGTGACTTGTCGCTTGGGTAGTGTAAAACGGAGCTATATTTATAGTGGATATTGAATAGGTATAGAAACTCGAGGATTGCTTGAGATAGTCTTTGGCTAGAAAGAGCAAATATAATGTCTTTCCTTGCTGGTAGGTATGACGCTATCAGGCAAATTATCTTAATATCTTAACTGGGTGATCCTAAGGATTCATTTTTGTTTTCTTATTCGTAAATTGTAGCAGGAAAGCAGTAGCAGCTCTGGGATTGGTCATGAACTTCAAGAATTGGGTCTTCAATTTCTTTGTTGGAATGTGTCTTCTCAACCCCTAAATGATAGTATGATATATTAGCATGCAGTAAAACTTGGAAACAATCAACGACTGTATTTAAAATCCCCCAAGAAGGTTATTTGTGACATGTATGGACGTACACAATGTTTCATTATAATCCGACGTTTTGTGTAAGCTTACTCCGTCACTTTGAGCCTGCTAATGCGTGTTTAAATGTTGTTTGAAGAATAAATCGTGGTTTTCAGTGTCTTGTAATATTCAGCGAAGGCCTTTGACCATAGGAATGGCCAAAGATTGTTTCTGAATTTGTGATATATAGAGGCGTCTACCGAGCTATAGGCGGTGTCTACTATAATCTAATTAATCTTGCAAACAATGCTAGTAGGAATAAGCAGCTAGGAAGAATAGTAAATATACATCCTCGAATAAGAAAGAGAAATTTAAATGCTTGTAGGTGTCACTATAAATTACGGTATAAAATAGCCACCGCGACATATGATAACCATGTCAACTAGTGAGTACCTTTAGATAGATTGATGTAGCTCACCAGATGATTGGACTAATACTCGTGAGGGTGAAGCAGGTTTGCAAGGGTTGCAACAAAGGAAGGCGTGTTGGAGAAAGGGGTCTAGCAAGGATTCTCGCGACGCAAGAATACTACGGTTGACCCCGGTGATTTCCATAGTACGTTTTTATCCTGACGTAAATACAAGCAATGTAATACTTTGTATGGTAATGTACTGGGTGATTAATGAGTAAAGTCTCTATACTATAAAGAATATCAATGGCCAGTTATTGGCTTCAAAAGGTACGGCACTATATCATGATCCCTGTATGACAGTAAAATAGAAAACGTACTATGGAAATCACCGGGGTCAACCATAGTACTACGAAGAGCTATGAGATCTAGTGCGGGCGCTTCGTAGAATCCATGAGTTGCCTGCCATTTAGTTAGTGTAAAATCCACAGTATTACCATACGATCAAAAACGAGACCCCGTTAATGGGTGGTAAATTAGTGGTCATGTAAGCCTATCATTTAGCAGCGCGCTAAGAAGAGCCGCTGAGATAAGCACAACAACTGGGTTCTCGTTGCTCTATTTTCCTTTGTTTCTTCCCGGACAATCTACATAGTATGGATATTTAAATGATTTGAATCACATCCCCTACAAAATTGAAATTGCCATGATTAAGGAGGGCCTACAAGTTATGGTTCTCAACCAGCTGGCTTGCTTCACATCGACCCTCCACAAAAGATGGTTGGTTTTATACTTATTCGACCCCCTACTGTGCCACGTAGCATATCATTCGAGAATGACATATGCACCAGCTTGCATGATACCAGGGGAGGGGAGGGGGGGTCGTACAAGTTCTCTTCTTTTCTTTGTCTAAACCAAGGCTTTGTACCTAGCGTAACACTAAATACTACTCCGTAAATAGAATAGTGAATATACTAACATATGGCGCAGTTCAAACGGAATAACTGCTTTTTTTTTCAGTAAGCCTGCACGTTGTCTGGATCGACTTGAATTCGTTTTTTTCCAGCCCAGGATCGACGCGAGAATCACCCCAGTCCGTAGTTGCTTAGACTTAAGCCAAGACACGAATTAGTTTTCCGATAGGTTTGCATCCCTGCCAAGTAATTTACTAGTGTAAATACCGCCGATTTCATGACAGGATAATGGAAATTCTGTATAATGGCCGGGTATTGATAAAAGAAAAATCCCCCGCTTGATATACAACGATTTTCTCTTTAATATTACAGAAGCAGGGCTACTGTGTTGTAGCAATCAGCAATGAAGCAAGCACCACACGGGAACCAGATAGCAGTCCTGATTTCTTTCTAATCTTAAACAACCGATACAGCACCTCACCCCAGAAACTGCAAATACGACCACTCAGACCCCTGGATGATCAAAGATAGGGAAAGGAAAGCCAGCTGTGTCACACAATGTAAACAAATATCTATTTTATACACATATATAAAAGGGGAAGCAATTTCGTAATTGGAGTTTTTGATCAATATCTTAGCTTCAACCTCCGCACATGCGCATTTTGCATCTAGATACCGAGAATATCCTCAAATTTACTCCTCACACCAATCAAAACCTCCATGGGGTCGCGGTTCAACTACGAGACCAACAAACCTGCTGTTGCGGTAACCACTTTCGTACTTCTAGTCTCGGTCATCTTGTCTGTCTCTGCGCGACTGGGGACCAAATATGGATTATTCAGGAAGCTCGCTCATGATGATCTCGCCATCATCGCGTCACTCTTATTTGCCATACTCCAAGACATTTGCATAGCTCTGGCGGTGGATTCTGGCTACGGAGATCACGAAACCGATGTCTCCGATAATAACTTCGACCAAATAATGAAGGTAGTACCGCTGCAAATACTCTCTCTTCCTTTCGGCAAAACTAAGAAATCTCGCCCGCCAGAAACTATTTGCAGCTTCTTTTTTCTATATTCTGAGCCTCCTATCCTCCAAACTATCCCTGGTTCTGTTTGTCGAAAGTGTAACGCCATTGATAAGAGATAAATGGATTGCTCGAGCGGTCAAGGCTACTCTCCTGGCCTGGGCAACTGTGATCATCTTCGGCACTGCGTTTCAATGCTCCACGCCGCACACGTGGGATATTTGGAATGGCCGATGCTTGAACCTGGTGTGTCTGCTTTTCATATCTGCCTCCCCTCAATACCGATTCAAACCACGCGCATTAATACCGGTACAGCTGGCATGGCGCTATTTTGTTGCAGCCTCGAATATCGCTACCGATCTACTCATCATTGCCCAGATTATGGTCTTAATTACCAACATTCAAACTTCCATTTCGCGCCGTCTGACGTTTTTCGGTATCTTTGCGCCTAGAATTTTGTAAGTGGATCTTCCAACTAAGTTCAAACTGAAGCTCACCCCATATGTATAGTTTGGTAATCGCAGTCATGATCGAGCTCATCATCTTGAGGAAATCCACTTATACGGACGACCAGACGTACCGCATGTACGATCTCACAATTATCAGCGTCATCATCCAATGCGTCAGTATTGTGACGGCATCCTGGCCTCAACTGATGCCTTTTCTCTCCTGGATGCAGTCCAATGGGCTCCAACTTAATAACGCCCAAGACCAGTCTTCATGGTCGTACAACGTGGCCGTGCAATCGCAAATACAGGCGAGTTCGCAGGACCGCAAAAGCAAAAGCCGCAGGGCCTTTGCTCCTTTGGTGCGCAGAGATCAGATCCTCGTGACGCAGGAGTGGGATGTTCAAAGCCAATCGAGCGCCGCACGCATAATCGGAGAAGAGGAAGATGCATTGCCACATGGTGCCATACAGGGCTGAGGCTATTGAAATAGGTAGATACTCTTGATATGGTTATGCATATCTCCACTACATTCATGTGGATATGTCTTTTACATTGCATTGTCGTCAAAATGTGGATGCGAACTCATTCGATATAATAGTAAATGTATATAGTCGAATAGGAACAGAGAATATATATCCAAACACACGAGACATGAAAGAAAGATCATGCAATTTTCTTCCGACGAGCCATCGACGCAACATCAGAGCCCGGTAAGCTGTAGTCTACAAATCCATGCTTCTGGTACACTGGAGCACCCTCCTTACTCGCATCCACGTATGCAGAAACGCCATCTCGATCAGCGAGATCGCAACCCCATTGAACCAGCATCGAGCCAGCGCCACGTCGTTGATAATCGGGGTGGGTGCCGACGGTATCTAGGTCTGTTTATCAATTTTCACATGTCAATATTGGACTATTCCGTTTTGTGGATCATCCTTACAGTAATGTTTCTCATCACCCATGACCCGCATCCTCTCTTTCTCAAGGACATTAATGAGTTCCTCGCAGCGCTCATAAGGTGAACTGGGATGCCATTGTGGAAAGCGACGACCGCGTGCTCCTGGCATGGACAGGTCCCATTTACCAAAAGCAATGATTCGTGGGCGGCCTTGTTCGTCCCTGAAGGCGGTATCAACCACGCGCAAGTACTTCTGGAAGGGCCTCGTCTTGAAATCGTTCAGGTGCCAATCGTTGAGCACCCATTGGCGCATGCCCGGAGAGTCAGGGAATAGCTCTCCAATCACCGGCTGGGAGAAGGCTGCAAACCAAATGTCTCGGATGGCAGGGAAGTCTTCGATGGTCGCCTCCTCGAGTACGAAAGAACTGGTTGTAGATTTTGAGCACATTTTTTCTCCTGCTCTTTCTTGTCCTGCTTCCTATGTTGCTGGTGGTGGTAGACGGAAGAGAACAATATGGTAAATGATCTGAACTACTACGTAAAGTATTGTAACATAAAAACCCGGTGTACACGCTAAGCGTGGTACTAGTAAGTTAATTAAATACGCCAAAAGGTTGTCTAGGGGAGGACGGAAATATGCGTCACTAGTCATGCATCTCAAACAACGTTAAGTGACACAAACACGATAACCCCGGTCATAACTGGAAGCGGTGTCTCGATGATCTGGACTTTATGTTGCAATTTACCACTCCTTCTTGCACCCGTATATCGCCGTGAATGCATAATTAGTGCATGTAACGCTAATATACTCGCGCGATTGCCTCTTTCCAAAAATCTGTGGCGAAGTCACACAATATGCCTCACTTTCAGTCCTCCTTGCTGTCTTCAAGTTTCCTGGGTACATTTACAAGTCACTGTCCATTCTGCATCTAATCAATCACTACACGCAACCCCCCCCACTCTTCGTTTTCTTCTTTTCTTCTCTTCTTGATCTCGCAGTAAGCCGAAATTTGGATCTGCGTCCTTCGCGCGTTCACCTATCTTGCTGAGTTCGAACAAAACAATGGCCTACGAATTGGAGAGCAAGACGCCTGGTTCTAATCACGACGGGGTGGCTCCAATATCTGACTACGATCGTGACGATGCGAATCTGCAGCGAATGGGCAAAAAGCCTGTCTTGAAGGTATGCCTTGTCTTTCCCTGAGCCCAGTCACTATGTAGTTGATACCCAACTAATATGCACTGCCGTTTATATCAGAGAAACTTTAATGTCCTCTCCATTCTCGGTTTTAGTTGCACGATGTTGGGAACTTGGGAAGGGGTTCTTGGGTAAGAGTTATCTGATACTGCGCTATGGTTTTCAGCCATTCCATTCACTAATCCACTGATCGAATATTCAGCACATTTACTGAGCCTCTTACAAAGTAATCTCCTTTCTTCCTCTCTCGCGCAATCCGTCTTTGACAAACAACAGTGGCGGCTCCGGCGGTGCCATTTATTCGTTTATTTTTGCCTGGGTTGGCACCATTTTGATGTTCATAGTCTTCGCGGAATTGGCTTCAATGTAAGGTCATATTTCTCTTTTTTATCTATCGAAAGGTAGATTAAACGCAAGCTCGCCATCTAATCAATCCAATATAGGGCGCCGACCTCCGGAGGCCAATACCACTGGGCAGCTATGCTTGCCCCAGTCAAATATCAGAAGGTTCTGAGTTTTGTAACGGGTAAATATAAGACATAGATGCACAGAAAATAATTGAACTGACTCTGAAAACTGTAGGATGGCTTGCTGTAATTGGGTGGCAGGCCGCTTTGGCTGCGTCCTCCTTCATGACAGGACAGATGATCCAATCGTTAGCCATCCTTGGAAACCAACTCTACAATGCTCAACCATGGCAAGGGACATTGATTATCTGGGCTACTCTGAGTCTATCATTGATTGTCAACTTGATTGGAGGAAAACTTCTCCCCCGCATTGAGGTGGTCGTGTTGGTTCTTCATATCCTTGGTTTCTTCGCCATCATGATTACCCTCGTGTACATGGCCGAACCAAACACCGCAAAAGAGGTGTTTACGACTTTTCAAAATGGGGGAGGCTTTTCTACCCAGGCACTGTCATGGTTTGTAGGCATGACAGGCAGTGCTTTTGGATTTGCTGGTGGAGATGGTGTTGTGCATGTAGGTTTGCTCCTTTCACCTTCCTTGTTTTCTTGGCACTGCGGTTTATTTTTACTAAAAACTTTTCTTTGACAATCCCAATCAGATGGCAGAAGAGATCGCAAAACCCGAAAGAGTGATTCCTCGGGCACTAATGCTTAGTGTTGCAATCAACGGCTGCCTTGGGTTCGGTATGATAGTTGCTATGTTATTTTCTGCTGGGCCTGATCTTGGTGGGCAGTTGGGTGAGATCACCGGCTATAACTTTATGGGCATCTTCATGGAAGCAACCAACTCGCTCTCGGGCACAATAGCCATGTGTTCGATCGTGATAATCTTTTACGGCTGTGCCGTGATGGGTCTTTTGGCCGCAGCATCTCGACAGCTCTGGTCTTTCTCGCGAGACAGGGGGGTACCGGGATGGAGATGGTGGAAACAGGTGAGATTTCATCTATTGCCTTGAGAGGGAAAAAGAGAAGAAGGAAAATAAAAAGTGCTGACTAACATACAATCAACAGGTCTCCACTTCAAGACTTTTACCGGTCAACGCCATCGTCCTTTCAGTGACTATCTCTACGCTTCTAGGCCTGATAAAGATTGGCTCCACCCTTGCCATGTACGATGTCGTGTCGTTGGCTGTGTCCGGCATCTACCTTTCGTATCTCGTCGTTGCCATCTTGCTTCTTATTCGTCGAGTCCAAGGCTATATCTACCATACTAGTGATTCCGAGGACGAACTTGTCAACGTACCTGGAGCAAAGTTAGTATGGGGACCGTTCCATTGCCCCGGCGTGCTCGGCATTGTAGTGAACGCTCTCGCTGTGGTATATATTACTATTGTTGTCTTTTTCAGCTTCTGGCCAAGTCTTATGAGCCCAACGGTGGAAGAGATGAATTGGGCCATTCTCGGAGTCGGCGCAACCATGTTCTTGACCATGGTATACTTTGTTTTCCGTGCCCGCCATATTTACACCGGTCCTGTTGTGGAACTTTAAACTGTATCCTGTCAAAAGTTGTGCCTTTGTTTTTTCTCTTGATTGGTTTGTCATGTTATAATATAGATGCTAGAATAGTTCATTATTCAATCAACCTGAAGGCTGTGCAGGACCTATCAAATGTATTCTCTGCATTTATGGCCACGTTCCTTCTGCCGCAGCGCTCATTCAAGACGATAATAGCTATAATTAGTCAGGGAATCCTGTGCCATTTGAAGAGGCTCTGAAAGAAATGTCAGGTCAAGTAGAACATAGAACAGATGCCAGACCGCTTAGATCCGTGCACCCAGCGTGTTATACACCGTCGCAATGTCAGGGTGCTCGGAACATGGATTGAGACTTTAATTCAGGTATAGACAATACTCAAGCTATCAATCACCACTTGTAAAAACACTACCTAGCAAAGATCATGTTTCTTGACTGACCTGAGTTTGCACTGTTACACATGAGCGAACGATACCTTAGGCATCTTAAATATGAGAGATCTCGATACTCAATACTACTGGTAAACTCTCCTCCTTACTCTTGACGCTCATCTCGTCGATGAAGAGTTTGATCTTCGGCTTCCTGAAAATTCCACGATTTGGCCGAATAAAGCAATGCCTTCAAACCCTAACGATTCGTATAGTGGACGGGGCGGCGCGCCGAAACCGATCGGATTGCAAATATCAATTTTTTGCGACAAACATTCGCTGGGCTTCGGATCCCGATGGTGCAGGAGATCAAGTTGGGGGTGAGAGTCAGTACGATGCATGTCACGATATCTCCAAAGCCGGATCAGCTTGCAACTGCAAACTATACGCCTGATGGAAGCGACCTCGAGTTAAAAGTGGTCGCATATACTAACTTGAGTCCACCAGATAAAGAGGAGGGACCGACCATAGAGAACGTGGAATCCCGACCCTCTTATGCCACCTGGTTCTTTAGCAGAAACTCAATCAATTCATCAAAATATTTCCATAGATTTCATGGCACTAGCAGAGGAAGAAGAAGATGGTGCTTGGGTGCTAGGCCCCTAGGCTCATTCCGCGCTGTTTATCGTATAGCTTACTGATGAAAACACTTGAAGTTTGCACTAAGGAAGTAATCGACCAGTGGGCACATTTCAGACCTGGTAGATAGCCGGCTACATGGTATAACGAAGCCGTGATGTACTTGGCTGATATTTTTCCTGCGGCTTTAACACGGATGGGAGCTATGGAGACAAGTCGGCTTCTTGCGCTGGAAGGGAAAGAGGAAGCCACCAAGAGTACGATAGAACCGGAGTTGTATCAGTTCTGGTACCCGAATGTGACAATAAATATTGATCTGAAAGCCAGACTTCCTCCGGAGGGGGCGGAATGCTTACATTTGCGGGTGGTGACTAGGATGCTGCGTGGGAGCCGTGTGGATTTAGATGTTCTGATTCTTGACCAGAAGGGGGAGCTGGTATCCACCAGTACGCAGGTGGCATTGGTGGTTGCTGGGTCGAGAAACATCAAGGGAAGACAGGGTTCGGGGATGTTATAATCATTGAAATAGTGGGAGCTTATAGAGTGCGCAATATAGTACTGAGTCTTTCGCTTGTGTGTTCAAAGCGCTGCGATTTCATGTCCAGGAGGACAAGGTGATCGCGGTTTCTACATCACTCCGCTTGAATCCGGGACTGTACCCTAGGCATATTCCCTTCTCGACTAAAGCTAATGGATACAGGCGGTTCATTCAGTTGCAGGTCAGACAACCAGGAATTTCGGGCCTCACCTGCTGTGAAATCTACTACATTCACCGTCCGATGTGTCGTCTCCTCATTTGGCGGTTCTAGAGAAAGAGTGATAGTCTCAGCTCGTAGGTACCCCACCAAATCCCAAAGGTCAAACCACTCCCCATCAAGCTCTTCTTGAGCCTCTGGCGGAAAAGCCGATAGAGCACTGTGAACTACAGGGAAGTGTTGTTCTTCTAGCCCTGACTTGTTCTGGTTTGATACGAGCGCCCCACGATAGTGTGTACCAGTGCCTCCGAGTTTGAAGAAAGGAATCTCGCTAAACCTTTCTGGCTGTTTGTTGTTTAGCCTAGCGTGTAAACATGTGTAGAAGAACGAGGCAATGGTTTCCCTCTTGACAAGTGATAGAAACAGTCGAAACGGTCGTCTTAACGCATCGAGAGGAATAGACGGATTGCTAAGTATCAAGAATCCTTGATATAAACAAGTTATCCTGAGGTGATCCACAAAAGCCAGTGCTTCAACTACAGATGCTGCACCGTCTAGCTCAAATGGCAGAAATCGGTTGTGAGGTTGTGCGCTTCGCCGGGTCGAATTAATAGGCAGAGGAGACTCTTTGGGATCATATTTCGGTGAAGATTGCTTATCTACCGGTCTTTGTACTCTTAGGGATGTGTCGTTTGGCTGCGAGTGGCCAAAGTCTTCGTGACGCTCTTTTCCATACTTCGCTGAATCAAGGCATGTTTTCAATGTGTCCCGGAGACGATCCGCAATGTTCGGGTGTGAGGTAAGAACTCGTTTCTCGGCCAGGATATCGCTCAGGTCAACAACCGCCTTACCCATTCTTTCTAGAGCAGACTCTAGATGGGCAACGCGTTGTTTAAGCGCCGTAATGTTAGCCTCGTTCCGTGCCCGGTACGCCCGTTGCGCCTGGAGAACCTGCTTCCTACGTCGCTATATTTGTGTCAGTGCATGCTTTCTTTTTCTTTCTGGCAATGCAACAAATTGAATAGACTTTATATATGTACCTCTTTCTTTTCAGGGCTTGCGGGCTTCGTGCACTGGTGTGATAGGCCGGTTGTTTTAGATGAGGTCTCTGACGGAGGCTGCGGAGCCGATGCCGTAGGCTGCACTCCACTCATCATTGTAGTAGCGGTTACGGCGGTTTGGGTCCTAATAAGATTGTGCTTGTGAAATGGCTCTTTGCGTACGTAGTATTTCAGAATCATCCAGATTGATAGAGCACGAGGCCGAAAAAGTTGGAGTGGTAAGTACTAAGTGGGGAGGGGGCCTCGGTCTCGTCCATAGCATGCTTCGGCAATCGGAATGATCACTCATCATCATAATGGAGCGAAAGAATAGCTTAAAGGGAAAAGAACATACCTCGGTTTGCATTCTAATCGCATTCAACGTATAGCTTCAGCGGCTGTTTGTACGAATGCACTATTGACGAATATATATAAACCACCACAATGGCCACCAAATACGTATGAAGTGGTAAGCGACAGGTACTACGACATCTACATACTACCTAGAGAAATCCATCATGACCTTTACCAACACCTACCAACCAATCATAACCGCGGAGGATGATATCAAATCCGCCCAGAAACGACGCATCATCTACATCCGGCCCTTCCTTCTCTTCTGGCTCAACTCCCTGGTCGCCGAAACCATTTTCCTCGCCGTTGGCGTATTCGTTATGACCGGAACCGCGGATCTGTTCTACAAAGTCATGTGGACTCTCATCTTCTGTCCGCTGGGCATGGGCGGGGCAATGGGTGGCTTGATAGACTACTTCATTGTCGACCACTACTATGGGAAAAAAGCGGCTCATTTCACCGGTATCCTATCGCTACTGATTCTCAGCGCGTGCAATTATCTTTGCTACAACCTGGATAGGCATTTTGGGTGGTTTGGGGCCACAGAACACCCGATGTGGTTCCACTGGCGGTACCCGATGATCTGGGCGGTTGGGTATTATAATGGTTTGCTACTATTCACAGATGAAGGACAGAAAAAGCTTGCTAGGATAGGACTATGATCTTTTACCCCCTTGGATTTTATGTCGGGGCGGGCTTCGAACTGGAGACTCTGAACTTGGATTTGGGGACATATCCATGGTTCCCAAGGATTGTGCGGTATGAGACTGATGGATGTTTTTGATGTAGAATCTAGCGTGTGTGTAGCAGGATTGGAGTGCTCGGTTGTTTTGTTATTTGTATTGAAGAACTATTAGCCCATGTGATTTCTAAAAAAGTTGGTTGTGTAGGGGATATTTTACTTCCAGAATTGAACACTCAAAGTCTTGGCTGACAACTTGAATACTAACCAAATCGTAAAAGCAACTTCCCGGCCATACACTAACAGTGGGTACTTATATTAATGGCAGCCTTGCTAGGTAGCCCATGGTCCAGGATTCTGGAAATGTTTGAATAAATAACTGATCATCAACACAATGAAACGCGCTATTAGAATGTCGGAAAAGCTTGACGCCGGGTTAGGCTGGTTCTCAGTAGGTAAGTCAGCTCCATCTTATCCTACGAAGTCCTGCTAAAGACACTTGTAAAGGAGCAAGAATCTTATACGCTGCTATAACCGGACCCTTTCGTGGCACGTCCGGGGCAGATAGCTACCGTCACCACCTTATTCAAGCAGCGATTAAATCGGTACCTAAGCTCACCCTGATTGAGATTGAAAATCCCAGAAGAATGAATACTGAACTACCCTGCCAGCTCACTGGACGCTTTAGTCCGATCCAGCTTCAGTGCGTATGCAGCTGTCTGGGGTATCTTTAGACGCTAACGGTTAAGTTAGGTTTCTCTTCGGGTCGTATGACCAGCTATATTTGAAATACTGCAGGAACAACCGGATCGAACCCAGTTTCGTGTCAAATGAGCATAGCTTGAAGGGATTCTGGATTGGTTCCCCGTGGGCCAAGTACGTAGTGATCAATTTTCATGGTAGGCACCTTTGACCCAATTAACACTGAAAGACGGGAACTAAAGACAATGATTTTAAGGCGGAGGATTCGCCAGATGCAACGGAACCAAATCTTCATTTCTGACAGAGTGTAGCCAACAAGCTTTCTCGGGAAAACATCACTACCGGGTGATTACATGTAACGTACACCCTGACGCCATACGCGACATATCCAAAACAGATCTGTGAGGCTGTGGAAGCCCTACGATATGTCATCAATGATCTTGAACACTCACCCAGCGAAGTAAGCTTAGTTGGTGACTCAGCGGGGGCTAATCTATGTTGGCACTCCTCTCATATCTGAGCTATTTCTTTCATAAAACTGTTTAGAACACTTTGTATCTCACTACATATCTAGAGCCCGAACCGACTCCCAACCGCAGGGTGGGAGAAGCAACGCGACGGGTATGCAAAAGAACTCAAAGAAGCTACCTATATCTCTCGCGCGACCCTCGACGTGTAGCACTAGCTATCTTGACAGAAGCGAAAATAGCAACACTCAGAGAGATGGCGGTCAAACATGCATCTGCATTAGGCCCGATCCGGTCCAAGCGCAAGTCATTTCTTTTCGCATCAGGTGGAATTAGATTGAATGTTGTTGCGATTGCTGACCATCCTGCAACTGCCGGAACAACTAATGTATCGGCCATTCCAAAGCAATATTCGAATGGAAGGTTTGAAGTTGACGACAGGGCGAATGTTAAAGAGAGAGAGTACAACTCTAGAAGACGATGCCGGCGGCCGGACCCAAAGCACGGCAATGTTAAAAGAACGAATCTGTAGATCGCATGTGCAAATATCCAAGATTTGCTGACGGCAGTGAAAACGAACAGATCATCATGAAGAGCAATTGTCTTCCATCCAGCGTTGCGCCCTTGTTGGACGATCCAAATGAACAGGGCAGCGCAGGTGACCTTGCTACACATTCCCCGAAGCGTGCCGTCTGTGGGAGTTCCAACCATCATGCCAATGTTGCCATACACCGCGAAATTCACGTAAGTGGTAAATGCTGATAGAAATCTAGTCTGAATGGGGCGACTTGCAACAAGAAATGCCAGGACAGAGCCGAGTCCGAGAGGAAGCAAACACATGGTTTTTGTCATTTCCCCAACAGTAGATGTTCTGTCGAATGCGACGATAGTTGTGCTAACTCCAAGAACTATGAACAGAAGGAGTCTACGGTTTCGAATAGCACACTCATAGACGGCAATGAGTATGATTGTGAGCCATGTGTTGAATGGTATATCAATGTATGCATCAAGCACTGCATATGGTCGTGAGAAAGCCATGAGATCGGCCATATCGCTCGTGTGGAATGCAGATCTACTCCTACTCAAGAGAGGGTTGCGCGGATGACGAGGATAGTAACGAGCAAAGAAACAATGCAAGACCAGACGCGGCTTGAGGCAGTGAGATTTGGGCCTGGGCGACCACAATTAGTTTCCGGAAACCCACACTCACACCGCCTAGGAAACTTGATGCGCCAAATTTGTAAAGCGCGCTAGCTACCCACGCGTTATGACGGTTAAATTTTGGCGTGGGTCTTATAAGCAGGCATCTTACGTGAGAGGAGGATATCAACATCTTGACGCGCAACCGAATACGCGCCCAATAAACAGGCTGATCGCTTTTCTCGAGACGTGCTAGTCCGAGTTCGCTACTTTGCGTAACGTTAAGGAAAGCTGCATAATTAAGCATTATAGTAAACAATGTATTCGTCTTACGTGATGAATAGTGGTATAGGTTTATGGTCCGCAGAGTAATACAGTCAGTGATTGCAGTAAAATAAAAAGATCTAGGTCATATTGTATTGCGTTACTCCATACGGTAAGAAGCGGACACTAATGCTCAAAGCAAAGATGTATCCAAACCTTTGAGGGGGCTTTACATCCAGGGTATCTCGATGCCAAAAGCATCTGCAACAACCATCGACGAGACGATACATCCTTCCAGCAAAACCATTCCATCCCAGCACCAACCCCCTACTAACCAGACTCCTTGGTCCCCGTTTCTCCATTGAGTAGTTCTTTTCTTCTCCTGCTGTACTTGGGGTCCTGAGGTTCTGCGGTTGAAGATATTGTTGATTATCTCCCGACTCTGTGGTGTACGTAGCACACGGGTAAAGGTTGCACATTGTTTTGTTTTAGCAGGGTCGATGACAGAAACTGGGCACGTCGTGACGAGTAAGCCTGATGGCTGTACATGGATCGACTCCGTTTGAGGATCAGCCTGCGCAAAAGTCCTCATGTAAATGATCTGCGCATCGGAGCCCTTCATCAAAGTTTTGGTGTTTGATGAATGTAGGATATCGGTGCCAGTCAATGGTCCAATTGTAGTCTCGTCGGAATGAACGACACTCTGAACGGAAATCGTCGGAATCTGTGACATTTCATATTGCAATGGTTTGAAGATTGCCTGCACCACATTCGGTGCCACGGCCAGAACAACCCTGTCGAATAAAGCTTCTGAAGTATCGGATCTGGAGTTGTCCGACGAATGTTTCCAGCGGACTCTGATTCCTTGCGCTTGGGGCTCCACTGAAACCACCTTAGTCGACTTTCGTATTTGTAAGCCTTGCGACAGCTTCCTCTCGACCTCGTTGACACCACCGCAGACGGTATAGTGCTGATCACCGTTGGTCTTCCTCTTGTAATCAATCAGGTCCTGTGCTGGGAATTCCAAGAGTGCCTCGTGAGGGCATGTCGCCACGCTAGAGAACAATGGTAGGAGATAGCTTGAGACGAAGTATTTTGGGAGGTGGATTCTCCGGACATATGACCTCAGGGACTCGCAGGGGATGATTCGCGTGGCGGGACGGGGTGGCACAAGGTAACAACATATTGTAAACCATGCGTACCACACAATCAGGTACCCGATTTCCCACAGGTGACTTATGGGGTCCACTGTCTGGGGCCGTATTGGAAATAGTACGTGGTTGTTAGAAGAATGTATAAACTTCAAACGCTCTTGGGACTTTTGAGACGTGCATTTCTTAGATGCAATGCTTGAGAACCCAAATAGAAATTTCTGAGGCTGGTAGTCGACTTGCAGAAAATTATACATGGCCATCAGGTTGCTGTAGAATCCACCTGCGAACGCACGCATTGGAAGATCAATACGATCGACATTTCCAGTCTCAGGATTCGGGACAGACAGCGAACTAGAGTCGAGAGACAAGCGCTCCCCCTAAGGCACACCCTTAGCATATCATTTCATATCGGAAACAAATCATTTTGGAGTTTTACAAGTTCAAAAATTTCGACATTGTATCGATGCTCGGGGTCCCGATTCAACAGGTATGCGGTTACTAATCCAGCCATGCCGGACCCAACGACTGCTACTCGGCACTTGACACTCGCTTCTTTCTCCATACTGGCTGCAACAGAGCCACAATGCGGCTCAAGACGGAAGCCTAAGGAACTGCAAGACTGACGTGAGATTGCTGTCCAGGACGCTTCCGAGAGTCTATTTTGATGAAGGCAGTTGGGCGGGCGAAAGAACGAGCGGGGCTGTGCATAAAACAGCCGAGGATACAGTTTGGACTGTATGTTGTTCCGTAGTACTACTGGATAAAACTTAAACCGGTTCTCTCCGGGGATCGTCAGACACTATGAAACGACCAGGATGACGCTAAGTCAAGATTTGTTGTGAGACCAACCGCATGAAGCTAGGCAGAAGGTAGCTAGGAAAGGTGTATTGTTAACCACGCACTAATACGGAAGTAGAAGCAAAGGATATACATAGTAGTTATACTCCGTATGTGAACACTACTATGTCTATTGAGAACCTTGAGACATGATTATATCGCCTTTCCTTTCCGCAGTACTTACGCCACTATACGTAACATTTTTCTATGCCAGGTGGGGCTCTCCTGTTGTAGCTGCCGCCGCTTTTAACAGGCTCGGCTCAACTGAGTAAAATTCAGTCCGGGAAGCCGACTCATTTGTCATGTGATGATCAGTGATTTGTTATTAGTAAAAAAGGTCACGTGTTTATAGCGAATACAGACCGATCGCACCACGTCTTAGATACGATACCGTTACCCATATCGTCCCATTAAGGGAATCTCCTTTTTGGTAAAGCGGTATCTTGACTTACTCATAGATCAAGTATCCTAATGTGATTATCGTAAATCTCAATTGCGATTCGAAAGTGCTAATGAGAAACTTACGTAGCCAAGCGCAAGACCGCCTTTGCAAGGGGCCAGGCCGTAAAGGTAAATCAACTGAGGAAAATCAATATGCGGGACTCGAAACTGAAGGCTTTTTAACGATGACTGTACTTTCGACGGCGTAGTCAACGGTGTTGACAAGTAGAATTCTTCTATCCTAGACCGGGGTGAGAGTGATTGGTTTGCCACAAGCTCGCATTGGTCGCGAGCGCAACTGAAAGAGGGTATCTTGTAGATTTGTGTCCTTTGGCTATATTCGTGCAGAGCGTTCTGAGACCCATTTCCTCCTTAGAATTTTGGAAGGTGAAAGGTCAATAATTACCCGACGGATCCATTGATTTGGGTTTTCTCATTGCAGCTGCGAGCCAGTATTAATCTGCCGGCGCATCATTCCTTTTCCGTAGCCACATGGTCAGGTTTGATCCATTGCGGGGGAAAGCTGGGGAAGCGAAGCTTGCCCGGTACCTCATGTGCGGAGAACAGATCTCAGAGACTTAAAAACCAAGTTGATGGGTTTTCACATTGAAAGACCTCGGCGTAGCTGCCGCGTATAGGTACACCGATTCGTGCCATCATGCTCAAGTGCCCGAAAGGTCGGAATACCAAAAGACGGCCCAGCGGGACAGCGCGATTCATCGCATGTAAGGCTCGACTTTCGGATGGCACCGTAGAGAGGCGAAGTAGTTCCTAGCCTTCCGTAGAACCCTAATGACTGTTTTACAAAACATGTTATTTTATTTTATTCATGGCTGACTTCTCTCTTTACTTTTGACGGCGATATGATCTGGTGGCTTGTCTTCCTGGGCAGGGTGTAGTAATCTCCAGAAGATGTACAGTTCTACTCATTGCAAGTTTAATGACCCTTAAAGCCGTCGTCCCGATGCATGCGTTCCTTACCGTTTCTGGTTATTTTTCGAAGCAACTATAATGCCAGCAAGGGGTTGCATCGCAAGTCGATCGATCTCTTCTGATGCGGTTATAGATTTTGCCGGTGCACACTTGGTCCACTGCCACGCTTCACATCGACGAATTAGAGCGTATCAAATTATATTGGAGCGGGTATCTTGGCGGAGTATAATGTTGCACGATATACTCTTGGATAACAATCGCAATCGCCTCGTATGCGGGCATACCGTCTTTCTGTATGACTATGATCCCCAAGGGAGCGCGTTGTAGATTACCACACGGAGCCAAATTGAGTCAGTTTCTTCGGAACCCCCTAGGAAGAACGCTGCAATGACATCTAGTTAATGGGAAGCTTAGGTATGTGACTGGCGTTATGCTGCACACTGACCAGATTTGCCATCTACGACATTATTGAGCCTCAGCACGGACTCTAATGGGAAGACCTCAATCTCTTAACATCACTTGACTTACTAGGCTCACTGCTTTGACATTTAATGGAGGGTAAAAACTCTCCGCGGACCTACGTTCATTTTGAGCATCATGCTGTTCTGTTGCTCGGTTCATTTCAGTTTGATTAATTCTTGTCAATTGTCACATGAAGAAATTATTTATCCGATGATTCTACATAAATTCTGAATTCTGTCACTCGTCTTTCTTTTTGAGCAGGGTCTTTTCTTTGCCATTCGAGAAGCGAGTGACCTGTTGCCCTTACCCACAATTGAAATTGAAGCCACGCTTCTAAGTTACCCATCATGTTGGTAGCCTTTTACACAATCATCATCGGTTTACTGTGCGTGAGCTCCGCCTCCGCTCAAACCACCTTTGGCACGTCTCAGAAACAAGTCTGGATCCCCCCAGCTACTGAGTACACGCTCTATGATTACTCAGGCAGCGGTGTCCTGACATCCATGTGGTTCGGCGGAAGCTGGACAGACTGGGATCAAACTCTAATCAACATCTATGTTGATGGAGAAAGCAGCCCCAGTATATCTTTTGAACTATACCTCGGTCACGGCATTGGTTACGGGGACCAGACTGCCCCGTGGGGAACAGCTCGCATCGGTTTGACGAGTACACCTTCGGGCATATATAACACATATCGAATCCCTTTCGGATCCCGAATCGTCGTAACAGTGAAAATGCCACCTTCAGTAACATCGAATCAAGCCTTCTGGTGGATCCTTCGAGGGGAAACAAACTATCCCATTACGTTCAACGGATATACACTGCCATCCACAGCCCGATTACAACTACAGAAACAAAACAATATTCTCGTTCAACCGCTCGATTTATTCACGATGGCAGAAGTCAGTGGCAAATATGGAATGCTCTATCAGGTGACGATGGCCGCCAATAGCAGCAGTTTCAGTTTCTTAGAAGGCCAATTCCGCGCGTACATTGATGGTGCAACAAACCCATTATATCTGTCATCGGGCACGGAAGACTACTTCCTTGGGTCTTACTATTTCAATGACGGGATTTATCATCTCCCTGTCGCCGGTTGCACGCATTTCGTCAACAACCAAGCGTTTTCGGGTTACCGATTCCATGAAGAGGATCCGATATTTTTCAGCAACGCACTGACACTGCAAGGTCGGTGTGGGGAAGAAGCAGACAATTATGTCTTTGGGCCTTCACCTCCCGCAGCTACTACTTTCACCACATACGCCTGGGTGTATACTTGGTAAGAGGCTGAAGAAGCTTGGCTCGCGACGCATGAAGTTGGGAGAATGACTTTTTCTTACTTTGAGAATGGATGGATACGCACGCTCGTTCAGGCGGCGATCTATGAGGACTCCCCATGTATGTATCTCTTCATTCGGGATCGCTCCCCAACTTCTTGCCCCGAGGAAAATACCCGCGGTAAAATACAAGGTCCTGTTTACGTTCTTTGCAGTAATCACAAGACTAGGTAATATCAATATAAATCGATGAGTATATTGTTAATTTCTTAGGACTACGTGTAGCAGGTCACGGACCACTCAAGATTACCGTAGTGGCTTKTTGCGGAAGCTGTGTTGGAGGAACTACTCTGATTCAATTAACCTTGAACCGCCCCTGTAATTTAGTCACAAGTGGAGGCTAACTATCATCCTCTATAAAGAGAATTGGTTTTCCCGCGTGCCATCAAAGCAATGTCGCTGCCTCCTACCTCCGTATATTTTACCATCTCACCCTCACCTTTCAATTTTTGTTAGAATATCCAGAACCTGTTTTTATCACAAGGCGCATCAAGAATATTCACCACATCCTTAGGCAATTTAGATGATTGACTACAAGACTCAGGAAGTGAATTCTTTTCTCATTCTCTCCCGAGTGCGACCAGAAAATGGCTTCCCCACCACCAGCTTCACAAAGCGAACAGACTAAGAAAACGTTTCCGCCTCGAACTAGGAGAGCCTGTGATCAATGTAGATTAGCACGGGCTCGATGTAATGGCAGCGCTCCGTGGTATGCCTGGCCTCACTCATCCCGTTTGGAGTATATCTTAGATGGCGGTTTGAGTTTTCTGTTCTTTCCCTTTCGTCCCCCAATTTTCCCAACATCGAAATTCAAAGACTGACTTCGTGTCACATAGCACTCGATGCCAAGGTATGATTATGAACTTTTCATTTGAACAGTAATTACCATCAATTTCTTGAACCAATGCTAAGTTCCTGCCTATTGAATCTCGGGCGCGTCGGTCCAAAAGAATATTTTCGCTCCTGTACATACGAGCGGAAACCTAAATCTCGAGGCCGGCCCCGTGGAAAGATTTCCGGGCAAAGTCCTCATGAGCGTCCTTTTCCTGGCCCTGATTCTATAGGGACAGCGCATATCATAGCTCCTATTCCAACTCCTGCGTCTGTTAAAACACATGGCTCTCGATCGCCCACAGAGACATCTCCCGTCGAGCAAGATTCTCAGAACTCTGTCCAAAGCAGTGTCGCCTGGATAAATGATTCGTTCGTGCCATCCTCAAATTCTTCGACAAATCAAGTCAGCCAGATGATCGAAGTCACCGGCATGTGGCCCGGAAATGACACCTTAGGGCATTCCCAACTATGTGATTCCTCGTTAAATATTCCTGATTTCCCATTGCCCCAAGATTCAATGGCTCAGTATTCAATCTGTGAAGTAGATGCAATTTCTGCTTATCCCCGGTCGGCCCAGGAGGATTCAGCCAGTGAATATATCGAATTCTCAGATGTCTCAGATGGATCTTCTTGCGGGTCATGTTCGGTATATCCGTACACGATCCTGCGACCAATCTTACCGTCTATCAGCCATATCATTTCGCCATATGAGGCGTCTAAGTTGCTTGATTATTTCTTCAACGACTTTGACCTCACCAGTCTCTGGACCCGCTCTCCGTATAATTTGGCAACAATCTTCCGCAAAGAATCGATCCTACGCCTTCAGGAGCCTCGCCCAACTTCCCCTGCGCTGCTTGTCGCATTTTTGTTTGTGGCTGCCCAAACTTGCGACCAAACCGTCTTTCTTAATCGCAACATCCTTAGGGAGAATATATGTGACGAACTACTAGCAATAACTGTAACCCTTCTGGGTGATGCGGCGCCCGAAGTCAATTCTTCAAGGCTTCCCGATCTCTCGCGGAATACTCGGAGTGGTTTGTCCCTGGGTATCCCAGCTGCCCCTCACTCTGATACAGCGACTTCACTTCCACCCTCAAGCTCCGGTCACAAGCTCAACAGCGATGGTCCAAATAGCAATCTCAATGTAGACCAAATCGTTGCTTGCATGCTATGCGGGATAGTTCTTTCCGGCAGTGATCTCAAATTTGACTGCTTAATGTGGTTCGAGAAGGCTAGAGTAATGTCATTTATCCTCGAACTGAATCGAGAGGTAGACGATCATCTTTCAGCACAGGAAGGTGTATCTCAGAATCTCCGTGAGATGATCTCTCATGAAGAACGAAAGGAAGAGCGAAGAAGAACTTGGTGGCTACTTTACGCCATGGACCGACATCTAGCTTTATGCTACAATGTGCCGCTCCAGATATTGGATACCAGATGCCAAATTTATCAACCTTTGGAGGACGAAAAGTGGCGAAATCTGGAGCTCCACTTGAGTGATGCGCGATCTCCACGGCGCCCTTTTGGTCCCCCATCTACGATTAGCGGGACGAGTTTCTTTGGATTCTTTTTACCGTGCATGGTAGTTCTTGGCGATATCATCGAACTGCATCACCTTCGCCTCAACCCTCGATATTCATCTCTTGACAATGAATCATTTGAAAAGCTTATTGAGAGTGCGTTGCAACAGCTGGTATCGTCAATTACCTGTTTTTCTGCTGGTAACCAAGCTATCGATGTCACAGAAGCTTCACCGGTGCTACTGAACAAGCAAAGCGATTCCAACGTAATCCAGGCCGTCACAGCATACAGCACCTTTCTTGTGAACGTGCTGGCCATTCTGGCCTATGGGGAGTGGGACGTTATCGCCATGCTTCATCCAGATTTCTCGAAGCTGCATGGCACTCGCCTTGCCCAGCTTTCCCATTACACTAGCCTCGCCTCCCAGGCAACAGAAGACATTCTCGAGTGCGACCCTGAATTGACATTTATGCCGTACTTACTGGGGATTTACATTCTTCAGGCGGGATATGCTGTTCTTGCAGTTGCGGAGAGAACCGACGATCCTGCAGGCAGTGCGAGTTGCAAAGGTCTCGAAACTTTCATCCGGGTGCATGAGTCGTGTATTGCGACCCTCGATACGAAATATCAGGTTCGTTCAACGTCAATTGTCCTTCGTTGCTTCCTATCACTCTATCCCCTTCTTACGGGTACTACGTTCTCTGGGGGGCCTCGAAGCTGATTCAAACCAGAGGAATTTCCGCAAAGCCTTACGAGGCACACTCAATGTTCTGAAAGGGAGAAATACTGGGCCTGTAGCAGAATACCAGGCGCGACGGCAGGAAATTTTGTCGTCACATCGATGGAATCTGGATGGCAATGGCTTGCTTATATAATTACAAAGGCTGAGGTATAGCTACCTGAAAGCTCTCCTCGGTGATGGCGATGGGAATTCCCTTCCTCCGTATTTGCTGGGGCTTTCCAGGTCCAACCGCTGGAGACTTTGCGTTTGCAAGGTCTAAGGTCCATACAGAACTTGCCTTCGGCTTTCTCCCTTCGTCTTCTTCTTTGTCTCTCAGAGATTTGTTTCGTTTTAGATTGACCAGATTGGCTTKTTCTATCTTCTGCTTCCAGTGTGCCTGGCGTTCCAACGCCATCAGGTGCATGTGATTCAATTTCATTTACCTTTTGGCTGTCGTCATTAAGTATTTTCATGAAGAATTTTTCCTTAGCTGGGTCTCCCATTATCAGCTTGGGCTTGGAATCATATATACTGTTACACAAAGCGGAAGGCGACCAACATACAACGACGCTGAGCTAACGCATACAGGTTGAAGATGGAATAGTAACTGAGCCGAATCTATTTTCACAAGTAATAACATAACTAGGAATTATCTGAAATATGGATTTTTTGATTTTCTTTAGCGATCTTCTGGGATCTCAAGATTTTGATTATAGTCTGCGATCCCTTGGGGTCAAACTTGTTGTCTTTGCGAATTATACTCTGTGTTTTGAGCTGTTGGGTTCACCTGAAAAGAAAATTGATTGCGCATTCGTGACTCATTTCACGACCATCTCATTTTGAGATCAAATCCAATCGGTCAGTCAATTTTGAAGATATTGCTGCTTTAGAATATATTTCTCCGATGATTGGATAAGCAAGCCTTGGGATGCAAATTTCTGCATACCATTCATTAGTTTGCATCTACGGTAAATACAGTAGCGAATCACAAGCTCAAAAATTCCCCTAGCAATTAACCGCGGGCATTTAAAATTCGGCAAATTCCACGGTGAGTAATTCAACCTATATTCCGGAACGCTGGCAACCGTAACGTGTAACGTGAAAGAAGCACCTGGGAAAAGATTCGTATTGAATAGCCTGTATGAAAAGGCGACAATTCAGCCACATTTGCTTTGAATTAATTCTCTTCCACTCAACTAGCTTATTTGCCTGTATATCACACATACCACGTAGACCATACTGCCCAATTTGAGTGAGACATCAGCTCCACCCTTCAGTGATATTCTCCAAATAGTTGAAAATTTCAGAATAATACTGTGTTTTCTCATGACCTTAACTTCTTGGAGCACTTTAGATGTGTGTAGCACTATAAATCTGGAAAAGTCTAGCCGAACCTAATAAGAAACGAGCCTGGTTTTTTTATAACATTCTTTTCTTTTCAAGATCTAATTCCTCCTGTCTTTGTCTGCAAGTACTGCCGTTGGTATCGATAGTTCTAGTCGTCCCTATCACTCAACATGAAAGAAATCAAGGCCTGTGAACTTGTGAATATCATTCCAATTCTACTCCTGGGAGGAAACGGATTCAACGAGCAGATCAATCCAGATTCCCGGAGTCTGTTAGTTCGACTTATCATCAAAAGAGCCTTTGAGCTTAGATTTCGCTGTTTTGACACGTCTCCTTACTATCGCCCATCGGATGAGCTTATCGGAGACGCACTTTCGCAACCCAGTATCACCGAGAGGTCCGCTTGCGACGAGTATATACTGACAACATAAATTGGGAGCACCAGGGCAACAAAATTAGATTATTCGCCGGCGTGGATTGAGTATTCAATCCGGAGATCTCTGCAGAGGTTGCAAACTTCATATCTTGATGTCGTTTTCTGTCACGATGTTGAATTCGTCACCGAGGATGAAGTCGTAGGTGCTCTCAAGTCGCTTTTCAGGTTACTCACCCAAGGAATTGTCTGATATGTGGGGATCTCAGGCTATTGTCTTGAGACTCTTGTTACCATTGAGAAGGCAATGACGCGATAGACCATGATCTGGACCCCAGATACAGTTTGGAAATACCGTGTTAATCGCATCATTCTCTTGCCACTACGCGAAGAGTCGGGAAAAATCCGAGCTTAACCCGCATACAGGTTGAGAGGGAACTTAATGAAATGTACTCGCATATTATGTGATTAAATTGAATGTCAGCGTGACATCGGAACACCTGTCGAGCGTTTCTAGGATACAACACAGCAAGAATTAATAGGACTTCTCTAATTAATCTAATCTCTTAAAGCTCTAAAATGCTTTTTACTCTCAAATTATCTAGCTATTCTACCGATTCAAGAAAACTAAGCTCTTGAAATCATGCTTTCAATAAGGAAAGTTTTATGCAAATTTCTATGCCGCTCTAATAGTCTACCGGCATCAAATGCAAAAATAGCGTCAATCACAGCAGAATCACAACAGATTTTACTTCGTGTTGACTAAACCGGTTTCACTTCACAGATGTCATCTCATTTCCACAACACATCGAATGCAATCACCACTCTTCGTATGCTCAAAGGCACTATCTATAGTCGCAAGTGACTCCTTGTGTGTGATAAACTCGTCCACTTTGAGCTTACCATCTAGGTAGTTATTAACCAGACCAGGCAGCTGAGTGCGACCCTTGATACCACCAAATGCACACCCCTTCCACACACGTCCAGTCACCAACTGGAAGGCTGTGATAAGGTTAGCCTGTAGTAAGAAGCAGATTAAGAGATGAGCTTACGTCGAGTGGAGATCTCCTGACCCGCGGCCGCAACACCAATGATGATACTCTGTCCCCAACCCTTATGGCAAGCCCCAAGTGCGGCACGCATGACACCGGTATTTCCAGTACAGTCAAAGGTATAATCGAGGCCACCATTGGTGATCTTAACCAGGTGTTCTTGAATTGTCTCACCTGAGCCTGACAGCTTAGAGGAATCAATAAACTCAGTAGCACCAAAATTGTAGCCCCAGATCTTTTTCCTGTCATTAATATCAACTGCAATAATTCTACCAGCCTTGTTCTTCACAGCGCCTTGGATGACAGATAGACCAATGCAGCCTATACCAAAGACAGCCACAGTAGACCCTTCCTCAATTTGAGCAGTCTGGACAGCTGCACCATAACCCGTCGTTATCCCACAGCCTAGTAAGCAGGAGCGGTCGGTGGGAATTCTCGGAGTCACAGCGACAACCGAAATATCAGCGACAACAGTATATTGAGAGAAGGTAGAGGTACCCATATAGTGAAAGATACTCTTGCCGCGGGCCTTAAATCGTGGGGTACCATCAGGCATGGTTCCCCTACCCTGTGTATCACGGATCTTGCCACAGAGATTGGTTTTACCGGATTTGCAAAATTTGCATTCACGGCATTCGGGGGTGCTGTAATAGTCTGTGAGAAGAATATATGGCATGGATCAATATAATGCCATGCAATATTGGACGTACTAGAGAGCTATCACATTATCTCCAGGCTTGACGGAGGTCACGGCTACGCCAACTGATTCGACTATACCAGCGCCCTCATGTCCCAGGATGACGGGGAAAACACCCTCAGGATCCTTGCCAGACAAAGTATAGGCATCTGACCCAAGGTTAATAACCATATGCCTCCTTTATTGACTTCTTTTGCATAATAGCAGGAACTGGAAATGAGGCTTACCAGTATGGCAGACACCGGTGTGGTGTATCTCGATGCGCACTTCATGAGCCTTGGGCGGAGCGACCTCAACATCCTCGACTGACAAAGGTTCACCGGGAGCCCAAGCAATTGCAGCCTATGAATTGATATTTTGTCCTTTTAGCCTTTTGATATATTGAGGATGAGGTGCCGTCGGCTAACAGCATAAATTACCGCGGCCTAGACCTTGGACCATAACAAAATTAACTCCGAAAATCTTACCTTGCAATTGATGATCTAGCAAACGTCCGAGTTAGATTGATTAACACAATGGAATAGAACGAAAATCATGGATAGCTAGTTACCTTTCCTACTATGCTAGCCATACTGAGCGGTGTATGATCGATTAACGACAGGGACAGAACAGAGTCCCAGGGGTGGGATTTTTTGGGTTTGAAAGTGAATGAAACAAACAGATTTTAGCACGGCATTACGAATAAGCAGGAAGAATGTATCGTGATTTAAATGCAAAAGCAGAAGCCTCTCTTGGCGAGCAAAGTACTTGTTATACTGTGACGGACGGTGAAAAGATAGATAGGGCTAGGTCTAGGAAGGACCAGTTTCGCCACTCCGGCCCGTGGAAACTGCATACCCCGGACAAAGGGCTAGGATGACGAAGTACCGGGCTGATTTAGTTAGAAGCTGCGTATCTGGCCTAGGTTTTGCATTATTTGTAATCGAGTTTTGTGATTCTGACTATTTTCTAATCTCGAAGCACGCCGCAGTCCTGTTTCGAAACGCCGTCCCCACTATCCCCTCAATCGGCCACTCGCGAATATAAGACCATGGACGGCTTCGATGCAGTGTCTTCAAGGTCTCTGATTGGCCAATGCGATCGGAAGACGAAGATAAGTCCTTGAGCGAACGAATCATACAGGCGACGGGCCTCTACAGGCTCAAAATCTACTGTGATCATGCTACTAGTCTTCTACTATAAGCCACTCGGATTCGGAGTAGCATATTTATCTCGTAAATTTAGTCGAGAGCTTTGGACAGTAAAAGTCAAGGGAAACGGGAGCAGGGCCATACAGTGAATAGGTGAGATCTTCCGCTTAGGTTGGAAGTTACAGGAAGTATATTCAAATTTTCATTTATCTTTAATCAAACGCGGGCCTTATATTGATATGTATATACGGTGACGAAAGCTTTGGATGCGGCGTACCCACAAGTCACATATTTTCAGATGAAGCAGTGGTATATCAGTAGAATTATACAGGGAAAAAACAACCAAAATAGACAGTATGAATCTTCTGAGCGGCTGTGTGAGGCTGGAAAGTCAGCCAAAGATAAGCAGTACACCTCATGAATTCAAGGTTAGTACCCGGACTCATCTCCTCGAACGACATCGGCCAGGGGAGGACTCATGAGCGGATAACCCGACAGGGGGAAATCTCCCTCAAGGACGGTAGGCGGCATAGAGAGCCAGATTGACTGGATTCGCTTCGCAACGTCCAAGAAGTCGCGTTGCAAGTCTTGGTACTTGGGGACGAGAAGTTTGCCATCTCTCTTCTTCATCTTCCCGTCAACCATGACGTGCTTGACGTCTCCTACACTAGCATGTAGTATTACAGCGGCAACTGGGTCGTGCCACCCGAGCATTCCCGGACTCGAACCATCCCAGACGACTACATCAGCAGCGGCACCCACTGAAAGCACACCTAAGTCAGGTCTGCGAAGTGCCAGTCCTCCGTTCCTCGTGGCCAGCAAGAAAGCTTGGTCAACGGACATTGGATTCTTTGTAGGTAGCTCGTAGTTCTGAGCAAGCCATCGGTAAAAAGTCATACGCACGTACTGCAACCAAATGCGTGCCTGGGTGAGAATGTCCGTAGAGTATGTGAAGTGCGTATCGATCCCCAAGGAGGCCTGATCCTGGATCATGTGGCTGAAAGGGTGATCTTGACCGTAGAGCATCTCAGATTCGGGGGTAATCGATATGTACTGGTTTGTCTCCCTAAGCAGTCTTGCCCCCGCCGGCGATAAGAAGCCAGCGTGCGAGAATACAATTGGAACAGAACTATTGAGAAACCCCAGTGAATGAAGATCTTCAGGTGAGTTGATAACTGCACACAATATCAGAGACTATCAGAGATGACTAGAAAGCGTTACGGAAAGAAAAGGACACTTACTACCCCACAGGCCTTGAAGTGAGTGCGTTGTGACGACTGAGACATTATAATCACTAGTTCCTCCTGGTCAGAGTAAATTAGACTGAATACGTGGGACGTACACTTACTTGGCGAGCTGAATGATGCTTTCCGTCTGTTGAGCGCTCCCAGGATTGAAAGCGTCATAAGCAATACCAAGAGAGCTCACTTGGCCGCTGAACCGATCGCTATCTGCAAGTTCTCGAAACTTTGCCAGTTGCTCCTCGAAAGGAAAGTTGGACACATTATGGAAGGCAAAGCACCAAAACACACGTGCACCGCTGTCGATGGAGGCTTGGACGCCAGCATCGGTGGTGGCATTAGACCAGGTGTGGTGGGCGTGGTCCAAAGTTGTGGTGACTCCCGCATTGATAGCCTCGTACAGACCAGTCAACTGGCTAAGATAGACATCATCGGCAGTCCAAATACCGCCAGCGGCGAATTCCCCGTAACGATTGAAATACTCAGCAAGCGTGGTGTTTGAGCCGATAGTCCGGTATGCTGTCTGCCAGCCGTGGCGGTGCGTGTCGATGAAGCCTGGAGTCAGGATGTCTCCAGTGGCATCTACTATCTCTGTACCAGGTGGTAAAGGCTTATCATAAGCGCCCTCCGAGATTGCATTGATGATGCCGTCAGATATCAGCAGCGAACCACCTCGGATAATATCCAGGTCCTGCTTCATGTCATTAAACGCGATGATCGTTCCATTTCTAAAGAGCGTTGACCCATTTTGCGTAGCTGCGGCGGGACTCAGAATAGCGGCAAAGAAAGCTGAGATGCTCAACAGAAGTCCAGTGGGCCGGGCCATATTTCTGAGCTTAATTATAACGAGCAGGGTTGAATCTGTTCCGTGGTTTCAGGATATATTCTGTTTCCGAGGATAGATACAATACCACTAATCACAAGAAGAGCGCAGACACTTATATATCTAATCCCATAACTTAGCATTCTGAAAAGTGATCTACCAGCCCATGGTTCAGCTTGCCGACCAGCCGTATTGATCTCTGGTCCATTCCGTGGCCAGGGGCCTCGGAGGCTTCGCATCGTAAGCCATCGGAAGTGTCGGAGGAGGAGTTTCTAGGCTTAAGGTATGAGAAGAAGTTGTACGGATCAGCATTGTACTGACTGTTAATGGTGGGCCCGGGATTTTGTATCGACCATCACCACCAGCCAATGGATCTGTGATGATTTTAATCCCGTCCCCATAAAAGCGGGACGGTAGTATACAACAGTACCACCCGAGCGATACTTAACATCACCTGTCTGGTAGGATGGTCTATGACCAAGGATAGTCCGTGTTGCCTAACACCTGATTGCCAAGCACTTTATCTATGTCTATGTTATCAAAAATATGCAGATCGAAATATTCATTCAGTATATAGCTAGTTCAGGAGAAAAAATTGGGTATCTTCCTTGTCCCATACATGTATAATAGATCGTAGCTAAACTATTGACTTGAATAGGTGAGTAAGTAGGTAGGCTTAATGTGAGTATCAACCACAAGTTGCACATATAGTTCAACAAATGCACCAAGCCAATCTCATGTGCCTTGTCTACTTAGGTTTTTATATAGATTTTCTCGGACTATTGAACAAAGCTTTCAGTACATGCTGTTTGAGTTATCGACAGTATGAGTTAGCGGTAGACTATTCGGCGCGTGATGGTAATGACCCGAGAGGTACAAGGACTCAGGATCCTTTCACTATGCAACTAGACTGCCACTTCTGCAATGTTTCTGCAGCCTTGAGATGAATAAGCGAAACGAGACACCTTCAAGCATTGGCACAAACTCAGCGTAGACTAACGAGACCTGAAGATTAGCCACTCGAAAGGTAGCTCCGTCATTTTCCCAATGTTCTCAATTCTGCATGTCAAAAGGCAATGATCACAATGGCCTTTGAACAGCAATGGTGTCCTGGGCGGCGGGTTTCCTTGTCACTGTCGTCGAGCGGTTCATGACGTCCCCCTCGAATAATGCTCAACAATATTGCCAGAACAATCGAACCTTTACAATGCACGAAAAAAGTGTTTTACCTGGGAAGTGACTTCTGCAGACGTCGGGATCCATTCAATCCGATATTTCTGTCATCTTTGATTCCAGCAATGATCTCCCTGCTCAAGAGACCGACTCGACCATGGCAGCATAACACCGCCTTGTTTCCGGACCCAGACCCAGCGCCGGGAGTGGAGGAAGGAGCATATTCGGAAAGACGTTGATAACCAACATGAGTACAGCCTGCACACAACCATTCTGAGATTCCCATGATACGATGCGCAACGTATCACTTCAGAAACACAAATGTGTGAGTTATGGAGTCCGTGTATGATTGCCATGCACCTTTCGGATTAGATCTTGTGTGATGTTAATGGTTTACTTCTCATCTCCTTACAGAATTCAACTTACCCAAAAGGATAGAACCGAAGTTCCAAAACCTTGCTACTCTTTTCAAGGTGAGATTTAACAAATCAAACTCTAGTCCTGTAAGCGATGACACTGCATCCTCTCTCTTTGAATTTAGAGCGACCCGTAGATTTATCGCAGCAGGCCCGACCACCAGACATGCAATGAAAGGATTATGCAGGCCAATGTACCTAGGATTCCAGCTTCGAACAGCAGCAAAGACTTGTTCCGTATTAGACTGATAATCTGTTGTGCGAACTTGAAACTGGGATCCCGCAGCCAAAGGGGCGAGAAGGCGGTTGCTAGAGCTTGAGATTGGTCTAGATGCCGCTCTAGCATTGATAAATCGGCAAAAAATAAATGCCCTATGAATTAATCATTGTCAGAGGCCAGACACGACTGATTTTTGATGGTTGAGAGGCCCTACCCCTGCAGCATAATATGTGTTGAGACGACCCAATTGCTTCTTCGATACGTGAGTTCAGTAAATGAAAGAGATGGCTTTAAGTCTAATGAGGCAGGAAGCAGCATGGCAAAGCATGTCAGAGCAGCTTCTAGTTGATCGACCTCTTGGGGTAAGTGTGCCTTTGTATGCAGCAAATCATGTGCACAGAGTAGAAGGAAATTCGCCACTAAATACCAAGAGCGGGGATCCTGATTCTGTGAGTTTTCCAGAGTGCGCCAGGCGTGTGTTGGTCTGGGGTCGATGATGGCCGATTCCACTGGAATATTAGAGAACCATGCTTCATCAGATACTGACAGCATGACTTGAATGTTTTTTTTATCAATAGTTGGCCGGCGACACGCAATAGCAGCGGCAAACGCATCGAGTTCCCAGATACACCACCACGCTCGACGCCGTTCTTCTTGCATGGACCATTCTTCCGGAAGGCCCATCTGTGCCTGAACAATCTCACTATCCTCGTCGAGTTTATCGAGTTCCAATTCATACGCAAGTCGCGAGCATGTGCCGATCAAAAGCCAGCCCTGAGAATCTGGTTCGGTAGCATAGAGATAAAATGCAAGAGTTATAAGCCCCTGCAAGTACACCAACGTGGGGGCCTTCAACCGAGGAATGGAAGCTTCGTAGATTGCTTTAGCCCTCTGGGCAAACTGTTCCCCGCGATGCTGGCATGGAGTGCCGGCAAAATAGGGACCGTGAGAAAAACGGGCGGCCACTGCAAACATCGCATTCAGTAAAAGGGCCACCTCCCAGCCTAGACCATGATAGCTTGAGCTCGTTCCTACAGTGTCTGTAGCGAATTGACTCTTGAAACGAGGACGATGAAGCAAAGGTAAGAATGACTGAACCCTATCGAACCAAAGATCAACTCTACATTGAGAAGAGTCAGGAACGCACGTAGGTAAAATGGGCAGAATGAAGCCGGCTTACAGCTCATCTAGCAAAGTAGGCGGCAAGTCTCTGAAGGTATCCTGTTCAAGGATGTCACTAACGTTCTGCGGTTGCGGCGCTTGTACAATCAAATAATCAGTGAGCGGCTGCGTAAACTGTTAATGTGCTGTATGATGCGCAACACCATCATCGTGAGGCAAGTTATAATAAGCGTGAGGAGTTTCCGGAGCATCTGGTCGCTGATTGGTCTGGGAGGAAGGTAGCTGAAAATCCAGGTCAAAAAAGGGAAGACCATAAGTAAAATCCGAATCCCAGATTTCCGGACCGAGCCCTTCCAGTGGGTTCAACGAGAAGTGCAGAGGCCCGCGCGAAGCGTCTGTATCATTGGACATATTGATCAGAGGAGGCTGTGAAACGAGCTGATTGATGGCTGGAGACAACATGCCATTGTTACCGTCCACAGTTAGGTCTGTTGCATGATAGTTGGCAATCGTTGTATCTAAATCATGTGGCACAAGCCGTCAGTCGTACATGTCAAGAATATGCAAATTCTGGAGAAACAGACCATTTTGCTGGGGCGTCCGATGTTTCGGGTTGTCATCTTGACTCGTGGTATCTGATCTGCGGGAGCGGGGCTTCCGCTGCAAAGGGTATACACAGGAGGTCCCGGTCCGCTGACAGAGTGAACAGATTGGTAGCATCATATCACCTAGTGTGTGGTCAGCCCGCCTGCTTCATATTGAACAGTGGCGGTGACTCCCGGCACGCGAAAGATAAGACCACAAACACTTTGTCTTTTTCCTATATATTATTTAGTATGATTTGAGTCTCTTGCAGTAAAGACAAACGAAAAAAGGTCCTACCGGCTGCATGCGCCGCATGCCCGCTTTCCGTGGGTGCCGTGCCAGGGCAAAGCCGGAATCTGCGATACAAGATTACTCATTGTAGCTCTTCAATGCCAGCGAGCTTGTTCCTAGAGCTGATTGCACATAGAAGTGTCGAAATTTCGCTGACTGAGGTAAATATAGCGCCAAGGCGTACCCATCTTCGGAATTGGGATGGACCTCTGATTAGTAAGGTCATCCGTCAATCGCCACCCGAAGTTAGCGGCACCGATCTACAAAGCAAAAGACAATTGAAAACATTAGCACTATGCTATATGGCCAGAGCAGGATAATGGATGATCTGCTGATGCATGTCAATCTGGTAATCTCAATATATCTGCAACTCAGTGGACATCAGTTCTATGACCAGATACAAAGTGCTGGTTCGCCCACGTGATCCGCTGCCGGAAATGATTCTCGCCGTGTAGAGCTCGCCGGGTCTCAGTTAATCGACGTCAAAAGAAAGAAAATCAAATTCTTAATCTACTTTACTTAGTCGACTGATATATGGAAGGTATCCCCGGTAAAAGACAACCCCTGGCGGAATGACGACCAGAATCAATTGATGCCATCTATTCTTACTTCAATAGAGAACTCACAAAAATAGATGGGATTATTTTACGACTATCCCGAATATGATAACTATAGCGCATATATCCACTTGCCTGCTCTCATTAGATAGCGAGTTCTCACGAAACTGTTGCTCTCAATACTGCTGTTACGCTCTTAACTACTGGCATGCGCCACACGATATAAGGAACAACCAGGAAAGGATGATTTGAGGAAGATCACCGAACTCAATGCCACGTTGAGTGGACTATAAGAGTCACGTAACTGATAGAACACCTCCGGCCATACTTCGGCGTGGCATTCCTCCTTTGGCTCGGTAGCCTCGGGCCGAAGGTGGATGATCTGTGACGACGCGGAGAATTCTATGCATTTTTGATTGAGTTGCTGGACCGTCGAACTATTCACGGTCTTGGAAAGTGGAATGTCCGGAGCAGCATAGAGGGATTTAATATTGACCAGGGTTTCTACATATATCGGGAAGTTCAGTTAACGAAGAGGGGCCGTCTTAACAAAATTTAAAAGTTCCTTCGGGCCTTCGGACCTTGCCATCACAAAGTATCCGACGGCTAATAAATGACGACTTGGGAAACTCCTCTTCAAGTACGGTACCATGACGCATTAGGCGTATTGACTGCGTGAAGCGCTGTGCATTTTGAGAAGCAAGACCGTAAGCTGTCTCGTGTCCCTTAAATGCAACGTTGATATCATTAGTATACTCTTTGCAGCTTCAGCGTAATCACTCGACTTTCACCACTTCGCTGCTTCTCACTCAGCATCCATGACGATTCCTATTGTGGATTCCCATGTCCATATCTTCCCTGAATCTCACTTGCACACACTCACCTGGTATGACCCTGGACATCCTCTTGCGTCACAGCATTCTGTTGAAGAGTACCTTGGCGCAGCATTGCCGCAAAGCATCCACTCTGAGCCTACTGAGAAAACATATTTGCGCGGATTCATCTTTATAGAAACGGACCGAATTTCCTCCGTGAGTAAGGATGAACCCGGGAAAGGATGGCTCCATGCACTTGATGAAATTTCTTTTGTGGCAAGAATCATATCAGGTACCCCGATCAAAGGGGAGGGACATCGGTCTTTTGACAACGAGCTGTGCCTTGGTTTCGTCTCGTGGGCCCCTATTCCCGGGGGTTCTTCTTTGCTGGAAGATTACTTTACCCTAGTTCAGCAGCGGCTTGAGACTGAACGTGTATCAGACCGGCTTTGTGGCGTCCGATACTTGGTGCAGAATCAGCCGTTAGGTGTGATGCTCCAGCCTGACTTCATTGATGGGGTCAGGTGGTTAGGGATGCAGGGACTCGCGTTCGACTTGACTATTGATACACGAACAAGAGGTTTAGTTCAGTTGCAAGAAGCTCTTAGGATGATACAAATGGTCTACGAGAATGTTGAATTACAAAATCAGACGGTCATAATTTTAGGTAGGTCTGCTGCAACGATCAACTTCATTCTACGTGATCCAGATCCAAAACATCTAATATCTTCATAGATCACCTTTGCAAACCGAATCTACGCCTCCAATGCTCTCCTACAGAGATCGTCACTGAAAGAGACTTTCTCGGATGGAGAAACATAATTCGTACTATGGCGCGGTTTCCGAAAACTTATATGAAGCTGTCGGGTTGTTTCTCGGAGCTCTTTCCCTTGTCTTCTACCACGGCATATGATGCCAAATCCATAGTAAAGCTTCTACGTCCGTGGATCGATGTTATTTTTGATTCATTTGGGCCTGAAAGAATTATGTTTGGCTCCGATTGGCCAGTTTGTAACACAGGAGGAGGAGGAAACGAACTGGCTTGGCACCGTTGGAAACAGATAGTTGAAATGATTCTTGATGACAGAGGATGTACAGATATTGAAAGACAGGGGGTATGGGGTGGAGTGGCCGTCGAAGCTTACAGCTTAACAGAGCGTCGTCCTTGGCGTTGGGCTTTAACGGGTAGTACTTATTAATCTAACGCAAAGGACGATGGTAAAAGGATGATGGGAGAGGGTTGGTCTGGCAGCGATTGAGATAGGTTCCGCCGAGGGTGCGCTGTATCCCGGAAAGAATTCCCGGCCGGAAAACTGGACCATTGAAGTAAATATTGCACCGGCAGCTGAGCAAGTTCACAGTATATGGAGAATGATTGGGACCAGTAGAAATACAAAACCTGGCATCAGGACCTCAGGTATGGGCCAGGGGTTGCCCAGTGAGCGGATTAGGGAGCCTACATACCTAATGCTCACTGATCGGATCAGGCGCTCAGAGGCGTGCTCAAGTCTACTCGGTGAGCAAAAGCGGCGAGCTGCGCACTAAACGGAATAGAAAGCCACGACCTGGAAAGATTTCATATGATTCAGGAAAGTCACAATACAATATGGGCCTATCGTTGCGAATCCTTGATTTAGAAGTGGCCTTACTTTGGCGATTAGCTGTTGATTCGTAGACTTTTTGATTACCTGTCGAGGTGCGGTCGCGTTGCGAACACCTTGTCCGAAGGCGATCGCAACAGCGCCCTTGGCCATTGCAATGGTCTCGCGTAGTAAAACTAGCATCGATTGATAGTTCATGACTCGAGCAATATACTACGTACTAATTTTATGGTCGTTTCCGACCGAAACGGGGAGCGCAATTTGATAAAATTCGATTCGCGGCGGGAGATGTTTTTTCCCCACTCAAATTATGGATCCTTCGTAGCCTATCAACAAGAATATTTCTCGCTCCTCCAAATCATACATTATCAATTGATGCATTATCACAAATCATTGCACGTTTTTTCGAATAGACCATGTTTGATTCCATCAGACGCTTTTTCAAGTTCATACTTGGAGGACACGAGGACATATATGCCTTGGATCATGCTATCCTCAACGTGGCCGTTCCTCCCGAGCACATGTGGATGAATATGGGCTACTGGAAGGTAAGCACATAATACTTTCATTATCTGAAAGGTATCGACCCTTCGTGAATATTGCTCATTTCGTGAATTGTCTTCAGGACACCAAGTCATTTCCCGACGCGTGCAAGGCTCTTCTCGACAAAGTTCTGGTTACAGCCGGACTTCTCAATGAGGATAAGACTCCGATTACAGAGTCACTGTGCGATGCCCATCCGGAAGACGCGAAGCAGAGTGTTAACTTTAAGCTGATTGACGTTGGAATTGGGTGCGGCGATCAGTCACTGTACTTGACCAGAAGGCTTCATCGATCGACGACTACTGGTAGTGGCAACGGTAACGTAAGAGACACGACGATAAAGGACCAGACGCTGGTTCCATTGTTTGACTCATACGTTGGGATCAATATCACCTCGGCTCAAGCGAACCTCGCACGACATCGTCTCGAGACTACTGCAGAATATAAGTCTACTTCTCCCCCAGAATGGACGTCAGACGTAAAGATTTTTGCGGCAGATGCTGCTCGTCCTGCTTCCTGGGACCGAACGCTTAACGAAGCTATCTTTGGCACAATACCGCCAAAGTCCACGCTAGAAACATCTAGTGCTCCATTAAATGGGAAGGAACACGTGTGGCTGTTGGGTCTCGATACGCTTTATCACTTCCGACCATCTCGCATTCCGCTATTTGAATGTGCATACAAAGATATGAATGCCTCAATCATGGGATTTGATCTTTTATTGGGAGATTCTTTATCCCTATGGGAAAAACTCTGCTTGCGTCTGATATGCATCGTTTCAGGTATTCCTTACGGCAATCTAATGACCAAGAAGGAGTACGAGGGCATGTTGATCAGTGTTGGTTACGCACAAGATAATATTAAATTGGTGGACATTTCCGACCATACGTTCGCAGGTATTGCAGACTTCCTCCGGGTAAAAGAAGCTGAACTGAACAAGTTCGGTATGACAATGGGAAGATTGAAAACGCCGGGAAAGATCTTTGACTGGTGGGCCAAAAGTGGTGTGATCAAGGGCTATGTGGTTGTCGCACGCAGATAGATGATTAGACGTATTTCCGGAACATTGAACTTCAGCAGGTATGAGCCTACATGTATGCATATACAGCTATATGCCTCTATATATATACGTAATAAGCAATCTTAAGTGTCCTGGTGGTCCGAATATCTGGTGCGATTCACTGCAAATAGTCCAGAAGGAAAGAAAAATGCCATTTCCAATGTATCCATGCATGGTATGTCGACGCTCAAGCTAGTTGCAACTCTCATAGGCGACACAAAGCCGATTTGCAAAAGTTATATACACAGATCGAATGCAGCCTCATTGACTAGGAGTGGTGGGTGTATTTGAAAATATACCGTCTTGCGGTGCTCGTTTGGGTGTCCATAGGTGTGTCGGAACTTGGCCTTGGTCCTATGAGTGAAGCTTGATATTGACGACACAATTGACGTTGATGAAGCAAAGATGATAAATAAGAGCTTGGCTTCCGAAAAGGCAAGTATGTCAGAAGAACTTCAGACAAAGATATGCCAATCCCCAGCCAAAAGGCAAAGGGAGATGATGATGACGAAAAGGAAAAGCCGAAGATGGGAGCGAAAGGCGACAATCAAAGCAAAATGATCCGAAGCTATCAAATAGGCAGCGGGTTGATTCTTTTTTCTTGCATGTTATCTGTTCGTCGGTTTCTTGTAGTAGTGTATAAAAACCTCTGCCATAAATGGAGATTTGAAAAAGTCTTTTCGCAATATATCCATCGATATGGTAATAATTTTGTTCAACGATCAGGCATTTTCCGCCGTGCTATTCTCTGCCTGCGTCATTTTCCGAAACAAAGAAGAAGGGTCAGATCTTAACCTTTCCGGCTCATCGTATTCAAGAACACGACCATCTTCCATCACAACTACCTGGTCAAAAAATTGCGGAATGAACCTCAGGTGATGGATAATGGCGATGATTGTCCACCCTCGAAACTCGGTTCGCAACAGAGAGAGAATCCTTAATTCGGTCTCGTAGTCGACACTTTACAAGTATCAGTGAGCTCATCCAGAAAAAAAGGGGATCTTGTGAAAAGCGATGTGAGGGGTAAAAACCTGCTCATGGCCTCATCCATCAGAAATATACCTCCTCGTCTAGTAAGCATTGCGCGAGCCAGACAGAATAATTGCTTCTGTCCCTCGGATAGCATTCCATCTCCTTGCTTCAATATCGCATCCAGCCCTCCAATCTTGTTAATCTGTTCACGCAACCCAGTCTTATCAAGAATATCATAAATTTCCGCATCATCACGTATTTCCTGTAGTGGGTCTAAATTTTCACGCACAGAGTCACCACAGTTACGTGGAGCAAACCAGGGGTCTTGCGGCATTGACGTCAGTCGCTTGCAAATGGCTTGTTGGGTGTAAAGCGAAATATCCTTGGAGCCGATCAAGACGGATCCTTTGCTTGGTTCAAGAAGGCGCAGGAGAACGGACATCAGTGTGGACTTTCCAGATCCAGAGCGTCCACAGATCGCAACGTGTTTGCCAGGTGGAATTGAGATGTTGATGTCTTTTAGCACATCTTGTCCAGTATCTCTACATTATGGAAATTAGTACTCGTTTTCCCCTCCTCCCCACCTGCGTCTGCTTTCATCTCAACTATCCCTTTCGTGAAGAAATGGCAACTCACGGGTAGGAGGCTGATATGTGTTGGATATTGATACTAGGCTCTGTGGGCCAGTCTGATGGCAATTCTGCTATCAATAAGGTGGAATTTTCCTCGGGCGTCTCAGCAACATAATTCTGAATCCTTGAAATAGCAGTAAGAGACGTCTCTAACATGGTCCACTGCGATACGAATGACGAAAGCGTCTGTCCGAAGTTAACAACACTAACCATCGAAACACCCAAAAGTCCCGAATTGATGTTTCCTCGCAGGGTCGCTGTCAATGTCATCAGAACAACCGCTAGACCTGCGACTATACAGTTGAGCATGAAAGTTAGCCATCGTTGCATACATAACAGTAAGTAAAAGGGCTTTTGAGATTGATCTAGTTGATGAAAGGCATCTGAAATAAGGTAGTCAATCCACGAATGAGCACGAATTGTTGTGAAACCCTGCAGGGTTTCCATGAAGTGCTCAAGAAGTGGCGCTTTGGCCTCGAGATCAAGCGAGCGAAGCTGCTGTGATGTTCTCAGATAGACCTTTTGCAAGAAATAGAGCGTCATGAAGAGAATAGGTATCGATGTTGCCATGTACCCTGATGAGACGGAAGTTAGGATGGCACCAGCAATTGAATTACCGAAGTCTAACAAGACCGACAACTATCAGTAAGAAGGATAGAGAAATGTATCGTTGTAGCTTACTTCCTGTGGTAAGGATAAGTGCTATGGGTAGCGGCATATCAATTAGTGTCATGTCCTGACTGAACCTATGAAATAGTCAGTGACGCTTCTTGGTTTAATAGATATATAATTGACCTACAAGTTTAAGATTGTTCCAATACTTTTGTCGTATAGGAAAGTTATTGGTGCTCTGTTTAATGTTGTAACATAGGGTCAATGATGACTTTTGTAGTAAATTAAAGATAATATGGGTGATCATACCTCATGGTACCTTGCAGTGTTTTCAGGTGCAGCAAGTTGGAAGATTTCGGGATAATTGCTATCAGAAGGTATCTATTGACAGTAAGTATTTGTCCATGGCTAAAAATTCTGCAGTAACCTACGCGCCACTTAACCCTAGAAAGCATAATGAGAGAATACCAAACGCGGCGTATACTCCAATCCACTTTCCAAGGTTTGCGTTTGATTTTTTCTGACTGGCATCAGTCCACCAATTGAGCCATGGTGCTATGAATTAGTTGGTCAGTGGTGCACAAGACATTAAAATTTGGTATGATTAAAAACATTCGGGACTTACTCTGCATCGCGTTCATAACGACCTCAACTGTGACTAGACAAACAAAAACGAGGAATTTCATCCACCCCATAGAGGAGATGTAAAATGATACAGAAGAAAGTTTTTCACGAATATTCTTCTTGCCCGCGTCTGTTCTGGAAATCTCCACCGATAGATCTTTATGTTGTTCAAGACCTCTTCGCGGAGAGATGGTTTCAAGCTCTGGCCACTTCCCACTCATTTTAAGCACTAGATTCTGGATATACCCATTGCTTGAAATCAACTCATGATATGTGCCATTTTGTTGAAGAGTTCCATTTGGTCCAAGCACGATGATCCTGTCAGCTTGGGGGAGCCATTTGACTGCAAAGGTTTTCTCGTTAGCATCAGCTTAGCTTAGATAGCTTAATTGTGAGGAAGCGAGAAACATACCGAAGTGTGTCACTAAGACTACAGTTGTTTCTGACCGTCTGAAAATTCCACTTTTACCAAGTAGAGAATTGAAGCAATGGCGTTGAGTAATAGTATCCAAACTAGAGAGCACATCGTCCAGCAATATTATCCGTCGTCGCGAATAGGCAGCCCGTGCCAAAGCCTCGGGGGTAAATGTTAGTATCCCAACATCCAAATATACTATATGAAGAATGGAGCCAGTCTTACAATGCGTTGCTTCTGTCCACCACTCAAAGCAATCCCTCGGCTTCCTGCAATCGTGCTGTCCTTCTGCGGCATTTGCTGAAAGTCCACATCAAGCGCACACGCACTGGTACAGGCATTATACCATTCAGAATCATAGTCTGATGGACCGATTATATTATCACGAATGCTTTTGTTTCGCAGGAAGGGCGTCTGACCACAGAATGCAATTTCATCTGTTTCCAGACACCGATCCCTTTGCAAGTACGGAAACCTCGCCAAGTAGAAGTTTTAGCAGTGTGGACTTTCCGCTTCCGATATCTCCAATAATCATATTTAAAGTTGATGGATGTAGACTGAAAGAGACATTTCTCAAGGCAAGTTTGCCTTTAGACCAGCCAGCATCTACATTGTCAAGCCGTATTGCTGATGCGTTGGCCGATCTTGACTCTAGAATCGCCTCAGTAGTGATATTCGGCTCGTCACTTTTTTCCTCTGGAGGTGTACCGGAACTTTCTTCGCCCTGAAGTGGCAGATTTCTATAGTCGATATGCTTTTCTTTCATGAGGTATTCTTGGACTCGGTTGAAACAGTCCAATGCAGCAGCGACGTTTGGGCCAATAGCAACCAGTTCATTCACTGGATCGATGAGAATTGATAATAACGACAAGGCAGAAAATATAGTCCCCATGCCTGGGGCGTTGCTTCCAGAAGCATTAACGATGATGCCAAAGCCGATAAATGTGATAACAGGCGACAGTAGGCGAGGCGAATTTCCTGGATGAAGACAAATCATGGATGTCAGCAAACCAAAGGTGTAATATGTCAACACCGGAGGACGTCGTATAAATACCCATTGCAATATTGCTTATTTGAACTTTTCTATATCTCTTCGAAATTTCTAACTCTTTTTCTCTCAACCCTTGTACGTGTCTGGAAATCTGGGGTTCTAACCCAAGCATTTTGACTCCTTTTATGGATGCCAGTAACTCAGATATAGCCCCAGTTCTAGTCTGAATTGCCTGCATCCACAATCTTTGTCTGGGTCTGGCATACTTTGCTATCTGGCTGGATGCAGCAGCCGATGCTATATAACCGGGTGTTAATATATGTCCGAGTTGTATAAGAAAATGAATGACTCACCTAGAACAACCAAGACAGGGGCTACACAGATTGCACCAAGCCGGGCCTCTAAAAGCCATATTGCTATTCCAACTTGGATAGCATCTGGTGCAACACCTATGACCCACTCTAAACATGTAACGATTCGGTCAATGTCAACATTTATAAGACTCAAAGGTGAAGATTTATCTTCATCTCTGTCATTCATATCAAGCATACATCTATATGTTAGGGTGATGAGTGCACCTCGTATCATAGCCAGGGATCTTGCCACTAGATACTGATACCATGCAGTTGCTATCTATTGCTAACATTTAGTTTCAAGTCTACATTATCGGTAGAATGAATCCTTACAGCAATTCCAAAGTATGTGAGACCAAAGGCGCCAATAAGGCTATACCCAAAGACGTCTGGCTTATCCTCATTCTCGGCAAAGTCGATAGCAGCATTGACTAAAAGTGCTTGAAAAATATTGAAGGCAACTGAGAAAAGCTGAGGGATCATCGGAAGAGACAATGATAGCCAGAGAGCGCGTGATGTTGCAATAAATAGCGAGTAGGATTTATTTTTCTTGCCTGGCAGCCGATTCAAGGTCATTATCAAGGCCTCGAGAGCGCGCTTTTAGGCGAAAAACTTACTTGATTTCCACACAACTTGAATGCGCGACGCTACTGATTCCGAGGAGATATGGTAGTTGACTGGATAGAGATCATCGATTGATAAATGACGCCGGTATCCTCTAAGAATCAGTGGATAAAGCCAGGCAAAAAAGCTGAGACTAAAGATGCCGGCAGTCTCCTCCGTTGTATACCGTCGACCGTTATTTAAAAGAATTTCTGTTTTTGGGAGCGACTCCGTTACAAGAAGAACAAATTTCAGACCGAGTGAGATCAAGAATATCGACGAAATGGTCGTTGATGCTCTTAGAAGCCACTCCGTACGAGCCCTTGCGGCATCCAGAAATAAGGTCAAGAAGAGAAAAGAAGTCATCAAAGGAGCTGGCCGTACACTCTTCACATGTTCACTGTAGGATAGCAAGCCCAGAACCACTCCTGAAGCAAAATCCAACGAACCCGCAGCAACGAAGAGGCGCGATCGAGGCGTTTTATGATCCACTAGTCCAAGAACAAGAAAGGAGAGTTTTAATAAACAGTACGCGATTATGATTACCTAAAATGCAAATGTTAGTGAGCACTTTTGACCACACGAGCTATCAATTCATACCGAATTGATGCTATGCAGAAGCGTCCACCGGGCTATTAGCGGTTTCCGGTATAACCCAATCATTCTTATAAATGATGCTAGTAGGAACATGCAGCCAGGAAAAACAGCAAAAATAGCATCCTCAAATAATAAGGAGAAATCAAACCGCTGGCAGGTATTGTTATAAACCGTAGCCGCAAAGTAGTCATCACGACAAGCATCAGCCATAGCGACTATTGGGTGTCTTTAGATCGATTGAGGCAGCTTTCAAACAGTTGGAAGTGGTTCTCTTGAGGCACAAAAAGCTTTGTAAGGGTTGCAACAAGCGAAAACATTTCGGTCACCTGATAATTGGACATGAGTTTGCCCTCTTAATGAGGAAGAGAGTTGGAGGAGATTTCAAAAATCGAAAGAGGGAGATTTATTGACACTCATAATTCTAATTCCCGTAAGATAATCCCCAACTAAACCTAAGAGTAGTCCTTGTTAGATATTGTGTGGCAATTGTCAATGTACGTGTGGATATCTTACTTAAGAAATTGCACCATCTCAACCATGCATACAACCATTTTCGCTAAGTATATGTTGCTACCAGAGGCACGTTTGTGACAGGGGTTTTTGTGCCGGCTCATATGTTATCCCTAGTTTTTGTTAGTATCCGACCCTTGTTGCAGACAAAGAAATATAAGCCTCATTCGCCACTATTTAATGTTCTGAGGTCAACTCTACGACGAAATCAGCATACCAAAGTAGACAAGATTCCATCCAATCCTAGAGACTCCGGACTGTATCAGCAGCGGGTGAGGATATAGGGCTAAAGCATTGAACAAATCGTATACCTGCTCCAGGGCCTTCTCTATTAAGTACCTAAGGTATATGGATAGGTCTGTACATAATTCTAAGAGAATGAATTTATTAATAGGGTCTCATGGCTTGCATTCTGATGACCAATTAAGCGTCACGGCTTAACCCCTCTCAAGATTGATTAACGAACGAACACCTGCGGCACAGCTGACCCCTCTCGAGATCGACGCACGACCGAAGCAGTATGCGACACTGTACCCGCTTCCCTCGCTCTCAGAACGAGTCAGTATTTACCGACACAGGTAAGCCTATCAAAACCAGTGAAGCAACATGATTGGCCAGGTGAAGGGAGAAATCATCGAGGCCCCTCAGAGTCAGGGATTGACTTAGTCCGCCGGTTCCGAAGCCAGGAGCAGCCAGCACTGCGGCGTCCCCGATATTGGATGGCACCAAATTCAGCCCCTCCCAATATTGTCTATATCGTTATCGAACACGCAGCCCGCTCTTTTCCCAATCAAGATTTTTGCTTGGCTTTTACCGACAACGCAAATAAGATTATGGAACCGATTCTGCGACCCAAGGGTGTCCAATGGAAACATAATATCTACGTGCATCACGCCAACAAGTGGCGGGKGAATGGCATGGTTCGATGGKGCAGCAAAAAGAAATCTGGCAATAATCGGTGGATTGAGATGAGACAATTAAATTCGGCGAACATGGAGAGTGAAAATAGAGAGGGATGACTGGGTGAAGCAAAAACCATCCTATATAACAAGTCTTCAGGAATAGTCAATTTTGCAATGCGGATTTTGTTGCATATGTCCCCTGGGAGTGATTTTGAGTAGAAACCCCCCAACAAACCTAGATAGAGGAAAGTGGTCATGCAGAACTACTTACTTCACAAAGGAAACTATTACAAATTCCTTTCTAACTTGTACTCCATGTTGCAGTGATCCGGTAAAAGTGTACATAAAATGGTCGCGACATTAGAACAGCAATATACAAGCCGAATTTTCAACAAGCATTCTTCGATTCCAATTATTAAAAATTACAAAAATCAAAAAAGATATCGGCCCAGACGGTGTTCTTTGGTGCAAACATGTGTTGGAAATAAGTGACGGTAAGAAGTCGGATAATATCTATGTCAAGAGAGCACACTGGCTGTCACCATTCGTGTTCAGATTTCTGTAATTCAGTTCATTTCTCTGACTTATTACTATATAATTGTTTGGAAATCATCTCAAAATACGGGCAAATTAAATTTACACCTCATCAGGCCATTATACTGGAACTGGACGCTGATTTGGATTGACCCGTGATAACGGGTGTCTGTAAGTCCGGTTGCTACTTTGAGCCCGCCTAATAAAGCTGTTCGAGTAAAATCCGAGTTCGTCTTCCGGCCCGTCAATATTATAGGACAACGTTTTGCTATATCCGGCAGATCTTGCATATACGTCAACGCAGCTCGGGATTGCCGTCCGTCCGTGGCTGGCTGGCTGTGTTCCTAATGATAATATCCAATGTATATTTATTATATACTGCTTCTATGTCTATCCGGTTTGTGGAGGAGCCACTCGGTTGTTAGTACAGCTGAAAGTTTCGATACAAACACGCTATGGCGGCGGATTTTCAGAAGTCGCCCTTGTGCATGGTAGCAGCCTGGTAGGCTGGCTGAGAACGGGGTCCACTCGAACTATTTCTTCACAAGTAGGTACTTTTCATTCAGTCTAGCCGAACGCGCCCAACCTTAGATGTATGCATGAGAAGCAGCTTCATTCTTCACTTGTTGTGGATCCAATCAAGCCATTCGTTCATTAAAGTGAGAAAATGAAAATCACACATAAAACCAGGGTAGGTATAGAGTCCCCAAATTGGAAACTTTTATGCCATCAATCAAGAAATATTTCTATCACCGGTGCACATAGGGTTCGGAATCCTACAATATTGATTTAGAAGTAGTTTTATTCGCAAGATGGGTTCAATTGGCGATTCAATGAGGATGATTTGCCCAGATACGAGTCTACTTCCAGACTTCCACAAAGCTCAACCCCGCAGAATCCAGCAATTCTTTCAAAGCAATTACTTTCGGGCCACGGGATATGAAAATGGTAAGGAAGTCACACTACGTGCGACGAAGTGCTCTGGCTATTCATTAGCTCGTACCTTGCTCCAGGATCAGAGCGCGGAGGGGTGGCAGAAGGTTCTTGACCTTGGACTCGATAAGCTTGAGGCAGTCTTCCACGAGGTCCAAGGCTTCGCACAAGACAACAACAACGGTCGGGTAGCTGATATTTGCCTTTCAAGTGAATTGGTAGCATGGCGTGATGAGCAACACAAAGCTGGGAGAATATTGCCGGCAAAGGGATACGGGATTACGCGAGTCTCCGACGCAATCGTTGAGTTGCTCGGCGTGGGAGACTGGCCACCACCATTGTTGACAAATGCAGCGTTATTCGGTAGTGGGTTTTTGAACTTTCTACTTGGCGCATATGATTCGCAGGTCTTGTACTCAAATTATTGTTCCGATATGGGATTCTTCTACGAGCATGGATACGACAAAGTCTTTCCGGACTACCAAGCATTACTTGAGCAGGCAGGAGCAGACCCTCATGCCCTTTCTACCGCTGGAGGTAGGGAGCGCCGAGCGGCAGCAGAATTGGGGCTGCGATACATCCGGAGGAAAATCGTACTAGAAGAGACACATATAGCACACCTCTCCAACAAAACAGCGGCACTGAACCGAGAAGATGTTTTGGCATTAAATTTCTGCGAGTCTAGCTTGTGGGGCATGGCTGCGGAAATGATGGCGCATGGTTCTGACTGCGGTGGCATTGTCAATGATTTTGCATTTAGTTGTCCAGCAACTGATGTCGTCGATGTTGGCTCTGATATACCCAACTCCGAGCTCTTTAACAGCTTTCTCAATACCGCTGATATTACAGGAACTGGAGTTGTCACAGAGGAAGCACTTAGGCGCATTTACGACGCACAAGCACACTGTGGAGCCAGAATTTTCACAGAACGTTGGTCCGAGCCAGGAGCGCGGATGTGCTCATTTCTATATGTTTGGCACATTGTTAATGACCGACACAACTTCCTTCGACGCGCTGTGCTGGGTTATTGCAAAGTGCGAACTTTTCGACCAACCCAACAAATTGCTGATTTTGAAGAAGCTTTTGATGAGGATATGCACACTACTGGGTTCAGTCATCCTTTGATTGGTTCCTGCAACGGCGATGCGACCTGTGATCATGTTGAAAATCATTTTGCCCAATCTCATGGTGATCCATTATTGAAGGATCTCTGGTACTACATGGCTGATGGACCGCTGGAATACGCTTCCAAAGGAATAGTAGACCAGATGAGAGAAGCAAACTTGATTGAAGGACTGAGAATAGCAGTGGCGAGAGCATATTCATACGCCCTGATTGACGAGCTGGCATGGTTTGCTGCACATGCAAGTCACCATGCATGGCAGGTCAATTATCTTTTTGAAGCTGCTATGTTCGGTAGCATCCTCGATGATGGAGGGCTAAAGGGCAAATTAGACAGAGTTGAATAGTCATTGCTGCATGCTTCTTCAGCAACTACATCTTCCTAGGTTGGTAGTGAGTTGGATGGAAAATAGTTCTTTGGGAAGCATTGTCACCCATCAATTCAAACACGAAGATGACTATTATTCCATAAATCAAAATTGATAAATACGAGTTTTAGAATGTATTGACAGAACTTAACCTCTATGCATTCCGAAAATTTATTTTGTTACTCGACCAAGCTGATAGAAACAAAGAACAGCCATCTGCACCAAGCTGTACCCGGCAATTCTCTACGCGCACCAAATCTATTATCCGGCAGACCATCGATGGGTGGAATGAGTTGCAAAAGACTGGCTCGAGAACCCACAGCCATAGTGGTCTCGTAGAAGATTCAGATCTACATGACGAGTAGTTATAGAATTTAGAGGATGTTGAAAGGTTTCTAGCATTTGCAAATGTGATGAAATTATGACTTCAGCGAATTGAACCGTTGGCAATAAAGTAATCCAGTATTAACATTTCATTATCTATTAGTATGTGCCAATTATGTCACTCGTTATCCGTAACAGCGAACAAGTGCAGACGATGAAGAGAACAGAGAAATGCAAAAACTGTTCTCAAGAAGTCGTAGATTCTTCTTTTTCCGAGACGGGTTTCTCAGCGACCTCTTCACCAGTTCGTTGATTACCGGTCGTTGGCGCCTCTGTAATCTCATCATGTTCAGGAATCGGTTCCACTAACCTATTTGGCGAATGTTGTGGCCTTTGCGGGAGGGAAGGTGGCACCTGCAAGGTCTGAGATGACAGGCCACCAGACATGGCCGGTTGACTTTGATGAGAAGTAGATGCCGCTGCGGCAGCAGCTTCAACATCATCATCGCCATCGCCATTCGATGTCCGTGGTGTCGGTTGACGACTAGTTCCACCTGCTTCGGTGGGAGGAGGTGACACTTGAAGTAACGGTTGTGTGGGCCTGGCATTAAAGGGTCTTGCCACTCGCGGGGGAGCAGGACCAAGCATGGAAGGGTAGCCCCAGGTGAATCCATACTTTAGCCAGAGTCTCTTTCTCTTCCAGAATCCCATGTCCTCCCATTTTTGTCGTAATTCTCGAGCGTCTTCTTCATTCCGTGCTTGAAATCCCCTCCGACTGAATCCTAGACAAATAAGAACAGTTACTGGGAATATCCAGAACCACCATGTGATTGGTAGGCCACGGCGAGCTTGCCATCCTTTCATTAACCGTTGGAAATAGAAGTAGCTCTCAAACAGACCACCCACGAAAATGACAAATGACCACCCAAGAACAGTGATCAGGATGATTGCCAATGGGGATATACCATAATAGCTAGGATCGTTGATCCAGCTATAGGAATCATCGTCTGAACTACAGTAGTAATAGCCACAAGAGTAGATACCGGAAGATGATGAGGATGAGGATGAGGAGGATGACGAGGATGACGAGGATGACGATCCTCCGGAAGTATCTTCATTTGACGACGGGTTGTAGCATGATGGATAAGGTTCGTAATTGTAGCGAAGCATAGACAAGCTGGAAGCAGGCACTTGGGTCGGATCTATGTAGGCATACACTTCGGTGATGGTGGTGGGCTGGAATGGACTACGGTTGTTCACCGAATAGCTGGTAGAAACACTCGTTGGTACGAGTGCATTTTCGATTTCATAAGGTGGTTCAATTGACACGGCTGTGGTATAGGTCCACGTTGTGCTGCAGGAGGTCGGGGCTGTGTAGGCGAGGTTCACAACGTAGTTCGTGTAGGCGTAGTTATAATCTTCCGTGGTTGCTGTTGCGTACGCTCCACCGGTTGAAGTTGGGGTAGGATTGTATGGATACAAGACCTCGACAATGGTATATGTTTCCGAATAGTAGTCAGTCGCCGTGATAGTGGATGTCGATAGGGCAGATCCGGATGGAGAGGTAACGGTGATAATGTCGGAGTAGGTTTCCGCGGGTTCAGTGTAGCCGTATGCGATATTAGTATAGCCGGGTACGACGCTGACAACTTCTTCATAATTTGCAGTAACAATCCACGGACTCGCTGCCGACAGGATTGGAAAAAGACATGTAATAGCGAGAGACAAGCACCATTGGCGCTGAAGCGAGGGTAAGGTGCCGGCCGTCATGATGGAAAAACGATTTGAATATGAACGAGTGAACTTTAAGCGAGTGGAGCACTGTGTAAACTATCACCAGTAACAACAGCGCATGTTGGAAACGAACGAACGAACAGCCAGAAATAATGGCACAACGAGTATGTAGCTTTCAGGAGGAAAAGAAAATACCTGGTGGAAAGTAGGTTAAATAAGACTCGCAAGAGGCTCTGCGCATGGCGGAAAACCCTTCGCGCCGACGCCCCTATCCTAAATATGCTTCATAATAAGCACTGTGTTGGTCTCGGTTCTGATTGGCGTAATCGGAGGTAACCGAAGGCATCTGGGCCTTTGAGGCTGTTGAGGCTGAATTCAGGCATCATGAGTGGACAAGATGAATCTTGGGCATTGTTAGTTTGTGACTAACTCTAACGCTAAGCAGCTTAGACCGCGGCCAAAACTCGTACAGCGTTGGCTCTATACCGAAGTTGGTCTAAGTCGTGATACCTCACAAGCACATTGCCACAGTCACGAGAAAGAAAAATTGCTTCACGAAGTGCTTGGCGGCGCTTGGCTACTTGGCATCACGATGAAGTACTGAGTTGCGCGGTGCAGAGAACAGTAGTCGTCGTAGACATAGTGTGTTGTGGGGAGTCGAAGTTCGTGATGGTATAGTGACCAGGAAGAAGACAGATCACGAGTCATGTGTCAAATGGCACAAGACCACATCGAAGAACGTACTATGTACTACGTGGTTCGTCGGAATTGCAATTACGAAGCATCACCACGAGTGCGTACTAGTATTACCTATTACGTACAGTACCAACAGCATCGCTCCCACGTTGTAGCGGGGTCCTCATTCCTCCGGCCAAACAGTGATGACATGTCGATCACGTGGCTGATTCCGCTTTATCTCAAGCCAATCAGATCGGATAGACTGGTTTAATTTCCCGGGATACCTGCTCGCTTAGGAATAGCGTGTCTGCGCTCTGTAATGTCACAGTAATACCATACACTATCGATACGGATTTCTCGCTTGTTATTGGCTATCAACATACACGCTAACTTTTCCTGGCTAGAGCCACTCTGCACCGCGCCTGCCATCGTCGCGCGTGCTATCTTCCTGCCTCTTTGGACGTCTTTGCGATTATCTTTCCCGAGCTAAGCTCCGATTGAATCCTCCCTCACGAAACCAAAAGAACCAAGCGACCAAAATGCGATCAGCAGTGGCTCAAAACCCGTCCGTGTCCCCTTTTCCTCTTCTTCTTCCTCTTCCTCTTCGTCTTTCTCCGTTCTTCTCTGCTTCCTGATCGTCTGCTGTCGCATGCCGCTGTCTGTACCGTCTCAATTCAGCGATTACCGGTAGTCCATCTCCACAGAGACATCGCGACACTGTTGTCTGTCTCGCCATGGAGGATCCAATTGCTTCAACTACCCAGGCTCCACCATACGTGGCTGACGACAAGGTCACCAAGGAGGCCGAGCTCGCTGATGAGCGCTCCGTTCAGCATGGCGAAAATGACCTTCTCCAAGCCCAGATTGTCGACCAGGTACTGGCCGCCAAAATGACCCTGATCAACGACGTGAGTATGGTTCAATGCTATAATGAGCTGTCGAAGACAAACGGACTAACAGTCTAGGCCATCGACGAGATTGGTCTCACTCCTCATCAATGGAAGCTGTTTTGCCTTAATGGATTCGGGTAGGCGTATTCGCTACTCTCTATTCACATTGTGCCGGTGCGGCTAACTCAAGCTTCTAGCTACGCCGTCGATTCATTGATCCTGCTCATCCAGTCAATCATCTCCTCCCAAGCTATCCTCGAATTTCAGCCGTCGTTCTCTACAGGTCTGACGATTGCTGTATATGTCGGCATGCTCGTCGGTGCCCTGTTCTGGGGTTTGTCCGCTGACGTGATCGGTCGTCGATTCGCTTTCAACGTCTCTCTCTTTATCTCGTCTATTTTTACTATCGTTGCAGGCGCGTCGCCCAACTGGATCGTGCTCGGGCTATTCATCTGCCTAAGCGCTTTCGGTGCCGGAGGAAATCTAGTTTTAGATACTGCAGTTTTTCTGGAGTACCTTCCCAGTCAGAATCAATGGTTGATCACGTTGATGGCTTGTTGGTGGGGTGCGTTTTTCACATTTCTAATCCATTTCAAAGTGCTAACATGTGTGATGTGTGTTTAAAGGTCTCGGTCAACTTATTGCCGGCTTGTTCGCTTGGGCCTTCCTGCCAAATTACTCCTGCTCAGACGCCGCTACGTGTACATATGACAACAACAAGGGTTGGCGCTACGTCTGGTACACCTCTGGTGCCTTTGTTTTTGTTCTATCCGTGCTTCGCGTTACCGTCGTTCGTTTGCAAGAGACTCCCAAATTCCTTGTCACAACCGGTCGCGATGCACAGGCTGTACGAGTGTTACAGGACATTGCCCACAAGTACAATCGGCCATGTGGTCTTACTGTCGAAATGTTAGAGCGAGCTGGCCCTGTACGACAACCCAGCCAAGGCAACAGGAAGCTCCGCTTTTCCTTCACCGAACTAGGCTATCATTTTCAGGGCCTTTTCGTCACTCGCAAAATGTCTTTATCCACTACACTAGTCTGGTTCTCGTGGCTGCTCATCGGATTGGCATACCCCCTCTACAATGTATTCCTTCCAACCTACCTGAAAACGCGTGGTGCCGAATTTGGCGCCAGCAGTCAATATATCACCTGGAGGAACTATGCCCTTGTCAACTTTTCCGGCATCTGGGGACCAGTACTCGCAGGATTTATGTGTCGCTCTCGTTGGTTCTGGGGTCGTCGAGGTACCATGATCATCGGCGCTCTTATCACCATGGTTTTTTTCTTTGCCTATACTCAGGTTCGCACCGAAAGTCAGAACATTGGCTTTTCGTGCACTGTCAACTTTTGCTTGAACATATACTACGGCACTCTGTACGCCTATACACCCGAAATCTTCCCGTCAGCCCATCGAGGTACGGGAAATGGAGTCGCCATTGGATTGAATCGAATCATGGGCATCGTGAGCGCTATAGTGGGCAAGTATGCTAATGTGAGTACTCTCCTTTCGACTATCTGTTATCCCGACACTTGATCCTCGATACTCTCCTTTATTTTTGAAACACTCAATTCACGAGGCTCTTATTAACTTTTGTGCAGACAAATACCCCAGTTCCCATATATATTTGCGCAGCCCTATACGCGATTATGGCCATTGTCTCTGCCCTACTCCCTTTCGAGCCGTATGGTCGACGAAGCGCATAGTTCTCGCACGACCCTCCATTATACACGCGCCAGCGATACCCTGTATCATTATATGCCTGAATATTGCGCATGTAAGAATGTTTGACGATTTTACGATGATGATCGGTTGAATATAGTCCATGATGGCCACCCCATCTGACTATTCCTATGTATGAATACCCTGGGATAGAACTGCGACTGCGCAATGTCAAGATGTTATGCATTTTAACGGGTCAATCAGTTATAACTTAAACGGAAGTAGATGCTATGTACAATAAATCGGAAATTTTAGGTTGGGAACCGGATACCTGTCGATTCGAGTCAAGTCCTCTGAAAGCATAAGTTCACGAATGCAGTTTAATTTCGAGAAAAATACAAGTAGCAATTAAAAAATATCTAATGGTCAATTAAAAATTTGAGGAGCATTGGAGAGCCATCTATCATATGAAAGAAATGACATCCTACGACTACGGCGCCGCCATCACACAAACTCGAGAGCTGTGGCGCGAAAAGTATGGCGAACTAAAGCTTCAAGCCAACTTTCTAAAGGCATCTCCTGCATATCTGACGGCAACAGCTGGTCTTAGTGTCAACGGATCTTATGGCGTTCCGAAGACCATTTCGGTAACTCCTGTATCCAGTGGTGACATGAACACAAACTTCTATGTTGTTCGGCATGGAAATTTCATCTCCATAGAGAGCACAAATTATACGTTGAATGTCCCGACAAGCATCGGAAATGTCACGATTCCACAACTTGGCGGTTCATTGACATTGAATGGAAGAGACTCTAAGATCCATGTTACGGATTACGACATTGCGGGCATCAATATGATATACTCTTCCGCAGAAGTATTTACCTGGGCAAAAGGAGTTGGCTCTTCCCGAGTTCTCATTCTGTATGGTGGTGAAGGGGAGACTCATGAGGTTGCTTTTCCGTTAAATACGGGCAGACCTCGGCTTATCGCAGGCTCTGGTGTTTCCATCGTGCAAAATAGATCATCGTGGGTTTTGAAATGGCAGGTTAGTACGTCACGAAAGATTGTAAAATTCGATGATCTGTGTTTGTATCTTGTTTGACGAAATGGGGCGTGTAAGTACTGGGTCCTCGACTTACCAGCTGCGGATCCGACTGGCAATTTTACCTCTTCGTCCAAAGAAAGGGTAATTGTGAGTGCAGGTTACCTTCTCAGAAAAGTACAAATTTTCGACGATACCCTAGCGCTCACTGGTGATGTAAATGTTACTACGATTCTTGAAGTGCTTTCAGCTCCTGCATCTATCAACTCACTAAGTTTCAACGGTTCTCCATTGTCCACCTCAAAGACACAGCTAGGGAATCTGGCAGCAATGGTTCAGAACCACCCTCCGGATATCGAGACACCTAATTTGTCTCAATTGCAGTGGAAGTTTGTGGATTCTCTACCAGAAATCCAACTGTCCTTCAACGACGCTTCATACAGAGCTCTAGCGCATACATCAAGCAATAATCCACGAAATCTCTCCACTCCCAAATCTCTATACGCAATGGATTATGGGTACCATGCTGGTTCATTCATCTACCGCGGTCACTTCACTGCTAACAGCCTTGAAACGACCGCGTGGTTCAATGTCTCTGGAGGGGTAGGCTTCGGTCATTCCATCTGGCTGAACCAAACATTTCTTGGATCATGGACCGGATCCGTAGGAGTTCAGACTTATGTTCATAACCTCACCTTCCCGGAAAAGCTCAAAATAGAGGAGCCATATGCCTTAACCGTGCTGATCGACCACATGGGATATGATGAAGAAGCAGCCGGAACAGATGCTATCAAGTTTCCACGTGGTATTCTCAATTACTTCATCTCCGGACACAAAAAAGCCGATATCGAATGGCGAATGACAGGGAATTTGGGTGGAGAGCAGTATGTAGATCTCACACGTGGCCCACTGAACGAGGGTTCAATGTACGCTGAGAGACAAGGGTACCACCTTCCCAATCCGCCGGATACAGAATGGAAGTTGGTGAGTCCTGTGTACAATGGAATTAGAAAGGCGGGAGTGGGGGTTTTTACGACCAGCTTTGACTTGAATATCCCTACTGGCTGGGACGTGCCAATGTTTATCGTCTTTAATACAACCAGCACTAGCACACTCCGTGACTTGACTGGCACCGATCAATGGGGAAGCAATTATCGATGTCAGCTCTTTGTGAATGGGTATCAATTTGGAAAATACGGTAGGTCTTCAATCCGTTTCCATGAAAGTCACAGCTTACACGATTTATTTAATGAATAATCTTGACCCACAAACGACGTTCCCTATCCCCGAAGGGATCCTCAATTACAACGGCATCAACTACATTGCATTGACACTTTGGGCTCTGGATGAAAATGGTGCAAGAATTGATAGACTGGAGCTTGTAGCTTCAAGACCAATATTTTCGGGATATCGACGACCAGATTCTGCACCGCAGCCTGCATGGGAAGAAAGACTGGGAGCGTACTAGGTCATTGGATATTGCTCTAAGGATAGTACAGCATCGGGGAAAATACTTTTGTGTTTGTCTACCCTTGGAGATTGTTCGCTCTCTCCAAAATGTTGTATTCTCCAGCTGCATGTTTATTAGCAGCGAAGGTGAAGTTGATATAGTAGGATCATTTGCAATCTACATTCGTGACTTTCCTGGAATTCATTAGCGTAGATAACTCAACCTCAACTAGACGGAGGGATGGTCGTAATGAAAATTGGTGCTGGACTACAGATCGCACCCACCATCTCCCGCAATAGACGATATGACTTCATAGAGTACGGTTGATGTACAATAGACGAGCTCGGAAGAAAATCAAGCTGATCAGAGAAGAATTGTGGTAATGCTCTTATGCATTGACAGTCTCGTCTGATATTCGTCTAACCCGAAATGAGCAAAGTGGGATGGATCTCCGGGCCGTGCTTTTGATCGAGAAGCTTATTGCGATGACGCGACTAACTCTTGGTAAGCACAACTGTTGGTTCGCTGCTTGGTCTGAGATATTGTGTCTCTCATTAGACGCGTAAATGCGATAAGCTGGTTGACATAGCAGCAACCTCTGCAACGTCATGACACGATCAATAGGCTTCGCCCTGCCACCAAGGTTCGTGCAGCGCCGGCTAGGACCTCAAGCGACAGACTTTGTAAGAGCATTCTCCGCCATTGCGTCGCTCCACTCAAAAAAGCAAAACAGTATACTTGCATCGTACTATCGAGGCGGCACATCCCGAGCCTTAATTTTCCATAAAGAAAACCTGCCGCCTGACACAAAGGACTGGCGACCGGTTTTTCTAGGCACCATTGGCGCACCTGACCCTAATGGCAGGCAACTCGACGGAATGGGCGGCGGGATCTCGAGTTTATCTAAAATATGTGTTGTTGCTCCGACAGATCGAAGAGACGCAGACATTGAATTCACCTTCGTGCAGGTTGGTGTCAAGGATGATCGAATCGACTACTCCGGTAATTGTGGGAATATGTCAAGTGCCATTGGACCTTTTGCTATCGACACGGGCTTGGTGCGACATTCTATTGTGTCGGGTGGTAATGCAACAGTCTCTTTGTACAATACCAACACGCAGAAGATCATTCAGGCCACATTTCCAGTCACCAGTGACGCATCCGAAACTGTCTATGAGGGCGACTTTGCGATTGATGGTGTGTCCGGAACTGCTGCAAAGATTCAGCTTGACTTTATTGACCCGGGCGGGTCGAAGACAGGGAAACTGCTTCCAACGGGTAACACTATTGATCTCATTGATGGAGTTGAGGTTACATGCATTGATGCTGGGAATCCGTGTATCTTTGTGTTGGCTGACGACCTCAACGTGGACGGTACAATGCTACCGTACGAGACCGATGAGCGAGCAGATCTGCTCGACAGATTAGAGTCACTGCGAGTCAAGGGCGCAGTCGCTATGGGCATGGCGAATACTACCGATGCTGTGCCTCCGTCAATTCCCAAAATCTGTTTTGTATCCAAACCTGCCTCGCATAAGATCCTTTCAGGGAAAACCGTGTCTGCAAATGAGCTTGATGTTGTTGTGCGAGCTATATCGACTGGTCAGCCTCATAGGGCCTTGCCGATCACCGCTGGGTTATGTGTATCTGCTGCTGCAAGGCTTGAAGGATCGGTTGTGCATGCGTGTCTGTCAGCTGAATCTCGCGTAAAGTCAGAAATAATTGTTGGCCATCCGAGTGGGAAGTTAGTAGTGGGAGCACAGTATGACGGCGAAGGAAAACTGCGAAAGTCTACAGTCTACCGGACAGCGCGGAGGCTAATGGAAGGGAGAGTATTTTGGAAGTGATACTCATGGCACGGCAAGAACTTGTTCATGACATTTGTTCCCGACGGGAGCCTTTGTTATATACATGCCCATGGTGATATCCAACCCGATAAACACCTGACAGGATAATATGGCACGGGCCCGACATTTCCCGGATATCCCTCCTGTATGCACCTTGAACACCATTTCCTTGAGAAGAGACCACAACCAGATCAAAAACTGGACAAGTTCTGCCAGGCAAACCCTCCTCCCCCCTCCAAGCGCCTCGATATACGAAACAGTTGATGGGGTACAGGCTATGCAGATACAAGACGGAGACCCAAATTTCGACAAGAAACCAGACACCAAATTAAACAGAACAGATGCGAGGACTAAGCAACGGCGACAAATGGGCGTAGCAAACAAGCAAGAGAGGATTATTTTTCGAAAGTTTTCCTTCTTTTCAGACTTTTTTTGCCGTTTCCTTTTGTGTAGTGCGCAAAAGACAGGAAGACATCACAGCGAAAGCAAGAGCAGAACACGGAGACCTGAACATGACGCGCAATGAAGATAAGACAGAAATACAACACAGGAATACAGAAACGAGAGCAACAAGATGAACGCACGACAAGAACGCTGGATCGGAAAATCTTCCCCACAAATTTTCTGTTTTCACCTTTTTTTGGTGTTCTTTGTTTCATGATGTGCAAAAGGCACGCAGCCCAGCAAGAACAAAAATAGATGGCCGGAATCAAGACAGGAATGCAGAACGAGAACATGCGAGACAAACGACGACGACCCAACAGCAATAATGCACGACGAGAACGCAAAAATGAAAGTCATTTTTTTCCGGAATTTTTTTATGTTTTCCTCTTTTTTTGTGTTTCTTTTTTTTTCTCGGTTTTGTGATGTGCAAATGGCACGAAGACAGAATAGCAATGCCAAACTCGAAGGCCGAAATCAAAACAGAAATGCAGAACAAAAACGGAGGACAGGAACACGCGAGAATAACGAGAACAATGCAAATTGCTGAAGATCAAAGAACGCGAGACCAAGCCAGATTTTTCTGAGGTTTTTTCTTTTCATGTTTTTTTTTGTGTTTCCTTGTTTGAGGACGAAAACAGGAGGACTTATCGAAAACGACAAATGAGAGATTCTAATCTGAGCAAGAGAACGGCCGAAGCGATGTCCTGTTCATACAATTAGCATACACCTTTGATAATTCATTCCGGGTATGTATACTAGCCTCTGAACGATGAAAAGCGAGCCAACAAATCCGTGCCGAGCTAATGTCCGAGTGACCGAACAAATGCGAATTGACTGCGCAGCGAACTCCTGTACCAAGGTGCCAAAGGAAGATCAAAAGAGATTTGACATGACTGGGTGATACATGGCGAAAAGGTACATGAAGGGAAAGGACACGATGTACAAAGATACATCACCCGCAACAGTACATGGGAAATACATGATGGGCAAAGAGCGGAAGAAGTAAATGATGGAAAATTTAGAGAATGTCGTACCCCTCGTCACGAGCCCTCTGGCGGTACTCGCTCCAAAGACGTAAGAGGTTTTCTCCTTCACTGCCAAGGTCTTGCTTCTTCCGCCTACAACGTCGGGCAAAGCGAGCAATTGCTTGCCAAAGGCAACCTTCATGTGGACATTCAGGATCATCGGGGTGGTGATAGTAGACAGAGCTGTGATCGTGTCCCCACATGGTCATATATTTCTCTGTTTCACCATCTTCGTCAGGGGTCTCGAGGGGAGTGACGCGCCAGCCTTGCAGTCTTCCCATTGCCGAAAGCCCACCGTCTCGGAAGACGTTTCGCTTTCGGTCAATCCAGAAGTCCACTTCACGAATCTCAGTCGAGCCGAACCGAACACCCTTCTTCGGTCTGACCTTGTCTGAGTCGGGTCGAACAAGGATGCTTCGAAGCGGGTTGGCACTTCGGCTGACGATAGATTTGCGAGCTTCGGCAAGTCTGGCATACAAATTAACACGGGCTACACGTTCAGGGTTTCGGAAAAAGGTGCGACGCGAGGATCTGGCTTTGGAAGGCGAGACAGCGTCCGATGAAGTCGCAGTGGTGTCAACAAATCTGACCCTTTTGCGTGGTGCAGAGGGGCAGGGGATGACAGGAAGGGCAGATCGAATGTTAACAGAAACAGGAATGCGGGTTGGCTCGGGGCTGGAGGGATTGAATCTGCGGTTCTGAAGAGCACGACTGACGCCATTCTTCGACATCGAAGGGGAGTTCCAAACACAACGACGAGGCGGGGAAGAAGAGCGAGGCTTGAACTTATCGAGAAGAGAGGGGAAGGGAATGGCACTGGCAACAGGAGCAGCTTGGAAACGGCGACGATGAGGTGCACCGGGCGCGATGCGACGAGGAAGCCTCGAATCAGGGGTCGATGGCAGAGCACGCGAGTGTTCGTTCTGTCTGTACCTGATGGGACTTCGGGGAAGCTGGAGGAAAGTAGAAGCGGCGGTGAGTCGACCGAGAACGGACGGACCCTTCACGTAGGGAATACCGGGGATGTGAGAAGAAGGCATTGCGAAGGATGTCCAACACAAGAACCCAGAGAAAAAGAAGGGGGAAGAAAAAGAAGACGAAAAAGTGGAAATGTGAAAGCGTGAGAATGTGAAGATCGATAGTATGAGCTTGGATGAGCGTGAGAGATAGAGAGCTGGGAGAAAGAAGAGTATGGGAACAGTGGGAAAGGCTGTGGGAGAGAAAAGAGGAAGAAGAGAAGAGGAGAGGGGGGGAGAGCAGGTATTTATGGGCGTGGGAAGAGGGAGCGAGAGTCTGGTTTGCTTGGGAGTAGACAAGAGGAAACACAACACGAGGAAGGACCGAGGAGGAAGGACCGAGGAGGAAGGACCGAGGAGGAAGGAGCGTGGGTGGTGGATGTCGTGGTAAGAGGAAACAACCACCCGTCCCCCAAAATAAAACATCGAGTACACGAGGGGAAGCGTAAAGGATCCTGAGCGTGCAAGGCTCAGAAAATGGCGAATGGCTTCAGGAGAGAGTCCGCAGTGCACTTTGTGCATTCACTGCAGTGACTACAGCGTGATGTGCTCCCTGCCCTGGCTGTACAGAGTCGACGAACCACATGCTGTGGACAAGCCAGCCCGTTCCCCTCTAATCCCGGTCTTTGTAGGAGAAGGAGCAGTCCAGACCTAGGCATGAAGCTCTACGACAGCGACTCTGGGGCAGCAGGCGTCTTCAGAGGAGACTGCACCGTGCATGTCCACTGGGGAAGGAGCCAGCCCACCGGCAGAGATAAACAAAGAGGAGTGCAGTCCATACCACCAATGGCCGCACAAGCAACCGTCTATACGTCCTCTAGCAATGTGCTACTACATCTTCGCTATATCTTGTAACAGCTACTACCTATACGTCGCCGTCGAACCTCGATACGTCCGCAACTTTGGCCGCGAAGCCTCACGGCCAATCGAGCTGTCCTAGGGAGTTCTTAATGTCATGATAACAGAACGATTCAACTTAGGACGTCGTGGTATATTCTTTTGTTGTAATCGATGCGTATAAAGGGGTCCAGGGATATCTTTGGCTGATGGGATGGCGTTCCAGCATAGAATCAGACCGCGCGTCTCACAGACGAATCTCAGTCGACCAGATATTCGTTGAAATGCGATGTAGGGTTGAGACTGTCATGGAAGTAATTTTCGAAGGATCACATACTGGACGCGACACGCCTGATAGATGGTGAGAATGCCTACATACTTGATTTTTCCTGACACACCCCTCCATTCTAGTGCTCACCCACCCCGTCACCGCTTTTACTCATTGAGTAGAACTGAGCAGGCTAATTTATAACACTAGCCCTTCTACTAGATCACTACTAACGGCTTCTCCTCTACTAGGCCTCTGCAAGTCCCATGGAACCACGCCCATGGGCGCTCTTTGGGACTAGGCCCCGTGTCCATGGAGAGATGATTTCAATTTCCAGTGGCTTGGACACAGCTTCTAGGGCTCTTGGAGGCTGTATCGGCTTGGCGATCCACAATGCTATCTTCCAGAACAGTCTTTTGCAAAACCTTTCATCCAAATTGCCTGCTACTGTCCTATCGCTAGGATTTCCCGTTCCGAAATTGGAGACTTTCATCACAGCAATTTCTTCAGGAAACGCCTCGGTTATCGAAGAGCTTCTGCCTGGAGTCAGTGGGCAGATCATCAGGGCGGCCGAAGAAGCACTCGGTGATGCTTACACAATCGCATCTCGGAAGGTCTGGATTGCGACGGCCTGCTTTACTGGAGTGGGCTTCATTGGTACGTACAAGCGCTGCTAAATTGTATTGGTTGCGCAATTTTCGTGATTAGTTGTAAAATAGTTTCGGTGCCACTGACCAAGTCTCTCCGGACATTGAAATTGGCCACATTACTATAAAGTCACTGTCCAATGACAGATATAGAATCTTTCTTCTACTACCTGATAATCATGTCAACTGGGTTGAGGCGTCGCCAGGCGGGTAGCGAAGCTGTAAATCTCTCCCCTCTCAGGGGCATTTCCGACGAAAGACATCAACACCAAGTCGAACAGCAGCACAATCTTGGCCGCTTCATCTACAGGACGTACTAATAGGCCCGGCCGGTACGTATTCGGTTGCTGAATGGTTGCTGAGAAGACCAAACGTCATTACCAAAGCGTATTTCAACAACTCTGCAGATTGCGGGGTCCCATTTCGTCTTCACGTAACGCGTACGCGGCCATCGTGCTGGCATCTGAGAGAGCATTGCAACGTCGGTCGTGCCAGCGTCGTGCGATTTATCTCAGCCGCTTTGGTGACACTTTAGTGGCAATACTGATCATTTTATTCTCTCAGAGGGCTGTCTCAGGAGTGAAGGCGAGAAGTCTAAGGGTCTCTCATCTCGAAGAATTAGTTTTAGCTACAATCGAGGACATGATACAATCAAGAGAAATCTCATAGTTAAATTAGACCGTAAAAGGATTTCTAAATTATTTCTTATCAGACAATATTGCAATGCTCCAGATGACTCTTATCAACTCTCTCAGGTAATTAGAATCAATTTGAGGGTAATATAGTCCCCTCATCTTATATCCCCCTTCATCGTCCCTATCAGAGACTGTAATACATGTATAACCAGTCCCAAAATTTAAACCATGCCCGGAACCCACAATACATACCGGGAGTACTAAACAGGAACGATAGGAATCTGTATATGACTCTTACGGTCTCCACCAAAGTGCACGATATGTTTACCTTTATTACCAGTCTGGAACAGTCCACGGAGGGGTTCAAACTCAGCTAATGTCATCTGATGGCCAGAGATCTTCAGTACCAACTGCTCATCAGGTTCGAAATGTATTGCTGTAGCCCAAATTCCAATCTCAAGCCTGACAATCGTACCAGGGGCTATCTTGTCTTCGCTCGTATGATCATGAGCAGGCCAATGCGGTTTTGAGAGCGCAGGATCTATCTTCCGGTGACTTGCGCGGATGATGCCAGTAGGACCGAGATAGTGCAGAATATTGACGAGATCGACCTCTTTGACATTGTTCACGCCTAAATCTTTCAGCGGGATATTGCAATTCCGTAGTATAGTGCCATCCTTGTCTGCCTTGCGTAGTTGTACAAAGACATCGAAGTCGTTGTGATCTGGGCATGATACATATAGTACTGCTTTGGAGGCTCCGACAATTGTCATTTTTTCGGTAAAGGTAACTCTGAATTGGATTTCTTCTGTATCGTTATCCATTTGGAGAGACGGCGCATCTGATTGATAAGATACTGCGCCAGATTTCTGTGCTTCCGACAAGTCTGTTACGAGCTTACCGCTTTCAGAAAGGTAGAGGCTATGGTATTCAGTCTCTGGAGGAGGCCAGTCAGAGAACGGTACATTATAAAGGGGATCCTATCAGTGTAAGCAAGTTTCGATAAGAAATTTGGAAATACCTATTACCTTGTTGAATTGTAAGACTGAAACGCGTACTCTAGGAGTCTCCTCCCAGCCGTTCTTGATGTCCTTGGTGTAAAAATCAAGAAACCTTCTAAAATCCTCAACCGAATCATCTTGATAGAGGTCATACCATTCTTGTGTCCCATGTATTCGCAGCCTTGGTATTTGAATCAATACTCTGTATAATAAATCAATCATTGCCAAAACTAGCGTACCATTTTTTATCATGTGCAATATCCTCATAACTGCGGGTTGATCCTACAGTATGAAGACCAGTTGACATACTTGCAAGAATGTATGCAGGCACTTTAATCAGGTGCGATTTGGCCCGTTTGTCTTCCCAGTACTCATTCATAAGCGGATATTTCTCAATCATTGATATAACGTCCTCCCGTCCATTCTCACCTGACTATTGGTCAGTGTCGTGAGGTTAGCCATGCTATTGGAAATTACATACCAACCAGGTGATTTCCCAAGAATGTCCAGAACGGCTTGTAGGGKACACCGCCACGGCATAAAGTCTCTCGATATACGTCACTCAGACCTTCGAGCGGCATTATCGCGGCCAAATGAGGTGGCTGCAAGGAAGCAATAAACCATTGTGCAGTTGCCAGCCAAGAGTTTCCCATGAGTACAACACGGCCATTAGTCCAGGGTAGTTGACCGACAAATTCAACAGTGTCATAGCCATCTTCCCCTTCCTTGGTTCCATGCCACCTGTCCATTTGTTAGTAACTAGACTCACGAAGACCTACTTGACCAAATCCATACCTATGATTACCTCCAGACTTAAATATACCGCGTGCATCAACATTAATTACTGCATAGCCTAGAGCAGTCCATAGGGCTGGATCAGGGGCTTCGAAACTCTGAAAACCGCTCACGCGATCCAAGGGCACGCCATCTCGATTCTGGACAAGGGTTACATCGAAGAAGCCTTTCGTCGCATTGTTACAGACTTATTGACGATAGGCAATGTTTGTATCACGTACCGACACCTGACTTCCCGTATGGACTCCAGACCAGCAATATCGGGACCTTCTCGGACGTGATCGCGGGGCGGAAGATATCGCCATACAATATAGTACCATCCCGCATAGGGATTTGGATATCACGTTCCCACAAAGTATCAGTATCAAATTGGCGATTCTCTGCTGTTTTCCGAAATCCTTTTGGCAAAGTCGCTATGCCCGGCTTTAATCCCTTATACCGTGCAAATTCAGCAGTGAGAGGCGAGATGCTGGTCTGCAACACGTCGATCGAACCGACTTCCATCGACATATCGACAATAGCTATGTACGATTCTACAGGTATGATTTACCAACTTGAGAATGAAAAGTTTGGTATCATTGCAGGTAGGGGAATTTCACTTTAATCAGCCATTATATGATACGCTTCCCCGCATCGCGTGCATGGGGTTTCGCTCCGCATTACGGAAAGATATCTGCCCTTTGCTGGGGTAAGCTTTGTTTTTTTTGCCGTAGCCTCCTTAGGAATGCTCATCTCCCTGAAAATTGATTCACAGCAGGTCGGGTTACTTGTTGTTGCACATCATTTTGCCTCCACTTGAAGTCTCAAATCTCGATTCTCCACAATTGGCACACTCGGCATCCCCGCAATTCATAAACTCATCTTCTTGCTTGCAAATTTGACTGAGTTGGTCAGAGGCACTTGAATGCCCGTTGGATCGTAGGAGGTGGGGAATCTAGCAGATATGGTTGCCGTCTACTCCGTACTGACTGCAGGTGGAGACATATTACGTACCCCCTGGAGACTACACCTTGGTGGGGATAAATGACTCTTTGCTGGTGTGTTTACAAGTCTCACGAACCATATACATCCATTCGAGTCGGCCGATGTGGAGAGCACTTCGTGAGCTCAATGCGTGATGAACCAATCCAAAGCCAAGGACGACTGGAAGCTTTTCGGAAATAGATACACCATAAATACATGCAACACTTGGATAGGCTCCTTGCGGTAGAGACCCCGTTGCCGGAAACCACAAAGTTGCCTCATTGTCTCGGTGCTGTAGTGAGCCAAAATCGGTTGAACCTATTCCCATGACCCCGCCCACGATGAGGGATGCAAACCGGTGTATTCTTAATTTAAAATATATTTATTATTCCAGTATTCTCTTTGAATATGATGTACAAGGTCCAGGGGCTATCATTACTGGTGCTGATGGTGAGACCCGGCAGGCTCAGAGCGCTCTCAATGTTAGGGTTACCCCCCGTTCTTGAAACATTGAATGGCAGAGAATTCACAATGTTCGAGGCCTGGGGCAATCGACTACCAGGATACGATTCAAACTGTGCGTTCGTAGGTCAATGCTGGTAAAGTAGCTAGTTATCTCTTTTGTTCTATTATCTTCTCTAGTCGGTAGATAGCAAATAGAATGAAACCAGCCTTCTAGTCCGGAATGCACTGTCAGCACTCACCTTTGGCTTTTCCGGCCATTCCATCCGCCAAACCATGTAGGTTTCAGCAAGTGGGGCATCCTCTCATATCAACTGAAAGTTTGACGTCTTTTCTGGTGGGAGCATAAGGGGATATGCGAAAAATTATCTGCCTGTGAAAGATTACAATTCCCCACACCAAATTTATGCGAACCCTCGAAGGGCAAAATGCGGGGAGCCGAGTCTTGCAGCACAGGCCTTGTTCGTCGCACTCGACTTTTGCTGAGCGACGTCTCACAAGCGTTGGTTCTTTCCCACCCCCGCTGCTTTCCAGGAGAAGTCATAAGCATTCTGAGATGGTCATGAGTTGCAATGTGTCTAGTGTAATTATCTCAAGGTTTTCCTGCGTAGGTGGTTAAGCGAGAATTCCCGATTTCGGATCTCCGCAATCCAATCCAACGAAAACGGCACGAAACTCGTGTGAATTTAGATGCTACAAGGAAGTCTTGTGACTCGCTACGAAGATAATTTTGGGTCTTTAGGACTTTCAGGTAGAGATATATAAGTCGAGATATGCAGAGTCGTGGCTGCATCAATTACACATCGTGTAGATGGAATGGCAGGGATAAAGCTTAAGTTATTAAGATAATACAGCTTTCAATCTGAATATCGGATCGCCTTCATGGGAGACGAATTATTGAGATGCGCACTCACGCACATCATCAGGGCCTTGCGAAAAGTAGGCCAGCCTCTTCGAGAACAAAGTATCCGGTGGAGCTCCTTCCATAAACGTTGTGCACTCCCTAGATTTGATAGCATCCCAACACCTATGATATGAACAAGTACACCTGATCCACCATGAACCCAGTGTTCTCGTAAACTTGGTTCATGATGCTGATCGACTTTGAGGATGGCGGGAGGGGAGTCGAGGAATAAGGTTTCTTCCAGTGCCAGAGAATTCTGAGGCTGTAATGTTGTGAAGGCCCTTAGGTACAAGATAGCCACAAGTAGGCAGAAGTAATGATAGCAGGCAGTGGTGGGAGTTGAGCGAATTTCAGCGAGTAAAGCCCCTGCATGTACGACGCAGTCCCTTGATAGTGCAGGGTTTTCACGCATCCAAGAGACTAGGTAAGTCCTTGCCGTTGATACGTCCTGATCTGATGCGTACCAACCGGAATACGCGTAAAGTTGCTTGAGTGGAACACGTCTCAGAATTCCAATGAAATGGGAAAAGGTATATCTTGCACCCAAACCGCACATGTATTCCGATGGTAAAGACGGCGTGGGCTCTAGGATCTTATACTTCCAATCCAATCTCCGATATGATGCTGGCGGTGGTCGTGTTCTTGAATCTGGTCCTTGGTCCTCATGGTCGAAGTCGAGAAGCGCGCAGGAGTAAGAGGCATCTATGGCTTGCTTTTCTTCCACGAATAACATGAGATACATAACCAATTTACTAAACTCTGGCAACTGCCGCAAGGCATTGTTTGATGTCCAATTAACGGAAAAAAGCTGGTTTAGACTTGTTTGTTGCCATTCATCTAGATAGTGTCAGTTGAAAACGGCCCCGGCCAAAGTCAGGAAAGTCGATATTAACCGTTGCAAGATTGTGAAAGACCATTCCATTCAATTTCACTGCGCGCCTTCCATAAGTTATTCGACGAGGGAAGTGTCTGTTCGTAATCCTTTACGGTGAAGGAAGGTTGTATCCCCAAAAATATGAAGATGAAGCAATCCATTACTAGAGAAACCAGCGTTAATCGACCGAAATAGACAATAGACAAAGCAAATAAATAGAATCGAGATTCTTAATACTCTTACCGGCAAAGCAGTAGGTAAGCCTTCTTTCCGATTCGCAACGAATCCAAGATTGCCATTTTCCATTAGAGTGAACACTGCTTATCTCTGTAGATAAAAGTGAGTCCTTATATTTGGGTGAAATGAGGAATTGTCGCATAAGTGTAGCCAGCCAGGCATGGTGAACCGGCAAATTGACAATGTTATCTTTGAACCCAGTGAACATAAGGTTGACAACCGTCAGCAAGGAACACTGTGCTAACGTCATTGTATCGTATCTCTGAGCTTTAAGCATCTGCGGAAGGAGTGTTAGTGAATCTCAAGCAGTCTAGAGATGTCGATCATAGCATACATCCAAAGGAATAGACAATCTGGAAAGCTCGGTGAGCATGGAGACGTATTTTTCCCGTTTGGCAAGTTCTGTATATTGGCATCCAATCGATGCTACAGCTAGTGCGAGCATCCATGGTGTATCCTTTTTCTCTAGCAGCGATGGGTGAATGAAGGGTAACTGGTTGTCAAAATGTTCATAATACAATTGGATAAACGAATTGAAAACTGAAAAAGTGGGAAATGAAAGGCTCGTAAAGCGTATATCAGACTGTTGCGCATAAAAGGTAAGGATGGCTTGATAGGCATCATCTAGACACGTCATGACGTGACAAAAGTTCTCTGCAACGGTGATATCATCGTCTGTAGCGTGTATAGTAGATGTGTGAATAGGCGCTAAGATTTCCGAATCGCGCAGATCCTGCTGCCAATCAGCCGAAGATCGACCTAGGTTCCAGGATTCTTCCGCTGTCGTAGGGCCCTGGGAGTTTGGTAAAACTAGACTAGAATCTGTGTCAAGTTCTGTGCTTGGAGCGGATGGAAAAGGAAGGCATTCTAATGATGCGCCTGATTCAGCCGTCGAACGGTCAATTAGATGATCCTCTGGAAAGAAGTCGGTATAATCAAGAGTCCAAGGAAACTCAGAACCCATATCCAGAGTTAATAGCGGCAAATTTTCAACAGGTACCGACGCAGTAGGGCTGTTCGGCGAGCATTGACCGTTGTTGGTGCTTAGGTGAACGTTGGTCGCGTTAGAAGGGAACTGAGTGATCGAGGATGGGATCTGGACAGCATGGTCGGTAAGGGCAAGCGGCAGACTGGAACCTGAGTCACGATTGTTGCTCGGTAAGTTTTCGGAGCACGATAATCGGCCATTAGAGAAATCGCTGCGACGAAGGCAACTGCGGCCTCTACTCAGACATCGGGCACAGGGAATGCCGCCACTGCATTTGACCTTGTTCTGGGAGCAGCCCTGGCAGGCACTTTTGTTTCTTGTGCGTACAAGAAGAGTTTGAGCCTCTGCGCCATGTGTTCCGATATGTCGAGCAAGGGTGTCTCTACAATCACAACAAATGAGCCTGCTATACGCCAGGGGAGATCAGCCCACCGTGATCAGGAGGGCTCACCGTCGTGAGAATGACCGCAGACATAGCGAACAAGAGTACGGTCGGGAACCAGAATGACGGCGAAGGTGACGCTCTAGATGCTCGCGTCGGTTAAATTTCTCCTGACACAAGTGACATTCCATCTGGCTGAAAGGAATATGGTCGATTATTGCCTGCGAGAGAGCGATCCTTCAGGTGGTTTACTCTACTCGATCTACTCCGTGTTCGCTAGAGTTGGACGCAACTAGGCAGAGAGCGTATGGGAGAGTTGCAACATGTACTTGAATGGCCTAGAAATGTCCACCCTACCCCGAGAAAAGTGCAAGACCCATGTGGAGCTGAGCGGGGATCTTTTATCGACTCCGCAGCCACAAGGTCTAGCTAACCTAACTAACCTAACTAACTTAACTTAGTTAACATAGTTGACGTAATCGGTAATCGAGCTGCCCGCGAGACTGACTGGACGAGCCACAATTGTTCTCTGTGATGGTCTTCGCTCCGGTATTCGGTTGCATCCATTATGAAGAATTAACCAATTCCTTACACTAGTAACATGTATCCTACATTAGCCGAGATGATTCCAGGGCCAAGAACTTATCAGGATACCTGGAGAAACCGCTAGAAGCGACCTCAGAAATACTACATAGGACGTCCAACCTTGGAAGAGAACACTATCGTGGGATTATAGAATGCCGTCACCACATTGACTCCCTTTTTTCCGAAGACACCATGGACACCACGCGAAGAAAGACAGTGACTACAGGTATACAGAGTTTGCTGAGTACAGAGATCACTGTGCCCAATATTCCATCAAAATCTAGTGTCTAGAAAATGAGCAAGACGGAAAGTCAGTCAGATAGCTTTCACCGCTTTGGAGATTTCATAACGGGAGTCACCTACCGGCATCGAGATTCCACCACTTTTGGAAACCCAGTTGAAAGCCCGGTCAATCATCACTACCTCATATTTATTACATGCAAACGAGATCTCCTCGGCTGTGGGTTGCCTTCCACCCTTCGCAATATCATTTAGCTCGACTAGGTATGGGAGCATCTCGGCGCAGTCGTGCATTGCTTGGTTTCCACCCATGCCCCTGTTGGTTCCAGATTGTGGTCAGTAAGATGTTTTCTCTGTATGGGCTCCGGTTGTTTGGCCTGCTTCAGCTCGATCAAACTCATACCGGTTTGGTTGCATCGCGTGCATTGCATCACCCAAAAGCCATACTCGAGGGTGACCTTCCTCTGTCTTTATCAATCTCGATTGTTGGACTCGCGATCGCCAGTTCTTAGCCGGTTTGGTACTAGCTCTCAAAGGGGTAACATAGATGCCGCTAAATTTCTTGTCATCTTGACCTGTCGTGAGCAACGTTTTACTGTTGAAATAACAACAGCGAAATATTATCGCATTAGTCATCATTGCCTTCTAGGGTTCATTACAATCATTCGGAGAAAGACAATTGATTTGAACTTACAATTCGGGTGCCCAGTCGTGGATAAAGTCGAGACAGAACCTAAGACGGTCCGGAATATCCGCATAGTTTTGATATTTTGTTGATAGAACCTTGGGAATATTCAAACCCCAGTAGAAAGACGCAGCTTCTTCATCGTAGGATATTTGTTTGTTCGCCGAATTAGTATCATTGTATGTCGGAGGCAAGTATACTTATTTGAGTCATATCAGATAGAGTTGCTTGAATCGAGAAACACAACTTACAGGAGTAGAAGAAGGACACCCCTTTCGAGAATACCAGAAGCGGTCCTTTCTGAAGCTGAGCGGGCAACTCATTGAGTCTATCCCTAGGAAGGTTTCCTTTGGCTAAGAAAGACCAATGTGTGTCAATATCGACCAGATTGTTTAGACCAAGTGTTTTGTTGACTCTAGAGCCGCTACCATCGGCTCCGATCATGATATCACATTCATCGGACGTGCCGTCAGCAAAGAGAACCTTTACCCTCTCGTTGCCAGTAGAAGCGTCGCGGATTATCTCATGAGACGAGTATGCCTTTTCATAGTGTATATTTCCGCCCGGCTTTACAGCATCAAGAAGCAGGTTGCGACAGACTACGCGGTTGATCGCGAAGGATTTCGAGTATGTAGGTAGCGAGGTCAGATCTAGAACGGGCTGGAACCGAGTTGAGTAGATGCATGGCGCTACGGCCCCAGAAGTTGCAGACTGCCCAAATTTTTGAATGATAGCTTTGAAACTTTCGTCGTCTAGACACGCTTTAAAACCCGTAATAGCGGAGTCCCCCAGGCGGATTTGGTATCCTTCTCGCTTGCTGTTTTCAGAATCTCGCTCATAGACCGTGAAGGAGATATTGTGGTTGAGAAGCCCATTGGCGAGCAAGGCGCCTGCAAGGCCTGCGCCAATGATGATGACCTTGAATGATACTAGTTCCGACATCTTGGGGTGACTACCAGGACTGTTGTACAAGTAATAATATGTTGATTATTGTCACGAGAGGATGCTTCAATGGAATTCCTTGGATGCTCTTTTTTGAAAATTCATCATTCAAATATACTTATTGTCTTGTAGAAACATTGAATATCAGAGGCTCACTACAAACGGCCGACCTGCACGTCTCAGGATTGCGGAGACCCGATATTCCGTAGTGCTGTTTTGGTGCGTTCACGAAGATACCATAGTATCTAATCATGGCCGTAAATACAAGCCGAGCCCTGTATCGTTTACCTTGTAGCTTACCACGGTTGCTGAACATCGGGATGGTCATGAACTAGATTCGGTGGCTCCCATCCTTATCGGCACCCCGCTAGATAAATATATTCGGTAATCAAGTTCAGACTCTCGTCATGCAATGTTGAAAAGATCTCACTCCTAAGGCAGCGTAATAATTCAACAGCTAGTGAAAGATACCTATCAAAGCCATGGACGACGATGTCACCCTCGAATATTTTGGTACTATGATCTCAATACATTGGCTATTTTCCGTTCCTAACTTATACTGCTGCAGGCGCTACAACCTTTCGCCTTCGTGCATCAGGTTTAACGATTTTCCATGATACCTGGTTGAAGCGGCCATCTCTGATGCATCAGTATATCGATATCAATACCGTAACTGAAGTGGACTATATATTGATCTCTCACGCGCACTTCGATCAGTAGGTGTTCTGTAAAATTATTTCTAATCGGAGAGATAGCTCACCTATCTGCTTTCAAGTCTACCTGGAGCCGATAAAATTGCCAAACAAACGGGAGCGATCGTCATCGCCAACTGCGAAGCCATCAATTGTCTTCGCAATGCCGGAGTTCCAGAGGATCAATTATTTCCTGTCTCCGGAGGTGAGAGAATCCCCCTGTTTACGAAGGACGTACGCAATGCGGCCAGGGCAGGAAAAGTGGCTGTACGCGGCGGTCCGCCTGGAGCTCCCCCTGAGCCTCACCATACCCTCGCAGTGGCGGAGGTCCACATTTGGCCCAGCCTTCACTGTCTCATGCCTGGTAGCCATGATATGCTACCGGATACTTTCGACTCTGGCGCCGTTTTTACAGGAAGCACAACCCCTTATGACGGGACTTTGGATATCACCCGGGGGATGAAGTACGGTTTGTTCCGGTTGAAGGAAATTATTGGGGAAGATAATCTTGATGAAAAGACAAAGTCTTTCGTAGACTGGATAGAAGATAAAGAGGCGAATGTTATGTCATCTTGCGATGGTGGACAGCTTATGTTCAACGTCTTACTGGGAGGTAGACGTGGAGAAGGAACAAGGACTATTCTGTTCAACGCACATCTGGGGGCATATGATGGAATCATAAGGGAATTGCAGCCTAAACCGAGCGTTGCGGTCCTCGGGATTGCAGGCAGGGCAAATTTGAATGGGAGGCCGTTCGATGGGTCTGCCGCGATGTTTGCCACGAAGCTAGTGAGGTTGATGAACGAACCTCAGAAGATAATCTGGTGCTTACATGATGAGTGGTGGGTTACTTTCCATGTATTCCCGGATTTACTGGAGTAAGATGTTTGGGAAGCTGATTACTTTGAGCAGTCTCATCAAACCATATCGGGTTGACACGAAAGCTGCAACAGAAGCGGTGGAAACAGAGACAAGGTCTAGGGTGGTGGAAATGCCGCATGGCAGACCATTTAGCTTGTTCTCCGAGGAATGATAGTTTTTATTACGCCAATATTGGATAGGAAAAGCGACTTTCTCTGATAATTTTTTGAACCGGTAGTCGTGTAGGAGAATCAAAGGGAAAATATTGCGGAGGGGCCAACGTGGAGAAGAAATTGCGGAGTAGCGATTGCGGAGAACCGGTTTCATCGCCATCTTAAAATACGGGAGAGGATTGATACCATTCCAATTCACATATCACGTCTGAGCAACCGTATCACACCAGAGTATCATTGCATCGAGTGTAATTTCCCATTAGGATCACAGGTGGGGCGTTGAGCAGATAGAGAGACGGGCATCGAAGTGTCTCATTTGTCATCGTTGGTTGAAACTTCTTGTATTGTAGCCTTCAAATCCTCGTAGTGCGTGTCTGTTGAGTCGATTACGGCGAGCTAAGGCAACGAGCAAGCATTAGCTATTCTTCGTCGTCGCTGGAGCGGTTGGGAGGCGGGCGAACACGGCGTCGACACCCCGGATCCCTCGAGTATCAGCAATGCGATAGGTCCTACAGCGACAAATATAGTCACTGCATAAACACGGATTTTCGGTCTTCTTCAATTAATCGATTGTAGCGAGGCAAGGTGAAGGTCAGCCGTCTTGGTTATTATGTAGTTTTGGTGTTGGCCGACTGTCAGAATTTTCGACGCCCCTCCAACGCGTTCAACCATCCCACACCACGGTTTCCATTTCTTTTGCCAGATCTTGGTTTCTTCAAGCAACACGGCCAGATATGCTTAGATACTTGTCCCCAGCATCATAAATGTAATGTTGTGTGCCTAACTGGCACCGTGCAGGTAGGGTTATCCAGATAACGCGGTTGCGAGTCGGTTGAGTCCCGATTCGTGAGGCCTGGGATCGTTAACAATCAAGATCAGCACATTCGAATTGCTMTCTAGATCTCACGATAGAATCGCTCCTTACAGTAAATTAGCGTTATGCAGGTTGATTTGTAACAATTCTCCTATCATTCCTACGTGTACTAGATTGTATGTCTAATATTCTTTTCCTATTTTTTAAAGATGGATCAAATAGTATATAGGTATTTACATAATCCTATTCTTCCCTGTAAGGACTGATTCCATCGCGAGATTCAAAGGGCCAATGCAGATGCGCAGATCTCGATCTCCAACGATCTCAGGCGTGAGCATGGATACCTTATGAATCAGGACTCATTGAATGTTGACTGCTTGCTTACCTGATTGCGAGGAGGCAACCGCACGATCTGGTGCATGAGCTGGCAGTCATTCTGAGAATAAGCTAGTAATAAATCTACTTTATAGTCAAGTGGTTCGTGCGATTCATATCAGTTGTATTTTGTAGAGATCAAATTTAGGTTACCGAAAGAATGAATTTTACACAAATTTTATTTCAGTAAGGTTGTGGCTATGGACTGCCTACCTAATCCTTTGCGAGCGACATTGTTTCATCCTGCAATATTCTTGCCACCTTGGCGTTATACTCACAGCAATACAGCAGGGAGGCCACTGCGGACAAGATAGAGATAGTGAGCCCACGGATAGAGAGGCTCCTACAGGTACTACTAAATTACAATGATGACCGACGATGTAAGAGAGCAAAAGTCCGCATCGCATCGCCTTCCTAATGTGTAATAATCATCCGTAGAAAATCTCCTAAAAGCCGTAGTAATCCGACGCCAGCCATCTGCCTTAAGATTTTACCCTGTGTGTCGGGAACCGGAAGGTCTACCGGGAGGGCTACCGGACCGCGCTATTGAAGTCGGAGTGGAACCCCGGGTATTTTCTGGGGTTTGGGGTAAACATTTGAAGGATCGATACACTTTGACTTGATTTATATTTCCACCAATAGCGGTTTCAGCAGGCGTGGATTGTCATGTAGTTAAAGATTGAACGAAGTCTTAATTCAAAGTTTTTCGAAAAGTCAAGCTCATCTGACTCCTCGAATTTCAGGCACTGCGCAGAAAAATTTCAACGCCTTCGTCTGATGGGGTGTACTAATAGCAAAACTTTTTTGATATACCTCAACAGTCAATCTAAATCAAGGGTACAGTAAAAAATGACAACTGCCCGTCGTGTCGCCCAAATTATCCAGCTTCAGCCAGGTGCTGTTGAGGCATACAAAGTATGCCACGCTAACGTATGGCCGGAAGTGTTGCAGCAAATATATGATTGCAACATCCGTGATTGTCAGCTGAAATCAGAACGAAATATTAATGGAAATAATATCTGACATGTTTAGACTCTATCTTCTTCGACGGCGATGCCACCTTATTCGCAATCTACAAATACATAGGCGACGATTTCGAGGAGGACATGATGAAGATGAGAGCAAATCCGATCGTGAGGAAGTGGTGGAATATGACTGATAGCATGCAGGTATATCAAACCACTTATTTGAAGCTAACTGAAAGATCTCAAACAGCTGATGAACTTGTAGAAAAGCCTTGTTGATGGGGCAATCAACAGCGCAGACGGCCCTGGCTGGTGGAAGGACATTGAGGAGGTCTTTCACGCCGACTAGTCTTTCAGCCTCGACTAGTATCATCGGTTTTATAATAATAAAGAAACGATTTACAGTCTCCTACTGACAGTTCTAACAATTGAGGACGAGGCTCAGATCACTTTCATACGGGGAACATTCAAATAGAGACCAAATCCTGTCAAAATCATGGTGATAAGTGGGCTGTTATCTAATACAACTGTACCCATGGGAGGGTTGCCTGGCAGGCGGACGGTCGTAGGATACTCGCACTCGAACTTTACCGGGGACACCTTTATAAAGAGATTTTCAGGGCCTATTTAATGACTTCCATGTTCCTAGAGAATTCCGAATTACATGATTACAAACGTTCACTCCGGCACATTTTTCGGGATCTTCCAGACGTGGCGTATGTCATGGAAGAAGCATCGATTAATCCCGAGGATGCCGAAGCCCGCTAGCCGATGGGATTATCTGCGCCAACAAACACTGTGATCCAACTGTAAGCTGGTTGCATTAGTGCCTTCCGGGACCCAGCTACAAAAATCCAGGATAACATTTAATGGCACCACTACAGTAGATACATTCAATTTCCCGTGCTTTTAGTGTTGCATCAGCGGTAAACTCTTAACCCCTGGCATCAATTCCCTCTAGATTCTTGTAGACAGATTTAAAGACTAATTCCTAACTATAAGTACAACCCATGCATCGAGCCCATTCTGTTGAAATCAAACAGGTATTCTCTACATTCCGAATAACAGACTGACATCATCCTTATGTGTCTAGGCAGTGCGTGTAGAATTCCCGCGAAGGTTGTTCTGGAAGAAGCGAGTGATCGTGTCAAAAGGAATAAGACCAACGCGATCATACAGGTCGACGTGATTAGCCCCTGGCACTAAGATGAGCTGCTTGGGTTCCGCAGCTCGGTTGTATGCATCCTCACTCCACCCACGTGAATGTGCCTGTTCGCCCGCGATAAACAGCAATGGGCGTGGAGAAATCATCGTGTCGAGCTCCGCCAAGGGGTAGAAATTCATGAACTTCGAATTGCTAGTAAGCGTAGGGTGCGTTGTAAGATTCAGCGAAGAGCGTGGAGGCGTAAACTCTCCACGCGAAGTACGATAATAGTCGTAAAATTCGCGTGCAATTGGAGGGGAATCGGGCGTAAGGACTTCCACAGTACCACTGGTATACTGCACCTCTCCTCCTTCTGCCTCGATCCAGCGCTGCTGGGCAGCAGTTGCAATGACCTGCTTGCGCTGATCAAGATTCTGTGATAGCAGGATTCCGTTCCGCGTGGAGTTCCCCATGTCATACATGCTTGAAGTCACGATAGCCCGGATTCGCGGATCAATTTTCGCTGCGCTGAGCAAGAAGCTGCCACTGCCACACACGCCAAGAGCTCCAATGCGTCCACGGTCCACAAATTCCTGCAGGCCGAGATAGTCAACAGCTGCGCTGTAGTCTTCCGCGTAGAGGTCAGGTGAGACTGCATTCCGAAGCTCACCATCGCTAGCGCCCCAGAATGCGTGGTCAAGTGCTATGGTGACGAAGCCCTGTTCGGCCAGCTTTGTAGCGTATAGATTCGCGCTCTGCTCTTTCACTGCGCCCATCGGATGGCTAACAACGATAGCGGGGGCCTGGCTGGAGGTAAGGTTCTTAGGAGTGAAGAGGTTGGCGGCGATTGTCATCCGGTACTGATTCTTAAAAGTGATGGGTTGCAGCGTGACGAGATCACTGCGGTAGAAGTTATCGGCTCCATATGAGAGATTCTGAGCAGCTGTCAACGTAGCCAGCGCGACAATACCTCCTATGAACTTCATAATGCTGGTAATGTTATCGCCTGTGTGGTATACTGTTGCTGAGAGTCGAAGATGGCTCGTTTGGTCTGAGGAATCAACATGCGTTTTCCATCGACGAGATGGCTCTCTTTTATAGACGACTCAATCCCTGACGGAAAGGGTGGCGATCAATATCGTCATGGCAACTTTGGGCTTCATTCATACTTGGACCGTGATGAGATGTTTGCTCATCATCATATCAGAGTACATATCCAGCTGAGTCTATAGCGACCTTGGTACGACATATTTATGTGCCTGTCAGCTTATCGGCCTGTCGATCACGATGTGGGTTCTAGATTCCAGGATAGCTTATGCAAGTAGCTGACAGGAGACCAAAAACGAAGAAAACGGTCGTAGTGGCTGTGCTGGGTGTAAAGTTGCCTAGTTCCAGGCGCAAGCCGAGAGGACCGAGAGGACCGAGAGGCCGCTCAAGAGGTAATTGATGCAATTGGATTTCGCAAGTACCAACAAAAGAATGAGACACATGCAACGTTCTTATCATTATCGGAAAACTAATGAGACAAATTTATCCCCGCCACAAAGACGTACACAAAAAGATACCCACATACCTAGGATACGACTTAGAAAAATCCGCTTCGCCAGAGACTGGTGCAATGTTGACAAAAAGTGTAAGAATCGGTTGAAAGCAGCATATGAAAGAACAAGAAACAAAAACTCCCATGTCCTTTCCTCTATGTTGATGCGAGATCATGTAATTAATCAATGAGAATATGCGCAGTGTATACGTTGAGACTAAAAAGAACAAGACCGAAAGAATGCCTCATTTCTTCATCAGGAAGACAAATTCATCAATGATCAATCTCTTATGTTCGTGGTGGTGTTGGTGTCTGACTGTACTCGGACTCATCGCGACGATGGTGGTGGCGGTGGTGTTCGCGACTTGGATAGTTGAGCGTGCTAGGTATGCTAGCCTGTACAGCTTGCTGTTGTTGCTGTTGCTGAGCAATCACCTCTCGAGCATAAAACTCAACCAACATAGTCCCGTATGCTTCGAGCTCCTCAACAGGTACCGCCAGCCGGAAATCGTTGAGGAGAAGGAATTGAAGCTCAAGGTGATTGAGTTCGACAAGAGGAAGTCCTCCGACCTACGTTACAGTACAATCAGCCGTCGATCAGCGAGACGGAGCTATGTGGGAGGAGGATAGAAAACATACCTTGGCATAGCGGGAATTGGTGTAAAAGACGTCCGAGAAGAATTTACTAGCACAAGTGACACCTGCAATAACCAGCCGATGAATGTTGAAACTATCAACAACGAAAAAATTAGAAAAGTCGTCCTCCTCGTCCTCGTCCAGGTTCAAGGACGACGGGATAGGAGTCTCGGAGGATTTCAAGTCTTGTGCTGTAATGCCACTCGAAGACGGAGGCGTAACCACTGATGGGTAACCACTGAGCGACGACCCATGTGTCGCGGTGGACGCAGAATGAGATCGCGTTGATGTTGACTCTAATCTGTTTCTCTTCCGATGAACAGGTCGACTGTTCACCATCTCCGTCATTCGGTCAAAATAGACCAGCAAGCTGAGAAATACTTCGTAGGTTGTGGGACAATACTTGTGTATACGCGCAAGATAGTTGAGGATCGTTATCGAAGGCACGTTTTTGCCATGAAACGCAAGCACACTGCTCGCTTGCGCGCTCAGGTTGGCTGTACCGTCGGGGGGAGGAATATGGCGGTGAATATGTTCATGCTGCATGTCATTCGTCGCGGTTATTTTCGTCAATAAGCCCGCCACCATTTCAATGATGTCCGCCACGGGCATTGAGCTAATTTCATACTGGCGGGCGAGTTCAGCCGACCCCCGACCAGCAGCGCTTCTCGACTGCTGGGACTGCTCTAGGAATTCTTCGCTAGCAAAGCTTTGAATATGCGACAGGGAACGAACTTTGATTCGACTTGGGGAAGGCGGCTCGGAACTCCCCAATGATCTCGTTGACGGGTGTGTGGGATGGAGCTGTGGTGACGAAGGAGAGGGTATATTCGATGTTGCGGGCATGTGTGTTGGGCCGGCGGGGCCAGTGGAGGGTACAGTTGAGGCAGGCGCTTGATAATCTGTAGGGTAGTATCGCGGATTTGATGTTGACATCATGGAACCAGCGTTGCCGACTTCTCGGGAGGATGCTGGGATCATCGTGGTAAACGAGGCGTCAGGGGACTGTCGGTAAGGACGGTGGTAGTTGCTGCTGTGTGGTTGTTGGGGTATAGACTGTACGTATGCTGGTACATCATGCGACGGCGGCGATGAAGATGAATACGGAGGTGTATGCGATGCCACGGAAGAAGGAGCTGAGGGCGTGATGGTGGAAGATGTTGGAGAAGCTGTGTCTCTCGATTCAAACGAGGTGGACGAAGGATGATAAAAATTATGTTGTTGCGCTACTGAAGGATGCACGGGCGACGAGCGATAAGGTGATTCTGAGGAATTGGCGATGTGTTTTATCGTGGTGCTTCTTCCAAGCATGGTGATTCCGTCGCAAACAGACAGGTTGTTGAGCGTGATCCGACACCGTGGTTGGGCTAGTGATAGCAAAGCCCATATCAGTATTGGCCGCTAATGAACGATAAGAGAAACAAGTCGTGAGATAAGAGATTGCTGAGCGGTAGCGACGTGCCAGATGCTGATTCTTCTGTACCGAAGAAAACGCGGGGTTACGCAGCCCATGTAGCAAGTGTAAAATAAAAGCTGCTAGACACAGATGAGGAGGCAGAGAGCAGGGCGGGGACCTATCGAGGAGGGGGAAACAAGAATGCGGGATAGAAAACGCAACGAACGCCGGGCGTGGGATTGGTGAAAAGTCGTGGCAGCGAGGGACAGCGACCAAGCAAAGACAATTCCGAAGACACGCTGTCTGCAGAACTTGTAGTGGTTTGCGCCTTGCTGCTTTGCCACCTTGATCAGGTGTACACTCTCGTGAAGCCCAAGGATGAGGAGGGACAAGGGAAGGTAGTTGCCGGAATGAGAATTAGCGACTCGACTTACCTACGGGATTTAAGAGCCTTATGGCCTTATGGCCTGGGAGCCTGGGAGCCTTGCGGCAGATGGGCCAGACCAAGTCCGCAGCACAACAATAACGTCAGCTGTCTTTCACGATGAATGTCTAGCAGCAGGACCTGGCATCTCTTTCTTCGTTCTCTTTTCTGATTGTCGATTAATTGAGCGTCGAAACGCGGATCAGGGTGAAAATAATATTGTGCTCGTTTTATCGTCGATGAATCGCACGCTCGAAGGACTTGAAACCCGAATCCTCAATGTCGCCACGACGGACCCAGCAACCGGATAGACAGCGTCTTTGCGATGGTTCTGCAGACTTGCCGACAACGCTTCAATATGAACTGATAGATGCAATTTCGTAAGCAAGATAGACGGTTTGTCTATGTATGAATGTTCTGCAATCAATGTGCAGTAACAAAGTACGTCAGTTTAATCTGGCCCCGTAAGCTCGCGGTACAATTAAGTTATTCACAGCCGGGCAGCTAATGTATAGCTATGATAGATCAATGAAACTTTCGTTGGGCAATCCCAGCGAAAGGGGGAGATGATGTGCGTGCCCAATGCTCACCATTGACAACGTCAAATAGTTATATATATTGGCCCGTCCGGCGTGGTTAAAGCACGCGCGGAGCGACCAATTCCTTGACAGATGATCGAAGGCAATTGAAATAGAGCCAGACATCAACCATCGATGAAGAACTGAAATCCCGCGAGAAGAAATAAATTAGTTGATATGGCAAGCTGAAGACCCCAAGGACCGGCCAGACCTCCGACCTTAGATTGTACAAGTACATGGAAGCCATAGACTGCCTGGTTAAATACTGTAAATTACGGTATTGTGCACACACCGCCGGACGAATGGCGAGACACCAACGGAGCAGGTGGTGGAGGAACGCCTGTTGATTTATTACACCATTTCAGTCCTGGTAATCAACGGATGCAACTAACTAATACAACGACTGGCTTTCAATACTGACGTATATTGACCGCTTGGTACTAGTATACTTGGCTCTGATAAATAGCACAGATACAGGGCCGTGGCATTCTACCATTACCTAATTTACTACAGCACCCGTGAATCGTCGACTGACTTTGAGATTCATAACCAGTCCTTCTCTCGCAGCGTGGGCGCATTCAAACGAGAATGCGCTTATTGTGCTCGTTCATGTCGTGGCACTACCAATAGCCTACACGGTCTACCAGCGGTGAAGCAGGATGAGTGAAACAGAAAAGAGCTCGGTCAATGAAAGGTCTATGGCAACAAGTGTCATCTACTATCTGGCAGGTCCCGGCCCAGTATATCCATTGTCGGGCAAATATAGATGACGGATTGAGCCTTTGGCTGTGAGCACAACCATGCGAATCACACCACCCGAACTGCCGTCCCACTTGATAGCCTCACCCAGTGCGCTCTTGACAAAGTTGACTCCTTCCTCTTCGGTCATGCCCTCTCTCCAGTTCGCGTCACAGTATCCGTAAATGTAGGTAGATCCGGAGCCGCCAATAGCATAAGCTTGTTTGTGAAGTGAACCGCCGAGGGGAATCGAATAGACTTGGCCTCCGTGTCGTCGGTCGTAGCCAGCGATGATAATACCGGCGCTATTATTGACCATGAATTAGTCTCGTCTTCGATGTCACCTTGTTTGTAGCGGGTAAGGTATCGACTACTTACCTTAACTGATCCTTGTTGTCATAGCACAATTCCTGGAAAAGGGCAGCTGCTGTCTGTGTACTTGGCGGCTCGTCGTTCACAATACCGTACATGTTCAGATGATAAGAAACAATATCGGCGACTGCTTGCGTGTCGGCGGCTGAGCCGGATCGGCAGCACCAGATGGTGTCGTGGACTTGTGTAAGCTTATCGGTCACTCGGTTGGCGATGTATGCACCAGTAGTCGTTCGACTGTCCGCTCCGAGAATAACCCCGTCCTTGAAGTTGATTGCCATACTGAATTGCGACTACTGATTAGCTCTTTCGATCGAACGAGGATGGACATGATGGACAGAAGCTTACATCGAGGTTCCTAGGCTGTTGTCGGAGTTAGCCAACGTTTTATCCATGACTCCTGGTAGAGTAACAACTTACTTGACTTCGCCCTTCTTCAAGTGATTCATATCAACGTGAATGCCATCTACAAGAGCGTCAGTTCGTGATCTGTTATAGCTCCACCAGTTCCGACAGCTTGCTTACCTTCCCCTAGAGAGCCGCTCGCGTTCGAGATCATCTTGTATTATGTGCACAGTTGTTGATGAAATTTGAGAAGGATGGGGATACTAGAGAAGTCGTGCTTGATGATGACTTTGTGTTGAGAAGATAATCGAATGGACGTAATGGATGACAATATTGACAGGTCCGGTAGGCGTGAAGCTCTGAGGCAGCCAACAAGGCAAGCTTGTAGGGCGGTCAGCTGTCGGAGCTTCTTATTGGGCGTCAAACGGCGGAGCCGCTAGTATCTATTGAGACTGGTGTCGATAGAATTGCGTCTAACCGTAAATAGACTAGTACATCGTCATCTGTCAACGTCTCAGCGGTTGACTTAGATTCCATCTGCCTGTCGCAGTCTATCCCCTACTTCTTAAAGCAAAGCAAGAGCAATTGAGACTTTGCTCTATTCTTTCATACGTACCGTATATCTTTGTGCCGGAATATTATTGTTGGCCTACTCCCTACTGCTACTCCGCCGTTTGACCGCACCACGCGAGCCGAAGTACAACAATCGTACTCTCCGCGCAATGCTAAGCCTTAGATCGATGCCTACGTGAAGACCAACTAGCCTTACGGACGAACATTTCAGTCAATACCTTGCCCTATCATTAATCATTACTCTTCACGAGGTTCTAAACTGCCGACAAGTCGTGTGTCTCATCATAATGTCGGAATCACCTCCCCCACCACCCCAATGGAATATCTCAACCATGGCCGGCAACGCTATGCAGTTTCTGCGTCTCCCGATGCTGGCGTCATCGGGGCTAGCAGTTATTGCAAGCAGTTTACTGTATTTTAAACAAAAGTACGTCGTCATACCTCAATTGATAAGCTTTTATTCCTCTTGGTTTGCATATGGACTTTGACATTGACTCGTCTGTTGTCGCTAGTGAAATAATCTATCCTCGAACTGTACCAGTCGATTCCCGTACAAATGTTCCAAAGGCATCGTCCTTCGGTATATCAGACTATGAAGACCTTCAGATCCCGACTCCTGACGGCGAGTCCCTGAATGCTCTGTTTATCCGCCCGTCGAATAAGGACACCGCCCGGGACGTCACCATCCTAATGTTTCATGGAAATGCTGGCAATATCGGCCATCGAATACCAATAGCAAAAGTATTGACGAAGGCGCTGAGATGCAATGTGTTCATGCTTGAGTATCGTGGATACGGGCTGTCAACGGGGACGCCTGACGAAAGGGGACTGAATATCGATTCTCAAACAGCTCTCGATTACATACGAAACCGAGCAGAGACAAGAGACACAAAGATAATAGTCTACGGACAGAGTCTTGGCGGTGCGGTCGCGGTCAACCTCGTGGCCAGAAACTTAGAAAAGGATGTTATCTCAGGTCTCATCCTCGAGAACACGTTTCTATGCATTCGTAAACTTATCCCATCGTACGTGTCACGCTTCACTTCTTCTTTTTGCTTGTGATTCTAATCCTCCCAGGGTCTTCCCTCCTGCTCGTTATCTTGCACGCTTGTGTCACCAGTATTGGAGCAGCGAAGATGTGCTTCCGAAAATACAGAATATCCCCATTCTATTCCTGAGTGGTTTGAAAGATGAAATGATTCCGTACGTCTTCCATTTGAAACTCGATTCTAGAAATGACGTTCCTGACTAATGGCTTCAACGACAGTCCGTCGCATATGTCGCAACTGTTCGAATTATGCAAAGCCGAAACGAAAGTCTGGCGTGAGCTCCCCAATGGTGGTCACAATGACAGTGTCGCAGAGCCTAACTATTTCGATTATATCCGGGCATTCGTTGTAGACTATGTAATCGACTAAAGCAGTCGCATATTTGGCTTACACATGGTCTGCCCTTTTGCCATACACCTGTCTGGTGTTATATTCCTTTACACTTACTCAAAGATACCCCAGCTATATACAATTCAGACTCGAGCTTTGGAAATTGCGAGGAAGTGGGCTCCTCTAAATGATACTATTATCGCTTTTCATGACCTAATGCCTCCTAAGGAACACGGTATTTTCTTCGGTTTATATCTAAGTCTTATTGCTACGTTATTGGAGTCATACGGTAGAGATTTTGACTCATTATTCGTTGTGCTCGAATCTAGTTTTCCTCTGTATTCCTACTCTAGTGAACACCTAGAAATTATGATGGATCTGAAATCTGGTACCGTTATAGAGTTCATAGCGCTTTGAGGTCGCCTGTATATTACATATCTACATATTCGTACAAACTTCAAGCTCGATCAAAACGGAGCAATCGGCCTAGGAGAGAGTCTCTGTCTCACTGACTAGATCTTCAACCTTGAAGCCCTCGACATCACCACGAGTGAACATACGCAACAATTCGCCTTTGCGTCCACTACCTTCACCATCAAAGTCATAGAATCGCTGCACGCAACTAACCAGCCAGCTGGCTTCAGAAACCGAAACGCCGCTGTCCGGCATAACTTGTCCGTGCATAAGTACTAGTCCCTTCTCATCGGCCAGGTCGAGATGGTGTGTAATTGTTGTATGGGGTTGCGCATAAGAGCCGTGCAGTTTGTAAGCGGCCAGATGCGTGAAAACGATGGTGGAGGTATGTGTATTGGCTGTCTGAAGGGGCGACGCAGGTGATGCAGCAGGAGGGTGGAATCCCCATTGTAAGAAATGAATATCGGCACCACCTTCGACAGCAGCCGAGTCTTCTGATTGCGTGTTTTCGGGTCCTTGCCGTGGCAAAGGAAGAATAAACTGCGGATTCGACCGTGCCGCCGCCGCCATTCGTTGGTAAGTCTCTAGAGGAATAACCGCGCAGATCGACCGTGGATTGTTTGCATGTCGCAGTCTCCAAAGAGTCTCTATTTCTTTCGGTGGGAGAGTGAGGATCTTTTCGACGTTAAGAAAGGAGCCCAGAGGCTTGATGCCTGGTGTGTTAGGATCCGTGGCTGCTTTAGCAGCGGCAGCAATCTTAGATGTTGTCGAGTTTGCGGAAGTGGATGAAGCGGAGGAATCCGTAGAGACAGGTGATGCGCTACTTGGTAAAGCATCTGGTGATGGCTCAGGTGTTGCGACGGTGGATGCGTTGCGACGATATTCGGCAATCTTGTCTTTGTATGCTTCTTTCAGAGATTCTACCGACTGGTGTCCTTCCCTTCAGAGCAACAGAACAGATTCGTCAGCGTTCATCTCCTTTCATGGGTCAAAGGCTGTAGCATACTGCTTCGCTTTTTGATCTAGCTTGTGCTTGTATCTATCTATCACCTGCTGCGGGTCTCGATGGGTGGCCAGGAAGCGCACATCGTGCACCTGGGCCCATCTTCTTTGTTGGGGTTGATACAGTCTATTATGGCCTCTCGCCAGATGATGTAGCCGCGGAACCCGGATCGAGGCCATATTGCAAGTCGATGTTGGCCGTTGCGAAATGCTTCGAGATAATCAGAATCCGAGAGAATTATTTTGAGGTCGAAATCGGATTAGCGGCGGAACTGCTTAAAGCTCAGGCATGTAATGTTACAGTAGCAATACGGCTTGGCGTAAAATATCTTTCATCTTCGGATCGGAGGCGTGTGGAATATACACATAATTTCCAGATTTCAAAAAGTACCCTGTCAACATTGAAGCTTTCTGATTCTCTGAACCTATAATTACTGTAAGCTCTGGATTCGCCATGGCTTTATCCCCTGTTCAATGTCCCCTTATATTCGACGAAATGCCCCAAACCTCGCTCAATTCCGCCTACTATGATGCATGCGACGAAGTAGGTATCTTGGTCTGGCACGATTTTATGTTTGGATGTGGTAATTATCCGACATAGCCTTCATTACTGGGCTCAAAAAAACTGGAAGCAGTCGAGAATGTGATGCAGCTTCAACATCATTTAGCTATTGTGCTATACGCTAGCAACAATGAAGACTATCAAGTCCTGGACAAGCGGGATTGACGTACGAATTTCGTGACAAAGATCCTAGTAGTTGGTTGCGGACCGATTTCCCGTCACGTTTTATATATGATCACTTCGTACCTGCAGTAATCAAAGAATATTTCCCCCCATGGGCGTTTCAACAGCGAATCCGGCATTGGAGGCCTTCCCGCACCGCAAAATCATCAAATGCTTTATCGAGGATAGTAAGGATCTCTGTCCGCAATCCATGTTATTTACTTCCACAACAAAGCTGATGGACATGAAGGACGACTAGCCACCTATCTCGTGGAGATTCTTAGGGCTGCGACTGTTTTAGAGGTCAGTATTACTGTCGCCCATCTTTCTACTTTATGCCATTTGGCGGTTGAAAGAATAATCTGACCATGAATCATAGACCTACAACTATTTGACCCAAGTCGTCCAAGAAGAAACAACGATGTTTGGCCGTCGAGCTTGGCGGTGACAGTGGGGAGACGAACATCATTGTGGTGGAGCACTGCTTTGGCAACTGAACAACTGCTGGCCTACTATTTCCTGGGCTATAGCTGATTAATTTCTCCAACCGAAGCCTACATACTATGCTACGGCGAGGATTCTCTCCCCCATCGCAGTAGCAGTAAGCCGCAAACATCATGACTGGAGCGTTACACATGCGCCTCCTTCAAAGACAAGCAAGTTTGAATTATGGGTTGTGAGCAATTTTGGAGAAGAGCGTGAAGGCCTTGTCGAACTAAAGTTTATTTGTACTGTCATCGGGCTAGAGGTTCGAGACCGCATCGTGCGCGAGAAAGTCCGGCTGGCTTCGAATGGGACAATCAATATCCATCTGGATGCTGTTATTGATCATATCAAGTATTCGGAGCCGCATGTACTGGCAGCGCGTTTGTGGGTCGATGAACGCTTAGTAGCGAGAGATTTTGACTGCCCACAGCCACTCAAATACTTGATTTTCAGCAATAGGGGCATTGAAGTGCGCGAGATAAATCAAAATTTATCCACGCACATCAGTGAAGTTCGACGCCAAGTTGCCATCAGCACTCGAAAACCAGTCAGGTGCTTCGTATTCGAAGAGCGAGATGAAATAACAGTAAGTGACAGCGCAATTGATATTGTACCTGGCGATGATCAAATCGTGAAGATAGATGGTCTGAAGGTGAGTGAAATCTTGTTGAGTTGGAGATATATCGGACAATAGTTTCTGCCCAAAATAGAACGAACTAAACTTGTTTTATCCCCATGATGTTATAGTATCTTTTTGACTCAAATCAGATACTGCTATCCTGTGAACTCTACTATTTCATATCTACCTAGATACGGGGGATCCAGGACAATGCGCTGCGGTCATCGACGCAATCATACCAGATAAATGTAATTTACAGAATCAAGCTCTGAATCTGAAATAAATCGCGCTTATTCGTTATCATTTTCGACATACTTCATTATGGCTCSCGAGATTATTGACTTACGCGTTCCACAATGTATGAGTTACTTGCATAATAGTATGATCAATATTTACAGAATTCTATTCTCGGAAAAGATAGGCCTACAGATTACCAATGCCTGGGACAAGAATGTGCACGTTACGTATGAAGTCCCCATCAAGGGAGCGCTTCCGATGTACGAGCTTGCCCTAATTTCCTAGTTCGGTACGCTCATCTCGAAAAGACTAATAAAATAAAGCAAGAGGAATTTTCAGTCAAATACAAAAATGAAAACGAAATATAGCATCATGATAAATTCGCAGCGTTTCTGCTTGATCGAGATGCATCACGATTTGATTGTACATGCTCGAACAGTGGACGATTCATCCGTGAGCAAATGCAAAACTAGCAACAGTGAAAATTCTTCTCCATATAGAGATGTACAAGTTCGTGTCTACGTACGTCACTAATCTGATGTGCGAATTTTTTATGTTCTAAGGGGCTTGCGAATCCATGGAGTGCCTCTCTTCAGAAACTACACAGGAATGCGACATTCCTCACATCTCATTCAATGACATTCATAGGTCTATTCTTCTCTATGGTCAGGTAATCGGGACCTTCGACTAACTTGTGACATAATATCATAAACCAGATCTCTTTTGGAATCTGCTTTTAATCAATCTTCCTTCCTCATGTTCAGTTGTGGAATATCATCATATCTTTGTTTGTCAAAAGCTGGGGCTTGTTAATCTCCTAATATCTTTTCTTCTCCTCGCCGTTTACTTTTGGATCCGTACATATTAAAGAACTCATACTATTCGAATATGATTTTCAGAATTGTCATCGGCCTGATGGCCGTCGGGATTGCCTCTGCGCACATGGAAATGAGCTGGCCATATCCCCTACGCAGCAAATTCGATCCTCAATCAACTTCTCCCGACTATTCAATGACAGATCCATTGAAGACGGACGGTACATACTTCTATTTCCAGACATGAAACTCTTAAAACATATTTGACACCATGAATTATAACCAGGATCCAACTTTCCTTGCAAAGGCTACCAGACCAACACTCCATGGCGCTCGGTAACCACCTACACTGCTGGACAGAAGTACAATATCAGTCTGGCCGGCTCTGCTGTACATGGAGGAGGATCCTGTCAATTGTCGCTAAGCTACGACAACGGCACATCGTTCCACGTAATCCAATCGATGGAAGGCGGTTGCCCCTTGGAATCGACTTACGACTTCACTATGCCTAGTGACGCCGCTAATGGCGACGCCCTATTTGCTTGGACTTGGTTCAACTTCGAAGGAAACCGTGAAATGTACATGAACTGTGCCGACGTTACAATTACCGGTGGCAAGGGAAGCGCTGATGCTTTCGAGTCTGCATACCCCGAAATATTTGTAGCCGATGTTGGGAATGGCTGCAAGACTGTGGAAGAACAGGAGACCGTTTTTGCTCAGCCTGGAAACCAGGTCATTTACGGTGGGAGTGTATCGTCGTCCAGTCCTCCGTTCCCTTCTTGTTCATAAGTCACTCATTCGAGCGGCGATTGGCAGTATCCTTAGAATTAATTATTGATAATTTGATTGTTTATTGCCTATGCGTTGTGTTTATGCTGTGCATATTTGATTTCAAGTGGTTGCCCTTCGTCATTTGATCCATGTCAACATCATATCACTGTGAAATGCTAGGTTTTCATAGAGTCTTCCACATTAATAATTCCATATTGTATCTTAATCGACGTCAAACAGCAATTTATCACCAGTCTGAAAGTCGAAACATTGAATTGACCCAAAAGATCAGCGACAGAAACATGAAAATAAGTAGACCTCTTTGCGAAAGTAGATAAGGATCAAACAACATACAAATAATGCTGAGAGTGAAAACGGTAGACAAGATGAATAATCATCAAACGGAGCCCTCCGCGTATGACAATGGCTTGAGATTTAGTGATTGTGATCCATACCTTCCTCTTCCTAACGGCTCATTGATACGAAAGGTATGGGAGAAGAGACACCATCACTGGCGGCTTTGACGGCTCTTTTCTGTCGCTTGAGCTCTTTTCATTCACTGGGACTTATGTGTGGCCAGCTTGATTCCCAGCCTGTCATTATGCGATCTGGGTGGGTGAGGTTGAGAGTGAAAAGTGCCATAAGTATAGGTGCCGCGTCATGCCCGTACCCGCAAGCTTCGTGAAAATTGATCGCGCCACTCTTTAACTCTCCAACAAGACCATATTCGACAAGGCGAAAGATGACACGAGTCTAGCAGGTATGATTCATCAGTACGAGACATCTTGGTCTAGAAATAACCTAGCATTCTGAGACGATTAGGTTGATAGATGCTTACTGTTATCATCAGGAGGACAAAGTAGATCCCATAGAACAAATAAATACAGTTTAGAAAACCCCTTTCTCCTCCCTCTCGACTTTTAAGAATTTGTAGACTGTTTCTTCTCCCTCCGTATTTTTTCTTCACGAAGGTAATCCTTGACCTTTGTCCAAGTGATGTCAGGGTATCGATCATTATCTAGTGGCTTCAGTTGAGCTACCCCAGAGAACATGTTCGCCATGTACTGCATGCCCTGCCATATGGGAAAGACTTCATTTTCCCCGCCGAAGGTGCGAAGAATGCGAATTATCACCTCCAAAAGCCACACTGGACCCATCCACGAAGGCTTATACTGCTTGCCCTCCAGTTCTGTCTCCACGGCCGCGATATCCACGACACTGACAACGTCACCCGCTATACGTAGGAACCGTGGAGTAGGCTTTGGATCTGCAGCAACGGCAGCGGTGTAAGCTGCAGTGTTTGGAATAGTAGTCAAGTCCAGGAGCTGTGTTGCCTTCCCAACATAAACAACCTTGCCCTTCTTGTGGTTGATCATTGGCGTGTCACCACCAAGAAGGTCCATAAATCCTCCATTGAGGATGCTAGTCCACGAAATACCGGACCTATCGAGCCGGGAATGGAACTCGCGTCGCAGGTCCAGGTTGCGATTGGTACCTGGTTTGGTCTTCGTGAAATCTAACGAGAAATCGGAAGGGATGAATCGTGGTACCTTGGCAGCAACAGCAGCGTCAAGCAAGTTGCCCTGAACCGTGTGCATTACATCCCGTAGGCCCTGTAGTGTAGATACAATGCAGGTTGCCCCAGTGAGCTCGCGCGTCAGAGCCGTGACACTAGAGAAGTCAACAGGTGAAACGACAACGCCAGTATCGGAGAGCGCCTGCGTGCGTGAGCGATCTGTTCCTTCGCGGACTAAGGCTTTGACTGCAACCCCACGGTGGGTTAGCTCCTTGATAACGAGTTGGCCCAAGTTCCCTGTCGCACCAGCGACTGCGACGAACGGTTGCGCCATTGATAGCTTCGCAATGTTCAGGCCTGCACTAAGGAGTCCTTTCGTTAAGAGGGGCACGTTAAATCAGATGGACATGAGAAGGTAGTACATGTACAATGCACACTGCGGCTAGGATGAAGTCCAGCCCTGCTATATACTGGTTTGAACTATGGAAATTAGTAACTAGACATTTGATATGTGATTTACCAAATGATTACCAATCATTCGCTCCCAGTCAACTACGGAATAGCATCTCCGGATATTACTAAGTGTTCGGGATATCGGGCAGGGACGGTGAAAAACAGCTCAAGCTATGTACCAAGTGAAGTTTGTACGTATATACCAACATCGGAATAGAGTAAACCGGATGACAAAGTGGCCCACATTGGCACAACGTTGAATTGTGAGGTACCTATCATTCGTCAGCCCTAAACTTGCTAAAACTTAAAAGGGACCCCTGTGGAGTCTGAAGCTTTCGATGAATACGCTAAGTCGCATTAGTTCGTTAGTCGTATGTCTACTATCTAGTGCGTAAAGTTCGTTGCTCAGGTTACCTTGGTCAATACGAAGAATCCTAAGTAACCCCCCTTAAACACTCGACACCGCTCTCAACTAATTCTTTGCTATACACTTTGTCTTGAATACTAGTGTGGTCATGCGTGGAGAGAGTCACTCAAGTAGGAGTAAACAAATGCGGGCAAACTGAAAGATATATATATTATGCTTTAATATTGATTTTCAATTACCAATTTAGTGGTTAATTAAACTATACTTGATGGTTATCATGTAATCACCACTTTTCCACCCATGGGCGAAGCTCAAGTTCAAACGAAAACGCCGAACGTGGCTGTTGATGTAGATTCCAATACGTTTCGGCAATCTATGAAGCAGTGTGGGTTACTAATCTCAATCGTAGCCTGGCTAAAAGAAAAACAAAAACCAAAAGAAAAAGAAAGAAAAAGCAACTTACTGCTTCAGGATTTAGTTTTGCGTCCGCGTGGTCTAACACAAATTGTTGGGTCTTTGGGGTATCAATTATCCCATCAATGATGACATGAGACACGTGGACACCTTGAGGGCCGAACTCCCTCGATAAGGATTGGGCCAGCGCGCGTAGAGCAAACTTGCCTGAGGCGAATGTTGCTAGGCCAGGACCCCCTTTCAAACTGGCAGTCGCTCCAGTAAAGATGAGGGTTGGAGGCGATGCTAGCTCGGTAGACTTCAATAACAATGGTAAGGTTGCTTTGGCAAAGTTGAACCCGCCTTTCCTATATAGCACAGCACCTCAGAGGTTACTCCTCCACTTGCTAACAGTAATGTAGTTGGGCCGGACTGCACGTACCCCTGCGCATTGAATCCCTGTTCATACTCCGTCTCAGTTAACTCCAAGAATGGTTTCTTCACAAATCCCCCGCCCAGATTAAATACCGCTGCTGCGAGAGGAAGACTTCCGAACTGCTCGTTGACATGCTTGAATGCTGCCTGGACACTATTGGCGTCGGACAAATCCGCGCTGATCCCGATAGCTTTCCCACCTTCGTTGTTGATTTCCCGTGCGACATCTTCGAAATTTGCTGGGTTTCTGGCCATCAAAACGACTGGATACGACTTGGCAAATTTTCTGGCAACAGATCTTCCCTACAGAGCTCCACAGTGTTAATTATACACGAGGGTAGAGTAAATTGGATCCTGCCTGTTGTGGGTGAGTGATGGGAATAAATCTATACGTACCGTGCCGGGGCCGACTCCAGCAATGATCGCAAATGCTTTGGCTGACATTGTAGTACCGTGGCCTGTAAAATGGAAATTATTGTCGTAGTAGAATAATGGTGAAGTTTAGGCGACATGGGATGTTGAGGTACTTTGAGGCCTGAGAGCCCGCAGAGAGTGATTGACATCATGATCAAAATGACCAAAATTACAGCGTGTAGTTAGTTAGTTGGAGAACAAAATGTGATTTGTCAGCTATCATATTGTCAGCGGACCCATCGCGGAATACTGTACTGCGTCGTACATCGTATGCCAATTTCCTAACTATGTGCGTAGTCATAACGTAGTATACGTACTCCGTAGTGTGGGGCCTGTTTTCTGTGACGATTCTTGACTATGTATCACAATTAGGGCTGAATTTGTTTACTTTTTGGTACTACTTCCATGATTGCACTGGTTAAAATTCATTGCGCGATGTACTATGTTTCCGTGTTAAACCGACAGCTATCTTGTAGTATTTATGTAAAGAATGAAAGTCTTAAGCTTATTTCGTCTTTCAATGGACTAAGTAGGCTTGTATAATATTTTGAATCTAGAGCTTAGGCTGGAGAATTACTACACTTTGTGGAATAGCTAGTAATATAAAGGACTGTCCCGTCTTGAAAGCTTGGTTATATTGAAGAATATCCTTGTGAAATACAGTATATGCAAGGATTATGTTTTCTAAGATTCTGACTGCGACACTCTCTTCGACCTAACAGCCTGACTGCAACCTCTGCACTGAGGGATTGATTCTCAATCAATCTTTTGCAAGTGCCTCTGTGTCTGTTTATTGTTATTATTCTTGCAACTTTATTTTTAAGCTACCGCAGAAATTATCTGACGCTTTACGGCCTGGAATAGGATAGTATGAAATCTATATCGATCATCTCCGCAGACAATGGAGTGAGAAATCCTACCAGGTGTGATATAAGCGATGACTAAACAGCGATTAGATCTGCACAGAACGCTATGGTATAGTACTAAGTTCATACAGTACTTAGGGGCGACCTTGCCTAAAGTTCCGTCAAGCCGCGATTTTCGTCAACAGCCGGAATTTCGATGCCAAGTCCATTTCTCCAGAGCATATTGTGCTGAGTAGACATATCGTAAGTTGTTGGCTGTATGGACATGAATCTGTGAGTAGGAACGATGATGATGACGTGACGGTGTAAAGGTGTGGTTTTATTTGATGACTCAGGAGTAACATATGTAGCCTTGTGGAACTCTGGTTGATGTTTGGCGCCCTAGCAGTGTATTCTGTCTTGATGATTTTACCGCAGTTTCTTCAGACTTTGCCTGGGGGACCCCTAATTTAAGGGTGCCTCGCACTTCGTGTTATTAACCAGTCGTTGAAAACCATGCATTGCTTTCAATATGACAAATCGAATGAATCGCAGAGTCTATCAATCACATTTGAAAAATGAGTGGCTTGAGCGTCGTTTTTAAGCCACGATTGCGAGATAGCTCTTTTTATATTCCTGATGTCCTCCAAAATCCACGTGCACTCTGAAAGGGAATAGCCTGACTTGGAGAACATAACAAACACCAGCATAACGTGAAAAATGCAATACCTACCACATAGTCAGAAGAAATTCTATAATATAGACTGAACTTTATGCACGTACAACAAAAAAGATGAACCATTTGTGGTGTGTTGATGTCTGTCAATGGTTTGAAGAATGAGGCTCAATGATTCTCTAGCCGTATACAGACACCGGAAGGCACATTGTTCGTGGAGATCTTTTTCGGGGTCGCTAAGATATCCTCCATTACTTTCTTTTTGGGCCCAGTTGAAAAGGAAGGGTTTCCATAAGAGAATGCGAAGGTTCTTGCCGCATATTCGAAGTCGATATTTGGTGAAATGTTTCACTTCGGAGTCTGAGGGAGAACCAGGTTCTTTTAGATAGGCTGGGTGAGAGTCGTGCCACGCATCAATCGACTTTTCCAGCTCCTGGACCTCATGAACAGAGATATTCGGCGTGGCGACCAGACGGCGGTAAATATTGTTGGCTGTTATATGAAATTGAGCTTGAGCAATCAGCCCTGTGTATAACGTCATTTCATTCATCTCACGAGGAACCGTTGAGGTCGTAGAGTCAAGTGCCTGTAAAATTGAAGGCGTCAGTCGCTTACTAGCGATATGTCTGAGATCACCAATAGTACCTCATCGTGAATGTTCAATACAGATTTCACAGTAATGAAGCTGTTTTCTGGAACTGAAAGTGATACACCAAAATTTTTGGCAGCAGAGCTGTCAAATATATAGAGACTCCACCACACCCGTCTTCGCATTTCGCTTTCAAATAGTGTCACCGTAGGGTTCAGATCCTCCTTGTGAAGACCAAGATTGATAGCCATTCGACTGGCCGCAGAAAGATACTGCAAGCTAGCCTCAGGCATACCCCGTTTCTGGGAAAAGTCATGTAATAGTAGTAATGCCTGTACGAGATTTAGATTTCCAGGTTCCATCAAGGGTACTTGCTCTAAGAGTTCTTTTCCGCGGAGGTAGTATGCCATGTCAATTTCAGCATTGTTATATCCAACACTCCAAGCTCCCATAGCAATAACTGCTTTAAACAAGATATGCCATGCGAGACCATGAGTGCTTGGGTAATGCATAATATATGCGTTTCTGAAACTTTTCTCGTGAATAAAAGGGTTAACTGGGTGATAATTCGAGAAGTAGGAATCAATGTATCTTTCTTCGTGGATAGCCTGAGGCCCATTCAGGTTAGGTTGGGTTAGATCTTGAGCAACTTCCTCAATGCCCTGAGATGTATCTCCACGGGGAGGAGAGCCAATCGATCCTAGGGACGGTGTTGGGTTAATATATTAAAATCAAACGGAGGTAGCAAATGGGATTTAAGAGCGAACAAATACTGACTTGTTGATGGATCTCTTTTCAGGTCGCTAAAATCACAGAACTCACTGAGCACATCTGAAGATGGATCTAACAATTTGCTGGCCGAATCTTCGGGTATCAAGAAATCATTCTGATGTGAGCCCAACAGTGTAGGTTGATCATCTTGGTTTTGGACTAGGTTATGGACAATCTCTTCAACGCTTCCAGCCGGAAAAAGTCTTTGTAAAGCAATTTCAAATCTCCCCAAACGGTCTTCAACGCTGGTGAGGTGCCTTGAAGATCCAGCTGATTAGATCGTCATTACTCTTGACTGAGCAGGGTTATGCTAATACTTACGCCCTTGTCAGTGGGGTCCGACTAACTTTTGGGGAATAAATACAGTTTCTCTGATGTCGCCTGCATTGTGCGCACTTTGGGCGTTCTTTCGAGCACTATTTCTTGTATGATCAGCTTTGGTTTCCTGACAGCTCATGAAGAGAAGTACAACTTTTGCCTTTCGAGCTCTGCATTCATTACACTATCAGAGTTAGCTTTTTCGTTTCTTCTTTCTTCCTTCCTATTCTTTCATCACCCTTCCGACTCTTCATCACTGTTTTGCCTGGGTTGAAAGTGTAACTCACAGAGGCGATGTGTGGATTGCGAGAAGCCATGGGAAGTATAGAAAATAAGTAGTATTCAGTGGCTTCTCTTCCTTCCTTCGTTAGCTGACATCATATATTATCGATCGGTGTGTGTAGCGTTAATATATCTCTTACTTGGTCTGGCACAATGAAGTGGGCGGCATAAATTTATTGTTTAAGCCATTCAGATGCTGGTGAAGTTGCCACTTGGTGGTCATGCTAACTGCTAACTCACCTAGAAATCAAGCTAACTACTTTCGTTAGCTGGTTGAGTATCCTAACTTAGTTAGCTTATTTCACAGTGTAAGGCCAATACACGATACACGGGTGCTCAGTTTGGACGGCTTTGCGTATACTTTGTCATTTCCTTATTAACATTTACTAAAAGATCAAGTTCCTAATAGTCTAATCAAATTTTCGAAAGACAAGAATTGTCATTGTACCAATAGTAAAGATCACACTTGACTCGACAGTTAAGTCAATTATCCGCACGTGCCTGAGGCATTCTTTCTTTCATGGCCTGTTCCTGTTTCTCAGCAAGATCCTTTACAATTGGCCTCTCATTCATGCGATTTAACCAACGCCGCACGTGGGGAAACTCGTTCTGATCGAAACCCTCTTCAGAAAAGAATTTCTGCGCAGCATTTTGCCAAGGAATAAACGCAAGGTCGGCAAATGTCAATTTATCGCCGAMAAGCCACTCTCGCTTCTCTAACCACCGATCAAGAACTTTTGAAACACGCTTTATCTCATTCACGTAACGCTGAATGGCGCTTTCAATGTGGTCCTCATGATACCTCTTGAACCAAACAGCCTGGCCATAATAGGGACCTTGGCCTGACACCTGGTAATAAAGCCATTGAACTGTCTGATACGACTCTTTTGTTCCCCGCGTAAAGCTGATCGTATGATCCTGATCGTATGTTTCGATAAGGTATTCGATGATGGCTCCAGATTCCCAGAGGGTAATGTCCGTGTTGGGGTCATAAATAGCCGGAAGACGGCCGTTCGGGTTGATAGATTCGTAAGCAGGAGTTTTGAGCTGGCTGAAATCTATAAAGTCGGTTTCATAAGGAAGGTCGAGTTCACGAAGAATGATGTGTGTTTTGAACGGATTCGGACCAAGATAGCCGCCATAAATTTTGATTGGCTTGATATCGCGAGGCATTATGTGACAGATCGCTGTAGTATGTGAGGCAACTCAGACGTTGAGGTGACTTTACTGAACATAAAATTTTATCGAAGACCGTCGAGTTTATATACTTGATTGCCTCAGCAAATTTGGAAAAGAGAAATATATGGTATATAGAGCCTATAGAGACACGATTACAAATGGGGATGCTCTTTAAGTGGGTGCTAGGATTTTCATCAATGCGGACCGTGGCAACAACTGGCAACGACCAGACTTCAGTATAAAAAGTATTGGGTGTTTTTGTTACGCGTCCGTTTTTGGTCACTTAGGGCTGCCTGGACCGGCGAAGCATACCTACTCCACAAATAATGTAAGGATTCTCCCCGCATTTGTCATCCGCTTTACTCTATTCCGATATTACATATTTTACTCACGGAGTAGCTTGGACCGTTTTCACCGTCTCGCATTGCTAAAGTGTTTTCGTATTTATTCGGTGCTTGCTTTTGCTGTGGAGAGTATAATAAACACGTAACGGAGCAACCTTAATAATACAGTGTTGCTTTCATAACGGGTGCTGGAGGTTAAGGTCATTGGTGCCACAGTAGCGGTAGCATTTGCAGCAGCTGGATGCCGGAAAATTGCAATTATGGACATCAATTTGGCTACTCTTTCTCAAACTCGAGATGAAGTTCTTGCTCGCTACCCAGATGCCGCCCATGTCGTTACCATTGCAGATGGTCAGGTAGATAATCTTATCTACTCAATTTTACCATCTGCTAATGAACTGTGATATAGATAAAGACCTGGAAGGTTGCAACAGGCGCTATTGAAAAATTCCTTTGGATATAGACCTTACTGTTTTGTTCTGCATGTAACCCGAAAACGTTAAAATACAGGCTAGATCTACATAAAATTATGTAGATTATAGGAGCCACCTGTTTGTCTTGTTTGGGGAACCTGAGGTCCGACTCCAAAACTCATGGATTCGCACCACGACTTCAAAGTCTTGGACCAAGGACCCAACCTTGGCGAATCCAACTTGACTAAAACTTTTCCTTGTTGCTAATTACATAGTCCTTCCACTCGGTAGGTTTCTCGTCTACCAGAGCGAGAGAAGGTGATAAGGGTTCACCAGCATAATAACCGGGGTCTTCAAGCAACATGATGTTTTCCAACATTTCCTGTGCAACTGCGGGGGGCAAAAATGATTTGAACACGTCTCCAGGAATTTGTACTGCCTGAGCCTGGTAGCCTGTGGCCTCCTTAAACTCATTAACAATCCTCTCCGGCGAGTAATAATCAGTAGCAGCGAGAATTCGCTGGTTGACGGAAGATGGATAGTGCTTTATGGCCGCTTTGACAAATTTGCCTATTTTTCTCGCACCCCACGCATTAGTAGCAATTCGTCATGATTGAACTCAAAAAAAGATACATACCGGTATCACTTGCAGCATCAAAAAGGGGAACCTGAGTCTTGTCCAGGTTGACGGGCCAAGCAAGGGTGTATGTATCGTCCTGCTTGTTGAAAAACTGGAAAAAGTTCGACATGAACAGACCAGGAAGGACAAAGGTGCCAGGGACCCCACTAGCCCGGATATAAGACTCAACTTCAGCCTTGCCATCAAAATGGGTCACATTGGGCAAACGACCATTGCTGATCTCCGTGACATTCCTGAGTGATGAGAAAATGAGATGCTTCACGCCGGCTTGCTTGCAAGCATCAGTAACAGCCTTGCCTTGGTTGACTTCGGTATCCTTGTTCATGGATTCCCAGAAGTTGGTAACCAAGAACACAGTATGGGCTCCAGTAACCGCTGGGAGAGCTGCCTCGACTGAGGACATGTTGGCCTTAAATCGCACTTGTTAGTACTTGGAACACTTTTCCTACCCTGGTAAAATTATTGAAAACACTTACGGAAACGACCTCGACGCCATCTTGGGCGAGCTTTTTTGCCGCGGGCTTGCTGGTATCGCGGGTGACGCCGCGAATCTTCCAACTCTTAGAGAGAACAGGGTCGGCTAGAATAGCTCTGATAACTGAGCCACCTTGGTTGCCGGTGGCACCAAAGACAGTGAGGATTTTGGACATGTTGAAGATGTAAAGTAACGTAATGGTTTAGATATGGTAGAAGTAGAATTGCCTCGTGTACGGAATAGGTGACTTGGACGTTTTTATAACAAACAAACAATTAACGCAATACAATACTCCGGATTACAGATCTCGGGCTTTGACAGCGCGAGATGATAATTCCACTGTGTCATTATTGACTCACCACGAGCGTTGGCGATCCACAGATCCAAATTCTGTCCAAATAAGGTCAATGGCCAAAGTTAACGCTCAACGCGTTGAAACGTAAAAAGACATGCTAGGGATTTGAGTACTCCGTAGTCGTGACGAATTAACTTTGAATTATTAAATGCTGATCAATCCACCTGGATCTCACAATGCCTAACTACCTGAAAACTCCTAACTAAACATGATGACGTGTTGGATTTTTTTTCAACTAACCTTAATAAATTAGTTTCTCTTTATTGGAGGTCCAAGACTTTTAAGTCCGCCGCAAAAAGCTTCGACGTATTAACCCTAGCCCTAATTATTTATTGGAGGATTTACCACTACAATGAGAAGAATATAAGGTGGTAATCACTTGTAATGTTTTCAGGCTGTCTAGTATTCCTGCGGTCAATTCCTGTCCTTTTCATATGTCGGAACGTTATACAGATTCCCGACTGTTTTTCTTCCAAGTTGTGTATCCAAATGACTCGTCACATATGCTGCAAGGTGCGCTGTAAGGAGTTGTAAATGACCCCAATTTTGGGTCAAACAGATTCACACATTTTATCCAAGTTGAGCGTAGCGGTGAATTAAACCAACGTTATTATTGAGCTGACGTGTCTTCTGAAATAAAGATATTATAGGACTTTGTCTAAGAGCAATGGGTAAAGCAGAGTTTTCTGTAAGAGACCAATTCTTCAATCTCGGAGGCTGAAGCTACATCCTACTTAGCATACCAAATCTCGTTAATCTTCACAGCTCAATAGGCAAGCCGCTGCAGTCAAGTATTTGCAAGACACATTCAGCCTGAATTATTCCTCATGCGGCTTGATTGCTCGCTGGTGTTCCACAGAATCGAGATGACCGGCCAACTTGGCTGACCACAGATCTGAGCTAGTAACATTCAGATTATACTTCTCAACAAGGAAGCTGTTCGGGAAGCCCGGGTCAAAGGGTATCGCAGAGTCGATTTGATCGAGGTCTTCGGATGTCAGCTCGATTTTGAGGGCCTCAATGTTGGCAAGGAGATGGTCGACTTTTCGTTGTCCGATAATTGGGAAGACATATGGTGTCTTCTGAAGAACGTATGCCAAGGCCTGTATTGTGTCAGTCATTGGATTCTTTCTATGTCTTGCTTGCTGGTCAATGTACGAACCACGGCGTGCAAACTAGCATTCTTGCGATTCGCAACGGCTTCCAAGGCGTCAGACACGCGAACCTCGTTTTCAGACAATTGGGCTGCTCTTCCGGCTCCCGTATGGGCAGCCTCTCGTGCAGCAGCACTCTTAAATCTTCCCTGACCAAGAGCCGCCCAGGGAGCAATGCCCATTCCTTGATCACGACACATGGGGATAATCTCTCTCTCCAAGTCTCGAAACGAGGCGTTCCATTTGCCCTGGTACACCGAGAAAGGTCGGAGACCATTGGCACGAGCGTAGTCATTGGCCTTAACAACAACCCAAGCAGGAGTATCGGAAATACCGAGGTATAGCACTTTGCCAGCTGTGATCAACGAATTCAAGCCATGCATGACTTCTTCTACGCCAGTTGTGAGGTCCCACCAGTGCACATAGAATAGATCTATGTAGTCTGTTTGCAGCTTCTCCAGACTCTTCTTGATGGAGATGTGCATGGATTTCATCGAGTTACCCGAAAAGTTAGACTGGATGGGCTCTTTGTTAAAGTGTGCAGCGCGAAAGTTTGCTGTATATTTAGTCGCAAGGCTAATGCCAGAGCAAAAAAGAAAAAGTTATCATATTAGTAACGTGTTTATTGATCAAATATTTATCATCGAATTCTTCAGCACTTACACGATTTGGTCGCGATTTCCTCGAGCCTTCATCCATTCTCCGAGCCATTGCTCTGCTTGCTCGAACTGATAATTGTTGGCTCTGAGAAATATCAGCCACTGTCATTGAGATAGAAGCAGCGTCGAATACATACGTATCAATGAAATTGCCTCCATTCTCGTAGAAAGCGTCAAGGATGGCAAAGGCATTTTCTTTCGAGCATTCACCCATAAACGATTCCCTGAGACGGTATGAGACGGACTCCATGATTCGCCGTTCAATGATTTACTTACCATTCGGTGCCAAAGTTCATCGTTCCAAGGCATAATGGCGAGACCCGCACGCCAGCCGTGGGAGCCAGGACGCGGTGATAACCGAGAGCGCTCTTTGGTGTAGGCGCTGGTCTACGAAAAGGGTTCGACATGGTGATGGGCTTGGGTTCCTCGGGTTCTGTTTTTGTTTTGTTGAACATCAATTGAATCATTTCAGGTCAATTTGGAACTTACGAAGACATTTATAGCCATCTCTAGGAATAGCCGAGCTACGTCAGTCGAGGCAAGCATATCCGGCACTTCTAACTCCGGAGACATTCTCGACGTTCACCAATCAACGTACTTGATGTACACAACCCTGGAGATAATGAGAGCAAAGAAGGACTGGAAAAAAGATCATCCAAATGCTATCTTGTAGAGCCAATTAGAGAGCCTGCTGTGAACCGGAGATAGAGTCTTAAACCCTAACTCCCAGCCGACTTGTGAGGAGACAGGGAATCAATGTATTTGTAATAGCTTCGTACCAAGCCATTTCTATCAATAGGTAAGTTAGTTACTTCTGGGGTTATGACCAATTCTAGATTCATAGCACGTAACGCTGTATCCACATGAATATCTCGCAAAGATTGCCGATTCCTTCCACTTGTCAAGAAGGGTTAGGGTCGACACTACAGTGCAAAGGGTGGTAATGGACCGTTGCTGGCTATAATGGAGAATCATTTCTATATTAAATAAACTCGGTACGACATGGTTCAATTCTTTGTTTATACCAGTCCAACTTCTGACAGGGGTATCGTACGTGGGTGTAACCAACGGCGCAAGTGTTCGTACTAAATAGCCCCCGCGCTCATCCTTATCTTCACCTCAGCCCTCCAGACTTCGACTCAACAACATCAACCATCGAATTAATCAAAGTGTCAAACATCAATTGCATACGGGTAAGGAGCATCTTGCAAATTAGCGACTCACCGCCATGGCAGACTCTCTCTTCGCTGGACCCGATGCGACAAAACTGTCCATCCACCAGACTGACTCACCGAAAGATTTGTTGCCGCCCGACCAGCTGAAATTTGGGCGATCTTTTACTGGTTAGTAGCACCAACCCAAACATTTATACACTATCAATGAATATGTGATATAATATTGAGATATATATGGTCACTGGGACACTGACAATTATACAGACCACATTCTGTCCGCGACATGGAATGTAAGAGAAGGTTGGAGCACCCCGAGTATAGAGCCCTACAAGGCTCTTACTCTCGATCCAGCCGCAGCAGTATTCCACTATGCGTTCTGTTGCTTTGAAGGAATGAAGGCATACAAAGATGCCAAGGGCAACGTGCGCTTATTTCGACCTGAGAAGAATATTCGTCGCTTCAATACATCGGCAGTCCGCATCGCATTGCCGAGCTTTGACGAAGAAGCAGTATTGAAATTGCTGGCAGAATATACCAAAACAGAGAGTCGCTGGATTCCAGAGTAAGTAGCATTTGCATAAGATATACCCCTCACCTCAATGATCTGCTTTCCCTACAAGATTGATGACTAAATTGAGACGTCATTAGAGGACGGGGATTTGCACTGTATCTACGGCCAACACTGATCGGTACGGAGCCGGACCTGAGTGTGTCACGTCCACAATCAGCTTTGTTGTACGTCATTGCCAGCCCAGTCKGTAATTACTTTGGCAGTGGCGGCATGAAAGCTATCTCCTTAGAGGCGTGCTCTTCGCCAGTGCGTGCTTGGCCTGGTGGTGTGGGCGACAATAAGGTCGGGGGGAACTATGCACCAACAATAGTGGCTCAAGAGACGGCTGGGTCTCGTGGATTTCAACAGATCCTTTGGCTTCTTGGCGACCCTGAAGTACCTGAGCAGCAGTATATTACCGAAGTGGGTACGATGAATCTGTTTGTCGCGTGGATCAACCCTGAGACAAAACACAAGGAATTGGTCACCGCACCTTTGGACGGCACCATTCTGCCTGGTATCACACGCGATTCAATCATAGATCTTGCACAAGAGCGGCTGGTTCCACAAGGTTGGCAGGTGTCTGAAAGGCGTGTGTACATGACCGAACTCAAAGAGGCTTCCAAGCAAGGTAGATTGCTGGAGGTGTTTGGCGCAGGCACAGCGCTCATCGTGAACCCTATCAAGTCCATCTCGTGGAACGGGGAAGTCATCGACTGTGGCTTGAAAGCTGGAGAGGAGGTTGGGGAGATCACAATCACCATGAAGAACTGGATTGAAGATATTCAATACGGAGTGGTGGAGCATCCTTGGAGGTGAGTATTAACCATATAGAAGAAATTGGAAATTTCAGACTGGATACTGACCAATGAGACAGTGTTGTTGTATAAATCTCGCCAGGTAGCTTTTGTCCGAGGTCTTAGACAGTTAGATTCCAGGGGGCGACCGAATGATGGGCCGAACACGAGTGCTGAACAAAAAGATCACGAGGGAGGGCTTGAGAAGTTGAGACGGTGTGGACTGACAGCTGTTGTTTTGTTTCTTGGTAGACTGCATTGATAGGCACCATCTTCTTTCCACGAATTCCCAGGGTATGGTAGATGATAGAAGAGACAAAGAACACAGAGTAAAGAGGAGGAATTGACCAATGAAAGAACTGGACCGAGGGAGTGTCATGTGACGTTATGTGACTGGGCCATTGGCAACGGATTCCGATTGGCCGATGCGTACCCTTACTCCGTAATCAATCCGAAGCAACGTATCCGTTTTACCTTCATCATTGTTTAAATAGTTCGCCATGACCCTTGGATGGGTTCACGTCCTTGATTGTTGTTTTCGCTATTACATTGGAATATAGAATGGCTGCTCGACCTACGACTCGCTACGTGCTCCTCAGCACCTTTGCGCTCCTCTTCATCATATACTTCATCTTCCTCCAGCCTCGAGGTCCAGACAGTCCGGCCACACGGGCACCAGGTCACTTGACAGATACGAAGAATACCATACCGTCGAACTTGGCGCTGGATGATGATGTACTGAAAGGAGCTGTGGTCATGCCAAAGCTGGCCAATGAGACTGCCAAGTATGTACTTGCTTATAGCTTATCCTCGAGCGCACGTATTATCTGGGACAGCCAGGATTGAGTTAACTGTTGCTTTGCATATACAGAGCGGAGCTAGGTCGGTCTACTTGGAAGTTCTTCCACACGATGATGGCACGATACCCGAAAGAGCCGACACTGGAGGAACAAGAGGCGTTACGGTCTTTTGTATATTTATTTGCACGACTTTATCCTTGGTGAGATTGGCTAACCTTGTGGCCTCTGATCCGGAGCTAATGTGACTGTATAGCGGTGAATGTGCATCGCATTTTCAGGGACATCTCAAAAAATATCCGCCGCAGGTCTCGTCGCGCGACGCAGCATCGGGATGGGGTTGCTTTATCCACAACGAAGTGAATCACATGCTCAAGAAACCCGAGTACGACTGCAACAAGCTGGATGAATATGATTGTGGATGCGGGGGCGAGGACGAGAGTGGAGAGAAGGAATTGGCAAAGATAGTCAAGAACGATGTACAAGAGCCGGATCAGGATCATGCCGTTAATCCTGCCGTTGAGATCACCAAGGAACCGTGAGTGGCGATTCCTCTTTTTGGACCGAGTCATAATTCGTGCTGACTATCGCTTTATAGACTCACTCGAGGAGGTTAGCGCAGATGAAGCTACTGCGAGCCACACCCTTAAGCGTCGAACCTCGTCATACCTCGTGATACCCTGCGCATCCTACATTCTATCAGTCCAAAGATACCCCACTAGTTTTGCTATTATCTGTCTTCGATGGCGTCAAAAGGATTATTTCAAGATTCAACGCATTTAGCATGAAACGCCTGCACTTCTCGTACCCTCTAATGTCTGCGCGTATATTGATGAGATGGCCGTTATATGCACATCATTTATCCATTCTGGTGGCGTTGCGCCATGATCATGGACACAAATTGAACAGGACGTTAATGCAACCACCAATATGCAGTCTGGCATGGCGCATGACCTTTTGGCTGCCCTGGTGTGTGGCTAGTGAAGCGGCCTGACTCCCTGACTTCCGGCGCGCTAGAGATGCCGGGCGGTAGTATGTACATCGGGATCTAGTGTATCCCGTGTACACTGTACATACTATAGTAGTGTAAAAAGATACACATTGATGAATAATGCTCCGTATGTGTCTGAGTAGATACTGTATTATTGCAGGGGAATCAATCGACATGGTTGGTCCGCCGTGCAGTATCTAAATATGGATGTCTGCTGACTCGCTTGCCTGTTCGTCATGCGATCATTGGTCCCAGTTTGGATCGCGCTAAAAAGCTGTCTCATGTCCAAAACAGACGACGCAGTTTGAAGTGTGTCTCAGGATGCATCATGTAGAATGGCAGTTCGTTTAGTCTGGAGACTGGGCCTCTTCGCGACATTTGCTGCGGACGGATAATCTCACGTCAGTCTACCCGACTTTTTCATCTCATTGATGATATCGGACAATAAGAATTCTGGGAGCGAATAGGCGATGGAACAGGCTAGTGGCTGATCGTAGCGATCTGACAGGCCTGGCCGCCTGACTCCTGAGGCAGCCAGCCAATGCGGGCTGAGCAGACAATCAACAACAAAAAGAAGCGCGTCGCCCCTTGTTTGTTATTGTTGTCTATACTATATCATTACATTGTACAACCAGAAGATTAGAATATTCTGTTTACCAAGTCTACAATTAGTAGTTGTCAACAACTCTGGAGTCAGAAGGTCGTCCCCACTGGTTTCCTGCCTCAGGCTTCTCTGGTTTCCACTTTTTTTCGATGTGGGCTTGCTCCTTCTGGAAAAGCTACAATATTTTCATTCCTCTCCAACTCCCAACTCAACTCGCGCCTCACCATTTGTCTAGTACAGTTGATTGGGCTCTTGTCACAGCCTTATAGCACTGCCGTCCTATCACCAACATACCCACTTCAGACAGCTGTACAACACAGCGGTGTACTGGTCCACCTCGCCGTTAGGCATTCTTGTTCGGGCGATCGACGCAGGAACGGATTTTAAAGAGAGACAGCTTTCTAGGGCTCCATCATGGTTTCCTTTCAATGCGAGGTGAGTGTACATAGTCTACATACCGATTAACAACTAGCATAACTGACTTTGTCGCGCAACCTGCAGAATTGCGGTGATGTGCTCACCAAGAAAAAACTAGACCCCCATCGCGGGCGATGTTACGGCGCCTCCTTCACTTGTATCGATTGTATGGTCCACTTTCCAGGCAACGAATACAGGTCGCACACGGTATGCAATTACTGTGGCTTATTATTCTATGCTATTTTCACACCGACAACGCATCCTATCGCGCTGCGCAAATGTCTAGGTCACAGGCCTAGGCCTTAAGTCGTCGGCGCAAGACCTGGTTTGCTGCCCAGGACCATTTGTTGCCCGATTGGATGCTATCGCTTGTTGTGTCTGATTTTTTTTTGTTATCCGATTGGACCAGGCTAACGAGATGTTTCCCTCTGGATCGCACAGGCATGCATGACCGAAGCGCAAAAGTACCAGGGCGCCCTATATAAAGAGAAACCGCAGAAAGGGAACAAGCAAAATAAGAAACAACCCGATAATTCCAAGACACTCACTAATACCAACGGAAACTCAGCCAATACGAAGGCTAACACCAAGAAACCTCGCCATCCTTACGTTGAAGACGCACCAGATACCGATGATCCTCCAGCCGAAAAAGTCCCTCCTGCCGCCCCCAGTCCTCCGCAAACATCAAAAACCCCCGCTTCGGCCTCAAAAGCAAAAGTGGCTGCGCCTGCTGAAGAAGACGTCAACGTCTTTGACTTTCTGGTCACTGACCAGACACCCACTGCTTCGAAAATTTCGTTGGCTGCCGGTAAAGGGCCGATGAAAATGGTAGCTAATGCGCGTTCGGTATTCGAACCGGGAAAGGCCCTGGCTCAATACGATACGGATGTTGACGACGAAGATCGCGAATATGATGTCGCCTACGAAGAAAATGGGTTCTCATATGGCGCAGATCCTATCAAGCCATCACTGTATGAAAACCAAGTGTCCAACGTTTCCATGGACTTCATGACTCCGGCACCGAAGAAGAAAGAGAAGAAGCACAAGAAGAAGGACATTGAGCGCAGCTCCCCAGACCCAACCCCAAGAACGACGAGCGACAAGAAACGCAAGCGCGGCCATGTCGAAGAATTGGATGTTGAAGCCGCCAATTCGCGGTATGAGGAGGATACTCCCATGACGGATGCCCCATCCAGCGTTACCAATAACGTGGGAACACCTTACCTTCAGCATTCTGGGTTGACAGGAGGGTTGGACCGTATGCTCCGAGACAGATCGCTTTCGCCGGACTATGAAGATTACACGGACGATGAGCACGACCTTCGCCGATACCAAGACCCCCAGTCTCCTCTCAAGCGCACTCGCCCGAACGAAAAGCTTGCAGCTATTAATAAAAGCAATGGGAATGCGGACGATGGTTTGGGAATTTCTCTCAAGGGTCGTGCTGGTCGCATCATATCTATGTTCGGCGGATCCAACATATCAACTAGTAGTCGGGGAAGCGCCGAACCTTCAAACAAAGCCCTTGTTCGCACCCGAAATAGTCCCTCTAATGGCGACGAGCTAGTTCAAGTGCGCCGCTCCAAGAAAACAAAAGATAGCACGGCTATCGACGCAATTGACGAGGTACGTAAGACGAAGCGTAAAATCAGCTCACAGAGCAACGGTAACGACCATTACGACTCGACCCGGCCATCCCGTCGTCTGAAAGCGATTGAGCAGCGCGGCGGATCCGACAGTGGTGGCGATGACAACCGCAAGATGGTCCTCTACCGGAACGGTGATGACGAAGCTCTCACGGACGAAGAGCAAGAACGCGACAAGGCTCTTTACTTTTTGTCATTAGTTACAAAAGGCCCCGAGAGTGGACGTGGTTGCTCGATCAACAAAACCCTCAAACGCTTTCATCGCGATTATCCGGCGCGCATAGAATCTTCCGAGGATCATCACGACGAGCGTCGCGGTCGGGGACGTAGCAGTCGGGTAGATCGGGATCGTCGTCAGGAAGAGGAGAAGGACTTGTGGCGTACCTTGCGGCTGAAGAGGAATGATCGGGGTGAGATTGTCGTCTTTCTGTAATGCAAGATGTCTGGTTCTGGTGGAATTTTGATTTTGGTGCATAGTACATATCTAGGGTATATTCCCGGTTCATTTTTTTTCTTTATAAACTGGTTTTATGATCAGAGGGAGGACATGAAGGTCTCTGAATGGGTGTTGCAGCATTTCGTTCATGTCTACTTTTCTTGCATGGTTCATGAGTGTGTTTGGCGTCATTCGTGTTTTTAGTGTATTGCTTCGTGTTTTCACCGTTCAGCTAGTTAATTATAAAGTTTTTTGGATTTTCCCATGCCGTCTCTCTTCAGTCGAGATATAAAAAATGAGAAAGGCTTTGTCGTTCACGCGTGATCTCGGCAACCATGTAGAGACTTCAGTCCCTCCTTTCCTAAGCGCTGTGTCTCGACTGAACTGGCAGGACAGCCATAGACTCGTACATTTTCCACCACATCAAGGTTAGTAATCAAGTCATACGAAGAGTCCAAGGTTGTACCTTAAAATTGATAGAGCATATGGCACTATTCCTATCTTGGGTTAGGCAGTCGACAGGGTCCTAAACCCTCGTGGGGTGCTCACTGAACTTCATCTCTTTGTGACTGGAAACATATAGTGCTGAGCTTCTGTCCAAAAATATAGCATGAAGTATACATAATGGCTTCACATGGTTCGTACCTTGAGTACAAACGGGAGACACAGTACATAGTGTACTGGATGATCCAGGCTTCAAATACGATCCTCAAAAACTCTCCGGCCTCCTTGGGAGACGATGCAACCAAAGTTGCAAACCCCACTGGTAAGATTACAGTGAGGGGCCTTGTATCTTTGGCCAAATTGATCTCTAAAAATATCAGCCCAATTCCAACCACGATTTATCGTCTGTTTCGGTCAGTAATCAGAGCGAGGACAGAGTTTCATGCTATGTTTCAACAAGCGGCCACACAGAATCCAGATCCTGAATTAGAGAGGCAGAATTCTTCCCACAAGCATTTCATTGATGCTTTAGTTGAGGCTTTCACAGTTCTTGGGGGTGATGGGTGGGCGTCAGGGCAGAAAGCTAAGGAGGGAGAACTCGATGAGCAGGAGGATATTGAGCAAATCATTTTTGCGAACAAATTCAATGCACTGAATGTTAACCCCGAACAATCTGGTGGAGAAGAGGTTGATATGAAAAGCGATAATGAATCTGACCAAGAATCAGAGTCCGTGACAACTGCTCAAAACCGTCAGCAAAAGAAATCTTCCGGCAAGGGAAAGAAGGGCCGCCGGGGAAAGAAGGGCAAGAGAAAACAAAATAAGGTGGTCCTCGAGAAAACAAGCTTGACTGAGTTACCGTTGGAAAGCTACCGTATTATCCACGATGAGGATGGAAATATTACCGATTATCTGATGGCAATCTATGGACTTATTCAGGAATGGGGCGACCTTCGAATCTATTTACAAAAGCTCTGGGCCGAAGTTGCGTATGACGGTCTCAATGGCGTTGTTGCTGCCACTGTGTCCAACGTGGCTATTACTATGGTCAAACAAGCAGAGTCAGCCATATTTGTCGATTTTCCTGGTCATGATTCCTACGAGACTGCAATGAGGACTATTACGCGAGGAGACCTAGAAAAAGCCCAGAGTATGTTCACTATGCGGCTTATGATGTTGGGCCGAGATGATAGTACATCTCAAGTAGTTCATGAAACGGCCATTGACATCAAAGAACAATTCTTGATCCATGCGTACCAGGATCTTCTCGACTTTGTGACTGACTTCCAAAAGAACCGCAGTGGTAAGCCAACAAAACGTATGTTGGCTGAAATCCGCAACTGGGATCCTCAATTTGATGTTCAGCAAGCCGACAAACAGGAAAGAATCAGATGGCGTCGATCGTATACGATTAATTGGCTTTACGATTTGGTCAATGTCTTCTCCGCCATCGTCGTCCAGCGAAACACCATGAAAGGCGAAAATCACGACTACGCCAAGGTTGACTGGTCCATTGAGGGTCCTTGGAATGTGCATACAAGACTATTTGGTTTGCAAGAATTCGCAGGTTTTGTGACTTCTCTTGCCATGCAGCCAGCCGGTACAGACATTCGACAAAAGATCCTTCCCCACCACGTGTTTCAACTTCAATGTATCGTTGATGCCTTTACAATTTCGCGTGGCTGGTCAATGAGCGCACTCAGAGGCCATATCCTTCAACGGCCTGCTCAGGGTTTTCGACCGAGACGAGATGTTGACCTTTTTTTGGACCGGAAATATGAGAGGTTTTCCAAGGGCTATCTCCAGGCTGTACAAGTTCTGAATCAGTTGTTTGAGCAGGATGACCCTGTCCAACATCGTCAACATATTGAGATTCTCGAGGAGATACAGGATGATTTCCGTAATTGGCTCGGGGAATCCAAGTACATGTATGGCTTKAACACAATCCCCCCMTCCCGATTTTCCAACACGAATGCGAATGGTCTTTGGGACTACTCTCCTTTTCTGTGCGCTGTGGGGTTGATGGAAGCACTGGAGATTGCTTACTTGTCAAGCATGAAGTTATGGGATCAATTTCCGGAGGTCGTGTTGGCAATACATTTACACAACATGCTAGTGCAGAAAGGTTACCTCGCACGGCATATTGGACTATTTGCAAGCTTGGAAACGTTGTTTTCTCGCTCATTTTTCGTCAATGGCAAAGTTCCCACATCGGACTTTGGCGGTGCCCTTCGTGCACGAGTGAGAGAAATTGGAGCTCGCGGGGCTCAGTCCGAGCGAAATGCCTTTACGCGAAATGCGGCACGCTCAGCCACAACCATCCATAGCCTATTTGATGTCCGGGGAAATAGTTTCTTTAGGAAACAAACAATTTTAACTTCATATCGGCAGGCACAATGGGATCCTATGCGTATTCCTGACAGCGACATTCCCGTGGAGTCCTTGCTAGGAACAATTCGGATTAGCAACACAGACCTAATGGTCGACTCAGATACCGGTGAGCGACGATTGAAGGATTCGGATTTAGTCCAACGTTCGAGAGCCAAAGGTATGGACGACGCGACCATCCTAGAAATGGCATCAAAGTTAAAGCGAGCATCCGAAAGCGATGATTTTCTCAATCAAGCCTTGATGGATTCACTTCCAGAGGAAGATCGATTGAATTATCAGACTCAGAGGAAAAAAGCGGCGGCTAACCATTCCTCCACCAAGGGTAATGGAGCTAGCATGAAAGGAGTAGAGCTCCTAAAGGTTTTGAGATGGGATATATTTACCGACGTGTGTGGCGAACTGAGACCTTTGTCAAGTCTGAACTATCTTTGGGTCACAGCGAAAATCATAATGCTCTTCGACACAATCGAGAATGAGTTGCGTGAGACTAGACACCCGTACTATGCTCAAGCCTATGATGGGCATGATTTCAGGTGCACAAAGAGAATCAAGTTGGTGACGATGGCTTTGCTTGAAGAAGATGAAGGATGTTTAAAAGTAATGGCAAAGCAATTCGAAAATCTGCGAGGAGGTTTCACACACCATATCTATTGGGACGACCTGGAAGCAATGAGCGACCGAGTGAAAACACTTCGTGCAAAAGAAGGTGGAGAGAAGCTAGAAGTAGATGGATGTATTGTGATGTAACTAAGTTCTGAGGCTCAAACGGAGTGCATCACACAATATAGATGGGTTTAATTGGGTGCGAAACTTCTTAGGTAGGTCCATGCGTAGAGATAATCCGATGTTCTCCGACTATAGTCCTAAAATGAATCGAATATGAGTAGTATCAAACTTCGATTTTTAACAGACGAGATTTGCAGATAGTGGCCGGTAATTTACAGAAGGTCTATCCTGGTCTGCTCGCGAAGCTGGCCTGTGAATAGATATGGGTCATAAGTCGAGGTTGAAATGTAGAGTTGTGCCTCATTGCATGGTTTAACACTTTGTAGAATCTCCATGCTACCAAAGGCCAGATGGAACTATGAAAATCAAGAGTGGAGATGTAATGTATAATCTATGTGGCCTATCACTACGTACGTGCATTATGATAAGGAATGAAAGCCATGGATGCAGTATTAGTCTAAGCATTCTGAATATATGATGTGTATGTACAATCTATCAATCGTTCAATGGTCAGATTTTGGTTTCCACCTGCATATTTCCTCCCTCAGATGAATCCTCATCAGATTGATCTTTCGAGTCACCACCTCCTTGAGTCCCTATTTTGAGAAATGGAACCAAGAAGATAGCAACGCCTGCAATAGCAGTAGCGAACCAGTAAGTCGACAAATATGGTCGAATGACAGAAGAGCTGCCTTGGTCCCGAACAGCGTTGTAAATTGCGGTTGTCACACCAAGGCCGACGTTTGAAACTAGTTTGGAGACAGTATTGAAGATACCGCCCGCTAGAGACTGTTCGGATGGTGGGAGTGAGGACATGACATACATCTATAACTGTTAGTCGATTTCGTTCAATAGGACGACGAAACGGGGAATATGCACTTACATTTACAACGTTGAACTCGATATCCGCCCCGACAACCATAAGTATGAAAGGTACGAAGTAGCAACCCCAATAAATGCTGTCTTCCTTCGTAAAACTGGCGATCAAGAAGGCTCCCATGTATGCTGTGGTGGCGATGAACATGAGAAGTTTATTGCTGACTCGGTGCAATATCAATGCACAGACGATATTAACGAGTACTCCGCCTACAACCATGGGTAATAAGCGAACTGTGATACCGAGGCCACTGTACTTCTGGACTTGTTGCATGTATAAAGCTATCCAGAATTGGCCGGAGACGAATGCCATGAATCCGAGAGAGAGCGCACCCATTAGCTTGAAAATCCGGCATTGTTAGTATGCAAAATGGCCGAATGAAGGGTGGAAGACTGGCTCACCAATGAGAAATTCCGATCACGCCAAACATAAAGAGGCATCAATGGAGTAGAACAGACTGATTGCCAGTAGATAAAAGCGCCAATAAGTAAGATGCCTAGTACGAGAAGAACAATGACGTATGGAGTCTTCCAGCCTTGGGGCGCGTCACCTGCAAGTCTTGTGTATGTTAGCACCGCAGAATTGGGAAAGCGCCAGACAAAGAATAAACGTGGAAAACAACTTACGATAACGAGCTTGAGAAAAGTGCTATGCCAGCAATGGCAAGCAACATGCCAAGCGGATCGAGTTTTTTCAAGTTCTCCAATGTCAATGCCACCTTGGCCCGGGAAGGCTCCTTAGGAACGGTAAATATACTGGTAATCGAGAAGAGGGCGTATATGACTGCTAAAGCCCAAAAAGATGTACGCCAAGTCGAGATCTGGGAGGCAATACCGGACACGAGCATGCCTCCTACATAACCTAAAGGATTGCCTATAAGAAAGCCAAGTCAGTATCAAGTACCTTTAAAAGACCCTTGAGATGGAAGTGACTTACCAGCGCTAAAGCAGGCAAAAGCTTTGTTCTTCCGCGGTGACGGCTTTTCATATGCACTGCCTAAAATACCGACAGCAGGGGGAACGGACGAAGCACAGAAGATTCCCATAACTCCCGAAAGTATGTCGAAATACAGCGCGGAATTTGCAAAGCCGATGACCAGAAGAGATAGAGTGTATCCTATCATGCTAACGATGAACATAGTCCGGCGTCCAAACATATCTGCTACCTTTCCAAAGGGCAGTAAAAAGGCGCCGCTGCTCAATCTGTATGACCGGAAGACGAATTAGCCAAATTATACGGAGTAGGTAAGGAAAATTTTAGACCAAGACATACGCAACGCCCGCAGTAGTCCAAGTCGTTTCCGCAGAGTCCATGTTGAGATCTCTGCTGATTTCAGCAAGAACGACGATGATAGCGCCTTGAAAGAACGAAGTCTGGCCGATGGCCATGGTCGAGGTGAGGACAAAAAGACATTCTTGAATCGTGCTCGAAAAGCATTCAGGCCGTTGGTTGGGATCGCGCACGACGTCGACGGGGCTCTGCTCCTGATCGATTTCCTTCTGGTCGGCTGCCATGTCCGACATGGTGGTCATAGCTGGTTTGGAAAAGCTATTGTGGGCTCACTAGCTATGAATGAAAACGTCTCCAGCCTGTTTACAATCAGTCTGAAATATCAGATTCTATTGGCGACGCGGTTGCGGACCTAGGTACACGAAGCCGAGGCGGAAAGAGTCGCTCTCAAATCATGCTTTTCTAAGTTTAAAGGTGGGTTTATGGAGAAGAAATATTTACAAAAATGTACACGGATGGGTGGAGAAAAGCCCAAGATACGGAAAGCAGGCTAGAGCTTTTTATACAATATCGGGAGTGGAATCTGATAAGCCGTTCGGGGGCCTGTTGCAAAAACTCTTATAGATTTTAAAGCCGAAGTCTGCTCCGATTGGCCGTCGGAGATTTGTGTGATTTGTCAGGTCCCTCTCGGACTTTCGGACTCTTCCGCTGTGGGTCCCTTCAATTATTAAGGCTTGCGAATCTCTTGTTCTAGAAGAAAGGGGGTATTCCGCCCTCTGCTTGCGTGATCGTTCACAATCCAATTACTATAGTAATCTTGTCATTGAAAGCAAGGCTTGGACATCTATATGCTGAGTATGAGGAACGAAGAATTCACTTTGCAGAACGGCTGGCGGTGCCTGAAGGATCGGGCCGCTAGTTGGGATGTCGGATGTCCGGATATACGGATATGCCCATGCGATATGTTTGCTGCCTGAGGCGCTCGAACCACCGAGGATTAGGGTTTTCTGTAACGTTACAGTCTATACACGTCAATACCGTACGCGTGTTATTGTACTAGCCATATAAAGCCTAGCGCAGGACTAAGGAATGATCCTCTCGCCGATGTTACCCCAGAATCAACAGCTCCAAGGAATATACCGCTGTGGCCTGCAGAATGCCCTATCAATTGACCAACGCCCATCTTCGCGGACTTAGCCTGCATGCCCCGCCAAAGCTGATCGTCATTGAAAAAATGTGGGAGCTTTGCTTGTCTCTCGTGCTTCTTTTTTTCCCTCCTCCTCTCCCTTGTCATTGTCTACTAGCCACTACTTGTTGCCAACATAATGACAAACAAGCACTGGGCTGCTAGCATTCTTCTTGCAGCTTTTGTCCGAGCTGACTTTGACCCGTTGAGCTTCGTTGATCCATTGATCGGTACCAATAATGGCGGAAACGTGTTCGCCGGAGCTACCTTGCCTTACGGCATGGCCAAGCCTGTCGCCGACGTCAATGGTCTGAATACAGGTGGCTTTGCTACTGACGGCAGTGGTGTGACTGGATTTTCAGCCATGCATGATTCAGGCACCGGAGGCAATCCATCCTTGGGAAATTTTCCAATTTTACCCCAGATTTGCCCAGACGATGTGATTGACAACTGCAACTTTTTGATTGGCTCGCGTGCTGTCAACTATGACAACTCGTCTGTCAAGGCCAGCCCAGGGKATTTTGGCTTGGAATTGGCTAATGGCATTGCTGCGGAAATGACAGCCACTCAGCACGCGGCACTTTATAGATTCAACTTTCAAAGTGCATTCGCTAACAGCACTGGAACTAAGCCCTTTGTGCTTCTCGATCTAACCGATCTATGGCAAAGTAGGCAAAATGCTACAATTAGTGTCGATGAAACCACTGGCCGTATCCGTGCAAATGGAACGTTCCTGCCAAGCTTTGGTGCAGGCTACTACGAGTCGTTCGTGTGCGTTGATTTTGCAGGCGGTAGCGTTAACGATACTGGCATCTGGGTGAACAATCGAGCTGGTACAGTAGTCAAGGATCTTTTCGTCACTCGTGGTTTCAATCTTTTCTACCTGGAAGCCGGCGGCTTCGTCACTTTCGATAGTCTATCGAACAATACGTTATATGCTCGTGTAGGAGTCAGTCTGGTCAGTACCGAGAAAGCTTGTCAAAACGCCGAAACAGAAATTCCCGAACCGACCTCAAATTTCGCAGACATCCAATCTGCCGCTGAGCAAGCGTGGAGAGAGAAGCTCAGTCCCGTGTCTGTCAATGCGACAGGTGTGAGTGAGGATTTGCAAAAGCTGTTCTGGAGTGGTATCTACAGAACGATGCTGTCTCCGCAGAATTACACCGGTGAAAATCCTCTCTGGAACAGCGATGAGCCTTACTTCGACTCGTATTATTGGTAGGCCTACCAAAACTTCTGTTCCTACCAGTTAATTTGAAAGGCTAATATATTTCAGCATTTGGGACGCCTTCAGAGTTCAGTACCCACTGTTGACAATCGTCGATCCAAGTGCACAATCACAAATGGTTCGCAGTTTGGTGGACATTTACAAGCACGAGGGCTGGCTTCCTGATTGCCGCATGAGTCTTTGCAAAGGATGGACTCAAGGCGGCTCTAATGCCGATGTGGTTCTGGCTGATGCTTTCGTGAAGAACCTTACCGGGATCGATTGGAGCCTCGCCTATGACGCATTAGTAAATGATGCCGAAAATGAGCCCCTAGAATGGTCTGTACAGGGACGTGGTGGTTTGCAAAGCTGGAAGAGCGTCAACTATATTCCTTATCTAGATTTTGACTATTTAGGATTCGGAACCAACTCTCGCTCAATCTCACGCACAGTTGAGTACGCCTATAACGATTATTGTGTCGGTGTGGTTGGGAAGGGTCTGGGCAAGGCCAACTCTACAAAATATCTTTCTCGGTCAACGAATTGGCAGAATATTTTCAAAGCAGACCAAACTTCTTTTATCAACGGAACTGACACTGGTTTTGTGGGATTTTTCCAACCCAAGTACCTGAATGGTACCTGGGGTTTTCAAGACCCCATCGCTTGCAGTCCATTGACTGACTTTTGCTCCCTGACTTCTAACCCGTCCGAGACATTTGAATCTAGTGTTTGGGAATATCAATTGTATGTATCCTTTGTTCCTCTTTTTCTGCATTCATATCGTGACTAACATTTTCTAATCAATCATAGTTATGTACCTCACGACATGAGTTCTCTGATTAGCACCCTCGGTGGCGCAGATCAATTCATCTCGCGACTTGACTATTACTACGAGTCTGGGATAGCCGACATTAGCAATGAGCCTGTCTTCCTCTCCGTATATTCCTATCATTACGCAGGTCGTCCCGGTCTATCCACCAAACGCGCGCATAGCTACATCCCGTCATCCTTCAATGCTAGCGAATCAGGTCTACCAGGCAACGACGACTCCGGCGCCATGGCTTCATTCTCTATATTCTCGCAATTGGGCATGTTCCCAGTCGCAGGTCAGAATGTGTACCTCATCTCAAGCCCATTCTTCGAATCCGTCAATATCACTCACCCGGAGACCAAGAAGACGGCAACAATTCGTGTCACGAACTTCGATCCGACGTATACTGACATTTACATCATGAATGCGACGCTGAATGGTAAGACATATACGAAAAATTGGATAAGCCATGAATTCTTCCTCGAGGGCCAGACTCTCGAGTTGACAGTTGGCTCAAACGAGACTGCTAGTACATGGGGTAAAAGTGCGGATGATTTGCCGCCTAGTCTGTCGATTGCTACTCAGCGTTTATTCTGAGCTCGACAACACGGCCAGGCCATGTACATACATCATCGTTAGATTGTGAAGTAGCGGTTTCGGCAGACTCTGTCTAGACCAATCCATTAACCACGTTCTAGATCTCAATAGTCATCGCTTGATCGCCGATAGAATGCTTTTAAATATTGCATACTAATCAACATGATAGCTGAAGGTAGCACTTGACATTCTAATGTATATCCTAGTCTATTCTTTTCTAACGCCAAATAAAACACCTCAATGTCGCTAAAAACGGGATATTGGATGAACCTTATGACAATGTATCGTAAATGCATCATATCTACACATGATAACCATGTACCACTTATTGCGATGAAACAACACCAACATCAACCCCAATATTCTCATCTTCCACCGGCGTGTGCTGATCAGATTCCAATCGCTCTGCTTCTTCGCTAGATCGCCGTCTTTCTTCCTCTTCCTTCTCCTGTTGTTCCTCCTGCTCGACTTGTTCCTCCCAACTGTCCGCAAGGTCCTCAAGATTTTGTTGGGGTTGCTCGGATTTCTTTTTAGAAGATCCGACTCCTGAACGGAGGACAAGAAGGCCGTCTTTCTTCTTAGACGGACTGTTATTGGCGCTGTTAAAAGAGGATGACACATCAAGCCCCAAAGCAGCGTACATCGATCCTGTACCGAAGCCTCGACCACCAAGTGCAGCCAGTGGTGTGCCTGAGCGTGTCAGATTGGCAGGCGAGTTGTTTTCCGTTTGTTTCTTTCGTGTGGAAGCTACTTGCGCCCACCCCCCACTACCATCCCCAGTTTCAGTAGATGTTGCCTTGAGAGCGTCCTTCAATGCTTTGGCCTCGGCGGCTGCAACGCGCCGAGCTTCTCGCTCCTTGAAAAGTTCACGATCGCGAATTCGCACGCATTCACCGACGGATATTCCTCGAATACCAATCCCTGAACCAAGCCCTAGACCGGGAGAGGTCCATTGTGTTGGTTTCAGAACAAAGACATGACGATGAGGTTCAGGATCAAAGCTCTCAGAGGCAAATCCCCAGTCTGCCGCAAGAGAGTGCACAAATGCACGAAGAGGAGCTTTGGCAGGTTGGAATCGAACTGACCTTTGAGTGGCGCTTGCTGCTAGACTATGGAGTGTCGCTTCGTAGTCCTGGAGAGTGGAGAGCGTGGCTGATGACGAGATTTGAACATACAAATCAAGCGTCTCTTCCGAGTATGGCATGGTACTGCTGGGCAATTGAGATGAACTATTCTGAGCCAGGGTTGTGGACTGGTCGATATCAACCTTCAAGGCCGACGCAAGATTTCTGTTCCGTTCAAGTCGGACACATTCGTCATCACATTTCAAACTCGCGGCAGCTGGTGAAGTCTCGCTTTGAATGGTCTGTCCTTTGCTAGCTACAGATCGAGCGGCATTGCAGCGCTTCTCCTTACGAAGTCGACCACAAGGACAAGTTATCATAACCATGGTCGGACATGGTTCCTTTTCCGTGCATGCGAACGGCGCATGACATGGTTCGGGACAAGGATGTCCACATAGTCTCTTGGTTTTTCCACACGCTTGCTTACACGGCTCCAATGCATCCTCACACTCTCCTGGTCGGTGACATTGTTTCTGGCATGTATGAGATCCACATTTGAGAGTCTCACCACAGACCATACCGCACCTAGGTTCAGTCAACCAGCATGGCTGGTTCTTGAGAAGCTTTTTACCGCATAAGCAATTCTTCTCTGTAAGAAAAGGACATTTGGGGCATTCTTCGTTGTCCGTGTGGCAGTTGTGCGGCGTTTGGGGATGGTTGCAGGCTTTAGGTCGTTCACAGTCATAGCGGCACGGGGGCGGGTTTGTGCCACATGGAAGCGGAGGGTACAATACAGAGCGACCGCAATGACAGGAAACTTCTTCAAAAATTGCTTCTCGGCAAGTTCCACAGGCCCCTTTGTGACAGAGTTCAGGACAAGTGTGTCGACCACACTTCAACATACGACCACAAATACGCGTACAGATGTGCTCAGCTTCAATGTCGTTCTCGGTCGCACGGTTTTGCATAGTGCCAAGCGGTCTCGGTTTGCGTTTTGTTGTCTGTCTCTCGATGGCCTTTCGTTCGCCAGAGCAACAGTGCTCTGCGCAAGTATGTCGTCCACAGCTCATTGTGGCCTTGCAAACGCGAAAACACTGGGGAGGTTCGATGTTCGACTGGTGGCAGACAGTCTTGAAAGAATTACGACCACATCGGCAATCAATTGCGACACTGATCAAACATGGGCGACAAGGACCAGTATGGCAAATCATAGGGCATGAGTGCCCACAAGGTAAGGTCTTCCCACATGGCTCCGAGCAATTGGGAACGGGGTCCTCGCAGGAGGTCCTGGGAGAGAACCCTTCAATCCTGGACAAAGGTGTCTTTCCGCATGGGCAGCGTAGAACAACATCCGGCGATCGTGGACAGTGAGGTTGGTTACGATCTTGTGGATGACATTCCTTTTGGCAAAAGTGAACACCACAGTCAAATGGGCGATTGCAGACTTCACCGCACTTGAAAGAACCAACCCATGTGTCCAACGCATCAGAAGCATCAGATATCTCGCTTGTTATTTCCTCTTCGGTGGCGCTACACAAAATCTGATTCTCGACTTTCCCGCAGTAGCAACGGGCGTCAACTTTTTCTTCGCAAGATCCGCAAAGACCTTCGTGACAAGGTCGCGGACATGTGTGTTTACCGCAAGGGAGCAAATCGCCACAAATCTCTCCACAGCTCCAACCGTTAGTGTAATCGGTGTCGAGACATCGCTTCGTCGTTGAATTCTTTCCGCAAAAACAGTCTTGTGTTGGGCCCATAGCGGTACATGGTGGACAGGGCCCGGCGTGACAGGTCGAATCGCAAGGATGAGGGCACCTTTTTCGACTTCGAGAGCATGTTTGTCCACAGGAGTGAGGAGGGATTCCAGGTAACGGGCGAGGATCGACCTCCTTCTCACACCAACATGAATAACTCGATGGAAAGACATCGTGAGGAAGGTTACATCCGGGGCAGCGCCACATTCGCTGAACATCCTCACCGTTCTCAGCTTGACGCTGCTGAAAAGCTGAACCTTCATTCTTTGACCATTTTTTAACACAGCTCAGGTGGAATACCGTCCAGCACAGACCGCATGACCAGACACGCGACTTTCGACCGAGTTCATTGGTACAGATAGGACATTCATATAATCCGTTCGCAATATCTTCGTGCGTTCTGGTGGCGATATCGGGGGCAGCTGATTTCGTCGTCACTTTAGGTGGGTGGTTGTAAGCCTTTTTTATGGGCTGTGATCCGGACTTGGAATCATTTACATGGTGAGAATGTACTTGACCGGGAACAAATTCGGGGACGTCCGCGTGCAATTGATCATGTTCGACACTGCTTGTTGCGGTAGATAATGACGTATTCGCCGTCGTATCTCTATCACCTCTTGTTAACCGACCGCCGAACGACCTACCGCCTACCTGCGTCGGAGGCCGATCATGTGTATGTGTAATTGCTGGTTTTCGATTTCTTCTCCGCGGGGGGCGGTCGCTAGATGTGTTTGTAGTCGTGTTTCCTTCCGTCGGAGTGTCTTGCGTCTGTTCGCGGTGTCTACTTTGTCGGGGCTGTCGTTGTGCTAGATTTCTCGGTTGTTGTTGTATTACCTGTGTCTCAGCGGCAACTGATGGCATAACACCAGAAGCTTCATTTGTTCCATCTCGACCTTGGCCTCGACTCTGACCGCGTCCTCGACCTCGATGAGAACCTCGTCCAGGTCCTCCACGTCCTCGTCCGCGAAATCGTGAGTGTCCTCTGGTGCTGTTGTCTGAACTGGCCACTACAGGAGTAACGAGTGCAGCCTCGGCGGCGCTCATGCTCGTCTCAGAAATGCTCGTAACAGGCTCTCTTAGCGACGTGATGGTGTTTGTTGTTGATCGATTGCTTGTAAGTTTCTTGTAAATTCACCGGTGACACGCAATTTCTCGATTTCTCGGGTGGTTTCTGTACAAAAGATGATAAAAATGGCAAAATGAGGTATGAATCGAACAAAAAGAGGCCAAAAGTTGATTAGATATAAAGGTGGCGGACATATCAACACCCAAAAGATTCTGACGGATTTTCTGAGGTCCCCACAACGAGATGCCCGCTGGTTGGCTGAGAAGCCAGGCGGTGGCGGCGGAAGGTGGGCCAATCCGTCATTCCGTCCTTCTAGATCGGGCTTAGCGTACGTGACTCACCAAGACTAATCGTGTGTCGATAGGCTAGCCCGATATGGACTACACCAGGCAGTTTTCTAGGCAACTGGTGATCAACTATCGATACTTACTATGTAACTAGTTATTTGCCAACAATGAGTCAGATTCAAAGAACAGTACAAGCCCATACAGAAACGTTTCCCTAAGTCTTCATAACCAGCCGTCGACACATTCTCTTCAGTGGGCGTGATCTCCCTCCTGATCATCTTCCGAAAGCTTCATTCCGAATCCGAATCCGAATCCGATTCTGCTATCTTCTTGTTCATCGTCTTCAAGGCCTTGAGGAGCTGTCGACCATCATCTGTACGCCCAGAGGCTACCCTGTCTGCCCTGTATTATCGATTGACGATGAGTCACCAGATCGCATTCCTTTCTGTCTTGGTTGAATGACGACCTCCTCCTTTTTAGTTTGGCAATTTTCATAGTAGTTGTCATCAGAGTCCTATTGTATTATATTAGCAAACAGTTCTGATGAGACTGTGTCTAGAGTATATGGAGGGAGTACCCATACGAAGGAAACAGAGGGGATTGATTCGTCAGGCTGATCAGTCGAATATATGAAGAAGAGAAATTACAGAATGCTAGTCGGTGCGTAGCCAGTTCAACTCATTTTCTCCTCTCTATCACTCTCTTCTCATTACCTAGGGACCTTGTTCAAGTATCCAAGTGACAAGAACGGTTTTTTGATCTTCTTCACTGTGTGGTTGTTGGAAAAGGGGCGTATTGCTATCACAACAACGCGATGTTCGCAAATCGGGGCATCATGCCATTACACCTTATCCACACTAACTCAATTGAAAACCGCATAATCCCACGCTTCTATGCACCTTTATTTGTACAACTCGGAAATTGCCGTCCCTTTGCTAACATTATTTGACTAGGGCTTTACGATTTACAGTGATGAAATTTTAAAGAGTGATCGGTATATGATGATGATGTGAAATGGAAAACTATTTCAATACGTGTATATTGATTTTATCAGTCTCCATGTTCAAGACTCTTGTAAAATACAGGATGTGATGGTGGTACATGAAACAATTTTCCAACCATGGAAACAATCTCCTTCGTGAGTATGCTAATTCGGAGGAAACCCGATATATAGAAATATTCCGTGTGAGTCCAACTGAGTGTTTATGCCAGAGGAGGCTCGACCAGAATCGTCTCGGCGATACTGGGAACGCCATTGAGCATGGCGAATAGATGCCAATAACCTGGAAGCAGCACACCAGGGTCGCGCGGCAACCCAAGAGTGAACAGAGTTGATGTGGCAGCTTGTGGAGACACGTTCACCCGACGTTGATCAGTATTGACTGTGTGTGTCGAGCTGGCCATGCGTATCATGGAGAATGTAAGCTTTTGATAGGATTCGACGGGCTTCGAGAGCGTCACGTTGAGAGTCTGGCCCACTTTGAGGATGGGGTTGGGAATATGCGTGATGATGGGGCGTGTAGCTGGCGTGACGCCATCAGACTCAAAAAAGTAGGGGGGTGTATAGATATGCGCGTCCAAATGATTGATATCGCACTTCCAGGGGCAGAGACCGCCACCGCCAACGAAAACTGTGGCATTGGGTAGAAGAAGCGCGGTGCTGTGATAATTCCGTGGTGTCGGCAGTGCGGGCAGTTCGGTGAACTTTTTCGTCTTAGGATCCCACATCTCCGGGACCATGCTGGAGTTTCCGTCGGTGAATACGATGGGATGACTCTGACCACCGACAACAAATACCCTGCCATCTGGTAGGATCACAGAGTTGGCGAATGCGCGGGCAGAATGCATGTTGTCGAGCGTTTCGACGCTTACGGGCTCTCCCGGCTTGCGCACTGTGATGATATGAGCATTGGAAGTAGCTAGACTGTCATTGTATGAAGGAGCACCACCCAAGGTAAGAATCTTGCCTTTTCCAGCATCATACATGATGGCCGTACCGGTCATGGCATCACTATCATTAGCTCGAGTTCCGGCAAAGGTTGTGAATCCATTTCCCCGAGTGTCGAACCAGTGCATTTTGGGGCTAGGCCCAGCTTGCAATACAGAACCATTGGACCATGCAAACAGCCAGGCGTGGTTGTCCGAACGGTACAGACCTCCGGCGTCGTTGGTGAGCATGGGTTCAGCAGAGCATCCAGGCAGCATGATCCACTTGTCAGCCTCAGGATCATAGATTTCTCCGTTCTTGCCACCAATCCCACCACTAAAAGAACCTCCGATAGTAAAAATGCGTCCGTCAGTGATTGTTGTAGAAGCTTGGTAGCCGCGTGGTATTTGCATATCAGCTGCAGCTTTCCAAGACTGTCCGTCATAGATACTAGTCTTTTCTTCAGTGTCGCCACCAGAAACAATGATATTTCCCTGGAAGTCCAAACTGATTCCAGGACAGAACATGTCGTGCTCGGTGTGATCGATAGAGTAGCGGTTTACTGTGCCGTCGGTGAGGTTGTAGATAGCTGTTTGAGTGACACCGGATGCATCGACACCGAAAGTTTCGTTCTTGTAAGCAGACCAAACCAGAAGATTTCCGGACTTTGGAATCATAGAAACAGCAACAGGGATGAGCGGGAAGTCAATGCGCTCGCTCCAGGGGTAAGACGCGTTGGTTGGAGAGTGCTCGTAAGAGACGACGCCGATGATGAGCCCGAAGGCTATGAAGAAAGGTCGAAGGGCGTACATTGAGAGCTTTCGGCTTGTTATCAATGTAAGATGTTCAGACTAGTTGTTGGTGTGTCAGAATAAGTCGAAATTGTAAGTGGCTTGTTTGAGCAACTGAAGCTTGTGTATTGGAATGCGATTAAACAATGTAAATTGTTTGAGCGAGAAGAGCGAGCGGGTGAAGAAGGAAACGAGAAAGAGATCAACACCTTACGCCCACTATATACCCCAGGTTTCAGTCAGAAACCTCGAATCGACTTTGCAATTGGGATACCTGCCTACGCAGGCATATAAGATTCTCAGGTTACATCCCCCATTGACTTGTGGATTGTGTTTCTGACTGACGAGAACCATGGGTTCATTGAGTTTGTTGTGGCAAAGAGACTTCATAATCGAATGGCAGCCTGAAGTTCCGTTCATCTTGCTGTCGCAGGAGAGGATGACTGAAGATGGTCGCAGTTTGGGGTTGAGGAAAGAGCATTATTGCCTGGACGTCAATTGCAGGCAACCACCACGGAACCAGGCATTCCATTGATGCCTGAGCCAGTGACTCACAAAGAGAAAGCTCAATTTTGATCAATGCAATAAGTTCAAATGCATTATGGTCTGTTAAGCAATTTGAGTCTCGCACATCGTAAAGTCGTAGAATACAACATCACAGGACAACCCTGCGTACAGAAGTAAATAGGTACATGTGAAGTAAATCGACAAATATCAAAAAAGATGACTGATCCCATCATTCAACCCACCCCAACCTATCCTGTTTTGTTGATCAAGGCTTCTTCTTCTCGCTGCTGCCTGAACCCTGATCACCGCCCTCGGCAGATTTTGCGTCGTCATCTGGACCAGAGGCCAGCGGCAAGAAGAATCTCGAAAGCACTCCGCCCAAAAATCGTTGATCAACCCATCTGATGAAAGAATAGAAAAGCCAGCCCCATCCCCACATGAGGAAACCCGTGCAGCCCGTCACCAAAAGAACGGGACCGAGGACCAGTAGCGACAAGATAGCCCAGAGTAAGATCGCAACGGCAGCAAAGATGAATACTCCAGCCATGAAGACTAATAGTGGAACGCCACAGCAAATCAACTGACAAATTATAAACGTTGTCGCCATGGGACGCGACATGGCTGACTTATAGATAGCTTCTTGGCGCTGTTGCGGCAGGKATCGAGAAATGAAGTCCTTGACCGTCGACTCAAACTTGTCCATCAACCACTGAAACATGGACGAAATCGATGGTATGGAAACCTGGGGCATCTCCTGTGCTTTCTTGTCGTTGGCTCTGTCATTGTTGGGAAATTCGCCGGGCACCGAGATTCCAGTAAGGTCTTTAGTTGTTGTGTCGACATGCTTTTTGGTATTCTTGACGGTTGAAGAGACGTCACCCTTTTTGGCAGAGTCGACTGTCTTGTTGAGGTTTCCAGCAGTGCTACCGACACCCTTCGTGACACTGTTGAGCGACATGTTGTCCGTATATATATCTTCAAGTTCGAATAGCTTAACAGTAGTAGTAGTATAACAAACAGACCGTCAGCATGTAACCCGCAGAAAAATAGCTAATAGGAATATAAAAAATATTGTAAAGGACGAATCGGAGAATTAAATTGTTAGATTTCAGTCATTTTTATATTCTTGTTTACTGCAAGATTTTGACCGTTACGATTGTGGCTGATGACGTAGGCTCGCGATAAGATAAGATGAGAAATGCCACGCGCCTGTCAGTCGTCATAACCCTAACCCTTGAATTTCAGACCATCTCGATAAATCATTCATATTATTGATTCTCATCTGTTACATATAAGTCATTATTACATTCTTTCCCAGTAAACGCCCCGTCGCAAACCATGCACGTCATATAGTTCAAAGATCGTTATAAGTCTGACCACAGGGCCCCACGATGTTTCCTGTGCTTCTGAATGCAGGATCCGTGTCTTGTTCATAGGTCAATCCGTTGAAGATACCTGCCGGACAAGCCGTGCTGACTTGCTCCCCGGACGCTGATCCCGCGAGCGAAGAGTTGGTGGCCAGCGACACAACACATCCTTCGTAGCTATACCAATATGCCTGGATACAATTGGCCAGCTCAAAGAAGCACGCATTGCAGCAGGCTTGGGCAGAGGCACCCTCGGTCGTGCTCGACACATAGAAAAGACTATTCTCGGTTGTAAAGTTGCTTGGAAGCGTGGCGTCGCCGTATGGCAATGTGGGTGTCAGAGATGGGAAGGGACTGGCACAGGGGTAAAGAGTGCTGGTTGTAGCAGGGGCCGCGATGGTGGTAAATTCAGTGATGGTGCTAGTAACCGTTGGGTGACCTTTGTGCTCTTCTGCACGCTTATGCTTTGCAGCGGCTGCCGTTGGAGAAGGTGTTGATGATGGAGGATTGCCCGATAAAAATGTGTATGCTGTACTGGCTGAGCCGGTGGTCACGGTGGACGTTGTAGTTGTCAAGACTGTAGAGGAGAAAGCTGCTCCCGGAGCGGATAGCGCGGAAGCGAAGATGCCACTCCAGGCAAGAACTGTGTTGAGCTTCATTTCCAAGCGTTGACGTAGATCGAATATCTTAGCAATGTAAAGAACTTGTTTGTGTCGAGGACAGACGATAGTAAAATTGCTGATGAAGTGACGATGGTAACGGTATATAAATACTAGAAATGTACCTGACAGGCTATTTTAATAAGTAGTTATGTTCGTTGCGAGTCGATATTTGGACTTAAATTCCAAAAGAAAGTATAAGACATGTTTTACACACGTCATTATTATCCCCAGCGAACGTGATCCATACATAGCCCCGAAGAAAGACATGCTCGGTACATATACTAGAGCTGTTTCCATTAAAAAGGAGATACATCTCTTGGTCTCACGTTTTTGTACGCTGGATTTGACGATCTTTGAAGATCAGTGGTCACTAATCTGAGACAAGCAGACGGTACAGCCAATAGTAGGTAACACCAACTGTATTAATTGGACACGGCAGACATTGTTTCTCATGATCAATAGGTCTGTCGAGACTCTGTGAGGCCTTTTCAACATCATGTCTATATACTCTTGGAACCTCGACACGAACAATCTGTCAAAGGTACCTGGAGAATAGGTACATATGGAGACAGCGGGGAATAAATCGACGGCAGGCCTAACGTTGCGGGTCTGACTTTTGGTCTCTGATTCGTTAGATCTGGGGTTAGCCGTGCAGATCAGAAGCCACATTACGCCACTTTACATAGCTAGCTTGTAAATACCAAGTAATAATACAGTATTACGTATCGAATACATCTCAAACTGTATCAACATAGTTCAATATTACTTCCGAGAACCCTAACGTGAGATGATTCCTCTAATTAATTTTCTAACTCTGGCTATACGTGGTTTCCAACCGTTACCAAAGCAACTTTCAGACAATACCCCAGAGCCATGACCGTGCATAGGCCGAGGCCCGCCGACACGAAGAAGATCGCCTCGATGATACAGTTCATAGTTCAGGGAGCCGGTAGTAGGTTGTGATATAAATCACAATTTTTTCATATCAGGAGCTTTTTTATGCAGGACCGTTGATTTTACTGATATCAGGTGGTATTGAAAAAAGATATTATAACAGGCTCCTCAACGTCCTTCCCTATGTTCAGCACTCATGGCAAGTTTCTCCTGGACAAGGATCATGATTTCTGTAATGTGAAAAGCGTGAACCGAAGACGCTTTTGCATGGAATAGTTTAGTCGCAAAGGAAAAGGGAACAATCAGGGAGGCACGCCTTGATTTCGCGCTCCAGTAAAGGTGGTCTCGGGGGGAATCTGCGTCAATACCACACTGACTGAGGGCCGCGGAGACCAGCGAAACCCACAGAAAACATCCTCCCAATTCTCCCCAGAATGGTTGGCTAGAATAAGGAGAGCGATATATAGCTTGGCAGAGATTCTCTAGCAAAAGCTCCTCATTAAGGTCCTGAGCCGCTAAGGGAGCCGCACGAGAAATTGGGACACCATGTCTGATTGCTGCCGCAAATATTATCCCAGCTAGGCGACACGACTCGTAAATCCATGTCATTGGAGAAATTGATGGGCTGAACCATGAGACAGGGCTTTTGAGAATCTGTAGGTAGAGTGTTTCCTGCCGAGTGCTAGATAAGGGATTGGGGTGAAGGAAGTTCTCAGTCAGTTGTTGCAGAAGATATATTATCTGTTCAAGCATTCCCTGCGGATCGTCGGTTGTTGTTATGACTGGTCTGTGACCACCAGGCGATACCATTAGAGGGCAGTACGCAAGATTCACAGGGATTATCGTTTCCACAGGATTACTGCAGTGAGTCTTATATCGGAGATACTCCATCGGCGGCGGACATTCGGTAATGACATAAGCCATGAGTACATGTCTATTGCAGCTGTCAGTAATCTTAGCTGAGATCTTGATATCCAGATAGCCTACACTTTAAGCATGTGAGCCAGATCTCCATCAAGCCCGAGCGTATGTAGGCCGCCTCGCATACGAACGATTTGGTATAGCCCATCTAGGTGTGCGAGTATGATCGGTTTCGAGGAGATAAAGCAATCGTAGTATAGTTGGTGTTTTATGCTAATTATCGTGTAATCGTCAATTTGGCTGCTACTTGTTCGCAGTGTTTTGTTTATAGATTCCAGAACGCTTCCGCGGATGGAGAGAACAGCCGGGTCGGTCTCGAATTTTCTTTTAAGTATTGACTGATACAACGCTGGTAAAGAAGCATAGCTGACGATCAAGTCTTTCGATGTGGTTATTTCTTTGAGATAGCCGCTGGGCACGTAGCCTGCATCAATAGGTATAACTGAACATGAAAATGAGCCGTCGTACTTTTTCTATCGGTGTGCGTTTCTTACAGTACTGCATTAATGCGTGCACATCTACAAACACGCCAGACCAGTCTTGCCTGCTCGGCAGACTGGCAACAGACTGATTCAGTGACGCCTTGGGATGGGTTGCAAGCGATAAGTTTGAGTTGTAGTCGGTTGTTGATCGAGATGCGCTACTTGTAGACGCGTATACTGTCCATGGCGACCTTTTGGGAACATAAATACAGGCATATCCCTTTCCATGGCACCGTGTACACACAGGCCGAACCCCATCGCATTTCACATGCTGGGATCTGTAACCTATGAGCATAAAACTTGAACCTATGACGATCCGAAATGCGTACCTGCATTTTTCGCAACGATCATATCCGCGAACTGTTCGAGCAATCTGTGGTGTTGTTCGGCCAGTTTTGTCCTCAAACATACTGCTATGTAAGTGATATAAGATGGGCCGATGTGGGGAGTCGTTGAACTCGCTGGTATTTTCTTAAGAGCAGCCGCTCTTCTGTCCCTGAGGATCGAAGGCCTGTGACTGGGCAGGTATGTTTCAATCCTCTTATAGAAACTCAAGGTCCTTCCCGCAGATTTTACATAAGTAGCTCTAGGTGCCGCGGTCACACATACGATCTTTCGCAGCAAGCTGTGGCTGAGCGGAGCCAGGCCTGATAGCTTGTCTAAAAATAATGAATCAAAGCGCTGGGTATAGCCAAATGAACGATATTGTGATTCAACGTGCCTCTCGAGTAATTTCGATTCCTCACGATCCCCCACCTTAGTGAACCGAATAAAAGGCTGAACCAAAAAGATGTTCCTAATCGAGATTAGTGTACGAGAAATCATTGATTCCGGACCTCAGGGTGCATTTGGCGTCCAGCCCCCTCCAAATACGTACTAGTACTTTACTGTAATCTTAGTTAGCACATCAACTAGCCTAATTTAGTTAACTTAACTTAGAACATAGTCGCTTGCAAAATTGTCGATGGGCGGCCGACCTACCAATACTTTTGGCTATGCACACGCTTTGGCACCTAGGCAGTTAACATCCTTGCGCTGTACCCAAGCTTGGACAAATATTAGTTTGAGAATATACAATAGGCTAGATAAGGCCAATGATATACAGGTATGTGGTTAATGACAATAAGTGCTAATATTGAAATCTTGCTAGTGGCTTTGACGAGCCACTCTGGACTCTGGGTTCTCACACAGTGCCTGCATCTCCAGAGCGTACCATCTCGAAATGCTTGGCAAACCATCTAACTGCTTGTACCTCAGCCTGTATCGCTTGTTCTGTCTGCTTCGGATTTGTGCGATCTATCCGCACACTAAATCCGTGTCCAGCGCCCTCGAAAATCACAATCTCCTGCTCCACCTTGTTCTTCCGCAGTATCGCCTCCGTCTCCTCGGCTTGCTTTGGCGTCATTAATGGGTCTTTGTCACCGACCGCTATCGAGAGCGGCTTCTTGATCTTTTCAATGTCTTTTGGAAATGAAAGTGAGGATGGATGTGCTGTGAAAAAGACATCGACAAGAGCTTTGCTATTGCTGGGTGCTTCGGCCGCCAAGTGGACAGCATGCTGACCACCCCAACAGAAGCCTGCGACGCCGACTGGGAGATTTGCGGCCTCCGCCTGGCGGAGTTTCGTGAGGAAATCTATGACACGCGGCATTGTGACACTCATGCGGTTCTTGATCAAATGGGGTCCAAAGCCGTAGACCGTACGGATAAAATCGTACCTATTATCTATCAGAGGTCTAGAAAGGTGACAGATATGATGATGAATGTCATACAAATTTTTGAGGAAGCCCATAAAAGATTCGGTTCTCATGGCTGTGTCCAGTGGCTCTATCACCCAGAGTGGGCAAGCATTGCCTATTGTGAGGTACTTGTTAGCAAGTACACTAATCCTAGTCCCTGCAATTGATGAGAGAACGAAGCCAGTAGTCGTTGCAATAAAAGGTAGCTACCCAGCTGCCGACATTGCATTACATCGCGCGACATAGAGCTATTTCTCTGAAAGTGTTCCAGGCATAGAACACCATGCCATGAATCGATGCCACATTTACCAGGCTATGGTGCAATAACAGAAGCAAAAGATCAGATGGAAAGCAGAAGGACTTACCATTCATGAAGTCCGGCATGAAAACCGTAAAGTCTCCCTTTCGTGCGTATTCATCGACCAGGAGTCGATTGTTGACAAACTCCCAGCCGAAGGCATCAGGAATTATGACAACAATTCCTTTCGGAATTTTTCCCGTAGAGGGATTGGCGGTGTATGTAGGAAGGCCATGAAGAGTTATCACCTGGCCAGTAGGTGTTGCGTCTGTTCTTTCAGAGCCTCTAAAGCAATCGGGGCAAGACATTTCAATGTTTGGTGAACGAGGCTAACAAAAGTGCTGTCACGTAGTGTAAAATGAGCGAAGAAATAAATCAAATTGATGGATTTTCTCCAGACAAGATATAGGGGACTGCATGCTTATGACTTCTTTATATAAACCGATGCACTACGTACCAAACTACTGAAGCGTCTCAGCTAAGTAGCACTCCCAATTCGCTGCTATATAATTTTGCGCCACCGTCGCCAACGCTAGCTATTTTGGGGATAGTTTTGGCGACGTGAGCGCGCCAATCTGTCTCTACGCTGTCGAGATGAACGAATTAAATCTCACCATCGGACCCTAACACTCGGGATAATTTATATGTGAGTAATAAAATGTGTAGTCAATTGCTGTAGAGACAACGGGATGCTCGGGCTGTGTTCTGTTCGGTCTAGTTGACATGAACAGGCATACGGTTGAGATTTCGAATTGAACGAGGAGACGTACGCCCATTAGTTGAGGCTTTATGAGCTAATTGCTCTACATCAAAACTCCTTAGAATTATGATATTGTAGCTTATTACAAGCCTACGAGCATCGATCTTAGCTACTAGACCGTGTGGAGACAAATGAATGACATCTCACAGTCTGATGCTTCAGGGTAAGGACCCCTCCAGTCCCCACGTCACTTTAGAACCACATGCAAATACCTATTTACACGTAGAAACATCAGTGCATACTAAGTCAATGCTTTGTCCACTATGCTCTGATATTCAGATGCCCCTAAATCCAGGCCAGTCTCTCTAATTTATAAACACCTGGATCCGCACCTCGTTGCTCCAACCAGCGTCTAATTTCAACGCCTTCCATGCCTGGAGAACGTCTACCGCGAGGACGTTGTCTCGATCCTTCCATACGGTCTCTCTTGGTACCGCGAGTCCTGAAATCATGACCATGATATGTTTATCAATATCTTTGCTTTCCAGACTAGAATGGTAAATGCCAAGTACACCTAGAGCCTTGAGATTCACGTCAAACTTTAACCGTCCACTGTCGACAACTGTGACATCTGAAGTCACCACAGCAGCAACACCTGTCATCTTGCCAATGAGACCCAAAACAGCAACGTGGGTCAGCAAGGACGTCATTGAGGAGGATGTTGAGGGACAGCCACGGCTGCCTTCGAGCGTGAATGTGCGGAGAGGATATGCGGTCAATATCTCCCAGCCTCTGACTGTGAGAGAAACAGAAACCAAAGAATATGCGCCATTCAGTGTCATGATATCGCTAATTACCCCGGTAGAATGTGATCGAATTATATAGCTGGAATAGCCGTCACTATGGTCATTAGAGGGGAAGGAGGAGCTTGAATTTGCCCCGGTTGTATTGACACCCGGAAATATATTGAGTGGGACAATGGTCGAGACATCTGCCGGGCTGATGTTGAACAGCCCAAGTATACCGCTTCCGGTGCGAGCCCAACCACTGTATGTCCCGATACGGAGTATATTTCCTTCATTGTAGTTGTGGTAAACATCCACCGTGCGACCTACAACACTTGGACGGAGTATGACCGTGGTATCTCGGGTCGTCGGTGCGGTTATTTGATTGATCAGTTCGATATCATGCTCACCTGGCTTGTCAGTTATATAGATTGGTCCACCTGAAACAGCCCTAGCAGCGGCATGAAACGAAGCATAGGGATGACTTGTTTGGAACATGTCCCAATCAGGAATGATATTCAAATGAGCCGACAAGAGTGAATTATGAGCATTACAAAATACGTGCCAAGGATGAGAATCCGCAATGTTTGGGAAAAAGTCATCGGAGTTACGAACAAGAATGCTAGGCTTGTTGGTCGGTAAATGAGAGTGGAATATGAGCTGCGGTGTCATTGACATGCATGAAATGGCACGAGTGCTGAAATATCTAAGCGAAGCAATTGTCCATGCCTAGAAAGGTTAGCATTTCCCGTAGTAAAAGCACGTATCAAGGCTTTGTGCGTCATCACTTACATCCTGATATGATGAGATGAATCGTTTTCGATCCTCTGCACTGACCAGCAAATCGATGTAGAATTGGGCGTCAGTCTTTACGGCATCGATGCCGGCCGATGTCAAAAACGAGTAAAAATCATTGTAGAATTGATTGATATCATCAGGATCAATCGCAAGCATTTTACCTCCAGCAACGGTATCCTTCCTGTCAACCTCTTTGAGCTTGTACTTTTGAGCCAGCTCTCCTTCTGGTGATATACCACCCCAGTAGCCCATAAGGGCATGCCAGACTGCAATGTGTCCAATATTTGGATGTCGCTGCCGTATGACGCTAGTTGTATGCCGCAGACCTGAAGGGAATCCTTTTTTGTTGGCTTCGAAACTCTTCCAAGCACGATGCCACTGTTCTTTGCCTTCATTATCAAGAGACTGCCAGTTATCATCAATAATCAGATTCACAACTTGGATTCCATGGGACTTCAAAGCATCAAGAGCCTCGAGTATTTTATCTTCGGTCAAATTCTGACCGAGTGCATTCCAAGTGCAGTATGAAAGGCCCTCGTACCAGTCAGCAAGCCACTGTGTACGAGCATCGTCTCCTACGATGACCATGTCGTCGCTAATGGGAGAGCTAGGTTCTGGCGGCAAGTCAGATACAACAGGTAATTCAACTGTAGTACTTGAGTCTCGAACAACTTTTCGAGCCTCGTAAATCAGCGAGCAAATACATTCTTCGAAAGTCTCCGCAACGGATGCAAGTATTTGAAATCGCGCTGCTTCTGTGTTTTCATTCCTGGCCTTAGCTACAATATCACCCTCTTTACCAGATCCAAAGAGGGTTAGAATATCGTTGACACCTGATACTGCAAGAAGAACCAAGTTTAGACCATCTGATCTTAGAAATGAACAAAGCATAGCGTCCTCTGTTAATCTAAAAGTTTTTTCTCCGTGTCGTGGAGCGAGCCAGGGACTCCACACCCGTACCAATGAGAAGTAGCGTAGATAGGACTTTGGTGTGCCGAGAGATACCTCAGCTCTTCCAGACGTCTCGCCTTCCGCAGGTGGCGCAGTTCCTGTGATACTCCATAGCAGCGCGTTTGGTGTTTCACTTCTCTTTGCATGGACCTCCAGTTGAGTCGACAGCCCTTGAATATATTCACCTATTTCATCTCTCGGCGAGTGTCCAGCACCAGATTCCGAAGCAGTATTTATATTGGAAAGTATAGCCCGATTTCTCTCTCCAAAGACTACCTCTCCGTCTTTGACAAACCTCCTCTGATTTGCCCATTGCCAATCGGTATCGGGCCCTGTTCTATAGCGAACTGTAAAGTTACCCCTCCCTGCAGAAGACGGTAGCTTCAGCTCTGCTGAGTACAAATAATGGTGATAATTCTGTACATCTTCTGTGTTTCCGATAAGCGTCGGGTTGGATGACTTCGATCTCGTCAACGGGAGCGACGTCCAATGCTCGCTTTGTAAAATATTATGCCATATTTCCACTTCCCAGTCTCGTTCTGGGAATGAGGTGCTAGACGAAAGAATCACAGTGAATTGAATCTATTAATAACCCGACATCAGCTCTATGATCAAGCCTAGGAATGGAACCGTGCCAACCTTGTCCTCGGCTATCGATCCCGGTTGCTGTGATCGCTTTAAGCATGTCACCTCTCCCAAAGGCGGATAGCACGTAACACGAGCAAAAAGAGACATCTGAGCTGGCCTGATAAACTTCGCCTGCAAGACTCGGCCACCAGATGACGAAGGTTGGGTGACGGAGAGGTTGTCGGACGTTATAGACATTGTGAGCGAGGTGCAGCCTCTTTTGGTCTTTTTCAGTCACACCAAGCAACTAACACCGATGCATACGTGTATATATTAGTTATTGGTTAGACAAAACGAGGAGAATGCTGTTGAAGAGAAAGAACGAACGAGAGAGTGCCTCTACGAGTTGGGCGTGCGGAGTGTCGACAGCGGCCTACGTTCCTATTGGCCAGAGCTGCGATAAGATGTGGCGTATCTTATCGCTCTCACCGCCTTAGGGTTGTCGTAGGCTTTAGGGTTACCCCTTCCCTAGTCCCCCAACAACCCAGAGAAATACTCTTCCCCTGCATCCAATTTGATTATCTGAAAGAATTGGGAAAATCCACGGGTGAGTATTTAATTAGTTCGGCATGTTGTTAACCCTAATCTAGCAGAGCTCAAGTAGCTTTTCTCTCGCATATCCCCACAAATGGCGAGAAAACTCCTCCTAGGAACAAACGTTGCGACTTCACATCGTGCAGCGCACTCGATATGCCGGGGAGGACTTTTCCACCGTCGTCTTCAATCAATTTTATAATCCTATAATCATTCCTGTGGCTTGTTATATGGCCAACAATACTCTCAATTGAGAGCACGGTAGCTGGCGCAATAAGATTGTATGGATCCTCTGAAGCCTTGACGTATCCGAGCAGATCAGGGATCGCAGCTGCAATCAGATTGTCATCTGCATCGAGCGAGATATTATCAATTGGATAGCCTAGCGGAATTGACTCGATTTGGATTAATTGACCATTTTCCAAACGATGGACTGTTACCGTGCCTGTCAAAGAATGCGCGACATAGAATAATCCGTTGTGATCACTGACGACCCCATTGGGAAACGCAAGTCCTTCCGTAGCTGCGATATGACATTCTCCAGACTCAATTTGGCAATACGTGAGGGTACCTGAGCGATACAGCATCTCCACATCACGAAAAGCACCGACCTTGGCATTGTGATCATTGGTAATGACAACGCCCGTGCCATCCTTATCCACAGCTAGGCTATTGGGTGATATAATCGCATCACTATGAATCGTTTTCACATATTTGAGTATATCCGAGCCTTCCGCCAGATCAAATACCTCGATAGTGGAGTTGGCCCCAACCACACTAGGGTCGAGGAAAGCTCCGGTAAGGTAGTCAATCGGTGGTCTATGGTTAATCAACCAAAATCGGAGCGTATTCCCAATTTTCTGTACATCAAAGCCTTGCAAATCCAAGTCTCCGTGAAAACCGCGAACGTCCAAGGCGCGTAGTGCGTACAACCCATCAGAGCCGGGGTGGTCAATATCCAGTACCGCAATATGATCAGTGCGAGACCTAGCTGAGATATTATATTTACTTCCACTTGGACTCCACCCTTGTCTAGATGTCAGAGCCGTACAAGCGCCATATAGTCTCCGACCGTGGTGGTCAAGCCACATCTCCTCACAGCCCTCTAAAAGAGGATGATGAACTCGTGTGCATGTCCATGGGAATTCGTCGATTGGCTGTATCTTTCGGCCAATTCCCAATACGACAAAGAGAAAATTGGACAAAAAGTTTTTGTATACTATTGAAATTGTCAACGCAGCCAACGCCCAGTACACAATCCTCGGGATAAGCCGGCCCGGGGGAGCTTTGAGCGGCATGTCTAAATGCACAAGAGATGCTGGTATTGAGTCAAAATGAGCGTTTTGCTCTATTCCGGGCCGTATACAATTGAAATAGGCCTGAGATATATCGCAAAAAGACGATTGACCATGCAGAAAAGGGAAGTGGCGCGATTTTGAAGAGCCGTCGGCCTTTCGAAGTGTTGCTCCAACTTCCAACAACCAACAACCAATAGTACCTAGGCCGACTGGCACTAGTCCCAGCGCTATTGTGTTCACCATAAACAGACGCGATTTCTGTATTATCATATCCTTCATGCTCTGTTATTGCTTGAGTTCAATTTGGTGGAAGGAATTATTATTGCGACGACATTCGGAAGTCTGGATGATTGCATGTACCTCTTCAACAAAGGGACTAGGATTCTTGGCTACTGATCATTGTTAATGATCAAAATCAAACTTCAATCTACGAATATATGCCTAGTCCCCTGCCAAGGCATCTAGAGGTACGTACAAAATTCTATTTCTGAAAAAGTCCGCCATGAGTTCAATGAAACGTTCGTAGTGATCACAATACTGACATCAGGACTTGGAGCTGGCCGCCAGCACTCCTCAGGGTTGAATATACGTATAGCGAAGTGGCTGATAATAAACAATGGCATGAGAACTCGGTGCTCTCATTTAAGTCAGATCAATGGCGTTGTAGTCAGACTGTACTTGGTTACTTTCCTTGCCCAGTAAGAGAAGAGGAGCAAAATGTCACAGCGTCAGATGTGGTACTCGTGCCACAATCAAGCTGAAATGTGTAGCATGTGTATGCAAGGTGTACAAAGTGTCAAATGCAGTTTCACAGTTCTGGTGTACTGGCAATCAACACAGAAAGTTTTTCCGATAGATGCTATAGCCAACTTAGCATCCGCTCATAACCACATACGAACAGCCGACCTCGCACAAATTCAGAAGTATGGTGGAGTGATCTTGAAAGAATAATTACCATGATATAGTATCAATGATAAATGCGTGATTATGAATAGATACCCCATAAAAAGGCTATGACTTGGAAGATCGAATGACGTGCGGCGAGCTCACGCCCCTCGCTGCTGCCCCTGTTTTCGATTCGATGATATGCACGAAAGAGTTAACATCGATGACAAGTTTGCTCTGACGACGGGGATTGTATTTAGAACAATCCTGCCCAAAATATGTTGAATCATCCGCCTATGCGACCTCGGGCTACTGGTCTATTATTATGTTGCGGAAATGGATCAAGCCCAATTGGCGTCCTGCTCGTATGGTCCAGACCAGAATAGAAGCAGTAAAAAAGAGCGACACCACTGCCAGGCCAATCAGCACACGAAGCTGTTGGCGTGCTGCGCCATTTCCGATAAGCTTCTGTGACCCATGAACTTCCACCTCGCACCACACCAACTTGATCCATTTCCCGGTTCCATCGCTGGTCAAAAAAGTGTCCCAGTTATCGGCGTCATAACACTTGAACCATGCTTCCGGATCGCCCTTTCGGGGTGTATAGACCAAATCGAGATTGCAATAGGAGAGGAGGGCAATTGCAGCACACCAGCCCGCAGCGCAAATTGCATCAAGCGCAATCACTACCCAAACATTGTATGGCAAACATGAGCACAACGTGGAGGCAGTGAAATATGGCTGAACGGCCATGGCAAGAGCGACAATCCCGATTGTCACACATTCTGCGGTAACTTTTGAGAATTCATGTGGCACGATGGCACCGTAGATCATCATAGCCAGCAAGTTCGCGAAGAGAACGAGGCGCAAACAAGGCGCGTTGATTCGGGGTTCTTTAGACTTGCGTGACATAATAATGCCCTCTTGATGGAAGATTCAGCACAAGGTATACGCACGAAGGGGTGTCGATTTGTGCTCCGAAGGAAAATCTTGAAACCCAGCTTGGGAGAAGAAATCAATTCGTGGCACTTTAGGTAAAATACAAGCTACTCATAAGGAGCTAGGTGATCGGGTGTCATTGTTTTAGGAACAGGCGATTTTGCCTATGTACGGCAGAAGATAGAGATAGGCTTCGAGTACATCGTGACACGTGCATGCCAAGAGGTTATTCGACCGCAGATCATGAGAAACGATGCCTTATTAAGTTTCTATAGAACGAATATTTCATTTGCCGAAGACGATAAATAAGCATATTCGGTATATGTAGCCTCATGAGGTAAGCCGTAGGGAAATGTGAGGCTGGGAGGGGATCACGAAGTCAACCTTGCGGGTCTTATGAGCAGAAAACAGTTTTAAAAGAAAATAATGAAACACTCCATTAAAATTCATATTTTTCAGATGGGTTGGAGTTAGGGGCAAGTTAGTGTCTTGGTTCGCGACTTCGCGCTCTCACCCCCCCTAAAACAGTCTAACTAATAACAGCTTCATACAGCGAGCCCTAACTCGCGATCCTCTAACTAGCACAGAGATGGGGCTTAGGCCTACCAGTAGTTTTTGGAGAAAGAAATAGCCTATCTGTTGGTAAAATTGGACTAAATAGAGCTTGAAATAACCTTGGGATAATTCAGTATGGACAGGCGTGCGCAGTGCAGTGCATTTTTATACTGAAGCTCCCTAGTATCGTATATTTATTTCAGTAAATATCGGAGTCAACCACTGGATCTGTAAAAAGTATCAGTCTACCTAAGTGCATCAGGGGTATGATATGCAAGAACTATCTAGTTATTAAAGATACAGGGTTAGAAAGGACATGAAGGTACTTAGATTTAAATATATATTAGTTAGCTAGTAATATCCATGTCAAGGGCATAAAAGCTAGTATTTTTAGAGAACAGCAAATAGCTGCTAATGACATCTACACCTATGTTTCTAACTCCTACCTTACACCCGTACTACTATGCCCTCGTAAACCCTCTTATATATCATAAGGGTATAATTAGTTTTTTAACTGCCATGACCCGATTAATTTTAGCGCTGGTAGATGATTTAATGAGTTCTGATCAGCTGTTGCTTTATTGTAACTTTTACATCCTTGCGCGCTGCGGTGTCACGAACCTTGGCGAAGCTCTCCCGGTGTAGATCGCCTGATTCGGCCAAGGTGAGACTGCCTTTATTTTATGTAATTCTTTAGAAAAGTCGCTTTTATCATAATCAAACCCCGCTAAGCGCGCAACTCTAAGAGGAGGTTTAGATTCTGACGTGGTGCGTACAAATGCATCGTCGTCACCTGGAATTTTTTTTTTGATTTTCAGTGAAAACGGTGTGCTTTGAGAAGTAGGTAGTGTAAGTTATTTTACGTAGTCTTTGACATGAATTTTGGAAGAAACAAAAGATAAAGTTCTAATGCCTACCTGTCCAATAACTAGGAATTGATCACTGCCATATTCAGTCAAGCAGTGCCCCGGAAAGTTAGCGTCATGGTCATTGATGCTTTAGTACAATCCTCAAAATCGCTTGACTGTAATAACTTTCCATCCAAGATCTTCCCAACGTGAGTTTTGCCAATTTCCTGGCCATCTTTTCTTATCTGAGATATGAGCGTCCTGAGACATTTTAGAGGACTTTTGGTGAATGTTGTTGTTGACGCGTTGTCTGACGCTATAATAAAACCATCCGCAGAAACAATGTAGCCACTGGGTGTTTTTGTGGATAAAACGCCAAGGAAGTCACACAGTTGACGATATTCGTCATACGATGACAGATAAAGTTGACCTGAAAACAGGTTGAGCTGTATCTTGAGAACTGTGGGTATGCGAATCGCCGTAACAGTCTTCGAAACTGGATAGAGATTCAGTTCGTCAAGAGAACGGAGACTTCGATTCTGTCGTGGTGCGTATATGTGCATCGAGACTACATTGGACCGTTGAACCTCACTATGCAGTTTGTTTGCCTCGAAAGGGCTGATAATCAGCATGTGTTTCACAACTGAGGGGACGGGTCCGTGACTGATCAGAAGCCACTCGACTGAGCGTTGGTAATCGTCCATACATGAACGGCCTCTGGGTCTCAAGACAGTTTCGGCGAAGTCGCTGGTAACGAGAAGTCCAGGAGGAAACTCGGATAGATCCAGGTGATTGGCGGCCGATGTATGTCGAAGAATCTCAAATGCAGGTCGAAAGGCCGCGGTGTTCGCCATAATTCCGGTAGATACAAAGGATATTACATGCTCGTCAAGGTGGTGTTCTTTGGGTATTGCTGGCGGTGGCCTCTGAACCTCCCGCTCTCTTTCGATCTCCGGTGAAAGTTCCCGCTCCTGTTCCTCGTGAAGCTGTGCGGAACTGAAATTTAGATCATTGAATAGACGGCATCTCTGCTGAATGAGGTGTAAATTTCTTGTCTGAGAGGGTACGGCTTCAGGCTTAAAGTCAGACGAGTGGCGTGGCCGGTATCGTTGTTCAAGGGTTTGAGACTCTTCTTCGAGAAAGGCTTTTGCCTGTCTAGATGGCATCTCTCTTTGATCATGATACAAATTCCACAACGCGTTCTGGCGACCAAATCGCTTCCCCTGAACCGCCCAAAGGGGTATGCTGCGATACATGTCACTCCATGTTTCTGTAAGGGTCCAGCGTATTACGTCTGGTACTCCAATGGACCCAGTCGATCTTCCAGGCAGAGAGGAGATCTTATTCCTGATTTCTTCTGAAATACAGAAAACGACGGATTGTCCCTTGCCTAATTTGCGCATCCTCATGCATGCTTTTGATATGATCAGTGGTTGTTGCATGAATGAGGATAAAAGTTTGCTTACCCTGTACTAACTTGTCTTTTGTCATACCGGCCCCGAGGATCACTGCTGCCCGATAAAATGATGGTAACCGCAAATCAATACCCCTCGTGTGAGCTTCATCCAAGAAAATATAGCATGCCTCAAGCTGCTTGGCAAATGGTGATATTTGAAGTGGTTCAATGATTCCAGCGCGGTCCACAACGCAGATGACGTCGAACTCGTTGACAAAAACAACGGCCTGTTTTTGCTTGTCATCCGATGTTATGCTTAGCCAGGCTCGTGCAACCTGTAGGTTGGTGAGTTCTAATATCTGGGCACCCACATCGAGAATAACTTGTGTTGGCGGATCGAGAGTCACGACCATGTCCAGCAGCACTTGTGCGTCCGAGATGGACTTGTTGGCTCGCGAGGGTATAAATGCCACCGAATTCTCAGGTCGTAGTAGATACTCCAGAACCAATGCGTTCGTGTGATTTTGCTCTGGAAGGTCCAATTGCGTTACACTCAGAGGAAGGGTCTCGCGGGAGTCATTAGTGCCACTGAAACCAACCATTGGATTTGTCTTGAGCTCGCCGATATCCCACCCCGAGGCAGACAATTTATTTGGAAACTCCTTGATTTCTTTAGAAAACACAATATGGCTGAGAAAGTAATCGATAGTGCCTTTGGAAAATTTAAAGTGAGGGAAAACATGAGCCACACAGTGAAACCGATCCTGGAGGTTGATGCCGCCTAATTGGCGGTATGCCTGTGGGAGCGTTGGCGCATCATTTAGCCAGATCTGAAAGTCAATTTCCTTTTGATCTGATTTGACTAGATGGTCAAACGCGAGAAGCACCTCTTCGTCATCTAAACCGCCGTAGTAATAATTCAGGCTTGTGAGGACGATGACAACTTCCGGGTGACTGAATTCCGATCTTGGAGCTGGGTTGTCCTTCGCACGATATGGAACCGAAAGCCTGCTTGCTGGGTGTCTTATACGATCAGAACCGTAGTTGACCCTCCAACGCTTCTGTCCAAGGCAGAAAGCTAGAACACCACCAGCAAGAAGCCCCCTCAAGAGAAGAAGCGCATCTTTCGTGCTGTCACTCCAAAAGCTGGAGGGGGCTTCGTTTTCAACGTCGTCAATCTCTTGCGCCGATAAGTCAGGATTCAGAATATACTTCAGAATGGCTCTCCTCGATTTCTCGGTCTGCCGCGAGATCGCTAAGGAGTCAATATTATTCTCACAGATGTGTTGGGCAATCCGTCCAAGAAGCTCTCGACCCGCACTATCGTGCAGCAATCTTATTCGAGGAAATCTCCCTGGCCGGTGTTGATCCACTTCGATGTAGCGAGCAAATTCCTCCTTCATGTCTACAGCGTACCTCCTTACCAGCTCCAAGATTTGTTGGACGACAATCCATCTCTCTGGGCTGAATTCCAAGAGCTGCTGAGCACCCATAGTGTAGATAAGCTCAAATTTGACGCTAAAATTCTCATCGCTCTCATCCACTACGTCGCGAGACGAATTACGGAATAATTGAAGCGTTCGAAAAATAGATCTCCCAATCTCAATCTTGCCCATAATGAAGGATTCAAGGCACATAAGTCTGAGAGATAGTATGTGTTCCGGCTGGACTAAGAGAATCCCCCCGGTCTTCATGCAATCTCGACACATGCGCTCGGTCTCATCCGCCTCCGATATACCTATTCGAAGTGACCGCGACACAGGCAACTGATAGATCCGTCGACCCAGAAGACCTCCAAGCTTTGAGACCAGCATGTGAAACATCTGACCTGACTGTGGCTTAGCGACAAGAACGCGGACTAAGCGAGATCCGTCGGCCAGAGCAGCTGCAACAATGGGCACGATGACTGAGGATTTGCCTTCACCCATGTTGAGCTGCATGACTGCGTTAGAACCCGGTTTTAACGTTCGCATCTTTCGCGCTATCTCCTCCTGCACGTCTCGAATTAAAATTCCATTCTCGATCTCCAGCAGCAGTGACTCTGGATAATCGTATGGGTCCCAGTTGGAATGGCCCTGGTTCTGAAATTCCTGGATAAGATCCTCGGGACGATCTATTAGACTCACCAACCGCTTTGCGCGCTGCATTGCCGTGATAGCAAGTCCGTAAGCGAGAAAGTAGCGTTTCCATCTTTCCGGTAGCCGTGGCCATCTTTCCTGCGTTAATTGCTGTAGTAGAAGGTTCGGGGATATTCTCGGCCATGTATACCCCTTTGACAAAGTTTGCCATACTCTGAGTGAGATTTTTGCATGTGCATTCGTCGTGCTCGCCGCTGTGGTAAAGATGGACAGTCGTGAATGAATAGCTTTGTAGGTTCGTTCTAAGTGATTTTGACATCGTTTGTCGTAAGACTGAATAACACCTCTCAGGTCGATATTTGCTGATAATCCTATATTATATTTTTGTTTCTGCTGTAAGGATTTTATACTTGCTTGCAGCCTTTCAAGGTATTGCGATTCATATTTGGATCTGGGCTGGGACTCCAAAGTACTGAGTATTGAAACCAACCTCGGCACTTGCAGATGAGAACTCGAAAAGGTGTGTAAAAGGTTATGTAAGCAAGGCAGATCCAGCTCGATAACAGGAAGTGGACCGAAGTCCTCGCTAAGAACATCGTCAATTGAAATTGATCTACAGCATGAAGAGGCAGGGTTCACAGTGATCTGGAAAGAAAGCAATGGCATGTCGATAGATTGCACTGGTTGGCCGACAATGACAGTCACTATTTCCACAAGATAGTGCCTCAGTTGCCTGTTGTCGAACCAAATAGAAAACCTATCATTTACCTGCTCCATAACTTTTTTGACGTCAAAGTAGTCAGTAAATTTGAGATTCCCCTTGGTTGGAGGAATCGTTGAGGAAGAGATTGGCCACTGTTGACGCAAGTCTCGCATGAATTCATCCAATGCTTGTCTCCTATTGTCTTTCGTACGTTTCTTTATCCGCGACTGAAACGTCGGGTAACTTTCCCATGGTTCAGGAGATAATTGGGATTCCGGGGTCGTGAACCAAATGGCGCCGCTGGTACTAGATCTTAATTCTTGCTCATTGAACTCGTACCCTCTTTTTGGCCAAAATCTTGGTCTGCGGGGCGGCCACAAGACCCCCATATCAGTGAGAGTATACATCGCTGCAAGGACTCTCAGAGCCACCATGTCCGAACGCTTCGAAAATGCCAAGGTTGAAAGCCAAATCATGACTTGATACTTGTTCGGACGAGAGGGGTGGTCATAGAATGCGCGATGAATACCACACCAATTTGTGGCAATAATTTTATTTGGATCCAATATGTAGCTAGCATCGTATCGGATATTGGCCGAATCCATCAAAGCTTCAGGGCCGTTTATACTGTCATACTTGGTAAGAAAATTCCAAAGATGAGAGACAATGCTTGAAGATTCCATCCCTTCCAGGAATCCGTAGTTGTGGTTAAGAGTGTGACAAAGAGTATAGATGCGACTGCACTCATCGGACTGGTAAAATCTGTCGCGACCAGGATAAATGCAATCGTGTGTAGTTGTGAAGTCTTCAGCTCCAAAACCTGAGACCCTAAAGGTTGATGTACGAAGTCGAGAACGTTGCAGTAACTGGGGGTCTGAGTCTGGCAATGCAGGCTTATCTATCGGGATGTTTGGATAGAAAATTCTCATCCTACGGTCCTGGTCGAATATATCCGCCACCTCTTTCTGAAAATCTTCATGATGTGACAAGCAATGAAGATCTCTCCGCCACTTGATCGTCTGCATTATTTTTTCATTGTCCGGATAGTACTGCCTTTGAGGAGTGAGCTCTGCCAGCTTTTCCAGAATCGCGGTATTTTCTAGTTGCAATTGTGTAAAAGAACGCAGGGACGCGGATCGAAGAATGCATAATGATTCTTCAGTTCCCGTCTTTCCAGTGAGAGGGTCTGGGATACAAAAGGAACTAACAGCATGCAAATAGCATAGCAGGAGCTTGCTCTGTAGACTTCCGTTGTCGACCAGTCGGCCCAACTGACTATCTATTGAGTAAGAATGGACACAGGTGACTTGTTGCCATCCGATAATGATTGCAATGTGGCCTATCACACGTTTCCATGTCACAGGACCCTCAGGGATAAGCACCATGCGTTCGTCATTGACTTCACTCCTCAGTATCAGCTTATTGCGAAGACCAACAAGCGTACCCAAGGATTGGTCCTCAGCAATCACCATTCCAGGGTACTGGCGAGATCGCATGGCAGAGTGTCCCACCTGAAGAGTGAAACTAGTTCTCAGACGGGGTATCTCAATTTCCACGATAGAGGAGCCCACCAGCGTACATTGCATTTTCGAGGCATTCTCCAACGGGCTTAGGATGTTGGACATCTGCTTTGCCGCCTCACTTCGTAAGCAAATCAAACTGTTGCTACCTTTCATGAGACACCAATCACGATGTGCATCAGTCTTTTGAAGTTTCCAGTTGCCATTTGATGCCAGCCATGGGTTCTTGATGGGTCGAAACTCCACGTATCCTTGATCCATGTTATACCAGTGGGTGTAATCCTCCACGAAAGCGTCAGGGAACCACCCGGCGAATAGTCTTGGTGGAATAAACTCCAAGGTCTCCCTTTCATCTATCGCACGAACACAGAGATCAAATATTTTTGATCCAGAAATCTCCTTTTTCCCGAAATGTATCGTATAGCCCCTGTGTCTCCGCTGTCCGGAAAACTGCATTCCGGGAAGGTTACTGGGCATCACCTCAACGAGTGACCGCCCAAATAAAGACTGATACGTTTGATGGCGTTCGTACCTAGAAGGCAGCGAAGCAAGCGGGCGGCCATTGATGAGTAGCTCCCCATTCAGAATGTTATAATGCACACACAAGTCACTCGTTTTTGAGGATTCGGATGTCATTCGAGTAACTAACCAATAGTTAGTCTCTCTTGATACAACAGACCAAGGAGAGCCCTTGTGGTATGCGGCCCACGTCCGTGCAATAGCCTCATCTAGAGCCGCGGATTGTTTACGAAGGAGGGTGCTGTTTTCGGCTATGAGTCGATAGTAACGATAGGATAAAGACTTCCATCGAAACATTAGAATTGGAAGCAGCGCGTTGGCTTTCATGTCGAGAATACTTTCCCTGTCGTGAATCATCATACAGCATTGAAGGAAAATTGTTACCGCCGATGTGCTCTCCACAATCCGAGAAAGATGTGCTCCTTCTGTACCAAAGGTACATGCACAAATCAAGGCAATGTGAGCACTGTGAGCCATCAATGCGGTACGATGACTGTCTTCAACTGTGCTGTTTGCCTTGTCCCTGACAATAGTAACCCAACGGAATGCAACATCCCGTACGTATGATAGGTTATCAAAACAGAGATCGTGTATTGCGGTGGAATTGGAAAGGGAGAGCACTCTCTGGATGATCAGAATCAACGCCAACAGCTCCTGAGCTGATTCCCAATTTTCTTCAATTCTTTCTGCCAACTTTCTGACCTCGGTTAGCAGTGCCACTGCGAATCGATCATCTTCGAGAATAGCATGTCCAGTTCTCAAGAAAGAGCTTCCGGCCGGGCCCGCCTGATTGACCAACTGTAAAAGAAAAATGCATGTTTCTGTCTTTTTCCAAACGACATTTGGCATGGCTAACTGCCGGAGGATGTTTTGCCACTGTATGTGCATACCGAGTGGCATTGCACAGAGCGCCCTGTATTCTGCAAGCGTCATGTCCTCCGGGCACATATTTAGAGAGGAAATGACCGTATTAGGGGCTGGTCCATCACTGCTACCTGCTGGTCGAAATAAAAATTTCTGTAACGATGAACTTTTTTCAGGTAGCCGATAGGTGCACAATGTTGCAGTTGTCTCCTTTCCGAAGTCAAAGTCCGCCACGAAACAGCCAGCGGAATCATCATAATACTGGAGATACATCCCGTTGTTAAGACACACATCTTCATCAGTCACGTGAATGATCCTCCTATCCCTCCTGTGTGTGCCAAGGTGAGGTTTGACCTGTGAAAGAAGGTGGATTCTTCCTGCGTCTTCGACATGAGTATAAAAGGACGATAGCCCACGGTATGATTGAGGCCTGTAATCAGCTCGAGGTCGATTATGGGCGGAGTACTCAACGTGCAGAATACTGAGAAAACAGAGCGTGGCTTCACGCCACCAGGCGAATGGCTGTGGTCTCCTCAGTTCGAAGACAGTTGACTTGGCCTGTAGGTGATTAGATGACAAAGGCCATTCGTGAATCTCGATGCTGATTGCTTTTGCCTGCTTATCATAGCCACAACGCCCGCAAGACTGGCTATGGCGGGATTCATGAATATTAAAACGATGATCGACTATAGTGTCGATGTACGTGCAGTTCATTTTATTGACCAGAGCAAGTAGATCTCGATATTTTTCTTGCTTTAGCTCAAGTTCTGCCCGCTTCGCTGCTCTCTCGCTAGCAGCGCGTTCTTCGATCTCTGCCAATAACCTCTGATGGTCTGCAGATCTATCGAAATACCGTACCGGGAAACAATTGGAAGTACCAAAATCCTTGAAGATGCCTGACCCGCGATATAGTATGCGGGATCGCCGTTGCTCCATATATGCCTCTGCATGTTCCAATCGTACCAACTGAGATTGATAGGGTAACAAGAGTGATGAATACATAGTCATCGGGATACTACAATCATATTCCTGGAGCATGGGATGTAGATGAATTGCTATCTTGTCACAAGCAATCCACAACTCCAAGATTGTAAGAAGCATAATTGAAACGGCTTCTGGATTGGAGGAGTATACTGGCAGCGCAACTTTATGGTAACGGTCGATCAGGTTTCTCAGCTGCTGACAGGCGCTTCCTTGTGCTAAATGGATTTGAAGCCAGCTCTCAAGATGAGACTCGACCCAGCTCTCTACGGTGGCGAGGTTAAAGAGGTCATACTCTGGGTCATGGAAGTCTAGATGAAAGGGGAGCTCCGTCGCTTGATAATGTCGCAGTTTTGGCCGCGGCTGAAACTCTGCGGAGGCTGAAATGCGTTGACGTTGATGAATACTTTCCAGCCATTCATCTAGACCTGGCGGCGAACAATAGATGGCTTCTCCGAAATTCAAACTTTCCAGGCGATACAACCCTATACTCGACCTGTTTTGTGACACAACCGAGTCCCAAGCCTGTTGGATGCTGCTGTTGGCATGGCCAAGCGCATCTTCAACGACGTGAAACCAAACAGGAGCAATGGCCAGATCAAGCTTCCGCAGTCGGCGAGCGATTTTAGCTGTCATGATGTATTTTTCTTCGGCATCTATCTTCTCACCGAACATTTGGAGAAGCATAGCCATGAAGAACACCATAAAGTGCTTGTAAAGTTCTGCCGTCAATCCCTCGTGCACGCAACGTCTTTGGATGATTAGTTGAAGAACCACTCGAATCATAAGCCAAAAAGAAGATCGCCGCCAAGGCATTCTAGTTTTGGACCATAGCACTTCTTCGCGAGTATTCTTCTGTATCTGTATATTCTCTGAGGCCCGACATAGAGGTCGTAAAAACGTGATGAAAAGTTCGGTTACCATGATTGGCTTGGTTGTATCTCTCTCCTCTTCATGTGACTTCCCAGCTTTCCTCACCTTAGGCGTAGTCTCGGGTGCGGACTGATAGCTCATTCTGGAGAGAGTCTGCGCAATAGTATGTTGTAGGGTCGGTTCCTCAAAGGTTTCCCGATCCAAGCCAAATGCCGGGCCCGGGAATTGACGCTGTAGCCGGCCCACGGTGCTATAGACGGATTCATTATGAGGCGATAATTCGAATGCCTCTGTCTGGATCTCACCCTTAACCGCAGTTAATAGAACTGCGGCGTTTTGACTATGAACATAGATGGGTAAAAATCCCCCTTGAAACTAGATCAGAATATTACTTGGTAAATACCATCTCGATGTAGCTTACCGTCATGACTCAATTTCTGCAGGTTTTGTAACAATTTACCTTCGTTCACATCTCCGTGAAATCCAGCTTGGCTTTTCAAACGGCAAACCATCTCGATGACAGATGCGAAAACCCCATCCTGCTTCACTGGGACACAGGTTCTAAACCGTTCGAGGGCTTGTATTACGCTATCAAGGAGCGCAAGCTCGTATTCAGGATTATAGTCATCCTCTTGTGGAAGCTTAGGAGGGAGAAACACATGATGAAACATATATCTCATAGCCCCGGAGGACAAATTGGAATATATCGAGGATGTAGACATGATTCTAAAGATATATTTGCGTATTTTGTCAGTATAGAGCTATGTGAATCTGGCAAAGGCACGGTACTTAAACAATTCGACCTTCGTGAGTTCTCTAGACAATCATAAACTCAATCAGCCTTGCAGCAGGGTATGACGTGCTTGATCAACGTCCTTCCATAGTCTCAGGTTAGTTTCTCAAAGATCTGCTATAGCTGTCTAGCGAATAACAGTTTGTGCGACGTTAAGGCGGCAAACGTGTTCCATGAATCATCAATTTCTTGCAACTATCAACCGCGCCAACCGAGTGTATCCCTTACAATTCTACGTCCTTTGATGTCTAAAAAGCTCTAAGGTGTAAGACCTGCATCTATATCTTGCCAAATCTATTATTTGACATTGTTGCTCTGAGATAAGAAAGAATATTACTATTGGTTCCTCGCTCCTGCGCCGCATGCATCTTTGCCAAATTGTTGCTAGTCGCGTCATATGAATCACATTCCACACGACGAGGTTCAGCCTTGTCGAAGCTACATACAGGATGGTGCAAACTCGAGTACGGAGTTTTCGATTGGACATTGAAGTTCGACCAAGTCTTGCCATTCAGGACTGTCAAGCTTAGGCAACCGAAAGAAACTGCCCATAAAATTTCTTGAGTCTAAAAAAGCATTTACGCAGCGTGGCAAAAGCAGGAGTACATGTATCTTGTCTTGCATTCCAGTCTTGTTCGTCAGCCATGCCTCAAGCGATAATGTAGATGCTAGATATTTCCGCAAATGAAAGATAGGACCCGCACGATTGGATCACGATAATCAGAGTCCTGACAGGGTACTGAGTGTTACAGTTATGAGCTTGTCAGTCCATATCCCAATCCTTGCGCCCCCCTCCAACATCATCCGCATCTTCTACCATTGCTCACTTATCTACCTAACATTACACCAGCTTATCAGAACAGAGCATTCACTTTCCTTGAGATAGCCCATGAGGCAGTCCTGAATGATGAACGAATCAAACCAAAAATTCATGCTGACTATATTTCTCGATTAGGATGTTTCAAAGGGATCATTTCTTAACATCCATATCGAGTTTAGTGAAAAACACCAAGTCTGAGGGCCTGCAAGCATATGTGAGGAACTACCAGACACCGTATAAGTCATTTTATGCCTTGAATCAAATAATATGGATCAAGCAGCGGTCTGCATTTAGGATTAGCTCTTAAGGCAAACGTAGCTCTTAGTAATAGCGAAGTAGATGTTGCATCTTAGGCATAGTACAAACACCTTCCCGAGTTGTAGCTTTCGAACCTTGCAACTTGCAGCATCGTAGATGGTATGTGGGCCTTGGCCAATTCACAGGCTCAGTAGTGAGCTTTATGTCTGTAGTAATGAGGTTGTGCAACAAGGTCCAATGCAGTCACCCCTTTTATCAGTGTGAATTAGACAACAGTTTAACATACGTAGATCAAAGACTATACTAATATTTTTCATTATATATCATGAATATTTTTCGGTGATGTTTATCTGTCTTCAAGGAGAAAGAGTCACTTCCGTTGAAATTGTGCCATACGTCTACTTGTCTCAAATATCTGGGGCAGCCTGTCACGAAAGAATCAAACCACAATGTCTGGTAGGTTTTCATCTTCAATGAAAAATCATTTCTGACGGCTGTAATCATCCCAGTGAACGATGCTGAAGCTCGGACGTGGTCTATGTATCCAGAACTTCACAGTGATGTGTTATGCTTGCTAAGTGCCCACAATCTTTTCTATGAATTCAACAACGTCGACGAGGGGAACGATTGTACGAGAAGCTACGACACAAACATCACGGGTCGATTCAAATGCTTCAATACTTCATGCGAAACTGATGGATGGTCGAGCAAGGTTGTGGCAATCACAATCCGAACGTACCCTGGGCCAAAATACAATGCGAGAGTTTATCACCAACACTGTGAAAGCTGCGATGGCCTGAGCCGTCCTATTTTGAACAAGACGTATGCAGAAAGGGTTGCATACCGGCTTAAAAAGTGGAACGGAATACACGTAGTTCCACCGATTTACTCCACCAAAAAGAGCGGACCTCATTTCAGTGACTTATGCGAAGGTTGCAAAGCCGGCCACTGTAATGCTGGGGGACGAGGCGTGATAGTGAATGGTAGGGTCATAGAGGCCGAGTGATCGAGTTTGAAAGTACAAGGCTCCGTTGAGAAGTTCGACAATTAGGTCCGTCTTTTTAGAAGAAAAATGTTCTGAAAGTTTAAAAGTCATAGTCAATTTCCTTTCAGTCCTGTCTCGCTGGTAATTTGTGCGTTGAGTGTCAAGATTCTTTCTTGACAATCGATCTTGTCCGCTTCCAGAATTTGTCATCCTTGATGAAGTCCGGCAGATCGGATGATCCTTCCTCGATTTCCTGGATCTGCATCATCAAAACAGCTGTAATTGGAATATCGTAATCGGTCAGAAAGACAATAGTTTCTTTCCAAAATGATTTGAGAGTACCGCGCCTATCATAAGGATTGGCGCGTTCCATCCACTGTGACCAATGGTGAACAGTTAAGCTTGCGACTTCAAAGGCTATCTGGAACCATTCAATGTGTGACTGTCCGTGGAATTTGCACCATCTGATTTCATACCGGAATCTTGCGAGTTCGAAATGGACGAGTTGCTCAATCCTCTCAGGGTATCTAATATCGTTGTAGGACTTTAAAAGGACCGGATTTCCATGGCCACATTTAGCCCATTCATCTAGTCGAACATAGACTTTTGAGCGGCCAGTGAATCCCACCTTGATGACACCAGAGAATGTCTTTTCGGTGTGCGTGTACAAGTAGACAGATCCATTTTTTGTAGAATTGCAATTGATAGGTTCCATCAACTTTGAAAGCAAGGTCTCGCCCTTGAAAGCCTCATGCCTTGCAAAAACGACTACTTTCGCGTTAGGAATAACAGCAACAGTGTGATTCAGGGAAGGCTGTTCCAATAGTGGCAGGCTAGAAAAGCCTTTCTCGTGTTTGAGTTTAGGAATCTCAAGACTCTCACTGCGCTTCCTGAATGTTGAAAATTGGTGATATTTTTCTGACGAGATTTCATTCTGCCACCGGCTGGCTAAATGGAAATTCATATGGGAACCCCAAATCTTGTTGCGATGATGACGACCACAACAACATTTCTCTGCTATATCAGCCAGTATCGGAAGCACTTCTTGAAGTGAAAGGCTACTGTCAGAAATGGTGTTGACCAGGTCAAGGGCGGCCTTGTTGTACTCATTGGTGATGCCGACCTTACAGCATCTCTTTCTTTCGGGGAGATACCAAATGCATTGGCACGCTTCTTCTCGCAGCCATGACTCTGTATCAGCAAAGGTCGGAAACTGATCGACTGTTGGCATGGCCTTCATTTTGCCCTAGACGAGTGAAATGACCAGCTTAAGATTCCCGTGTTAGACTTTGGCATGTATTAAGAGATTTTTATTCGTGGCCTCACCACACCGTCACAGTCCGGGGTGTAATAATTGTACGTGACTCTTTACCCCGCAGATTATGCACATGATCGAGAATCAAAGCCACCCTATAGGAAACACATTAGCCTACCTGTATATCTGCGATTTAACTTTGCGTCAATCTGAGCACGACTGTCATTTAAAATTGTCCCGAATAAGAAAAGCACCCAGCATTGCATTTTTGAAATGGGGCTTATCATGATTAAAACTTGCCCATATGCATCCACTTCGGATTCAAGCCCACGATTGGGGATAACAGATGTATTGAATACAACAACTTGCAAGTCATCAAAATTCTAATTTCCAATGAGAAATATTCCTAATTGCGCGAAGTACGTATGGCGAAACAAAGTTGTGGCATCCTTCAAAGATAAAGTATAGTTCGGAGTAGAACTGAGTATCATGAATATTACTCATGGTAGATGGGTTGTGTTAAAGAGTCTGTTACCGGTATCTGTCGAACCCCGGCCTGTGAATTGATTTTTGGAAATACGAAGGGCTACCACCTCAATCGGGCTTTCTCGTGAAAGTTGACCAAGAGAGGCTGCGGGGGAGACAGCCTTTTCTTGCAACACACCCGCGACTACTACAACGCGAATCGTTGCGTGTAGATTTCGAATATGTTGGAGGAAACGTGCCACGGTCTCACCGCTATTAATGACGGAGTCGACCAGAATTACTGTTACCAATCCCTCGAGATGCTGTCGGCGAATATCTGCAGGTTGCCAAGCGTGGAGGAACGACGCTGCTGGGAAGACGTCATTGACTCCTGAGGCCATTGGCTCGCCTGCACGCATGAGCGCTACAATCAACGTGCGATGCTCATGGGACAGCTTATATCCATCTGTATCGTGTCCTTGCACATGTCGGATGGCATATATCTCAAGACCAATGAGGTCGGTCAGATATTCAGTGGCGAGATATGTTCCCACATTTCGATGCACGCTTCGAAGCAATGTTCCAGTATACCTTGAGTCACGCATGTTGGTCATGAGTAATTTCGTCGCAGCTTTTTTCGTGGCATCTATTACTGTCAATTGGGGCAAATAACTACCCCGAGCTAGGATTTGCGCAACAAACTCACGCTGCGTGAGTCGTGCCTCGGGCAATTTCTCAAAGCTAAGAAGTTGCGCTGCGCCAGGTGTAAGAACTGCTTGATGAGCACGCAGACCCTCATTCTCGATTGCACCAGCCAAGGCGTCCTCCATGGTTTGGCTTCTCGTCTCTGCATCACCCACAATCACCACAGCTCGATCGGCTTTCTTTAGCATGGGCAGATCTAAAGGACTGTCGCCGAACGCCCACACGAAGACGCCATAAGATACTTGCAAATGACTAACAAGGGCCTCTTTGAGTCCAGGCGTTACTATCAAGCCACCATGAAGTCTACCTCCCCCAATAACTGTGATATGCTTGGAAAGCCCTTCTTTTTGAAGAATGTGGTCCCAGATCCGGCCCACCCCACAGGTCACAATCATTAACTGGACATTGGAATAATATGCAATAAAATGGAGTAGACATCGCATTTCCGGATACAGGACTGTTTTCTTAGCCACAGCTTGACAAAGAATTTCGAAAACATTGTCATCAACTGCCTCTTCGTACATCAGAGCCGCTTGAAGAAATGCGGAGTATGAGTAGCCCATAGGGCCTCCAAATAGCTTTTTCAATGGGCTGCCCCCTGTCATTTTATCGGTCCGACAACGATTCGCTTCTTCCCAGAACATCAATCCTGTATCTCGCGCAGTCAATGTCCGGTCCGCATCTAGGACTATTACTGTCTCGCACTCTTCGTGTTTGGCTTTCATAATCGTATCTAATCTTAGCACAGCCTGACTTACGCTGTAGTGCTCGTTATGTCTTACCAAGTCCATGATGATCTCATGCACTCGATCGGCCATGACTTTATCGCCCAGCTGCATGTACAGGATATCGCGACGGGGGCATACTCGGCGGAGTTCGGCTTTTTCGGCTTCTTGCCAGCGTTCAAGGTCTTCTCTTGACCATGGAGGACGAGCCTTTTCACGATCATCACGTCGACGCTGATAAATGACATCTGTAGACACATTCAAGTATAGTATGTGTGTATAGATGTCCAAGTCATTTTCCGTGTAGACGGCATTCCCGGTCTGCGTTCGTGGATCCCAGAGTAAGAAATGGCCTGCAACGACAGCCATGCCTCCCGATAGTCGAGCTTTCTCTTTGATGGATTCAATTGCACATCGGCGCCACTGCTGCTGCTCTGGGTCTTCTGCTGCAAGGAATGTCTTCATGCCTCCAGGCACAACAGTATCGATGACCTGTGAGCCGTCATAAACCGTAATAGGTGTTTCATCGTCGCGAAATTTGGTCCTCAGTTGATTTAGCAGAAATGTCTTTCCGCAACCGGAGATACCGTAAAGGCCAATAATTATGGGACGCATTGAAGACGATGGAAGCGATTCTACGCTGGGAAAGCTTGCAGACTGGTGAACAGAAGGCATTTGTAATAGTTAATTCTGCTCGACAAAACTAATCAAACTCAAAGTTCAATTTTTGGATATAGCAGTAAGAATAAAGGTGAAGCTTGTTATTGCTCATGCGAGGAAAGAAACCGCGAGTGCCGTTGCGAGCTATATGTATACCTCAGAGAAGGTCGGGACCATTGGCCTAGTCCGTGATGCAGTAGAGCTATCAAGGAAGAAGCGGCGATATGTGGTATAAGCTGCAACTGATAGCTCTGAATCGGTTTCTGTCGATCCCGTACCGCTCCGCAACTTCATCGAGGTTATAATGTCTTGCAGGGTTTACAACCTCCCTCACAACACAGGTACTTCTGCTGAGGCCTCCCACAGTCCTGTAGAATGCATAACGCGAAGTGTATTTGAGGAATATGTAGATGTACGGCAGCAGGTGGCGGTACTCATTCGTACGGGGCAAGCAATGAATATCACAGCCGTCATATCGAGCACGGGAAAAAGAAAATAGTACATCACAAGTCTCACTGAGTCTTGAAAGGGCGTTCCCAGCTTGTCGACGCTCTAGAAGCTCTTCCCTAATTTGATTACGATGCCAAAAGATACTGATTTGTTACTGCAGGCGTAAACAGGATAGCCACCACTGCGTAAAGGTCTCAAATCGTACTTGAGCCATGCTCGTTGATAGGTGATAGATCAATTGACGATGTATATAGAAATACGATGGTAACGCATAAGTGTAAGCTCCGCCTGTCAGTCAGGTATGTATACCTGATGTGAGAGTCTGAGGCGGGAGTCTGACGCTGACGTCCCACATAAACTTCTCGTCAGTCCGTCCTCTGAGTCATATCATGCATGAGAAGACTTTCCGTAATGCAGAATTTTTGACATTCTGGGCTTGCCGAGCCTCATGTAGTGTTCTTGTGTAACACCACCACATACCGTTTCACCCTCAAGGAGGGCACACCTTGCAATTTATACATTTGATTAGCGACATGCTTACATCCCTTGCTTCGATGGAAATTCGAGTGGTGGTGCTAAACAATACACTATACCAGAATTGGAGGTTGTGAGAAATCAAGCTCGAAAACTCTCAAATGAGTCTCGATGAATCATGAGATACAAATAGCGGCATTTCCAACGGTATTTCCGTACGTCTAGCATGTCCACTTTAGATTTTTCACAATCGGTGCGATTTCTTATTGATGAAAATGTCTGCCTCTACCGACCAAGCCATAATTGCTCGACGGATTGGATATAAGTTTCGTGATAAGAAGCTTCTAAACCAAGCGTTGACTGCAGCTGGTGCGAGGGAAGATATCCATGATGGCAATAGAACCCTAGCTCAAATTGGAAAAGCTTTCATTGATCTGGTATCTACGAAATTCGGATATACTTCGGGCACAAACCCTGGTAAGTAGTGTCTTCAGATTTATGTTGCGTACTAACAAGAACTTAGCCAACAATACAACCTTGAAGGCTCTCCTATCAGGCAACAAACGTTGTGCTGAGATTGCACAAGCAATAGGCATATCACAATTCATGACTTTGAGCCCCCGTTCTGATCCTCATTCCACCCAAACCCTGAACAAAGCCATAAATGCTTTGATAGGAGCAGTATATGTGGACTCAGACTGCAACAAGACGACTTTATCAGTGCTAGAGAAACTTAATTGGTTCTCTCCATCGAAAGAGGTCATCATGCCTTTGACAGTACACAATCGAGCCCCACAATATAGAGCTACCTCGGATATGCCTGTTGCTGTTGATGTGACGGTGTATAATCAGGTCAATACATTGTCAAGCCCTCAAGGAATGCCTGAACAAGACATACAATCACGTCTAGCTAGTCTTGAATCCGCGACAGGCCTGCACTTGCAAACTATTTTCCGCAATATTGCAAGTCCTAGCACAATAGCTATGCTGAGAAGCCAAGTTTATTATGTGGTGCACGCGGAGCATGTGGATTCTCATCCACTCCAAACCAATTTGTCTGCATTTGAGAGGTATACTTTCATAAAGACACTGGGTCAAAAGATCAGCTATCTGCACACAGTTCGGCACAATCATATTCTCCAACTTTATCAACAATGTGGGGGCAATTACTCGACTCCCCACATGAATATAATACAATTTGAACAAGGGACAAAGAAAGCTGGAAACCCTCTTCATCGACAAGATACTGAAGTCACACTACGGATGATGCGGTCAATTTTTCCGGGGTCAGAGCCCGACATCTCATCCGACACATTCAACGAAGTCAAACAGCTACGTAGGGTGGGGAAAAGATTGAATACCTTGGTTCACTATTTTGGCATTGGAATCCTTGGGCTGATGCATGATTCTGAAACGGCGACGCGTGGAACTGAATTGTCCCATCTACTGTATGTCCAAATATTGCTCTCTCAGGTTGATCATGGCTAATGTAGAGCAGGAATCGTCAAGTATCAGATCGTAATTTTGAGCATATCATATTGCTATTACAAGAATCTCAGGGCTCGTTGATCCAGAACTTTTGCCTTGTCTTCAGTTCGGTCGTGCAGAATTTGATAGATGGAAATGTGTCTCAATTGTTAAAATGTTGGACTGAGCTTTTCCCGTCCGAAGAAATTTGATAGTCAATTACGCTTTTTCGGGATTCGCTCGACTTGATCTGAATCTAGATTTTTGTGGACAATTATAAGAATGCAACGCCTCGAGATATGACTCTATTGGACGGTTATCTTCTCGTAAACCCTTATGAGTTCTATGGTGGGTTAGCCCACGGTCTAAAACCTTTGAGAGGCTTCTGCGAAGTCTAGCGTAGCGCTTAAGACGCTGCCTTGCACAGTTAGGCGTATACTTCTTTAATCAATCCCAGCATAAACGATATAACCCCAAAGCCTCACCCACCTCTTTCCATAGTTTCCATCATTCGCGCCAAGCGCACACAAATCTTTTTCCTAGGTACCAGTCAGCCTATTGAATGGACTGCTCATCCTGGAGTCAATGATAACCAGGTAAGTATTTGCATGACTTCATATTACTATAATCATCGCTGTTACCTAGGTAAATACAGAGTTCACCGACTTTCCAAGTAAGTCTATTAATGGACTGATATCACTGATGGTCTCCAATCCCAAGACGATCCCCTCAATCTCCTTGACTCTGTCTTCTGGCATGATGCCCGCAGTCAGTGTCCGATACTTCTCCAAAATCAGTTCATTGGCAATAGGTTCTTTCACCCCCCTTGGCATAGAAACCTTCTCATCCACAGATGTCCCATCTTCAAACTCGACCCAGATATGCCCTCCACTCGTCTGGTTTAACTGATCGAATTCTGGGTTATGTGAACATTCTACCTTATTCACAAGATCCCATATGTCATCCCGGTCAAGATTATGATTGCTGTCAGAGAATTGAGCCAAAAGACATTTGCGATGCACGAATTGCGTTGCTAGGATAAATGGTGCGCTCATCTGTGCAGCAGTTGGAGTGATTGCCGATCGTTCAGGGTGCCATCCACAATGAGCAAATGACGAGTGCGACAGTTCAACACGTATCTTGCTGATAAGTTTTAAGTTGGCGTTTTCGAAACGCTTTGAATGCAATGCTTGTAAGTTTTCAATTGCCTCTATAGCCCCATGCGTCAAGCCACAGCATGCATACATTTTGATACGTAAAGCGTAAGTGTGCCAGAACGAGCCAAGTTTTGAAATCACCTCAAGTTCACGGAATTGTTCTTCCTTATTGTTTCCCTTTGTGAACATGGTGAGAAATCCACCATATGGCCTCTCGAGAACTTGTTTGATTCCCTCATATCCACCATGTGCTAGTAGAGCACCAAGAATACCAGATCTTGCAGCAAAACCATGTTGCACTCGCTTAATCATCCCACCGTACTGTGCAGACATCAATCCGCAGGCCTGAGTGCATGCAATACCCACTGCATCCTCTAATTGGTCGACAGATAATCCCAGTGCTTTACCAGCAGCTAGAGCTCCGGCTGGAGTTCCGTATACAGCACCACAATGCCAGCCATTTACCAAGAGGTCGGCTCCATGAACAGCTTTTCCGATTCGAGGACCAGATTCAAAGCAGGCAATTGCTGCTAGAATGGCTTGTCTCCCAGACACGGCGCTAGAGGAGTTATTTTTGCCGTCTGTATGCTTCAAAAAATCAGCTATTGCGGTAATTGATGGAATTGCAATGCTGGCGGCATGCAATGGCGCCTCGCTATGATAGTCATCTAGTTCCGTTGCCTGAATGAACGCCGCATTCATCATCGATGCTGCCACAGGTCCTAATTTCTGCTCAGGAAAATCAGAATCGGTCAACTCGTGGAACAATATTGTCTTGAGGGACATACTTTGTCATATCCCACCACCGTACAATAGCCTGCGGGTTCAAATCCCATCGTGACTTCAGCATACTTCTCTGACCATGGAACATGTGCTCCAACCAAAGCACATGCTATGCCGTCTAGAATGAGATATTTGGCTCTCTCTATGACCGTCGGAGGGACATCGTCAATCTTGAGGTTAGAGATCCAGGAACACAATTTGGTTGTCACTCCAGCTCCGTCGTGGGATTCAGTATCAACTGTTGAAGGCATTTCTCTCTTTATTTGTTAGTTTGGCTGAAAATCGAGTTTCGCTGCTTAGCCTGTGTATATGTATGAAGTATGCTCTTCGAATGAAAATGAGCTAAAGGTAGATTAATGACAGTTGAATAAATAATGACGTTTCAACTATTTCCTAGCGACCAGCGATCTCGGCAGATGATAGTCGAACGTTTGTCAAGAGATCTCACCAAGTGCTCGTTTCGGTCTTCCTGCACACAGTTGCTTGTTATGGAAAGACATTCATCTGATCTTGGATAGCCTCGGTATGAAACGTGTTTCTTCTAAATATATATTATGTTGCAACTTATTCTTGGAATTTATTAACACGATTTGGCCACGCTCGATTATTATTTCCCGAAATGGCAGGTACAGACCCATGGAAAAGAGTTCATATGTACATCCTAAAAAGTTGTCAACTGGATCAAATCAAGTCAAGATCCGACTTTCGGCCATTCAAGCCACAGATAAGCGGGACCCTAGAAGTGCATATTATGTCGTTAAGTGACTGGGACTTCCAATAACGAGTCATTGATGTCTTTGGTCAGCTAGAGATACGGTAGTTTAGGAAGATAATCTTGCCGATTCGATTAATGTGCAATATATCTTAATGTTGCATCCACCTACATATGCATCAAATAATATGGCTGCAGGGTGGGCAGACAGGGGTGAATACAGCACTAATCATATTAAGGTAGGCTGCCATGATATCTACACGAGGGATCTTCATTCCTAACAGGGATCCAATCTGATTGCGATACACTCAATTAATGCGCCCTTTACAATCTACGTCAGCGCCTACAATGACTATGCACATCTAGGAGTCTAAATTTGATTCCATACTCTGATTCTGAACAGTTTTGACGACTCTCATCTCCTGAGCTTGAAATTGCCAGTGAGTATGTATGACTATCAAGATGGAAAATACCACAAAAAACCCAAAACAAAAGGTATGTCATCCTTTAAACTAAATCCAAAACGTAATTACTAACAATCTCGACCAGATGAAGGGTATTCCGGCAATAATAGCGGGAGCCTGCGCTGGTGCCACTGAAATTACAGTCACCTACCCTTTTGAATGTGAGCACTGCTACCCTCTGATAAACATTCAACATGTGTTGATAGAGACTTGGTACTTATGGTCGTCATTTGAACTCCAGCTGCTAAGACTCGATCCCAACTGGGTAATCAAGTCGCTGGGAGCCCTCGCTCATATGCCAAAATCTGGACTGGTCTGTACGATGGCTATACGGCCGCGGTATCTGGATCAATGGTGAAAACAGCAGTCCGTATGTTTCTATCCCCTTCAACATGATTACGATTCTGTCAGCTGATATTCAAACTTTAATTAGAATTTTCGTCATATCATGCTTTTGCATCAGCGCTTTCTGGTCCAGATGGCAAGCTCTCTAGCACACAAAGTATGGCCTGTGGGTTTGCCGCTGGAGTGACTGAAGCCGTGGTGGCTGTGACGCCATTTGAATGTGTTAAAACCAAAATGTGAGGTTTTTCTTTATCTACTCACTGAATTCAGGTTTCGAAAACATTAGCTAAACATTCTTCGAAGCATCCATGCCCGAAAGGTTCAGGATACAAGAATGAGTACCGTATCCGGCGCCGTACTCAGTATACTACGTGATCGAGGGCCGAGGGGATTTTTCACCGCAGTGGTACCAACAACTCTCCGACAGTCGATCAATGCATCTATTAAGTTCTCGACATATCACAAATTGACCGAAATTGCCAGGAAACGGTATGATCAAGAGGGCAAAGGGCTTTCTACGCTAGTCTCATCCGCGATAGGATCTGCGACGGGTTTTGTGTCGGCGTTCACAACGCAGCCTCTTGATGTCGTCAAGACAAGGTAGGATCCCATCCTTGTTGGCACTTCATTAGGGCGTCTTAATATGTCGAATACCGTTCTAATTCTGAGACATGCAGAATGCAATCGATACATGCTAGTCAGGTCTATGGGTCCACATTACGCTGTGTTAAAATTCTCATACAACAGGAAGGACTCGTAGTTTTCTGGTCCGGTATATGGCATCGCTTAGGAAGATTATCTGTTGCTTCTGCAATCATGTTTCCTGTGTAAGTTCGAATATCAAGCTACTTGTGGCGCTTGTCTACTAACCTTTTCAATGATGTAGGTACGAAAACACTTACAATGTTCTTACACGCAATCGCACACTACGTTCAAAAAACGTACTTTACTAAGTTTTCTCTATGTATGATACCAAAGCTACCTATACAGGATACGGTCCATTGAATTCAGTTTGGGGAGTTTTTTAATAAAAGAGTAGAAGTCCTGATAGTATTATAGAGTACCATGTATTGACGTTGTAAGTATAAAAGCCATTGCGAGTTGTATGATGGCAGGCACACTTTGCGATAGACCAAGACTAAACTCGTAGAGATAAATGAAGGTATGAATCTGATCAGCCCCTTCACAATTTTTCCGGAAAGAGGCGGTCTTGATTTGCGTTATACCAATCCTGATCGTGTGAAGAGATAATCTCCACCTCCACCCCATCAGCAGTAGCCTGGTCTTGAAGCTTCCTCAGCAATGCAAACATCTCCTGAGCTGCAGCTATATTGGTGTGGACACATAGCTCTCGGCCCTCGGTATCCCTCCAAGTTGCAATCTCTGCTTCACCTGTCAAAAGACTCCGGTGATGGAAAGTGTCTCCGCCTAGGTAAATCCATCGCTTCTCCTCTACTCGGCAAAGAAGATTGATATGCCCCTGTAGATGTCCTGGTGAGGGAATTACAAACATCGAGCCGTCACCAAGTATATCCATGGCTGCAGGAAATGGACCCAATGGGGTCCATGGGCTGTGAAACGAGGCGTTGGCCGTATCGAGAGAATCGTCATCAGCATTACCACCATCCAAATTTGGGAACAATTCAAAGACATCTCTATGGTCAAGAAGATTCTTATCAAAGGCTGCATGAGAGCCTGCAGCTGCATCAAACCCTCTTTTGAGGAGTGCACTAGAGCCATGACCAATGATGAAACTAGCATTCGGGAAGTCTGAAGGTTCCCCGGTATGATCCCAGTGAACGTGGCTGTAAATTACCCAATCAATTTCCGTGCTGGCCATGCCATTTTTCTGCAGTGTAGTAGCAACACTTGGACCAAAAGCCACCGGTTCTCTGTTTTTGATGTGGGCTTGTTGATCTTCGGTGTAATTACGTCTTTCTGCACGGAGGCCAAGATCAAAGAGTATATGCTCCGGGCTCTTTTGCGCAACCGCTATATTTGAGGCCGTAGTCATGCAGGCACCTGTTTTTCGTGTGATGAGGAAGGCCAGACACGGAAACGAAAGTGTTGCCGCCATATCCTTGGTATCGATAAATGACCACTTCGGAGCAGTAATACGACCAGCTAGGATCGCCGCCACGGCTACGTAAGCCTGGCTCGTATTTGCAGGCGGCAAAGACATTTTGCTGACTTGATTTGTTGTCGCTTCTTGCTCTTCGAGATTGCGCGGTCTGACGCTTGGTGATGAACGCCGGAGAACTCGACTTCTTTTAAAAAACGACATATACCTCCGATGACGGAAATCGAGACTGGGGCGGAAGATATCTGATTCCATTTACAGTATTCTACGCATGGTGTCAATCTAGACGTTCTGCAGTCTCATGAGTTACCTGGTGATCGTCAACGGCTAATAGATGGGCGAGGATGTCTCCCCAAGGTACGCTTCTGATCTATCGTGATCTATTCTATTCCTTTAAAATTGAGCAATACTTGTTACCTTGGACCGAGGAAGAACGGTTGTATTGTGATAATGCACTGACATCATACCCGATTACTATCATGAGAGATTGCAAGCCACCCCCTCGTTTCTGGAGCTGTGTTCTTGAGCTGTGCTTGTCCATCTTGAGCCTGGGTATGATAGTGGCATAGGTAGTTGTAAAAGTGAGCCCATTAGTCTAGTATCCTGATTTTGGGCTATATATATACCGTAATCGTCGTTCCTCATTATCAACATGAGGTTACGACATTACATGTAGAGACACAGAAAAACGTCAGTAATATTATATTCACAAATTTGGACCATCGATACACCAAACAACGCCATGATTGCGAAAACCTCAAATCCAAGCCAGCCCACTAACTCTGAGCCTATGAAGGCGGTCGGGCTGCTTGATGAGTTTAACCAAAAGATTACAGTCCCAGCAATTGGAACTGAATTTCTGGACGCTGATCTAGTGGAAATCATGGAAGCAACCAATTCGGACGAGTTGCTACGTGACCTTGCTATCACAAGTTTGTTATTCAGACCCTGTTTTTGTACTGATATTTCATGCCTATGTCTCTTTCATTAAACCCTTTGCAACGTGTCTCTTTACAATTCAAAATTGACATGGTGCTGATATTTGGGGATTTCTTAGTCGCGGAGCGAGGGGTGGTTATGTTTCGCAACCAAGTAAGATTGGACGGAGAGAAACACAAACAGCTAATTGACCGTTTGGGAAAACTTTCCGGTCGTCCGGAGGAAAATGGTTTACTGAAACATGTCCTCCATCCTCTGTACAATGATGATCCGGAAATGATTACCCTCATCCCTGAACGTGTGGCGTCGCGTTATGGTTTCAATGAGGTCAATTACAAGCGGCAAAATCACGCCAAAGAATGGCATACAGACATGGCCTTTGAGAAAGACCCCCCAGCTTTCTCATCGCTAAGACTGGCTGACGTACCTCCAGCGGGGGGAGGTTAGTATATGCGTGTCCCCCTTTACCCACTTGGTTGGCTATCTCTGACTCGGTTATTTCACATCAGATACTATGTGGGTGTCACTATATGATGCATATGATCGGTAGGTTTTACAGTACCCTATACTCTTTTCAGTAATAGGCTAAGCAGTTTACTGCAGATTGAGTCCCCCATTTCAAAAATTATTCGAAGGTCTAACCGCCACATGGGCTATGCCGGGCTATCGCCCATATGAACACGATGAGCGCTCTTACAAGGGACCACGGGGATCTCCACGTAATGCAGACTTTGAGTTCGAGGCCAGACACCCCTGTGTTCGTACCAATCCTGTCACGGGATGGAAGGCTCTTTGGGTTGGTGGCGGCCACTGTGCATTTATCAACAATGTTACCTCGGAAGAGAACACCGATCTACTGAATATCGTCGATCGCTTAATCACCAAGAATCATGACATTCAGGTCAGATACCGATGGGAGCATGCCAATGATATCGGTAGGGGCCTTTCACTTCTAACAATGCACTATTCTCTTTCATTACTGATAATGCTACATTCTCATATTATATCTGACTTGTTCTAGCGATTTGGGATAACCGGAGTGTTCTACATATTCCTACCCGAGACCAACAGGGCAAGAGACTGGGCTATCGTGTGATCACAATTGGTGAAACACCATACCTAGATCCCAACAGCGTTTCCAAATTGGAGGCCCAAGAGGCAGCGGCCGGTGTTGAGAATGATCCAAAACTGCAGGCATTGAAGAGTGTCAACTTGATGGGAATGAATGGCACGAAAGAATATCGCTGGTCTGCGTGATTTAGCCTATCTGAAGTCTCCGGTATCTTTGGGTTTTCAATGCAAGAGGCTATCTCCTCATATGTGCGGAGTACTTCTCCGAAATGCAGATCCCGACTAACGGGTAAAGCGGATTAATCGCTTATGGGGGCTATAAGCTTAATAGGCACGAATTAATAAAAGGGGTAGTGTTTTAATATGACGTATGATAAAGAAGGTTGAAGTAAACTCCATAAGTATACTATTCTTAGGTATAAATAGTGCATACAACGAACTCCTTGCGGTCGATTTTATACACATACACCTGTTTACCAATGTGCAAATCGCGTACAATGAATAGAATCCCATCGCCGTATAGCTATCCATATATTTTATATACGCTTTAGACTGAGCATATGGCTCGCTACATCGTTCTCCTTCCGGCGTTCACGCCAATCCAATCTTACACTAATCAAAGGGTATATTAATTAAATGCGTGTATTGTCATATTTACCCTCCAATAATAAATTCAGAGATCCAGAACATCAACATGCTGCCCGGCGCTAATGCGCGGAGAAAATGCTTAGGATCGTCTCGAGATAATAGCCCCGATTGCCCACCGGGTGGGCTGATTAATCAATCATATATTGATGGCTTGCCGAGTACCCCTGTAAATATCACCCAATCCTTCAGAGATCGCTAGCACGAGTCGCTTAGCATTTCTAGACTCGGGCAAGACCCTGACTACCTGACTGGCTTTGCCATGAGATGTGATCTGCGCATGTAGGGATCTCTATCACCAGAACAAGTTTTCTGATGATGTACCTTCGAGATTCGCCATCGTCGACGAAACAGACTTGCTGCTACCTTAATATCCGTCAAACCCAACGGAGACTATTCCACATGTGTTTCTCTGCAGTAACTCTACAGCGTCGATCCATTCTGATAAGCGAGAAGTGTACCTATCGTGATGGCTACATTGAAGAGATTTTACCAGACCCCATGTCTCCAAGGGCTTACCTAAGTATGCAACAACTGACTCGTATTCATTTATTGCACGCACACTGCAGTGAGCGTAGTATTTACAACGATATGCATGGTTTGAGACCGCCACTTTCGTCAGCTTTGGATACAGAACACTGGTCACATCTACAACCACGGCGCGTACTTGTAATGTAGCGGTTCCGATGACTTTCGGATCCGATGGATGTTATGCATTCACTTTAGCCTAAGAATCAATAGCCACCTGTTCTAAGAGCTGCCGGTCGATCGTTACGGTGATCTAACCTCTTAAGGTCCTTCATAACATCCACATAGCTATCACCCTAGTTTCAAGCGGCCAACGAGGTAGAAAAGCGAGAATCGGAGGGCAAAGTATTTATCATTTAATACCGTCGGAACACATATATATAAGCCGTAGATTAATTTCCCCTTAGAGAAAACACGAGGACAAAATAGTATTACAGCAAGTCTTCCTTACTCATAATATGCGTGATGGGCGATCGTCTGACATTCGATGATACCACTCATTTTTCGGATGCGTACATGGGGCTACCGGCAGGACTATCTTTAGTTAGGTCCCAAAGCAGGGTATGTGTATGGCCTGTCCATACCATTATTTCTTTTTCTTTGTTAGTATCAGACCAACGCAATTTGCCCCCTCAATGTTCGGCACGCTCTTCACGATGTTGATTTGTAATCCTCGATCCCTCGTACCTAGGCATTGTCTGTGATCGTCGCCCACCGTATACGTTTGTCGATATTGAGGTAATAGGATCTAAATCAGATTACTGTTTTCTATTCAGCGTAGAGTACTGGCAGTTGAATATCCAAAATGCGTACAAATGTGAGGAGACATTCGCCAACATCATTCCAGGAACGAGAGACTATCTTCTTCAAAACACTATGTCGGTATCACCCATGGATAAACCCCCAGGATCACAATGTCGATATCCTGGAAATCGTGTCGTCTGGGATGGCCCAGACGACCCAGAACACCCACATAATTGGGCATTATGGAGAAAACTCTCCGTAGTCGTTTTATTGACCCTATTGACATTGGTGATCACTATTCAGAGCAGCATATTCGGCACTGGCGCCACTGATTTCGACAAAGAGTTTGGTGTGAGTAATGAAGTCGGCATCCTAGGAACAACTATTTTCTTGTTGGTGAGCTTGCAAATTTTTTCTTAATTTACAAACAAAGATTTTTAAGTGTAGATACTGATCGTTCCAATAGGGTTTCGCCGTGGGGCCTCCTTTCTGGGCTCCCATATCGGAACTATATGGGCGCAAATGGCCGATGGTTATCGGAGTTACCATCGCGTCTCTGTTCACTCTTATGGTCTCCCTGGGCCAGAACCTGGCAACTATTTTCCTAGGACGCTTTTTGTCGGGACTCTTCGGTAATGCGCCAATATCCATCGTCGGCGGTGCCGCAACCGACAATTGGAATGCCATCGATCGCGGCATATCGCTCGGTGTGGTAATCGGCGCGGTGTTCAGCGGTCCCATGATGGGTCCCGTCATTGGGGGATTTGTTGCAGAGAATTTGAATTGGCGATGGAACTTGTGGTTGATGATTATCGCCGGGTTTGCAATGGCGCTGATCTGTGCTTTGTTTTTGGAAGAATCATACATACCTCGAGCCCTAGTCAAAAAGGCAAAGCGTATCCGGAAAGAAACCGGGAATGATAAATTGAAAACAGAATTGGAGGAAGCTGGAGTTGATTTAAAACGCATAATTTCTGTTTACCTGGTACGGCCTTGGAGTAAGTTGTCAGATTGTTCATCAACATACATCTGACTAACTTATCTTTTCTACTTCGATTAGAACTTTTCGCCACTGAACCCATCCTAGTGTTTGTCACTATTTACCAGTCGTTTATTTACGGGATCGTATATCTATTTTTTACATCGATCCCGATAGAATTCAAACAGATTCGACAATGGGATCCTCAGCTAGCCCAACTACCTCTATGTGCGATGCTAATCGGCGTCTCAATTGGAAGCGCCATCAATGTGGTCTATACAAAAAGGATTCTGGCACGCCAACTGAAACAAACAGGAGGCGGTCTCGTTCCGGAGCAACGCCTACCATTGATGATAGTGGGAGGGTTCTTGTTCCCAGCAGGTTTATTTTGGTTTGCTTGGACTTCTGACCCTAACGTGCCATGGCCGGCAATGGTTGTGGCAGGKATTCCGACAGGTGTGGGCATGTTCTTGATATGGATTCAATGCTTTACATATCTGATAGATGTCTATTTACCCATTGCAAACAGTGCTATTGCTATCAACAGTCTGTCGCGGAGTCTATTTGGAGCCGGTTTCCCGTTATTCACCACCGCGATGTACAATCGTTTGGGATATGCGTGGGCTACGAGTCTATTGGCTTTTTTGGGAGTAGCTATGATTCCGGTGCCTATTGTGTTCTACTTGTATGGACAGAGAATCAGGTCCTGGTCCAAGTTTGCCGTCAAAGCTGAATGAGATATGAGTGGCTCCTTGATCGGAGTATCAAAAGTCGTCGCCAAAATATACCTCCACTTATCATAGAATTACGAAAATCTTCATGGAAAATTGGAAACGGTGCATTGTTCCTTCTTTTTGATTCTAGGGCTGTGAATTTTCTGTCGAGGATCACAAATTTACTTACACCCACGCATCTGCATATTCTAGTTTGTTACACCATCAAATTATTGCGAAAGTGACGTTTTCCACATGCTCGGCTGAGCCATTCTTCTCAGGCAAGAAGTCTGTCATGGATTCACTTTGTAAGTTCATCCACGACGACGGACTAAGGTGTATCTCGAGAACTTTGTGATGCAGATGGTAGTATTCTGGTCAGACGTAGTGCTGTGCGGCTCAAAGGTAGTGATCATTTGAGGAATTTTCTTCGCGCGTCATACTGACCCTGAACACCCCTCTTCGATTGTGCTGTATTTGGCCTTCGGACCACCTGTGCCATAATGTCATTCATGCTAGCTCTAGTTATATATTACATCACCACTTCATGCGAAATGGTATACTTGAATGTCACTTAGGGCTAGAGCTAGGGCTATGGCCTAGGGTTGCCTACACAGATAAGGCAAGTGTCTATTCTGCCACCGCCTAAGGAGTGTCGTCATATCAGAAACAACTTCAACTCCATCAAATCCTTCCTGGAAACATGAAAGGTAGATGAATGATATCTATACCTTTTTTCGTCAGTCCCTTTCAGCAATGGGACCTGGAAAATGTGTATAATCGAATACCTTCAGGTGGCAAACTCGAGTGGTAAAGATGAAGCGCAGTCGTTCGGGGAATCGTCCACTCAAAAGGGATGGGATTATCAGTCAAGCTCGTGCTCGCACTCCGCCGACACTTTCAAGCTTGACTGCCTCGGTATCTCCACCACGTCTGAAGAAATTGACGCCAAAAGTGGATAGACACTCATCGAACGCACTTGGCAATCACGGTACCAACTCCTTGAGTCTCGCTGCCGTCGAAGCTGGAGAGGTGAAAGCCGAAGACCCTGTGGAGCTGTTCTCTGCGAGACTTGCTGCAGTGGCACGGCCACTGTCGCCATCTTTAGGAGATCCTAGGCTATCTGTCAAGAATTGGATTGACCTATATTCAAGAAACCGGCACGAAAATGGCTGCCATTTCGTAATACACCAACACGACCATCCGATTGCAGGGCCGCATTATGATCTCAGACTTCAATTTTCCGAATCTAGTTCACTCAGTTGGGCGATCATGTATGGGTTACCCGGAGATCCGAATAGCCGTAGAATGAACCGCAATGCGACAGAGACCAGGGTGCATTGCTTTTGGGTGAGCACGGGTATCCCATATGATGGGATGCAAACTAACAGTGCATCTAGAATCACTTGATTGAGACGGCGTCTAGCAATACTGGAAGCATGATCATTTGGGATACCGGAGAATATGAAGTATTGCCATATTATGCCATGGAAAACCCTCCAGAGACGGATGATTCAGCTTCGGATACATCTATTCTCTCTACGGACAGGGCCGTCAAGGATCAAAGTCCATCGGAGAGCGAGAAACTGAGGGAGGCATTTCAAAATGTTGCGTTCTCCGTAAATCTTTGAATCATGAATGATGACGGCTTATCAAAACAACAGCGCAAAATCCGCTTACGATTACACGGGACTCGTTTGCCAAAGAACTATACAATATCGCTTCGTCTCTCGTTGGAAGACGACAATGCTGCCAGGGCTAGGCCTATCTTGCAGAAGCGTCGACGTACAGTTCCTCGTTTTATAAACAAGACTCGGACGCCTTCCACGTCACGGTCTCCATCACCTGACGGAACTGATAGCCAACGGCCAGACTCAGTCTCTATTGGCAAAGACAGCCATGTCGGAGATGATATACGCGGATCTCACTCAGCCTCTGAGTCCGAGTCAGAGCATAACACCGACAACCGAACACGTCTCACCAACGCATATCCAGGAGCAGTTAATTCTATTGGGTCTATCCATCAACGTCGGTGGTTCATTACATTAGATCGTACAAAAAGTGGATTTGTTCGTGAGGGCAAAGGCAAGACCTGGAAAAGGTTGCCATCATCCTCAAATCATGATGTATCGGGCTTTGAACCATTCTACGTCCGCGGGCCTGAATTTGAACGGAGCGTAGTGACCGGACGTACTGGCAGCGACGTTCTCATCGATGAGAATGTCGAGGACTTTACTCCTAGACGCGGTTGGAGGCCTGTCATGAATTGAGAATCACAATATGCTATAATGATGATCATTCGAGGGATTGATACAGTCGAGGACATGTATATTCATTTGAAATCATTAACAAAGAATTGAACACAAGTGAAATAAATGACAAAGTGTGCAAATTTTTTGTTATACAACCGTCCCACACTGTCCACCATGATTATATAAGTAAATTAGGTAGGGAGAGTTTATTGCAGAGGAACGCTTTGCGGATTATGGAAAATGTCCTGAGGATCGATAGTAGACTTTATCGCTATGAGCGTCTCCAGGTTGGGTCCCCAGTATTGTTCTGGTCCATTTGCCAGTTCTCGGTCGACGTATCCAGGGTATGCACCAAAAGTTGCATTTGGCATGCCATCGAGAAAAACATTGTTGACTTGGTTCAAAAAGGTATTCGTCGTGGCAGACACCGGCCCAAGAAGATTGATGGCATATGATTGCAACCAGAACAATGCATCCCGGTGGCCGTACGAGGTTGCATGTACAGGTACGTCGCTAATTGCGCCTCCCTCAAGATCGAAAATAATGAACCATAGCAAAGTGTCTTTGTCTGCTGTGTCGATGTACTCGAAAAAGTCATCGACAACGTTATCCGGGATGAGGGTAGTGTTGGTGAATGGAAGCGATTTACTGTAGAAATGTGCTGGAATTCCTCCGGTGAGGTCTTCGCCAAGTTGTACGCCCCACGCGGCGACGAGAGCAAGCCAGTCGTTAAATACTGTGACGTTGTAGCCTTGGTTGGCCGGGAACTTGCTTTCCAACTGAAGGGCCTCAAAATCGGCGAGCGACCCGAAGAATTCGCCCTCGATCAATAGTAAATTTTCAGCTAAGACAAGCTGACATGAAAATTCTCTAGGCAGGGTGGGATCAGATATGAAATTCTGCCATGCCTTGAACGTGTTGGCACGCGAACTTGTGTCTCCTAGGTTGAATGTGAATTGATATTGGACCGCGGTGCCGGGCTCAGCTTCCGTGCGAACTGTGAATTCGGTAACGACGCCAAAGCTTGCGCCAGCGCCTCTTATAGCATAGAAGATATCGGGGTACTCGGTTGTCGACGCAGTCACAATACTGGAATTTGCCAAAACAACTTGAGCCGATTCAATATGATCCAATGCCATTCCGTATTGTCTAGCAGTCGGTCCAAGTCCTCCAATTGTGGCATGTCCGCCAATACCGACCTGCGGAGAGGTGCCATGAGTCATGGCACGATTACCAGCATCGTGAAGTTTTGTATCGATATCCCCGAGCAGTGTACCGGCACCGATAGTCGCATATTGAGTGGTTGGGTCGTATGAAAATTGTTGGAAATGTCTCATGTCAACGACAATCGCGCCGTCTTCGCCTCCGAGTCCTGTAGCATCACCAGATGAGTACTGCTTGTCTATTCAAGATATAGTGTATGGTTCTCGGAGAACGTATATTGCAAACCTACCATAATTAGCATAGCTATGACCGCCACTTTTTGCTTGCACCTTAGCATCTGCATCCACGGCGCATTTAACGATAGCGGCTACTTGGTCGGCAGATTCAGGAAACGTGACAGCAGCTGGGGTCACGGGATAATCGAGGTTATAAGGATTCACGTCGACTGATTCATACAGTAATGCTGTCGGGAAAGCGACTAGAGACGCGTCGTTTCCCACAGCGTCTAGCAAGCATCGCTGAGCCACAGCACTTGTGGTATTACCCATTGTCGGTCTTTTGTACTTGGCTTGTCCGAACACTTATAGTTACGGATCTAAAGTCTCTTGTTCGTCTCCGCGACGACAAAAGCTATCGTAGTTCGGACACACAAAGGACGGTTGGTGTTTTTAAAACCGTCGTCGCCAAATTAACTTTTCTGACCTCTGAACTGCCGAAGACTCATGTTTGGGTGTGACTAAAATTTAGTTGCATCTCTCTTTGTTTTTCTTTTTTTCGGCCTTCTGGACTTTGAATCATGTCGGGGCTTCCATCGCTCTTGGTCTATCGAATCGTATTCCGGAAATTACCCCGTTGGCATCAGCCCTTGGTGCATCAACGCGAGTATCTGAGCGCGCTCGCTCCAGGTGGGTCATAAGATTGGAAACTCAAGAAACAGAGACGCCCTGTGACTGTGTCAAGTTGATTCATTGATGCGACAATTGATKCGACGATATTGACGAGAGCTTGAGGGCGCACGCCATAGCTTGCATTCGGCGATATTCAGGAGAACGACTGGGTCAAAACGCACACGGATACCTCTGGGGTGGATTCGTTTCTGCAGAGATTCAAGACGCGGTCACTTGTAGACCCACAAAGTTCCGCATAGTTCGGAGTCTACGAGCGAATTCCAGGCTTCCATACTTCACGAGATCTTCACAAACTTTCCTATCTTGGTAATCTAGTGGAAGTGGCTGGCGTAGTTGCTTTTTTAGCAGATGCTAAATCGAGATAATAGATCATAGATCACTGATCAGACCAAACAGGATCTCAGCTGAAACCTGGTCATTCGTTAGTCCTAGCCTAGAATCCGAGTTCGTACAACTCCAAACAACGTAGTCACGTTGCTGGCATTCCACCATCTGTACGAAACCAATCGAAGGCGCTCATTCTTCGACTCGACTCTGCTACAGACAACATCACCCTACCACAGTCAACCTGGGGTATTGCACATACGCGGATTTGATATGCCCGTAAATTATATGTATCGCTGCCTAGACGGGTACCTCGCCATATTCGTCCTTTTCATTTTTTTCTAAGTACATACTGTAAGTTGTGTTGTTGACCTTTTACCCCACACAGTTGACTCGGCCGCGCAGGATGACCAGCTGCGTACTTCCCCCCCTCAAACCCGCTGAGGTCTTCCTTCAGTCTATGTACGGGTGCCCTCTATACCAGTAGACAGCACTGCTGGATTCAACTCTTCTTCTTTTCCATGCTCTGTCGGCGATGGCCTCCCTTACGTTTGACGGATATGCGATCGTGTTGATCTGCGCCTCTCCTGCAGAGGCAGCAGCCGCCCGCGATATGCTAAGGGACACTCGCACCCTACCTCCACAACTCTATATACTTGGCGAACTGAATGGCAAACCCCTGGTCATCACTTGCCTACCGAATAGCGTGTATGGAACTGTATCTGTTGCGGCCGTTATTTCTGACATGCGTTTGAACTTTCCCCGGCTTCAGCACGGACTAGTGGTGAGAATTAGGAGCGGGTTTTCGAATAGAGGCAGTGACAGTCACTTAGGCGAAGTCGTGGTCAATAGACGGAGTGGAAAAAATGGCGAATTCATACTGTATGGTTTCGGCAAAGTTGCCCAGGAAGGACAATTTGAGCTTACAGGCATCTCAAATCAACTGCCGCGGGCTCTTCTGATGCATTCTGGCCGACATAAAGTGCAAATAACAAGTCACATGAGTACTAATCCAAAAATCATGAGTGATATATCCAAACGCCGCCATAATATGGGGAAAAGATTCCCCCCAATCCCAAATGTGGCTGAAGATACTGTGAATTTTCTCAGCGAAGACTTTGGGGTTCTAGGGCCCTCTAAGGATACCCAGAAGATTGTCCTCACCACCAGGTTGATACCTTTAAAAAGCATTCAAAACTGGAATCCACTAGCAGCAGACTACCTATATTACATGACTTCCGTTAATCCACGCAGTATTCCACGATCTATTTTTCCTCAAATATTCGAGACACAGACACTTGCCGCCCTAGGATTCGTGGACGCATACTCATTCAACAATGGTAAAGACTCAAACATTATTATACATCAAGTTTTGCGTAGCGCAACCCAGCTTTGGGTTAAAACTAACGTGTCATTTGTTCGCGGCATCCAAAAAGTTGCTGATAGGAAGCAGAGGGCTTCCCCAAATAATCGACAACTCACCACGGAATCGGTAGCATTTGCTAATGTTCCACTTTTATATCATATTCCAGACATGGATAAGGAAATCAAATTGCAGAAGAAAGAGGACAAAATCGCAATCAGTCACCCATTACATATTATACGAGACATCAGCGACTACTCCAGTTTCCGAAAAAGCAAAGAATGGCAGCCATATGCAGCGCGCACTGCAGCTGCGTTCGCCAAATCACTTCCACCTAGGGTCCCCCATCCCTTTGTACCGATGCTGTCAGAACACAGTACGTCAATCACATATTACTGGAGATCCCTGCTAACAGATATTCCGAACTTTTAACTACAACAGAGAAGACAGTCGAGGACGAAACCCCTTCCAAGAGAAAGAATGAACACACCATAACAAAAAGAAATCCATGGTTATTGAAAAAAAATGAATTTCTGACTTGGCATCCAGCCTTTGAAATGGAGGCTGGAGGCTTAGCGTCACATATCCCTCCTATCATAATCAGAGGTATATCCGACTACGCTGACCTTACCAAGAGCCGAATGTGGCAGGACCACCTTGCAAAAGACGCCACAAAATTAGAAGAAGAACCTAGAGTTCATATCAGTGGTGAGTGGGTTTGTATCTGCTGCATTTATACGGGTAGCAACATATGTTGATTTGACTTTCCTTGTAGGTATTAATGGTCTTCTTCATTGGAGCACACCTGCTACACACATTTTTTCTTCCTCTGAAAATCGCGAAGACAGAGCATTTTCCATGCCTAGTTTCAATGCGCGATCTGATTTCTATCGAGCAGCAACAGTTTATCTTATCAATCACTTTGCCAATGATGTAGAACTTCTATCGCTTTATAAAGAAGCAGTACGGCAAATGAACGAAGCAAGCTTCATCAAAAATCATCAACATCTGCTGAAAATTTATTACTTGGAGTTAGAGTTCAAAAATGAAGATCTATTCCAGAGGCAGGCTATAATGCTTTTGCGAGGACACCGTGAAAGATACGCTCTTTCACGTCAAATATATCATGCTGTTAAATCTCCTAATACACCCAATGAAGGAGGAAAGCGTCCTTTGCTGGACCAAGACGAAAAGCAACTACGGCTTCTAAATATGCTCCTCGAAAGAAATGCTGGCAATAGTGCATGGTCTCAAATTATGGCCAGTAATTCAACAGAAAGCGAATGGTATACCGAGAGTGAAGGAAGTGACAGTGACGAGGACGTCACCGGTAGCAGCCTTGCATTGCCTGAGCTGGAGTCTCAGGCCCAGTTTCTGTGCGAAGGCCGTCCATATCAGCAGTACAAGGAGCAACTCCGCAATCTAGTCTGCCACAAAGCTCGAAAACATGACAAGAAAAGTCCATTCAAAGGAACTCCAGCGCAACCCAAAGTCAAAGTACCGGATGTGCTTGACAATGCCTACCCCAAACAGCATACTGTAGCAGCTAAGATGGAGAGCCAGCCAATTTACAGATGGAAATTTCTCGACCAGACTGTACAACTTCTGCGAAAATTCGAATTCCGGCCCAGGCAACAATTCTGCTATCGTTTTTCTTGGCTGAGAAGATTGTTGCGACCAAAGTTGAAAGCCGGATATCACCGAATTGAGTGGCAATGTGTATGTGCAGATTATTCTTTTCTGTTTTACAACCAACCTTTAATCATACAAATGGCTTTTCTAGAAAAGTAAACAAAATGGAACATTTGCAAGGAACTGATGACAGTTAGGACTGTGGTGTTCACCTTCACGCCGATTTCTCACCAGGCAATTCGGAGCCTATCAATGAGTTAGCGCGCTCATTACAGAATGGCGGGCGTTCTCAAAGAGGCCTGCATGCTAGTAATGGGAACCATACAATGCCCTCTCAACATACCCCTGGGTATAACTCACATACTAACTCACAACCACAAATCAGCGCTGCACAAAACTTGGTTCAACAAACCGCGCCGGTGTCTGTCAGGCCAAAATTCCTAGCACTGTGCATCAATACAGGATCTATCTACAAAACTCTTGTAGAAATTGATGCATCAGATATTGCATCAGACGCAACTGCCTTTTTGCGCATGAAGAAGATGTATTTACAAACACGCAGCCGACTTTCTCATCTCAACTTTCTAGTGAAGCCAGTGACCGTTGAGTTTGTTCGAGTGAGTTTTACTTTCTACGTTAGCTTTGATTGTATCTTGTATCTAACTAGAATAAAGTTTACACTATGGAATCTCCGCGGCGGATATATATCTGTTTGTGATCGACCAGATCGTATTCCTCCAGGTGATAGTAGTGACTATGAATATGTCCCCAAGCCTCTCGAACCGCCCATCCCAATGCCTCCAGAAGTCTTCATCCATTATCTTCAACATGATGAGGGTGACTTGAACCATGCACGTAATAACTGGTTCAATCGCTTGCCAAAACGTTTGGATAAAAGAGTAATTGATGGGGATGAGGGCACCTATGGATGGGGAATCCATATCATAGAAGGACCTAATCGTGAAGTTATATTTTGGATTATCATGATAACAATATTCGGGAGCATGCTAGCGAGTATCCTCTGGTCAGCGCTCTATAATGACATTCAAGGTGGGACAGGATTGGGAACGATGATTGTGGCGCTCCCCCCAGCAATTTTAACTGCATTCCTGTTTCGCATGGGTGCTACTTAATAGGCCTAATTATCATTAGGATTAGTGAATATATACGGTTGGTCATGAGAAGTCGCGACTGGATACTGTGAAGGGAACCAAGTGGCTGATTTAAGTGAGCAATGGGACAGTCAGGAAGCATGTAGAAGGCTGTAGCTCAGCATACTGCACCTGCGCTGAACCATCCGATAGAGAGCATATCGATATTCCTCGTACGCATTCATGATCAGGGGCGGGATCGGTCAGCCCAGGCCCGGCTAACAGCAAAACGTCCAAGATATTAAACAGGTCGTCGATGACAAGCTCGAGGGAATGACTAGCAGCTGTGTGGAGATGTATTCAAGTGCTAGCTGTTCATCTGCGTATGTTGCGGTACCGGTAGCCCCGTTCGCAAGTTCAAAGTTTGTGCTTTGTGCGTGCTTCAAAATACAAGATACTACTACCAACAGATTTTCAGGTTTACCCAACTTTTTTGGAACATATTCAGACTTAGGGTCGAATCATAAAAAATTCGTATCAGGAGAATATGATCTAGTTCCGGATTAATGTTATTCCTACGCTATCTCATATTTACTTCGGCCTCTTGGCACCGTTTCAGAGGAAAGAGAAGAAAGTGTTCGTTGTTACTCTTGAGGTGCAAGTAACCGACCTCGAGATATCATTGACCATCCAGTCAATATTGTCGGTACTGAGTACTTGACCTCTGGAACGTCATAGTCAAATACGTATAGGTGATATTATGAAAATATCTTACGGGTTCTATTGACTTTGGGTTATCGTCTAACAACACGCTTACTATGTGTGGTGTATGAGACAACGTGAGCCCACGTATTCATCAACCTGAGAATTCTTGGGATAACAGAAAAAAATAATTCATATAATACAAATCTGACTTTGCAGAGTGATATCTAGCTTGGTATCTAATACCGCCCCGGACCAAAGGTCTAGGTAATATACAAACAGGTCAACGTTATATTTCCGACTTGACGTGCGCCATGCTGACCGCGAAGAGATTTCAGAGTATCTCTCATATCGATGAATGTCGAGGTCATCCGGGTCAGCAGGTCATGCTTTATGTAAAGAATGCCGCCTTTCCACTGATGGTGGAGCCAGATGGAGCAGGCTAGACTCTCTCGCTGATGTTGATTGCTGCCCTGCATCCGGTTCGAATAATATTCACCAAAGGATCATATGGCTTCGCTTCCTTGGAGTCGTTCTCAACAGCATGGTCCAGATGCTCCAGCTCCTCATCGCGTGTTTTTCTTAACAGCGCCAAAAGATCTGTGAGTTCTTCATCCACCTCCTCTCCGCGTTGTTCGGCTTCCTTCATCCATCCCGTGATTGTGGTGACCTGTTCATTGTAATGCGTGCCGATTTCCGTCTCCACTGCCTCTGTACATGCCATTGCAGCCTCCCGTCCCATTACCGCTGTCGACCAACCTAGAAACGTAGCAGCAACTTCCCAAATTGGATACATGGCCGTGGGTCGCACTTGATGTTTCGCTAACAAGTGATTGAAATTGGCAAAATGTACAGCTTCTTGGTCATACATGTGCTTCATCAACGGTCGTAGATGGGGATGCGACCGTACAATGGGCGTTTTTTGTGCGGCATAGATCAAGGTCGCGGCGAGTTCGCCGGCTTGGTTCACTCGCAGTGCGCGATCAAGATACTCTCTTTGTGCACGCGAAAGAACATATCGAGGCTTTATAGACGAAGATTGTTTTGTCTCGGCGGGTTTCAAAGGCTCTGGGGTGTCCTTTGATGAAGCCTTTGCGCTGAAAAAGAAACATCGGCGAGAGGAGTGGCGAAGGGTGATTGGGGCAAGGAAATCCAAATACAACGGCGTTTGAGCGGAAAGAACAGCGCGGGGGACTCGGAGAGACCGGCCCCTCAATGGGTTTGTAGCCGCGTGCATCTTGACTGACGCTATTGTGTAGGATACAATGGAATAGCCAGCGCTGGTCGAATTGAAAAATAATAGAACAATAGAGAAGCCGAATAGTAGAATGATGGAATACTAGGAAGGTGTCGGGGAAGGAGCGGGTGGCGGAGACTCCTCTGGCCAAGACTTGTGGGTGCCTTGCTGCCTGAGAGCACCTGGTCAAACGTCGAATGTTGGACTTCGTTGAATGTTCATTGTTTGCGCCTACCTTATTCACTCCATTCAGGACCCTGCCACCCCTTTTTATCCGCCATCGTGGCGACTGTATCTGGAATATCTTCGTCCTAGAAATTCATTGTGGGATATATGTACTGAGTCGCCTGCCTAAATCGCTCTGCTTCACTTCGACGGGCTCTTGCGCGCCTGACACCATCGTCCAAATTCTGATCAACTACCGCAACTTCTTGTTGCAGAATTTATACATTCTGTGTCGACTCTCCGACAATAAGGCTGTTTGTAGCAGCTGCAAACGTCAAAATGACTAGTCTCGATGACGAACTGCTCGCCCTGGCTGGCGACTCTTCTGATGAAGAGAATGCCTCCCCGCCAGTTAAACCCAATCCTGCTTCTCCTCAATATCCCATCGCTGAGAGAGAACTAGACGAGGAAAACGAGGACGACGACGACGACGACGAAGATAAGGGCGAATACAAGGAATCGCCTCCAAAAAAATCAAAAGAGATGGCACGTAAGGGTGTTGCTAAGTCTGTTAAGGCTTCGAAACCGGCGAGACGGCCCAGGAAGCAGAAGCGAGGTGAATCTGACGAGGAAGGTGAACTGTACGTCCAGTCAGCTATTCTCACTACGTCCTGGTTCAGATGAGTTTTATGTTCTGACCATATTTCTTGTTATTTTAGATCTGCTGCCGAGTCGCTGGCCTCGGAGCGTTCTGCCAGCATGTCAGAGTCCGAACCTGATGAAGCGAATCTAAAAATCGATGGCGATGGACCCATTTTCCCTTACGAGAAGCTCTACTACTCCGCCAACGACAAGAAGGAGATTATGGGTCTTCCCGAAATTGAACGAGAGCAGATATTGTCAGAGCGTTCCCAGCAAGTTGATCGCCACAACCAAGACCTAGTTCTTCGTCGCCTTCTTGCTTCCCGCGAGCGCGAACAAGCACGCTCCGAGTCGAGATCAAAGCGCAAAGCTAGCACTACCGATATAGAAGAAGGCCAGCGCAAGAGTTCCCGTCAAAAGACTACGTTGGGAGGACGCCGAGTAGGAGAGACTTCTGACGCAATTGAGGCATACAAACGACAACGAGAACAAAAGGGTAAACGAGATGAGCAACGTCGTCGGGATGCAGATGCAAGACAGGCACGAGGCCGTAGCTCGTCTCAAGAGGAAGGAGCGTACTCGGACGTCGACGCTGAAGGTGAAAGCGAGGCAGACTACGAGGAAAAACCGCGCCGCACTCCACCTAAGCAACCCGATATTCCCAAAGACGACCCMCCTGCCACTCTCAAGGATGTCCAGCGAGTTCGCGTGGGCCGCAGTAACTTTGCCAGCGTCTGCTTCCACCCTACATTTGCGACGTCCCTCACAAACTGCTTCACCCGAGTGAACATTGGACCGAATCGAGACACTGGTCAGAATGAGTATCGTGTCTGCGTTATTAAGAGTATGTGTTTCCCTATTCTTTGACTCAGCATGATTACGTGTCTAATAATTGTAGACTTCACCAAAGGGAGACCTTATGCAATTGAAGGAGCAAACGGTCGGACCTACGTGACCGATCAATATGCCGTTCTCGCTCATGGTAAGGCTGAGCGCGAGTTTCCTTTCATTCAATGCTCGGATTCTCCCTTCACAGAGGTTCGTTTCCAATAAAATATACATGTGAAATCCTACTGACTGTGCCTAAGGCCGAGTTCAGCCGCTGGCGTCAGACTATGGTTGTTGACGACTGCAAGGTTCCAACCAAGTCCATGTTAGCTGCTAAAGTTGCCGACATCAACAACCTCATCAACTATAAGTTTACACCGGAAGAGCTAGAGGAGAAGTTGCGGAAGCAGGGCGCGGATAATGCCAACGAGAAACTCTTGAAACGCTTTGATTTGGAGAGAAAGCTTAAGGAAGCCATTGCCCAAGGGAATGACGATGAAGTGGCGAACATTCAGGCCCAGCTCGCCAAGGAAACGACTTCCAAACTTGCTTTCAACGGTTCCCTCCACAAGACACGTCCTGAGAAGCAGCAAACCCCAGAGCAGCGACTTGCCGAGCTGAACCGTCGGAACCAGAAACTCAACAGTGAAAATGTCCGTCGTGCACAGCTTGAGGAGCGACGTATGAATCGCAAGAATGCAGCAGCTGTGGCCCGCGGAGAAGCCACAGCAGATCCTTTTGCTCGCGTCAAGACTCGCGCAAAGACATACCATGATGTGAATACAGGTGTAAACAGCACACCAAACAAAGAAAATTCTGCGGATGCCGGTAATGGATCTCAAGCACCAAAGTCCGAATCTCCTTCCGCATCTCAAATCAGCAACACACCTACTAAAGCCCACTCCAAACCGAAAGGCATTGCAGTTATTCGTCACCGAAATATGGATGATGATAACATCGCCGCTCTGGACTTGGACTTGGACGCTGATCTCGATCTTGGCTTCTAGATTTTTCGGTCAGATTTGGACATTTTGGGTTCATCGAAGCGGCCATCTATCGCCTCTAATCTTTACATATTCCTAATTCACACCTACCGTACATGATAAACCTAAACAAGCACCGGATATCTGTTATCTTTGTCTCACGAATATTAATTCTCTTTGTATGTATATTAGCAGCATCTATCGAATTGGCTATTCATTCAGGGCTAGAGGAACAGCATTACAGAGCAGGAGTTCAATTGGCATAAGATGGGTGGTGAAGATATGACTTTCGTGCCTTCTTGTTTTACATACCCAGAACAAACCAATATAGACGTCAAAATTGATTGACTTCTTCAATTGACATACATCATAGATATCTAGCATGATTTAACTACTTTCACGTCGTCGATGTCTCTCGATCTTTGGTGTTTATTTGGGAGATTCTTATCAGCACGTGACGGAGGGTGACCCTAATTGATAACGCGCTGATAAGAACGCGGGTTGCGCGGCGCGTCTTGCATAACTCGGCAGGAACAACCACTTGCCTTACCACGTACTCTTACCTCTAACCTCTTACCAATTTACTCTCAGACAGTCGACAACTCCATAGGCAATGGGATAATGCTACGATATATAAAGCAATTTGTCTGAGAAATTGATTCACACAACATATCAAGCATGTCTACTCAATCCACTCCGCGCTCGACGCGCTCTGCGTCCTTGGAAGCCTCTCCAGCACATATGCTCACTCCAGGCCAGAAAATCAAGGCCATGCTTGCGCAGTTTGACAGCGATTCTGAAAATGAAAATACTACAACTACATTGAAAACAACCCCAATTGCGCCTCTTAATTTTACCACTGGCGTAACGAAAAGTATCGTGCCAGCCCTTGATGAAGATGACGATGAAGATGTCCCAGTACTGGCACCAAGAGGGCGAATGGCTGCTCGAATGCAGGGAATTGAAAATACAGAAACAACCGAACGCACAGAGACAGCCTACGACAGAATAGCAAAGACTCTACGCTTACCGTCCACAGATGCAACCGACAACACTAAGTCTACGAATGAAGACCAATCCTCGGAAGATGATATGCCTACTGCTGCCCCAACCAGAAGACGTCTCTTGAGTGCCAAGGAAAACGAATTGAATGCTACGATGGAACAGAACGAGATTTCGAATCAACGTTCCGCACGATCAGAGTCTCCGTTATTTGTTCAGGAAGAAAGCGATGCAGACCACACGACCGGGAATAATCCATCAACCGGGGAACCAAAAGATGCACGATTTCTCGCTCTTGTTGAGCGAAAACGTAAAGAACGGCAAGAGAAAGAAAAAATCGAGTCAGAGAAAAGGGCCGCAAGAGCAGCGAAGATGAAGGAGTTCAACTCTGATATCGTTGCTGACGATGAGAGTGAAGAGGACCCAGATAGTGCCAAACAACTAACTCAAACATCCCGACCCGCTCGCAAGGCAAGTAAGAAGGCTTTGGAAGAAATGGCACGAGAAACGCAAAGGATGAGCCGAAATAGGCAACTCGCTTATCAGCCACGAGTGAAGCGCAAGATTACGATAGATAGCTTCGTGGCCCTAATGAACTCGCACAAAATTGAACAACCTTCCGAACCGATTGATTCGGCATCATCGAGCTCAGCTCCTTCATCAGATGCTGATGCAACCAAGCAGAAGGAAACTCCGCCAACTTCTCCTGCAGGACCTAGTTTTGACGAACCGAAGCCCGTTCAAGTGCAGCCTTCGAAACCACCCCAAACGACCGTTAGCAAACCCAAAGTGTCCAAAGAGCCGCGAGTCCGAGTGCACTTATCTCGTGAACAGGTCGCCCGACGTCAAAATGAGGAACCTGATGATGAGTTGGAGATCATTACATCGCCTACCAAGTGTAGGAAGGCAGCTATCTTTGAGAATCTGCGCTCGAAAAATCTCAGCGAAAACCAGAATATGCTTAAGCTCAAATTGCTTGCTCGTTTGACGTCGCCAACAAGCCGCACCAAGTCAATGAGTCCTGCTGAACTCTCCGCCATGTTGCAACTAAAAGCTCGACAGCAAGCACTGCGTGAGAGGCAAGAGAAACTCGACGAGCTCAGAGCCCAGGGCATTGTTGTTGAGACTGCGGAAGAGCGAGAAGCAATGGAGGCAGATGTCGAAGACTTGATGGAAAAGGCTAGACAAGAGGCTGATTTGATTGCTCGTCGTGAGAAGGCTGCTCGTGAAAAGAAGTCTGGTGTCAGTACAGTAAGCGACGATGAGGAAGAGGATGGCGACTACGAACTTTCCGGCTCCGAGGATGAGGAAGAAAGTGGAATGGAGGAAGACGTTGAGTCTGATGGGGAAGGCGAAGGTAGTGAAGAGAAACTCGAAGAAGAGATGGAGATAGAAACCGAAGAACCAGTTCAGGGATTGGTCGATAATGAAGCGGATGAGATGGAGGAGGAGGAGGAGCCGGAAGAGTCTGCTCTTGAGAAAGAGGTGACTTTGACACATGGAACTCGAGCCAGGCGTCAGAGAAGAATTGTCAGCGATGATGAGGAAGAAGACGAGGCAAACGAAGTACAGACTACCAAGCCTGTACCAGAACCGAAAACACCCGCGAGATCAGTAGCCGCGTCTGTCGGCTCAGCCCAAAGACCGCAATTTCCCAACATGCCAGGAGCCTCTACCTTCACAATGAGCCTTACTCAGGCATTCGCCGGTACCATCGCGGAGGATCAGTCGGACGGCGAAGAGGACTCATTCAAGATTCTGCAAAGTCTTCCAGATCCTGGGCTGCCCGGTCTCCAAGAGATGGCCGTCGATTCCCAGGTAATGGTCAAAGATAGCCAGGATCAGCGTCGTGGATCAATCGATCTCTTTGCTGGCTACACGCAGTCTGGCTCTCATGTGCCCGAATCACCTGGACCCAACTGGTCACAGTATTCACAGATGCCTGAACCAACTCAGGATATTGGTTTTGTATATTCGCCCATTGACGTCTCTAAGCGTTTTATCGAGCCCCCAGTCTCGACAATTGATACAGTCATACTTCCAGAGAGCGAGTCACCTGTCATGCGCAGGAAGGGCCGACTACTCCAACGCGGCCGGCCCGTTCATTTATCGGATGACGAGGGTGGAGATTTCGAGATCAAAGCCAGCGCGTTCGATGTAATGAAGAAAGCGTCCAAGCAAAAGACCAAGGCAGCCACTGCGTTTGACAAATCGAACAGCAAGGCCAAGGAACACGTTGACGAAGCCGCCGAGGAATCCGAGGATGAGTATGCAGGCTTGGGAGGTGCTAGTGATGACGATAATGGGGAGGAGGATGAACTTGACCGGGAGATGATCAACGATAACAGTGGTGAAGTTGTTGACGAAAAGGAGCTAGCAGCTTTAAATGCGTGAGTAGTCTCTTCAACACATAAGTATCAATTACTGACGGATGCGAAACAGGAACCATCAACGTGCTATGGATGAAAAACAAGTCTCCAAGTTGTTGAAAGATATCACAACTGGAGCTCTGCGGCGTAGGCGAGGAGCTGATGACGATCTTGACTTGGACGACTCGGACGATGAACGGCTCGCTCGACGAAGAGCCAAGCAGCGAGAATTTGCCAAAATGCGGAAGGCATTGCTTGCTGACGAGAAGGTTAATGAGATCGCAAGTAATCCGAAGAAGCAGGCTTTCTTCAAGGCTCTCGAAGATCGTGATGATGACGAGGAAATGGAGTTCGAATTCAATAATGGTGCTCAATCTGAGGAAGCATCTTTCCAGGTCAATGAGAAGGAGGAATCATCCGCAGGCGGAGACGAAGATGGAGAATCAGAAGAGGCATCTCACAAGCGAAAACGACCTCTTGAGCCTGCTGCTGAAGATGTTTCCAATAGACCTCCACCACACCTTCGACGCACTGCAGCTAATGTTTCACGCAAACCATCTTCTCTCGCGGAGATTCGGGAAACTTTGTCTTTCTTGACAGCAACACCCGAGTACGACTCCTTCCATGAGGATGCATCCATCGAGGAAGATATTGTTTATAGCACCGACAAAGGCAATTCGGATGATGAAACTGAGAACACAGAACCCAGTCAAAAATCCTCCGCAGATGGGTTTGCTATTCCACCAAATCCACGCCGCACTCGTGGTCCGGTTGTTGACCGTCTGGCTCTTCGACGTGCTTCCTCATCCAACTCTGCACGCGCCGGTGCTAAACCGGCCTTTGTGACTGGCACGTCATCTTGGGATACCACCAACGTTGGCTTCCGTCCACCCCCTCTACTTCGTCGAGCAACGTCCTCGTGGTCTACATCTGATAGCTCGTCATCCCTCTCATCGAGTGGTGCCAAGAAATCTTCTGGTCCCAAAGCAGGCCTATCCAACTCTAAGAAGGGCTCCGTTAATTATTACACTGCGGCCCGAGAACGTGAGAGGGAGCGCGACTTGAGGTTGAAGGAGCGTGGTGGTAGTAAGATTACTGCTGCCAAGATTGCTCAATTGCAGAAGAAATCATTAGAAAATGGCTTGCTGGCATGGACGAAGAAGGGTTCTGGGTTTGAAATCTGAAAGCTTATCTGATTGGAGTTTGGTCTGCTGTTACGGCGTTGGATGTATATCACTGTTGTTACGACTTGATCTGCTTATGTTTATTCTTTGAGTATCTTTTTTTATTGCTTATTCTTAGCCCTGTACATGGAGATTGAAAGGCGTTAGAGATCATGATACTATATAGCCAGGAAATAAATCCCATCAATTAACACCTTTAATCCTTCCACACAAGACCACATCTTCCCCAAACGGGTACCATTTAACATCCGTCAGCCTCGAAGCCGGTATCGCATATCCATGCTCATCAACGCGCCTTTCGGGCGAGACTACCACACCCCCCTGGCCCAGCCATGTAGGCGCTATAGTCACGATGACAGAATCAATGAGAGCGGTATAACGCTGTTCTGAGAGGAGGGAGTTGATGATTGAGCCGCCGCCTTCGATCATTATACTTTTGATGTTTTCCTGCGTTGCGAGAACGTTGAGGATCAGGGTCCAGTCAAAATGTTGATGTGCAGCGCCATCCTTAGCACTGGAAATAGTGTCCAAGGCAATGTATTTTCCGCCATATTTCTCGAGAAGGTTTCGTGCTTCTTCGGGTGGAGATGTGGATTTTGATGTTATGACGAATGGTGCTTTGCCTTTGCTCTGTTTGACTAATTCGATAATCTTGCTAGACTCTCGCGGCTCCCAGCGAGCATTCGGGTCAATGATGATGGGCCTCGGCTGGTGTAGCAAATCTTGCTGTTGTCGAATAGTCTCCGTTTGGATTGGATCAAGGTGATTCTTGTCTTTGAATTCTACACTCGACGCTTCAGGCTGTCCCTCGTAACCACTCGCACCTTCAATGCGACAATTAAGACCGGGATCATCTGCAATTGCAGTCCCGACGCCAACCAGGATTGCTTCATGGCGGAAGCGGAGGTAGTGTGTCATTGCTTTTGATTGTGGCCCGGACAGGGTAGTACGCACACCTGGAGCTAAAGAGAGAGAAGAGTCAAGGGATGTGGCGAATGTGAGTGTTGTAAATGGTCGCGATAGTTCATTTTCCTTTGTTGTGTGTGTGTCGTCTGATGATGGAGGTAGATAAGGGTCGAGGAAGGGCCGTGATGATGGCGGGAAATATAAAATGTCGCGGGGCTGGTTTGACATATTGTTATTCTTTTCAAATTCTTATTTTTGTATACTGTTCATCTATTCATCGATCGAGACATGTATATATAAACAACTCTCTATGTTCGATATTAGAAGGTTATGGAGCTAAAAACCGAGCTAGCCTGTTTATGGATTAGCCGCTCATCACTCCGTTCTCAGAAGGTCGACATTCAACCTCATTCTTGGACCCTATGCATATGCGTCTTGCGCAATTGATCTAGCACAAATAATTACAATGGATCCAGATACCCCGCCCACCGAACCAGCGCCCTCCGCCTTCAGCTACATTCTCTCCTTCATCCTCGTCGGAATCGCATGGGGCTTCACGACACCCTTCATCCGGCGCGCCGCGGTGGACTTTAACAAACGTCAAGAAGAGACGAATCGATTGAATGCTGCCAGCACCAATGACAATGAAAATGACGACGACGATGACGACGACGATACAATCACAATCCCGGTGCAGTCGCAGCGGGGCGGATTCGACATCAAGAAGAAGTTAAGCGCGTTGTTTTGGACGGTGGTTAATCTGTTGCGGACGCCGGCCTATGCGATTCCGTTGGTGGTGAATTTGACGGGGAGTGTGTGGTTTTTCTTGCTTGTAGGAAAGCATGGTACGTCGCTCCTTTTTCTCCTGGGAGGGTGGAGATGCAGATTCTAGGTGATTTGGTGCTGATATTTTACGTCTGTTGGTAGAACTCTCGTTGACGGTCCCTATATCGAATTCAATGGCCTTCCTATTCACGGTGCTAGGAGAATGGTATGTGGAGCGAAAAGTGATTGCGAGGGAGACGTGGTTGGGCATGTTCCTGGTACTCGGTGGTATAGCGCTGTGCGTACACTCCAAGACTACTGTTTGATTATTGCGGCTACATCATGAATGTATATATGTATAGTGATGGAACGATTTAGACTTGGGATTTGGTATTTAACGCCCGTTCTATATCATGGGGCAGTACATTCATTCCATAAAGTAAACATACACGTTTCAAGCGCCAGAAAAAAAAAACACCCATTCCAAACCATGCGCAAGCACGGGTATTATCACGAGAACAATCATCAACCGTCGCATAATGGTATCAACGTCATGGTCGAAGAGAAAAGGGTCCGACATTTCACTAATATTGCACAGTCGTATCAATAATCAAAGCTCGGAATCGTCATGCATGGTGGAAATGAAAACTGGTAGTAAAAACACAACTTCGGTAAAGCCCCGAAGTAAAAAAAGACCTTGTATCGATGGACTCATGCCCTATCCATGTATTATCATCAAATATACATTTTTTGGCGTAGAATGTGATCAGGTTTAAACGCCACGGAACTAGATCGAGTTAGTCAAGAGATGACAAATAAATATCCAAAGAGATACTTACCATTCGTACAACCAAAAACCACATCGCTCCAATGAACTTGATCAACGACAAAGCAGCAACACTCCACAAAACGACCGACATGTATATATCAGCCCGCTTGGTACTAGTGTCAGACGTCGAACTGCTGGAGCTGAGATTCTCCAAGCCAGCGGTACTCAGGACGACAGCGCCGAGAGCAAAGTTGCAGAAAATCCACACAAGTACAACACCACTGCGGAATCCCTTGTAGTAGTCTTCTTGTTTCTCTGCATCGGAAATTACGCGCACTTCTTTCGGCGGTTTTGTTGCGAATGCCGACAGCTCGATATCGTACTGTGCATTCAAATCGCCTCCATCCTGTGGAATACTGACGTCGACTTTTCCACCCGGCTTGACCGTAGCGGACGGCAGTTTCTCTGCCTTGTCGTCTCCTTTTGTACCCCATGTGACATCGTGGGTGTTGCAAAAGGCATACACGTTGAGCACATTGGTATAGGTGGGTGTGAGCAATAAATATTGAATGAACTGCTGTAGTTAGTAGGTGAACTATAGGACTTGAATAAAGAGAACGTACACAAGTAAACATATGCCATGGGTCGAAGAATATCAGCGAGGCCACGAACCACATCACATAAGTGGATGCGAGTGATATAATAATGGTAAAGAAATGCTGATTAGTGAACAGATCACTAAATGTAAATCCGTTCTCCTTAGTTTGTTCTTGTATCGATTTCACCGTGACGAAGATGGCTGCAAAAGTCAAGTATATCATGACAATAACCCAGAAATAGACCATTGTCATGTAAAACTTGTTTGAACCTTGCGGGCGATTACCGAGTGAAAGAATAAAGCAGGCGACCAAAGTAGACAAATAAATCCACTCAAAGACAACACCGAGAATCGCTCCAGGGGTTCCCAAGAGGTCCGTAGAGCCCAGATACTGCGTGAGGATGTGGAAGACGAGGAAGAAATTACCGATTGCGAACCAGGCGAAGAGCATATTGATGGTCTGGAAGATGAATTCAAATCCTAGCATGAACTGCCTCATGAAACTGTGACTGCTGCGTCCGATTTGATAGAAGTGAGCGATAGCATAAACGGCAGCAAAGAAACTACCGTTCAACCAACGACGACGCTGGAGAATAAACTCGGCCATGCGATCGGGCACATCTGTCTCTCCGGTAGATGATTTGACGTAGGAAAGGACCCAACGACAGTTGCGCTTGGTGACGATCTCGAAACACAGAATACGATCTTCGGCAAGGTACATGTTTGCTGTAAAGATACCAGCGTTGGCACCATGCATCTTCTCACCAGCAAAGTACTTCTCCAGTGGTCCTTGACCGGTCTTGTCATTTTGCAATGCAACGTATCGATAAGCAGAAAAGGCACCGGGTAACACGGAAATGAAACCAAATGCCGACTCCAGGGGCTTGTCGAGAATATTGCTCATCTTGTATTCGAAGTTTTGCGCTGCAACCAACGGGTTGATGAGATTCTTTCCCTTGTCCAACATGACCTTGATTTCACCACAAGCTCCACCACACATCGGCTCCAAGTCGAAAGCTCGCCAAAGATGATAAATGGAGTCTTTGCCAGGTTTCGTACCAGCATCAAGCAACACACAGATATTAGGATCGAGTACACGGCCGAAAGCTTGGAAAAACCAACGATGAGAGTTGATCTTCTTTTGATTCTTTTCCTTCAAACAAAAGATCATCTGCACAGGGGTGGCTGAGCGTCCTTTGATCGAGACTTGTGTACCCTTCAAACCCAGTGCCAGCTGAGTGGTGTATTCGTAAATATGTGCAGTGACGTCCTTGCCGTTAACTTGTTGTTTGGCAATTCCATCCTGATAGACTCCTAGCGCAGCCAACACCGCACGCGTACGAGGGTTGATCTTGGCACGACCGTCACTAATGACACACACGACGATTTTCTTCCATGCGTCCTTGCCCCAGGTCTTGCTGTTGGTTCTCGAGCACATGTACTCGATATTTTTGAAGACGCCGATCAAGGTACGGGCGAAAAGGAACTCATCTTCGTTATACATGGTAATGACAATGAACAATTCAGTATGTCTGGGCTTTGCGAATAAGCTCTGTCGCAGAGTGAATCGATCGTTGTAGAACTCTGCCGGATCACAAGTAGCGGCCGAGTAACGCATATGGGTAAACTCGTCACGTTCAGGCGGTTGAGCGTGAGGCACTTGGTTTAGTAACTTGGGGGGAACGGGACAATCCAAGACCAAATTTCCGCGAAACAATTGGACTTCTTTGACTGTCTTCCAACGTCGAATTGGCGCCGGGCTGGGAGTCATTTCAGGAGGGGTTGGAACGTGCTCAGGCTGGCCGCCCGCTTCGTTGGCGATATCGTCGTCGCCATGTGTATACTCTGGTGGCTCATAGGGATTTGGTCCGTACGGATTATCTGCTTGTAGAATGGGAACTCGATCTTCTTGGTAAGGAGAAGGCTCCTGATGCGGGTAGTTGGATAGGTCGTAGTCATCATGTGGGATGCCCGTTGGCTCATAAGGTTGGTTATAGTACGCGTCGTGATGATCTTCCGGGCGCAATGTATATTCGTTCGGATAGTTTTGCGTATGATGTTCCTCGAAACGTTCGTTGTGACCGTACGAGTTGTTGATTCCTTCGACCGAGTACTAGAGTTGACAGTGTTAGCTACACTCATTAGCGCAAACGCAGGGTCAAGCGCACCGTTGGCTGGTCTAGTAGGTGGTCCGTCGAGGGCATCTGTAATGGTCGGAATTCTGTCTCATGTTGGTATGGCTGTAATGGCCGCCCTGGAGAGGGCGTGCGATTGTCTGGATAATGAGGATTCATGACTGGCGAGTGACCTCCATTGTCCGCATAGGGATCTGTTAAGCGCTGCATCAGTATTGCGACGGGCAGACGAGGTTTTGATCAAGTCAGGAAAGGCGAAACGCGAGGGGACAAAGACAAGCACAAATACAATGCCATCAAAGAGGTACGTATGTGGTACCCCTTTTCTGGTTCTAGTGGAAAGCGCAAAGCCAAAGAATCTGAGAGATGAACGGTGCGGTTTTAGCCAGCAACGGTCGCCCCGCCGTAAACAAATAGATTGCGAAGCTTGAAAGCGCTAAGATCGACCATGGTTGCCGTGCCGTGGTTGCGAGGATGGCAATATCCTTGAAAGAAGCAAAGGGGAAACACTCACCTAAGCGATTGTAGGAAGACATGGTGGAACTGATGGTGATGCAGAGGAAAGAGGATGAGACAGAAGAAAATAAATGGAGGAAGCATATGACGGAGATGTTTGGCCTGGTTACTAGGGAAGAACCTCAGGCATTCATTTGGAGACACGTTATTGGCTGTGCTGATCCACTCTCCGCAGCTGTATCAGCCTTGCCGCGACCAATTCGGCAATACTTTTCAACTATTCGCTGAGAGTGTCTATATCAACACTATTAAAGTATATTTGTATTGACTTGAATTCAGGCATAAAGTGATTTCGCTGGTTATCTTGCTGAAAACTCAGTACGTGGCTCTGTAAATGTCGAAATGTTGTTGACTAGAATCTGACACAGGCTACGTCATGAGTCCACGAAACAGGAGTACGTATTCTCACTGCCTCAATCATATACACTCAATCTCTGAGACTAAAGCAGCCAAGCAGAGTCCATCGTTTCGACATGGCATATCCAATCCTATCATCCTCTGCCAAAGTCAAAAGGAAAAAAGGGAAAAAGTGGCGTGAGGCTGTGCTGTTGCTAAGAATAGATACAGCATTACATAATCCTCCGATCCATGGCTGTGTTGTTCTCAGCCTATGTAGGTACGGGTGGCCCTATGGAGTACACTTACATTCCGATCTGCCTCTGGATATCTCAATCTTCCTTCTAATACGTTGCGCACTGGTCAATACAAAGTACTCAGCGGTAAACAGCATTATTCCGTACCACCATCTCAAGGACCGTCTCCTTAACAGAATCATACCCGAAGAACAATGGCCGCTCTGAAAATCGCTGGAGATATTCAAGCATCCCTCTATGGAGTGATTGACGACGCGATATCAGCGATCAGCTATAAGCTGTACGAGTATTAGACGGTGATTTGGAAACATGATTCCTGTAGGTCCTAGGAGTAGGAAGTACACAAGGTCCAATTAGGGGCTACAGGTGGATCCTACAAGTATAGCTGACTAAGCAATGACGCTAAACCTAATTGGGATAATGTTCTAACATGATTTTTGTTCGAGTCATGTGACGGGAACCTAATTCATCCCTTGATCGCGCCTCTGAACCCCTAGTCTTGCCTGAACCCTAAAGAGATAGTAGTGTAGTCTCCAGCCACTGAGAAATCTAATGGTCCCCCGGCTTGGGCTCACGTGGTACTTCTCGCCTCCCTAGTCAAGCACAGTAGGGTGAATTAGCTAGTACTAAGTCAAAGCAACTATCAAGTACCTTCTCCGCGCCGACGCTTATCGTGCCGGACCGCATTCGCAAGACTATGGAGAGGACATCCCGGACCCCGCGAATGTTTTGCCACGAAGTACGAAGTAAGATACCGTAAAAAGGGTAGATAGGTTACTCAAACATGATTACAAACTCGATAGCAACCTCGGTTTTGAGGCATGAAAATAGGTATTCAGTCAGACGATCTTCAGAAAAACAGGGAACCCAAAGAATTCACCAAGTCATGATTAAAGCATCATCTGAAGGGACGCTAGTCTCAAGTTTTAAATCTCAACTTTGACGAGAGATCTGTCTTTGATCAACTTTAACATCCCTTAGTGTAGATGACAAACATGAGCCTTGGGACTATGTGGACTGAGTGACTAGTGTCTGTCCGGATTCAGTGTAGCGCACTTTCCGACCTCGTGTGAACCACAACCGATTGCGAAGTGGTTGTTTTGGAGTTTAAACTCGCCGGCTGCAAAGAGATGCATGCTTAGACTACTTCTATATGACACTCAACAATCCACCGATAAGACAATGAGACAAGCAAGTGCATGCACTGAATGTCGGTAAGTCGTTGTTTGGCTGTGGAGATGGGCCGCTTTAGTTCGTCCGGCGCTGAGTCGTCCTAAAAAGGAAACGCAAGAGGAGATGCACTACATCTGTACAAGGCCACTGCTGTGATTACTGTGCTCAACATAGTAGATCATGTAGTTTGATGCCCCTAAGTACTGTCTCGCCATCATCATTTACATACAATGCCTCTTGTACGCCACAAGACGGCCAGCAGCCCTCGGAACCAGATCACTCGGCACACACTCCGTCTGGTCCAGCCCAGTCAATCGATGGGCCTTCCGATGCTCTCAGTCCAGTTCAATCGAATGCGATGCCCAGCATCGCTCTGCAGCTGGAGCTAACACACTTATATTTTGACTATATTCATGACCAGTTCCACTCAATATTCCACCCACCCACTGTGATTGACCTCGTCAGACAAGGAAAAGCTCCTGAAATACTAGTTCTCGGAATGATATCGCTATCCGCGAGGTAAGTTATTAGGTGAACCTACGTTTACTGGCTTAGCGTAGTATACTGATACGGTCTTCATACAACCAGATTCTCAGATAATGAAGCTTTTGCTAACATACCAGCAAAGGAGAGAGGCCTCCCTTATGCCAAGCAGGCTGAAAGAAGGTTAGATCTTCATGATATTTCTATCACAACGATACAGTCAGTTTTGCTATTAGGGGCTTTCTGGACAGGAGAAGGTGACCCTGCCTTCGAATCTGTTTTTGTCAGTATTGCCATTCAAATGGCTTCACTAATCGACCTTGCATCGTGTCCGGCCGCGTCGCCTATCGAGAAGGAAACAAATATAAGAAGTACGTGCGCCCATTCTTTATTTAGCTTCTGGTCACACAGACTGACGGTACTAGTATGGTGGACTTTGCGTATGATTGATGTTTGGACGTCTAATGGCGTTGGCCTCCCACGGAGAGTCAGTCGAATGAAATCAAATCCATTGCCAAGCGACGATCTAGGCTTTCTCAAGCCCAACAGCTGGGATATGGGCTCGTTTCACCATGCCAACCTTGCCGCCTCTCCGCTGATTGCTGAGATGGTAAAATTAAATTGCATATTGGCCGAGATATATGAGCTGCATGAGGACACTATCGAGGGACGAATGGGTGGTCCATTCTTAGAAACGCGTGTCAAAAGTCTTGGCCTCCAACTGGATGAATGGTACGCAGCACTTCCAGAACATATGCGAGACAAACCTGAAAATCTCGCTCGTTTTGCATCGGTTGGTCTGGGCCGTGTGTTCGTGGCTGTCTACTGCGGATATTACCACTACGGTCAATTGCTGTATTATCAATTCTTACATTCTAAGAGCCATGACCAATTCTTCTCAACTGCCGCTTCGTATGCCGTTCGATGCAAAGCGTATTCAGCAGGCCTTTGCGAGATCATCTACGCTGCACATTCTACCCCTGGGTGCGATGTGCTGTACAACATGATAGGCCATGTCCTCGTAATTGCCTCAACTGTTCAGATCCATACATTATTGAATTCAACTTCTGAAGATGAAATCACCACTACTAGACACCGCCTAGAACGAAATTTCGAAATTATGCTACGATTGCATAATCTGTGGCCAGCACTTGCAATGTGCTTGTTACGTCTACGAATATTCCATGCGGCTTGTCGGAGGAGTATATCAGAAATCTTTTTGATGGATCGGTGGATGCTCAGATTTCTGCGTGAGTCTGGGAGGGAAGTTGATGAAAGAACTGATATGGGCCCGGAGGAGATCCCATTTTCTCTCGCCGGCATCGGGCTTCCATCTGGTCCTTAGAGTGCTTGACATTATATCATGCTATCTAGTGTACCATATAAAACATCGTGGATTGATTCTATAAAATGATGTCAATCATGTCACCTATGCAATTTATTTGGTTTCCTAGTATCGTCTACTTCATAATAGCACAGGTCCTGTCACATATAATATGGACAAGGTAATCAACTTAAACAACCTGTCTTCATGATGACGCTCATACAATATGCTGTCTTTCCAAAAAGATGACTCTACTTCCATAGTCCGTATCAAAGGAGTATTGTAATCCCACATTCATCAGAGTTTGACCTGAGAAAGGACCCTCACCATCCACAAAATACCTCGAACTAGCATCTAAACCCTGCAATTTCAGTCGTGGAAATGCGTGATTTACAAGGGACCTTATTTGAAAGTAAAACACCACCGCCTGAGAACCATCCTGAGACACAAACAACACGGCTGGCCAGTTTGATTCCTCTGGCAGTCTGAGTCTCCACATCTCACCAGAGATCACGAGTGGATTCAGCTTCTCTGCCATTGATATGAGTTGAGGTAATGTTGACTTTTCGTGTGGCAGAAGTTCCGCGGGATTCAATTCCAACCCAAACGAGCCACACATCATGGCGACATGAGCACGGAAGATCAGGGGAATGCTGCGTCCCGTCTGGTGGTTGGGAATAGCAGAGATATGGCCACTCATTGCACTTGCTGGATATGCAATCGAGTTACCAAACTGAATGAAAATACGATCAAGTCCGTCCGTGTTATCGGATATCCAGACTTGAGGAAAATATTGGAGAATGCCAGGGTCACATCTGCCACCACCCGCAGCACATCCCTCCCACAAGACATGGGGGAAACGTGAGGTAAGCTCTTCAAACACTCGATAGGCGCCGAGAATATAGGCGTGATGACTCGGGGCTGACGGCGACTCTTGGATACATCGGTTGTGATCCCATTTGACGTAAGTGATATCTGCACTGCGTAGAACATCGGAAATTGAATTGATTATGTGATCTTGTACCTGAGGCAGGGCCAGGTTCAAGATAAGTTGGTTCCGCTGCTCGGTTCGAGGATATTTCCCAGCGTGTAGTACCCAGTCAGGATGCTCCTCATATAAAGCTGACTTAGGATTGACCATCTCAGGCTCAATCCAGAGACCGAATCGCAGATTGGCGGATGAGTCGGCTGGTTTCAGGGCTGTGATATCCTTTACCAATGGAGCAAGTCCATGCGGAAATCGCCTGGGATTGGGTACCCAGTCGCCAAGTCCCGACGTATCTGACAAACGTGGATACTTATCACCAAACCAGCCATCATCCAGAACAAACAATTTGACACCCAATGCAGCCGATTCAAGAGCCATTTGATATATCTTGGTTTGATCAAGATTGAAGTATAGAGCCTCCCAGCTGTTCAATAGCGGAGGCCGTACGCTGGTGGCATATTGGCTCTTCATCAGGTGATTTCGATATAGGCCGTGCAACGACCGTGACATGCCCCCAAGACCATCCTTGGAATATACTGACACACATTCCGGGGAGGTAAAACTTTCGTTTGGACCTAATGGCCATGATAAATGGTCAGGGTTGAGACCCATCAACGCCCGGGTAAGGCCCTGTGAGCCCTTCTCAACATTGACGGCAAATGAGCCCGTATAGACTAGGGAGAATCCCCACGCATCACCCTGAGATTCCGTTGAGGACGGCGACAGGAGTGCAAAAAATGGATTGTGAAAGTGTGACGAGAATCCCGTGCTACTTTTGAATCTAGAAAGCAGAATTAGTAGCTGGTACTCACACAGCCTCATCGGTGATTTGGGCGTCGTTAAGAACGTGGACTTTTGAACATACCCTTGTTCCCCGTAATCTATTCGTCGTCGTTGTCGTTGTGTTTCTCTTGCCCAGTCGCCCCTGAGGCTTATCATCTCATAGTCATCATAAGGCATATCCACACTGAAACTTGCAAGTTCCTCGACTGTGATTGTATCGGTGCCTTTGTTCGTTATGGAAACAGTTCGCACGATCGCATCATACATCGGGAAGACAGAATATGACAGATCGGCGGCAATGTGACTTTGATCATCATACAAATGAACAACTAGAGTTGTAACATCTTCCTCGCTTCCGAACGTAGAAGGAAGCCCAGATAGTGCCGGCTTCCCATCCAACACTTCATGAGACTGATATTTCAATGACAATATAGCATGGGAGTTATTATGACAGATTCGAATCGCAGGGCTACGGAAGTCGCCTCGGCCATGATCTGGAAATTCACGACGCAGCCGATGTGACATACCGGACCATCCATTCACGATGGGTAAAGGGTCGTTAGGGAGTTTCCCGTCAGTGCGGCCGCCGAAATGGTCTGTCAAGACATCGCCGTCATCGCCAACATGGAATCGATACGATACGTTTTTCCCATCTAGACTGAAGTTCGTTCCATCCACGCTCACGCCTGCATTTTTAGTATGGTTGTTAGCGGCGGATCCTTGACTATCACGGCTGCAGAGATGAACATCACCAATCTGTCTTACCTGGTCGATTGTTTACCCTCTGTGGCACCGTGGACTTTACCTGGCTGTGTAAACAGTCTGTAGATGCACCACCTTCTCGAATCATTTTGATTATCCTCGATTGCAGGGAGATCTAGTCAGGTCGCGATTACTCTGCTAGTGGTAAATTTCTAGCTGGATAGAATAGGCGATACAAAGTCAAAAGAATGACCGAAGAAAGGATATCAGAATTTCCTTTTGAGTTCCTTTTGAGGAGTTGGCTTCAAAACAATAAAGGACCCTCATTTCGACGGAACTTGTTTTTATGTCACTCGCGACAATGTGGAGAGTAAGAGTATTCACAAGTTCACAAGTGTGGAGATCCGAACTCCGATGCTTGTGGCCGGGGTGTGACACATTCAATTGGTCTTCGACATCAGATATCACTCTTGAAATACAAGCGATATTGTGGCACTATGAAGAGCTTGAGGGGAAAACATCCTTGTATTCACTCCACCATTGAGTATGTAAGACGGAATTGAAAACAAGTGGAGCTGTGCCTGTTCCTAATATTTCACCCGTCCACTTAGACGTCGTCAAAGCCGCACACTGCAGTCAACCGGACGGAGATGGTTTTCTAGCTTTCACATACGATCTAGAACTGAAGAACAACCAGCATATGCTCAAGCTTTTTGCCAGTCGTAGTGTTGATTCCGTTCCTCTTATATCTACACTTTGACCCTTCCGAAAGACCTGACCCCAGAACTACATCTAGCTGTATAGCTACCAAAATAGTGTTAGATGGAGTCAAAAATCGATTGCATGGCTGACAACCAAGACATTAGCTTCCGCATCCAATTGGCATAAATGATAGAGTCGGCGTAAGTAACCGAACCGGCTATCATTCTCTTATCAGAAAGCTTCGCAATATCAAATATGAACTTTGAATAATATTTCAGCCACGTCCGCCCCTGGCATCTGACGATGAAGAGCCCTAGCGCCGGAACCGAATTTCAAGGTTGTCTAACGCCAATCAACAGGAATGAAACCCGCAGGCATCCCAGGAAAAGATCCACTCACCGGCATTCATGAGCTCTGATTTCTCAGGATGAGTATTTTCCCCAAAAATATTCTGTTCTCATTCATTACTACCTCTGGCTAGCAGCTACCTGTCAGGGATTTAAATGCCGAATCCTTTACACCACCCCGCATCAGAAAACCAATCAAGGCATGTATACTTGAGCTTTGGTATTGACCTGGGTGGAAACGACACGATCATGGCAGATCCCCACGCCTCACGTGCGATGAGACACTGAAAAGCTCGGCTTCCATACCCCGTGGGGACTACAGTAAGGATCTGATAATCGGAACAAGGGACCAAAGAATGTTAGCGCCCTTACGCCACATCTGAAGTAGTCAACCCAGCAAAGAGCATGCGGAATTGGTAGAATAATAGGACGCGGAAATCACCGCATTTGATTCGCTGAGCCAAATTTCCACCTTTTTTTATCTTTTTGAAAAACTTTGTATGATGGCAAAGTAGAAGGCTCAAACTCACAAGTCGGCTCTCAAGCTCATATCCCTGTACTCCGGACAGACCACTGTTTGTGGAAAATCCGGGGTTTGACCATATTCAAAGTAGCACACGTGCTTTGGACTATACGACCTACATCTAAGTATCCCGTACATTGTGCATCTCCACACTGCATACATTTCACCAACCTCCGTATATATAAGTAACCACAATGCCAACTTCCAATGCCAACTTCTACGACTCGGAGTTCCTTCGCATCACGGTGATTATTGCGATAGGGTATTCGAACTACTTCTCGGTGTAGAGTGTGCATATTGCTTGCTTACATTTGCCATTATCACATCACATCTCTTTCTTTCAACCACATTCGTCGGCCGATTGTCGTTCACATATAACTGAAAATGGAAAAGCCAGATACCGTCAACATCGAGCAAATTTGTGAGCAGGGCGCTGTCCTTCACAAGCTCGGCAGCGATGAGATGTGGCCACAGGCCGCCATCACGGCTGTTGCTAGGGATGGTGACGAAGAAGAAAAGACCATGAGCATTCGGCAAGCCATGAAACATTACAAGAAAGCCATCCTTTGGAGTTTGACCATTTCACTTTGTGTGATTATGGAAGGTTACGATACCAATCTCATCTCAAACTTCTATGCCTACCGTGAGACATGCCTGCACCTAAATTATGTATTCAATCGGACATGAACTGACCAGATCATAGCATCTTTCCAACGGAAATATGGCGACCAGGTCCCTGTGACTGCTCAAACTCCCACCGGTTTCTCTATTACTGCCCCCTGGCAATCGGGCCTGGGTCAAGGATCTGGTATGAATTTCCAAACTGTGTTTAATCAATGCTTTCAACACTAATGATATTTGAACAGGTGTTGGGTCTATATTTGGTACTATCCTCAACGGATGGCTAGTCGCAGCTTATGGTCCACGAAAAGTTGTCTTCGGTACCTTGATTGTCATGACCTGCTTTCTCTTTATAGTTTTCTTTGCTCAAACAAAGCCTCAACTCTTGGTTGGCGAGATTTTACTGGGTTTCGAATGGGGTATTGTACGTTTCTCCTTTCGACCAGACATTGTGGCAGTAATCTAATCTTCAGTTGATTATAGTTTGCGACTGCTGCTCCCGCCTATGCCTCGGAGGTTCTCCCTCTTCAGTTGCGTGTTTATTTCACATCCTGGACCAACATGTGTTTCATCATCGGACAATTCATCTCTGCCGGTGTGCTTCGAGGACTCGTAAATCGCCAAGATCAATGGGGATACCGAGTTCCCTTTGCTCTTCAGTGGTTTTGGCCCGTCTTCTTAATCCCTCTCATCTGGTTTGCGCCAGATTCTCCTTACCATCTCGTGCGAAAAGGCCGATTGAATGAGGCCGAAAAGGCTCTCCGACGACTTCAAAGCCCGGAGATGGATGTCAAAAAATCTCTAGCCCAGATTGTATTCACAAATAGCCTGGAAGAAAAACTTTCGGTTGGTACGAGCTACATGGATTGCTTCCGAGGAATCGAACTTCGTCGCACCGAAATTGCTCTTGTTGTATTTGGTGGCCAGCTTGTCTGTGGTCTTTGCTTTGCCTATGCCAGTACGTACTTCTTTCAGCAAGTCGGATTGAGCACAGAGTCTGCGTATTCCTTAGGCCTTGGTGCCAACGGTATGGCTCTATTTGCCTGCTTCGTGAATTGGTTCTTGATCATGCCGTAAGAACTTTCGATCTTCTCACACTGCTCAATTCTCTATTCTAACGCTCGAGACAGATACTTCGGTCGCCGCACAATTTATATTGTTGGTATGGCAGCCATGGCAATTGAGCTCTGCCTCATTGGTATCCTAAACGTATGGACCGATAAGCCGGCCGTTGCTTGGACACAGGCTGTTTTGACATTGGTTTGGACTTTTACATTCCAACTTTCTGCTGGCCAACTTGGTATGTAGTTCATATCCAGCCTCAGACGAGATAGCAAGGCTGATCATGCGATTCTTTCATCACTTAGGATGGGCCCTACCCGCCGAGATCGGATCAACTCGTCTTAGACAAAAGACTATCTGTCTTGCTCGCAACTGCTCAAATATTCTAGGTGTTGTTTGTGGTATCTTAGAAAACTACTTCATGAATCCAACAGCTTGGAACCTCAAGGGGTATACAGGGTACGTCTTTTTTGGCCGTGGATTATCGCGCTGCGATGGCGTTAGTGCTAATTGTTTTTACAGCTTCGTTTGGGGTGGATGCGCGTGGATCGTCTTCGTTTGGTCTTATTTCCGCCTTCCTGAGACTAAAGGACGAACATTTGATGAGCTGGATACCCTCTTCGCAAAGCAGATCCCCGCTCGAGACTTTGCCACAACTGACGTTGATGCATTCAATGAACAAGAAACTGCGCAGTTGGCTGAGAAATACGCTCGCCATTGATTTTAGACAATGCATGTTCCATGGATTCTCGACTCTTCATTGTGTATGCTGAGATCTAATTAGGTGGCTCTCTTACCTGAGTCGTCTGATTCACGGTGCAGCCGTTTCTTCGATACTTTTTTAGCTCGGTACAGTCAGATTGCGATCTACAATGAATTATGATTCTTTCTGGGCGTAAACAAAATTGAAACAAGTTTTACATAATATCTTTGTAACCCCATATGGAAATTCGTTCCTCGTTTTATCGCATTCATTCAAATTCCTCTCTGATTTTTAGACACCGGAAGCTGCCTGGGTGGATGGCTTTGAAAATCCAAGGTTGAAAATTTCCCTGACCAAATATTATTGCGCGTGGATTAATGCTGCATAAAATATCATCCCTGGCGTATTGATCGATGAAATCACAATTCGTACAATTCATATCTTGATCTCCGCTAAACAAAGGCGATATCGTTTTTTATAATTTGGCCCAAAGACTAGAATCCAAAGTCTTCTACTAAATTTTCTTCTTATTGGGAAAACTCTTAATGCCATGAGGTTGCATTAAATATTCATAATTTCCCAAGCAAATAGATGTTATTTGACTATTGGTCATTGTCGTATCTTCATGGTGAATATTCTATCGTGGTCCCTCAGTGATATCGTCACCAGGATGGTCTATTGTACGGCCAATTCTCATATGTGTATGTGCATAGTGCATGACGCAAAAAGGAATCGGAAGCCGGAAATTATAAAAAGGTACTTTTGGACTTAAAACGATGCCCTATTCATTCTCGGGTATTCAATGAAGGCGATGTAGGCAATACTTTCTGTTTCAGAAGCTAACCGAATTCTGATTCTGACACTACCATATACCCTACAAACGATCATATCCTGTGTCGATGGATGTAGATACTACGTTTCCCGATATAACCTTATATTCTCACAATATCTTCGACGTCTGACAATTGGCATTTGCCAAAGAATGTTGATTCACGCGTCATCAATCCCCAGCATGGTTCACTGGTGGGCAGGCCTTAAGAACCCATCTCCTCGTTCAATACTGAACACAGTAGAACGTAGGCTCGGTTCTAACCCCATGACATAATAAATGCCAGCTGTTTTGAACTCAAAAGGTTACACCATCAGGGGATCCAAGTCGATTTTTCTCATAGCCGCAGTTGCCTACACCGAGAACAGTTTCTACTGGTACACAAGTTCCTGGTCGATCATCAGATCTTGACTTTCCTGTTCATGGAAAATTCTCCGTAGATAGAACTGTTCTGGAGAGAAGAGATTGTCTCGCACGCCATATGTCGGAGGATGGCAAATCAAAGAGTTCTAATTATCACTATTCTTGATGGTGTCTTCTACACGAGGCTCGGACCCCTTAAAGCTGAAAGTGTCCACAATACGCCTTGATGCAATGCTTGTTTGCTTTAGTGTCGAAGATCGATCTAGATGTTCATTTTCAGGTTGAGCAAGTATGATGTTTCTGCGCTAAGGGACGCTCGGTTAGGCTTCTGATCTCCAATGAACCAAGGTTCGCTCTCAGGTCACTGTTGTCCTTTTAACAAAGTCGACTGTTGATATCGAGTATAGCGAAAGACTCTCACTTGAAGTTTGGGAAACTTGGTGAATTCTGAGAATGTGAACACGCTGGTACCACTCCAACAGTCAGCAAAATCAAATTATGACTTTCTAATGAGTCTTGATGTCATGTTTACTAACACTTAGATTAAACTTTCTTATATATAATGGAAGATGCAATAATGAGACCACGCTATATGGTGGATCTGGCTACACCATCAGGAGATTTATATATATGGTATTTCCATTTGTACGAATTAGGAAAAGGCGATGATACCTAGTTAGGACTCATGTAATGCTCAAAACGGATACGATGACCTACAACTCCACATGTAATTACTGAAAAGAGATGATTTTGAATAATAAGAATAGATTGCGTGATTAGATCGACAGAAGTCCTTTCTTCATTCGTGTCTTTGTGGTAGGAAGTACTTTAGCTCTAAAGAACAGATGCGGTTCGTTGTAAAATCAGGTTCTCGACCACGCTAAATATAGGGCTAGTTGTGAGCTTAGGCAATTTATATACAAGTCAAGGTCTAGAGCATCATGCACCCGTCGAATCATTACCGTCAAATTTCAAAGCAGTATATAGATAAGAATACAAATAGGAAGGCGCAAGTACTAAAATATAACATAGCGGTCTCAGTCAGCTAATTCTACCAAGAGGTTCGTCGATCATCACCATCGCGCCATTTCCGACCTACCAAGAATTTATATATGCCTGCAACTCAATGTGATCAGACAAGGCTATGACCTACCTAGTGGCAAGAAACAAGGATTGGAGATATCGAGATGGTAATTCATGCAAATTTCCTTGTTCCATCTTGATGTCACTCAATCAAGTTGTTACTGAATACTGCGGCAAGACGATTCAGTTGCGTGCAGAAACTGATGAAAGGCGTGATGAGAAATGATGCGGTTGTCCATGATGAGATCTTGTCATGAACCCTATGGGTCAGTGTAGATGAATCATATACTAGGCGCCTCTTGGGTATATAAGCACTGCAATAATACTGTCAATAATGCTCAGGGAATGTATTATCAATCACTTTAGCCTTTTTGTTTAACATTCGCTCACGATGAAGTTCTCGCTCGCAATTGGTACCATTTTGCTGGCTAGCAGTGCTACTGCAGCTGTGTGTCCGATATCTCTGCTCAAACGTGCCGGTCTCCTCAACAAGGAAGATGAGGCTGCTTACGATGCCGTCAAGGCAGACCGGGGTGCAGCTGAAGATTTGTTCCATGCCAATCAGAAAAAGCAGTCAAAAAGAGCAGGATCTGTCCTTATTGGACCTCGATCCGCTGACGGATTGCTTGACTTGCCTTTTGGAGGTGGTTTACGTGAGTGAAGCTCTACATGATTTGGTAGGAAGGGATTTTGAAAGTCATCACATGCTGATATCAGTCCAATATATAGTGGGTGGAGTTCTTCAAGGACTTACTGGGCCATTGCAGGCTCTCGATATTCCCGTCCCACAACCGCAAGGCCTCAAAGCCATTCCAGGAGACGACCCAAGTCATCAATTCCAGGCTCCTGGCCCTACTGATGTTCGTGGGATATGCCCAACATTGAATGCTCTCGCAAACCATGGTTACATATCGAGAGACGGTGTATGTTGCCTCGTATCCAGACTTGCATCTCGAATAGAAACCTAATGACTTTTATCAGATTACTTCCTTCGCCGAGGCCGCGAATGCCGTACAGATCGGGTATGGATTTGACTATCCGCTATCAGTATTTCTTTCAGCACTTGGACTTCTTGCTGGTGGTGATCTGATCACTGGTAAGTATTCCATTGGCGGAGCCGATTCACGTGTTCCCAACACCATTGGTCCGGCCCTTGGCCTAGATAAGCACGGGGTGTTCGAAATAGACGGAAGTATTACGAGACAGGACGTATATTTTGGTAACAACGCGAATTTCATCCTTCAGCGATGGAATGAGTACGTTGAAATTGCCGATCAAAACGGGGGACTCTTTGGTGCAAGCACCCAGGCTCAAGATAAAGTATGTCCAGTCTCTCCACTCAGCCTACATTTTGCTGGAATGATAGAATATTAACGAGAAGAAACTTGTAGGCCTTACGATATGATAACTCGCGTGCCACAAATCCTGAATTTTTCGCTGGTGTAAAATGGTTTGCCGGTATGCTCTCCCACCAAAGCAGCGTACATTTTGGCAGCCGTCGAAGCTAAAAATGACCAACAGTTGCACACGCCGCACGTGTGTTTGTCTATCAAGGCCTTCCCAACGGTACCAATCAAGATGTCGCGGATTATCAAAATATCGCCCCCTTTTTCCTCAACGAGACATTCCCTGATAATTGGTTTCGCCGTGGTGAACCATTTACCTTGGTTTCTACTCTAGTAGAGGCTCTCGATCTTTTTCTTCAAGAACCACGTGAGCTCGGGGGTAATGAAGGCCTTAACAACTTTGTGCCGTTGGAACTGGACTTGAGCACTAAGACGCCGGCACAACTGGGCTGCTTCCTGCTTGAAAATATCTTTGACATCGTACCTGATCAGGTGCAGCCTGCTATTGCGGCTAATTTCGAGTTGTTCTCCGCTTTCGTCAAGGGAATTATTGCTCCCTTCTTCACAGATGACGGGTATTTTAATTGCGATATCAGTAGTTTTGTTGAGCCAAGCCCCAATGCGGGGATTGATTCAAATGGTAGCGTCAGTTCATCGGGCTCGCCTGTGAATGGCGCGTATCCAGGTATTGGTGTCATTGCTCCTGGTTCCGAGCCTTCTTAAACAGGAAACAAGAATGGTTAGCATAGGGTCTTGTGTGATTTTCGGGTGGATGTAATCCTCAACCTTGAACTTTTGTCTTCTAAGTCTGTCAAACTTATTCATGATAATTCTCCTCGAAATCCATGTCTACACATACTATATTATCTTATTCGAGACGACCAGAGAGGGGATAAACGAACGCGGAAAAGGAGGAAGATTGATGAATGCACGAGAAGAGGCCGGGCGAGCAAGAAGCAATGGTTAGAGAGAAAGTGTTGTCGTTTCGTATATGAGCTATTATTTAAAGGAGCGTGGACTCCAATCTTCTCTAAATCCTATTTTTGATAAACTCTTCGTGATGGGAAGCAATAAAGAAATCGCGGTATATTCATCTTTAAGGAATGGGGTAATTTGAGAGCTTGACAATGTCAAACATAACCGCCTGGTGGTGGTATCTACAAGCTCAAACCCTCGACCCGCTACTTGTGTCTCCATCCGATCCTTTCCTCAGTCTGAAAACAGACTTATACTTCCTCTGCTCAAAGACCTGCACATCATCATCCGCAAAAACCTTTCCTTCTTTACGAGCCTGTCGTTTCAGCCTCGCGATCCGAACGACATCCATCTCGACATTCCGGGTAAGCCACCAGGTCAAAATATTCGCAAAAAAAGCAGCAATAATTGCCGCTGCTGCGATGGCAAAGCTGTTTTTGTACCCGTTGTACGCCCACTTGGACTGAAAGAGCTGTGGTCCAATGACACCGCCTACTTGACCGACACAATTCTGCAAACCGAGTGTGAATGCGGCGCCCGTTGAACCTTTGAGGGTCGACGATCGCCAGGCCCAAAATGGTATGAAATATGATTGATAAAACATCGTGCCCAAAATACAAGCGATGTAGATTCCAACGCGGTTTGAGATGGTGAAAAACAGGACGAAACAGACCACCATTCCTGCCATGATGATCCTGTTCGGCTGGTCAGTAATATTCGGCATATGATCAAAAAGTAACATACATAATGACTGCAGGCCGAGGTATCAGGGCAAGACCAATCACATAGTTTGCAGTAATCAGTCCAATCACTGCTGCTGCTGCAGGAGGTATATTCAGAAGCTGATTCCTAGGCAACGAGGCAAATCCGAGATTGGTCGTAATCGTAGGCAGATACCAGGTCAACGCGTACCCACCCATATTCACCAACATCTGGGATAGCATAAAGGACCAGATAGTGGGTGTCTTGAGAGACGCAATTACTTCCTTTTTGCTGAAAATTGGGTCGCTTGTCAGAGGCGCGTTTTCGGGTAATCGTGTTTCGATGAATTCTTGCTCGCGCTTGGTGAGCCATTTATCGCTGCTGGGGGATTTGGGATAGTCTGGTAGAACGAAGTAGACGACGGCGGAGAAGAGGATAGTAGCAAGGCCTTCAAGAAGGTAGACCCTATTCCATCAAAGGTCGTTAGCCATGTTTTAGCCAGTAATCAGTCACGGAGACTACCATCGCCATGCGCTCAGTCCCCGGATACCATCCATATAACTAATACCATAACACAAAAGAGACCCAACAATCGTCGCGGCCATCTGGATTGCGAAAAACCATGTAATCGGTTTTCCCATCTCCTCGGTGCGGTACCAACTCGCTAATTGGGCAACTACTCCAGGGAACATGCCTGCTTCCATCATACCAAGTAGGAATCGTACTGTATAATAAGCTGCTTTGTTCTGTATGGCGGCGTGACAAGCGACTATGATACCCCAAGTGAAAAAAATACGCGATTGCCAGAGATGGGGTCCCATTCGTTTGAGGATCAGATTGCTTGGGGTTTCGAAGATGATATAGCTAATCTAATCTGGTCAGCTGCGGTGTATTTATGGAAGCTGAGGGTCTGGAACTTACATAGTATATGGATTGCACCCAATTATACTGGTCGGCAGTCATATGAAGCTCTTTGAGAATATTACTCGGCTGTCCAACCTGCAGCACCTTGACGCTGGCAGCATTGATAACATCAATCTACAAAAGTCAGCTTCCCGCCTTAAGCAATATTGAATGATAGGGTAACAGACCTGCTTGATCATATACATCAATCCAATCAAGACAAAAAACCGCTTGTTGACCTTGTGCATAATTGCTTTTTCCTCTTCTGCACTAAATGTAGACAGAAACGCGGCTTTTGCCTCTGGATCATCGCGAAGAATGACATCGCCGTCAGTCCTCGATATTTCGACATTGATTCTCTGCTTTGTATTGGCCGCGGCCTCGGGATTGATTACTTGGGGCAGCGATGCCATACTGAAATATTACTTAATTTACAAGAAACAATTTTCTGGAGTGGCCTCACTTCGACCGATCATGATCAGGATTCATTCTTCTTTTATTTTCTTGACCAAGGTGCAACAGATCAGCATCGGACAGAATGATGTGCCCTAACTAAAAATGACAACATATGGCCTAGGCATTTGCCAATCGGATAAAGCATCCACAACAACCCAGTCCAGGTCTTAGTTTTTCATATCAGGAAATATAAACGGATTATCTGCGTAAATTTTCAACAAATCAGGCAATTTTCAATATGTGGTGATAATATAGTTTACAACATGGAGGAGCTGTGAATGCCAAAGGATGAGTGGCATTGATAAGCTGGGCAATAACTCCTAAAATTATTGCAGAATTAGAACATATATCATAGCTGGGCGTCATTGCGTAATTATATTGGACGCCTTACTATACCATCTCAGTGAAAGACTGATGTGCATCGGTGTTTGAGATACTCTGAGGGATTTTTTACAATATTGACCGTTATTGAAGCAAACCGAAGCAGGAGTTCTAGTTGTATTCATTCCAGTATTAAAGTCAACCATAGCCTTTTAGTGATAAACAGATATGGCTAATATTAGAATATAATGATACTGACTGTCTCAGAATTCTTCTAAAGGCTATTTTACGTAGTTGAAACCATGTGGTCGACTTTACTGACCCCGACTATGCTCAAGGTTCTGTAGATCTTAAAATCATGTTGGACAGGATGCGGCAGTTGATGCCTAGCCTCGGTGGGATCCGATAGAATTTGAAGACAAAGTCGTACTTGTCACTAGAGCCTCTTTCGGGTAAGATCATCGAAGTTATCATTTTATCTAGGCTTGACACATGCTAACCTGTACAGACTTGGCTGCTCGTATGCACTATATCTTGCTTCACGGGGTGCAAATGTGGTAGTAAATGACCGGGCTGATCCGACACCGGTCCCTGAGCATATTCAATATTTTGGTGGCACGGCAGTTGGTGAAATGGCATCCGTTGAAGACTAAATCCCATCTCCAGGCGGTAATCAACAGTTTCGGTCGCGCTGATATCCTTATTAACAACGCCGGGTTCGTACGGAGACAAGTCCTTCGTGAACATGACAGGCTATCTCCGGGACTCGATCATTGCGGTGCACCTCAATGGCACTTATCAAATGACTAAAGCGGCCTGGCCTTGTTTCGTTGGACAGAGGTACGGAAAAATTATTAATGCCACCAGTACCAGCGGAATATACGTCAATTTTGGTCAGGCAAACTATGCCGCAGCAGTATGTACCACTATAGAGACAAAGAAATTTTTATAATTATCAGGTGCTGGCTAAGTTTTAAGAAGCTAGGGATTCTTGGCCTGTCCGAGGCGATAGCACGCGAAGAAGTCGAGTTCAATATTCACGTTAATACTATCGCTCCGGGTGCCAGTACCCCTGCGATGGCTGCTGCTCTTGCTGTCAGCAGTCATAACTATAAGCCAGAGTTCGTCGCTCCATCTGTGTCGTTACTTGCCTCCGAAAGCATGCCCGAACCATAGAGCAACGGTCTAGTCGAAGTGACATGTGGGTGTCACGCACAAAGAAGAATGCAAAGAAGTCAGGGTTATGATTTTAGTCGTGACTTCCGCTTCTGCGGTGATGTCGAACTGACTCCAGAGGCGGTTTCAAAGGCTTAGAGAATTGCAATCAGCCTGGAGATGGCTGGTAGTGAGCTGGTAGTGATAGCCAGGCGTCAATATTTGATTAAGAGAAGCCACTTCAAGTCCGTCAAAACATCGACAGTGCAACGATGTGCAGCTAAATAATTAGACCATCATCTTCGCTGCTACCTCTAGTGTTGGCAATATTAATATCTTCAAGAATTAAATGCAGATCGAGTTGTTTAAGGATGATTTCATTTATCTGTTTAAGAAAAAATATCCTACTAGAGGATGTCCACATAGAAGTCCGCACTCGCGGGGACGATTTCAACACTGTTTATGACTATCATTTTAGAAATAASGAGCCACTAAAATCGATCCTTCCCAAAGATGAAGGTCGACCGATACATGTAGGTGTATTATGACTGGCTGGCATCAAAAGACAAGTAAATTTTCCCGACAACGCTATCCACGGTCACAAGATATACAACAAAGCTCAGCAATCTAGAGAATCATGGATCCGAGTTCGAATGAGCGACACCCAATCAAGCTATAAGCGCTGTTTTCAGGCCACTTATAGTCTGGTACTCCATGTTTGTCCGTCTGGCAATTTTTGACTTTCTACCTCCTGTCTTATGCTTTTTGCCTTTGTATCTCTTGCCTCGCTACTCTATTGCACATCATTCGACGCGAGGTCGGATCATGCTTMCCCCGCCATGACTTCTTCTCAAGAACAACAACAAAAACAGCAGCAGGGAGATGTGATGGCTGCACTATCCAATCCGTTAGAAAGCGATGGGCTGTGCTTATTGTCCATTGATGGAGGCGGCGTCCGTGGCCTAGCCAGCCTGTATATTCTGAAATATGTGATGGATCGACTGAACAACGTCCTCCATGAGCCGAAAGATCATGATCAGCCTCGGTTGAAACCCTGCGATGTCTTTGACCTGATCGGTGGCACCAGTACAGGCGGGKATCATCCCTTTGTTCTTTTCGTCGGATATGATGAGACTCTGGTCCATGTCTCTGCTTTCCAGAGGTCTTGTCGAATTTTTCAAATAATTGTTGGCTAACGTCTGTGTCGGGGCAATCAAAAAGTCTTATCGCCATTATGCTTGGACGCCTGGAGATGGACGTCGATCAATGCATCGAAGCTTATAATGACCTCGCCGAATCTGTTTTTGGCGAAAGATTGAAACGCATCCCGATGACTTGGAGGGCCAAGACGGTCGCACGATTTGATTCCTCGAAACTAGAGCAAGCGGTACAAAAGGTACTGCGACAAGTTGGAGAGAAGGAGGATACTTTGTTCAATGATAACGTGGAGCGTAGCTGCAAAACGTAAGAGTGATACGATCACAACCCCGGCCCTGTTCAAATCTCGTTCAACACTGGGGGAAGAGTTTAGACTAACATGGGCGGCGCGCCCTACGCTACAGATTCGTGTGCACCATTGATGAGTATAGCAAAGACATCGTTCGGCTCCGAAGTTACACTGTTTCGGGCGAGCCCGAAATTCGTGCTACGATCGTGCAGGCAGCACGAGCAACGTCCGCTGCGACCACTTTCTTCGAGCCTGTACAGATCGGTAATCGTACGTTTTCCGACGGCGCACTAGGGGCAAATAATCCGTGCGAACAGGTGGAGGGAGGAGGCTGCGGACATCTGGTGCGCAGATACCGCAGACTTGAAGCCTCTCGTGAAATGCTTTATCTCCATCGGGACGGGAAAACAAGCCACGGAAGCCATGGAAAAGAATCTATTCAAGTTCTTGGGGAAGACAGTTGTGAGCATCGCAACCGAAACCGAAAACACAGAAAAGGCCTTCATTGCAAGATGGCGCAAGCACTTTGATGAAGACCGGTACTTTCGCTTCAACGTCGAGCAAGGCTTACAAGGAATTGGTCTTGCAGAGTACCAGCAGGCTGGAGCCATCGAGTCAGCCACGCTATCATATCTGACGAACATCCAGCAACGATTTCGTGTACGAGATTGTGTGGAAAATCTCAAGAAAAAAAATTGTGCGTTTGTTGAAAACTTCTCGTGAACGAAACCGACCTCGCTAACTCGGTGCGAAATAATATTTTGAATGTCGTATCAGATGACAAAAACGAACCGTGCATTCGTCAAATTAGATTAGCAAGTATAATGAATGCAACTACAATACCGCAAAGTCCAAAAGTGCCCTTCATGGTGCCTTTCGATCCAGACCCAGACTTTGTCCCTAGACTAGATACAGAGGGCCGTGACATTATGGGCCAGCTGTTTTCCAATTTTAGACGACGAAGACGTATGGGACTCGTTGGTCTTGGGGGTGTTGGGTAAGTACTGATCTCTTTTCCAAGGTGTGTGAACAAACATTTCCACGTGGCATTTCGTTAAAAAGACAATGAAAATAGAAAATCCCAGATCGCTATAGAGTTTGCCCATCAGTTCCGCAACCAAAACCCCAAGGGTGCGGCGGTATTCTGGGTTCAAGCAGGAGACTCGGATCATTTCAACATGTCTTACAGCCACGTTGCGAGAGAACTCGGACTTGACACACCGGATGAGCCTATGAACAATTCTTTTCATGTCGCCGAATTGGTTTGTGGAACGCTATCAAACCCTGATTATGGGAATTGGCTTATGATCCTGGATAATCTGGACGATTTAACCGTTCTCAAGGCAGCCTTTTCAGAGACTGACAGTCCTCCGGCACAGAGGCGTGCAGATTACTCCATATCGCATTATATTCCTCGTTCCGCAAATGGATCGATTCTTATTACATCAAGAAGCATGTCGATTGTGCTGGAAATGACGAACTCGGCCTCTGCACTCATACATGTGCAGGATATGAATACCGATGAAGCGCAATTGCTCCTGAAACACAAAGTATGGCCGCATGCCTACACATCCGAGGAGTGCAGACAATTCGTGGAACATATGGAGGGGCTACCGATAGCGATCACTCAAGCTGCTGCTTACATGTCAAAATGCCGGATGAGTGTGAAAGAGTATATCGACTTATTCGAACAAAACGAGTCCACCCAGCTTCGACTCTTACGAAAAGAATTTAAGGACTGGAGGAGAGATGAAAGACCTCAGTATGCCGTGATTTTTACATGGCATACATCATTCGACCAACTCTGCCAGCATAACCCAACTGCGGCAAAAATGCTATCTATCATGAGCATATACCACCATCAGGGAATCCCGTCCTTTCTCCTCCGCAAGGCCGTGTCAGATCAAATGGAGCTCTTTGATTCCATCGAGCCTCTCCTAGACCTTTGTCTCATTTCAAAACGACCTACAGGCGAATTCTATGATCTCCATATTTTCGTAAAACTTGCTACGAAGGCATGGCTCGATGCTCGCGGCGAGTTAGATACTACTCAGGAAAGATCGCTTAATAACATTTTCGAAGCGTTAGACGACGTGTTCAGCCACAGGTTTTCTGATACTCATTTGCTGCTACCGCATTTTGTAGAACTTATCGATATCGAGGTGAAAACGGCGGAGGACAAAGTCGAGAATGCGATCTTTCTGGTCTTCGTGGCGGATATGAGAGCAGATACTGGAGACTATGTGGGAGCTGTTGATCTGTACAATCGCGCCATATCTAGGATTTCTGATGCACTGGATTCAAACATTGCCGTGCTGTTGAATGCACAGTCAGGTCTTTCCTGGTCTATGTTACAATCTGGCAAACAAGCCAGATCTAAAGAGATCGCGCAGGAAGCATACCATGCTTTTCGGGGGATTTGCGATACCAGCGGTTGGGATACGCCGATGAAGAAATCCATGTTTAGGTTTTGCCTGAAGATTGGAAAGGTGTTAGACATCACCGGGCTCATCGAGAAATCTGAAGAATGTTCGCGAGACATCCTGAGGCTTGCAAAAGATATTGGCAATATGAATACCCTAAAGTCTGCTCTTAGTCAGCTGATAGAACATTATTGCCATTTAGGAGATCTCAAGCAGGCCATGGACCTTCTCGCGCAGTTTGACGATATCTCTGATACTGATGAGCATATGATTGCATCCTCACGGAGAGTAAGAGGTTGTTATCATCTGCATAATGGTGAACAGTCTGAGGCCACGGCAATCTTGGGAGAAGCGTGGACCGAGAGAATAAAAACTTTAGGTGAAAGTCATCCGTGGACTCTCATCAGCGTGGTCAACTACCTTGCCGTCCTTAAGCATTCGGATCCTTTGAGAGCCGAGAATATTGCATATCAGATTCTTCGTCAGTCAACCAACTTGTGGGGGGACGATAATCCAACAGTTTGGGCAATCAAGGAACACCTGGCCACCTGTCTGAACCGCCAGAACAATAACAAGAAAGCGCTTTCCCTGCTTAGGGAAGTCAAGGAGTCCAGAACACGAGTTGGACATTTGGGCAACGTTGAAAACATTTTCCTTGAAGTAAGAATAACTCAGCTTGAGTCGATAACGACAGGGCAATACCAAGATTGCCTGAAAAAAATGATGAGTATTTTGAAAACTGCGAAAGAGACTTTCCCTGGTCACGTACTTCTACATGGAACGGTGAAAATGTCAATAGCAGAGCTTCATACACGTCACGGAGCACATGAACTGGCCGAGAGTTTCTTCAAGCAGATTTTGGATACTTATACTGAACATTATTCCGAAATGAACTTGCATACGTTGCATGCCAATCAATTATTTGCAGGTTTGTTGATTTTAACACGACGACACAACGAAGCGCAACAAATTCTCTTGCAGACGTTAGACATCTTGAAGTCCTCGTATCCGTACGAGACGGGGTTTATTATTGAGTGTAAATGTGACCTTGCTCGGTGTTACTACTATCTATCAGAGAAGGGGCAGCTAGAGGAACTACACATTGAGCTCCACGAAGCTGCGCTGTCAGGCGTAGAGGGAATCTCTAACACAACGAGCCAGAACTCTGTATTGCCACCAATAATGGACCTGGTCAGAGAACACGGGAATATCACCTGGGAGCTTTCAGTTTGTGAATCCATACTTGAGTCTAACAAGGTCGTCTATGGCCCAACCCACAAAATGACATTGGCGTCTCAGAATGATTTGGCTCGGTGTCTACGGGGTCTCGGTCGATATGCCGAGGCAGAAGGATTAGACCGTGAGACGCTTGCTTTGCGCACTCGGTGGCTTGAGGCTGATGACCCGCACATTCTTCTAAGCATGAACAATCTTGCAATGGTGCTTGGGGATCAAGAGAAATGGGCAGAGGCCAGGGATCTACAGCACGAGTGTATTCAAGGTTCAATCCGCGTCATGGGCGAGAACCATATCGAGACGATGAAGAGAAAGAACAACCTTGTTTGGATACTCAAGGGTCTAAATGAATATGATACCGCAGAGACCCTCGCTGAGCAAGTGCTCCAGGATAGATCCAGCAGTCTCGGACCGTACAACGAAGACACATTGACAACTCGAAGATCTCTGATGGACATATGGAGAACCAATGAGAAGCATTCACAAATCATTCAAACATACGAGGATTGTATCGAATGCCACGAAAGAGCACTGGGCGCCACCAGTTTGTTAACGTATTGGGTCGTTTGGAACGCGGCAGACTCGTTGACTAAGGAAGGAACAAACATTGAACAGGCAAGTCAGCTTTTCGAAAAGGTATTCAAAGCCGATTACCACAAATCAGATGCAGTTCTATTTGACAAGTCCATGTTCTTCCTTGCATACTGCCGGCTTTTGTCCAGTCAACGCAGATTTGTCGATATCGAGCATGTTTCACGAGAATTCTTAGCAGAATATGAGCACCGTTACGGCATTCAATGCCGCGAAGCGGATACTATTAAGTTGTGCCTCGCAACAGCTCTTCGAGAGCAGCAACGGCCGGACGAAGCTGTCGGCATCCTCTATCCCATTTACCTTGCGGGAACTGAGGAGAATAATATCACATATTGGAGTATGATAACTCTTGTACAGACGGTGGATCAAGAAAGATTCATACAGCCGGATGTCCTGAATCTCATTTTCAGATGGAGCCAAATGATGACGGATCATGAACCGAGCGATATCATGTGCAAAACATTGGAAGAGATGGGCATCGTACTTTCCAAAAAGCGGCACATAGAAGCCCACGAAATCCTTCAACGGAGTCTCAGAGCAAGTAGCAAGTACTATGGTTTAAACTCGAAAGAAGTCCTTACCCAAAAACAGTATGCCGCCAATAACCTTTGGTTCCAGGGGCTGTACTCCGATGCATGCCGGGAGAAAAGACTTTTGATCGAGGAAATGCAGATAGCCGTTGATTTTAACCACAGATTGTGGCTAGAGCAACGGTTCGACTGTGCTTTCATGACGTGTGCGTGGGGAGACATCCACGGAGCAACTATCGAGGGGGAGTCAATAATGAAGGAGTTAGCAGAGCTTATTGGAAAGGGGGATCTGTCAATGATAACACAATATCAAAACCTCGCTTACATGGTCCTCCTCAACGGTGAGCCGAGCCGTTCCGAGAGAATTGCTCGAGATAGCCTCGAGCGAGTCCAGCGAATACAAGACCATAGCCACTCTACTCAGAAATTCTGGGTTGTCCTTCCAATAGCTCTAGCTAAACAAGGCAAATGGAAGGAAGCCATGAAAATATGCCGTGAACTCTTACTCGTGGATATTGAAAGACCGCAGTGGACCACTGTGTCCGAGTTCCGGGGGGTTTCGCTCATGAGCATAGGCATCATGCAAGGTGGACAGTTGGAAGAAGGTCTGCAGTTGGCGAAGAGGGTTTACACTGAGCAGAGCAGACTGTTCGGCACTCACCATCCCGAGACACTTAACCGCTTCTTGTTTTTAGGTCTCGCTCTGTGGTACAAGGGAGACTATAAACAAGCCAGAATGATTGTGAAAGGGGCCTGGCAGTCACGAATCATAGTGTCCGGCACGTATAATCCCGCCACACTTGCTGCAGCAAGCCTCCTGGGCTTGGTCCATCGTGATATGGGAGAATACAGCCAGGCTGAGCATTTCCTGAGAATGGCGTACGTTGGCTTTCAAAGACAGTTGCGACAGGGACATCCAGAGCAGAGTCGGGCATTAAGGGACTACATCGTATTCCTGGCGTCATGCTGGAAAGCAGGAAAAATCTGTGGCGATTATCGTCATCACCATCCTTCGACATGCCAAAATTGTTTGCAGGCTTTTATCTGTGATCGGGAAAAGGACCTGCATCTTTCATTTTGGCTTTGACGGTGTACTATGAGGAAGGAGTTGCCTCACTTCATACAGAATGAAACTGGCCTCTAGAACAATCTTAAGTGTCTTTGGCATGTTTATACGTCGACGTGACAAGTGCAGCTACTCATATCGCCACCTTGCCCGTAATCCTTTTAAACTCTTGCTGTAAATGAGGCTGAAGTATGATTGATAGAACATTGTGCCAGAACTGGCGTCCAACAATACTAGGATCTTTGGGAATGACTGTGACGGTCGCACGTCTTGCGAGATAGGGCTAGCCCTTTGAGATGCCCTGATGGAGCTCACGAGCCCTGAACCCTAAAAACTCTTTGGGGCGGACTATCCCTTTGTTATGACTTCCCAATTAGGCACCGCTTTGAAGGCCTACGCGATATAAAAGAGCCATAGCGAGCTCTCGTTCAGAACTTTCCTTCTTCTTTTTTCTGTATGTTTAGTTTTACGTCGATAGAGCTACCCTAGAGTTTAGGATTGAGCAAGTGTCACAATGCCTTCCAATTATTGCCCACCGCCTTGTCAGCTAGCGCCTAGTGCGGGGATATTTGAAGCGTCTGAAAGTCGCCTTGGAATAACTTCACTTCTTCTCCTCCCCATTGCCATCTCTATTATCAACCACAGCCCAAAAATCATCACACAACCCGGTTTTTGATCGAATTTTGGGTGTATCAATGTGTTCTGCACGTGCACTGATATTGAAATCGCAATTTCCGATGCTTATGAAGCCCCCGCGGACTCCACCGATGGCCCTTGATAATGACGAGGAGGACTTCAGCTTCGACAATCAATCAAGCAATGAGGATGAGTTGATAAGGTCGGAGGTCAGGCAACGAAAGGCTCTAATTTGGCTGAGCTTCGAACATTGCTTGCTCAGCTGCTAGCTGGAGAGTTACTGGGGCAGCTAAAGAAGCGGACCACCATCGTCGCTGCTACCGCTAGTATTGGCAGTATTGATGTTTTTAATGATTGGATACAAAGCAAATTGTTCAAGGATGATTTTACGTATCTGTTTAAAGGATATATCCTGCCAGAGGAAGTCCAGACAGCAGAAGTTCACACGCATGGGATGATTTCGACACTGTCATGAGTATCATTTTGGAAATGAAGAGCCACCAAAATCGATCCCTCACAAAGGAAAAGGTCGACCGACCCACGAGGGTGTATTATGATTGGCTAGCATCCGCCTTGCAACACATATTCGAACGTAACGAAGGTGATTGTGACAGCATCTTCGCGGGGAAGAACATTGAAGAGAATGGAAAAGAAATGGTAAGTCAGATATTCTAGGTGCCACAATTGAAAATCGTGGATGGGCTGACTTACATGCATTTAGGCAACGCCGACCAATATCGACTATAAACTCTCTAGTATTATCTGTGGGGTTGGTCATTGCAGATGAAGACCAGAGAGAGTTAGATAGGTGCACAGATTGACCCTTAGAGAGATACGAGAATCGATGAGACACACAAGAATGGACAGGAGACGACCAGAGAGGGAGAAAAGAAGGTGGAAGAGGGGGAGATTAAGAAATTCATGAGAATGCTATAGTGTTTAGTCTTGATGGTGTTCCAAATTGAAAGAGCGACCAAGGGGGAAGGAGCCACTGAAAAGGGATGAAACCTGGCCCTAAGCCAGCGAGACCCAAAAAATACTAATTTTGACTCTACGAAATATCTTCAAGATAGAATGGCGCTGGCGAAGCATCCACCGTGTGATCGTTTTATAAAGCTAGAGTACAAAGTAAATGAGCGAAGTGACCATGTAGAAGGTTGCCACAAGGGTATATATCCTCTATTCTTCATCAGCAATATCATATCTCACACCAGAAGACAATACCAAAAAGTTTATGCTCGATATCATTTTGCGTTGGTAGATTACGACGCGGTTTGAGATGGTGAAGAAGAGGACGAAGCAGACGACCATATCGCCGCCTTGCCCGTAATCCTTTTAAACTCTTGCTGTAAATGACTCCAGATCTGGTCTTTGGTCCCATTCCGCCTTAATCCCTCCAGGAGCTTCTGAACATGTATATCAGCGCTCTCACCAAATTCATCAACACTGTAAACACCACTCCCAACCTGACCGTTACTGCCTACAGCAGTCTCCGTCCCGCTTCCATCCTCGCCTATCGACACACCATGTCTTGATGACGAAGCTTTGTGCCCATCTTTGGGCGGGTACCTCGAACTCGTCGCCAGAAACACATGCCGTTGGCCACTTTCTTCAAGAGGCACCCATCGCCTATTTCTGCTATTGAAAAGACTAGTAACCGCAAAGACCCCTCTCATTATGCCGCCAACAACTCCCGTCATGGAATCCGAAAGAGGTGTTTTCACAAATCCAGGGTAATCATGCACAAAACTGACTTGGGGCGCTTCAGTTTCTGCAAAATGCTCCATGGTCAAGGTCATCATGGAACAGAGATGCCCACGGGCCTTCCACGGAGCAACAAGTTTTCTACCAATCTCGGAGGAACTGATGGGGCCTTCTTTGGTCCCAGCCATGACTGTGATCACTCGGCTGATGCTCGACACAGTTGAAGCATGGCGGAGAAGTGGTAAGAGATTGGCAATAAAGCGCATACGGGAGTAATACGATAATGCGAGAATAAGAGGCAGCTTCTCCGATGTGTCTGGTCTGCGGTCAGCGTTGCAACCTTTTTTTTTAATCTTTTTCTTTGGTGAAGATACAAATATCAACACAATATTCGATAAAATGTTCACGTACCGGTGGTGACATCCAAAGTACCCTGACTCAAAAACAAAACATTGACAAATTCTTCCTCCGCCCTAATCTGCTCGCATACTTCATCCACATTACGAAGCAAGCTCACATCAGCCCTGATAAAAGTATATTTCCCCTCTGGATTTATCTGACGCAGATGCTGCAGAATCTCATTCGCCGCCTGCTGCGAGCGCCCAACAAAGTAGATACGCGGGGAGACCGTGAGCTGCGCAAACTGGACGAGACAGGCTTTACCGATGCCGCTGGTTGCGCCTACGAAAACGGCAACGATGCCAGGCGGGATCACCTGCCCGGTTTTAATTTGGGCGTTAGACTGCTGGACGGCTGATAAGGAGACCATGATAGAAGAAAGACTCTGGAAATACGCTGCAAAACATCTTTTCTTCTTTTTTTCGTTTCGATTTTATCGCTTTTGTATAGCCAGAGACTGGATGGATAGTTATCATCAATCAGCTTTCATCGATCTGTACACCTCGATCCGGAAGCAGTTTTGTACGAGACAACGGCCCGGCGCAAGCCTCACTCCAAATTAGTCCGTAGTACGTGCGTAACAGGATTTTACCATTTAAAACGCATATCAGGAACCAGGGCCATTTGGCGAATGCAACCAATCTAGAACTACTATAAGTATAGGAATATCAATCTAGTCTATCTAGTACACCTCCGGGAAGTATTAAATAGATATTGATGCTATCCTTGTCTACGTCAGTCAAGCTTTCCAGGGTTGTTACCCGGGAAACTCATCTGTCAGCCACTCGAGAATTATCTCTCTAGTTCACGGTTGGACGTGTTTACATGCAACATTTCGCGACTCGCTCGTCCATTACAGTTACCATACTTCCATAGATGTATACAGTCATATTTGAAAAATGTTAGCGTGTACCTACATTTTAAAGACGCATATTTTTTAAAAGGATCAATGACCATATCATATCTGTAAACGGTTATACGAGCTCTTAATGATATAAAACTAAGTTCAATATTCTGCGGCTTGCAGGGTGTTACTCTGATTGACGCGAGTACATAACACAGGGACCCGAATCACGGCTATGATACTGCAACGCAACATGAAGTTGGACCAAACGGATTGCATGCACGAGATGGTCGATCCTTTACGCGGAATATTTCCAGATAGATGTGGCGATGATTGGATTGATACAAATGACACTTTTTGCATCGTGTGCGGTGTCCCAGTGGGAGTGATTGTAAGTGATCGAGAGATTTTTCCTCTATTGGGTTGGCCTGACCAGTCATCCAGGCTCCAGTCCTAGAACTTGAGAAGGAGAAATACCAATGGTGCTTAGATGCAGTTGGCATTCGCCCGTCATTACCTCAACGGGTTACAGATCTGGAGACATGGAGGCGCAGGCCTTCGGATCAAGATTACAAGAGAGAACGATTTCATGGTGACGGGAAGCCATTGGAGATTCTTCCTGTTCCAGGTTCGTGCTTCGCTCCTATCATGTTTTCCAGTCTTTCTAAACCCTTCCTTAAAAATAGAGAACTTCGAATTCTTTCACTGGGATGAACCGGAGGGACCAAGAACACTTCACCACCCCTGGGTAAGTTTTCCTTGGGTAGGAGTACACAGGAAATGTTTCGATATGATGCGGAGGCTTGTAGAATATAGAACCAATGTCATGCGTCTGACCCCCGATGACACAATACTTCGAACTGGCAAGAAAAGTCCCCGCGTGCCGACAAGTCTGGGTGAGATGTATGAGGTGTACCAATCTCGGATCCACGATAATTGGGGCGCCAGCTTGATGTCTAAGAATAATAAACCCTTGTGGAAGGTTTTAGAGCCACATCGGTATTATTACAATGGTCAATATCACGATGATAAACATGTCAACCTTTTCGGGAATATTTACTGGCCATGGGGATCTCGTTATACGATTGTATGCGTGCTTTGATTTTCTCTCTCGCACTGTTCCTAGTGAACGATAGAACAATCATACTGACCAGATACGTCTAATCGATAACAGGAATACGAGGCTGCTCCTTTCCCCATTGAAGACTTAGCATCAGAGATTGAATATTATCTTGAACCGCTTCCAACATCATCTGCTAGCATCTCTGCCCCAGCTTTCCAATCTCATTTCAGTCGACTTCCTGTGGAGATTCAGCAGCAGATATTTCACTACTTACACCCATTTACAGACCCCCCAGCTGAGTGCACTCGCTGCCTTGCTCCCTCGGCTTGGAGAGATCTTTTGTTCATGGGCAGATTCTTCCTTGGCTCTGGGATTTAAAAGAACATGAATCAATGGAGACGGATCAGGATAGTTTCGTCACATCAATCAAACGCTTAGGTATTGATGAACAAAATGGCCAATCTGGCATCAACATGGACGAGGATATGTGGGATTGGGAGCTCTTGGTCCGACAACTGGCTCGACATGATTCTTTCAAGTTTGGTGGCATATTAGAATGTTTGCCCAGGGCATTGTTAAACCGCCGCAGGATCTGGAGATTGTTGGACGAGGCGAGGCAAGATGATGTTGACCCATGGAAATTCAGATCATATGATATATGCAAAGGGTCCTACACAGAAATTGACGGCTATTAAGTCTTGATGCTGGAGGTTGCAATTCTAATAAATTAGAGAAAGGGGGGTGGAGTCTAAACATATACTACGAAATACTACCTTACCTTGATCCTTGGCGACATACGTACTACATCATATGGGAAGCTTCTACGTGCCCGTCAACGCTGTTTAGCGGATCTGCAGACAACGTCTGAGCGGCGTCTGAAAACCTCAGGCAGCACAGTCAATCGGACTAATGCATGCATGGGCCGGGTAGATGAATTCCACACAGGAAGAAAATGCACGAGAACGCACATTGGTCTGTTCGGCAATGATTCAATTTCTAAGCATAAGCTAATTCGATCGAATCATCACCCAGCCACCACGCTGAAACGCCTTTTGGGTTGCATCGATGCTGGTCGATCCTGCGACCAAGCTATCGAGCCGTCTGGGTATCTTTGTAATCCTCCTATCTCTCCTCCAATAAATTGATTCAATCATGCGACGAGAATGATGCGACCACCGGCTTCGGTGATTTTGCGTTCAGCTTCCTTGCTGACGTAGCGAGCCTTGACGACAACGGGGACGTTGGGGAGACGGCCTTTGCCGAGGACCTTGGCGTAACCGAGAGCGAGTAGGTCGATAACGGGGGCGGTATCCTGAGGAGCACCTTCGGCGAGGTACTTGTCTTGAGTTTCTTGGGGGAGCAAGCTCCAAAGCTGGGATGTGTTAGTACTTGAAATGATCAATGATTTGCTAAGGAAAACTAACCTTGTCCAAGTTGACGACGGGCTTCCATTCGTGATTGCGCTGGAGGTGGAAGTGGCGCATACCAACCTTACCGAAGTAACCGGGATGGTACTTGTCGAGGTTGGTACGGTGGTGGTGCTGACCACCGGCCATACCGCGACCACCGGGATGCTTGCGGTGCTTTCCTACACGACCGTGGCCGGCAGAGACATGGCCGCGACTGATTTGTCAGTATTCAGAGTCTGGTGCACACAAAAAGTGAGACTCACTGTTTCCTGGTCTTAGACAGATGGGTAGGCATTGTGATGTTGTGTCGATTCGGGATGTATTGTCGGAACCTGGATGGCAGAGGAAATAATTCTTCGACAAAAGGGAAGAAATTGTTGTGGGATCACATGATCGGGTAAGAACAAACAGTGCAAACTGCAAACAGTGTAAACACCGCCAGGCTACCGTGCACGGGCCACTTGCCCAGGTATATAAACGGCGATTTCTCCCACTTCTTTCCATTTCTTTTCTCTTTCTTTCCTCAGCTCTCTTTGCCTTTTGGCTTAGATCAAGTGTAGTATCTGTTCTTTTCAGTTTAATCTCTGAAAGTGTTCTACCTGAACACAACATTGATTATTCTCATTTTTGGAGTTCGCTTGAGAGTCTCTGCGCTTGCGTATGCTCTCTCGCACTGTGTCCTTGGTCTTACACTACCATCAAGCGACGCGAATCCCCTTTTCATCATTTCATCGGTACACCGGTGGGCTGGAGAAGAGCTTTGGAAATTACAATATGTTGAATTGAATGAAATGTACTCCTAGTAGGGTCGCTAGTTAATTCGAAGAAATTTTTAAAAGTTTGTGTGGGTACCATCTCTCCACTACTTCCTGCTCTTCACATGTTCTCATACTGTATTACAGTTCGACTTGACTACATGTATGTATCCTAAACTAACAGTTGATACCTGGAGACCAGGGTGGCAAGTATAGTACATACAATGACTTGAATTCTGCATCAGATACTACGAGTATGTTCACTTGTACAGGTTTTACTAGCCGTTTAAGCAAAACGAAAAAAGAAAATCTTCAAAATATGTCAAACTCAAACGCGGAAGGCCACATGGATTGGTAATCCTCTTCTCGTGTTCTCAACCTCACATCCCTTATTTCCCACCTCATCTGAGGACTTATAAATTCGAACATAATCCCTGCAGCACGACAAATATCTCGTAGTTGCTCTATTAAAGAATCAGTATGCTCTATTTCTCCATCACCTTCGATGTATAATTTCATTAGTTGTGATTCACGACCAGACTGAATCATCTCATCCAACTGCCGAGGTAGGTACTTCAAATGAGCACGACTACACCAGGAGAGATATAGGATATTGAGAGAAGGTGGAAGAATATCTTTCAATTGATTCTGTGGTAGCGCCTCGCCATGCTGATGAAAGTCAAGGAGATCTGGAAGTCGAATATGTAGATGTTTCAGGACACTAAATTCAGTAAGAGACGGAATTGGTTCATCCTCCATTTCGGTTACCATATCACAGTCAATCTCCACCCAGAGGCGTTCTAGGCTTGTTTTGTGGCGCTCCAAAGATCTGACAAGAGCCCGGGGATGAAAGTCATCATCTGAAGTCATTACACCACCGTAACCAAGCCTGAACGATTTTAGCGCCTTGCAACTCCTAATCAAATGGAACATTCCGGCCTCGGTATTGTTGCTGCCTCGGAAATCAATTTGTGTGATTCCAGAAGATTCAATAAGAGGAAGCTCTGCCAATTCACCTGTGAACTCGCTTTCGGTGATTGGGTCATATTCGGCAATCTTGGACCCTCCCAGTTTGCGCATGCTAGGGAAATGGAAAAATGGCATGAGAAATGAGGATGCCACTGCATTTTTTGTGTCATGCCATGAAATGTAAGCCTCTTCGAGTTTTGAAAATGCTTGTATATCTCCCAAGGCAGCCTTTCTGAGTATGCTGTTAAAATAGACTGAGCCAAATGGTAAAACAATATCGATCCTTTGGAGATTAGGGAGGAGTGGTAACATCAAGCCTAGCCATGCATCGGCGATACCGGCTTTGGCATCCTCCTCCCATTCATCTCTTTCGTCATCAGATTGAGGTATTTCGTCAAGTAGTTTAGATATGAGATTGGGGTCGCATTCAAAATCTTTGGCGCCATTACTGACTTCCCATGCATATATGTAGAGGTTCTTTACAGCTTCAGCGAGAGCTGGCTTATGCGCGATAGTATGAGAAAAACTATACCAGCTGGTTTTATCAATTGACTTAAAAAGCGTGACGTTGGAATAAAGTGTGTGGATGAGGAGTTCGTAAAAGCGACGACATGATAAAATTAAAGCATAGCGGTCACCCTGCTCAGAGAGACTGTGCGCTATTAAATGGATAAGCTCGAGTGGAAGTTTATCGAGCGCCATCTATACGCTTCCTATTGTCATATGTGAATAGTATAACGGAAGTCAATTATTTATCCGACTGGAGGGTAGGGTAGTGGCAGGATAGGACTGACCCTAACCAGATCTGATAGGCGGTGTAAGTGACAGGATTATTTATATACTGTTGATGGTGTTTACCTTAATAATCTCTGAAGGAATTTTCAATAAATTGTATGGGTATCATCTATCCACTACTGCCTGTTCTTCACCTGTTCTCATGCTGCATTTTATATCACTGCTCCCGTTTCTTCTCCAAGTACGCCAAGAATCCCTTCGAAAACCTCAACGCTCGATCATACGCGATCTCGAAGCCGTTGATTCCTCCATAATACGGGTCTTCAATCTCTTGACCTCCGCCGACCTTCTTGTTGACAGTACCGTCAGGATTGAAGTCCCCAAATAGTCGTACTTCTGCAATTTGTGCTGTTACTGTGTCCTCTGTAGCGTTGGTCGTTGATCGCGTGTTATTCGTACGACCCTTCGTCCTTCCTGACTGTGCGCCGATGATGCTATCGCGTAGCCGTAACAGGTCTTTGAGATTGTACTCGTCCATGGCGAGTATATAGTCGAATTTCCGAAAGTCGTCCTTTGTAATCTTCCTAGCAGAGTGATTGTAATTCGTGATGCCGTGCTGTTTCAGAGTAGCCATTGTGCGGTAATCGGGAGAATCGCTTGCGTGGTATGCGCCCGTGCCCGAGGAGTCGATTTCGTCGATCAGATCGCTGTATTGCTGTGATGAGGAACATAGGGATCGAAAGACGCCCTCGGCCATGGTAGAGCGGCCTGTGTAGAAATGGAATTAGCAAGTCACCAAAAATTGTACAGAATGAAGGTCGCGAAACTTACAAATATTTCCCAAACAGACGAAAAGTACCGATACAGGCGCAGGAGCCTGGTCGTTCGACATGATGCGGCTGTCGCTGCAATATAATCACGAATAATGACAAAAGATAAATGACAGCTTCATCGACAGCCTCCAACTGCAGTCGGACTTTAAAGAGGGGCGATTTCGCTCTTTATCAGTTTACAAATCTCCCCGCACGACCCACCCAGGATGTATAAGCTCCCTGCGTAATGTTCCTGACAGATCTACATTCAACTCCAACACCATGACACACGCACGCCACCGCTGTCTCCTCCTCACCTTCGATGCGTTCGCGACTCTTTTCCATCCTCGCCGCCCGATCCCCGAAGTATACGCCTCGGTAGCCAACGCGTACGGACTGAGTGAAACACCCTTAGCGCCCGCTACGTTGCAGACAGCTTTCAAAAACGCGTACAAAGCCGAGAGCAAGGCCTATCCGAACTATGGCCGAGAAATGGTACTGCGTGGCGAATATGGAGGTCCGAAACAATGGTGGACCGGTGTGATTACCTCGACATTTGCGAATGCTTTTAACAAACCGGATTTGAAGTTGCCGGCCGGGATGGTTGACAGGTTGATTGAGACTTTTGCTAGTCAAGAGGGTTACTCGCTATATGGAGACGTGCAGCCTTTTTTTGATCAGCTGGGGAAATACAAGACTTGGCAATCTGACTTTGATTGTATTGTGACGGGCATCATATCGAACTCGGATGATCGCGTTTCGACTGTGTTGAGATCGTTGGGTTTGTCGGTAGGACGGACTCGTGCTGACGAAGACCGATCTAGTACTCTGCTTCCGGGATTTGAAGAGGCTCTTAGTAAGAACTCGGAGGATAGAGGATTCTATTCGGACGATCTCAACATGGTCATCACAAGTTACGAGGCAGGAAATGAAAAGCCGAATCGACTGATCTACGACGTAGCAGCCCGGCAAGTCAACCGCCTTCTGAGCACGTACAAATGGACCAAATTCGATCTGGACAACATTGACTGGATGCGGATACATGTCGGAGATGATTTTGCAAAAGACTACCAAGGCGCGACGGACGCTGGCTGGCAGGGCATATTACTCGATCGAGACAATACAGTTACCGACAGTTTGGACGTGGAAATCATCAATTCGTTAGAGACGCTGCTTCCAAAAATACAACAATACGCAGCAAGGTAACAAGTAAAGGGTGGTGACAAGCAGAAAGGCTATTGATAAGGGCAAAAAACGGGTGCACTACTTTGGGCTATTCGACCCTTCGCCATGTCGAGACAAGCCAAATCCGTACCCCAGCTCTCTTCCGTCCGTGACTCGAATCTTTTCGCTAGCAAGCATGACGAAGAATATCCGCGCCCACCCGTTATTATTCTCGACTGGCGTGACATTCTTCCATGCATGCGCCGTACCTCGCTGTATGCACATATCGCCCTTCTTCAAGACTTTAGTCTCGCCCGAGTCAAGCTCCCACTCGACCTCCCCATCAATGACAACACCATAATCAAACGTGATTGTCCGATGCATAGGCGCCGCATCGCCTGGCGCCATTTCCAACACTCGACACGTCGTCTGACCGGGCCGCGATCCATCCGGCGGATGAGGATGCTCAAGCTCATCCTCATACTCTTTGACATCCAGATTGGCGTCTTCTTCAGTCGTGACTTGCGACGCAGGCGACAGCCCGCTGACGGGGAAAGTGTTCGTAGAATAGACTCTTACATTGCGCGAAGGCTCGGTCTTGGCTCCTGCACTGGGGATCTGGCCAACCGGTGGGTTTTCGGGGAGATTGCTGAAGACCGCGCGGCCGGTAGCGGGGTCGTGGGTTGAGACGATGCGTCGAGAGGCCGTGAAGGGGTATGTTGATGGGATTTGTGCCATGCTAGAGAAGAGGAATTTACTATAGATCACGTCCTAGATATCTCTATTCGAGTGCGCGGTGTTGAAAGATAGCCCTAGAAAGCGCGCGATTGACGCATGGCTGATATTAAGGAGACTGGGGTCCCTGCCCGTCCCCGAAGCTTAAGCAGTCACTTAGGGATATCTAAGGAGAAGCAGGTTAGGCACCCCCATCGCTCAGGCGCCAGCTCTGACGTCACTGACGGTGCAATCTCCAAGGGGCGGTCTCCACTTCCAGCAACTCGATTCCACATCATTATCCTCGAGAAAATTAGCAAAATAAGTGATAAATAATATGATAAATGCTATGCCATCCATCTGCTCATCAGATTGGAAATGTGACTTAGCTGGCAAGACAGATACACCCAAGATCGTTGAATGGAGCGTCCTACTTGCTGTCTCCTTATCTCCTATGACTGTAAGTGCAACAACCTCCTAACATTACCGTCAACACCACGAGACATCCACGCACAAAATGGATCAAGGGCTACCTTCTCCGACCAGAGAACCTCTAATAGAGAACTTTGTTTTATGATCTGGAGCCACCCTTATTCTCCTTCAATATATTTGACGTGTTTACTAGCGGGTTCAACATTTAATGCTATTTGACTAGTATTTTGGACTGAGAATGAGTGAGACAAGTTTAAGAAGAGTGGTCAATATAAACTTTTGAAGGGTCCGTTCCTGCAGGCTACGGGGTGCAGGACAGGTGACACGAGAATTTCGTTGGTCTCGATTCGTCATTGATTTCTTGTCTCTGAGCTGTCAGCTTTTTCTGCTGAGCCACTCGTGGTCTCGCTATTTGTACTAGACTGTTCCGCTTGAGCTGTCGCTCCATCTTGACCATCTTGGTTCCCATCAGGATTCCCTGGCCGATTCACACTTTCCCGAGCGAATTCCGCTAGTTCAATCATTTCAAGTTTCTTTGCTTCCTGCCTTGCTTTCTCGCGGTTTGCGTGTGCCAGAGCGATCTCATCTATTTTGAATGAGTATCTTGCTTGAAACAATGAGTCAACGATCGGTGATGGGGAGATACCTTTTGTCTTGCTCCGGCTAGCTAGGGTCAAAATGGGGTTTGGCATCCGGTAGTCGCTGGTGAATTCGTCACCAAATCTTTTCATTCCGATGAGAATCTCAAATGGCGGGTCGTCCACAACGTAGAACTTGGAGCACCTTTTTTTCAGCTCCTGCCCTTTGTACCATTCGAGCTGAATCTCGAATTTAGGGATATAAGTGCTTTCCAGCCCATCTAGCAGGATTTCATCTCCCTCTGGTATGGGTCGCAAAAAGCTTTCATGGAGATTATTTGCTTTGAGGAGCTCCAGTGATACTAAATTCTCTTCACAGCCGGTGTCCAGCTTTGCTCGAGCTGGTACGTACTTGAACTGCCACGGGGTCTGTTCCACAGTTGTTTGAATGACGAGCCTAATATCGCGCGTGAATTTTGACTTCACTAGGTTGGAGAATTCCTGCAAAGCCGCTTTACGTCCACGCCTTGGATTTGAGTGGCTTGTGACACTTTGCGGGCGATGCTGTGATCCCTCGGTGTCTCTACTATGGTGATGCGTGAGCACCCGAGGTTTATCCTCGCGGTCTATTTCATCCTCCCCAGGTTCTTCGTCGCAATATTCAGACATTATTTGCGCAAGGCTAGCACTGGACACCAATGTCAGATTGTTTTTCGACTTTATGGTAGATATTTCAGCACTTAGCCCTGCTCACCTCATATCCACAAGCTGCTGGTTCAATCTCACTCTGAAGCAAACTTAGCGCGAGGCATAGATTTTCACGGACGACGACCACATACTCAGAGGCGAGATCTCGCAACAGCAGTACTGAGTCCCGGAACGCATCAAATGCCGCCTTGCGCTCCTTCTCCCGAGTAATGATTCGCGCACTCTGGAGGAATTTTGAAGCCCATGACGGTCGTCGGGAACGGTAAACCTCAATCTGATGCATCACAGCGACGAGATCATGGTGCCGGCTGACGCACGTGTCCATGGCCCCCTCTGCAGCCTCTGGTATCCGTATATCGGACGAGAATAAAGCGCCGCATTCCTGAAGGACAGCGACAAGGACTGAAATATCATCTAGCTGCTTTTTCAGCTCCGGCTCGTAGTCTCTGACCCTCCTTGAAGTGTCATAGAGGGTCGTCGAAAAAGCTGTCGTGCTCGATACGATCGAGAATATGGCAAAGACTAGTGTAAGAGGGTCTGCCATCTGGACACCACTCCCAAGAATCCGAAGGACAAAACGTTGCACTCAGGAATTCGGGAGTAGGCTGCCCATATATTTTTGAGACTTTTACAGCGAACTCGGATTATTGACCCCGGTTGTTTGTTCATAAGGACCAATTCAGGCGATACGCTGGTGGCTTTCGCAGCCGAGGCTGATTGGCTATGGGGTTTCAGCTTCTGCAAGCCCAGCGGCCTAGGACATTATAAGGTGGCTCGGACGAAATTAAAATAACGTGCCCTAAAGTGAAGTGGACTTCAAAGGAGCATTGTCGGTGCCTATGAAATAATTCTGTCTCGCTGTCCAGCTGAAAATATGACTGCAAAGCAGGAGAATATGGTGGAGGAGATAATGGCAAGCAAACCCCAGGGGTATCACCGACTTGCAAATGTGATGAGCAACGATGCTAGCTTTGCGATCTTTCGTAACTTCAACGAGATTAACATCTTCAATTTGTTAAGTCTCCAGGCTGAAATAAATGATTTACGACACAAGTTCGGATTCCTCTATCGCTCAGATGATGTCTCCAATGATGCTACAAGAAGGGAGTTTTCAAAGCGGTTCCTGCTTTTGCATCAGTCCCAGGGCGACGAAGGTCGCCAATATCAAACGATGTTGCAGTTGCGCTCTCGGATGAAAGAATATAGTACGTCCATGGTCTTGATCAATCCTCAAATACCAAGCCTTCCATCTCGTGAACTTACCTTGCCTATAGATGATCTTTTGCTACAAGGTGTCCCAAGAAGCCCTCATCATTCCTTGGGGCCATTCACTAACCAGGAAGGTAGTAAATGCGGTGAACAGAATAGCGAGACCGCGGAAATCACATATTTCAATTCTTCAGGACTGGCTCCAAGATTCTAAGGGAGGCAATAACTTCCAGAAAGGGACTGAAGATCAGATCTGGGATGACGAAAACCCTTCCGCCTACCTGACCCTTTTAGTACCAGCAGGTGAAATGGATCTATTCTCCCGGTGGATTACTCGTATTGTTGTTGGTATATTTCATCGCACATGGGGTGAGAAACACGGGCTTGGGAAGGTCGTTGACGAAGAGAGCGGCTTGATTTCCTACGATGACTCGAAAATCAATATGGCTAGCACAATTTTTGCGACTGTGATCTCCTCAATCTTGCCGGTTATCGCAATCCTGGTTCTTTATGTTGTGAAAAATACGGTGCAGAGGATTTGTATTACTCTTGCCTTTACAGCCGCCTTTGCCTGTGTTCTTGCCACCTGCAGCTCTGCGCGGAGAGTGGAAATATTCGCTGCTACAGCTACGTATGTTTCCCCTACGCAAAACACCAAGGCTTCAATATATCCACCCAAAACTGACATTTCTGTCGCCTAGATTTGCTGCAGTTGAGGTCGTATTCATTGGGAGCGCAATACCTAGCTAAGTTATATTCACATGGAGATGACGGTAACCCGTCGTCCGAACGTGGTATATAAAATATACGATTGGATTACTGGTTCAGTTGCCATTTAGAATGACTGATCAAAACCATGTTCCGTAGATCGGTAGAGAGGGCGCTGGTTGGCAGTGTAGCTCGTGGGTCCTAGTAAGTATTCTTCTAGAGAGGCTTTTCTCAGTTCTTGAAGCATAGCAGTCGAGTATTGACGGGAAAATACGATCGAATCCGTCTTAAAGACCTTATTTCCTTTGTGTGACAGTTGTAGGCCTTGCAAGCTGAGGTCTGCCCTTTCCGGCACCGTCACGGGAACTCTGAGCCCTAAGCCCTGCCCACCTACGACGAGATATTCCTTTGTTGACATGCCTTCCCAACCAGGCACCGCCATGGAGCCTACGCGCCATAAAGAGCCGTAGCGAGCTCTCACACAAAGTCTCCCTTCTCCCTTCCTTGCTGTGTGCTTAGTTTTACGTCGATAGAGCTGCCCTAGGGTTTATGATTGAGCGAGTGTCACATTTTGCGTTTGGCTTGTGGACGCTGGTTGCACTCAGGGATATTCCCATGATGTTGAGACATGGAATCTTGCGAGTAGAGCTGCCTCTCTTTGGAAGCCTTGCTAAAGTCCCTTAGCTGAAAGGGTTGCTTTGATAGATTGTTATCTCACAACACTAATCCGCATGAAGGTTCACTCGGTGCTGGCGGAGCACCCTTGCCACTACTCGAGTTGGCTCAGCCATTAGATATAATTGAAAGGTTCTAAGGGATAGATCCTATGTGAGATTTCTTATTTTCTGGACTACTCCTCATATGGGAAGGGTCGATACTTTAGGGTGTTCCCTTTTACATGAGAAGATATCTTATCTACGTTCCCAACGTTCCCATATATACATTTCTATACAAGGTGATAGAACTATTATATATGTCATATGGATGTGATTACTCTCTCGTCTCATCGAGAGCCCACGATATACAATCATGCCATTCAGGCGCAAGAATCGCATGCACCGCATCGACCATCTCCTTCCCCCATCCTTCCATCCATATACTACGTCCTAGCCGATGAATCGTAACAGCATAATTCGCCAAAACCGCAAGTGCAAGCGGATCATGATTTAACATCATATCCCAGTACTCGCTTGGATTCAGCATTGGGAATATGACTAGTGTGACATGTGCTGGTCGAGGAGTCGAGGTGAGGATGAGGACGTATCTCAGGCTTTGGATGACTGCGACATATGTCTCGGCTTGGCTCGGCGTTATAGCGGTGATCGAGACGCGTTGCATGAGCTTTGCTAACATGGCTTCCATTTCATCGGATAGCTTTTCGTCTAAGGTTGGATACGGCTCTGGCATCATCATTATAGACCATCGACTATGTCTTAATGCCTGGATGTGAGACTTGGTGATTGGTCGCGAATTCGAAATCAGTGTGAGGATTTGGTGGACCTTTTCGATAGTATTCGCAGTTGACTCGGAACATCTCTGTATGCCGAATGCGTAGAGCATGACTATACACGTAAACCCAAAAATCGATTCGTAATTTTGAGCCGTGATATTGGTGAGGTAGGGGCGAAACAATGCCAATCCGAGATCGTGGTGATGGATTGCTAGTATTGTATGTCGTGCTTTAGAGATACCGCTCAATGCCAGATGGAGCGCACTCAGACTCAATAGACCGTGAAGCATCAAATCGTTCTCAAGGGCCAGCTCAACAGCAAAGTTGTGCCAAATTGTTTGATCTCTGTCTGTGGGAATGCTGAGGTCTGCGAGAGTCTTTGCTGTATGTAGAGTGTAGTGGTGCATCAAGCGGAGCCGTTCTCGTTCTGTATCGCTGAAATGTGAGTCGGCGACATTACTTTCTGAGGTGGATGTAAAAGATGGAGAGGTTGACGTGTCGGCCGGTGAAGTATCAGTACTTGGTCCACGAGAGATCATTGACGATGGTGTCAAATCACTACCAGGCCGTGACTCAACGGTACTTGCAATCTTCTTATAGCGCTCCGTTGTAGGATCGCTGGAAATGAACATCAAGTTTGACGACATTTCAGAGAGCGAACAATGCTGTTCAGCCTTTTCGCATCGCCCGCATTGAGGGCGGTTTTCGTCGCACTAATACGTCAGACAAGAATACCAGAAGTTTTCATTCTCTCACCTTTTTGCGGCTTTGCTTGCACTGTACGCAGCCATGACGACTTTTTGTATGGAATCGTCTTTGAGACATTGAATCTCAGATCAAGATTAAGTAGTCAGATCGTTGTAAAGATTGCAGAATGTGATCTTATGTGATGAAGTAAGTTGAACAATTAAAAATATCGTGAAAGAGATGGATACTAGCACGATAGACCCATGGAGCTATGATAATACTAGGCACCATGATAACGACTCTCACAGCTAAACAGACAGGTTCGCATTGAATCAAGACCAAGATTGTAGATAATTTTCAGAAAGACTTTCAATTCAATCAAGGTATTGGAGAGTGAAAGGTCATTGAAACTTGGAGCAGCTGGAAGGTCGATGAGCCTAAAAGAGCCGCTTGCTCAAAACGGCAATTTATACGCTGGCTGGCATTTATTGGTCATTCCAAGCTCCAAGCGGGCCTTGAATTCAAATCGGGACGGTCTGTATCAGCCAATCAGCTCTTGTGATCTCGAGCTAGATCATATTAGGATTTTTTTACGCTGTACGATATCGATCTCTTGCTGATTTCTCGAGCTTCACTTTACATGGACGAACTATATCTCACTCAGAAGATCGATACTATGACGCTTCCAAGTTCCTTGATGCAGAAAAGGACAAGTATAAATATGAGTGCCAGGCCTCCCATGAAAAGCATTCCTCCGTCTCAAGTATTTATTCGTGCGACCTAAACTCTCCAAAATCTCAACCTCTCCACGCCATGGTCGAATTGACAGAAGTTCGCAAAGCAAACGCTACCCTCGTTCAAAGCCAGCCCTTGGTCGCCGTCTTCTTTGGAGGCACATCAGGCATCGGCCATCAATCCTTGCGTGCCCTAGTCGCCGCCGAAGCCGAGCACAAAGGTAGAGGGTTGCGTGCTTACATTGTCGGCAGAAATGCCACCGCCGCTGAAGAGATTATCGCTGAATGCCGTGGATTATATGAACAGGGTCAATATCATTTCCTCAAGATCGATGATCTTTCTTTGATCAAGAATGTCGACCGAGTCTGCGCCGAAATCATCCAGCGGGAACAAAAGGAGAGCTCGGATGCGCGAATTGACTACTTGATGATGTCTCAGGGTGGGTCGATATGGCTTTCAAGAACAGGTGTGTATCTCAAGGCCACTAGACATGTCATGATTCTAATACCCTACAGAGACGGAAGAAGGACTTGATCTGACCATGTCTCTGATGTACTATTCCCGAATGAGAATCATCGTCCAACTACTTCCCTTGCTCCTCAAATCAACTCTTCCTGCAAGAATAGTCTCCGTCTACGCCGCCGGATTCGAAGCAAAACTCTACCCCGAAGACTTCTCGCTTCGAGACTTGAAACTCTACAGCTATTCGCAGGCACGTTCACATATGATCTATATGCACACTTTGTTCATGGAGACGCTAGCAGAGAAATACCCCAACAAACTTGCTTTGACGCATATCTTCCCGGGACTCGTCATCGGACCGACATTTTACAGTTCTGAGCACCCGTTGTGGTTTAGGATCATATTTCGCATTCTTCACCCCGTATTGGGGAGGTTCATCACAGTGCCCCGAGAGGAAAGCGGAGCGAGGATGATGAGTCTGGCTTCCTCTCGGTATCCGGCCCGATCTTCTGACCCGTCGAGAACTTACCGAGAAGGAAGTGTTGCCATTGGCACGGATGGGAAACCTGGCAGTGGCGTATATTCTCTCGGGTGGAAGGGGGAGAACAATCTCAAGCTTTCGGCTTATGAGAACTTCGACAAGGATTACATGCGGAGGAAAGTCTGGGATCATACTGTGAGGGCTTTTGAGGTTATCGAGGGGGGGAATGTGTTTACCGAATGAACTTTGGAAATCAATGATGTGGGCTCTCAGGGTCTGATACGGCAAGGGAAAGATACACATTCCTTGTTGGCCTTGAGCGCGTCAATCATACCGAGCTGCACATTTGGTCGCTAGGAGGATTTGTGTAAAATACTTACGAACTTGATTTTTCCTGACACGCCGTGACTTCCCCTTCTATTTTAGTGTTCCAACCCTCACTGCTTATACTCCCTGATTAGAACTAAGTATGCTTTTGACTACTATGATTAGATTAGTAAGACTAATATATAAGCTTGTAAAGATGTTTAGTAAACTACAATTAAGTCACTGTGTCAAGTGACCAGGGTCAACGAGTTTGTCCACATCCGAGTGGATTTAATCAGTCCAGTCTCTCGTTCTTTGACTGAGTGATAGAATAAGGATGTTTTTAAGCCGGTGATTCGCCAGTCCAATAACCAAGCAAATGTCGAGCCTTCAAGATGAGTGGGCTGACTTTGGCTTGTCTAGGCCTATTTGAGAAGCATATGTGTGTATACCAGCTAAGTGGATACGACATATACTATATACAGAGGCATTATAAAAGATAGGATCATTCTGGTCTGGACTATATGTAAAGCTCTACACTGGGAATCGTTTTTTTAACTTATATTATAACTAGCGACTGATTATCTTCCATGCAGATTGTCGTGCAAATTGAATGGTGAATGGACGACAGCCATAACAGATTGACCCGCCGAATGAATGTATATCATATGATAGGGAGGCAGGGAATATACTATCCGCTGCTATATTAAAGCTTGTATATCGTTAAGGCGTCCTGCTTCCCAAGTGGACCAAAGGTTGATTATCTTAGAATTAGATTATACTCTGTAATGGAGCCATCTATCTAGCCAAGTGAACTCGTTGTAAGCCTAATAGAGTAACCTAGCTGTAGTGATTACTCCCACAGTACGCTATTAACCGCGCTAGAAACCTAGGGGGTCGTAATAGTAGCTACATGTTAGCAGCCACGTGCGGAGTTGCAGCCTCAAAGCCCTGTTTAGCGCCTTCAGCCGCAATTTCGTACATAAACTTAAGATTATACTTTCTACTACTGACTGGTTACTCTTTTAGGCTTACAACGAGGTCACTCTATTTTACATCAGGCTTACTCTTCTATATCTAATACGGAATGTAGTAATTTAATTATAGATATATACGCCGATTAATTGGGTTTAGAGACTACAAAAGAATGAAGCGGAATGGATGCTAAAATAATTTGTGCGTATATATATAGATGGAGTTATAGGCGTCTGTCTGACTGTTTTTATTTCCCTTCGTGTCTGGTATCATTCTTGTTGAGTTGTTGAGAGAGCTACAGCAGGGAGACCATGTTCGCATTTCTTGTGCTGTTGCTGGCGCTCGCCTTGGACTATGTCGACGCAAGAGCCGTCTTTGCCCATTTTATGGTGTTTTCTAACTCTTCCACCTCATGAAGAACCACGGGTGAAATGAAAACTGGATGCTGACTGTAGCCCAGGTCACCAATAGTGCCAGTTTCTCTGTGAGCGATTGGGAGGCCGAAATCGGACTGGCCCAAGATGCTCATATTGACGCCTTTGCGCTGAACATGGCTCACGGTGACCCAGTCAATAACGCACAGCTGCCGAACGCTTTCAGTGCGGCCAATAACAAGGGCTTCAAGCTCTTCTTCTCCTTTGACTATGCAGGGTCGGGTCCATGGCCGATATCTGACGTTGTATCGAAGCTTCAGAACTATAAAGGCAATGGTGCGTACTACTACACGAATGGTCTACCATTTGTCTCGACATTCGAGGGTCCGGGAAATGCCACAGACTGGCCTTCAATCAAAAGCCAAGTGGGCGGCATCTTCTTCATGCCGGATTGGTCCTCGCTCGGAGCAAAGTCGGCCCTGGAAGTAGCTCCTGGTGTTCCTGATGGACTCTTTTCATGGGCCGCGTGGCCATGGGGTGCAAATAACATGCAAACATTCGTTGATGCCTCCTATCGACAATATCTGAACGGTATGCCTTATATGATGCCAGTGTCTCCTTGGTTCTACACCAATTTGCCTGGTTACAACAAAAACTGGTTGTGGCGAGGAGACTCCTTGTGGCTTGATCGTTGGGAGCAAATCCTATATCTCCAACCTCAATTCGTTGAGATCATCAGTTGGAACGACTACGGCGAGTCTCATTATATTGGGCCCCTTCGTGATAATGAATTTGCCGCCTTCACAATCGGCGAAGCCCCATTCAACTACGCTGCAAATATGCCGCACGACGGTTGGCGTCTTTTCCTTCCTTTCCTGATTGACACCTACAAGACTGGCAACGCCGCAGTAACTCAGGAATTCCTAGTGGTGTGGTATCGGCTCACTTATGGTGATGATTGTTCGGATGGAGGCACCACGGGCAACACTGCGAGCCAATTGCAGATAGAGTTTCCACCCAACAAAGTTGTGCAGGACAAGGTCTTTTACGCCGCACTGTTGACTTCAGATGCTGACGTTACGGTAAGTATAGGTGGAGATAGTCAAGCTGGCGAGTGGGTGATCAAGCCCCCGAGCGGTGTTGGGATCTATCACGGCAGTGTACCGTTCAACAGCGTAGGCGAAGTTGTCGTGACCATCTCTCGTAATGGAAAAGCCATTGCGACCGAGTCCGGGCCGATTATTGGCGTCACCTGCCCCAATAACAACATTCAGAACTGGAACGCCTGGGTGGGATCAGCAATGGCATCGGGCACTGTCCCGGCGGCAAGTCCTCCTCTGCCTCTGTCGGAACGAGTCTGTATCGCCGGCACAAGCGTCAACAACTTCATCGGGCTTTGCGAATTCACATGTCAGTATGGATACTGTCCCGAAGGCGCATGTACTTGCAATCAAATGGGCGGACAAAAGCCAAAACCAACACCCAAAAACGTTGGTGGCTATCCCATTGCCGGAGAGGATGCCAGTTACAGCGGTCTGTGTAGCTGGGCCTGTAACCACGATTATTGTCCACCGACAGCTTGTGGCCTTACACCAGTTCCTCTCGCAACGCCAACAGTCTCAGATTTCTTGCCTGTGGCCTGTATTGCAGGAACGGGCAATGGGGACCTCGAGGGGCTCTGCAATTATGCCTGTAATTATGGATACTGTCCAATGCATTCCTGCTCATGTACAAAATCGGGCTCATTGAACGAGCCGCCTCCAGTCACCAAGGGAGCTGGATATGCTGCGCCTGGCATGAATCCTGATCTATATGACGGGCTTTGCAATTTTGCGTGCAGTCGAAATTACTGCCCGCCCCCTTGTACGTACATTGATCCATCAGGAAGCAACCCCGGATCGTTTAGCCAAGTGCCATGCTCCGATCCTTCGGTGGCTGCAAGCGCGCCAGCCCAGACACAATGGGCAGGTGCAAAAGCTGAAGATGCTTGGACGCAGGCAATCAGCTATTGGAACGCTCACAAGAGTACCGAAAAAGCATTCTCATGGGCAATAAGCGACTTCTTTGGCGGTAGCGTGAAGAATTTGGATTGCGGGAATCTGGCTGCCTCAAATGGTAAAGCGTACAGTTCTATAGGTGTATGTGTGAGCAAGCACGAATTGCTGACTCTTCTCTTCAGGTTGCCAAAACCCGGACCTAAGTTGTAGCGCCGACCTAAGTGCGGCAGGAGCTCTGATCATGAACTCATTCCAGCTTCTGGAAAGTGTACGTCCAGTTCGATGTCAGGAGTTGGCATGTCGTTCGTTTGCTGACTTAGTTGTCATAGTGTTTGTGGGACTTCTACGATGCAGTCGGCAAAGTTGACCCCCAAGCAGGATCGGCGATCGGTCCAATTACGTCCACGTTCAGTGACTTTCCAACAGATAACGAAGCATTCAAGATCTTCATGGACGTCTTTGGGCTCGTATATGCACTTGGGGTGGCGCCGTTGTGGAATTCCGTTTTCAAGGATCTCAACTTCTTCAAGAACGGGAACAACTTGGGCACGCTGAAAGACAGCGTCAACGCGCTCGTCTCCAATGGCGTCACCATCAGTAAAGATGTTGCAGCTGCAGACACTGGTATCAATACGTCGAATGAACTGAGTACCAACCTGAACAATATGGTTTCGGTCTTCTACGATTCGATCGATACTCTGGTAAGAGATTTTGGAGTTGCTTCTGATTCTGTCTGCTATACAAAACAAAACATGTGCTGAATAATTGATAGAACAGCAATCTCTTCAGCGGAAACCCCGACAACATTACAACGCTGCACGGTTTGATCACTGGCGGCCAACTAGTCGAGCCCAATTTCTCGGTTCCCGATGAAAACGGCATCCAAAAGAATCTGCTGTTGGCCATCTATTCAGTCTTCATCCCTATGACTTGGCAGCTTTCCCCTGTCGCCGTCAACCCCTTTGTGCTTTCTACGGGGATAGCTTGTGGCGACGTTTTGCTAACGTCAGTCTCTGGCTACCTCTCCGATCCCACCGCAACCTTGGTTTGTGGTAATGACAACATGCAATACTTCCTGGTAGGATGTATAAAACCGGTGATTTGCTCCAGCCCTCCACCAAATACCAACAATGTCAATCAACCAGAGGGCAATGATACGATACATGGTATCGTACCACCACCAGAACACTCCTGTGCAGGTGCATTCGATCCTTTGCCGGGTTCCGACCAGTTGACTGCTGCAAACATCCCGTGGCAAGGCCTTACGAGAGACGACCTCGTCCAGGGGTTAGAGTCATGTTCCAATCTTTCGGTTATGCTTCCAACTCATACTGACACTTTATTAGGGCAGTGAATACCTACAATGCGAACAATAAACAAAATGGCCAAAATCATGCTGATCCGCTTGATCCAAACACGGTCGATCAGCTCCTCGAACTGAACAACAGAGCACCTGGAATTGTCAACATTCCGGTCTGTGGCGCGGACGAAGCAAGAGCGAATTGGAACAACGCCCTCTACCAGAACACATACAGCGCCAATTATCCATGCAATTGATTTGTCGCCTTCAGCAACAAACACACAAGGAGTATTGTAATGAACACATGTACAGTACACACGCCGATCAGTGGATAAATTAACTTAGTCTGTTGCAAACTTTACTAAGAATTAGTTGATATACATACATTTAGAAATAAAAGCTCCAATGCTTCCATCCCTAGAGGGGTTTGTTGGCCATATTCTAGCGCTAAGCTAATGAGGGATTTTAAGCTTACTGGCTATTCAATGCTATTTAATACTATTTAACATTATTATTGATTCAAAGCGTCGAATAGAGCTGTTAAACGGACTCTTATTACGGGATTTGGAATCATTGTTGCACGGATTTTACATAAAGTTAAAAATTGGTCACCGAGGCCGGTTACTAGCAACTCAGTTACTGTATACCCAGACCGTAAATAGTTGAAAAAATGAAAGTTCCACCTGGTAGGAAGTTTCAATTTTGTACAGGTACTTAAGTATATCTCACGAATCAAGCAGTAATTGCAGGTCTATTTTCAAATATTGACTTTTCATTCCAGATATACTCTTAACCTGGAACATCCATACACCATTAAACGCCGCATGAACACAGTAATTACATACATAATATCAAGCCTTCTTGGAAGCATTCTCAATCTTTCTCCGCTTGCCGCGCAGCTTTTGAGCCTCTTCATCCTTCTTCTTGTTGGAGTACAACATCTTATCCAACAACTTGCGCTTCTTTCTGCTCATCATCATCTTCTGTCGCTCGAGCTCTTCCTCTTCCTTGCGTCTCTCGGCTTCGTATTTCTTGGTCTTGGTTGACTTCTTGGCTGATGAGCTCTTTGTAGTGCCGCTGAACGGTAGACCGGCGGCTTCGGCCTCGAGTTCCTTCTGATGCTGAGATCGCAGAGCCTCGTCCTCATCTTCAGATTCAGAAGCAGCTTCTGCAGCATCGTCAAATCCGCCGAAATCGTCATCCTCTTCTTCCTCTTCGTCCTCTTCTTCCTGCTCCGAATCATCCACGTCCATGCCGTGGTCATCCTCGCCTTCGCTCGCTTCAGCTTCGTCAGCCATCTTTGAGTCTTCGGCAACTTCCTCTTCTTCGCTTTCTTCTTCCTCTTCTTCTTCTGCACGCTCGGCTTCACCTTCTTCCTCTTGGTCTGCGAGACTTGCTCGAGGATCGTAGGCACCTCTTGTCGCCTTCACCCATGGGCTAAGATGCGGTGGAAGCGTGGCTCCAGGTGCGTATAGATCTGGTCGCAGAAGTTTGCCTTCGTTAATACAATCCCATACCCACTGGGGTTGAACATATGTGCGACCTGGAATGCGGCCGCCGGTGCGAATGCGCACCGAATCAGCATTTGCTTCCTCAGGCATAGCTGGAAGTGCTGATTCCGGAAGAGGCGGGCGATCAACGATCTGGTGGGTGATGCGTGGATCGGACTCGTCGTTGGTGAAAGCGCCTTCTCCGGCAACTGCGTCCCAAGCAATTCGCTTACATCCGAAAGAGCGTAGGAGGAATTCCAAAGGTGCCTTAGGGGCCTCTCGTGAGATGAAGAAAGTGAAAGACGAGAACAGACTTCCAGCCTCGTTCTCGCTTCCGTCGGGCTGGGGGAGGGTGTCTGCTTCCGGAGCAGCGGGTTCAAACTTGTCGATAGCATATTCGTTCGTTGTCTGATCTTCGGCCACGGAAGTCTCTTGAGCTTGGTCAAGACCAGCTGATTTGACAACGTCGTCTACCTTCTTCTGAAGCTCCTCCGAAACCTCGCTATTGGCTGCATTGCCATTTGTAGTCGGTTGTTCAAGAGCTTTCAAATGTCCAACATTCTTACTTTCAAGCTTGAAAGCAGCCAGTTCAGCTCCTCGTTCGTCACTAGCGGAGTCGAATCTCGGAGGGTAGACCAGGCCGATAGAAGTATATAATCGGTAATTGACAAAGCCAAGCAGGGTAGTGTAGAACTCGACAAAGGTGGCCATGATACGGTAGTCAACATCGCCGTTTACCTGTTGAACGAAGCGGTATGGAACGAGCCAGAGGATATCCTGGCCCTGTATAGTAGCTTGGTAATAAATACCCTTGATCGAAAGGAACGACTTGCGCATCGAATGTGTGGTGATGAGATAATGCTGGAATTCGTGGCAGAGCCGCTGGCATTTTGCAACTGTCTTGGGAGGGACATTTGTGGTAGACGGAAGACTTGCAAAGAGGAATAGTAACGATAGACAATCATCAAGATCTCTCAATGCGTCGACAAAGGTCGGGTATCGTTCTTTGATGATATGGTCGAGAGTAAGCTTTGGCGCAAGGTTCTTTTCTAATCGTGCGGCGTCTCCGACCTCACCACGACCAAGGGATCGGGCGATTTTCTTTGCGAGTGCCTTTTGATCGCGGAACTTTCGGAGCAGCGGCTCATGGAGAAGGTACTGGATATCTTTGGTGTAGTAAAAAGTGGTGCTCGCCGTGGAGTTCTTGGCCGCCTTCTTTTTGTTTCGGGGCTCACGGGGGTAGATGCCTGGATGAACAAGAATTAGACTAATGAAGCAATTGAATATAGGAAATCGCGACTCACCTTTGAAGATACATAGTCGTCGAAAATCTGGGAGAGAAATCTGCAATTTGCGCACGGCTTGTGTTCGCGTGATGTAGTTTTTGGCCTGGCCGGTGGTTCCTAAACCATTGTCAGTATTTGCAAATCGTTACTGGATTCAATCGAGCATGGCTGACCCTTCTTCTTTATTTTGCCCATGGTGTATGAGTGCGCAGGCTGTATATGGTGTGGTGAAGGTAAAGGTACTGATAACGGCGGTCGAGAAGAAAAAAAGTTGGCTATCGATTCTTTTTTTTCCTTCGGCCAATCGGCGAGCGGGAAGGTGGAGATGGCCCGTGCTCGCTTTGTATGGGCTGCGGAAGGAGCAAGGACAACATTGGACATTCTATACTCTCTCAATTTATTTTCCTCGCTCAGGTGTCTCAGGATATCTACGTCTTCAATCCTATATACGGTGCTGGCTTGCTATGTGCGACTCACGAATCATTCATTAATTCACAAAATGCCCGTCGACCGGAGGAAGGCAGCTCTATTCGCGGCCGCCGTCGCTGTGCGGTTGTTCCTTTTCGTCGCATTTCCCTCGCTACCAGACCTTTTGACTTCAAGAGTCGAAGTATCAACCCCGGTCAGCAGCTTCAAGAGATGTGAGTGCTCCAAGTATCATTCCCAACGCATTCATTTATTGACCAATTCACTCCAGTGCAAGAAGGCCTCTTTCTCTATACCCGCAACGTGTCTCCATACCAAGGCGGCGTCTTCCATCAGGTACTTATGACCTCCAGCAATACGCGCAAGAACCATCAATCTGACTTTGAGAACTTCTAGGCGCCTCTCTTGCTTCCTGTATTTGCCTTGCTCCCAAATCCGAGGGATTACCCGTTCGCTACCAGCCTATTTTTCACCGCAATTGACCTCTTGAACGCGAATGCTTTGATCACCATCTCCGACTCTGCCGAGTCTGTCGCAGGCAGATTACATAGTTCGCTGCGCAAGCATGTGAGATGGGATGGAGTAGCCATTGCCGCATGGTAAGATTTCCGTGACCTGTGTCCCATGCGAACAAAGTTTAATGCTCAATCTAGGTACCTCTTCAACCCGTTCGTTATCTCGACGTGTCTCGCTCGTTCCACAACCATCTTTACGAATTTGTCTATCCTATATGCAATCTCTAACGCCGTCACCGGAAACAGTGTGAATGCCATTGTAGCTCTTGCTTCGGCATCTTACGTATCTATGTATCCCGCCCTACTTTTCTTGCCGTTGATCCATCTTTGTTATGATCGGTCAATCCTGAACAAGAGCGGTGCAAAACCACCCAGCGAATTTATTTTTACTCTTGGACACCTTGGTACATTCGTTGCGGCCATTGCTGGATTGCTCGGAGCATCGTTCCTGGTGACGGGATTCTCGTGGGACTTCATCCCTGCCACCTACGGATTTCATCTGCTCGTTCCTGATCTTGCACCAAATGCCGGTTTGTGGTGGTACTTTTTCATCGAAATATTTGACTCTTTCCGAGAATTTTTCCTCGGTGTTTTTTGGTTACATCTAGTGGGCTATGTTGGGGGCTTGACACTTCGGCTACGACGACAGCCATTGTTCGTTATTACCTCGTTGATTGGCATATTCGCCATTTTCAAACCATACCCGAGTATTGCCGATGTGTCGCTTTACTTTGCACTTCTTCCATTGTATCGACACTTGTCACCACGTGAGTATTTGGCATTTCCTATCAAAGAAGTTAAAACTAATTGCGGATCAGTGACACGATACACTTTCTTTGCAGCTGCTGCGCTGCTTTATGCGACTCTTCTCGGACCGGCGTTTTACCATCTCTGGATCTATGCCGGTTCAGGCAATGCCAATTTCTTCTACGCCATTACACTCGTTTGGAGTCTCGGTCTGACAATTCTCGTCGCCGATCTTATATTTGCAGCGCTACGAGATGAGTGGGAACAAGACCACCCCGAGATGAAGGGGAAAGAAGTCAGACAAATCTGATTGCGCATATTATCTCAAAAAAATAATCTATCCACTTCCTGCCACACCGAAATATACAGTCTATAAAACGTAAAAAGTATCGCCTCTAACCGCTATTCTATCTTCTATCGTGTCCAAATGAACAAGTATCATAAATCAACCCTTCTCAAAAGCGCTTGGATAAAATCAAATAATCCGGCTCCTTCACCGTCCCATTCCGTAGTTGTCTCGGCCCCGGCGAAAACTCGTCAACACTATACCCCAACCTCTCATAGAAGCCCGTCGCAGCACTATTGGCCCTGAAAACGGTCAACATACCCTTTTCGAGCCCGATTCGACGACCCGTCTCTTCAAACAAAGTCATGAGATGCCGACCGATTCCCTGGCCCTGGAGCGAAGGATGAATGTGGATTTCGTAGCAGTACAGGACTTGTTTGCCGTCTTCGTAGGTTGTCATAAAGGAGAGGAAAGCGAGAACTTCAGAGTGGGGGGATGTCGTCGTCGTTGTAGTAGCCGCAGCAGCAGCAGTTGTTGCAGGTGGACTGGGGGTGGTATCTATAAGATCGGACGTGGATGAAACCTCGCTTGTATCAGCAGTTGTGCTGGTGCTAGTGCTAGTACTGCCGCTTGTTTGGGTATTGTTGTTATGACTCCTCTGAGGGGTTGGGGATGGTTGTGGTGGACCCCTCAGGACCATGTAGCGCATATCTGGAAGACGCATTTCTTTGCGTTTCTTGGTTGGTGACCAGCCCATCGATGAGGTTTTGTAGTCTTCGGATGAAGTTGTTTCGATCAGGGAGAAGCAGCCCTCAAAGTCGAGAGATGGGATTGTGGATGCGGAGTATATATGGATTTGTGCTTTAGTTGTTGTCGCAGAGTCGTCTTGTTTGCTTGTGATGTCTATATGTAGTTGGGTCGAGTCGACGTAGCGGGAGACGAAGTCGTGGACGCTCAGGGCATTGGTGCGTTCCACCAGTGGTAATTCTTTCTCTATCACATAAAACTCAGTTCCTTATCCTCTTGGGTAGTATGGTAAGGGGAACACTCACCCTCCTCGTTAGGCACAGCTCGGTCACGGTAATGCTTCGATAGCCGAAGTCCAGATCGTGAATGCGATAACGAGTGTGGGACTGATAGTTCTTGGACACGACTGTCCTTGGTGAGAGGTGATTTCTTCGTCTCCATTGTATGTACCCCAGTTTCAATTGGTGTGTATATATATAAAAGGGGTATGTAGTTGAGCCACCGGGGGAGAAAAGCGTAAATAAGCTGTGGGAAAAAGTCACATGAAAGACACGTCGAAATGTCCCCACGATGTCTGATAAGATACGCTTATCGTTATCTTGGTGAGACCATAGGATAAGACGACATCCACACCATGACTCTCGTGAACGACTAACAATACTTTGGCCCCCTTTTCATCGATAATTCTACCCGCAATCATGGTGGTTGTTCGCTTACGGTCAGCTAAAGCATGTGAGAGTTGCCGAATCACGAAACGGCGTTGCCAGCCTCCTTATCCATGTAGCTCGTGCACTATACACGGGCGAGAATGTATTGTACGGGACAAAGCAAGGTATTGTTCTAAAGCTAATTATTCTCGAGTGAATGCATATCAATGCTGAAAGCTAGACCGCATCGTGTTCCGAGAAATCAAATGACTAGTTCTCCGGCGTTTCCGGTTTTAGGGAATAGCTTCAGGCCCGAGTGGAGTGATTTTGACGCTATACACGGTGCGGAAAAGAATACCAGCAACTCGTCTCGGGATCCGTTTGCTATCTCCTTTAATCTTGTGCGGAATATAGCACGGGAAAAATTCGGTACGAATTACTGTCTTACTGGAAGGTATTTTTTAACAAATCATATTAGGTTACGAACTCCAGTGCGACCTTGTTGAGCCTCAGCCATCTCCTCTGAGGAAACCACTTTCTCTTGGATTGCTGCGACAGTCCAGTGCAGTTTCGCAGATCTCCCATTACACACTATCTGACGTGCGTCAGTTACTTAAAACTTTGATTCATTCGAACACAGTAAATGAACTTGTCGATATTCCTGACCTTGAGGAAGTGGCAATTGCGCTTTTCAAGAGCTCCCATCAAGACGTTTGTCTAGACAATATAGACGTAAGCGCTGCCAAAATATCTCTCGACCGTGTTGCACTTCTTTTTGCGGCTCTTGCACTAGGCTGCCCCTCACAATCGGACGAGCCTGTGCTACTAGCATTTTTGGAGCTTTCCACGTCCTTACTTGAGGATTATACGAGCGAGCCGACATTTGACCTAGCTCTTACGCTCCTTCTACAACACGCATGTGTTCTACGTACGGGTACCTCTAACCGTAGTCGAACGCTCATTTCGCAAGCGGTCCGAGTAGCCCATGATCTAGGTATTAATCGAGGCTTTCACACTGGAGACGCTCTCCGAGCATCGCAATTCTACTTGCTTCTTTATTTTGCCGACCAGTATGTATAGCGAAACCCTCCGGTTTCATCAAGCTAACGAGACCAAAAACAGGTACAGTAGCCTGACACACAACACCGCGCCATGCATCAAACCAGACGATTATCTTACTGACCTCTACCTACCGCTTGTGGAAGCGTATCCACGCCTGAATAATTTGGTCAAACTACTGACACTAAATGGAGAGGTGTTTTACAAGTTACGTAGCCTCTCCTACACGCAACAAAACATCAATTCTCTTGAGGCAGAAATTGGGACCGTCTGCAGCAGAATTGGTAAATTGCTTCGAGACGAGCGGCACGGGAACGAAGGGTTTGGGATTGAATATACGACGCTGGTTCAGATTCACATGTTCTGGTGCGTACCCCATAACGTGTAGTGTATCACAGCCCTAACACAGAACCTAGGTCACGCATATTACTTCGTGTCCCTTTACTCATGTCCCAGGAGCACTGGCTTTGCTCTCTCAGCATTTGCKTTCGAGCCTCTCAGATGCTTCTGTCTGTCTATCTTAAAATGCTAGGTCCTACCATCCATGATCTAGCAAAGGAAGTCAGTGGTAGCGATGGCTCACATTTGACATCACAATTGCGGAAAGCCACGATATTGCCGCCCACCTGGCGCCAGGTCTGCCGGATTACCACATCAGTTTTCGTAATTATGTACGCATTCTGGCACAGCGAGGTGTCATATGAAGAGGCCGCCCACTCCTGCGCCTGCGCCATATTCCTGCTCGAGTTTCATCGTACTAGGTGGGCGAAAAATGTCGAACCAGTACAGGCTGCCATTAGATCCTTAGCCGCACTCAGTGATCTCCAGCTTCATGATCCGATGGAAAGTCTGCTTCGTCCTGGAAATGAGGCACATGTAGGGAATATCATTGATACGGATTTGATGAGGTCCGGCGGCCGAGGAACATTCTATGGGGCCCAAAGTCATGACGAGGTTCCCACCATATCCTTGGGTGAAGACAACGATGTCCAAACACTTGCAGGATGGGAATATGAGATGGGGGATGTATTTAATATGTCTTCAACGAACTTTGGCATGTCCTTTCTTTCTGATTAGGCCTGGAGAATCGCTCAATTTAAGTTACGAAGCAGTATATCGCGTTCCGATCAGTTCATCATACTGCTGAATTTTGAGGCTTGAAAGGGATTGTAATCATAATATCATTCTCACTATTGTAGCTGGATGGGAAATCTGCGGCACTTGTCAAAAATGATACCTAGGACAATCACAATGAGTACCTGAAGTGCACATTCTCTCTGTCTGTCTGGTCTTGCAAGGCGGCCTCCATGGCAGCTCTATTATCAACAGCGCCATATACTCGCTCACGTCGCCTGTTCTCTAACCAAAAGTAAGTACGTAAGGAAAGTGCTCCGACTACGGTAAGAGCTACCGTTTTATTGATAGCCGAGAAGCGAGAGGGTGATGCTCTGCTAGTAGCCCTCGGTCTTTTCAACTGTCAACGGAGCAACACCATTGCTGATACCCCACGCACACCAAATTAACCCCGCAGTAAATGTCCGTTGTGGTATGACCTGTGATATTTGCGCCTACCAGGGCGACATCGCAATTATGATGGAGATTCCAGGGGCAACAGCACACTCCGTGACTCCCAGGAAGAACCTGCATATGCATATGTCATGAGTGTTATCGAACAAAAATTCAAATGAGACGGGCTCCATACCGTTGAACGAGAAACGCATGGTAACGTGGCACGATAACGGTGAGAATGACTATAATCCCACACAAAATCACTGTCCCTCCAAGGTACGTGACAATAGGCAATCGTTGGGCAAGCCATGACGCCGGGAATTCTTGAGACTAATCAGCAAAAGGCAACGGGACACTGCAGCTGTAGGTTACTCACAGCCAGCTAGACACCCCCAATAGATAGAATATACGCGTTGCATTAGAGAAGCGGGTTAGGCCCCTTACTGGCGCTTTCGAAGAGCTAGAATGAATCATTGTGTACAAGTGAAGGTCCTGGATGATGCCAAATTGTGCAGCGCCATTCAGAAGTACCTTATCCATATACCGCAACATATAGGGGACAACAAGTAGGGACAGTAATACAGAGTCGATTCTTCGGAGGACTCTGTTACTCTTTTGAGGGTTCAGCGTAAGAACATTGCCTGTAGAGAGCTGAGTGCCCATAACCGCCATTGTCGAGAGGCTCAGCTGCCTTTTCCGATTCCTCATGCGTTGGCAACGGTTTCTCCATTTTGTTTGCTTATGGTCAGAGAGCACAAAGTTACTAGGGGATGGAATGTCGGTGTCTCTGTATATTTATGCCAAGACTAATGTTGGAATACTGGGGACGCCTCTGGGAGGATCTGAACATATTGGAACAATGACACGAAGTGGATCAAAGGCGCGTCGAATTGATACTTATGGGGTAACTCTATTTTTCAATATCCGCATTTCCACATCCGCCTTGAAACTCAACTTATCCGCAAGCTACATCCGCATTCTATATCCACACCGTCGACATATTCACACCTCCCCTACTGACATTTGCCTCGGTTCATGTCACGGCGTTTGATATAAAATACATCATATCAAATACTTGGTATTACAATTTTTCTTCAGAATCAGCCCATCGTATACCTCTGTATCTGGGACTCCAGTCCTGCCCTGTTCGATTCACAATGGCTCAGAAAACAGAGGCAAGTCATCTTGTAGCCCTGCAGGTCCTCGAAACTATTCTTGATGACTTCAACATTCCCCGCCCAACGCCAGATCGCGGTCCTAAAGTCCTATTTACTGACACCGTCCCACCGCCTGAAGAAACCAAGAGCCAGAAGATCAACCTCTCCCTCATTGGGGCGATCCCGTCGCTCGCCAATGCCGTAGCAGCTGCACAGATTCTTGAGGCGCGCGGAGGACCTACGCAAGAAGTTGACGTGAACCTTCGTCGTGGACACAATTATATTGACCCGGACATTGGAATGACTCCCTCTCTCAATGGTCAAGAGATTAGCCTTGATATGGTGGCTGGAAACCCGTTCACAAGAAACATATTTAAGACCCGTGATAACAAGTGGGTGGTCCTGAGCGCTGTTTACGTGGAGTTGGTATATCAGTGGACATCTCTTCTAGATTGCTCAATGGCAGAGAGCTCGGTTCGGGAAGCGGTATTGAAGTGGAATGCGGCAGGTAAGTCTTACATCGCCTTGCCGTGTCGTTTTGCTTTTTTTTTTTTAATATCCCAATGCTAATGGAGAAACAAATTCCTGAACGATCAGATCTTGAGGCAGTTGCCACCAAAGCCAACATGCCCATGGCAATCTGTCAAACCGAGGAAGACTGGAAGACACATGCCCATGGATCACACATGGCGACACTTCCGATTGTCCCCATTCAACAGTATAAGAGCAGCAATCCATCCACACAATCTCCATGTTTTCCATCTTCCGTGCCTGATCGACCCCTCTCTGGCCTTAAAGTTCTTGCTCTCACTCATGCAATCGCAGGTCCTAGTACCGGCCGTACACTGGCGGAGCACGGTGCCTCTGTGCTCCAAGTATTGTTCACTCATGGCTTTGAACACGCATTCGTGTATACATATGCAAACCTGGGCACCGCGTCAACCCGCCTGAATCTGCACAAAAAATCCGACCGGCAGCGTCTCCGGACGTTAATCAGCGAAGCGCACGTCTGGATTGACAGTTATAGAGAAGGTGCAATCGCCAAATTCGGATTCTCGGATCAACAAATACGCGAAATCAACCCGGGAATGATCATTACTCACGTTCGCTGCTATGGTACATCAGGACCGTGGGCGCGGAAACCGGGCTTCGATATGCAAGGAAGCGCCTCGAGTGGATTGATGTCTTATATGGGCAGGGGTGTAGGAGACGGTCGACCACTGTGGCCACCAGGCATGGTGATCAACGATTACACGACAGGTTACTTTGGCGCCTTGGCTATCATGGGGATTATACTCCGCAGGTGCAAGGGGGAGAGCGATTGGAACCAGGGATGGGTGGTCTCTCCGAGTCTCTGTGGGACTGCGATGTCGATTCTGAAGTACTTTAAGTCTAATAGTTCTTCCCTTGTGGAAGGAGGCGAATCAAATGGCCAGTCAGCGCTTGGCCCGGAGACTCTGGAGGCTGAAACATCATTGGGATACTTAAAGACTCTTGCTCCTTTGCCCAAAATGAGCGTTACCCCTCTTCAGTATCAACATGAATTGTTGGTTGCAATGGGTAGCAGCCGCCCTGTCTTTCCCGGACATGATGATGGTTACAATGTGAAGGAGTTGACTCCAATGACAAGGGAGGATGTAATCCATTCTTTTGGAATTAATATTGTGAGGAGGATCGAGAAACTTCGAATTTTGGGGTCACAGGAGAGACAGCAAAGAGATAAGAAATACCTCTCAGTGTTGGCTGATGATGTAAGTGAACTACGATTTTAGTGCCATTAATTTTCTTTTTGGGATTTGCTACGCATTGTAGATAATAGAGCATCGGGTGAATTCTTTCCTAATCAAAATGATTCGTTAATGGAATCAGGTACGTATCCAAGGACTCTTGGATGAAGGGCTCGTACTCTGGACCATGTTGGCATAACCTGTATTGCAACGCATCTCTTAGAGTGTTCTACTTGTTATTGATATATGTATTTGTATATTTAGCTTGACTTTATACGGTAAGTAGACTTTGAGGCGTTGAATACAGTGATTATCGTTGGCTGAGTATGATACGTCGCATCTTGCATCAAAGTACGTATTATGGGCTCATTGGGCTCAAAAGCTTGAGAGGGTATTCGMAAGCCACGATGAGTTTTTTGAACCCATGATTAAACAAGCCCGATTCAACAGGTAATTTTACACACGGAGTGGCTTATGGAGACGTTCCTGTGCCTCCACACATGAAAGTCGAAGCGAGTGTAGTCGTCTTCGACGGAAGACGGACCATATAAGGTATATCCGACTTTTGAGGAACAAATACCTTTCACCCTTTCTAATAAATTAGCCTATCCTGTAACAACCCCCGCACCGGCCCGGTAGATTATCATTTCGTCAATGGGGTGTATAGTGACTCCGGCAATGAGACCGGTATGTCTCTGCCAGGGAAGTTTCTGGTTGAGCAATCTTTCAAGAACGTTTCTGTACCGGCGCTTGTCCTGGTTGAAGTACCCAAGTAAGCTCTTTCCAGATTTGGAGAAAAATATTCTATTTTGTAGCCATCAAATGGGAATGAGCATTCAATCATCGGATAAAATCTTCTATATGTACGTGATAGCATCCCCATTCTAAAATCACTAGATCTAATAAGCCTTTTCGTAGCGCGGTTTTGGTTGTGTGAAGATCCGATCTCCGGCCTTGCACTGCCGGTGATAGAGAGTACTTGTTAATCATGTTGCCAGCCTTTATTTCCAGGTTTTTAGTCTCCATGTCTCCAACGGCAAGCGAATACCTCCCAGTTGATGCCCAAAACTGTGTGTCGAAGCAGCGAACCGTATGGAGCGTATTGAAGATGATTTGGAGTATAGCAACTTCATTGCAATGTACTGGGACCGTTACGCCCAAAATTCGGCATCGCGGAGAGCTGTTGTTGAGCTGTATTTAATTCATATGCTGAAATGTCCTTTGAGTTGAGGACTTCTATACGAAGCTCTCTGATACGTTATTAGTGGTTCAATGGCCATATCACGATGATTTCATATCAATAGTAACAAGCTATAGGAATTCTCCACAACCCAACATCTTCCACCTCCGTCGTAGCCCTAGGTCTCTCACTCTGCTATAGAGGGAAGTGTTATGGGTGTGAAGGCGCCAAGGGGGGTGGATTGAAGCCATCGAACTACAAGACCATACCGTGCAAATCGACAGAATAAGAAGCGTGAGATAACAAGAAGATGAAAACTAGTTCCTCAATTGCTCGGCTACCATATAGGTGCGCGAGCTCTTTTGTTTCCCAAAACGGCACCGACAGGGCTATGAACCCTATGCTGGTCAAATATATCAATTTTCGAGACGCCGAGCCGGAGCGGGCCGCCGCAATGGACTTTCCAAGCCTGCATAGTTCATAAGGTCTTTTTTTCTTCAAGGTTAGATACTTTCACTTCGTCTAAATCACTCTATGTGACCCTCCGTGTATGTTCGTGAAGACTAATAGGTTGCATTCGAAAAGGATACTTCTCTCAATTCGTATTAGTTACAAGTTCAAGCTCCCAACCATCGTGGTCCTTTCCGAAGCATTTCAGGTTGCAAATAAGTGATGTCTCATTAGCATGTAATATACATTTATTGCGACCAATCAAAGATTCACCAAAGGAATTTGAACATGGCTATCAAATTGTGCTCCAAAGTGTACACAGTGAAGTCCACGATTCTCGGCGACAAACCCCCCTCGAAGTGGTTCAAATTCAGCTAATATCAGTGGATGGCCCGCAACCTTGAGAATCAGCTTTTCTCCAGCCTCAAATCTGATAGCTGAGGGTAAAATGGCAATTTCCAGTCGAACGATATCGCCAGGTCTTACTTTTTGCGCTTTCTCGGCTGTATGTGAGTAAACGATCTCGTTTCCATGGGAAAGAGTTTGGTCGATGACGCGGTGACTTGCTCGTAGTATACCGCTTGGACCGAGGTAGATATTTGTATTGACCGGCACCACATCTTTGGCATCGGACAGACCCAAATCCTCAAGGGGTATGTTTATGTTTTGGAGGATTTCACCATCACTTGAAGCCTTTCGTAGCTGAACAAAAACATCTAGATCGTCATGTGATGGACAGCTCATATACAGAACAGCCTTGGACGCCCCGATCAGGTAAGTCGTTTCGGTGAATGTATGAGTGAAGAGTAACTCTTCCGAATCTTGGTCAATTTGTAGAGCCTTGACATCAGCTTGGTATAGTTGAGATGAAGCCGTCTGAGCTGGTCGGGAAGCTAATTGGCCACTGCCGGCTACATATAATTTTTCATATCGTGTTTTCGGAACTGGCCAGGAGGGGAACACATGGTTCACAATGGCTGGCTGTAAATAATCATTAGTATGTCTAGAGAGTCTACCAAATGAGAAGGGAACCAACTTTGTTAAATTGTAGAATGGATAGTCGGACTGGCGGGGKGTTTTCCCATCCATTTTCGATCCCTTTAGTGTAGCGATCTAGGAAACGGCACAAGTCTACGACATTTTCCTCTTTATATATATCATGCCACTCTTGGGTCGAGTGAACTCGCAGCCTGCAATTCAAGTTAACATTTCTCTTTAGTAATAGCAGTAAAAAACTAACCACTTGCGTTCATGAGAAATCTCTTGGTATCCACGAAAGGATCCAGCAGTATGTAGTCCAGTAGAAAAGCTGGCAAGGACGTATGCGGGGACCTCAATCCGGGAGATATCAGCCCGCTTGTCGGCCCAGTACTCATTCATAAAAGGATAGCGTTCCAGCATAGCGAGGACGTCTTCCTGTTGATTTCTCCCTATACATCATAGATATCAGCTTTGAATGACAATGCGGTCATTGGAAGGAGGCTCACCGAACATAACATTAGAGAGAAACCCCCAAAAAGGCTTATATGGGACCCCTCCGCGACAGAGCGTTTCGCGATAGAAATCACTAGCTCCCTCCCATGGTGCAATGCAACTGAGATGTGGAGGCCGCTCTGCTGCAATGAACCATTGGCTCATAGCCAACCAAGAGTTTCCAGCCATTGCGACCTTGCCGGTGCACCAAGGTAGGCTTGCAATGTACTCAATTGTGTCGTATCCATCTCGACCTTCTTGTGTGCCAAGCCATCTATGCTATGTGAGCAATCAAGAAGCTTATGGCGCTAGAATCACTAGCTGTACTCACACCATATCCCCCTCCGAGTTAAAGATACCCCTTGTATCAACGTTGACAATGGCATAACCTCTAGGAACCCATTCGGCAGGGTCTAAGCCTTCAAACTTCTCCATGCCAGAAAGTCTTTCAGGTGCAACTCCCACACGGCCAGGAACAAGGTCAAGGCTAAAGAAGCCTGCGCCTGTCTTACCATATGGACTCCAGACGAGAAGGGCTGGTACCTTTGGTTCATCAACAGGTCGGAACACGTCAGCAAACAGGTTCACTCCGTCCCGTAAAGGAATTTGGATGTCTCGGTCAAATATAGTTGGAGCCTTAAAGGCACGGCAATTGGGACGCTTTTGAAAGCCCGGTGGTAGAATTACTGAAACCGGGTTCAGGCCAGAGTACTGTGCTTCTGTTGATTCACATGGCTGAGTTGGCCGGAACAAGACTTCAATATCTCCAAACTTCGACATGACGATAGGCTGGCTAATTGATAGAACTTAGAAGACAATGCTCTGGGTGAAATCACCTCGTAACGTATTTATTCCACAGAGTTCTAGTTCACCCGCAAAAAGACTTACTCCACAAAAAGAAATGTGGTATGAAGCATCTGACTGTCAAAAAATGTGTGGAGAGAAACGCTGGGAGGTAATGTGGAGGATGTGGGGTTTCTACACCTCCCAGCTCCATACTGCATGTATTATCACGATGCAAATAAGAGCTGCAACAAAGCAGCGTCTGCTTCTGTGCAATCACGAAAGTAATCATGCATCTCTCTGACTTGTACTGTACATCCTTAGCAGTCTTTCAAGATGCAACTCGTTGTCATTATCGGTGGAGGTCCTGTTGGACTTGTATCGTCTATTCTGTTATCACTACAAAAAATCCCCCATGTTCTCTTTGAGCGCCACGCGTCTACATCCATACACCCTAAAGCATGTGGCCTCAATCAAAGGACCGTCGAGATCTTCCGGCACATCGGAGTTGAGGCCGATATCCTTCGGCAAGGCGCCCCACGAGACACGTATAGTCGGACTGGGTGGTATACTAGCTTTGGATCCGATGGCCGAGAGATACATTCGCGAGATGCTTGGGGAGGAGGTCAGTACCGAGCCGCATTCGAGGCTGCAAGCCCTTCTCCTTATGTAATGCTGCCTCAGATCCGGCTGGAACCGATTCTGCAACGCCGTGCTCTCGAACTGAATCCAGATGGCATCAAGTATGCGACAGAAGTTGTCAAGATTGACGAAAAGGCGGACCGGGTCATCGTGACCGTTCAAAAGGCTGACGGTACCCAATATGAGGTTGAATCTCAGTACGTGCTTGGTGCTGATGGAGGCAGGATGGTCACGGATTGGCTTGGAATAGCTTGGGAAGGGGAGCGAGAGATCTTTGACATGGTCTCGGCTCATTTCCGTGCGCCAATTAGTCAATCTCATCCAGATAGCCGGAACTTTATCAGCTGGTTCATCAATCCCGAGACCGGCGGCAGCATCAAATCCGGCTACATGTATCACCTAGGCCCGTATCCTATCGATGCCTCGACGGAAGAATGGTATTTTGGATGCGCGATGCTGCCAGACGATCCGGAAAGATTCGATACCGAATCTACCATTCGCCGGATCCATAGAACTCTCAATATGGAAAATCTCAATATTGAACTACTTAGTGTTAGTCACTGGTTCGTTAGTAGCATTGTTGCGGAACGATTCCGTAGCCGTCTCGGAAAAGTGTTCCTTGTCGGAGATGCTGCTCATAGAATTCCTCCCTGGGGTGCTCTTGGAGTTAACACAGGCGTTCAAGATGCTTTCAACCTAGTGTGGAAGCTTTCCTTTGTCCTTCAGGGCCGGGTTGATCCTACGCAGGCGGAGCAGTTACTGAACTCATATGACGAAGAACGCCGTCCAATCGCCCAACGTGTGGCAAAATCCAGTCTCTTGAATCTGAAAAGCCATGCTGGAGCGATGGACAAAGCTATCGGCCTTTCTCAGGAACTCGGCCCAATCGAGAATCAGATTGCCCTCAATATTGCCATGGATACCGCTCATCCAGACTATGCTCAGATACAATTGGGCATTGAACAAGCACAGCGAGTGCTAGACAGCGAATTTGGGGCTCATGGAACCGAAGTTGGATGGTTTTATCCATCAGCGGACATCAAGCAAGAAGGAGCGAAGACTAGGCACGCTGGGCAGATCAAAGAGGACGGTGCATTTGACGAACTCATCTATCATCCATCGACCATTCCAGGCCACCATCTCCCTCACGCATGGCTGCAAAATTTGGTGGGAGATGTTCCAGTGTCGACCAGAGATCTCATTGTGCCTGACAAACTTCTACTGCTCACTCAAGACCCTCATGAATGGCAGCGGGTGCAAAATGAGAATCCATTGGTGAAAGTTGAGGTTATAAACAACAGTGTAGGTTGGATAGATCTGTATGGCTCATGGGCCAGGATCTGCGACGTTGGCAAAGAAGGAGCGGTGCTTATTCGCCCTGATGGAATAGTCGCATGGCGCGGACGAGTCGCAGACTCTCAGTTGCATAATCTCTTGAGCAGTTTTGTAGCTCATCAAAGGCCAGTCACATCATCTTTGTAAGACTGACCTCATTCTCTTCTGTAAATACTATTTCTGAATTACTCAGTGCTGTTGCAATTCGAAGCTAGTTCTCTCTCTATAGTGAATTATTAAATAGAGCCTGCTCCGAAATTGTGCTTTGATAGGTCTACTTGCAATATCGTGAGTCCAGGCAATGGATCGTGGCCGGACCAAACATACATAATTTATTATCCATTTTGACACCAACAAACTTCGCGGTTGCAAAAGTAGATACGCCTCTTTCCCCAGATAATCTTCCCCACATCCCTCCATGAATTACCTACAGATTGGGGGCTTGAGGCCAATTGCGCGGGCAAACCTAGATAATCTTTAGTCATTGGTTGAATAATGTTGAATATTGGGTCCGGACAAAAGGGTCGTGTCTTTCCGTTGCTGGCTCAAATGAAAAAAAGAACCCCTCCCTTCTTCAACAATCTTTATTACATGTAGGCGGTTAAAACATATTTTCTCCAAGTCCAAACATGCCTTTCAAGCAATGCCCAACATGCAACAGACAATTCGTCAAGACGGAGCATTTGAAGCGACATGTCCGCACTCGTAAATGCTCTCTATCCTAACGTATGACGCCTACAATAAACTAATCAAGCTACCAGATACAAAGGAGAGGCCTTACAAGTGTAGTATTTGCCACAAGTGCTTTGCAAGAAGGTTCTCTTTTCCTAATAGATTCCCAGCTAGACTATCTTTACTCTAGTTCGATTTATTGACAATTTACCAAGTGATGTCCTTCGCCGCCATGAGAAAAACCATCCCCGAAGGGTGCTCAATCGTGTGGAGCCGGAAGACGCAATGCCAGAGAGCCCTTTCTCAAATTCTTCAGACTCATATCAGAATCCACACTCCCCTTCATCTCCAAGAGGTATGCTCGAACCAAACAACGATGTTTGATAGAACTGATAATATCAAAAACCGCAGAAATGCAATGTGACGATAGCATGGCTATCCTGCCACAGCCCTTAGTTGATACCGATATTCAACATTCACTCGGCGATATGGAATTACCGGATTGCCTTTGGAATTTTCAAATGAGCCCCCAAGCGTCTTCAATGAATCCGCAGTTCTCTCTGGAAACTAATATTGCCCAAAACTTTGACCCGATTGAAGTAAATCTTGATAGCCTCCTTCACCCTGCATTACATCCAGACATTCAACTAGAGAGATCAAATGCCGGAAATATTTCAACTTCTCCAGAATCTTCTCAAAGCAATGCTAGAGTTCAATCCTTCACCTGCAATGCTAATATACCCGACCATAGATTTCATCAAGTGGAAGATTACTGGGTCACACCTACCAACGATGCATGCTGGAGTTCTCATTCATCGATCTGGAAATTAGTCAAAACCGCTAAAAGGACAAATATTTTCTCCTTGGACCAGATCGATTATTCGTCTATTACTTCACAAAACCTTTCAAGCCCCCGAGCGGTTCTTGATGAGCACTGCAGACAGCGGATGAATACCATGATTCAAAAAATCCCCTCGTTTGCTTCATTACACAGCTCCGTTGATATGCTGTCTGTGGAGTTGCTTGATATTGCAATTGATCTTTACTTTCGCAATTATCATCCACTTGCATCTTTCATTCACCTACCAACGTTCCGCCCTTGCGCAACCACGCCTTCACTGCTCTGGGCAATGTGCCTCATCGGTATGATGTTCATCGGAACTAAGGGCACAACATTGCTTGTAACATCTACATTAACAGTGCGTTTGTGGGACGACCCTAAAACAAGATTTCCAGTCTGTTTTACCTAGCGACTAATTTTTTTACGAAATTTTCACCAGGCCCTTATTGAAGACACTTTATCAAAGCTGTCGACTCTTCTTGAGACGGATTCGTCGGATCTGGATATGCTTTCAGTGCTTGGTACCTCTTTGCTGGTTGTCCACCTAGTCACTATGATCGATGTCAGTACTTCTCTACAATGATGCATCATAATTCACATTTATAGGAGCTTTGCTGAGTGTCATACAGGAAAGGAACCATTTTCGAGAAGGTCGCCTGATATACAGAAAAGCCGTCATAGTGAGTAGACTCTCTGTGTCCTTCCTCACAGTATACTACAAATGTTGACATCCAACAAAAGGTTGCAGAGCGAGCTGGTATTTTTACTGTAAGCCAACGCCATGAAATCGACATGACTATTAGTGCCGATTCAGAGAACGACCACAGATGGGAAGCATGGAGCAGAGTGGAGTCTTTGAAACGGTGAGCATGACATAGATCCCTTGTTTCGATTACTTCTACGCTAATCGATCGCTTAGATTGGCCGTTGGTCTCATCCGGCTTGACTCTTGGTTCTCAAGCTTCTATACAAAGCCCATGCTAGCTTTGACCTCCATAAGGGTCGCTTTACCTTGCGATGATGTCGTTTTCAACGCGTTCTCTTCATCCAGATGGTCTCAATTAATCGACGGCGAGATAAAGCAAGAACCTCGTTCTGTGGGCTTGGACGATATTGCTGATCTCGATCTACTCAAAACGCATCATGACTGCACTCGCATGTTCGGGATAATGGCTATTTGCCTGCTAGCATTACACGGTGCTGCTGGGCGATTCCCTGCGGCACACACAACGGATACCTTACTTTACCACATTGTCACAAATGAAGATTGCGGCGACAAATATTCCCGGATATTCACCAACCATCTAATGAGTTCCAGTGGAACCCCACATCAGCAGGATAATGTCAACTGTACGATGATGAAACATGGAATTTGCATGGCCCTAATGGCAGATATTCAGCTATTTGAAGTCGCCGCCGGCCGTTCTGGCCCAGGTCTAGCGAAAAGAGCATTAGAAAGCATCGCAGCTTGGTCACGGCTTCCATCTGCGAGAAGAGCCTGTTTACACGCCGCACAGATCTTCCAATGCGCATCTGATAAATGCTCATCCGAACAACTTGGTTATCATTCTTTGGGCGCTTTGTTCAAAGCGGCACTCGTGCTTGGTCTTTATATTTTTATGGCATCAACTCCCGAAATCGACTCCGATACCGTGTCAATCGAAATACGCGATAGTATCGACTGGTCAAAAGTCGATAGTGAAAACCCGGTCCCTTTGGAGAGCCTAGAAAAATCAGATTACCGAGAATTATCCGGCTGTGACCCCCTTGACTTCATTCGATATGGTGGAATTTTGTTTGTCAATGGACAGAAACGAGAGCCAGGCTACGAATCGTCGAGGCGTATCTTGCTAGAGTTTGCTGCATTGATAGAAGCTGTGAGCCGACCATGCCGGCAGAGATTCTCGCACATATTGTATATCATGACGGATGTACTCCTGGAATAATTGGAATTCAAGATTTTGAGATTGCCAAATTGGGATGATTGTCCTTCTTCATGGTGTCTGAGTAGGTGAAGCAGACAAGTCGAGGAGGGCCTGCTATATACTTTCACAAAACGGGTTCATTAGAAAGACATAGCAGAAGTATTGTGCAGATGAGGATCGAACCGCAATGAAGTACTTTATCGAGGAGCGACTCGCTTCTACGGCCAATGTTAAATTGGTGTCTGCTTGCTCCGCGCGAATAGACTGGTCTTCCACGCATTGAATGCCAAGATTCTCCAAGGCTTCGACCAAGAATAGACTCGAAAATATCAGAGTAGTTACGGTACACCATGAGTGAAACATCATTAAATCAATTTCAGAAAAGTAATGAGTAGACATGTATTAGGTCTGGTCTGGTATGGTTATAGATATGTAAATATTGCGCTGTGTAGTTTCGAGTTAGCTAACCAAAGGACTAGAACTAAATTTAAAAAACTATAATACAGCATTAAATATACTAGAATTAAACTATTCCAAGCTATTATATAATTAATAGTTATTAATTAGTTATAATTGGATTAGATCTTAGTTTAGTTTAATTAAACTATACTAGACATGGCTTAACCCAACCTAGCGTTACGAAACCAACCTGTATGATACTAGGCAGAACCTAGCACTACTGAGGAAAGCTAGAACAAATTGGTTGCCCACCACGGACTAACAGCAGACGCGGCATAGAGTTCCCTTAGGCAACGGTGCTGGTAGCCGCGACAGAGCTTGAAGAAAGAATGCTGAAGCCTGGAGGACTGTCAACGCTCCCATTAAAATTTGGGTTCTGGACACCACCGTGGTCCGTAAGGAATGACGCCGGAGTGGCCTCCCACGTCCAGGTCATGTTGACACCAAACGCAAGCCAACCAAACAACCCATCCTCAAGCTTGTCTCCCAGCATCGTGTACTCCACCATCGGGTCGAGGCCATCTTTCTCTGTAGCTACTGGCAAGATGATCTTGTCGTCAGCGTTGAGTGTGATGACCTGCGTATTGGTGCTGTACGGATAGAGCTTGTCAACCGCGAATATCAGATCTTGGTCGAAAAACACTTGACCGATAGAGCTCGCGTAGGTGTCGAATCCCATGGTGTTATTGGGCAGCACGGTGGTGTTGGTATGCACTATGATGTGGATGTGCGTCGGTCGTGAGGTATAGTGGCCGGGGAAGATGGTCTCAAATTGCGCGACGCCTTCGCTATTGGTCTGCTGGATGCCGCGCAGGAAGGTGTAGTTGATGTTGGCCGTGTCGTTGCCGTCGCCGTTACCCTCGGCTATAATGCCGCCGTAGACGCCCGTCGAGTTGGCATGCCATATGTCAAGAAAGACACCAGGCACGGGCTCGCAGGTGTCAACATCAACGACCTGGAAATCGAGGAGAAAAGGGAGGCCTTCCTGCCTTTCGACTAGGTTTTTGCGGATGTACTCGCCGGCAACGTCTAGACGGGTGAGTGAGTCGACAGTGCGGTAGTTACGGCGGGTTCATCAACTCACAGTATGGTCCCACGGGTACGTTAGGACTAAGGATATAGGACTTGTAGTCTGAGAACAAGATGTCCGGATCAGTGTGCGGCGTGTAGTGTTTGTCTGTCTCGTTGTGGCTGGKGTCGAGGACCGTCGTCATATCGCGCGTGGCGAGACCACGCTTCTGGCGGGCATGGTGGACAACCGCCTGGCGGCGAGCAATGTTGGCCGCCTCAATGCCGCGCACGCGCAGATTGTCTTCGCAGTGGCTGAGTGACGTTCTCTTGGCAACGCTGAAATAAGCGTTGCGTGCAGCAGCTTCTGATGCGGCGTCGTGGGCGACTACCTGAAAGGCTAACAGTGCGAGGCCGACGGCAGTCTTTATGAAGAGCATTGTTATTGGGTAATGATTTTCGATTCTTTATTGTGAACTTGGAGATGCTGATGGCAATAGAGAAGGGCGTTGTCGGCACCTTGAGAAGCCCATTCTTATACGCTTGTTGGCTATTCGCTGCTCGCTACATCGTAGACATAGGCAATGCTGGATAGGTTGCATCCCGCTTTCCGTTCCCCGGTAGGTAGATCCCTCGCAGCTTCCGAGCGCGGCTCGGCTCAGATGGGAGCGTCTTCTCCGACGAGTCTTCGCGGGGATGGGATGGATGGCTAGAGAAGAGTAACTAACTAGTTACCCTTGGTCTGGGGCCCAACTTGGTTTACAAACATAACATATATGCCCAAGCCTATGACTACATAAATTATGCATTTTTTTGTCTGTAATATTCGGTATTTCCTTTACAACTAAATCGGGGGAAGCACTAAGGTATATCAAAGAATCAGAAGGCAAGGTATAATGTATTTCTAGCTATAATGAAAATCTAATTTTGATTCAATGAATTTGAAGAAGCGGCGGTTCGATGAAGTAAAACATAATAGAATTTGCTCTGATTCCCAAGAAAGGGGGTGCCAGGAGTTCAACACTATAGAGCACTGTGCTCGTCACCTGGCAGTATGTGGATTGCCTCATTGATCGCCCCATTTCTCACCGCCCAACAGTATAGGTAGATCTTATTTAAAGTATAAAATATCTCTTGTTCTTGGTACTGTGTTTTGGTCTACTTTGTCATGGCAGAGTTATTTGATGGGACTGTCTGAATGCGATTAAAAAGCTGGTTGAGGTTGAGCTGAATAATATGAGTTAGATATGTTATTTGGGTAAATAATGAGACTGTCTGGTAGAGACTGTTGAAGAGAATCTACTAAGGTCTTATTATTAGATGTTTTATCTGTTGTTAATTATTTAAGGTTATGATTTATAAGAGTTTTAAGAATAATGTCACTTAGGTTTATACTAGTATGTGGCCCGATAGAGACTTAATTAGTATTAACAAAATAGCCTGTGATTGCTATAAATGCCTGTGAGGATAGAGATGTCTAGCAGTCCAGTGCGATTGATATCTTAGAGCCAGCCGGTGGTGTTTGAAGGGCACGCTCTTGCCAGTCTTGAATAAGGCTCCTTAGTCGGCGACGGATTGTATCAGCAGATGGGATGATTGGTAGTGACGGAGCCCAGCGAGCCCGAGAAATAAGCTGCCGAAATGTTGAATGCTCAATAAGATGATTTCCTCCCCAAGCTTCCTGTGAGAAAGATATATTCTTTCCTGATCTGGTTTGGTGCTCACCCCATCACCACTTTTACTCACTGAGTAAAAATATACATAAATCATAATTAAACCCGAAGATACATTTAAAACTAAAATTTAAGTGATACCTTATACAGCGTATGAGCCTTTAAATGTATAGATCATATATCCTTAGTTGCTCCTCCTTAAATATATGACATACTGGTCAATTCGATAGAAAAGGTTCTTTTCCGATCCACTCAGAGTCTTCACTCATTTCCTTTAAGATCCATGTAGCTAAGCTCTTTCGAGACAATAACATTCCATCCTTTCCAGACCCGAGATATGTAGCCACAACCGGTATATCAGGGCTATTGGTGAGGAAAGGAACTCTAAATAATGTCCACTTGAGTTGAGTCACATCCTGGGAGGTTACGTATGACCCAAGTCCATTGAATTCGCGGTAAGCTGATCCTGCGATGAGCTTGATAAGCGCAATCGGCGCTTTCCACTTGAGCGAGGGTTTATCATGCGGTGATGGAAATGAAAAAGTGGAGAGAATCATTGCTCTCTGATAATTGTGGGAGACCAGAATCGGAAAAATCTGTTTCATGGCATCTGTAACAGGCTATACCTACATAAGCCAATCCTCTAATTTTATGGTACCTTTCAATGTTCAATTATGTGATTTTTGGTCGTCAACGTACCGTTCCTTGATTACCAGTTCGGCCTGTCGGTCCAGCGAGCGAGAGAAAGATTGTTGGGCCGGATGATGCAGCACGGCGGAAAGTAGAGATCTCATCCAAACGTCCCCTCCAAATGATGACACCGGATTTTTTGACGAATTCGTCGGGAAGTTTATCTGGATTGCGGGCGTAGATAGTCAAAGTATGACCTTGCGCCAAAGCAGCATTACAGAATTCTAAGCCGGATGCACCTAGTACGACGTGATGAGTACGACTGTGATTGGAGGTATGATTAGTTGGTGGTCAATGAAAAATCTTACCTGTAGCCCCAATAATCAGAATATGTACTCCCATTGTGCAGACGGTGTTGTGCAATAAGGATTTGATTGGTCCTCGATGAAACCCAACGGTAAGTAGGAACTAACGCGCGGAGAATGACAAGAGGAAAATAGATGCATATTTATAATCTAGGAATGATCAATGAAATTTTTCACATCTACCATGTCTCCTGATTATGCTTATAAATGACTTTGAGAATAAAATAAAATATAACTACCGATAGACTGAATGTGACCAGCCACTATTCGTAGTTGCGATCAATGCTTGATTGGGCGATCATTTGATTGGTACAAAGCCTACCGGTTCCATCTTGCTTCCGACGGCTCTCGGGATCAGGCTGTACCCGATGCACGGGAGCGATTGCCAAAAAAAAAGTGCACTCTTTTGATCTGGTCCGTGAATGTCATATTCTCTTTCTGTAGAGACGACATGGCATCTAGTGAGCGCAAGAGTAGAAAAACTCCGAACGTGAGCCCCTCCTCAGCTCTACTCGGATCGGCTTTAGTCGGTGCTCACAAGCTTGTTGGTGGTATGCATTCAATGCCAACAAGTAAAGAAAGGTTGTGACGGTAGGTTACGAAAGTTTTCTTCATATGTCAAGCGTGGTTTAGAGTGTAGTTATGGGGAGGTCAGACGATGTGGCCCCAGATATCTGGGATATAGAGATCAGTTCACAATCTGACCCCCATATATCTAGGTTACATGGTGCGGGTTATGTAACTTGGGTTATAACTTGACCCCCGATACCTTTCATCACATATAATCTGACACTGATAGATAATCCTAGTAATTACCCAATAACATAAATTACAAGCCTGGTTCGGTGATGCCCCCGAACGTAACAGACTTTGTGACAATGAACTCTTCAATACCGTACTTGCTGCCTTCACGGCCAAATCCGCTCTGCTTGACTCCACCGAATCTACAAAATATTAGCAATTCGAACAACCAGGGCATAGATGGGAAAACTTACGGTGAAGCAACGTCACTGATGAGTCCAGTGTTGACACCAACCATACCAACCTCCAATGCCTCGGCAATGCGGAAGCAACGCTTGACATCACTAGAGAAGAAATAAGCCGCCAATCCAACCTCTGCTGCGTTTGCAAGTTTGATAACGTCCTCTTCGGTGTCAAATGGGAAGAGACCCGCGACAGGACCGAATGTCTCCTCAGAAGCAATTTGCATATCCTTGGTCATATATGCCAAGACGGTGGGGTGATAGAAATTATCGCCGAGCTCAGGCGCACGTTTTCCGCCCACCATGACTTTGGCGCCCTTAGACTCTGCATCGCGAACGTGTTGCTCAACCTTGTCGACTGCACGAGAATGAATGACAGGTCCATGTGTAGTACCGGCGTCAAATCCGGAACCGAGCTTGAAGCCTTTCACCTTTTCGGTGAATTTGGCAACGAACTCTTCATATATGCCCTTTTGGACGTAAATACGGTTGGCGCACACGCAGGTCTGACCGGAGCTGCGGAATTTGGATGCGATGGCTCCAGTGACAGCAGCATCAAGATCTTTAGTATCGTCAAAAACAATGAAAGGAGCGTTCCCACCGAGCTCCCAAGAAACTTTCTTAACAGTCGATGACGCTTGCTTCATGAGAAGTTTACCGACGTTTGTGGACCCTGTGAAGGATACCTTGCGGACATCTGGGTGTGTGGTGAGGATTTCTCCAACCTCGACCACATTTTTGTCGGCGGTTACAATGTTTACAACGCCTTTGGGGATACCAGCGCGATGAGCCAGCTCGGCCAGTGCATTGGCTGTGAAAGGTGTCTCGCCGGGAGACTTGGCCACGACGGTACAGCCAGCGGCCAAAGCAGGTCCAATTTTTCGTGTGATCATAGCAGCTGGGAAGTTCCAGGGAGTAATAAGACCACAGACACCGACGGGCTCCCTTAATGTGATAATTCGGTTGCCAGGAACAGTCGAAGGAATGGTGTCACCGTATATACGAGGAGCCTCCTCGCTGAACCACTCAAAAAAGCTCGCAGCGTACATGACCTCACCTTTCGCATCAGCAAAAGGTTTGCCGTTCTCCCACGTAATTAGAGTTGCCAAGTCATCGGCATTATCAACCATTAATTGATACCATCGTCGCAACATACGAGCACGCTCTCGAGCGAGCGTTTTGCGGAAACTAGGGAATGCGGCGGCAGCAGCTTGGATGGCTTTCTCTGTGTCGGAAGCTGTGAACTCTGGGCAAGTACCAATGATCTTGCCATCGGATGGATCTAAACAAGTTGTCAGCCATAAACCCACCGGAACATTGAAGGGCCAGGCAGTCAGTCTCACCATGAACTTCAAAAGTCTTTCCTGACTCAGCACCCACCCACTCGCCATTGACATACGACTTTTCTATGAAAAGCGATTTATCCTTGAGCTATATGGATTTACAGCTCCATTAGCCGAGTTTAGACGTATAACAGGGGGAGACGTCACTTACAGGAGGTATTGTGTGACCCATACTGTATAATCTCAAAAATGGAGGAGACGAAGGTATGGCAAAGGGATATCGTAGTTGTTGTCTGGTCAGTTGTCGAGATAGAGGTCGAACAATCCGCTCCATGGTGTCTTTAAAGAAGCTTGGCCGCACGAATAGCCGATATACTCGTCTTATAGTTAAGACTAAAGCGTGAGGGGTAAACCTCTTTGTCCACTGTCCAGTGTTCCAGCTCCGCAACTCCGTCAACCCTACGGAATCGCCGCAAAATAGTACTCCTCTGGCTACCGTCCAATAGGAACGTTCCTAAAGTTCTGAGGGGTTGACGTGTGATTCAACTATGAACAAGTTTTGGCCTCGGACAATTGAGCGATTCGGTACGCCGGCAATCGAGGGTGTTGTGCTGTTCGTGGGGTCAAGGACCCGGTTGGCGCCGATGCTGATAGATTGGGGTATGAGAACTCAACTACGAATGAATTTGCGTCGCGTGTCGTTCTTTAAGAAGGCGAGCAGCGACGAGAGTGAAAAAGATGCGAGACAGCTCCAAGATAAGAAGAGGAGCTGGTCAAGATGGGGAAGGAGCTATGGCGGCGAGGCACTCGATGCTGATTCGCTCTTTCGCTCCGAGCGCTCAACGTCATTTCTCGTCACGTGCCACGTCATGCCTTGCTCCAGACTTCTTCTCCTCTTGCCGACTGTTTCTCGTGGATCATTGACCACTGCCTTTCCAATTATTGCTATCGGCCTTCCGTGCGAAACCTAATAACGGGGACTACGGCAAGAGGACGGTCGGCGTGAACCATTGTCGGCGATGTCGGCCAATTGCATAGTCGATGGGTATCCCCGGCGATGCTCACCAATGAAATGCGGCGGAGGAGGGAGCCGTAGTATAGGTAACAGCTTGCCTGCGCAAATTCATCCTCCATTTGTTAGCGAATCTCGAAATTTGTATGGAAAGATGTGATTACAATGATGTGACAGTTGACGCCTATCTAACACGCAGCCTCACCCCAGAGGGCAATGTCGCGCACGGGGCTGACTGACAGGATTATTATGTTCGACCATCAGAACGGCTTCCTTTTGAACAGTCTTAAGACCGGTTCTTCTTTCAATCAAGCAGCAATATCCCTATTGAATATACATTTGACCTGTCAATGACATGGAAATGTAGACTGTTCTTAAGAGCTACTGAAGCAATGTCTCCACTCACTCATTTGTACTGCCACCATTACGCGCGTTTTGGAGCCAAGACATAATTTGAATGTGGGAATCTCACGATGTGACGGAAACGAACCCAGTGTCTTTGAGGCCGAGTTATCTCAAACCTGCCTATTGAAAATTTGTATTAGCGGTCGTCTCAGCCAGGAGTCAAGTGATCGCTCAATACGTCGGAGACGATTGATAGATGAGATCGATCTTTTGATGAGCAAAACACACGGGACGCCATGGAAATTCGAGGTGGTTGGTTGCTATGTCGTGAAAATCAGAGAGGAGAGAATTGTTCTCTCCGAAGCTTTTCCGTTCATGGGCTGAATTGGCAGAATTAGGAACGAAGACCATCGATCGAGTTCGAGGCTCCATACCGTCAATGCTATTGATGCGAAAAATTTCGGGTATGCTACACCGTCGGATCGCACCTTCTCAATCAATGTCGATTGGCTGAGTCCATTCTGTTAAACGAGAAGAACCTTCTCGACCGTACTGCGTACCAAAGACTGATCGTCAAGTCAAAGCTTGTTCAGATAGTGATGCATGCTTTCGAACCTACATCAGCCCCAACGAACTGACTAGGAGTCCTGAAACTAGACGAATGCTCGTCTCGCGTGGAAGAAACGATGTCACATGGCGTGCCGATCCAGAGGCAATAGATAACAACTGACCTGGGCGCCCTGAGCGTTCGGAGGCTACGAGCACCTTACTACCAGGATCCCAAGGCTTTTGACGACGTGTAATTGCCAATTCTTTCCCCGTTTGTCTGGTAGACCTAGTTGGAGAAGCGATAAATATTGATGAATTTAATAACAAAAACAAAGAACACAAAGACAAGGCCTACGAAATAAAAACAAAAAAGGCGAAAACGCTTTGTTCAAACATTTAATACATGGCTTATTGAGTGAGAAGCTAGACAAGAAGCGAGATAAAGCGCTTATGAAGAAAAGTGACTCGTCAATCGGAATATGCGCCTATTGATACCTCAAAACGGAAATTCTGGAGTGCGGCTTTATTTCCGTTTTGGGACAGAACCCTATTGACTCTCAACGACCACCTTATCTAACTTTTGAACTTACCGGACTTACCCAGCATTGTCACAAAGATATGTCTTTTAGATGCTGTAGTCCTCGAGACTCTGACTCGTTGAACCAGACTATTGCTTGCATCGCTGCTTTGGTCTGGACCAAGCCGGAAGTTGGGCGTTATCATCCTTTGCTCGCTTAGAGGATGAATCCTATTGTAAGATATTCCGCGTCATCAATTGCTATTGCTCGATTGTGTGTTTCGTCTTGAAGGATGCTGCCGTTTCAGTCTATAAAAAGGACTATCACGTCCTGGCCTTGGCTGAGGTCCTCTTGTCTCATAATACTAAGACAATTCTCACCCTTTCTTATATAAATTCTCTCCAACATATCAAAACCTTTTATCCAATCTTTTCTTTGCTTACCCGTTACCTGGAGTACGGTCAAATAGTCAACATGAAGTTGCTGGTCTTCGTGATGGCGGCTCTTGCCCTCCGCGTCGCTGCGGCTCCCATTGAAGTCGACACGGCGGATGTTGCTGACGGTGAGACTCTCGAGACTCGTGGCAACTGGTGCGGGCACCCCGGTATCACCTGCTGGTAAAGATGCTGCACCTCGAGTGCAACTTGGGTTGATGATTCATGTATGTCGATATGAGCCACCACCCCGACTGCCTTGTTATCACCTCGAGCATATAACCAAGAAATCCAAGCTAACCTGAAAGCGAATGACAAGCATGAGTCACCCCGTCCGACGCAGGATCGTCATCGATATGGAGAAGAGCCCCATATTTTGTATAGTCACGGATCGAATATCTCTCTCAGCTGCTTTCAGATGCTCGTACACGTCGTTTCTGCTTTCCCTCCGCTATTATATATATATATCCAAAACCTCGAGTGTCGACCACAAAATCGATACAAGAAGCAAAAATCAACAAGGAGCCTTTTTTGCGATGATAATTTGATGAACATACGATGACAACGGACATTTATGCAGATACGACCTTCAATCGGAAACTCTTTTTCCGAACAACTCTTCAACCAAACGTACAGTGACCTTTCAAATTGCCGGACAAGATATGAATATACGGTCAATCTGATTGTGGTTGTGTTTGGGAGATCTCTCCCACGTGTATGCATTAGTCACGATGTCATCTTGGACTTTTTGCTTGCATGTACTTGTACATATCACACTCATTTACGCACATATTTACTCTGCTTCGTGGGTCTAGTCTGACCTTCGTACCTGTGGACTTTAACAATATGCTCGGGTCGCTGATCCCAGTCGATTAATTCGGTCCAAGTTCTCGGACAGAACAATCGGCGTCTATGGACAACTTCATCTGAATACGACGCATTTTTGTTGTTTTACTTATTTTGCTTCTACTTTGTTAATACTTGAATCAAATTTGCACCTGTTATTTATTTCCTTGTATTCTTCGTAGTCAGAGTTAATCCGACGGCAAAATCTGAGCCAGTTCAAGAAATTTAGGTATATATTCGTACGTAGATATCGGCGTAATTCAATCTCTGTTCGTGAAAATGTCTATACCTAATACATCGCCTGAAGATAACCACGTGGCGCAGTTTCAACTGCTCAAAATCTCGAGGTCGATTTTAGATAACGTCATCCGTTGGACTTAGGTCTTTGTACATCACGTGGAAATCATCGAGACGAATCGGTTGTTGCGCAACGCCGGACTTCGGATATAACATCGAGTTTGCGACAAAAACGTTCGAAGGCTGGGCAAAAGCCTTTCAAAAAGGCGTCAGTTAGGTCACAAGGTAACTCCACTTGGCATAGTCAATGTTACCCACTCAGTTTCGGTATATCAGCGCTGCTCGCCACACGTTCTTGGTATGGGGATACCTTAGAGGTTAGAAGCTGCCGAAACACCTGGAAAAGTCCGAGGCAAATAATTCAGTGGTGGTAGCGAGCGGCAGGACCTGTAGCAGAGGAAAAACTTGACAATCAAAGCTAATAGCTTGATACTACGTGGTGCCCACTTTCTCAGCCGCAGAAAGCTACTTTTCCTTTATCTAGAAATACTTGACTATCTAACAAGCCTATGACAAGAGAACCATGCATGACATCTAGACTCAGATGATAGTCTAAGCATGAGCCCTATGAAGCCTATCTCAGCCTCGATGCAATGTTTCGTCGTTGCCTGAATCTAATCAATGTATTTCTTTGGATTGCCACCGCGATTCCTTCTTTTTGGAAGTTCATTCTTCTTTCCCACTGGCAGCTCCACCTCCCCATAATTTATCTTATTTAGTACTTTGTTAATTAGGTGGCGGCTGAGCGACTGAAAGCGGAGCTAATCCTGATGTATATCCTATCGAACTACCACGTAGGTAAGATTAGATGGAGCTTGGCACCGGTTTTCTACTATGTAGACTATTTAGTGCTAGAACTTTGTTGACTCTAGTCCTTATTTGAATGCTGCTAGTTCACCTACCGGCGTGACATTTTATACCACTTTGTATGGAATTTACACTTTAAACTTGGAGTTTGGGCTTGTATCTTTTACTGTGACCAATCGGAGCAGCTCCACCAAAATTACCACTAAGAAAAATGATAATACCTAGAGATTTGGAATGGAAATAAAGCTTCCATCAGTCTTCCTTAGAGGTATTATGGAGTGGTACTCCGTTACTCCGTATTGATACTTCATTATTTCATAAACAAATAAACAGGTGAGTTTGGTCAGTGGCCCATCAGCCCCATTAATGAATCTTCAGCCAAGTCAATGCTAATATTACCCAAGCCGTCAAGAAGAGCCTTGTTCCAGAATGCTAGCCTAGTCCCCACAGCCACTACAAAAAGAGTAATGTACGATGCAAAAGTTAAATGAATAATGACCATCTGGAGAGCTAGGCAGTGGCGTGTTGCATGGTATCTGCCGAAGTCGGTAATTTGAGATGTACGTAAAACATCGAATACTACAGATAACGCTCACATGCATCAGGCGTTTGGAAAGAGTGCACTCTGTCTCGATTACATTCAACTCATTCACAAGGTTGCACTTTATACTAGCTTCCCAGGCTGTTAGCTATGGCTAGAAATTAGTGTGGATTCTCAGACAGACTACCAAGTATATATAGATAGTCTTCCCAATCCTATTGAGAATCTTTCTCCCAGTCTCACCAAACGGAAAATTCAGCTGTGTTTACAGCTGCGTTTTCAAGATGAGACGTCTTCTGTTCCTGATTGGAGCATTACTATGCTTTTGCAAGGTTCAGTCAAAAGCTGTCTTTGCACATTTTATGGTAAGAATACCTGCACTCCCCCGCAATTTCCAGTGCGGATGCTGAATTCTTGCATTAGGTTGGAAATGTTGCCTTCTATACAACTCAAGATTGGCAAATCGATATCGCTGCTGCAGCTGAAGTAGGTATAGACGCGTTTGCCTTGAATATCGCCTATGGAGATGATACTGTCAGTGCATCTGTCGCTACTGCATTTACGGCACTTTCAGATATGAACACAGACTTCAAATTGTTCTTTTCCTTCGATTATGCTGGTGGCGGTCCATGGCCCTCAGCAGATGTTGATTCGTATTTGGGAGAGTATACTGGAAACGCTGGATACTATCATACGGACGGCGGACAACCTTTCGTCTCTACTTTTGAAGGACCAGCAAATGCACAAGATTGGGTTGCTCTCAAAGCTAACCATAACGTCTTCTTTATGCCGGACTGGTCGTCCCTTGGCGCAGGTCCAGCATGGGCTCTTGGTGTTGCTGATGGACTTTTTAGTAAGTTTTCCTTCAGTCTGAAAATGACTGTGAGTGGGGACTTGATTCGAAATAAGCTATACTAACTCAACGTCAATCAGGCTGGGCTGCTTGGCCATGGGGAAGTCAGGACTCAAATACCTGGGTCGATGCTTCGTATCTGCAGGTCCTTAAAGATGGTGGCGACACAGGATTTCCCTATATGATGGGGGTATCTCCAATGTTTTACACAAATTTACCGTATGAGTCTCCATTCTTTCGTCCCCCCCCCTTCTCCAAATTCTTGCTCGTCATTTTACTTTGGGGTTTCGTGTGTTGGCACATGATTGGATCGAGCTCCATCGTATTCTGCATAACGCGGACATGGTGCTGTCAAGTTCCCACCGTATCGTCAGGAAAGAAGAACCGTTTCATTACGTGACACTTTCTCCCGCTGTAAAAACAGCTGTCGAGGACTTCAATGCTGACAACGTTTTCCACGCAGAGGCTACGACAAAAACTGGGCATGGAGAGGAGATCGTCTCTGGTTTGACCGCTGGAAAGAGGTATTCTTCTTGCAGCCTGACTACGTTGAAATCATAACCTGGAACGACTGGGGAGAGAGTCATTACATCGCACCAGTCGMCCCGACACAGAGTGACTCAGTTCTAGGGCTTGGACAAGCCCCGTTCGATTACGTGTCGGCTTACAGTCATGATGGCTGGAGATATCTTTTACCGGTCTTCACCTCTCTATATAAAACCGGCAAAGCACCTTTGCCAAGTCAAATTATCACCGCCTGGGGTCGGAGTACATCTACCAATGCTGCTTGTTCGGTTAACGGGACAACAGTCAACACCGCAAGCCAGCTGCAACTCGAGTTTCCGCCGAATCAAGCGCTATCAGATACTGTTTTCTTCGTGGTGTTTGCCTCAGATGAGGTTGATCCAGAGGTAAAAGTGACAGTTGGAGGTACCTCGGTCGTTGCGGCTTGGTCTGATTACATCGAAGCTGGTGATGCAACTATCTATTTCGGCAATGCCAGTTTTGTAGGTCTTACTGGGGACGTCCATATTACAGCCACCAACTACGGACTAGACATTCTGACTGCTACCGGTGTCATCTCTGGCGATTGCTCAGAGACAGACGGATACATGAATTTCAATATGTGGACCACTTACGAGATCGAGGAGAATATCGCCGATCAGACAGCGATCATGTCAATCGAGGACTTCGTATGTATCGCAGGCACAAGTATCGAAGAATTCTCAGATCTATGCGAGTATACGTGTGCTCTTGGATACTGTAAGTGCAATTTATTCTGAGTAGTCAGTTCCAATCAGGCCGTCAGATTTTGTCCAGACCTCGGGTTGCGGTCTTGCGTATTGGGACTCTGGAAACGCTTCTCTTCGACCCAAATACAAAGCGTCATCAACACCAATCATCATTAACACTTCACAAGATCCTGTGGTTATTACCAATGCTAATCTTAATTACGTATAGGCCCGTACACAGCATGCCTGTGCTCAGCAATCGGCCCTCAACCAGACCGCCCGACACCTGTTGCAACACAATGCTACCCGCTTGCTAATGCAAGTATTGTCTATGAAGGACTGTGCAATTTTGCTTGTACCTATGGATACTTAGACACAGATCATTGTGGAACAGCGGAAGTCGCAGTACCTACACCAACAGTCTCTCCCTTCACTCCTGATGCAGCGACAGGAGGTACAGGAAAGGGCGACAACCCTGCCTTCGACGATCTTTGTGAATTTACATGTCAATACGGATACTGTCCAATTGCAGCTTGTATTGTTACAGATGTAGGAGACCTAGTCCTGTTTACGGGGGATGTCACCACTGCCAAAGCCAACTTCACAGCGGAACCCTGGAACGAATTTCTTAACGACCTATGCACTTTTAGCTGCAACCGAGGCCACTGCCCTGATTCTTGTTCGTCTGATTTGGCTTGCACTTCTGGCATTGGTGATGGTAACTATGGCGGATTGTGTGACTTCAGTTGTGGATACGGTTTTTGTCCAGAACCGTGTACATGCCTTTCGAATGGGACACGATCTACTCCACCAACATACGACCCTAACATCGTTGGATATCCTGACACCGGGCTTGATGTCGATACGTACGGCCCTCTGTGCAACTTCACTTGCTCTCACGGCTACTGTCCTACGCCGGGCGCATGCTTGGAAGCGCTCAGCATCAACCCAGATCTAGAAAACACCACCTTCACCCTGCCTGCCCTAGAGGATTACGTTCCGGAGAACGTTACGTACAGTCCTGGCGACTTATACGTCTATATTTCGGATGAAAATCCAGATTTAAGCTTGCAAGTCACCTTGCAAGGTGCGAATGGCGCAAGCGATGGTGAGCATCTCCCTCCTCCTCTCAACCTTCAAAAGGTATCATTGTATATGCCCATTCACCAATTAAATCTCTCACTGACTCACCTCAACTTTATTGCTTGATTCTCTTTTCTATATTTGAATGCTCATCTATTTTGTAGTGCCTGCTGGGAGTTTGGATAGAGATGATCTGGACGAAATCGGTGACGCCGCTGAGCTCATCATGATCACTATCTTGAACGATGATTACGCTCTCTCGAAGCGTGACGTCCGAACCCACAATGACTATCAATTTGTCACGCATTCTCACTGGAAGCCGTCTGGTAATTGCACCACCAGACACTGCATGTTGGCAGCAGATGCTCCGTTGGAGACATGGACGTCTGTGGGTAACGGAAGCTATAAAGGTGTGCCGCATGAAGTTCACTTCATGAACACGGGCAAAAACCATGGCTATTCTGCCACCCGTCAGCTTCTTTCAAACAGCACCCATAGCAAGCGAAGGGGCGGATATGGCAGTATACAAACGACACAGTTTGTGTTTGGCCAAGGCTACTTGAGGAAACCCTTGATCTCATGGGATGAAGAGGAATTTGGAAATTTCGATAAACCAATCCAAGACTTAACGGCCTATGGCGCTATGGACAGCGCAAACAAGGGATACCTGACAAACTGCAACGTGTATATGGATAATAGCACCGCCTTCGACGACGACAACACCACCAGCATAACCGGGGGTGGGATGTCTTTCTCAGTTCCCGGCGTGGCTACCGCTGTTGGATTGTCGGCTGCTGCCATCGATAAACTCGTGTCGACTTGCGTCGGTGACGAACAGACGCCACAGACTTATGTCATCTACCCGCGCGACGGCACTGAGGTAGATTCCCTCTCGCAGCTCCTTGCATCTTTTCAAAATGCAAACGTCGCCACATACACCTCCCTAAACAGCTATGGTGTGCTGTATTGGACAGCAGATCTCACCCCCCTTCAATGGAGAAAGGTTTCACAGCAAAAGCAGGTAGGCAACTCCCTGAAATATCCCCCCTGGGTGCTGTAATGACAATGATATTAGTGTAAAGCAGCTCCAGCCAAGTGCAAGAGTGGCTCCTGCCCAAACCCAGGCTTTCGTATTTCAGATACCAATATAAACGCCATATACAATACTACGGTTGGAGAACTATTTGAGCGCGATGGCTCAATAGTCACCGAGTCCAACGCGCCTGACGACCTTTCGTTCATTTCGCAACCACCAGGTAGTCCAGCCGTGCCTGCTGATAAACTATATACATATGACAGTACAGGGGGACAAAATGTCGTTGTTTACATTCTCGACCATGGAAGGTTTGATATGACCTTTCCCGTGAGTACTGTCTTCCCTAATATGCTGAGGTCTGAGCTGACAATGAGGAGGAATTTGCGGAATGGGCATTGGTTCCTGGCACAAACCAGATTGTTAGCTCCATTACACCTAAAATTGTTGGTCCAGACGGATGGGTACCGCCATACGATGGTAACGGAATAACCTCGCACGGAACAACGATGTTAGCGGTGATGGCGGGACTCACTAAAGGAGTCGCAAAACATATTACACCTGTCCCCATTTCATTTGATTGGGACGATGGACCGCAATGGATTCTGAACGCTTTAGACTGGATAGAAAACGATTGGAAGATACGCAAGCTAACTTTAGACTCTGCCCTCGCCCCTTTGGGCGTTCTCAGCATGAGCTTCGGGTATGGGAGATCACAAGAAAACGATCCCGTTGGTTTCCTCGCTTCCATTCACTTGAATAATCTAGTCGAGCTTGGTATCTTGCCTGTGGCTGCAGTAGGAAATGATGGAGTAAGTGATGTTCCCCGCAAGTTCATTGTTGTTATAGTACAGTGTTGACATAGGTATACAGTTACCGGTGCATGCATGGCCTGCACGATTTGCCGACTCGAGTCAATATGACGTTGTGGACTCACTGATTGCTGTTGGCGCCGTTGACAATGATGGCTACCAATGGAGTGATAGTAATTATGCCAGTTACGTGAATGTTTATGCCCCTGGCGTGGATATTGAATCAGCTCCTGGGTGGGTTGAAGGCGTCGTAGGCGTCCCAGGGTTCGGGTCCACTAGCGGAACATCAGTTTGTACGTCGAACCTGGAGCTTTAAACTGAGATGAGAAAAAGAGCTAATGAAACTTATAGCTTGTGCCAAGACTGCCGGTCTAGCTGCCTATTTCATCGGACTGTCATCGAATAAAGCAAAATATACAAATACGCAGGCCGTTGCGGATGATATAATGCGCCTGACGTGGTCACGGGGTGACAGTCCGGCTATTTACAACAATATTGTGTTGACTGGTTAACTGGTAGTGATATAGCTTATTATTATTGAATCATTAGGCTCAGTAGTCTGTTGGGGCTGGCAAGACTATTTTTGTTGTAACTATATCGCTTTTCAGGGAGCTTGGAGCCTAGGGCAAGTCTGGTCACACGGCTGACTAAGCGATCCACTTAAGTTAACTTCAGTGCCTCAATATTAGCTTTCATACAAATACTATTTCATCCAAACTAATCTTCACAGCCAGATAATTTGAACTGCAAATAATGTAGCGACTTCCTACATGTCTCATCATCATCAAGATGCTAATCCAACACCTGCCCGGGCACGTCCACGACGGGGTCCGGCATTCTCATTGAATCCTCTCCCACCTCGTAGTTCTGGCAGTCAATTTGCGACTCCACCTCGATTCCAGTTCGCAAATGAGCCGCGTACAGGCGATGATAGGAGCATATTTCGAAGCAGTAGTCCACTGGTACAAGGGTTCTTTCGAGCGCCCGATCAAAGATTTGATAATTCAAGTCCCTTGAAGGGAGAAAGAAATAAGCCTGTGCAGGTTTCTGATGACGAGATTGAAGATGATTTCCACGACACAAAGGACACCACTGGCCTTGAAGATGAAGTGTCCGGAGCGCTGGATGAACTGTTTTCAATCTCACGGCATTCAAACAAACGACCTCGAGCATCTTCGCATTCGGCACACAAACCAGTCAGAACAGAAATTGTTGACGACGACTTTGATGAAATCAACGATTCAGGTTCTCCCATACCCGATTCTCCGTCAACATCAGTCCGGAGCAGAACCAAGAACCCTAAGCTGGAATTTCCCACTCCACATATAGAGCCTAATCGCCAGCTAGTCAACACCGAAATTTCTGAGCCTAAGAGCTTTGAGCTAGTTTCTGAGCCTCAAACGCCAGGTCAGGCTTATACTCTACAAATCGAAGATGCCAGCTCAAGCATTGAAAAAACATCTACTTCTCAAAACCGTCCACGCTTCATTCTCTCAGCGAATTATACTCCTGCATCGACTATCACACGAGCTACCTCAACACCGCAGCCCGCACGGAAGAAACCTGCATTTGTGCTACCGCGATCACCATCCCCAGATAAGGAGGATGTCTCGTCGTCGACTATCCCGGTACCTTTTTCGCCTGTAGCAACTCGTACTCTTCGCCGTTCAGGGCGGCCGAAATCAGGCGCGGCTGCAACTTATGTACCTGGTGGTATGGCCGAGCATCTTCGAGATTGGATTATGGAAGCCGACATGAAACGCAAAGCTACAATTGAACGACAACCACGTCGAAATCTGAATGATGCCAGAGATTTTACAATTGGCTGGATTGATTCTTGTCATAACGCCTTTTTGAAATCTTCTGGCCCAGTTATTATGGCCCGAGTAACTCTCGAAGCTAGCAGAGAGGAGCCGCCGACTGATAATGGTGCCCAAATTATGACCGTGCTGCTACTTGGTGCAGCCGCTTCTCGTGGAAATACTAACAATGGTCGCGGATCATCTGTTACTAGCTCAGTTCCAGGCGAGAGATTGAAACCCGGCGATAAGGTCGGGATCGGAGTGGGCCTGTCATGGGAAGTTGAGCTGGATTCCATGAACATTGATGATACAACACACATAAAGCAGGTGTCCGTGCAGCGAGTTGTTCCCTCTTCTCAATCCGATTCCGAAGATGACCTTGAAGACCTTCAAGACGAAAACCGATCATTTGCGGCGAGTTCTGCGCATCCTACACATTCTACTTCGAAGACGTGGCTAGTAGCTGCCGAGTGGGATTTATTGAGCGAGACTGGAAAATAGTTGACAAGCTTCATGCCTACCAACAAGATTCACATGTTGAGAAGAAGCGCATAGTTTCTATACGCAAGACCAAACCATACCGTATCTAAATTGACACCTAGTATACAAAATCTAGAATAATGATGCACGCTCAAAGATCATTGACTCATAACCAAAACTAGTCGTCTCATGTGCTCTTATTCTCAAGCCTAGTCAACGCATTCACCGTGATACCACAGCCCCATTTTACCAACTTCTTCTCCTTGCTACTAGCCACAATATCCGACTTGGCAACCACCTTGCGGATGAAATATATCAGTCCTTTGACAATATGCGGCGCAGTTTGATGGGTTTGCGCAAATATACGAGTGAGAAGAACAGCCTGTTTATCCTTGAGCTCTTCTTCAGTTTCGGCTTGTTTCTTTTTCAAATCCGCAGATTTCGTCTTGCGTGTCGATGACGGGGACGTTTGCTGGAAAACTGTGATAATCAAGACTTCGACAAATGTGCTTGTTTTCGGTTGCAGGTAGGCAAAGTTTAGATTTTTCAGTATCGCCAAGTTGAGAGAATTATCGCTGACCAAGTTGCCATACATTTTGGCAAGATTGACAATAGACTTGATGTCTAGTTTTGCATTGTTGGAGCCATCTTCGTCAAAGCCGTGGAATTCGTCGTCGCTACCTTCTTCGTCGAGGTCGTTAGTCTCACCCAAACGTTTGAAAATATCCCATAGAGTGAACACGAAAGACATTTTAATTCGTCGGCCCATTTCACTGCAGAGTCGGCGGGCGATCAGGTGGTAGTAGGGATTGTAGGCCTCTTCTTCCATGGCGCAATGGACGAGGACACGCGGAATTTCGTATTCTTGGTTCTTTTTGAGACGCAGTTTCAAAAGTCGAACGTGCGCATCTCGGTAGTCTGTTGCTGACATGATGGCTACGAAGATTGAGCGTCGGACGTCTGTGTTCATGCGATGCGCTTTGGCGATGGCCGCAAGGTCCGGCTCTCCGTCACTATCTTGATCTTTTTGCACCTGATTTGAAGCGAGAGCGGTTGAGGAAGTAGACAGCTCCTGACGCGCAGCCTCAAGGGGGTCCAATTCTTTCCAACTAGCACCTACAAGCCACCATTTTCCTTTTCTGTCTGAGTTCTGAATATCGCTTCTCGAGACTCGAATTGGTTCCGACGCTCGCACATTTCGATTATTCAAAGATCCCAAGATTTTGCGCATCTTAGTGATGTGTTCAGACGAGATGCTGGATGCCACAGTGCCGGTTTTCAGGCGATTGTTCTTGAGATCGGTAATGGTTTCAATCATGAATTTTGTACGAACAGACAAGGATGATTCGCCGATTCGCGCTACAGCTGGTTGAATGAGGAGTACAATATCTTTGAGGGCTGACGGATCGTCCTGTCGAAGCTGAGGTCCCGAGGCTAGAAAGGTGTTGGTCAGTAAAGGTATGAGTGCATGGAGTGGTGAAAGAGAAACATACTGCGAATAATCTTGAGAAGAAATTCGGTATTTGTCTCGTTGATCTCCTCAAGAAACAAACGAATGTAATCAAAAACGAGATTGCTTCCGACCACATGAAAGTTATAGAGCTGTGAAAGGAGCGACACCAAATTCAACTGTTCTTTTCCAGTAAATGGACCCCTCTCATCGGCCGAATTGTCAAACATTTCTACTAGAGTCTGGATGACCATGGCGCCAAAATCCATTCCAATCAACTTGTACAATCCAGCTATGAAACCAGCATGCAGAATGATAAATGTATCTTGTAGGGCCGCTCGGTCAGCGACCTGGGTAAGGAGTAGTGTCAGTAATGTCGAAGTAACACTTTGACGTGGGTTCTCGCGATATAGTTTCTCGACATCGTTAAGGGTGGAGATCAAATTGGCTTCCGAAAGCTTGTTCAGTAAACCCTGTGCTTGCCGACGTAAGCGTGCATCTTCTTCCGACTTGCTTCCTGCCGGAACCCTCATTGACGGAGGAATGTATTTCGTTGTAGACGGCGTCTTTGTAGGTGGTGCAACGTAGGGATTTTCTCGAACGCGCTCTTGTTTCGGTTCCTCCACTGATTCACCATCACTTTCCATATCTTCCTCAGACCCTTCAAAATCTTCAGATCCATCTTCCGCACTTTCGTGGTCTTCATCTGACCCATCTTCTCCGTCATCGTCTGCAGATTCTTCAAGACCGTCCCAATCTCCAGCATCGCTATCATCCTCCTCATCCTCCTCATCCAAACCTTGAGCTCGTCTCCTTTTTCTTTGTAACCACTCTTGCTCTTCTCGTTTTCGTTTCTTACTATCGTCCGCTTCTGAATCCTCGCCAATATCACCTAGAAGATCTGCAAGACCATCCTCCTCAAAGGCTTTTGGTAGCTTGTTCTTTCCTTTAATACCTAGTCGTTTTTCGAGTGCCTCAATTTCCTTATCGTCCTGCGCAAGTTTATCCTTTACAGTTTTCGATATTGTGGGCTTCTTGGGTTCGGCCTTATTTCGGTCGATCGTCTTGGTCTCATGCGATTTGGATGCTTTCGCGGGCGCAGGTCGCTCCTCTTCTTCGCTCGGAGATTCATCCTCACTTTCATCCTCAGACTCGCTTTCGGCCTCTCGTCTTCTGTTCATGCCGCCCCTCGGACGATCGTGTTGTTGTCTTTTTCCATGTCTCTCTTCCTTTCGTCGCTCTTTGCGCGATACGGATCGGGTTTGATTTCTTTTCTTCTCGCCATAAGTATCTCTGATTCCCAACTCAGCTCTTAATCCTCGCGGAAGCGCCGTAGTGAGATGCCTTGGCCGCGGCATGTTGTCTTGTTTCTGTTAAGGTCTGCAAAAATTGTTGCAGATGTTCAGAAATTATTTGCGGAGATGAGAATGAAAAGTGGTCCGAGCTTCCGCACTTTTCTTCCCCACCAAATCTCGGACACCACCACAAGTATAACGCAGTCTACACATTCAGACAATTCAATTCCCTTTCTTCGAATACGCATTGGGCATTGCATCCAATCCTTTTTCTGCATCCACGCCTACTACTCCAACCTGATAAGCTATCCTGTGAAGACCACGACCTGTGGCCACTTCCCCTCATGGCGCCGCACCTTAGCAACGACGAGGTCAGTCCATCCCATCACCCGTCGCTTTTCACAAGACTAACACGACACACCAGTTCTTCGCTTCATTATCAAACCTCCTCACAAGTACCTCCCAAAAGACCCAAGGAAGCGTCTACCTCACCCAAAAACGGCTCACCACCACCGCCTCATCCTCCACCGACCCATCAATAACTGAAGGCTCAATCCTCGTGCGCGCAACAGACGGAAAGACACAGAACCCGAAGCCCACAAAAGTCGCCGAAGGTACTACGGCTTCCAAAGTGACAAAAAGTAAAAAGGCGGCCAAATTGAAGTTGTCGACCATCGTGAGTCCGGCGGATTTGGAGGCGTTCTTTATCAGGTATGCGGATATTTGCAAAGCGGGGATGGCGGGACTGAAGAAGAGGGACCGTAGTGCAAAGAAGAAAGGGAAGGCGAAAGCGAAGTCTGGGAAGGCTTGAGGATAGGTCAATGGTGGTTGCTGGGGAGGGGTTTCTGTGTGTAGTAGAAAGGTGGATGAAAAGAAGCGAGATATATTATTGCATGAGCCTGGCGTTGATTTGTTATTACTGGGTCTTCTATTTCAGTTTTTACAGTGAGGAATGCATTAAATTACATGGGTGTTCAGGACTTTTGTTCATATCAGGTCGATTGTGAAAATTGATTCGTTGTATAAGTATAGACATACATGAATACTAGCACTCTGACTCGTCACAAGATGACTTGGAACTTGAATATTAATATTGTCACAGAAAGAGGCACAATTAAAATACATAAATCATCTGGCACAGTTATCATAGCAGTGTCTCTCCATGCCGTAAATAGAGCCATACGTGAATGCGCGCTGTAAAGGAATAATGTAAGAGGTCGTGTCAATGAAAATCATGAAATGGGTATGAGATATTCGAACAAGGGTAATGTGTATGCATAGAAGTAATTCGCACATAAAGCTCTACCCCGTACTCGCTTTGAGGGGAGTGGCGTCAAAGCTTTGAGGGATTTGAAAGATCACTCGAGATCAGACAAGGCATCGCTAGGGTCTCCAAGAGATAAAGAGCGACGAAATGTACCGGGTGTCTTGGGCATCTTGAAGTCGTTCTCATCTCCATCACTCTCATTGGTTGATTTCCGGGGAGCGTCGGACGCATCTCTTTGTGCGCTGTCCTCGCTTACGAACTGCGCTGCAAGGTGAATGAAGAAGAGGAGAAGCTGTAAGGGTAGAATGAGCACCAGAGAGCAAGCCTTGTTGAAGAGCAATGTCGTCATGCTTTTCGACGGTCGAGGTGCGAGATATTCTAAAGTGGAAGCTGGTGGAAGGGGCGAAAGATCCCGTTTTCTGAAGGATCGAGTCCGGCGCAATTCTCTCAAAATACTGTCCCTTCTGTCTGCGGTGGGGGAATTCGGGGATAGTACGTCCGCTCCCGTTGCAAGGGTTGCATTGGCATCGAAAAACTTGTGTTCAGAGGCAGGCAGTAAAGGCAAGAGATCCCGGTTTTCGAGAGATTCGGTTTGGCCAAGTTCCAATAAGGTACTATCTCTTCCATCTGGTGTAGAGTAACTAGGAGATAATACGTCTACTTCGGTTCTAAGAGTAGCGGCGGCATCGGAAAAGTCGGGTTCGGGGGAGGAAGAAGATGAAGAGATGCTATTAAGATCCAGGTTAGGCTCAGCCTGTTCCTGTGTCGTAGAAACTGGCTCCATTAGGTCATTATTAGGTGTAGGTTGGAACGTAGATAGCGATTCGGCTGTTATAGTTGCCTCCGAAATATCTCCGTTATGATTGTGTAAGCGCTGATGTGCAAGCGTGAGATTCGGCAATTGATCATCAAAAGGAGAGGCTGGATGACTCAGATGCGATGGTGAAGGGGGGGAGTTTGAGTCTTGACGTGAAAGAGACTGAAATGATTTGCTATCGTCCTCGCTGTCTGATTCTGGTATCGGCTGGAATCTAGCGAGCATGTCATGGACTGAATGCGCCGGCTCTGTTATTGATCGCTTAGGGGCGCTAAGTGTGAGTTCCGTATCATCTGCTGTATCACTAATCGGAATGTCTTCGGATGTGGTAGAGTCGAGATGTGGCACGCTGGTTGTTGTTGTCGAAACGCTGTCGTCGGTAGTGTCACCATCATACACATCGACCATGTCGTGCTGCACATTCTCGCCTTCATTTGCAGCATCCGGCCATGTCTTATCCGACTCTGACCCGGCCGGAGCACTTTCGCGTCGGTGTTTTGGGCGCCAAGCTCTTTTCTTCTTTGGTATATGAGCCTCGGCCGGCAGCGGCACACTGAAACCACGCTGAAAAGGGCAGGGCGTTACTTCATAGCGAAGAACATTGGCTAAAGCGGTTTTGAAATTCTCGATTAACTCCACGTCTTCCGGAGTCTGGTCTGGAAGCTCAATACGGTAATAAGTCAAAGATCGAATGCGCAGTACGAATGTCGATTTGCCGTCAACACACCAGCATTGTGAATTCTTCAGAATTGCCTGCACGACATTTCCACATTTTAAGAAGGGAGATAAGCCAGTTGGGATTTCCAATCTCAAACGCCCGACAGCCACAGTTCTTTCCGCCGGTGATCGCCACGGTAGGGTCTCGATCGTGTCCACCGGATAGTCAAAGTCGATAGATGGCGCCAATTGCGACGGTGTAGGAGGCGCATCGGGAGCGAACTTGACGATTTTGGCGGAAGGGTGGAAGAAGAGGACGGGGTCGAATCTGTCATGGGTAGTAGAAGTTTCACTGAATCGTCGCCTTTCCGAAATAAACTTTGAAGGCAATGTCGCGGATCGCCGGATTGGCGCGAAGCCAGTTCCAGATGGCTGGGTCATGGTTCGCATGAGCCGCAAGGGAAGGACGTGTGAGGCTGCCGTTGACAGCTTAAAATGCGCCGCGCGCCATGTTGGCTTCGTGCAAGATGTAGTCGGGACAGAGTCATGGATAGCAAGTTACTGCATGCCGAGTCTGTGCGACGTCAATCGGACATGGGTTGGCGGGGAGTTGCGAGAGATAGACAAGGTGAGAGCGAAAGGCACGGACTGTCAATAATAAAAGCGTCTGATATAGTTTCACTAGGCTGAGCTAAGCTAGGCGGCCCGCAGCGAAGATCGTGACACGTGATGTCGCGTGTCTTATCAACGAGGCAGCATCCCTCGCATTCGAGGAAAAAACGGACAGCAAACTGAGTATATCATGGTACATTGATAGCGCTGCTATCTCCATAATTCTCTAGATTTACTTACATAGCGGTACATGCTGTATGCAAATGCAAGACATACGTCCGGCTGAGCGTCGGCGTATAAGCTTTTCCGGTGCCGAGAGCGCTGACATCATATCAACAATCTATTTTTGACACACTACGCAGGCAGCTGTCCTCTCTTCGCAAATCCTTCGTCCTCAATGCCTGTTATTGTCGCCTATTACGATATCTTCAGTTAAAGGCTCACTCCTACGGCCACCTCGTCTAGCTACCTTCCCTGGCAATGTCTCAGTTCGAGCCTAATGCCATTCTGCGGGGAGCCCAGCTTACCGTTGTTGGGAGTAAGCCTGTTTCTATACCGTTTCTTCTTGAGGATGGTAAACTAATCGCGGTTCTTTGATATAGCACTCCGAATACTGCGCAACCCTAATCTATTTAAGCATGACCACTTCCGTCAAGCTGCTCTGGCCGTCGTTGTCGGGGTGGTGATTCACCTAATCTTACAAATTCCAGTAAACACAATAGCGGTCATATTAGTGACCTAATAACTAACAATCTGGGTTAGATGATTATAATAAAACTAGCGCTTCAGATAGCTTCGGTCGTGGTCGATTTGGACTCTGCAACCTGGGATGACAAGCTCATTGGAGGACTGAACTTCATATCGAACTCTGTGCTTCAAGTGCCATTCCTACTCATGACCCTCATGCGATACATTACGCCTACATTAGACGACATGTGAGTTGATATTCTGAACAGATACGAAACGATGCGCTTTTACTAATCTTATTCGGTCACAGCTTTCTTCTATCCCTCGAATGGGTTGATGCCACCTACGTCGAAAAGCATAAAACTGATGATCCTCGAAACACTAGAGCCATGTACTACCCGAACCTTGTCAAATATCCGACCAGGCAAAAAGGCGCCCCCTCGAAACCACAGAAGCCAATAAATGCCGCATTAATGGCTTTTTTGAACCGATACGCTCGTAGAGTTGGGATGTGGCTGGGCATCTACATTTTGTCGTTGCTACCGGTGGTTGGACGATTTGTTATGCCTGCTGCTAGTTTCTACAGCGTCAGGAAATCTATCGGCACGACACCAGCAGCGGTCATATTTGGATCGGGTTTAGTATTGCCAAAGCGATACATCGTTTTCTTTTTGCATACCTATTTTGCCTCGCGAAGCTTGATGCGCGAACTTGTAGGTTTCATCTTAAGTTGATAACCGCATTGAAGTGTAACAACCACTGACAGAACCTCAGCTTGACCCCTATTTCTCTCGTATCAAATTCGACAAGGACCAAAAACGACGATGGTTCCTTGACCGCGAGGGGGTTCTCTTCGGCTTTGCTTTTGCTTTCACCATCGTGCTCAAGACACCATTTGTCGGCGTGCTCATGTACGGCATTGCGCAAGCGTCCACAGCATACCTAGTCACAAAGATCACCGATCCTCCTCCACCTCCTGAACGTAGTGAGGGGTTCGCCGAGAAACAAATCACCTGGGAGAATAAGCACGACTTTTTGCAACTTTCCGTCGACACTCTGGACAGAATTAATGTGAGTTCTGTTGATAAGACCCAAGCCAAGAGCACCGGCGCGGATGTATCTCCAAGCACTGGAAAGAACTATTCGTGATTACGCTCTCTGCAGTGTTGAGAAACCTATCTACCACTGCGTATGTCACTGGTATAAAAAATTGCAATGTGGTGACTCGATGACGCTGCGAGTTTTAGACCTTACCCAAATTCTAATTAGCTATAAATCAGAAAGTGGAATGGATAGATACTTTTGTTCTAGACATACTAATGGCCCTATACAAACGTAGCTAAGAGAAAAATTTCCTAGCAGCCTCTTTCTGCTTCTTGTCAGCCTCCGCAATAATTTTCTTAACCCTCGCAATCTCATTGCTAATAGCAGCGTCACCAGGAGAGAGCTTCAATGCAGCCTCAAGGTCTTTAATAGCAGCATCCTCCTCCTTCAACCCAACTTGCGCAACTGCACGGCGATAATAAGCCTTTGCGCGGTCTGCATCCTTTGCATCAGCGGCATCGGCAGTCTCTAAAGCGTAGCCGGCCCAGGTCTTGCCATCCTGCCAGCGTTTGAGCTTGTTTGCGAGCAGAGCCGAGTTGGAGTGTAGTGTAAATCGTAGAGCTTTCATTTGTCCCTCAAGTTCCTTGGGGTCCTTGTCGTCGGCGTTGGGTACTTCGTTCAGGTAACGTAAAGCCTTTTGGTACTTTTCCAGGCCGACGTATGTTTGGCCGGCCTTGAAAGCTGTATTTCCGAGTTCCTTGAGCTTAGTCGCGATTTCATAGGCTGAGGGAGCCGTCAATTCAGAATCGTGGTCTGCGGGGTAGTCTTCGTATGGGTCACCGGTAGCATCGACGGCCTTTTTGTCGGCGTTCTCGTATTCTTCGCCCTTTAACTCCCCGCAGTCGGCGATAACGACATCCTTAATCGGCTTGTCGGCTTGTGTGGGCATGTTTTCGATCTTGCGAACCAGACTCTTTCCATTGATGACCTCTCCGAATACGACGTGCTTGCCGTCCAGGTGCGGGGTTTCGACTGTTGTGATGAAGAATTGGCTACCGTTGGTGGCAGGGCCGGAGTTGGCCATGGATAGGAGGAAAGGACGGTCATGCTTGAGATCAAAATTTTCGTCTTCGAATTTCTCGCCGTAGATGGATTCACCGCCGGTACCGTTGAAGGCTGTAAAGTCACCGCCCTGGATCATGAAGTTTTTGATGACACGGTGGAAAATTGAGCCTGCCACTGATTAGATATTGCTCTCGCGCGGATATCGAGCTACCAGGAGAATTGTACCCTTGAAACTGAGTAGCTTTCCTTGCTTTCCAATGCCCTTTTCACCGGTACAGAGAGCACGGAAGTTGTCCGCGGTTTTGGGGACCACTGTTGTTGCGAAGAACGAGCTAGATTAGCCACTGCCGGTTGTCGAAGGTGACTGGGATATTTTTTTACCATCGTCAAACTAAAGGTAACAAATATTAGCCTGACGTGATGTCAATCTGTACTGTATTTGTAAAAACATACCAGTTCTAGAGCGATGCGGCCCTCTTTTCTACCACCAATTTCAATGTCAAGGTAAACGCGGGATCGACCTGCGATTCGGAAGAATTAGCAAAAATAAGGTCGTGATAAGTCTCTGTGAAATCTGAAGTAAGCGCAACTTCGTACGTACTCTTGTCGGCCATTTTGGCGAGCAGTGTGATGTGAGAGTTAGAAAGGCGGGGAAGTGTAGAAGCTTGAAGCTAGCTGATACCTCAGGCGCGTGTCAAGTAAGTATGTTGACAGATGAAAGGATTCTTGAACGTCTCAAAGTAAATTGAAGAGTGAAGGTCTGCGAGAGAGACAATTGACCGTAGAAAGGAAGCAGCTGAAAGATGAACGAGTCACAATTGGCGATGAGCTTCACGAAGCTTCCATTTTCTTGGGGTGCCTTGATGCCTTAGGCTGCCACGTTGCGAGCCCCGCACACGCTGTTCAATTTATTAGTGCTTCTAATTATGGAATTTGAGAATACTACGTAGTATCCTTAAAAGAACATCCTAACACTAAAAGAAGATTCTTTCTATAAAAAGATGACAACTAACTAGTAATAAATACACCAGGGATGCAGATTCCCATATGTATACAGCAATCAGTCACAGCCTACTCATCTCCCGTGAACCCCATTGACTCCCAGTTAGCACGAATCTTCGCCTTGACGTCCTCAGGATATGAGCTCTCAAAATCAGCCGCAACCCAGTCACGACCTGTGGTAAACTCGCTTGGCATCAGAGCATCTGAGACGACCTTGCCGCCCATAGTGGCAGATCCATTACCATGGCTCATATATGGAACAAGGGGGAATCCACGGACATCCTCGAAAAAGGTCTCATCTAGGTTGGGTCGGCAGCGAGTAGAGAATGCCCACATCACATCCTTACTGTCATAGACATCGATATCATCGCCGACGAGTACGATTCGATGGATAGTGTAGCCGGCCTTGTGGTTGAAGACCAAGTCTCCGACACGTTTCGAAAACTCTTTGCTATTTGTCTTCATAGCACGTAGCTTCTCTGTGTCTATACGCAGAGCAACCCAAGTCACCTGCGATTCAAATGGAGCAAAGGCGTCTGTGACGGGCAGACCTTCAAGTTGGCAGATTTTACGGATTTCTGCGGCAGCGAGAGACCCGATCATGGTGTGCTATATACGTTATGTCAGTATCTGCATGCAATTGCCGTTGGATTAGGCGTAGAAATGGCTTACCGTCTCATCGGTCAACCGGCCACAGGCGGACATTGGAAGAATGGCACCATTACGATATGTGATCTTCTCGACCGTGTACTTTGGCCACGGGTGTGTGTCGCCCGGAAAGACGTAACCGTGCATTTCCCCAAATGGACCTTCTGGTGAGGTCTCACTAATTGAAAGCGTTCCTTCAAACACAATCTCAGAATTTGCGGGAACATATAAATCGTTTGTGTCGCACTTGACCACATTGAGGGCCGATCCGGTCATTGCTCCGATATACTCGGCTTCGGAAACACCGTCAGGGATTGGCATACTTGCAGCCATGATAGCGGCCGGTGGAACACCGAAAGCTAGAGCCCATGACACATTTCTCCCTTCCTTTTTCCACATTTGATGGATCTGCCAGATATGCTGAGGCTCAATGACCAGACCAGTCAAATGATCCTTATCAGCTACCATGGCACGAGCGATAGACCAGTTGGTCCATTTTCCGTCGGGAGATTGAACCACATGCATGCCGTATGTTTGGACGTATTTGCCTCCATCATCTTTGTGGATGAGCGGAACTGGCAATTTGGTAAGATCAAACTCTCCTCTCAGCAACTTGTTCTCTTTGCAAGGGCCGTCGGTGACGATGTTTGGCGGAATAGGCGTGGCCTCGCTAGCGGAGAGCATCTTATCTAGAATCTCACGCATGCTTGCTGTAGGCGGAAGAGCGAGATGCCGTGCTAGTCGACCATAACGGTCTTTTTTGGAATGACGGAGGGATCCAGGAGCTCCCAGGATGCGCCATAGTCCCTTGTCGGCGCCGATTAGATTGTTGAAGAGTGGTGCCTTGTCGTTAGTCTCACAGACCAAACGTGTGATGGCGGCAGCTTCGAGGTTTGCATCGACTGGAGTGTTGATCTCGACAAGGTCGTTGTCTTGCTTCAATGCTTCGACGAACGAGCGGAAGCTGAGATGAGGTGGTTCCGAGGTCATTGTTGTAAGTTTTACGATCAAGTCTTTGTAATCTATTAAATCAGGCATTTACTTGAAATTTGATCATCGACAATCATCCAACATAAAGCCCTTTATATATTTCTATGCGAACCGTTATGGAGGGCACCAGACTGGATCTCGGGCAGCTACCTCGGAGACCTCGGGGGTCTCGGAGAAGTAGACCTTAGGGCTAAGCCGTTACACTTTCCACGACATGACGCAGATGCACCGGATTTTCGGCACGCATTTGTGCGTCTAGTCCCTTTCGATATCATGATATCGCTCAATGAAACTTTATACTTATTAATACGGTGTCTAGTGATAGATACAATATGCATCTTGTCATTTTGACTGTCTTATATAATGTTACCTAGTTCAATGATGCTTCCAAACTAACCGACTGCAGTATAGGTCAGGATCTACTTTGCGCATTCTATCATCCCATGCTGAAAATATCACTTTTAACAATATGTGGCATTCCATCTAATAATCAACATTTTCACTCGAGGCTTGTATCACGTAGCAACTCTGAGTAGAATCTTAAGCTGTTGATTGGTTGGGCTGCATGATGTAAGAAGGTAGTCGTCGGATAATCAATGATCCATAGGTAACTGCCAACGTGAACTTCGATATGGTCAAGATCTTCTCCTTCTCATCAAACACTCTCGCTATATTCAGTTCACGGAATTAATGGGTATGGTTTGAAGAGAGCATTTTTCTGTCATATGCTTAAAAAGCATGGAAGCTGACAGTCCGAACATGCAATAACCGTCAACCAAAAATTTGAAATTCAATCGCTCGCGCCTTTTCGAGTCAAATAGACCTTCTATAAAGGCTCAGTGCTTCAAATCTTACACAACGGTTGTAATTGAAAGAATATTGACACGGTCTGGACATGGAATCACACGATCCCTCTTACACCAGTGTCGACCGTCAACAAGTCGACCGGGTCCTTCGCCTTAAGCGAGAACAGAGGGGAGCAACGGCCTGCTATCCCTGTCGACAGCGAAAAGTGAAATGTGACAGCAATCAGCCATGCAAAACCTGCAAGCGACGCAATCACCCGGAAATATGTATATATACAGCGCCCGAACAGACAGCATCCGTGCGTAGGTCTCCCGCTAGGAGACCACCGGTTTCATCAAATGAAGATATCAACTCTCCTTATTCGAGTCCCCGTTCGCGAGGTCACCAAGGTCATGTCAGCACACCAAGTCCAAGCTCAGCCATCAACAGAGCTTTTGGATCAAGGCAGTCAATTGCGACTTCTCTTGACCCAGATTCCGGAACAAGAGACGAGTATCCCTTCTCCGGCGACAATTCTTTGCCTTCGATCATCCGAAATAGCACACAAGATGGTACTGAAACTCTAACACGAGACATTGAACCAGCACTTGGCCTCCAAAATACATACACTATTTATCCATTCATGGACGAGGGTCTGCAACACAATCCATCTACTTCACTCACAAAGGTGTTGCCTCAGCGAGAAGAAATTCTAAAGTAAGCCTCTCAATGTGTATATGTGAAACTTTACTAATAGTTGAATCAGGTATTTTCACTTCTATCGAACGTTTGCCAATCCTTTTAGTCCTACAGTGGTCGATATAGAGGAAGTGGAGACGAGCATCTACACTTATCTCGATACCCAGGTCGCTAAGAAGACCCAGTCAACCGGGAGTGACGGAATCAATGACACAAATAGTGACTTATCGATTGGTCAGATCTGTGTAATTTTGGCTACATTGGCTTCAGGGGCGCACTTTTCCGATGATGAGCTAGCGGAACGTACCAAGAAATCCCAAGACTTCGGTATGTTGCAGAGTTTCTTTATCAGATTTCGGACTTTTCTAACACACACGAAAGCCCGCAGGTCATTTCAGGCACTGAGGCTGGCGAATTTTCTTTTCCGTCCTTCGCTCGAAGTAGTACAGACGCTTCTGATACTGGGACATGTTCTGCAAAATCAAGGCCAATCGGACGCCACATGGGCGATGTTAGGCCTGACTGTGAGATTAGCACAAACATTAGGTCTTCATACTGACAGGGGTGCAAACAAATACCCGGAACACGTTCGGCTGAAGCGTCGGAAATTATGGTAAGAATAGCCCTATACGTAATTCACGGAACTCACTCAGTCGGATAGGTCCATTATAATCTGGCACGACTGCCTTCTCTGCCTATGTCACGATCGTCAACCCGCGGTTCTAAAGCCAAGGAACATTCATGCACAATCATCAAATGAACCGCTTTCGTACGTTGGTGCAATGCAAAAGTTATGTCTGTTAAGCTTGGACGTATTAAATCGTGACGAAGATCGGTATATCGACGCATTTAACTCACTAGTCGAAGTCGATAACCTCCAACGTCAGCTTCAACCTCATTTGCAAAATATAACAAGTAGTAAAAATATGCAGCAGCGTCTCGAGCATCTCGCATTTCGTATCCATGCTTCTTTTATGACATCTTTCATCTGCCGGCCCGCGATCAAACATCCTAGCCAAGTCACAGACAGCGATCAAGACCGTTTGCTGCGTAACAGAGCTAAATCTAGCCTGATCGAGGCTAGTAAAGCATTTCTGGACTTTCAGAGATTGAGCATTGTTCCAATGCGGACCTGGTCCATGATTCACGCCGTCTTGACCTCCACTGTCTTGCTAGGCATCTGGGAAGACACTCGAAATGACACAGAATGTCGAGATTTACAAAGACAAGTTATGGACGTCTTTCTTGCGCTCGATAACCCGAGTCTAGCGAGTGATGACGGCGCTGCTGAAGAGGGTGCTGGCTGGCTGTCAGGACCACATATAAGAGCACTCATGACATTGAAAAATTCCTTGCATGGGAGAGAGCCGCAATTTCCAGTCAATACTGAATTGCAGCAGCCTGTGGAAGAGACAATTCCGCAAGCAAATCAATCGGGCATGTGGGATGTGAACATGGGAGCCGGAACTGCAAATATAAATACGTCTCAACTTGCTGATGCGTCCACTAACGGGTAGGCCATTTCGTTAGACCTTCATTGGGTTGTGGCATACCTTGAAATCTTACACTGACCGATTGATAGATTTGATTATTTCAACATGCCCCTCAATCAAGCTGATCTATCCCCATGGACCTATCTAGATTCCATCATGAACGGTGAGGCAGCTGGCCATTTCGTGATAGTAGCATGCTAACTCAGAACTAGTCCCCATGTTCGACAATTCACAGCAGTTCGGGCCTTTCTAGAATCGTAAGCCGAATAATCCGCAGTCGGCTCAACAGTCACTGGTTTGTAGTAAGTTGCGGATTATTCGCTCGTTCCGAGCCAATTTTGCAACTCGGGCCGACCCAACTCTCGGAGCCTCGGAGCAAGTACGTATGATGCTTGCCATGATTGAAAAGTGCTTCAAAAAACAAACTAAGTTTGTAATTAATGCTCTTATATTCCTATATATTAGAAGCTTGAATCCAGAGCTCAGTGGGAACCGGATCAACCATAATCAAAGTTAATGCATTGTTTTCTTCACGTTAACTTAACCTTCCGACAGATATCTTACTGTCGTTACATCACCACCTGGTGCACCTCCAGGTTTCAATCTACATATCTATCCAAAAACTACTCGAATTCCCATTATTTATTCCATCTACCAAAATAACACTTCAAAATGCTGGACGCAATCTTTCACCCAGGTGCTTCCACACCTCACAGCGGCGCCGCAACTCCTCGATCAACAGATGCATCAAGCGAACACGCCGATTCCGCCGATTCTACCAATCGACATCAAGATATTATTTCTATGACAATGCCACGACCTCAGCGCCGCAAGAAGATCGTCGTCGCAATGACAGGAGCCACAGGTGCAATCCTCGGTATAAAAGTCCTCATCGCCCTGCGACGTCTACAAGTCGAGACGCACTTGGTAATTAGCAAATGGGCCGGAGAGACCATCAAATATGAAACAGATTACCACCCTACGAACGTACGCGCACTAGCAGACCATGTCTACAATATCAATGACATGGCGGCGCCTATTGCAAGCGGCTCATTCCGTGCCGATGGCATGATTGTTGTCCCCTGCAGCATGAAATCTCTTGCTGCGATGGCAATGGGGTTTGGGGAGGACTTGATCTCACGTTCTGCAGATGTCATGCTCAAGGAAAGACGTCGACTAGTCTTAGTTGCGCGGGAAACGCCACTTAGCGATATTCATTTACGCAATATGTTGACTCTTACTCAAAGCGGAGCGGTCATATTTCCACCTGTTCCGGCTTTCTATATCAAGGCCTCCAGTGTTGATGAGCTGGTAGATCAAAGCGTTGGAAGAATGTTGGATTTGTTTGATCTTGATACGGGAGATTTTGAGAGGTGGAATGGGTGGAAGAATGAATGATTCATTTTAGCTGGGGCAGACCGACCATGACATTGCCATTTTATGTCATTACCTCTGTCGTTTCTCGTTCCTTTTTCTTCATTTTTTTTTCTGCCGTACAATTATGACTATTAGCGGGCGTTAGGACTTGCACCTGCTTTTAAGGTCTCGTTACGTTTATCTATGTATAATAAATGTTAGAAAATCGTCAATATTTTTAACAACTCTGATCCCCTTAAGTACTTGTGGAAATGTGATTCATATCACCCCATGGGGATATTCATTCATTTCCAATCTTTAATTCAGCTCACAATAGACTAGAGATTTCGTCGGCTGCGTTCTCCCTATCCCCACATCTCGAAGAGACTTTTATCCAAAAGGCGGCGACTGACGAATCAGCGCTCGAAATCGCCGCAAGGTCATTCTCCGCTTGGATCATGATACCTGCTAGATTTAGATACGGGAATGGTCAGCTGGTAACTGCCGAAATATACTTCGGGAGCATATATACCGAATTCCCGGACACGGCAACCCGACCCAACATCGAAGCATGGGATGGCCTTTAGCGTTTCGTCGCTCATAATGCATGTCTCTTAAGTTTTTCCAGATCGAGCTAATTTTTGAAACCTCAGAGACGGAATGAAGCATCTCTGAATAAACACTACATAGAACAAAAAAGCCATTTTTAAAGCCTGTACCAGGTCGCCATGCGTATTGCTCGCTGTGGTATCCACGGGTTTCACGAAACGTTGGGCATTGATGTCGACGAATTGAGATTTTTCTGGTCCATAGAATGTGGCCGGCCTGGGTCTCGACAAGTCGCATACCGCGTGGAAGTGACTACCGACAAGGAGGCCCTCGAAGCAAACGAATTACAAGTCTCCGATCATGTATGGGATTCAGGACGAGTTGAAACCGACAATCAAAGAAACGTCCTGTGCAAGCCTACCAATGGCTTTCAGTCAACATGCAGTCACTATTGGCGAGTAACTGTCTGGGATGATGCCGGTCTCGCCTATTATAGCGCTGTGAACTTCTTCTTCACTGCGTATCCCAGGTCTTCTCGTCTGTTGCCTCCTTACAGCATGAATCAAACCTACATGCCTCATAGCAGTCTCATTTTCCGGACGTGGTTTGAGGATGAGTCCAATCGCTGGAAGGCAGTCTGGATTGGGAACGGAGGTGATAGACCTCTTTATCTAAGGAAGCCCGTTCAGTTAGTGGACCAACCTGTTCGCGCCATACTTTTCGCATCTGGCTTGGGTCACTTCAATATGACAGTGAATGGAAAGCCGGCCTCGAATCATCGCCTAGATCCTGGTTGGACAAATTATCATAGGAGAGTCCAATATACGGCGTACGATATTACCCAATCTTTGGGTCTTGGAGAGAACGTGCTTGGAGTTCATCTGGGCAATGGCTTTTACGCAGGTGAAAAGGGCGGCGAAGGTCGCTTCTTCTGGCCAATGTATGAAGACAACACATATGTTCGCTACGGGAATGAACTCTGCTTCTTTGGAGAATTACACCTGTTCTATGCCGACGATCGACATGAGATTATTATTTCCGATCCATCTTGGCAAGTACGTAATAGTGCTACTACTCTTGCAAATATCTATGCATCGGAAGACCATGATCGGAGACAGTATCCGTTTGGTTGGGACATGTCTGGATTTGATGCCAGTGGCTGGATTCCTGCCAAGCCAGTTACTGGACCTAGGGGACACATATATTACCAGACACAGCCTCCAGTTGTCTTACATGAGACATTTGAGCCGGTCAAAACTCATAGCCCGAAGCCTGGCATTGTATGCTACGACTTGGGACAGAATTCGTCGATCATGGTCAAAATCACGCTTCAAGGTACCGCTGGTTCAGAGGTGATCGTCCGATATGCCGAGTCTGTTAAGGAAGATGGCACAGTTCTGATGCCCGATCCGCTATTCAAAGAGTTTGAAACTGGTGTATATTCACGTATTCATCTCGCTGGTGGTGAAATCGAGGTATGGGAGCCAGACTTCTCCTTCACAAGCGCCCGGTATATTCAAATTGAAGGCGTTTCAACACCTGAATCTACCCAAGGAGAATTACCCGTGGTTCATTCTGTCGTGGGAAGACACATCTCGTCAGCAGCTCGAAGACTGGGCACAATGCGGACCGACAAGGAAGACGTCAACTCTCTACTGAATGCCCTCTATTGGACGTTCCAAAGTAACTTGTTCAGTTACCACACCGACTGCCCACAGATTGAGAAGTTCGGCTGGCTAGAAGTGACTCACTTGTTGGCTCCTGCAACACAGTATATTCGTGACATGGAGTCGCTTTACTCTAAAATACTTGATGATATACTAGATGCACAGGAGCCCAATGGTTTGGTGCCCACAATGGCCCCTGAGATGCGATACATGTGTGGTCCACTGCACGACACAATCACCTGGGGCGGCGCCATCTGCTTGCTTCCAGATATCCTCCTTCGCTACTACGATTCCACCCATGTCATTCCAAAGGTGTACCCGGCTGCTGTCAGATATATGGAATACATGAGATCGAAAGAGCGCAAAGGAGGGTTGATTGAGCATGGTCTTGGTGACTGGGGAAGAGATATCGCATTCGGCAATCATCAGGCAAATATCGAAACCGCCATCTATTACCGCTGTCTTCAATGTGTGGCTGTTATGGCTACTGAGCTAGGTAAAGTCGACGAGGCGTCGTATTTCACAGAGTGGGCGGATCGCATTGCAAAAGTTTACAACAAACATCTTCTGGTTACGGATGATCCTTCGCGTCCATACGCATACTATACATCGTTGGACAATTATCCACAGCGCGATGCCACAGCTGTGAACCAGGCATTAGCTCTCCAGCATGGACTCGTACCCGAACAACATCGAGACGATGTAATGCGCGCCTTTTTAGATGATACCAAAGATGGCCGTATTCGCGCTGGTGAGATTGGATTACCGTATCTCTTCAACACCCTCGGAGACGCCAAACGGTCTGATATTGTTCTGCAAATGGCCCGACAGGAGGAACATCCCTCGTACATGCGTTTCCTGCGTAGAGGCGAAACTACTCTATCGGAGTTTTGGCAGGACGCCTGTCGCAGTAAATGTCATGACATGTTGGGAACTATTTATGAATGGTTTTATGCATCCGTCCTGGGCTTGAAACCTGTCGGCAATGCTTACCGCACTTTTGTCGTGGAGCCTGCTTATGAGTCTGAGTTTGACTATATTGAGGGCGAGGTTGATAGTCCTTATGGACTGATTACGGTCAAATTGAATCGGAATGTCGAGAAAAATGGCGATAGTAATGGTACCACCACTTTGTGGGTCACCATCCCGTTTGGTACAACGGCCACTATCAAACTCCCCCCTCTGAGCGCGGATGAGATCGCAGATAGGATGGTGTTTGTTGGTGACGAGAAAGATGGCGAAAGAGTCGCCGGAGAAACGATTCAGCTTTCTCATGGTCTACATACCGTTGTCATTTCAAGTATATGTAGATAATGGCCTGAGCAATGGGAGGACAGGCCTGCAGTTTGAATAGTCTCAATGTTGCAAAAATATCTCTAGTATCTAATTCCGAAGAGGAGATGATGATGCTGTCTCTCTAAATACAATAAATACTCTTAATGTAGATGTATCTGAGCTGCCAGGAAGCTGCATTTGAACATTGGACACTAGTGTGAAGACTATCCCAAGTGTCTACTTTTATCCATGAGTATGTAGATATGTAATATTATCAAGTTGCAGTGATGGCATAGAAATTTTAGGGACTACGTATCTCATGACGAGCCGATCTCGGCCCGATCTGTTCATGAACTCACTGGCAGTCCGAGTCATTTCTCAAACTTACACTAAGTGATTCACCCACGACCTGGTAACACACCACTGTGCGGGGGCATGAGGCACTTGGTTATTAGGGCTCGGGCCTTGGCCTAGAAGCAGAACTGGGAACAGTAGATTCCCGTTGGCGAGGTCCCCCACAACCCGAGTCCGGATTGTGGGTGCCTCAGCCAGCCCTAGTGCACGCTATAGTCTTGGTGTTGGCAACTACCGAGGGAGTGAATCGCTGCGAATGGGATTTTAGATTCTCTAGGTCATGGACTTCGTGTGATTCCAAACGTTAGGTCAGCATGCCGAAATCAAGCGATACTCCGTACTATATGAGCGTGCACAGGCCGAGTCTCTGAGTCGGATCGACACTTATAGATACTACCTTTGGGGATACTTTGGCGTGGCTTCATAGTGCCATGGTCGGGTTTTCCGACAACTCCATCAGTGAAACGATTTCGGGTTAATATACCCCGGGGTGCATATGGTGAACGATGAATCAAGTCTGGGGCCCCATTCCATTGCACTCGCTCTGCGTGTAATAGCTGCATGCTCTCCGCATTATAAATCCGTCTCCAGGTCCGGTCACAGAATTGAGATCATCACCCACGCTTTTTGTTTGGCAGTATTTGACAGCGTTCCTACTGTAGGATCGACATCGTCATCGCAGATCGCCATGCCTTCTCTCAAGACCATCTTCTCTGCCATCTTCCTCGCCGTGGGAGGCTTCCTCTTTGGCTATGACAGCGGTATCATCACCTCAACAATCTCGCTGGCTACCTTCAAGGAATATTTCACCAACCCCAACAGCACCGTCACCGGTGGTATCGTCTCTGCATTCCAGGGAGGAGCCATCTTGGGAACTTTGATCAACATGCTTGCGGCCGACTGGTTGGGACGAAAGAGAACGGTTTTTGCTGGTTCATGTGTTTCTGTGCTTGGTTGTGCCCTTCAGGCTGGTGCCGTTAATATGACCATGCTCATTATTGGTCGTTTCATTGCCGGTGCAGCGGTGGGAATGCTAACTTCTACTATTCCGTTGTATGCTGCTGAGCTTTCCGAGCAGAAATGGCGCGGTGCGCTTTCAGGTTTGCTACAGTGGATGTTGAGTTGGGGTTTCTTGGTTGCTCAGTGGCTTGGTTATGGTTGTTCCTTTGTTAGCACCGAATTCTCTTGTAAGCTAGATAACTCTCCCATTTTTATACTTGTTGTTTGCTGACTCTATCAGGGCGCTTCCCTCTTGCCTTCCAGATTGTGCCAGGTCTCATTCTCGTCGGAGGTATCTGGTTCTTGGACGAATCGCCTCGTTGGTTGATGGAAAAGGACAGACACGAAGAGGCCATGAAGGTGCTCAAAAACATCCGCAAGGGCACGAGCCAGGAAGCCTTGGACTTGGAATTCCGCGAGATCCGCGACGTTATTGCTGCTGATCGGGCTGTTGGTAACACCTCATGGAAACTTATCCTGACGAAAGCATCGTGGCGCAAACGATTGATTTTGGGATGTGCCATCCAAGCTTTTGGCCCTCTTTCAGGTATAAATGTTATCAACTAGTAAGATATCCACGTACCAATCATTGTGATCGTGATTTTTAACATGAGACTAACGGGATCTAGCTATGGACCTCGCATTTACGCTATCCTGGGTATTAACGATCAAACCTCGCTAATGATTATCGGTATCAGCGGAGCGCTCTCCATTGTTTACTGCTCCATCGGCCTCTATATGATCGACAAAATTGGTCGCGTCAAGCCCTTGATAGTCTCGGCTGTTATGCTCGGGGCTGCGTTACTTGTCAATGCTGTCCAGGCACAATACTTGAATACGAATAACGGAAACCAGCTCCGTTCAATGGTTGCAATGAACTTTGTCTTTAGTCTGTTTTATACCCCGCTTGGAATTATTTCTTGGGTAAGTCTCTTGAAAATAAAAGTACACTGCTTAAAAAATAAGAAAAAGACTCTAACCAATTGCTACGACAGGTCTATCCCGCCGAAATCTTCCCCGTCGAAGTCCGCGCGCTCGGAAACGCAATCACAACCTTCACCAACTGGGCCTTCAACTTGATCTTTGCACAATTCACTCCCACTGCTCTGGACAACGTCGGATTCAAATACTTCTATGTGTTCTTCGTCATGAACCTAATTGCCGCGTTGAGTTACTATTTCTTCTTCCCCGAGACCAAGGGACGAACTCTCGAGCAGATTGACGAATTGTTTGGTGATCAACTTGTTCCCCATGCTTTGCAGGATCCAGAGGGCGCTCAAGCGGCTATGCAGAAAGAAGCAGAAGTGTCCACCTGGCATGAGACCGCAGAAGCTTAGGCGCAAGGCTAGGACGGGGTTTCTGGGATGTAACTATGTACTGCAGTTTGTCTGTTGTGAAACATGCGATAGTTGGTGAAAATAAAGCTCATCACCGAATATGCTTCAGTCTGAACAGGTTTCCTGAGATCCTCATTAATAACTCCAACTGGAATTCTATTTACTTTCCAACTCCTCTGGGTTTGACAATCTAACTTAGGGCCAGAGATTGTTGCCTTGATGCCTGAGGCTTTAATGATCTGAGCCTATGAGGACTAGCGGACAGTTCGTATTAACATCCCGCGTTATTAGTGAGTCTTCGCTGCCCGCCCGAATTCCGACCACCTAAATTCTGTCTCAATACCGCGTTATAACGCGACGCCTATTTTGGCCCTTTAAGAAGTAGCTATTGCTACAAAATTTCCAGGTATACACGATGGTGACTCCACCACTAGATAGGCGTCATCGCAATGCCATCCTCAATTCACAAAAGGCTGCTCTACGACAGCAGCACCACCGAAATCCCAGAATGCAGTACAAGGATCTCGCCAAGTGGTTCGAAGAAAAGTACAATCAGAAGATTAATATTTCTACTGTAGCTCGTACCTTGTCGTCGATATATGCATTCCTTGATGAGATGGAAGGGCAGCCTGTGAGCGGTAAACGGATTCGTCCAGAGAATTGGCCGGAGCTGGAGTCGGCACTGTCCGAGTGGATTCGGCGCGCGAAGAATCAGGATTTGGCTCTTTCACAGGAGATACTGCGTCAAAAGGCGAGAGATTACTGGTCTACTATCTACCCGGGGAAGGAGAGTCCTTCATTCAGTAATGGTTGGCTAGAGAGGTTTCAGTCACGGCAAGGGATCAAGATCAAAAAGCAGCATGGTGATTCTGGAGACTCAGCTGAAGATGCGGGTGTTGAACTGGTAAGGATTCGACAGATCTTGAGGACATTCGCACCTCAAGATATTTTTAGCTGTGATGAGACGGGTTTATTCTGGAAGATGATGCCAGAGAAGAATCTTGCACCCAGCGTGATCCCCGGCCGTCGAAGCGAGCAAGCCCGAATAAGCGCTTTGTTTTGTTGTAATTCTAACGGGTCAGAACGCCTGCCTCCTTTGTTTATAGGTACAAGTGAGCGACCTAGAGCCATTGCAAAAGCGAAAATTAACGTTGAAAATCTCGGTTGTCTTTGGAGGAGCAACAAGCAAGCCTGGATGACAAGCGATATATTCAAAGATTGGCTTATCTGGTTTGATAAAAAGATGGAAGGCCGAAAGGTTGTCCTTCTGATTGATAAAATCTCCGCGCATCAGATTGCATTCCAAAAAGTTAGTATGAGGCTGAAAAACACGCTTGTTATTTTGCTTCCGGCCTGTTCAGAGACGCCATGTGAGCCGCTAGAGGGTACCGTTTACGGTTGGAAACTATACTGGAAAAGGGAATGGCTTCGATACATGAACTTGGAGCTTAAACGTGGCGCTGATCCATCAGTGACCATGACGATATTGATGGCAATTCGTTGGGCGATAACGGCCTGGAAAATTGATCTCGACAATGAGACAATCGTGCAAAGTTTCAGGAAAGCGCTTGAAGTTGGAGCAGTTCCTAAGCTCAATCACACACATCTGATCAATGAGATTACAGCTGGTCTTCGACACTTGAAGGAAACAAATCGAATCAAGGACGTCCTGGACGCCAATCAATATTTGAATTGCCCCAACGAAAAGGTCGACGATGGGGTTATAGATATAGACTCCATAGTTCTGAGTCAGTTTCTATCGAGCGGAGATGTTGACGAGGAAGACGACGAGTCTGATGAAACTATTCCACACATCTCACCTGCAGAAGCATTGCAAAGTCTCTATACTCTTCGTCTTCACGAAGAACAGCAAGAGGCAGGGAATCCGGAACTGATTATGCTATTGATGGGCTACGAGAGGACTCTCCAGGCTCGCCTTGGACAGCAATATCAGAGCAATGAGCAAAATCGGTTTTAAGTGTGGCTTGGTATGTATTCCACCTTTTTGGGGGCGCATATAATGGAGTACTTGAGATTTGACCACGCGGTTCATAATCGGCATTATATAATAGCATTATATTGATTTCCATACCTAGGTATCCATACATATACATTAGAGTCAAACTCTAGAAAGTTCAAGGCACAAGGCCATCCCGAAATATGGTATATCCCTCCGACCGACGCCGAACCTATATATCTATCAAGGCATACATAGTCATAATTCATGAAACACGTCCAATCACTCCAAAAGAGAAGCGGGAAGCTCAAACTCCACGTATCTCCGTCCATCCGCATCCGTCTGAGTTTTCACAGTTTCTCCCTTATCCTTACTACTCTCAGATTTGGGAAGATCGGTGGTTATTTCAATAGTGACCTAAAGAATCAATCAGATGTTGTCCTAATGAATATGAAGATTCGCATTGGAAGGAGAACGCAAGATTGTCCTACCGCTCCATCTTCACTGCGGAAATCAACACCCACCGGACCGTCGTTCTTGAGTTCAACTTCCATCATGGCTTGAAAGACTCCATTTTTTACTCGTTCCGCTTTGTACAGATCGCTGACTTTCTGGACGAAGCGATCGTAGAGACGACGGGCCGTTTCGACGTCGGCGGCGGCATGGAAGTCAGGCTTGTTGCCTTTCTTGATGTGTCCGTATAATGTGAACTGGGATACTGAGTCGGTCAGTGCGTGTAACTTAAATAGAGAGAAGTTTACGAACCACAAAGAACTTCGCCTTCTATATCCTGAACGTTCCGTTTCCACTGAGTTAAAATTAGATATGATTCTTTGCGCGCCACGGACTAACACACAGAAGTTTTCGCATTGGTCTCATCCGGCCATAGCTTGGCTTTCAACACCCTTGCTGCCATAATGTCGACATCTCTTTCAGTGTCTTCCCTCCCAACGCCAGCGAACACGAGGACTCCTTGGCCGATTGATGAGATCAACTGGTTGTCGATGGTGACGGACGCCGACTTGACACGTTGTAAGACGGCTATTCCTGTCAGCGCGAGCTTGCAACAGAATCAATGACAATAGCTACCCTTCATTGTAAAGTCATCTGATATGCGTTGAATCGCTCTAAGAATAGCGTAATACAAGTTGCGACGGAGTGGCGTTTGCGGCCTAGAATGGAGGGGCGTGCCAGGTAGAGACCGGCTGGGTAAAGCCTTCAAAAATCACAATGGCGGTATAAATAAACCATGGCCAGCTGTACCAGCACACGAGTTGAATAAAGCAATCAGCGATTGTTTGTCCGAGTTTGTCGAGGTGTTCTGGCGTCGGAGAAGAACTTGGAGATGGCTTGGGGATGACTCGTTCTGGGGACAAAGGCGGACTCAGCTGCAGAACGGCTCTGATTGGCCCGTGCTCGTCGACCTCGCMCCTGCCAACAAATGAATGGACGAGCCTTTCCAGACTTCCTCCCAGCACAATCTTACCTCTTTGCGCCATCGCACATTCGATTGCTCGGAGACTCAACTGCTATTACAGCTTCACACGAATTATTCCAGATCAGCGAGCGACTCTCTGACCCGATCTTCCGCCGTCGAGACCTACCCTCGCCTGTCAGTAACCGGCATCAAGCCTATTACAAGTGAATGCCGCAACCATGGCCTCGCGAAAGACCCAGCAAGAGATCGAAAAGACCTTTAAGAAGGTCGCCGAAGGCATGGCGACTTTCGAGGGAATTTACGAAAAGATTAAAGTAGCCAACAACACAACGCAACGAGATCGATTGGAAGAGAATTTAAAACGCGAAATCAAGAAACTACAAAGGTTTCGAGATCAGATCAAAACGTGGGCTGCGGGCAATGAAGTAAAGGACAAGACCCCCCTGCTGGAGCAGCGGAGAGCCATTGAAACAGTGCGATATTCTACGAGTAACCAACCATCAAACCAGATCAAGGAGACTAACTACAAAACAGTGCATGGAGCAATTCAAGGCCGTCGAAAAAGATCTCAAGACAAAGGCGTACTCGAAAGAGGGTTTATCAGCTGCCTCGCGACTCGATCCAAAAGAAAAGGAAAAAGCCGAATCAAGCGATTTTCTGTCAAATATGGTCGACGAGCTCCAACAAAGGATCGAAGCTATGGAGGCCGAGGAAGAAGTCATCCAGGCATCTTTGAAGAAAGGAAAGAAGGACGTTGCCAAGGCAAATCGATTAGCAGACATAGCGCGAGTATCTGAACGACATAAGTGGCATGTGAACAAACTCGAACTACTACTACGGTCGCTCCAAAACGGTAATGTCGAGGTATCGCAGGTTCTCGATCTGAAGGACAGTATAAAATATTATGTGGAAGATGGGCATAATATAGACTACTCTGGAGAGGATGAAACACTCTACGATGACTTGAATCTTGGCGACGATGAAACAGCCTTTGGAATTGGCAACGAGGGCGACCGATTGTCTTCGCAAGATACACAATCGATACCAGACGAGGAACCAGAAATACGGGCGAAGCCGAAGGCTGAATCAATATCAGGACGAAGACCATCGACGCAACTGAAATCACCGCTTCCAGTACTCGCCACTCTTCATCCCACAACGACTACCGCCACGACGTCGAGTCCTATGAAACCAGCGCCCCTCCCCACTCGACTACCAGGAGAAACACTAAAATATGCATCCGCTGCGGCGGCAGCAGCGGCGAGTGATCGAAGCGGTGTCGGTATTGCGCCGTTGCCTCCCCCACCAGGCTCTAGCCCGGCATCATCATCGGTATTTCCCGTTTCAAAGGCTGGCTCGACATATTCCCCAGGTGTCAATTCAGTTCAACTGGCGTCTCGTGTGGTATCAACACCAGAGCCGACAGAAAAGCCGACCCGGACTGAATCACCAGCACCCGCACAAGTAGCGAGCGTTAAGCCTGTGTCGGCAACGCCAGATCTACCAACACCAGCAGAAAAGTATGAAGCGGTCCCGTCCAAAGCAAACTCCTCTCAGATGCAGAATGGCAACGTTACGAATGAAGAAACGGCGCCAGCAGCGACGACAACAAATGCACAGGATGAATCAATGTATCATTTACCTCCGGGACTGCAAGACTTGATTCAATCTTTTGAGGCGACAAAGACTCGGGGGGAAGCTAACATCTCGTCGGCATCCGTACAAAGACTTCTTGCAGCATCACTAAATTCCTGTCCGGAACCAGGAGATGCAGAGAAACCCCGTCACTACAAACCTCAAAACCCTTACAACACCCCGCTCTACTACCCACAAGAACCACTTCCGATCTTTGACGATCACCGATTATACGATACGGGACGCATCGATACGGACACTTTGTTCTACATTTTCTACTATCAGCAAGGAACATATCAACAGTACCTAGCCGCGAAATCATTGAAGAACCAAAGTTGGCGGTTCCACAAACTCTATCAGACTTGGTTCCAGCGACATGAAGAACCAAAGATGATAACGGAGGAATTTGAGCAAGGAACATATCGATTTTTTGATTACGAAAGCACTTGGTAAGTTCACTTCATTTGTGTGATTCCGCAACTCGTCCTAACTATCTGTTCAGGATGAATCGAAGAAAAGCGGACTTCAAATTTATCTATAAGTTCTTAGAAGATGACCTATGATCTGGTCTCGATGACAACTTCCAGATTTTGTGTGTGTTACTAACCAGAGGTCATTTGATCAACTAAATGGGTTGCCCTCTACCCATCTATTTTAAGATTATGTTTCGTTGTTTTTTCCATATAAAAATCAACTTCGGGTCATTAGGGGAACACTATGGGAAGGGCATTGGCTGGCGTCGGAATATGCTATTGTATAATCAATTCTTTTTCCTCACGAATGATTCTATTTGAACGACAGGTCTGGCGGATGATGTATTCTGTTATCTCGATGTTGAAGTATTATAGAATCGAAGCCTACACCTTTGACTACATGGATCTTTTCCTATTCACATCATCTACGGCTTTGATTTGCGGACTGTTCAACTATACAAGCACATGTTTTCAAGGCGTCTGTCCTTCGTTCGTTGTGAATGTTTCCACAGTATCGCAAGTCCAGGTCGCCGTCAACTTTGATCGGAATTCCAATACTCGCCTTGTTTTAAAGAGCACTGGTCACGGCTTTGTACTACGTAGGTAAAGCATCGGTGAAAGGTGCGTTTTCAGTATGGACGCATTGGTTGAAAGATTCGGCATATTACCTCAATTTTAGGGCTGCTAATGACTAAGACCAGGAATCAAATTTGATACTGGGATACAGGTTTCTGAAGCGTACAAATTTGCGAATGAGCTTGTCGTGACTGCAGTGGGGGGCGAGGCTGGTACTGTTGTTCTGGCTGGGGCTTCCAATGCTGGTGGCGGCGATTCTCCCCTGAGTAGTCTATATGGATTGGCAGCCGATCAGGTCCTGGCATTGGAAGGTTTGTATACCATCCCTCTTTTATTTTGCAGGTCCAACTGATTGTTCAAATCCCAGTCGTGCTGGCTGATGGTAGTTTTGTCACTGTTCCTGCAAAGAGCAGTTCCGAAATCTACTGGATGCTGCAAGGTGGCGGTGACAGCACAATCGGGGTGGTCAAGTCAAGCACTGATATCTGTGAAAGTACATTTGAACTACCAAGCTAACCGTGCCCTCTCTTGTATCAGCAATGTTCAATAATTCAATGTCAAAGTAGCCATATAAGCATGCATGTGATTTCATTCATTTTGCACTCCAAATATCGAGCCAAATTCTATCACATGTCACTATTACTAGATGAGGCTCTAGCCGGAGTCATAAAATGACCGAAACCCCATAAAAGACCTGGCCGGTCGTTCTATAACTAAGGCTCGAGTATTTACTACGGCGAAATATGCCTCACGAGTCATTTGGTGATTTTTGTGGAGCGCATAAGACCTTTTCCCGACCCATACTTAGCCCTAGCCCTGTTATGATACTACGTATAGACATACAGGTGAGAAAATGAAAGACCGGTATCCATGTCTTACTCAAGTAACATCCACATTGGAATACAGCAGTCTCCGAAAGAGGAAGCTGGGATGAGAAAGAGCGATTATATTTCTGCAGCTGATCATGCAGTTTGTCTAAATCACTACGACGCCATGAAATACGATCCAATAGAAAGATCATAATCCATGAAACATACTTCTTGGGAGGCGAACACCGATCAATTACCAGCTAGCTCTCACGTTAATTTCGCGATGAAACGTCGCAGATCTTGATGCTTTGATACCAGATGGGGCCCCCTCCCGTTTAGCCATTTTAGGAGATTGGGGCCAGATTGTAATGATAGTCAATGCAGCCTTGCCGCAGCATCTAGAATGAGTAGTGGAACCGTAGTGATAATTCATCATTGAGTAAGTTATTAGTACCGACACCCAGATATTATACTTTTTAGGGCTTCGGGCTCTAAATAAATGCCGAGCCCCAGATATTGAGGCACAACTGGGCACCCTTATATTGTTTTTGATCCAAGGGGTACTAGCTTGTCGGGTTTCCTTGTAACCAAATATGTCTTTGATATTGAATCTTTCGGCCAGTGGAGATTCAATTTTGGGTTGTGCTAGGAGAGATCCGCCCTATGCATTGTCATCCTCATCACCTTAAGGACCCAGGAACCTTGAAAGGTCCCCAATTTTCATGTTCTAACTTCTCAAAGCTTGATATGCCTTGAATGCGCGATGATCAGCGTTCCACATGCCCTTAGTACGGGCCAGTCGTGTCATTTCTAACGTCCGAGATCAGATGTGAAGAACCCGTAGGAAACGATAGGGTTTAGACCAACTGACTTGGCTTGGAGGACCAACATATAAAAGCCTTGTTTCTTCCGCTGAAAATATCATTTGATGGAACAAAAGAGTGAGACAACTTGATCAGAGAACTTCAAGCTTTGAGATAATTCGACCAAGAACCGCAAGATTTTGTCTCAATCCTCATCTCGATCGACATGGCAAAATTTCTGTCTTTGTTGACGCTTGCCTCGGCAGCATTGGCCAGTCCACATAAAAGAGTACGTGTGACTACATATAACGATCCAAGAACGTTGTTAATGTCAAGCTGTTACAGTTGGAGAACACTCTGGGTGTTCAATATGGCATCAACGCCGATTCTATGATCAGCTATGATGGCGTGTACTTTGGTTACGCTCCCAACTACGATCCCCAGGTGACAATGGCTGATTTGACTGCAGCCACGGGGCAGAAGGGCGCTACGTGTGTAGACTGTTCAACTCAGACAGAGTCACTCTTTCAATTAACCATGGCATAGGTACAACGTCTACTCTCAGCTTACGTCTTCCAACGTCGATAGCGGCTCCTACAATGGCAACGACCAATACAACGTGGACGACATCATCTCTTCCGGAGCTGTTCTGATTGCTTCTTTGATGACCTCTATTGACTGGACAGATGTTAGCACGGGCTTGTCCAAGTCTGTGGCATCCTACTTTGAGAATACCTTTACCAGCAAGGGGGTTACTGTTTGGTTGCGGTTTGCTCATGAAATGAACTATTATGCGGATTCCGGCACGTATCCTGGTGGAAGTAAGTCAGCAAAACTTTCCTACAAATTTGAACCACAGCAGGAAAGGACGACTTGATGTCTAACATTCGACAATACAGAAAATTACGATGAATTCATGACTGCCTGGCAAAACATGTACAATGCCACCTCCAGCAATGACAAGATCTACATGTACTGGTCCCCCAACGACGATATAACCTCCGAACCCGCTGCTCCCTGGTGGCCCGGTAAGGAATACGTCGACATCGTCGGCATGGATTACTACCCCAACGCTGACCAAGGAATCCCCGACTTCGCAACCGCCTATGGAGCCTTTTACGATACATATGCCGCTGCCAACGGACTTCCATTCGCTATTGGTGAGACCGGAACCCAGACATCGAGTGGAGGATCTGCTAGCACGGCGCAGAAGGAAGAGTGGTTGAAGAACATCATCAATCCTGATGGCGGTCTTGGTAAATACTCGGAGTACTATATGAGCTGCACTTGGTTTGAGTATGGTCCTCCAGCTAATAGTATCGACTACTATGTCGTCTATGGTCAGGGTAGCACTGTCGTGGATGAGACCATCGCCAACACTGAAATTGGGTCGGCTTAGGTGTGAGGATTGATGAAGGACTGTGGATGATAGACACCCGTGTACTCCTAAATTGTCCATTGGTGACATTTACTGTAAGAAACACCTAGATAATTAGATCAGTTACAAGAAAAGTAAAATCGATACATACTACTTGAGGTATTTCTACTATGTTACAGTTACCTAAGTAATGGTAAATTTGGATTATCGCGACTTGAAAACCAATAACGAATAACTCTTAATCAATAAGTTTACGAAATATACTTTTCAAAAGAGATCCGTGCGAAGAAATATTTGAATGCATGTACCGACTGTGACTGGCAAGGGGATCATCAACACTGACTCCGATTCCCAATCCATATCAAGATCGAGTCTTTCCATATCAATATGGCTGTACGGCCAGAATTCCTGATTTGGTAGATTCTGCCTGATGATTAAGGTTCCAGAACCTTTCGTTGGACCTTGTGTACAAATCTAGAAAACCCAATCATACTACCAGACATGACTGATGTATTATTTTGAACACTGCTATGTAGGAATCATGAAGACATGTATTCAAGTAGGTACATTGAAACTCTTGAAAATACTAGAACCACTGGATTCCTAGATGATATAAATTCCTACCCAGACTAGCTATAGACCACATGTGCAGTGTTAGCATTGACTGCCTAGGTAAGTTTCAAATGAGCGGTATCTATGGTAAACTGAGGAAGTACTCCAACATGCGAGGATAGTTGGGTGTTCCAAGACCTGTTACGGGGTCCCATCCTTCGGATGCTTGGAAGCCCCCCGAGCCGCAATTGGGGTCTGTAAGAAAAGATCTTGTCAGTACATGGAAACAAAGATTTGGAGTCTTTCTGGAATAATATGAGGAGACTTACTCGAACCGTTGGTAATGTCGTTCAGGACCCAGGGATCTATATGTTCAATCAGCAATCTTACTCTTCAAACCAGATGATATCGATGAATGTCACTTACTAGCATACAAGGCAGGATTAATAAATCCAATCGGCCCCTTGCCCACAGCAGTACGCTCTTCATTAAGCAGAGTGACTACAGCACCAAAGATAGGCGACGCTAGAGAGGTGCCAAAGAAAGTGCCTTCAGTTTCATTCACAAATGTGAGCAAGAAGGCACCGTTCGCAGAGACATCTGGGTATCCACGGCCTTTGCGGTTGTAGACACCCCCATTTTCGCCGATGTTAGTGGCATCATTGTTGATGTTATAGTAGGGTAGTTTCTGGTAAGGCAGGTCCTTCTTGAGATATTCGGCGACCGCCTCGGCCTGGAAAGACGCTGGTTCGAAGAAGTTAGAGAAACCACCACCGGTCGCAAAGAAGTCGTATGGCGGGGAGGTAGGGCCGGCTCCAGTGGCGATGTTGAATGCAGTCAAGTTGACTTGCATAGCTGACTCGGCGTCGTAGACGGTTTCATTTGGGTACAATCTTGTAGCACCGACGGCAGTAATGTAGGGACATCCAGACGGATAGTCGGGGTTGTAGATGGTTCCGTTCTGAGTGGTAGAACTGAGACAGCCGAATTCATTATCATTGCTGCCAGGGAAGCTAGCTACACCGTAGTCACCACTAGCAACCAGAATAGTATGACCCTGAAGGCCTAATTTCAAGATTTCTTGGCATTGCCTCTCCACATATGCTTTGGGGAAATAGACCTCTGCCTCACCGTAGGAAATGGAAACAACTCGAGTGAGATTGTACGTGCCACATTCCCTTTGGCCTGTGTAGCCACCCGCGAGAGAATCGGGGTAAGATGCATCAATTCCCGGGCTGTCGCCGGTAATACCATAAGCAGAATAGTTGCAGTAGCTTCCATCCACACTGTCAAGGAAAGTGTTGAGAAATCCAGCTGTTCCCGTCTCGCCAGATGAGTTTGGCAGATCGTCCACTTCATAAACCGTGACCGATTGGGGGTAAATCAGGGAAATGGCGAGATCGAGATCAATATCAGACTCTCCGCCGTTGCGCTCGTCAGATGGCGCAACCGGTGCAGTGCCTCCATCAACGGAGATCACCTTTGGCTTTGTGCCAGCAGGAACATTGGTGGCGAAGTTCTGAAAGAAGAGAGTGATGTCTTCCTGCGAAAACGCATCATAACTTTCATAGAGACCCATGGCATTTTCTGGTTGACTGTATTTTGCGGTGGGAAGATCGTACAGAGCCTTAATGCAAGTGGGAGTGATGTTGACACCACAGTTCTGAAGAGCAGGAGGTAGTCCGTGCGCTGCTGGTGGAAGGGCCCAACCGGGATAATGTGGTGGTTTTACGTGAGGCACATGGGGATAACCTGGGTGAGATGCAGCGGATACGCTGCGCTTCTGGTTTATCTGTCGCTTTTTCATAGGCGCAGAAAGTTTAACTCCGGGCTTGATGTAGTCCACATGTTCGGAAATGTGAGCAGGAAGATAATATTCCTCACATCCGATTCGGACATTGCCGTTGGGACTCTCCAGCTCATAGAAGTGAGTACCTAGCAATTTCTCAGCATGCCTAGCAGGCATGTCGATTGCAAGCCATCCTTTGTTCTCATAATGCATGATTTCATCATCGCCGAAAAGACCGGAGCCGAGGAGCCAGTTCTTGACGGCGTCCACAGTCTCGTCAGCAGGAGCAAAAATGGAATGAACTTCCTCTTTGGTAAGATGCTTTCCGTAGTTTTCAGACGATGGATGAGAGACGTCCATCAGTCTTTCATAGCCGGTGTGCAGATTGCTCTGTCGCAAACCAATGCGAACAGGGATGACTGAATCGCCATCAATGCGCTGTTTTATTTCTGGCAAAGGGATTTCTCGCTTCTCATGGAGTACATGGCTCAATGAAGCGGCCAGAGCTCCAGAGAACACCGAAGTGTGAACAAGAAGGTACTGCAACAACATGTTGTTGTCTGCTAGTAAACAAGTATAGAAAGACAAAATAGCCCCTATTTACTGTTTAGGATGGCAGCAACGACTAGAGAAGCGATTGTACACTTCAATGCTGTTCCCAACCAGGTTTGCAAAGCCAGGGAAGGATAGAAAAAGCGGACGCAACAAAGAGCTGGCATGGGCAAATAACGTAATTTATAAGGGCAGGATTAGATATGCAAGCGCATAATTATTTCCCACCTAATTATTAAGAGCGATCATCATCCTAGTTAGAAGTGAGGTGCTTCTGATAAGAAGCATCCTACAGGCTGAACTTATCAGAGATCGTTGTATGACTCCTTCCTATACGGCTCTAGTACGATGAAACCCCAACAAACGCTATCGACCAGCTTGGCTGGAAGAAGGATAGCCTATATGCAGTCTGGGATTAAGCACGGCATAGAATAGGCTAGATGCTACGCCAGTACCTGATGAGAATAGATTAAACACAGCTGTATGCAAGCAGAAAACATGTTTTGATGTTGGGGTGCATAATCCTGGCTCGATTGCTATTATATGGGAAAAATTTGACGACAGCAGACCAATACAAACGATATCTTGGATGTGTCTATTCTCGTTGGATGCATTAACAGACGACTACCCAGCCAAGGCCGCTAGGCTTATCATTTGGTCGCTTAATTAAATGAAGCTTTTTAGTTCATAAACTAAAACGCCATGCCCCATTCGCCATCACTTATTCAATGTTGAATGTTGTATTTCAGCGGGGCTTTTAATCATATTGAATTAATATTAAAACAGAGATACCTGTTGTCTTTAATTTGAGAAATCAACGATTGCAATCAAGCAGACGTGAGCATTGCTATCCGCCCATATTTCCACGTCGTACCTGTATTTACCTCGGCATCGTCGGCCAATATTTGAAGCAACTCGACAAACAAATTGAATTATTTTTTCCGACTCATTGATTCTATGCACTCATATACACCGAAATGACATGGAAGTCACTAAGAGCACTCAGAATGGGCGGTCAATAACTCGCACACAATCTTTGAATACCTGAAAAGGAATACAGCTACTTCCTTGCCTGCCTCCTTTTCGCCATCTCGGCATCATACGTATCCAACACCGCCTTGAGTTCCTCCTTCGACGTCATACGCTCGAACCAATCCTTTGCATGCGGGAAAGCATTCACATCAAACCCATCCTCAGCATGGTTCGCCTGCGCGATTTTCTGCCAGGAGATAAACGCTACATCGGCGAATGAGAACTTATTTCCGACCAGCCAGGGGCCGTCCTGGATGTCGTTTTTATGAATTTCCTTTTGCTCGGCTAGCCACTTATCGAGCACGCCAGTGACGCGCTTGATTTCATTGACGTAGCGCTCAATAGCGGAGGGAACCTTTTCCTGGTGGAAGACCTTAAACCAATACGCCTGACCATAGTATGGACCTTGACCGGTAGTCTGCAAATACAGAAAGGAGCGAGCGAGTTGCGCTTCTGCGCTTCCCGGAGGGAAACTGAATTTGCGCGGCTCTTCGGTGTCGTAGCGTTCAATCAGATACTCGATGATGGCGCCGCTCTCCCAGATTGTGAAGTTGGTGTTTGGGTCGTGGATGGATGGAAGCCGACCATTGGGGTTGATTGCTTCGTACTCGGGGGTCTTCAGCTGATCCATGGGGATAAGAATGCTCTCAAAGGGAATCTCGAGCGCGGTCAGAACCAGACCGACTTTGAGGGGGTTGGGACCGAGGACGCCTCCGTAGAGTTTGATGGGTAGGATTTTTGCTGCCATGTTGCAAATTCAGTTTGACTGTCGGCTTGACGCTTTTTCAATTTGTTTGATGAAAGTTCAACATTTTGACGACGTCTCTGGGCCTTTTATAAGGTCGGTCCTAGAGTCCCTGAGCAACTATGTCAATTCAATACGAGCATCGCGAAGCAGCATCAGCAGCTTTCTAAGCGCTGATTAATTCATAATCCCATAACAAAGTATGACATCTGCCTCGAAATGAAGAATGATGTCGACTAATGGCATCGTTCGTGCAGAAGCCAAGACATTTTCCCCCAGCGCATCATCGCCATTCGGCCTTCTTCTCGGCCTCTCGGCCCCAGCAACAACCGACTTCTTATTCAGCTTTCTGAAATATTCACAATTTACTCGGACCAGACCGCGCAAATATCGAGAATACAAGCAAGCATTCACCAAGTTTTCTTAAGATCAATCTCATCATTGAATTTGTCAAAAGTCATGCACATGTGTTGATCTCGGTTTCTCATTCAAAGTGATATCGACAAGGGTGGCGGGCTGTTTTCCTCCGGATTCCGTTGGAGTTAACTTGCGCTATTCGCGAAGTCCATTTCATCTTGACATCTAATGCGGAAATTAGTGTGAATGTATGGACTACTTTTTTTAGGTATTTTGCGAACAATATACGCCAGGGAGTTTGAGTTTATCGCTTGTTAGAGCTTCTAGGACTTTGTACAAGATACGTAGACAAGATTTGATTGTCAATTAGGGCTAATCCGATGGCCTGAAGCTGTCATTAGCAAAGCTCGAGAAACCCTGGTTTCAGGTACCGGCAAAGTATTCACGCTTTGGCGAATGATTTATTCCACGTCCATGAGTAGACAGTTCGTCATAATATAAAAAAGTCTCGTTTATCATGTGCAATCATAAGTACATATCTGTTTTCAATGGTATATCATCGCACTTCATCAGCGTAACCTCAATGCAGACCCAACGCCATGCTCATGAAAAGACGAAAGAAAAACAACCAGCAATTAACTATTCAATGCGCGGAGGACTTCTAGAATGGCGCTCAGATGGACTCGAGCTTTGTCTAAGACACAAACGTCAGTCAAACACCATATCTAACAACAAAAGGAAGGAAAATACGTACGATCTTCTCCGAACTCCTTCCTTCCTAAACCCTTCGATAATCTTCAACATCTCCCTCCGTCCCGAAGTCGCATCAACCCTCTTTCCCGCCAAACTCATACTCACTTTCTGATGCGAATTCGCCCTCAATATCCTATCCAGCAACAAACACCTCATATTCAAACACACAAACACGCCACAGTCACTACTATTTTCCTGTTGCGGCGCATCCTCTAAATGCACAAATCGGATCGGACAGTTGAGTAACACGCCTAGTTTCATGGTTATGGTGCCTGCTTCCATTCTGTTCCCAGGTGGGAGGGAGTCGTAGTGGAATGCGATGCGGTCGACGATCGAGACTACGAGTAAGGACCAGTGGGTTCCGCCTTCGGCTTCGGTGACGTTTCGGCAGTCATTTATGGGGAGGAAGACGTGGGTGGCCTTTGTGAAGTCTGGGAGAGCTTCGCGGAGGGTGCGCGGGTCGGAGGTTTGGAGGAGCATGAAGGACATGCTGGGGCGGAGGAGGATGATATTGGCGTGCTCGAGTTTGGAGAGGTATTCGTGTTCAAGGTATCTATAGCAAGGAGTCAGTGATGAGGGCTAGGAAATGGGGAGATTACATACTCCTCCCAGAAAGAGATAACGTTATCCGTCAACCAGTCATCTTTTAATGTCTGAATATCCTCGCGCATTACTATTCCAGTCAGATATCTTTCTGACGACATTAATCGCTGTTTCGTGCACTTACATCTCACATCATGATCTAATTGAGTTAATCAGATTAGTCTTTGTCTCAACTCTAATCGATAACCGAGGCAATGCTTACAACTCAAATACGCATCATCAGGATGCAACTATCAACAACCAATCAATTAGTCACAAGACGTCAAAATGGTTTAGCGATCACGTACAGTATCAGACCACCTTCCCATCATCTTTTTCTGGAGTTTGCCGAGGCCGCTTTCGCGCATATTTGGACGCGGAAGAGAGCGGGCGGGTCGGTTTATCGGGTCTTTGTATGTCGTATGGTGTATAAATACAGATATGTGTATATTTGTTTGAAATGCTGATTTCTAAGGACAGATCGAAGTGGATGTGCGTATTGGCGTTGTGAGGTATGCCGCTAGATACAGGTCGCGTAAGTACCTAGAGCTTCCACAAGGTTATGTACACAAATCAAGTCGTCCCACTGTTGCAAGAAAGTGCAAAGTCAGCAAATGCATAATACGAACAGGATATCTGGGGTTTTCACCTTTTTATGTACTACTCCTTGACTGCGCTATCTGACTCAACGCAGATTCCGCGCCGTCCGTAAATCGTAGTAAGAATTCTCTCGAGTGCAAGACAAGTTGAGAATACGCAAATGAACAATCTAGCAAATGCAGTATGCACAGTATGGTCGTATGTATTGTTAAACGAAGGAAAGTAATGATCCGACAAGTTGTGTAGTTGCAGGTGGCTCTCGCTCGTTCCTTTCTGACTCTCGGGTTGACTTTCGCCGCGACGTCACCGATTGTGGCTGACCGAGCGTGGCTGGGTTGCGGTTCACTACCCGTCTATTGTGGCTAGGGCTGAATCATACAATTTCAAGCAATTAAAAGGCCTGACTCGTTTAGTTGATGGAAAAACAATGATTATGGTCAAAATGGAACATAAATATCAACACTGTAACTGGGTATCTACATAAATGAATACATTGCCCGAAAAAATCCTGAGACATGATTGCTGGTCTGTTGACAAGCAGAATCGTCTTGACGGGCAAAGAAGAGAAGAAAGAAAAAAAAGTATACAGTCGCCAATGGTCAATAGACAGAGCTCGGTTTAATGAAGACATCAACCACCGAGCCAACCTGTACACTGATACATCCGGTTCAACGCCGGCTTCAGTGATACACAAACATGAACAAAAGAAAGAAATCTTCGGGGTTATAAAAAACGAGAAACATACTTGATGAAATGTTCGTGAGGTATACTCAACAGAATGTAAGAGAAAATAAAGAAGCAGTCGTGAAAATGGTTGGTCGTTAATCATGATGAGAGCGCCGAAAATGCTGGAAAAAAATAATCGCTAATCTGTATTGTAGATGTGCGGGTGAAATGCCATCTGTACAGACGACCAGTTTTATGCCGCTTCAACCAAGCTTTGCAAAATGCTGAGTCCATATCCAGCCAACCTGGCCTGTAGGGTCKTCTTGWTTCTKGGSGAGCCACAACTCGCCCTTTTCTGCAATCACATCAAACACTTCTCCCTCGGTATAGGTGAGATAAAGATATCCGGCCTCACGTCGGGACTTGTCAATGTTGAACTCGTAAAGACTGGCTGCAAGGAACAAGACTTTCGGATTGGGGTTGGCACTTGTTACTGGTGCTAGTAGAGGTGCGGCTGCTTCTTGCATTGGTGAGTCAGCCATGGGCATTGCAGACGAAAAGAATCCCGAGAATCGAGCTGGTGACGCAGTTGTTTCAGCTGTTCTTGTCTCTTGAAGCAAGGAATCACGCATGAAAGGCATATCTAGACTCAAACGAGGAGCGGTGTGAAACGAGTCTGTTTGACGACCAGTCGATCCCGTGCTAGGCCGTCCTGGCGACAATGCTTGGGCCATTGCACCAGTGCCAATCTGACCATTGACTGATTCTGCACTCGCTCCTGGGCGAGCCACGTTGGAAAGAGATGAGCTGGCACGTGTACGACCTCCGATATATGAAAAAGAGCTATGCTGATCGGTCTGCCCGTCCATTCCGTACGATTGAATCGATGTTGCAATGGTTCCCTGATCGTAGGAAACTTTCGGAGAACTATCAAAGGTGCCTGATGTGGTACGAGCGCTAGTACTGGTAACAGTTGAAGGCCTTCGAGGCGAGGTTGGCCCATCCCCTAGAGGGGCGTTGAAATTAGCCAGGTTGCCAGCTTCAGAGAGAAGAGTTCCGTTGCAAAGTGCAAGTGACATGATTTGTGCATCAGCGAATGAGAAGTCGGCTGACCAGTCACTAACGATGCCTGTCACATCTCCAGGGAAGCGATCAAGAATAGGTCCGAGTTTCTGCTGAAGGATCTGGTACCATCCTTCTTGTATAGACACAAATTTCTTCAAACATGCTTCCATAAGCTTGGCAGTAAGAGTAAAAAGTCGCGGAAGCTCATCCTTTAAAGCGTCGTTCAGCACCGAGAATTGCTCGCCTTGTTCAATGGTTCGCCTGTCTGGTTTATCGCCGCGGTCGATTATGGATTTGTAACGAGCATAGTCAAGCAATCTCTTGTCTCGCTTGGTCATTACTTTCTGCGGGCCTTCATACAGCTTGAGGACGGTCAACATAGGGTCGATAACACCTTTGCGGACGGTTGAGATCTATGATTATTAGCACAATCCAAATCTTGGGCAAAGGAAAAACTTACATGGTCAGGGAGAGCAACGCTCATAATCTCCCGAACAAACACTCGCAATCGATGCCACTTGCTTTCTATCTCCGTGTAGTTGGACTGCGCCACATCAATGCAACCGTGAAGGGCACCAATGTAGTCATTGAACTTCTCCATGCCAGACTTGATTTCGCGGGTGTACATTTCCACATCGCGCATTACAACTTGCAACTGAAAGAAATGCTCGTTGAAGCGATTTGCCAGCGAATTGTAGTCAGTATCCTCATACATTTCGGAAAGACCGACCTGTTGTCGAAGCTTCTCGGTTCGACGACCAAACGCTTTGGTAAATCCAGAACGAACGTCGGATTCCTTCCTCTTTCGGCTGCTAACGACTTGACCGACGACGTCAGCGCGCTTCTTCAGGTCGTTAATGCGAACCGAAATCTTTGTAACCGCTTCTAGTGCTTGAACCAAAGCTGCATGATCCGGGTGGCTCTCAGGGGTTGCGTTGATCAGTTGGTTCAGAAGTAGAGGGTATTTTACCAAACGCTGAACAGGCTTCACCAGCAAAGCGTCCAAGTTCCAGGCTTCTGTGAGATCGGCCGCCCAATCTCGACATTCTTTCAACCAGATTTCGACCTTGGGATTACGCTGTAGTATCTGCAGTTTCTTGTTCGCAGCCTCATGGTTCTTGAGATACTCCGTGTAAACCTTTTCCATCTGGCTCATATTCTTAATGAAAACATGACCAATAAAGGTAAGCTGATCTTGTTCCAAGCTAGATAACCCAGAAGTCGAACTTGGTGCTTCCGCTGGCGAATCGGTGCGACCGTTGCGCTGCCCCTTTTTGCTATTCCATCGTGCGGATTTCGGCATCACGTACACGCTTTTGGCTGCCTGCTTCAATGCATCAAAGAAATTCATGGAGAATTGGACAATCTGGTCGGAATTGGCGAAAAGTGTTTTGACGTCGTCCACAGATAAGTCCAAGCATGAACTTGACGTTCCCTTGTAAATGTCGTCCACTACTTTCATATCCCGGCCATACGTGTACTCGGTATCAACAAGCTCTTTTATAACGTGTCGGCGTTGTTTCAGCTGCTTCTGTTCAGGAGTTGGTGAGCCAGCTGGAATCTCTCCAGCAAGATCTGGAGCAGGAATCTGGTACTGTGAAGTAGCAGAGGATGCTACCGTTGGCGGCGATGGAGTGAAACCAGAGTGTGTGAGGTATGAATCTTCGCTGTGACGTACTGGAAGATGTTCCTCAACTGTTGAAAAGGGGTCACTGGAAAGGTTGCTGGATGGAGGTTGACTAGTGTAGATGCTTGGTGAGACCGATTGGGGCGCAGGAATCTTCGAAGAATATGGCTCCAGAGCCGCATCATCCTTTGGAGCCGGAGGGGGACTGTAAGAAGGCATTGGTGGCATGGGAGTAACTCTAGCGTCATCCACAGGAGATTGCACATGGATGGCGAGACCCAATCCATTCCACGAATTCTTGTCGTGGGAAGGGACTGATGTTGGGATTTCCGGGATAGACGAGCCTCCTAGCTGATGATTCCTGTCCGCAGCCTGCGGTTTAACATCATCTTTGGGTGGAGGTACTGGTGGCTCATCTTCTGCCGCGACTTGAATCCAATCGGCAATTGACGGCGAAGCACTTTCCCAGTCATCACGCAAGTTCAAGCTGGCCCGGTGTGGGACGCGATCTGAAGGAGCTAACTCTTCTATACGCGGCACCATGACAGAATCTTCTTCTAAGCTGTTGGCATTCTGTTCAGCCCGGCTCTGTCGTTCAAAGTTTTCCCATGGGCGATCTATAGATTCGCTTAGCCCGCCACGTGCTAGTTGTTGTACATAAAGCTGTGTAACTCGTTTCGAATCCCAGCCACCCTGCCGGATCAAGTTGTCCGGATGTGAACGCTGTCGCTTGTGGGTGTCGAGACCTTTGGCAGGTCTGTTGTGGAAAGAATCCAGAGTGGCCTGACGGCGCAATCCATTTGGAGAATCGTTCCAATTAGGCACTGGCTGACTCTCATGGTCAGTAGATTGTCGCGGCTCATCTTCAGCGTCGCACTGGCTATCTAGGCTCGATTGTTGCTCTCGTGTGGAAGAAGCCCAGGATGCCATACTCCATCTGTTAACGTCGTCATGACCAGTGGTATCACTCCCCGTGTTCTTACTTGCTTCAAGGTCGTTGCTCTGGCTACGATCTATCTCGTCCAAGAAAAATGTAGCTCGGGCGGGATCGAGCATGATGCGGATTGACCCATTGTCGTCATTCTCCTCGTCACACAGCTCATTGTCATCATCATCGTCCTCTTCTTCCTCGTCGCACTCGCTACTAGAGCTTGATTCACGTAATTGCATAATACGACTGAGGAGGTCACGGTGAGATGCTTGATGGTCGAGTCCAACTTGAGGTTCAGGGTCGAAGGTAGTAGAGTCGGAACCATTGGTAGCTGTTGTTATCGCCGAGGAGGGGGGAATATCTGAAGGATCAACAGAAGCGGGAGCTGGGTGGATATTTGGGACTGTCGATGCACCCAATGTGGGAGAGTCGGCCAGGCTGGGTTGGGATTCAGGATTGACTTCTGAATGTTGACTATGATTTAAGCTGTTGCTATCGGTAATGACAGACAAAGTTGGAATCGGATTCTGCCCGTCGATTGTGGTAAAATCGATGTCAGTGTCATCATGAGTAGTATATTGAGGATCAGGAAAGTCGTTCGTAGCATGCGGCTGTATAGGAGTAGATGCCGACTCCATTGAGGCCATCTTTCGAAGCTCGCCCTCACGAATGAGCATTGATCGCACTTGCTCATCTCTCTTATAGCGGGCTAACCTTCGACGCTCGGCAGCTTCTTCCTCCTTTTTGACGGTCTCCTGAACAGACTTGTTGAAAGCTTGCTGAATGCGCTGTCGTCGAGCGGCAAAATCTACATTACCCAACTCTGGTGGTTTTCGTGTTCTTGTGCGAGGATTCCGTGTAAGATCATCAGCAGTTTCAGAAGTCTGAAGACGAGAAACACGATCAACAACTTTAGCGCGAGATGCTGCAGTGCTTGCTGCGGAAACAGGTTGTCGTGGTCTGGAACTACGCAAAGGCGGAGACATCTTGGGCGGAGGCGCAGAGACATATACCTTGAGCGATCCCTTGTCCGGAACTTGTCGCGGACTTCCATGGCTGTGGGTAACATTTCGACGACCTGGCGATTTGACGGTAGTATGTATAGGTATTCTCCGCTCCGGGTTTGTGAATGCCGAGGTTGATGTCAGATTAAGAGGTTTCGGTAGACGACTGCTACCCTTAGGGGGAAGTGGTATTTGGACGGTGGAATTAGAGTGACTGTTCGGATGAAAGCCTATGGCTGAACTGGTTCGTGTCGAAGGAGATGATGGTGTAGAAGAATCTGAGGCTCGACTTCCTCGTCTGCTTGCCAAAGGAATTCGTGATTTCGTAATGTAAGAGCTTTCTGGGTTCATGGTGGAGACCGGATCTTGTACCGCGACGGCAGCCACCTGGGTTGCTAAAGGGCTTGTCACGTTAGGTTTCACTGTCGTCCAGGATGCGTCACTCCTTGATCGGCGGTGGTTGCGGCCACCACCCTCGGATAAATTCTTATTAACAGATTCCAGTGAGTGGGTGTAGCCCAAGTACCAAGCTGTTGGCGAAGATGGTGATATTACTGGACCAAATGCTCCTCCTGGTCGCGAGCTATCGCCAAGCAATGGGTGTGGGCTGGAAATGCTACTCTCTGAGCCTCGGCGACGGGGATGGGCTTGAAGAATACCATGTCCCGGCCGATCATTCACTGCGGTATCAATAGTAAGAAGCTCTCCAAACAATGGTCGGCGCGACGAATGACCGCCGTAGGTTTGATAAGATGGAGACTGGGAGTTCTGGTAGAGGTTGTGCTGAGATTGCTCTGGTCGATCGTAGGTCGGTATGGATGGGAAAGATGTTGGGGGAGACAAATCGTGCCGTTGGTTTGCCTCGCGCGTCTGGGTCCCAGAACGACTTCGATTGCCAAAGCTAGGCGAAGGGCTAGCTGCTCGAGACGAAAAGGCCGATGCTGATCGAACAGGTACCGGCGGAACTTCGTCGACGTTCTTGTTGAAGCGTTCCACCAAGTCCTTGAAAGAGGCCTGCCTATTTCGAGCGCCGATAAATCCAGACGGTTGTGGGCGAGAAACGCCGTCCCTCGGCGATGTACTTGAATCTCCTGATGCGGACCGTAGTTGAAATGAACGAGGTGTGGATCTGTTGCGGCGGTAGGACGCAGAGTCGAAATGTTGTGAGAATTCCGGCGAGCGAGGAGCAGAGGTGATTGTGGTCATTCCTGGTCGAACGTCGACTGGGGGCAGCAGGCTTCCTAGGCCTGAACTCTTCTCCGCATCATTGACGGTGTAGGGTCGATAGAAATCGCTGGGATCAGGAGACGGTGTCTGCTCGGCGCGAGTTTCGGCTACTCGACTGGTGCTGTAAGGTACCTGAGGCTCAGAGGACGAGTGCTCTGGGTGATATGTGAGGGCGGACAGAAGTGGTCCCGACAGTTGAGATGTGGATGTGAGGGTCGAGATGCGGTCGAGTGAAAGGTAGTCGTTGGAGGAAGGAGCGAGCGGCGAGGAAGGTCGTTCAAAGCGTGGGGGAGAACGGGCGTGTGATTGAACAGAGGGGAAGGATTCATGGTCGTCGTCTCCGTCAGGCATCTTGCACGACGCCTGCGGCAAGAGGGACTGAAGAGGTTATGCTTCGGGTAGCCGTATGGAATCGAGAGGTTCCACCAGGGAAGGAATGCCAGTTAAGCTATCGATGCGTTGTCCACCAGCCCACTCTCGACGGTTCAAATTAACTTGGCCCCGGTCCAACAAACGAAATTGGTCGGTTGTGCAAATTGAAGAGCGGTGTCGCAGATTGGCTACAGAGCGGGCATCTCGTTGGTGCCTGAGGCTAGCGGCATATCGAAGCTTCGCCCAGCTTGCCTGGATGGACTTGCGAGGCCTATCCTGGAGTTGGAAAAAGCAAGCAGCGTCCAAGCTTGGGACGAAATGAAATGGGGCGACCGCGACGACCGGGCTCCTTGGAAGAGTCGCAATGGTTTGTCGACCGAGGTGCAGGGGGAGTGTTTCGTTGACGAATAAGCGACGGCGAGGCGATGACAGTAGAATACAGACGTCGTACGCAGCGAGGCGGAATCGTTCGAAGGACGAGTTGAGTGTGTAGTGCAGTGTCGTGGAAGCGTCGTGTCGTGTTGTGTGCTGGAGGAACGAACGAGTGGCTGTGGTGGAAGGAAGGAAGTAGCTTAGCAGAGCCCAAAACGGGAAGGAAGGAAACTGCCAACCTCGACGTGTCGCGGCACTAATCGCCCTAGCAAAGTGAAACCAGTACTATTACTCAGTGCCTAAAGTAAGTAGTAAGTAGTACTGTCAGGCTATCTGTTAGTCGCGGTAATCGGGGTTGGCAGAAATGCATACATCAATAATTGCTCAATGATCACCAACTGAAGAATGAACGGTTTATGTATTCGATCGATGAAAGCGGTCTTTATGACAATAATATCAATAAATCAACGAGATCAATAGGATCAATAATAATAAGCACCCCAACGTATACACTGTACAGCGCTTTTGGCTTGTGGAACCTGATATTCACAAATACTATGTAGAGAGCAAGGATTCGAGATGGAAAATCAAGAAAAGTCGAGAACGGCCTACGTAGTCTTACATAGTAGTGTACCGTACCCGGAAAAGCTCGCCGCGGGAGCAAAAAGTGGCGCTGGGTTGGTTTCAACTTTCAACGCTTATTTTGCTTTTTCCCTTCAATGTTCTACGAGTGCGATCACTGCGATGACTCTACATAGCACGATCGAGTTTTTCTGCGATGCCTTACCTAGCACTGTTAGCACAATTTTGACAGTGCGCTGGCGATCGTCGTCCTATGAGATCGTTGAGATGCTGCATTAGCGCCATCGGCTAGATGTCAACCCACTGTCTACATACGGAGAGTCTCAGACTAGACATGACAGAAAACCGTCCAGATATTCTGAAGTCTGAAAAGGTATACAAAGTCTTCATCAACATGCAACTACAAACAGTCTACACAAATCTACACAAATTATCAGAGAACCAACAGCAATGTTGGATGTTTCAAGCATACAAGGTTCAAGGCTGATGACGAGAGTGGCTCGCACATCTCCAGGCTGAAACGGGTCCAATTAAATTCGATGGAACGGCGGACAGCCCTGAGTCCCCGATAAGTTCTACATAGTAGTACTTCGTATTCCAGGCGGACCAGTCTGGAAAAGCCTGGTTGAGAGTCAAATATCACCTACGATTATCCTTGTCCAATATCTTCCGTCTATCACGGGTATATCTAATCATTCAACTACCTGAAGACGTAAGTAAACAAATCGTGCCTGGCCCGGATCCAGCATCCCGTCGCCCACAACGCCCGCCAGCCAATCAGCCATCGCCTGCCACGCGGAACCAGAAAACACCGGAAAAGACCGGTCTGGCCCGTGAGATGCAAACAGAGCCAACTCGATAGTTTTCTTTCTCAGTACACTACTGAAAATACTAACTACTGAGAATAATGAACGGTTGCTCAATCAAAGATCAGGGAACTGATAGAGCACAGACAGACAAAGCGGAGCAGTCGATCGACGATAACTGCGAGTAATTGGCGGTTACACTCGCATTTCAATCCGGCCCGATATTTTAGCCATCATCAATGAATATTGGTCGAGGAGTCTTATACGAGACCGATCGCCGTCTACTGGGAAAAAGAAAAAGAAAAAGAAAAGAAAAAAACAATTTTGAAAGTGCCAAGAGGTGACAGGAGAGAAAAGACAGGGAATCCCATCTACGACGATGTGTACCCTACGAACATGGGGTGCGGTGTAGGTGCCAGGGTGGTGTGTGGTGTGGACGTGTCACCCCAGCTAAAAGAAGCAGGCTGCCGTACCTGCAGTAGATTGGTCACACATCTTTACTATTACTTAGTATACTTAGTCATATTTCTTGCAGCGGGCTTGAAGAACTACTCAGGAGTCAGTGATAATGTGGGATCAAGCGGCGATCGATCAAATCAATGATCCACCGTTCGTTCATGGAGTGTTGGGCATATTCTGTAATATGCAAGATGTATCAATTGGTACCTGCATCGAACGCTGATGAACCAGAAGTCCTTGATGTATAACATTCAATAAAAAGCCACCATGTCGAGAAAACTTTCGATCGAGGAATTATCTGTAGATCTATAAAAAATGATAGTTGATTGAGTAGGGATGGTGTGCAAAAAGACAGGCGGTCGGGAGTCTCCACTCAGCCATGGCTGCCAAAAAAAAAAATCAACAACTAAAAACTGATACGTTCCGAAGCACTGAGGAGTTTATAGTGCGATATAGTTAATCTCCCTCTTAAGAGCAAACCTCTTGAGAGGCAAAATCAGCCGACAACGTGGGCAATCAGAATGAAGTAAAACCGATTTACTCAGGGCTAGTAACGTGTGAGCCCTAAGTCCTAGGCACGCCTGAATATACCTTGACGTATCTTCACCTCGGCCTATGAGACAAAGTATGTTAGTAATTTCCCTTGACTTTTCCGATGACCTGATCACCGCTCACTATACGAAAATTTCTATACTACATACATTAGCGAGTATGCGCACTACCCAGGCATCATTTGGTCGAGTTCCGTACCGAACAAAATACATGTATATCAAAGTGTTTTTGGAGACACCAGTTGATCCCTAGACCCATTTGGCTTCTGATTGTGCTTTTTATGTCACATGCAACTAGTGAGTCAAAATATTTGACCTAGATACACTTTTAAAAATAGAGGGTCTCAAGCACTTGTCATAAAGATAAAATTGAAAGGTTAAGTTCTTATCCTTTAGGGTTCAAACGTAGTCGGATCTTATTTCCGAGTAAGTTTGAACCTTAAGGTTACTATCACGCGTAGATCTAGTGTAAGTATCACGACTAGTCATCTAGAATAGTAGTTTCCTACCAGTGAAAACCTTGCGTTTATAGTATCAGGATAGCCCACTCCACAATCCTCGCGTAAACACCAAAAACATTTGAACAAGTAAACCGTTCTCGATCTCAGAGGTGTCAATCCGCAACTGTATCATGGGCCAAACCGTCTCAGCCGTCAAAGAAGCAATCAGAAGAGACGCTGATGAACAGAAMAAGCCGATGATACGCTCAATGCAACGAACGAGCTGGCTAGGAAGCAAGCAGTCAACTTCAAACAACAAGTAATGTAAGTCTTTCTTCGAACAAATCGAGAGCACTTGATTTTACTGATAATTCATCTGACAGCGACGAGGCCATCGATTCAACCGTAATTTCCATTGACAGAGTCATCGCATACGACAAGGTGACCAAAAACGACGTGAACAGCGAAGACGTAATGACCATATTAGATGAGATTACCATATGTTTCCCCGATTTTGCCAGTAGAGAGGTAGCAGAGCGTCTCGCCAATCTACTCAATTCGGGCTTGAAGACGATGTTTAGCAATTATGTGGAAAATGCATCTAGATTAGAAAAGTAGTGTGCTTTATCGCATCAATGCAGTCTCCATTTTTCAGGGTACTGACTTACTGAAAGCTAGAAAGTGTTCTTACAACAGGTAATTTCGGCGGACTCGTGCAGTCAGATCTATCCATGTTCTCGTTGATATATACGTCCGAGGAACTTCCGGCAATTGCGAACAATATTATTACCTTTTTTTGTGGTATCTTCGGTCAGGTACAATTTACCTGCTCATTTACCAAATTCTCATCACTAACCACCCTTATACAGATTACGGGATGAGACGACAATGAGATTAAATTGGCTATCCGGGATACTTACACCGGATTGATGACAGGCGAAGGGAAGATATTCCAGCAGCTCAAAACAATTAGGGATTCCCAGGGAGAACCGGTTTCGGAATTGATTGTCAAAAGTAAACTATTCCTCGTAGCCGCGAGAGCATATGGAGGTACTCCAGTCTAATTTGAAACATGCAAGAAACAGACAAAACGGGGTAGAGAGTGGATATTAGCCGAAGGGATGCAGGTTGGCACTTCTGCCAGATGGTGATGTTTCAATCAGGATCCATCATTCTTTATAGAGTCCGTCTTAAGGGCGTACATAATTTGTGGCTTTGTCCAAAAAAGAAGAGGCCGCTGCAAGTAGCTGCTCACTTGATGGATGTGTCTATGGAAAGGAAGGACGGAAAAGCTGTCGTATGCGAGTCATGGCGGACAAAAACACCTTAGAGCGAGATATGAGTAGACAGATTATCGTGAAATGCGTTAGCCAGCACAAGTAATGTATCAACGGCATCTTGCATGTCCGGGGGAGATCTACAAAGTCGCCCCTCATAATCACGGATTGATTCGTAACTCCTTGATTGCGGACAACGGAAATGTACCGGGTCGGGCTTGAAATTGTGGTTCAGGACATTTGGAGACAATCGTGCAGCTCCTGCATTGAGGACATAAGTAACTCCAACTAGAAAGCAGCAAATTAGCCATCCTAGATGATATCAATGAGTAGAAGGCGCTGGGGACATAGGTATATTGTCCGATGAGACATTCAGCAAACGGGCAAGAAGGAGCACTCCCAAGGTATGCAGCTATCACCTGACTGATTGTTCAGAACGCACACTGAATGATTCCAGCCCAGGTGACTTGTCAGGTCAGACATGGACGTTCCAAGGCTCTAATTATGTGGATTGCGAGCTACCCGACATATATTCTCCGAAAGATTCGACTGTCCTGGAATCCATCAGTATGTGCCCAATGACTTAGTATCCAAAATCTTTGAGAATGCTTTAAGCGGCTGGAAGCACAAGAGAGAACATAGTGCTCGATATTATGATGACCGATGTGAGCACTGCGATGATGCAGTTATAATAGGATTAATAGGGGGTTAAGCTAACAGTTCGCCGGTTCCGGCCCGGTACGTACCTTTTGAGCGACCGAAGATTTTAAAATCCAGAACTTTTTTTCTCCTCCCTCTACTTTCTAAATTCAATAATCACATAGTTTATACACAATGCCTGACGTTTCCAAGCACGCGGCCGTGCTTCAGGACCTGAAGAATGGCTCCATTCGCACTTTGGGCGTGAGCATCGGGCCGGTCACAATTACACCCGGACTGAAAGTCGCGAAAGCAGGTGAGAAATCAGAGTCATGCAGAACTGACCTGAATTTTTTATCTGACAGAATTTTATTAGAAACGCACGTAACACCCAAACTCACGGTGCCCTCGGACCTACCGAAAGACTCGACGTACGCGGTCATCTGTCTCGACCTGGATGCACCATTCATCTCGTGGAATTTCATGAGCCCGATCGCCCATTTAATTCAAACGGACCTTAAAGTCAGCCAGACAGAAGCAGGAGAGCTTGAGCTCAAAAGCAGCGAGCCCGCAATTGGTGCCTGGGCTGGCGCTGGTCCTCCGCCGGGAGCGCAGCCTCACCGTTACGTCTTTTATCTCTACGAGCAAAAGACAGATTCATCTGTTGCCTCGAAGATAAAGCCGTTCGGCATTACGCAGCGCATGAGGTTCGATAATGATGCTGTGGTGAAACAATTGGGTTTGGGGCAGGTTGTTGCAGCGAATTACTTTGTTTCGAACTAGTCTATAGTTCTGTTTTATTCTTGTTTCTTCTCCTTGATCTACTACGTCGAATAGCTTTTGATACCTTGGTATAGTCCTTTCACCACCAACGTTTGACTTGGGATCGCTACGATATAACTTTAATTGTACCTCCGAAATCTGATATATTATGCACCGCTACTTAGATACAACCATGTGTCTAATTTATCTATCTCCTCCGCGAAAAGGGCAGTGAGAGATGCATCTGCTGCAATTGTATCATTTGGTAAGCACAAGTCTATGAAGAAAATATTGAATGGCAAAAACGAACCTCACTACTCTCTCGCCCAAGGAAGTACAGACCTAGGCGCCTGTCCTATAGGTCGAGGAGGGCGCTGTTTACGAGAGGGAAGCCACCGGGGTCATTGGCGTCGAGGGAATACGCCCACCGTGCGTCGACTAATACCTGCATTTTATCGCAGTCGGTATATGTCTTAAGCATTGAGGTACGCAAACCATCGTCAAAAAATATCGTACTCCTGCTCCGGCCCTGTACCGGCCATGGCAATAATATCCAAGCAAATGTTGACGTTTCAATATATAGAGAACATAGCAACAGTGGCCATGACTTATTTGTGTAGCATATAGAAATGTATCACGAGCATGTTCTACCAATAAGAAAAGACGGAACACTCATTCCGGGTAACTATGAGCTCTGAACGTTTCAGGACTTGGGCGTGAATTAGATGTAACAATGATAACCTCTGTTGATGCAATTGGCATTTGGAGTTGGAAATGCTTTGTATGTAAACGCGGTCTATCTGAAATCCTTGATCGCAAGATTTTCGACTTTTCAGTAGTGCCATTACGGCTGGATATCGCTATTTCATCACGGCTGGATGGCAACGAAGTCGAAGTAGGGCTAGCAATTAAGTAAATCTTCTTTTGACGAAGGCCAGATCCGAGCTTGGTAAGAATTTTCGTCACGAATAACCTCTCAGGGATTATATCAATGTATCTTGACACATTCTACAAAAAGTCCAGAAGATCGAATGGTGTTAATTTGTAAGAAATATCAATACCCGTTTTTGACAACGCTTCGAGACGATCATGAATCAATGCTAGATATCTTGTCTATTCTACACGATGGGTGAACTTGAACGAAACATTCCAATGGATTTGGGCTAGTATGAAGCAGTAAAATTGAAAATTCTGAAAGGATGTACAATCTTTCTTAGAACTTAGGGCTAGGGCTAGGGCTAGGTGCGGATGACGTCGACGCGTCGATTCCAAAAGAAGTAATCCATCAACGCGTGATCGACGCGTCGACTCTCAACCACTTCAATACCAACGACACAGCGCTTCACAGAGCCGAGGTATCCATCGAGGATACGAATACGTGTTAGTGTTGATTTGTTTAGAGTCAAGACTTATTTGTCAGAATGTTAGTTTTTGCATAGAATCATGAGCAAAAAACGGAAGCGTCCCCAGAAAGCTACTGCACCCCAAGATGACCCGATCAAGAAACGTCAGAAAACAACTGCTACCTCGGTGACGATAGATCATCCCGTCTTGTCAGCATACTATCGTCGGGTAGTCACTTTGAGACAGTATTTGTTGGAAGAGCTACCATCATCCTCCAAGGCACGTCAACGTCGAATCAATTCTGCGGGGAAACGGGATGAGAATCAACAATCAGACCCGAATGCATCTATCGCAGCATCAACCCAGGGCAGTACCGACGGTGGCAATGATTTTGGCCGATTTCTAGATTCCACTCTTGTGGGACTATTGCACTCTCCGAGTCCGGCGGAGTTGGAGGCTCGCCATAGGGAATATGCTATCTTTTCCCAGTCGGAAGAACGATCTCTTCTTGGTACTGACACAGGACCATGCAATCATCAATCCGAGGTGAGAGGAGCTCTGTTACGATCACCTGTGCCAGATCTGATTATATTCTAGATAGTTGATTATGTTATATCTCATCTCTTCAGGCGAAGCACCAAACCTCAGCATGTGTTGGCCAATGGTTTCAATCTTGCGACCCGGCGTCAAATTGAGGACCAAAGATTTGGTGCAATGACGTTCAATATCCCCGGAGTCGTGTTGCAGATACCGAATCCTCATGTGATCGCTTTCAAGACAAGCCCATGGACCAATGTGTTGAGTCTCCTGGGTGGTGACGGAGAGGACATCATGAGCAAGCTTTTGATTGACTGCGGGGTGTTCTCTTGTGTTGACGAACAGAAGGGTGTTTACCGTCAAATCAGTGGTATGCATTTCTTATGTGGCTGCATTGACTCACTAGCCGAGATGCTTACCCCGAACAGGTGCCCATTTATCTGAGCTAGAGCCATTGAAATTGGAGGGCGAATCGTGTCTAGGTCAAGGACCTAGAACCGGTCAGGTCAAAACTATTCCCAAGGTGCCCAACAAGCCAGCAGGCGTACTTCACCAGCCAAACAGTATCGTCTTCGTCCGCCGTCGAATGCTTTATGCTCGTCCCGCAATCAATTCAAAGGGAGGCGTAAGGTTTGGGCTTCGACATATTCGTAAGTTGATGACCCGTTACTTATATAAGCAGAGAGTTGATACAATGTCGGTAGATGTTTTGAATCGGTTTCCGAACTCGAGCAATCTTGCGGAAACGGTCCATGTGATGAAGTACATATTTCCCCGTCAGTTTGGGCTACACAATGTGTTCACATCTGTAGTCGACTCTCGAGAGACAGTACAACCATTTAAAGACTATACCCTGAGAGAAGAAGAAATTGCGCGTTCGAAAGTTGCACAAAGATCTCGATTCCAATCAGTGAGACCCAAGATACCAAAACGACTTCGAGGAAGTCCGCTACAATTGGTACAAAGATTGCAGAAACGAAGCCAGACATGTTCTTACACCGAGTTACTGAGACACTATTGCCCAGAGTCTGTAAGTTTCGCCTTCTTTGATTGGCACCTGCAACGGTGACTGATAATAACAGGAAACTGGGCCAGCTAAACTTGGCTCCGCGCCATCCTCAACACCGGAGAATAATTCACAACAGTTTGTGACCCAGATCATCCCAAGTCGTCCACCACCAAGCCCACCAAAAGGAGCAGAGTGCAAATTGTCAGGAGCGACAGGCCCCGCTACTGAACGAAATGACAACATCTCGCGGAAAGTTTGTCTTCTAGACTACGCCACACCGACTTCATCTGTCTCTGCGTTTTGTCGCGCGACGCTACGAAAACTGATCCCACGGGAGTTCTTTGGCGAAGGTGAAGACGGGATATCGAACCAGCAGGCATTCATGCATCAAGTTGATCGATTCATTCGGATAAGTCGATTTGAAAGTCTTTCACTCCATGAGGTTTGCAACAATTTCAAGGTGCGATAGGACCATTGAAACATTTTCTTCAATACTGAAATTGTATAGATTTCCTCTTTGCGGTGGCTAGAACCACCATCGGTTACGTTGTCCAACGGCCAGCATATTGCTCTATCCGATTTTCGTAAACGAACTGAAATCCTACACGAATTTGTTTATTACGTTTTTGACTCACTACTCATACCTTTGATTCGCACCAACTTCTACGTGACAGAATCTCAGGTCCACAAGAATAGACTGTTCTATTTCCGGCATGATGTATGGCGAAGCTTGATTGAAAAGCCCTTGGCTGACATAAAATATTCCATGTTCGAGGAGATTAAACGCGACAAAGTCAGCCGGGTACTGCAATCTAAGCAATTATCATGGAGCGCTGTACGGTTGCTACCGAAAGCCACTGGAGCTCGTCCGATCATCAACCTTCGACGACGAGTTGCAAAGCATATTGGCAACCGTTCGTATCTCGGCCCCAGCACCAACTCCATCATGACACCGGTTTTTAATATGCTTCACTACGAAAAGGATCGCATGCCTGAATTACTTGGTTCGTCCATGTTCTCAGTCAGTGACATGTATCCACGTTTGAAGACATTCAAGGATCGACTGATACATTCTGAGAGCGAGAGCTATCGAAACGGGAAGCTTTATTTCGTCAAGCTGGACATCCAATCGTGCTTCGACACAATCCCGCAGGAGCGTCTTGTACCGCTTATTGAGAGTCTTGTCTCTCAGGAGATGTATCATATCTCAAAGCATGTAGAGATCAGACCAGGAGATAGTATCAACAACAGCAAGGGTTCGTCACATAAGTTCGGAACAGCTCAAAAGCCGATGGCCAAACCGATCCGCAAATTTCTCAGTAAGGCCAAACCACTGAGCGAGATACGGAACATTCCTGCGAGATCTACAGATAGGGTCAAAGCTTTACGCAGAAACACGATCCAGGTAGATACAGCAACCTCCAAGAATCACAGTGGAAATGCGCTACTCGATCTTCTGAGCGAACATGTCCGCAAGAATCTTGTCAAGATCGGCAAGAAATACTTCTATCAAAAGAATGGAATACCCCAAGGTTCTGTCTTGTCTAGCTTGCTCTGCAACTTTTTTTATGGACAGCTTGAGCGGCAAGTGCTGGATTTTCTCCAAGACGACGAAACACTTCTATTACGACTTATAGACGACTTCCTGCTGATAACGACTCGACCGGAGCTCGCCAAAAAATTTCTAGGAGTCATGTTGAGCGGTCAGCCGGAATATGGCATCACAGTCAATGCTAGCAAGAGCCTCGTCAATTTCGAAGCTACCATAAATGGGACGAAGATGCCTCGCTTGGAGGGTACTAGTTTTCCGTACTGTGGCAACCTCATCGACACGCATACATTGAATATACAGAAAGACCGAGACTATAGTTGCGGTGGGCAGGTTAATGTCGCAGATACGCTTACAGTGGAATCCAGTCGACTTCCCGGCCAGGCTTTCCATCGCAAGGTTCTATCCTCATTTCGGCTTCAGACTCATAACATGTTTTTGGACACTAGACACAACAGTCTGCGAAGTGTTTTGGTGGGCATATATTCGAACTTTGTGGAGACGGCCATCAAGATGTATCGATATATCAAGACATTGCCACCACGTCAACGCCCTTCACAAGAGCTCGTTCTCCAAACTATCCGAGACCTGATTCAGTTTGCAAACAAACTTATTCAGTCCAAGCGTTTGAAAACCAATTCAGAGTCCGCTGCTGAAGTTACTAGCGCCAGTGAAGAAACGCTTCAGACTTCTACACTCAAGTTTCAATGCGCGGTCTCACCCAGTCAGATAGATTACCTAGGCGCAGCGGCTTTTCGGCATGTCCTGACTCGAAAACAGACAAGCTATGGATCTACCATACAAGGACTCCAGCAAATCATAACGCGTACTAAACCGCGAACAGATAAAGAACTTATTCGTATGCGATGGATCACGGGAGAAGCGAACAAAATGTTTGATAATTGGAGATATTGATTCAACCATTCTCAATAAAACAAATATTGATGCTTTACCAATACACAATATTGGCAGACGACTTTCGTAGATATATACATAGTTGACTGGACATCTTATAGATTAGTCGTCATCGGTCATGAAGTCCTGCAACCACTGATTGCGTCCTATCTTGCTCCTGATCTTCTTTCCATAGATCCACATAGGGATAGTCAATGCACAGACAAACAGGAAAATACCACCCAGAGCACTAAACACAATCAAGATACCATTCTTCTCCAACCAATTATTCACAAAATATGTAAATCCAAAGGTCAAGAAGTTACGAGCATTGACCGAGACGAAGATCTCCTCACTGAGACGCGGGTAGCAGTCAACCACGTACCCGAAAACGCTAGTGGAGGCAAACGCCATAGCCATGTTTGCGAAGCCGAAGCAGAGCACGGGGCCAGACCAGTGGGTTTGGTAGTGGATTGTGGCGCCGAAACCGAAGAAGCCGACACTGCCCAGGATGGCAGTGAGGAGGATAAGTGGTAGACGGAATTCGGGCTCGTAAATACCACGGTTTTTGTTGGTGAGGTAGACGCAGATCCAGTCGTTCATGGGGCCGGAGATGACTTCGCCGACGAGTGTGAGGATGAAGGGGGAGAGACTGATGAGGCCGGTTTGGGAGACGGAGAAGTTGTAGGGGGCTTCGACGAAGATGACGCCGTTGACGACGGAGAAGACGACTAGGAGGTGTTAGCTTTGCGGCCCGGAATATGCGCTATTGACTAGACGTACCAATCCATGTGAGAGTTGTTCCGTAGATGAGGAATCCCCAAAGCACAGAAGGGTAAAAGAACAAGATGAAGGGACGAGCGAAGATCTTGAGAGGAGGCGCATCACTGTATTTGCCAGTGAAGACACGAAGACTCTGGAGGTATGACATGCGAGGCTTTGTAGCCAGTTCGGTGGCGGTGTTTTGTGCGGTCTCCAATTGGACGGGTGCTCCCTTTTCGTTATCTTCCAAATAATCCGTGGTCTTCTCGTTGGCTGTAAGCTGAGCGACCAGACCAGGAGGGCGTCTGTATGTGGTCTCAGGCACGAAGAAGACAATGCCAAACAAGAAGACACCGAAGAGGATGGCGCAGATCCAGAAGGTCCAGCGGAAACCAAGGTTTTCAATGATGTATCCAGAGATAAGGGCACCACCAGCGATACCGCACATCAAGAACAAATTCCAGACGGCGATACGTGTACCACGCTCGTGCACGTAGTAGATGTCCTTGATAGTAGCCAAGACCAGAATTTCATACGGCGCCATACCAATAGCAGAGACAACACGACTGGCCAAGAAAGAAGAATAATCTTTAGACGCAGCACCCCAGCAACTGGTAACGAGCATGACGACACTAGCAAGGAGGTAGACAGGACGTTTACCGTAGATTTTGGCAATGGGGTTCAAGAGGAAGACGCAGAGACCCAAAGTCAGAATGAGCCAGGCAGTAGCTTGAGACAGTGTCTCGACGGTGATGTTCAAGTCAGCTGCGACTTCCACGAAACCGGGTGAAAGCATAGGGCCAAAAGCACCGACGACACCGGCGGAGAGACCGATGATGAGAAGGATGAGTTCTTTTTGCCATTGAGGCCACTATTCCTGTAAGCTTTTTCCCACTATCATGGTTGTATCTCATAATGAACCTACGTTTAATGGATCATTGGGATCATCAGACGGCTGTGGCACGAGAATGATATGAGCGAATCTACCCTTTCCGTGCTTCAATTGGTCTTTCGGAATGTGGGCGTATTCTGGTGGTGTTTCGTTCGAATCCTTGTCACCCATGATAGCTTTTGAAATCATTAGTCCATACCGGCTAACAAGAAAACGTTGGCGAGATAGAACATACCTGTGCCCGGCACCAGCTCCATCTTCTTGCACTCCAATATTCCGAAAGGCATCTTGACGGCTTTGCTTGGGCACTTGATGCTTCGATGTTCGTAGAGAGAGTATATCAAGAATTGACAAGTCAATCAAAAGATGATGATCTCTGGGGATGCAGTTCAAAATCTGGAGTTCTTGATGGTATATATAGATACCTGGAGACGTTGTTCCCGTTCCCCAGATTCCCCAGCTCAATCGGTAGGAAGGGGAAGGAAAATAAATGCAGGAGGACGAAAAAGAGCTCTGGAGGCCTAAACTCCAGCAACCCCGTGAAAGTAAATTTGAACCAAGGTTTGACTCTAAGCCCTATTCGTGCGGTCTTTCTAAAGGGATTTAAATATGCCGGACCCGGAGAGCACATTAAGCTGGACGCCACGTTCTGGAGTCTACACTCCCCGGCCATCTTCCCAAAAGCTAAAATCGCAATTTGACAAGCGTTGACTACCTGTGTAGAGTTTTCACAGGAAATGATAGGCGAATCTTCAGACCATTGCATACGCACCATACCAAAAGAGTTTCGGTGATTGAGTCGGCTGACCTGGGACAGAGCAAACTCAACCGCGAATCCCGAATGGATCTTTCTTCCTTTTACGATTCGATTGGCTGGAGGCGGCGACTTGTGTGAATTGTCCGGGGGTTTTCCCAGCTGGCCATCGATTTTGGGTAATTGGGTCGGGGGTTTACGCGGGGCCCCGCTGAAATGTTGGCTGAGGAGACTTTTTTTATTGCAAGTGAACGACCAGAATGGAGCATGTGGAGATGCTGGTTTTGCCGTGGGGAAACCATACCGCCGGGAATCCATCCGAAGTGTTAATATTGCTGCGAATTATGAGTCACTGTGTATGCTATTGATAATACAATTCCATGTTTAATTGTTGGAAGTGATTTCAAAACACTCCAGTTCTGTGGCTTCAGTAAAGAAAAAGTGCTTATCCAACTACTGGTTAGATAGGACGGAACTAGGGTCACGGTAGTTGCATTTCTGTAGCTCCCGACAGTCTAATCTATCAGAACCCTAGCCAGATTGACCAGGACGACTCAACTTGTTGAGTATTTCGTTGAATTTTTTGGTATCTCTATAGCTATGGTACTGAGTAGGCGAAAATATAGGCAAAAAATTAGAGCATCGCTTGGCTCTCCTCGCCCGTCATATTCCCCTGTCTAAGCTTCGCGACAACATCATCATAGACATTGTAGGCATGCTCCTCGGAGTCAAAATTCAACAACCAAGGCTCCCGCTGCAACTTGACCACTTCCGGATGTTTTTTAACATAGTCTATATCAGCCTTGTGCCATTTGTCCCGGGTCGTCTCGCCGGTCTTTTGCGCCTTGAGTACTCGTTCATAGCGAATCTTCTCGTAAGCTTGTAGTGCTTCGCGGACGTTTGCGGCACTTCCACATTTCTCAAGGCAAACGGCAAGTGTGACTCCGTCTTCCATTGACTGTGACGCGCCTTGGATGGACGTTGGGAGGAATGGGTGCGCAGCGTCGCCGATCAGTGCAATGCGTTGCTTGGGGCTGATCCATGTAGGTAGGGGGTCGCGATAAATGAGCTTCCAGTCGACGAGGTAGTCTGTTGGTGTCGCTTTGATGATCTCTTGTACGACTGGGTCCCAGCCTTCGACGACTTTGAGGCAGTCTTCGATCTTGCCGGGGGTGGACCAAGATTCTTCAATATCTGCGTCATCCTGGTTTATGTTAGAATCCGTTTGGCTGTCTATTGTGTAGCTGGGAAATTACTTTATGCGTGCACACCCAGCTGAAATCCTTACCTCCCTTGAGGGAAGCTGCCAGAAAGTGTACATCAGGCCCAATCCAAGCCCAATGCGTATCTCCATTTTTCCATAAATGGTCGGTCAGCGGAGAATTCAACTTTGTAGAATCGAACCATGATCGGAAGATTGCATAACCGGACGATATCGGCTTATCCTCGTATCCCAAAACAATTCTTCGTCCCTCTGATCGCACACCGTCTGCTGGGAAGACAACATCTGCTGTAAACCTCTCCTCGGCCCCGGTTGCGACATTCCGGGCCAGAACACCGGCTACCTTGTCATCCTCAAAGTAATCAATCACCCTCTGTCCCAGGCGGATATCAATCCCTCGAGCTTTGGCGTGATTGAAAACAATCTCGTGAATCTCGCCTCTGTGTCCATTGAATTTCTTCCCGTAGCTGGCCTCTTCATCCCAGCGCTGAGCAAGGAGATAGTCACCATCCCACGTCACAAAATTTAGACGATCAGTGTTGTGGCACAAGGGATCCATCTGCTCTTCAACGCCCTCCCATTTCTGAAAGATGCGACCGCTGTTCGGTCCGAAGGAGATTATATCACCTAGGATCTTGAGTTGAGGGAATGATTCGAGGACGACTACATCGTGGCCTTTGCGGTGGCATTCAATTGCTGCGGTAAGACCGGCGAATCCGGCGCCAACGATGAGCACCTTGATGCCTGTTGGAGCGTTGCGATGGTACGACATGATGGGCTTTCTTCTCGGTCAATTTTTGAGCTTATGCAAACAGGATCATGTTTGAAAATAAGACGAAGAAGTGGTATATGGATGTCGTAATGGTCTTTATCTACCGATTAACCAACACATGGCAAAGACAGATCCATGCGATACCGTGCTACTGGCTGTTATCGGAGCGTCGGAATTCCATCCAGATAGTATTTCCGGTACGTATCTTGCCGACCTAGATGACATTGCAAAATGTGGAGAGAACAGTCACTTACAAAAAACTTCCCCACGAAGAAAGAAAAAAGAGCTTAGCGTGTGGAGGTGGAGATGCGGAGATTCTGACACCAATTTCTCTGGAATGACAACCGCGTTTTTCTCGCAATCTCATTACAAATCTCATTTTCTACCGATCTTAGTCCGAGACCAAATCTCGGCCAAAAATCCTGACCTTCATCCTGCTATGCGTGGGCCCGGGAATAGAACCGCTGGTACTTGGCTAACATTTCGACTGACTCAGGACCTTTCGGTAGTTGTGCTGTGACTTTCTTGCCGACGATAGATAATCAAGCGAACAAGAAAGAATGACACTTCAGAGATAGATTATAGCTATAAGCATGTCGTGGTCTACTGCCTCTCTGTGTCTCTGAAGTTCTGTATCGTGTAGCAGATTGTTTCGAAAAGATCTGGCACGATGTCTCTCATTAACTTCACCGGCATCGTGCACGTGCTTTACGAATGGTACATATACATCATCCCCAGTCTCTTCCTCGCCATATTTCTGGGAGTAGCAATCCATGACTACATTCTCACCCTACGCATGCCGCCAGGCCCGCGTCCCTTACCTTTCATCGGCAACAGACTCTCCATTCCCCAAAAGTCGCCTTGGATCCAATTCGAAAAATGGTCAAAAGTCTACGGACCCATTTATACTCTCTGGATGGGCCGGAGACCTACCATAATCATCTCCGACCCCAATGTGGCAGTTGATTTGCTCGAAAAGAGAAGTAACAAGTACAGCTCCAGGCCACGATTTGTGGTTATGGGGGAGTTATATTGGGAAAATGCGAGTATTTTGGTGCAGCCGTATGGCCGGGAATGGCAGCTGAGACGCAAGTTACTGCATCAGGCGCTTAATCCTTCAGCACTGAAATTGTATAAGCCGATCCAGGAGGCGGAGGCGACAAGGCTTTGTCATCAACTTTTTGTGAATCCGAAGGCGTATGAAGGGTTGATTGATCGGTTTACGTCTAGTGTGGTTTTTAGCATCTCATATGGTCACCGGATTGACTCGATGAATGCAGAGGTTATTCGTCAGCGGTTGGAGTTTATGCAGTACTCTGCCTCGCTTAATGTGCCTGGTAAATACCTAGTCGAAAGTATGCCTGTCTTGAAATATGTACCGAATCTGTTGGCACCCTGGAAGAAAGCAATCCAAGAAAAGGGCCGCCACGAAGCAGCAGTCAACATGTCCCTCGTTCGCCAAGTACAGAACGAGATGTCGACCAAAGCCGAAATTCCAGAATCTTTGACGAAAATTCTCCTACGTGCAAAAGAGGAAGACCCAGAGTCATTCAGCATGTTGAGTGAACGGGACTTTTCTTTTATTCCTGCATCCCTGTTTGGTGCCGGCAGTGATACAACGGCCAGTACTTTGTGCAGTGGTATTCTGATGCTCATCACGAACCCCGTTACCTTACAAGCAGCGCATGCCGAGCTCGATGCAGTCATTGGATCAGATCGCTCGCCAACTTTCGAAGATGAGAGATCTCTTCCATATATCAGCGCCATGTGCTCAGAGATCCTGCGTATCCGTCCCGTTGCAGTCCTGGGTGGTACTCCGCACGCAAATTCAGAGTCAGATATCTACCAGGGATTCTACATCCCCAAGGGGACAAACATTCTATCCAATTCATGGGCTATTAATCTCAACCCTCGCTACTACCCCAACCCGCATCATTTCAACCCCCTACGATTCTTGCCAAATAATATCCCTCCAAGTTCACTATCATATCTTCCCAAAGAATACGTCGCCTCAACGCCACTTGAAAAGGGAGAACCGCACCCATCCCGTGATGGACATAGCTCATTCGGCTGGGGCCGACGCATCTGTCCCGGAGCCGGTCTGGCGCGAAATTCATTGTTCATTGCCGTCGCAAAGATGTTGTGGAGTTTTGACATTTTGCCTGTTACGGAGAAGGATGGGTCGACGAGGAAGTATGATACGTTCGCGTATACGGAAGGGTTTAATGTTAGGCCTAGGCCCTTTGAATGTGTTATCAAGGTAAGGAGTGAGAAGCATGAGGCTGTTTTGAAGAGAGAGTTTGTGGAGGCGGAGAAGTCGATGAGTAGGTTTAGTGCGTTCTCTGAGTAATTTATAAATATTTTGTATAGTTATTATTTTTGGTTGGCTATTTGCATGAGTGCAGGGGGTATTAGAGCACAGTGGGTGACTGATTTTGGTGAAGTGATTGGAAATGAATAGATATGTTCGTCGAAGGAATCATGTTCTAATAATGATTCTGGTGATACCATAATATCGTACTTTCGACCTCCTTGACGTGATATTCGTCAGATACGTCAGATGTCAATGCAATCAGAGACAGATTTACGCGCTCGTTGCAAAGTCTTTCAGGAATGTGGCAAGTTTCTGGGCTCCAGTTTCATCGATTACGTTGTAATTGGACACGCGGATTCCTGACATGTTTGTTAGTGGCCGCGACTTTAAAAACAAAATATCGATTGACTTACCACCAACGCTTCTGTGACCCTTCAAGCCAAGCAGCCCTCTTTCTGTAGCGCCATTAATGAATGCCTTTTCCGCTTCGTCGACATTTCCGCCCTAGTTCAATTTAGTTAACAAATAAATCACAGGATGAAGATATACCTAAACATACCTTGGCAACTCGGAAACATATATTCATACGTGAGCGCACGCTCTTATCGGGTACAACTTTGTATATGTCCGGGTAAGAATCAAGGACATCATATATGAGAGCTGCTTTCTTTCCAGAAAGTGCCTCTTGACCACGGACTTTATCCGGGAACGTGGCAATAAGCTTTTTCAGCACTTGACCAGCAACAAAGACGCTGTATATATATGTCAGTATTGATACCCCAAGAAGCCGCCGCTAGGAGGACTCACTCAAAAATGCTTAATGTGTTATAAAGACTGTTATTTTTGGCTGTAACCGCATAGTCCAGAATAGTTGGAGGAACCGGTAGGCCAACCTTCCTGGTAAGTTCGGGTTTGCCTTGGCTCAAAGTTGAGAGAAGGCTCTTCTTGATAACGACAACAGTGATACCAGGTAAACCGAGGTTTTTTTGTGCACCAAAGTAGACAACGGAAAAGTGATCAAAAGGAATTCGTCGTGAAAGGATGGTTGAGGAAAAGTCTCCGATGACGAGTGTTTCGTCATTAAATGCTCGTGACTCAAGAGTCTTGGGGAAGCTGGGCCATTCGACACCGTCAACGGTTTCGTTTTCGCATAGATAAATCATGGCGGGTTTTTCGCTAAGATTCCAGGTCGACTCGTCTGCAATCTTTCCGAATTTTCCATCGTTGATCTTTCTCGAGTCTGTCGCGACATTGACGTGGCTTGGTCCGAGTAGTCGGACAGCTTCCTGGTTGGCTTTTAGGGACCATGAACCGGTAACCAGGTAGTCGAGTCGCAAGTCTGATTGGACCTTTTGTTGTAGCTGTTTGATCAATTCCTCTTCGCTGATGTCGGCATTCGCTTGAACAATCTTTTGTCTTTGGTTTTCCACCCAAACCAATACCGAGTTGTAGACTGTTGCGTCGAATTGTCCGGATCCTCCACCTGTCAATTGAACAAAAGCTGTAAGTACATGCCCGAAGTGCGCGAATAATGCGGAGACCGTGAAGTACCTTGCATAATCAGAATGTCGTGTGTCGAGGGAATTTCGAGGAAATCGGCCAGATCGGCCTTCATGTTGTTCACGATGTCCGCCGCCAGCGTACTGCGATGGCTGTGCTCGGCCACACCACTGTCAACCACACCAAACATTAGCATTTGAGCAATTAAAACCAGTCTTATCGTGCCAGAAAGGAGAATAAAACTCACAGACCGGTCTCTTGATAATTGAGCAGCGCAGCTGCTGCCGTGGCGAGCACATCAGTTGGCAACCCCGCGGGGCCAGCGCCGAAGTAAACGACGTCTGATCTCTGCATATTGCGATTTCACTATCTGGAAACAAAGGAATAGATTTGATAGTCAATTCAGCATTGATATGAGCTCAATTGAGGTTTAAATGACTCTGAGAAAGTTGAGTCATCGAGAAAATAATTGAGTCATGCTCGAGAATGGATGCGAAATTGTTCGCCGCGTTCCGAAGCTCGTCTCCCATTGGCTGCTGTCACTGCCCCGCGCCGATGACGGAAACATCCTAGCCCTGCCCTAACCCTAACTGCCCTATTAGATCTCCTGAACATTGCTGAGTTCTATTAGCTAGGTCGTGAATCAGATGAGCTGCTGAACAGACAATAAACGATAAGACCATAGAGTACCAGTACGCACAGATTAATTCTACTAGTAACGACACGTGAACACCCGGTTAGATCGGATGCAAAACTGACAAGATCCGAGATTCTACTATGTAAGAGGACGATTTATCTCCTTAATAAATTTCCAAGCTCCAACACGCAAGCGAGCTCGTATACGCGATTTTACTGGTCTCTGTAGTAGCTAGCGTGTCCGTACCAGTCGCCCTGACCAGGGTGTTGTCTGTGCTAATTTCTAAGTCTTCCGGCTGCCTTAGGCCGGGGTTCACGCCGGTTGCTGCTAAACCCCATACACTACGTAGTAAATGCTACAACGTGATTCCCTGACTTGCGCTAATGTGAGCACTGTGCGGGGATTCATAGAAATGGTGTTAGCGACTGTTGTAGTCTCCACTTCAACATCATTCGGGTCGTTTACCTCGTATTAGCGTGGCTGCTAACCCAGTAAATAGGGGAGCTTCGCCGCGAAACCCCTCTTCTTGACTGTTACGGAAAAATGCATGAATTTCGTGCAGAAGGAATACTTTGCGACGCAGAGTAGTGCGAAGTTGAGTTTTAATTTGTGGCTTTGCGACTTCACGACGAAATTCGGGCTGCTCAGTATCAGGAATGTTTCCCGCATGCTTCATCTGGTGATTACTGGAAAGTCGGTTGAGGTCCAAATAGAGGTATTGTTCGTCGGGAACTTTTGATGATGATAATGGCTGCCAACGGTATGCTTCCTCTTAGTTCGAAAGACAGTTCATTGCGACTGACATTATACCGCTGAAGTTGTACCAAATCATGTTCCCGACGAGAAAATCGACGACCTCGATACAGACAAAGATTTGGAGCACATCCAAGATAAAAATGAACATCTAAACAAAGACGTTGAGCGCGGCTCGTCAACGAGCGAAAAAGTGAATCACGCCGAAGAAAAAGCAGTGGAACCTCGAGACCCAAATCTGGTAGATTGGGATGGTCCCGATGATCCAGAAAATCCATTAAATTGGACAAAGGGCAGGAAAGCCATGATGACAACCTCTATAGCACTAATAACATTTTTGACGTACGTTTCCATAAATTGTCATTCTTCGACCCCGTCGGAATACTAAAGCTCTCCTAGTCCCCTAGGTTCTTCAATGTTCGCTCCGGGGGTACCAGATGTGATGAGAGATTTTGGATCCAGCAATGAGTCTCTCGCTGCATTTATTGTTTCGGTATATCTGCTCGGCTACTGTTTCGGTCCTCTTGCAATCGCTCCACTCTCTGAGATGTACGGACGGCAACCGCTCTATACGATTTGCAACTTACTTTATACCATCTTCAACGTGGCTTGCGCCGTGGCCCCGGAAATGGGCAGTTTGATTGTTTTCCGATTCTTTGCAGGGGTGGCTGGTAGCTGTCCACTGACTCTAGGTGCTGGCTCGCTCGCAGACATGATTCCGCAGAACAAACGAGGTGCTGTGATGGCTGTATGGGCGATGGGTCCGTTATTAGGCCCTGTTATCGGCCCTGTTGGTGAGTAACGACCTCGTAAACCTATTATTAGCTATCGCATAAAACTAAAACTTTATAGCTGGTGGCTATCTGACTCAAGCAAAAGGTTGGCGATGGACTTTTTGGGTCTTAGCAATAGCGGTAAGTACACATCTCAGTACCAACACCAGAGCAGAATTAATCATATTACGCGATTAGGGCGGTGCCGTAACCATCTCATCATTATTCTCACTGCGCGAATCCTACGCCTATGTCCTTCTTGATCGCAAGGCTAAAAGACTAAGAAAAGAGACCGGAAACCCCAATCTGCGTTCAGTGCTAGATACCGGCAGATCCCCAAAAGAGCTGTTTCTGTTCTCCATAGTCCGTCCAACAAAGATGCTCTTCCTATCGCCCATTGTATTCTTATTGTCGCTGTACACCGCAGTCATTTACGGATATCTGTATCTTCTTTTCACCACCATGACAGACGTCTTTGAGACTCAATACAATTTCTCCCAGGGATCTGTTGGTCTAGCATATTTGGGCGTCGGCGTGGGTTCATTTATCGGCCTGTTCGTACTTGGCGCTATATCGGATCGTCTGCAACAACGATTGACTACTTCTAATGGCGGAGTGCCAAAGCCGGAATATCGATTACCGCCAATGTTTGTCGGATCCTGGCTTATTCCGTTGGCTCTGTTCTGGTATGGTTGGACGGCAGAGAAGAAGGATGCTTGGATACTGCCGATTATAGGGACTGCGTTTCTTGGAATTGGAATGATCATTGCCTTTGTAGGTTCTTCCATTATTCTGTCTGGATTCATTCTTCATTGTCTAATTTTAACATGCAGATGGCTACATCAACTTATCTCGTCGACGCCTACACGATATACGCAGCCTCTGCCATGGCTGCTTATACCCTGCTTCGCTCGCTTCTAGGTGCACTTCTGCCATTGGCCGGCGGAAAAATGTATCAAACTCTAGGTTTAGGATGGGGCAATTCTTTGCTTGGATTCATTGCGTTAGCATTGGCTCCTATCCCGTTGTTGTTCTACAAATATGGAGAGCGGATACGCAATAGCAAGTTGTTCAAAGTTGAATTCTAGTCAGGAAATGGTTTAATTTCGGGAAGCCCTTGTTAGATTTCATGTGTGTACTCTTTAATGTTGCATCATGTACATAGCTCGTCCTTCAATATAGAATTGGGCATCGAGGCTCAATTTCGAGTGATGCTTTCAGAAAGTATTTTCACATGATAGCCGAAATAGCCTGTTTTCATTGTGTTTACCTAATTATTAGATCTTTAAACCAACCTATATCACCCTTTGCTTGTGTCTCAAATCGTGATCACTACTCCCCATTTGGCAACGCCACTTTTGTCTAATCTCGCACAAACACAGGCATAATTTCAATCGGACAATCGACTTCAACCGTTTGCTGCCCAGAGAAGTGTTCACCGTGGTCACCGGTAATTGAACCATCCTTGAAGAAAGTCCAATTTCCCTCAGGAAGATATACAGATCGCTTCTTCTGCCCCGGATACAATATTGGTGCGCAAAGATACTTGGACCCATACAGATACTGATCCTCTATCGCCCAAGCGTTCTTATCTTCCGGGAACTCAATAAACAAGGGTCTAATAACCGGTGTACCCTTTTCATGGGCCTCCTTCATGAGTGCCCTCGTATAATCGCGCAATTGTTCACGAATACTCAGATACTTTTCGCATATGACATAAACTTCTTCCCCATAAGACCAAACCTCATTTTCCGCACCGGACAAACAGGTCGCGCCACCCGTCGTGCCATGTTGAGGCTGTTTTGGTTCGCGATCTCCATGAAGTCTCATGACAGGACAAAAGGCACCCCATTGAAACCAACGCACCAGCAACTCTCGAAACGAGTCTTTTGTAGGATCTCCACCGTGAAACCCACCGATATCCGTTGTCCACCATGGTATACCCGCCATGCCCATGTTGAGTCCCGCCGCTAATTGGCAGCGAAGCGATTCCCAGCTGGAAGCGATATCGCCGCTCCAGACGAGGGCGCCGTACTTCTGAGACCCGGCCCAGGCGCAACGAAGGAGGTTGACAATATTTTCCTGTCCGGCTTCTGTCTGACCTTCGTAGAATGCTCTTGCATATTCTCGCGGGTAGATGTTACCAATGGTAACATTCGAGCCAAGATGATATCTGTAATTATCAAAGTCGTAGGCTGAGTACTCCGGCTCCGCTTCATCAAGCCAGAAGACCTTGATTCCCTTGGAATAATAGTTTTTCCGCGCCTTTTCCCAGACGTATTTCCTAGAGTCGGGGTTGGTGGCGTCGAAGTGAACGGTCTCGCCTTGGAAGTTCATGGCTGTACGGATACCGCGGTCCATACGTATGAGATAGCCCTTTTCAAGCATTTCTTCGTAATTTTCGGATCTGATATCGACCGTGGGCCAAATGGAGACCATTAACTCAATCTTCAGGTCGTTGAGTTCTTTAATCATTGCATCTGTGCATCATTAGCGCAAACCTTGATACGAGGTGAAGACGAGAATGGGAAGTTACCAGGATCAGGCCAATAGACAGGATCAAACTTCCATTCTCCCTGTAGTGGCCAATGGAAGAAATCAATCACAATTAAATCAATTGGTAATTTCCGCTTTCGATATTCTCTCGCAACACTCAACAGCTCCTCTTGAGTCTGATATCGCAACTTGCACTGCCAAAATCCGAGCCCATATTCAGGCATCATTGGAACTTTTCCAGTAGCATCCGCATATGCCTCGACGATCTCCTTGGGTGAATCGCCAGCGACAATCCAGTAATCCAGGACTCGCGTGGAATATGCCTCGAACGACATAACATTTTTACCAAGAACTGCACGACCAATACCAGGATTATTCCACAAGAAGCCGTATCCAAGCGACGATACGGCAAATGGTACAGAGGCTTGCGAATTGCGCTGAGCCAGTTCTAAGTCCAGCCCCTTCAAGTCGAGGTATGGTTGCTGGTACTGACCCATGCCGTAAATCTTTTCGTTACGATCGATGCTTTCGAGTCGCATGGTCAGGTGATAATCATCACGACCGGCATGTGGCTTGAACTCGCGTGCTTCGACGAGTAGGGCAGAGCATTTGGGATCTAACTGATCGTTACGATTGCGCATGTACTCTTCCAGAAGCAATTGACCGGTTTCGGTGTTTTTGATGATAATCTTGCCGCGTGGAGAAATGTTGGCCGTTATTTTGCCATTTGTAATTGTTCCACCGACCGAATCGGGTTCGATCTTAATTGTTGCTTTGATCGAAGTCAGGTCTGGGGAGGAGATTAAAGCCCAATCTTGGTTTGATGGGAGTGAATGTTGATGAGTTGCGCGGACCCGGAGCGCGTTGGGGCCCCATGGCTCGATGAAGACCTTTTCAAAGTCATATTGGTAAACGAGGCGGTTTTTCTGAGTATCGTGTGAGAGCATCTTGAACCGATAGTTGGGGAGTGATTTAACCCTGTCTTGATCTCTGTACTGCTATCAAATAGATTTACTTAAATGGCGTTCTAAATGTCGCACCTGTCCATTTAGAAGCGAACATTTCAAACAGCAAGACATCTGAGCTCAAGTTAGAAACACGCCGTTATATACAGTGTCACAGAGCTGCGGGGTCAACATTCGATTCTCACTTTGTCCTTTGGCGATACCCACCTCGCTCTCCACGTTATACGTGGAGATGTGCGTTGTTATACGTATCTGCTGATTAGGAGATTTTTATGTGTTACACAGCCAGCTGTGGGTGACTGATCGTCATTCATGATCGATTATTGTCATGTTATTGGTGTTATTGGTGTTATTTAGGCTAATTTTCTCCCTGCCAGCGAGATAATTGGCAGGATGGATGATTAGCCGGCCACGTTAGAGGATGGCATGGTTGTCCGCCGGGAAATTCCCTAATACGGCAGCTTCCCGAATAGGCAGCTTGCTACTCTTTGCAGGTTGTGGAGTTCCGCGTGAGCAGTGGGAATGGTCATCATATCATCAATAAATGTCTAAAGACTTTTAAGACGAAAGGAAAATTTGGATACCGTTTGGGAAGCAAAATGTCGTGCGGTGTAAGACTGAGTGAATGTACGTAATCAACTCGCGTAGTAACCATGCGAGGAGAGTTTGACAGATCCTCAATTCTGCCATACGCGCCCATCCCAAAAAGACTTTGAAGTCATATGTTTATAAACAATAAATATGAAATTCAAATTGCAACGGATTCGAATCGTTAGTTTTGATTTTGTATTGAGAATGATAACAAGGATATAGAATATTATTTAGGGCTACTGCCTCTCCGAGGCGCTCCAAGTGCCCTTACGCATTTTACTGTGGCTCACCTCTCTCTGCGCTTGGAAATAATCTCCATTACTAAAGTATCATGGCCCCTTGAAAAATCATAAAACACGAAGGGCATAAAGTAATACATTTCGGTCGTCTAAATCCGCATCTTCATAGTAATAAGTATAAACCAGTCCCGAATTAGTATGTCACTATATGTGCCCAATATGAATACGCCTGAGATTTATGATTATTAGATCTTGAAATACAGTGGATTGTTTAGCCCAGTTGTTCTCTTAATGATCATATTAATGCTCTTTGTTTTGGCGGCAGAGATCGCGGATCTAGCTTGAGCCTCACGGCTTTATTTCCCGACAGCATGGGTCAGCCATGTATAGGGTGCCTTCATTCCGCCAGAGTTTTTGATTTCTTTAAGCCAGCAAGTTCGGATTAGAACAGTTCAACGGCGTTGTCATTTCTGCATTTCTCCAGGATGAAAGAATGCATATTAAAAAAAGATATTGCTGCGATGGGGTTCGTTCTGATGTAGATCGAGCGGCTCAATCGCGTATTATGTCCAAATGGAGCTAGCGCACGTGTGATTCATCGAGCATGTTTGGACTTTGGAGGCTCCAATGGACTTCAATAGGTTTTCGTCTGTGCTGAATCCGTGTCAAAGTCAAACACAGCGAACTCCGGGTACAGCAATGCTAGAGTAACCGACATTGGGATGTCCTCGTAAGATATTTGCGAACGTGCTCTTAGAAAGTATTTAGAGCATGTATATGCGATAGAATCATGCGCCTAACAAAAGAAATATGAATCGAGGACCGAGTACAAAGGCTACAAACCGCTTCTGAATCAAAAACTACGCTCCAGTCATAATTGAGCACGCGGCCCACTTGCAACTCGTATAAACGCTCTTGGCAAATTGTTACCTTTACGGCTCSTGGAAATTTGGGTTCAAGAGCCCAATGAAGCAAGCTTTCAATTGACCGCCATGCAAATAAGATGAGGCGCTGTCCTTGCTGCCATGCACGGTTTCCTACGCTCGATATGATTTATGAGCATTGTAGCGCAGCCATGGCCCTGTGGCTGTGTCGGTAAGTGAGAGAGTCCGCCAAGTTGCCAGTCCATCAATTAGGTTTATCGTTCCAGCAATTTTACCGTTCACATCTAATACGAAGTCAGTGCTCCAACATCTTAGGCACAAGCCTCAAGCTAATCGCTAGACTCATTACAAAATTACCTAGTCTGGTCGTAGACGGCTCGATCTCGCGAATCGAAGCCGTACTCCGATTACCTGTGACAAATAGAATCACGAGGCTAAAATCACAATTCAACCCTAACGAGTTATGTTAAACAATCAGCCCCAAGCCCCATGTCAAAGGCAGTTGGAACTCGGATAGTTCGCGAGCTGATTGGAAATTTGGAAATAGGAGGACCCATGGCTTTGTTAAGCGACTCTGATAAATAAGTAGTGACGGTCGCATTCCAGGGGAATCTTGTTGAACGTTCTCGGATTTTCGAATTCTGAGACTCTCGCAGCTCTTGTCAAAGCTTATTCATCTTGTTTTTGCCCTCAATCTAGGTCTTGTAAAGGAAAGAAAGTAAGGCAAGCCAAAGAAGTTCGTTTCGATCATGACAGACCTACCGTCCTCCGTGCCGCGGAAAATTGCATTTGCAAACAACACAGGTACTTTGCCATACGATCTATCAGCTAGATTTGATGGCATCAATCTGATAGCAAGACAATCAACGTGCACCAACTCATCCTGGGTCTCATGTTCCAACAAACCCGGAGAGTGTTGCCCATCTGGAGAGACATGCTGCGTGACTAGCAGTTGGTGTGCAGCTCCTGGAGGAACGTGCTGTGCATCGGGTACCTGTCCGTCCGGGTGGAATTGCTGTGGTGTCAGCCATTGCTATCCTGACGGCGGCCAGTGCTGCTCTGATGAATACTACTGTGATGCCGGATACTATTGCGCAGCTGATGGCACATGTGCTTTGTTAGCAACAACCACTGTAACAGGCACTATTGCAACCGCGCCAGCGACCGCCGATGCATCCTCCGTATCAGCAACATCTTCAACAATAACATCAGGCAGCAGCACACTTTCAACCTCATCTTCATCAACAACGACTACTACTAGCGCAACAACAGCACTGGCTGTTAGTGCCAGTGCCACAACTTCGGCCGCTGCCAGCTCATCCAGCTCAGGCCTCTCTGGAGGAGCAATTGCTGGCATAGCTGTCGGTGTTGTAGCCGTTCTTGCCATCGCTATCGCACTCGGTTTCTTCTTCGGCCGTCGTCGTAAGCAAACTTCAGAACCACAACCAGCACCGCTAGCCCCGCCTATGACCCAAGCGCCGCCTCAGTATACCCAGAAACCTGGTGAAGCTCAGTATGTGCCTCCACCAAGCCAATATTCGTCGACCTCGCCCACACAATACCCTACTTCTCCAGAAACTCGATATTCCACCATATCATCACAATATCCGCCTTCAACAGCTCAATACGTGCCCCCACCGAGTCACCCTCAGTCCCCCAGCGAAACTCAGCACGAGTTGGAGACAAACACCCCGTTATATGAGGTTCAAGGATCTTTTCCGGATGCTGCATATCATAATCAACAAAGATAAAAGGTATCAACAAGCTCTGATTGTTTACCACAATATCTTTGACGAGCACGACTTTAAGGACCGATTACGTATACATACTCAAATGTCTCGATTGTTGAATTTTCCATGTCTGGATCTGCACGTTGGAATTCAAAAGGATTCAAGTCAGAACATATTAGCCCATTGCTTTTTTCGCACTCTATCTCAGGCGTCAATCAATATTACATTAATTACTGTTGTTTTTCGATTCATGTACATATTTTCATCACTCAGTTCTGTTACTAGAGTCTGTGATCGTATCGCATCTAGTTAAATATTAATTCATGTCAAGCCCAACTTAGGGCTAAAGTTAACCAAATTGTGGTTTTTGGTCATATGATTGATAGTCGAAACAAGGCCATACATCTCAAGGTTGCGTCCATCGAAGGATTTTTGCTACATAATGATTGACCACCAAAATTAGACTCATTCAGAATGTAAACTATAAATAGGTATATTACACTTCTTTAGGTTCTTGTTTTTGATATGATCAGTTTAATTAGCTATGACTATACAGTCACAACCTCCTTGTTCTTTTCCGTGATTGTTATAGCAATCCTCTTCTTAGTATCAGCTATAATCCCAGCAGCTCACACATCTGATACACCTTGTAAGAGACTGGTCTGCCCGCGTGTGATCTTGCTAAATTCAGATACAGACGCCTTGAGCTCGAATAGTAGAAATATACAAGCCAAAATGCAATGAATGAGGACGAGCCAAAGAAGAAACCAACACATACGCACCATTAGGTATACTCTTCGCTTTGCACGTATGGGCTGAATATGATGATTACTATATATAAGACGCATTGTAGGCCAAATGGAACCCCCCCGGTTCTTTTTTTGAGCCTTGTCGTGGGGATCTCTCTCATGGTGACCCATGTCAGGTTTGACACAGTGCTGGAATATAACATCACCCAGATGAGGAGCATTGCGATACGCAGTTGTTGCTTGGCAGATGAGATGATAGATCCATCTTTGCCGCCTMCMCCAGCCATAATATGATGAAGAATGAAGCAAATATTACACCGGTTCCGAACATCAGCAGTGCTCGCCGTCCGAAGTAATCAGGTGTCTAGAAGAAGAATTGAATAGTCACGAAAACCACCGCGTTGACCATCATTCGGAATATACTTGGTTTATACATCATCGGTATGTAACTAAACGTCACGGGCTATGTACAAAATTTATGGTCACTGTTGCCGAGTACTTTAAAGAGCCCAAATTTTCGACGCTATGCTAGGACTTGATTTGGCTGATATGTCATTGATGATACTCCTGCATTGTTAATTTTCTTTTGCATTCTCTTACTCGTGATTCAATTCATGCATGATGGTTACAGCGCGAAACCTCATATATATGTACATAGCACTTTGAAACCATCTTAAACTCGAATGGCAAACCCGACGTGTTACCAACCAAGTACAGTTCTTATAGCCGAAGCCAAGACTGTCGCCTCAGCTGCATGTGTGGCTGCGTTGGGATGATAGTCACAACCAACGGCGGAGCCTTGAGTTGGCCAGTCAACAAGATGAGCATTTGCTCCGATTTGTGAAATGGCGTTTTGCAGAGCATTCGACATGGTGGTATGCTGAGCATCTTGTGTCGTGGGGAATGAGTCACTAAGCATCGGAGAGGTCATTAAGAAAAATTGAGCTTTTGTGTAGTGCTTCTGAATGCTTTGGACAAAGCTGACCATGGCGTCTGTGTACGTGGTAGCGTTCAAGGGAGCACGGGCATCGTACGCCTGTCCGGCCGCATTGTACGCTAAGTAGCCGAAGTCGTTGGTGCCGAGATTAATGACGACGGCGTCAGGTATCCAGTCTGAGGGGAAAGTGTAGCTGTTATCAGCATCATTGGCGCCGTATCGGGTATAGCGCTCTGGCATGATAGGGCTGGTATCAACTGTCGTGGAGACGTAGTTTCGTGTAAGMCCTATTCCACTCCAAGCCACAACACTGTAGTCTGCACTTAGCGCATTGGCTGCCAATGCAGCGTATGTCTTAGGGTTATCTTCAAGAGCGGCAGTATTCGTGCATGGGTAAGTGCCATCCAATCCGTAGCCAACGGTAATCGAATCCCCGATAAACTCAATCTTACGCGCCGGGATCGATTCGACGCTAGATGTACCATCTGTGGTGACGTTACCAACAAACAAAGAACCAAAGAGGGCCTCGGAACGTTTGCGCAATTCTACGGTATGACTGCCTTGGGCTAGCCCGTTAGGCGTGGAGATGGAGGTTTCGTTGACATTTGAAATGACTGTCGGCTCGCCACCGTCGATGATCAAGTCAACGCTGTTGGTACCGTTGACTTCTTCGAATTCTATGACAGCTGAAACGCCCAAAAACTTAAAAGACAACCCAGTTCCTGGCCATGTCAACTCGTTGGTAGCTGGGTTGACTCGGCCGAGGTATCGGATCGCAGCTGGGGTCCCGGTAGAAGTTGGCTTCGAAGTTGAGGTTACAGTTGAGACTGATGAAGATGCTGTTCCACTGCCAGGTTGGCACTGGGAGTACCAATCATTGACAAACACGCACGAGTATCCAGAAGCACATGTGGTTGTCCCGGTATAGTCTATGCCGCCGCATTGGCCCCATGCAGAAACTTGGGCAGTGACTGCGCCTGCGAGACTGAGGATAGTTAGGTATCGCTTCATGGTCAAGTTCGTGGAGAGCATATCTTGCAAAAATGCTTCAACGCAGGGTGAGAATTCAATGGTATTTAACCTTTGAAAGCAGCCAGACTGGGTAAGGGGGTCTTACAATTACCCGACTAATTCGGGAAATATCAAAATCTTCACGATCTGTTAGTCTTGATTTGACGTTGAGTGAGCGGACGGGCGGAATCTTTCGATGGGCGATCAATCTTCTTACCATATTAAGAGCCTGATTTATGCAGGCCGAAACTCCGCGATCTTTCCGGGTATATGCTTAGAAGTCTCCAGTGTGACCTTTGGCTTGGGACACAGAGGTCAACCTCCACAGTAAATGGTTGCTTTATGCATAATTTTCCACCTCACATAATTGAGGAACTAACGATGCATGAGGGGTAAAGGATCGCCGGTAACTATAGCTAATATAGGTAACCAAGCATTACTTTCAAATATCGTAACTCGCGTCCTTCAATCTCCGCTAGCACTGTAAATAAGTATCTCTTCCGAGTTATATCAATTGTGCTACCTGATGACAACACTGCCGAAAGCTGACTATACCTGATTTCTCTTGAAAACACAGTTTCAGACGCATAAGTGCGTTATTTAGATCGGTTTTCATTTTTAAGAGCTGAGGAACGACTTAGTATCTCTAGACAGATGCTTAGTCGCATTTACAAATATAAGGCTGGGTGAATGAGCATATCGTACTGTGTCGGGAGTCTATGAGTAGGATGTTTTTCGAGAATACAACGGGGTTTAGGGCCTGGCATTTCCACGCTTGGAATATGTCAGTAAATGTGCGCCATATAAACTTGAAACAATTGCGATATGTATCTGGCAGCTTTCAAGTATCTCAGATGTTCATCTTTATCTAATCTATGGCGAATCATGTATCGTGACAATGTCGATTAGGGTTTATTTGAGTGGGTAAAGACCGGATTTCACACACCCGTCGATCGGCTTTGCATCGGCTATGATCGCGTACCCAAAGATCTGTCCGACAGCAAGCCAAATTGAACTTCACCATCGATCAATGAGGACCATGCGTACTGATAGATTCCACTTTCCACACTAATTCGATACACACAACGATGGTGAGAACAACTATCGCTTGTGCCCGGTGCAGGTGAGATATTTCTGATGGAGCCAAACGCCGATAGTCGGCAACTAACCCGGGTATCTCTTAGGCGATACAAGGTCAAATGCATGCACACAGGAACCCCTCCTTGCCGGGGATGCGCAAGAGCGGGTGCTGAGGCATGTAATAATTGTGTACTCTCTTTACCAGCTTTGACAAAGAAGAAAAGGTCGGTAGATTTGTGTTCCGTTTCCACGCTCGTCTAATGGACGCTGAGGTATTTTCAGACATCGGCCGGTGGGTGTGCCGGATCCGACGACGGACACTTCCCGACCACAACACCAGACACTAGACTCACCTCTGGCAGATGTAATTTCAACAACATACGAACGCAATAACCATCTGCCAGCGTATAACCAGCTGGAGGATTGTCTCATCGAATCCGGGCTTGTCCTTCGAGCCGGCAATGTTTTTAATGAAAAGTTCCCAGAGATCCCTTTTTTGCATATGTCAAGTTTCAGAAAATCAGTTAGGTCATTGATTGAAGATGAGAAGCAAGGTCCCGAAACGCAAGCTGCCCATAGCCGGCGAAAATTTGGCCGGGCGACTGCTCTATATGCTGCTTTGATTGCAGTGACGCTTCCTATCATCGATCCCGATATGAAGAGGGCTGAGTATGCCACACTCGCAAAGCAAATAGTCTCGGCAGATGATGCTGCAGACATATACCAAGTGCAGGCACTAATAGTCCTTGCTATATATGAGTGGGGCGACGGGAAACCATATCGAGCATGGATTTACAGCGGAATGGCTATCCGACTGGTACAGCTCATAGGGTCAATAACAAACCCAGAAAAAACAACGAAACTTCAGCAAGCTATACATAACCGGACATTTTGGAGCTGTTTCGTTCTCGATAGGCTTGTTTTCTGTGGCAAACCTCAGCCGCCGGCATTACCACTCGCATCAATCGATACGCATTGGCCTTCGCTCGACACGGACTTTGCATTCGGTACATCTGGGGTCAAATCATATCCAGGATTGAGTCTTGATGAATCTCCTATATTCATTGTTGAAGACATTGAAGGCTATTTTGCTTTGCTTGTACAGGGTATCGATATCTGGTCTGATATATTGAAATGGGTCGTCAGCGGCGGAAGGCGTCATCCAGATGTTGTGATTTCAAAGGAAATGCCGTGGTTAACACGATCAAATTGGCGAACAAACTATCAAAGACTGCAACTTTGGAGACAGAAGCATGGGAGCCGTATTCGGTTCCCCGATGTTGGCGTGGATGGACATGTCTCATTACGAGGAGGGAACGCAGAAGCTTTTGCTTATATCAATCTCATCTATCATGTGAGGTAAGGAAATAGCCATCCTTTGCAGAAAGAATTTTTCTAAGGTCGTCTACTCAGTATTCTCTTTTTGTGTCGAGAATACGTTCCATTTTTACCAACTTCGAGCTCTCGACCGTCTGGTCCAATTGACCCTCCCCTCCTTGAAGTTCCAGCGCCCTCGGGGTGGTGGGAAGAACGAGCAGACGAGTTATTCTCGGCGTCCTCTAATATAACGGCACTCCTCAGTGAATTGAAAAGAGAGGGCGCCCCTCTCCTTACTCCCTTTGCCGGTTTCTGTGCCTTCTCTGCGGCAACAATGAACATCTATGTCGCATATTTTCCACAAATGAATCTTGGGCGAAGCAGAGGGCGAGAGACAGACTTTGAGTTAGACCTGGCTTATCTCGACGAGTTTCAAGCACGCTGGCCGATGGGAGCTGGCTGGTGGGCAACTATTGAACGCATCCGAGATTTATACCAGCGAGCGAGTGCAGACCGATCTAGGTACGTGGGTAAGACACGCGCAGATTTCCAACACCTTGAGACATCTGTCCATGATTGTACCGGGGCTTCACCGGGAGATAATGACGAAAGTGCAATGCTTGGACACCATGGACATTCTGCTCAAGTTCATCGCAGGTCGGATGATCCTCAAGCGGCTATAAGTTTGCAACAAGCAACACAAACACGCAGCCTGAACGATACTTCCTTACAAGCCTCGCAGGTTATACCTGATTGGAATGAATTATGGTCTCTATGGGGTGATACTCAGTTGGCTGCATTCGGCGTCGAAGGAAGTTCTTATGAGTACTCATTTGATCTACAAGATGGTATCACACCAGTCTATCAGTAGGATATAATGAATATGAAATTCATAAAAAAATTTGTTTCCCAGGTCGATTTGTGATTTTCTAAGAGTACCAAAACTTGAGGTGAGCTTTGCAAGCATGCTTCACTCGTAGCCACGGTGAAATCATTTGTCCTATTTCAAGGCTGATGGATATTAATTGGTTTTGATTAGATGTGGCATGTTAAGGCTGAAGACTAACAGAACTCGCTTGAACAAATGGTTGAAATTATGTATGGTAACCTAGTGATATTGTATCCTCAAACGTCTCATATACCCAGTACTTCCACGGTAACATCATATGCCCTTTTTAAAGTTGAAACTATTAAATGTAGCTCGTCGTTGGTGACTGTGAGAGGTGGTGCTATGAGTATATGGTCGCCGTTGACTCCATCAATCGTTCCTGCACCCGGATAAACGGCCACCCCAAGATCAAAAGCTGCCTTATAAACTCTTCCACCAAATGCAACATTCTTTCGAAAGGGAACTTTGTTGCTTCGATACTCCACAAATTCCAGGGCCCAGAAGAGTCCTCTTCCTCGTATATCACCGACATACTTGCAATCCGCAAACGTTTCTTGCAGCAGTTTCTCAAGCGTTTTACCATTCTCGGCGCAGCGCTCTACGAGATAGTCTCGTTTCACGATATTTTGTACAGCCAAGGCAGTAGCGCATGCTACTGGATGAGCTTGAAATGTCTGACCGTGATTGAACGCCGATGTGCCTTGTCTTAGTACACGAACAATTTTGTCACCAATAAGCATCGCTGATACAGGGACGTAGCCACCCCCAAGACCTTTTCCGATCGTCACTATGTCTGGCTGAATTCCTTCCTGCTCGAACGCGAAGTAAGTTCCTGTTCGTCCGACACCACACATTATTTCATCAAGATGAAGTAGAATCCCGTATTCATTACAGAGGTCCCTGACACCCCGGAAATAACCTCTTGGAGCCGATACACAGCCTGAAGTCGCACCAACCACTGGTTCCGCTCTGAGAAGTGCCTCGTAAGTAAATGTTTATTTGAAAGATTGAGAGGTCCTCACATAAATGATATGATCTTCTCGGGACCGATGCTGAGGAACTGTTCTCGAAGCTCCGAGACTAATCTTTCCACGTATTGTTCCTCGGTCTCGTCGCTCTTTTGATATTGATATGCGTACGCCGGGCTCACGAACGACACATTGGTAGGCAGTATGTCTAGATAAGGCGTTTTCCGAGGCACATTGGATGACACAGCCATTGCTCCCATCGTATTACCATGGTAGGCTTGTTTTCTTGCCACATAGTGGCATCTTTGCGGCTCTCCCTTCTCAACAAAGTATTGCCGGGCGACTTTGAGTGCGGCTTCATTTGCTTCGCTTCCACTACCCACTAGATAGGCTTTTTCGAATTTGTGTGCACCGCTTCCCATATTGAGAAGCAATTGTGCAAGCTCCTCGGCCGGTTCCGTGGTATATGAGGCGGTGTGTATATAGCTCACTTTTTGCATCTGAGCCGTTGTTGCTGCTATTACTTCGGAATTTCCATGGCCCAAGATAGCGACCGCTGCTCCTCCACAGGCGTCGAGTATCTTTTGGCCATTGGCAAGAAACAAGTAGTTCCCTTGTGCGCGGGTAACTTTGTGCGGTAACTCTGCCAGTGACCGATGCAGGAGGGCAGGATCTTTACTTGATGCGCGCAATGTAGTTCGTGTCTCTCGAATAGCACTAAGGCTATGGAGGTGAGACGTCTCTTCGGCTACTATAGATGTAGTCATGGTGGAAGTCTTTGACATCCGATAAAACTGGGCCTTGGAAGCAACCGGTTAGTTAATTATCTCGTGAAAGTCATATAAGCTGTCGTTTCCCACCTGTAGACGGCGAGAAGCTTTCATTATCGAATACGTAAATTTACATGCGACTTGTTGCGTTAAATTATTTTTGTCTTCGGTGCGAACGGGGTCAAACCCGGCTTAGGGTTACTTACCTATCACAACTGTCTAAGAACGAGAACAAATCCGATTTCAAATATATCTGGACCACAAGCACGTCTTTCTTAATATTAAAGCTTGCAAGATTAGTTAAATATTGCAAGAACACAAGGTGCACATAAAATAGGCACTCAGACTTAGGTAATGCTCCTATTTTCCTCGTTGAAGGGAAAATCTCGCGCCGGCTTTGCTCAAACCCGAAATGCGATCAAATTAACTCGCGACCGAAGGTCGGCAAAATCGATCCACATTACCTCCCTTAGGTAGCTGTCAGTCTTATGTCACTGCTAAACCGGGAGCTGTACCTCAGAAGCGAAGACCGGTSGAGCCATGATAGTCTCAGACGTATTTGTTGAAGCCAACTTTGCAATACTACAACCACCGATACAATCCGTCTACTGTATGTAGTGTTTAGGATCCTGTAAGCTCATGTTCGTCTTTCTTTGAGGCAGCTTTGATGTATATACAAAATTTGTCACATTGACGAGATACATTTACTGATGAGTGGAGATGTTCCTTGATCACCATTCAATCCCCAGCAATATTGAAATATTGCATCTGCATATCATAACCACGGCTTGAATACACTCGGCTCTTTGCTGAGAGTGCGCAGAGTTGTTCTCAATATATCGTCATCCACAGATAATAGTGCTTGATTCTGATATTTGCTTCCACCAACGTGAAATGGAAGTTCATCTACTTCGCATACCGTGCCTGTGTTCGGTAGCTCTCCGGTCTGAAAATACTTTCGAACAATTTTTGCCGTGCATATAGAAGGCGCACTGATTGAACCATGCTGTTGAAACCTAGTCAACTATCGCTCTGGAGCTTTTCTTGCTAAAGGAAAAATGTCAGGACACTTGACTTACACCTTCAGAGCGTTGCTCAAGGACAGTGGAATTCGGGAAAAAGCCAGACATCAATTGGGCACTACATATCAAATACCTAGTAGTCAGCCTTTCTGGATCCCATTAAGAGATGTCGCATGTTCAACAACTCACTTTCTAAGAGGAGTCACCGGATCCCGAGTGTTTCCAATAAACAACAACGGATGCGCTGTCTCGCCACCAATTTCACCTGATTACAAGAATGACAAGTTAGCTTAGAAGGGGTTATAGCAGAACAATACTAACCGTCAAATCTCCATGCAGCTCTCTGCTTGAATCCTAGATATTTGAGTGCAATAGTAGACCACATGTCCCCAAAGATCTTGCTTTGATTATTCAGTGTTCTCCGATACTCGAGAAAGGAAGCTTTGCTGGTATTTTTGATAGTGATCACATCTGTACCAGCTATCCCGATGGCTGCCTCATCGTCAACGCTATAACAGTCCTTCCCACTGGAATCTTCTTTACAGCTAGTCGAAGATGGTGACCAGCTTTTGTGGGCTTGTCGCTTTACCTCCAACAATGATGTTCCGTTGCCCTGCGATACCTCTGCAAGAACCTTGGCTAGAAGCTCGAAGTTTTGATATGGAACATAAACCGTGTCGGCTATCAAGCGATTCAGATCACTGTAGGTGACCACATCTGGCACTTGATCGGTATTTCCTAAAACCACAATCGGTTCAGTTTTTAATGTGGCGAGTATATCTTCAAATTTCTTTTGGAGATCGCGCGGCGTTTCACCAATTGCAAATGGACAACTTTCGAGACCCGCTTCATGGCAATACTCGAAGAATTTGTCTATAATAGAATCGGTGTCTTGCAAATTCGAAAGCCAGGATCCAGTGTAGTAGTCAGTTGCATTACAGACAGCGTCTATGGCGGCGCGTTCAATTCTATGAGGTTCCATTGCTGCAAAGGTCATTCCAAGAATGCTTCCGTAGGAGAATCCCCAGTACAGAAGTTTCTCTTCACCTCTTTTCCAAGAATTTCGTTTCCTAACGGCATCAACAGTGTCACTGGGGGTCAACTCGAGAGAATTTCGAGATATCAATCTTTCTGTCTCGACTTCACGCCACTCGCCATGTCGTTCGATAAACTCGACCATATCAAGCACCACGGGAGATGTGTTCATGAAGTTACCCACCCATTCTGAATCGGTTTTGGTTTTAGCGCACGCCGCACCTAAAGCCTCATTCCGAGCCCAGGCTTGATTGACTGCATTGTCTGAGCTACCGATAATACCTTCTGCTTCCTCCTGCAATCTAGCTTCGAATCGAGATTGAGCATCCGGATGGCATGACCAGTTAGGTGTAGTATTATTTACACCTCTAGGGTCAAACCCAATGATATCAAAATACTTGCCGAGATCGCTGTCAGGCTCTGGTTGACTGGAGGTAAAGTCGACGATAGTCTGGATGCGCTGACCCCGTCGGAAGAGGAAACCCACACCCGAACCTCCCGGTCCGCCTGGGAAAAACAAAGGTCAGTTTATTTTCGAACACTGCCCGAAAAATTCATATTAATAGATAATGACATACCTGGATTGATCAATACAGGTCCCCCATACCGCTTATCGGTGACAGGCACTCTGGCTGGGAGCTTAGTAATCGCTAAAGCAATTTTCTCACCAGCGCCGTCCGTCCGATTCCAGTTCATTGGGAGCTCTAGACGAGCACATTGATAGCCGCCGAAGCAAGGATAATACTTGAGATCCGTTGTGGGTGTGATCTATAATTCGATCTTAATGCAAATTACGACCTCGCAAGCGCGTTTTATAAACTCTTTTCAGGGCACGATTGAATATGTTTCAACATGACTTACATGGTGCCATGCAAATTCAGAAGCCTCGTCCGGAATCAGCAGCGTCCGATCATCTTTCTTGATTTGACCAGGAAATATCCATTGCTGTGCATTAAAAAGAACGGCGAAAGCAAAAATACAGGACACAAGGACTGCTCTGGTATGCGAGACTTTTTTGCCACGACTTGAGGCCTCAGGCTTTTCTTGCAGTAAACCCATTTGCTCTGTTCAAATCATTTATTCCGAACTCTGCAACTTTAAAGGTCGAAATGTGTGAAAATAGCGGTTGGAAAAGAAGATGAGATGGATTGGAGTTGAGAGATGACGATGGATTGAATTTGGAGGAAGAGCAACGTCTAGACGACTGACTGCTGACTAGCTCCATTTCCTGACTCATGCTCCAATTATCCAATTGATAACACGCATTGATGTTTGTTGTTGTAGTCTTTGTTCCTCTTGCAGGGTACTGCCCAATCGTTGATGCCGGATAAGCAGAATGTAACAATATGATAGGTACCCATTTTTAGCTCAAAGCCCTTGACCCTATTTGTTCGCCTTCTTTGAACACTCCGATATTCGAGCAGACAAGATGGGCCCTGGTGTCGGATTTTAAATTGTAGATAAAATGAGGATAAAATATAAAGAAAAATACATTTATATGGTCATATCACACAACTATGTGGAGAAACTTCCAGATTCGCTTATCAAGAACCTCAATCGGAATGGACTGTATATATATTTGGTATTTTCTCGAGGCCAAAAAATTGTAATTTTTTCTTGACGTTTATTTACTTTCATTGGCTTGGGCCTGCTGCCTCTTGGGGATGGTAATCCAAAATTTCTTGCTATTGGGATGAAGTTTCGTGTTGAGGATAGATCAAGACAGATATAATTCAACGACCCAAGATACTCAAGCGTTGAGGTAAGAGGCTATATGATGATTATTCTACCTAGTATTCATAAAGTAGTTCGAATGATAAATTTTCGAGCAATGGCTCACCACGCGCTAATGCTTTTCCTAAGGAGCAACGAGGGAAATGAGCTGTTTAAGATACCGGAGACAAATGGTACAAGCACTAGAGAACATGCATACTCCAGTGAAGACAATAATCCAGTGGTAGGATATCGACGACAAAGCCTCAGTCGACTTTGGACTGGAGATAAGGAATCCACCAATAGGTCCCGCAAGAACATTTCCAATCCCCTTGCCAAAATTGAGCAGACTGAAAACCATCGGTCCTGCTGTAGTATCTTCGGTTATGGCTGTGCTCATTCTCGCCCATATAGCAGTAAATCCCGCGCCAAAGAAACCATATATTATGGCAAAGATTACTAAAGCCGGAAGAGACTTGGCTAGCCTCCACATCGTGAGACAAGAAATTGCTGCAACTGTGGTTGACAAGCAAGCCAGGACGTTGATTGAGACCTTTCGATCAGATAAAAAACCGAAGACAAACTGGCCACCGACTTGAGAGACACTCATCAGCGCGAGAAGAAGTGCACCACTCCTGCTGCCGAGATTCAGTGAAGACGCATAAGTCGGTAAGTACAAGGATGGGAAAAAGTAGCCAAACCCTTGTAGCAGATTTGAAGCGGAATACATCCAAAATAAAGGACTTCGCAAAAATTTCCAGTTAATCTTTCGAGCATTAGTCCGCTTTGAGGGCGGCAAGCGACTCTTCAAAAGAGGTATCAGCGGCCCCGTGAGCAAGGTGAGAGCCACCGCCATAGCACGAAGCGTCGTCCTATATCCATATTTCCCCAAGAGCGCATGTAGTACGAACGGCATAACAGACCCCGAGACACCAGAAGCACCACAAAGAATACCATAAGCCATACCGCGGCGCGTAATCCAGTAGTCGTTTACCATGCTTAGGATTGGGTAGTAGAATATGAGAAAGCCGACACCATAAGCCACACCCTGCGTAAGGATAAGCACCTCCAGGGTGGATGCAAAGGAGCCTAAGACGAGTCCAGCAATACATATTGGCCCTTAAAGATGTGTTAGCAATTTGGTGTCTCTGAGTCCTGGACATACATACATCCGACCCATATCATTTGCCGTTGCCACCGTTGATATCGCTGGATAAAAGGCATAACAAACGGTGCCCCGAGATATCCAAATCCAGATGCCATGGTACCGACAACCGAGATATAGCGATTGTTGGCAAATTCAGGAATGTTATAGTAGTATTCTTGGAAGACACCGAAAGACAAGGGGAAACCTAGTTATTAAAACTATCAGTCTCATGTATATAACAGCTGGAATATATACTCGAAATTCACCCCATAGGAATGTCTCAAACATGAATGCAGCAAAGAGCATCTTCCAAGCAGCAAGTCCTCCATCTACAGGGGCAAGCTCTTGTTCAGTTCCCCCGCGATCTGTTGGTTCTTCCTCTATATCTTGTGGTGATGACGCTCTGTCTCGGTCTTCAAAGGCTGAAGCAGCAGTGGCTGGCTGAGGCGCCGCGACGGTAATCAATTCAGTATTACTCATAGCAATTGGTTATAACTAATAAGTGACATACAGTAATGCCCAAGATTATTGCAAACCACTGCCCTTATCATGTAGTTTAGATTAGCGTATTGACTACACTAGGCTTTGGAGCCAAGAGTTTACCGAGGTTCACTGGGTATAGTGCGGGAGTTACCGATTTTATACCCGTTAACTAAGCAACCAATTGATAAAATGCTTCAATAAAGCAGAAGACAATAATGACGCACGCATGTAGGTAATAATTTAGCTTGCAAAGTCATTTCAGATATCTTCATATTAGAGTCTCGCGAAAAGTAGAATGTGTATTATGTAAGTATGCCGCACTGTGCTTGAATTCCGAATGTTTCGAATGCTGTCAGTGTTTCCGTTTCATGTTCAGTGTGCAACTATGTTTGATGTCACTGCATGTTCCATTCCCAATTCACTGTGAGTTAGTATTCAGGATGAATTGTTGGCTAGATGGGAAACACTTTGACAACATAACTATTAATGCTTGCCTAGTCTAGTTAGGTTTACGTTTTAGTGTTGGCATCAGCTGGTGGTGAATTGCGCGTGTCTGGTAGAAACGACGTCAAATAATAGAGATTCAGATCTTATTTGCCTATCTGTTCGTCCAAGTCTGTTGGCTAAGCCCAGTTTCGATATACAGTGCTTAGTAACACCAACAAGAATTCCGATGTTACTCTATTTATCGCCTGGAGGACATAATAGTTCAGGAATCACTGCCACTGCTTGTTGCCAAACTGAGAAACCCAGGTCCCACCATCGCCGTTCTCAAGACTAGCATTCTCCATGACTTTCCTTACAAGTGCCACAGCGCTTTCAGGAGAGGCCAAACCGGTGAAGTGCGGTGCATAGCCCATAAGTTTCTGTATTTCGATTTCCATGTTTTTTTGTTCCTTATCAGAGACTAGAGAAGTTCAATCATTAGCTATGGGAAAGGATTTTAGATGTAGAGCCTCACGTTTCGTGCTACTGAAAGTATCCGTAGCACCTGGTGCAATGCTCATGAAGAGGATGCCCTTTTCTCGAAACTCGGCGCTGTACTTTGCAACTGCCATATTCAAGGCGGCCTTGCTTATAGAGTACGGGCCGGTTGTAGATAGATCATACTTGGCGGTGAGGTCTATGTCGGCACTCATAGAACCTAAAGCAATGACTTTTCTGACCTCGCCCTTCGAGATGAGAGGAATAAAAGCGTTGAAGAGTTGGATGTTCCCCACCACGTTGATTTGGAAACTTTCGTTCAAGTCCTGGGCATACTGTCCTGGCGATTCGATGCTGCAAACAATCATACATCAGCTAAGCTTGGATACTATTGGGGTTGTCAAGCGATATGAACACGACTCACAGATCGCCAATAGTGTACCAGCCGGCCTTGGTAGAGAAGTAAGCGGCGTTGGCGATAAGATAATCCAGCACTCCCCCTGTGATACTGGCAGTTTCTTCGGCGGCTTTCTACATAATTTTGTCCGCTTTAGCTTGTTTATGCATAGATGAATGCGCGAAAAAGAATTAGCCAAGATGACTGTAACTCACTTTCAACGAATCATGGTCTTTCAGGTCTGCCTTGATCAGATGGATATTGTCTCGGCGTAGCTCCTTTTGGACCTTCTCCTCAGTTGATTCCTTATCGCGCACCAAGCCGATTACAGTCGAATCTGGATCAGCTGAAAGCTGGCGAAGAAACTCGAACTAGGTATCACCATCAGCCAGGATGTCAAAAGGTCAGCATAGTTTTACGCACCCCAATCCCGCGAGAGGCCCCGGTAATGACGTAGGAAGGCATTATAGGATACAACGGAACAATAGAAGTTGCTAGTAAAAACAACTTAGCGGAGCTTTGTGTTTGAGAAAAGAAATGAGTACTTTCTGACACAATAAGTAATCCTTTGTTGAAACGATCCTTATTGCGAAGTGGCTGATCCAAGGCCCTTTATAGCCTGCCAAAAGCATGGTAGGCAACATTCAATAGACGCTACTGATTCCATGCGTTTCTACACTGTCGCGGATTGTTGCCATGCTTTTGAGTGGAGTTGTCAAAGGTAATTGCTTTACTGAATCATACCTTTAAGTACACCATACAAGATGACACTTATATCAAAACATTCGGAGATCGTATCCTTGCTTCCGTATAAGGCAAGCACTATTTTAGTGCATCCACTTTGAAATTCACTCCGATATTAACAAGCTCTTATTGTGACTAGAATGGCAAGAACCTATTGAGAATCACAAATCAACCTCCTATGGCAATGGGAATTTGTGCGCAAGTCAGTTAACAGACTAGTTCCTTATGCGGGTAGTCCGGAAGACACTGGATATATTAACCAATCTCAGCCCATACTTTTCGCAGATTACTTCCTTGCTTCCATATACAGATAATCACTAATTTAGCGCATCTTGATTCCACTAAGTAGCTACCTTTTGCAACCCCACTAAGTCATGCAAATGTTATCACTACGAATGAATTATGGATTTTTTCTTTCATACCACAAGAGAAAGGGAGCGTCCAAGCCAATAATTCCTATAGTGGACCGTGCTTTCTTCTCTTATCTTACAAGGAATGTCGCGAAATGGATGTTGGACGTGTAAAGGTTTGAGTTCATTTGGCAATGACCAAGCTTTCTCAATCATCTATGGCCTCAAGGAGAAGGGCTAATCCGCTACACCAGATCGAAAGATTCGATGTGATCGCGCACTTCCTGTCTGTAGAAAGTGCATCCAATCAAAGAAAAAATGTGGAGGTTATGAAATACGCCTCGTATGGCCATCTGCTCATGGGTCAAAACGCTTCGTTTGCCACAAGGTGCCATCCGAAATCGCCAAAGTTACACGAATTGAAGAATTCGCTTGGGTGAATGTCAACTTTCAAGATATCAAAGTGCATAATCGCCTCTCTGGCCTACTACACTTTCAAGGTTAGACAGGCTCCCAAACGCTCATCGAACGTTACTAGACACACATATTAGAAATTTTCATCCAGCCGTATCCTTCTGCCTCTATAGCTAGCTCGCCATCTTGGAGACCGTCGGTTTTTGGCACCGAAGAGAGTGATTTGCTGGAATATTGTAAGTCGAACTGAGTAAGAGATTTATACATATTGCTTATCAACACTGTATTCGAATACATGCTACCCCATACGATAACAATATGCTTGGACGACAATAATGACCTTGTTGAGAGCTTAGTACGGTTGTCATTTTCTGATAGCAGTGACTCCTCAAAAGCTGTGTTACATTCTATCCTGGCTATTGCTTCTTTGTCTCGTCGCGGTTTGCAGGTCGAGTCTCTCCGCTACTTTGGCAAAGCTCTTGGTGCTCTTCGGTCCTCTGCCAATAGGGGTATCAGCATTTCAGAAACTATGCAACATGTCGCAACTAATCTACTTCTCTGTGTCTTCGAGGTACTGCTCCAAGAAAACCTCCTAAAGAAATCTGCTAATAGCGCGTCCTTGTAAAAGATCGCAGGAAGTTCACAATATTCAGAAACCTGGCTAGGATATCTCAGCAACGCGAGAAAACTACTGGGTGATCGTGAGATAAAATTAGAAGAGCTACCCAGCGAATATCTAGCCGTGATCACTTGGTTTCATTACTACGATCTCATGGGACAATTTACACGTCGTCGCTGGCAATCCGGGCGAAATCCAGCAACGAAAAGCTCAGACATTGCAGGTCACATCGGCGCTGTATCTAGGATAGAGCCTTTCGAGGTAAGTGTTCTCTATTCTTTCGCAGATTTTATAGTGATCGTGTGACTAAACACATACTTATACCACGTCCTTCTAGAGAGTTTCCTCGTCACTGTTCCCACTCTGGATACTTCGCCTAGGGACAGAGATATTTGAATACGTGCTGCCGCCCTCTCATATGTATCACCACAGCAAAGAATACCAAGATCACGTATCACTTTTGAAGCTTGAACTTCAGAAACTCTCTTCTTATCTTCAGAGCTGCGAGTCACCGCCAGATAGGGTTCTATTCCCACTCGTTAGTCTCATATACCTTGAACGCGTCTCAAAAGACTTCTCTGGATCCTCCGACACAATCGAACAATGGACGGAATCGGCATTTCAGATACTCGACAAAGCCGGAAACTGTAAATATCCATTCTTGATGTTATTGCTGGGGATGGAAGCGCGGACTGATGACCGTCGAATGATTATGTTGAGGGTAATTCATGAAACCTCCAAAACCATGAATCCCAGAAACACAGATTTGCTTTTGCACGTCCTACACGCTGCATGGAATCAAGATGATTTGATGATCGATCAGGATCTTGACTACACCAACAAACTCAACATGATCTTCAGTTCATACAAGTACGTGCCCGCTTTTCTCTAAGCGGTATATGACGGTAGTTATCGGAGAAAGCTAAAATTGATGTGGTATCATGAATAGAGTGCGGCTTGTTGTCTCTCTGAGAAAAGTTTTTTCTTGCCCTAGATAGCTTAGTGATACAGCTGAATAATGGGTTTAGATAGCCTATCTTACCGAACAACATCTAAAAATTGATCTTGTCAGATGCGGTTTACGTAAAATTATAGATATTCGCGTTTCACTCTTTTCAAAGGCGATGACAGGGATGAACTGATTTGGCAAGAAACATTTTCATGGCCCAACTCTGTTAAACAGGAAGGATTTGTTCTCATCGAAACAGGTTATTTTGAGAAGACAGCGGTATCAAGAATAATAAAAATCAGTTCCTCCTAAGATTCATGGGGTATCCCCCTAATAAAACATGAAGTAAGATTATCTCAATGGAGTTATGGCGAATCAAAAATCAATATATCGAAGAATGTGCTCGTGCTATGGTTCCTCATCAAATGCGAATCCTGCGCTGTATGAAGCTGAAATAGAAAATCTGGAAGAACACCAACATTGCTACGATTTCGAGAAATGTACAAGCGCGTCCATGCTCTTCTATCCTTGATTATGTAGCCTCCTAGTTGGATGTGGGAAGCTGGATGAGCGAAAGGGGGAGTTTGGCGTATGTAGCAACTCCCTGAGTGAGAGCAGTGAGTTCGCCGACGGTTTGGGTGAGAGGAACGTTGCCTAATAGATATGACGTGAGTCAAGGTCTATATTATCCATACTTTGACAAAATTAACTCACTTTCGATTCCACTGCAAAGGTTGTTTGCCAATGGAAGAATGCTCTCAACGGTGCTCACAGGGTTCGAAAGGAGGCTGGTAATGTCACCAACAGCGGTAGAAACGATATCGCGCTGCTTCAAAGATCCGACCTCTACAAAATCGGTCGTTAAATCAAGTCTAAGTATGATAGGGGTGAGAAAAACGGAGGCACTTACCATTGACGGCAGGAGCGGCAACAGAGCCAACAGTGTTGACAGCGTATCCGGCAACCTCGGTAGCACCCTGCACAACATCACGCTTAGCAGGTGCACCGACGAGGGCTGTAATCAAAGTCTTGATTTGAGAAAGGTCGGCTTCCAGAGCGTTGAGGTCAAGGTCGGTCTCGACATTGTTGACAAGATTGCTGAGAGAAGGCTCAACGGTGTTGAGAAGAGAGTTCAGCTCATTCAAAGTAGAGTCAAGGGAAGAAGAAACAGTTCCACGAGGGATAGCGACAGCGCTGACGGCACCAGCGAGGGCGAAGGCAGCAGCAATTCCGGTGAACTTCATTTTGTTGGTGGATTGGGTTTTGAAAGAGTGACTGAGTTGGACAGTTGATTATAATAAAAAATGAGTGAATGAAAGACTGTAGACTTGTTGATGAAGAAACAGAGAAATAATAATACAATTCAAGAGATGTATTCATCTTTATATGCGTCTTCTCGAGTAGTCCTAACCCCTGTTTTCGATACTATCCATTGTAGGTACCTACTTGGCCATGTTTGACTCTCAACGATCGCCAATATCAATTGGCAAATGACAACTTGAAGTAATATTGATCGACATAAGAGAGAATTAATTGAAAGGGCTAATACTTGCGTGATATGAGGTTGAGCAAGCTGAGCAAACTAGCCTATAGGTAATAATTTAAGCTTCATGGTGCCTGGGGTTGGCCCTGTCGATCTCAGGCTCTGTCATTGACACTTTCGTGTCTAATCTATGAGTGTAATTCAAGTACCACCTTGCAAGTTATTCATATTTCTTCATTGATTGGAAGATTTAAACTGCACGATGCATGATGTAGATATTGCATGTGAAAAGTACATTCTCCAAGTAAAGGTCAGGGTATCCCCATTGGGTCATTGCGTAGAAGGAAAAACAGGAATGCAGTCAGACATAATTAGAGGGTTCTTTCCTGCATAGATCTGCTAGAAGAACAACGTCAGTGGCACGCCAATCGACGTATGAAGCTTTGCCGTTCACATTCAAATTTCAACTAATTTCTTACCAAAGGGACTATTGAAGTTTGACCTTATTTTCAGCATTATGGTCAGTATTACAATTACTCATCTCACCAATCACCGATCCAGAAGAAAGTCGTTAATCAAAGCATTTCTTTTGAGCAAACGGTGATCTTCCCCCGGCTTGCTGTATCTGGCATCGAATAAATATCCCAAGATAGTAATAGAGTTACAAATAGCGCCAAATTCTAGCACGGTCTTCGAGCCGTTTGCTGATCCATATTTCTCTCAAAATTCTGACCATTCCAGAAAGGAAAGGATGGTCGAGCACAGACAGGAMCCCGCCACGATCGTCGGGAACCCATTTCTTTTGACGGAACTTACGGATTAGTCTGGGGAATGACAGCATGGCTGATTTTCCACGTGTTGGGGGCATCTTGTATATGATTCATATCTAATATTTCTCCGGGTACAAAAACATGAATTGGAAAGAAACAAAACACGTTAATTCATCCTACTAATTTGACGCTGACTGCGTACCCGGGTAGGTAACTTAAAAAGTCATGTAAAAGGTCAAAGAACTTAATGATTTTCTGCTCCTACCATAATACCTCATAATTAACGCTTTGAAGACCTTATTATATGCATCCATGCCCGAAAACTTTGATCATCTACGTTCCTTTCAAAAGCTGTGCTAGATGAAACGCTCGTCATGCCCAACCGCGACAGATCCCAATTCAAGACAGAAGATCACCGGGATTTGCACTTGATAAAACCGACTAATAGGAAACCATAATAAAGTGTATCAATATATCAGGCTACTTCTGTTTCAGGTACGAATCTACACACGCTACCATTCTGGTAGTATGCTGGAGGTCTTAGTAGGGGTTATTAAACACTGAAGAACAGATCACTTCCTCTCCAGCACAGATTTGGTAGTTTCCACAAAATCAGACTTTCTCAGTCCAACTGCCTCATTGTCAAGTTTGTGAGTAGCAGAAAAGTCTGAACCAAGCCCGGCCTTGAAAACAGATGCAAAAATCAGGTCTAATGCACCAGCGAAATCACCATTACCAATTTTGTCAAGCCCATCTTTCTTTAGACCGTCTGTTGTGCGATGTGCGATGGTCCAATCTTCGCGGGTGGTCTTGGTTGCCTTGAGCAATGCTTCGAAAATATCGTTCTGGCTGATGGTAAAATCCGAAACGTAGACATATCTGTTTTTGAAGTCGTCCGGTCTCGTGAGAATCCCGCTCACTATGGTTCCTAGAGAACCAATGTTGATAGAATCGAATTTGGTTTCGCCATTGTCGTACAGTGTTGCAGCTCGTTTTTCGGGGTCGAAGCCGAATACATTCCTTTCCATTCCCTGGTGACAGTTAGTATACTCCATTAATGATTCGGCACTGAAAGAGACTATCTGTGTTTCTTACCCAGTCGAAAAAAGGACCGTTGATGACAGCGGTGAAGCTAGTAGCAGTGTTCTTCGAAACGACGCTCTCAATATGTTTTACAGCGTCCACTTTCCCTTGGTAAAGGAAGCAAGCTTCCACAATCTTGGGGTTGGTAACATCCTATATCTGTAAGTTAAGTAGTCCGTGAGAAATTTTGAACGGATTTTAAATGGTTATACTAACACTTCCGAAGTCACTAGGAATCACTCTTTTGACTCCAACAGCGGCGGCAACATCGACCAACCGACTTTGCAGCTCAAGCGTTGTCGGATTCACATCCAAGCAAATAACAAGGGCATCCTGTCCTTCAAGTGAGCTCTTAAGAAATGAGTCGTCGCCAAAGTCACCTCGGACGACGCTAAGAGAGGCGTGGCCTTCTTGTCCGATTTTGGACCTGGACTCTGTGCGGACAAGAGCTATGACTTTGAAGCCGGTTGGAGAGGAAAGAAGACCATTCAAAACAGCCGAGCCCACACTTCCGCTTGCCTATCAATTATGCCTTAGAGTAAGTATTTTCAACGCGGTTGGGTATGGGGAGGTGAGAACGCACTCCGACAAGAACAACGTTCTTATACGAGGACATTTTGAGATCTGTTTCAGGGCGTCTGATCTATACTCCAGATAATTTGTAATTTAATTTGCTGATTCTTTCTTGTATTGCTTTTTAAAAGTGATGGGCCTTGAAGTGAGTAGGAAACATTGTATTTATCATTGAATCCTGATAGAGATGACTGGCACTCATCGGATGATTTCCGCTATCATTTCTAGATTTCTAATAGGAACACATAAGCAGACTCGAATATTTCAAATAAGTTTCCGCGATGACGAATAATCTCACCTCGGTGGAATCCATAGATATTTTTCCTGTGACACTGTTGAAAAAGATATCGCGCTAGCGGACGCTAGCGGACATTTCTTCATACAAAATTCCGCCCTCCAGATTACCGTAAAGAAATCTCCTCATGTTTCAAATTACACATTCTATGTTCCTATGTAGTGTCAACAAGGCTGCTTTTAGCCAGCGTGGACATTTGGGGGTGCATGCAAGAATGATGGCTATTGAATTTGAACTTTCACCATTATATTTATCATGGTTGTAATATGACTGCTTTATGTGTAAATAACTATACCTCTATGTAAGTCAGAAATGAGGCTGGACTTGCACACAGTGAGAAGGGAGTGACGATGATCGACGAGGTTTAATTTCAAGCAATTCTGGAGCGCGCTGCCCAGTGTATCAACGAGAGTTTCATCTGCGGCATCTTCAACTCCAAGGATTTCCAGAATTACATCCACTACCAATCATATAGCAAAGTTGAGCAGACCCAAAGATCAGCCCATAACAGAGATCCGCCAACAGATTCTATCTGTCTATTTGGCTTTGCTATATCATTGGTAGTGGATGTAATCCTTGAAACCCTTGGAGCCAAAGGCCCGGAGATGAACAAGTATATAGAAAGCGAAACAGAAAAAGCACAACTAAAACGAATCATGGAGACATAGTCTAAACACATAGAAGAGGAGTATAGCACTATCATTGATGGATCCTTAAGCAAGGTAATCCATTCCTAAAGCATATCGACGTCCTGAAGAACGAGGATCCAAGTAGGGTATTTCGCCGACACCACAAACCCGGTTACCGATGCGCTTCCCACCCTTAATACCGCCGTAGTCGTAGGTAGCGCTCTGCGAGCAAAACAGCCAATTAGCCATAAATATACTATAATGGTAGGTTTGGTAAATGCCTATGCAACTTACGTGGTAGACAGCTCGGTTGTCCCAGATCACGAGGTCATCCTGCTCCCAGCGCACCCTCGCCTGCAACTGATGGTTCTCTGTGATAAGTCTCTGCACAAATTCCTTCATTATGCGATTCTCAACATCTCCCAGACCCTCAAATTCCTCCAGGTGATGTCCGAACGCAAACAGCGACTTCCACCCAGTAACGGGGTTGGTGCGGACACATGGGTGAGAAGCCCTCAACTCTGGCCCTTGATTCTCAGGTGCACCACGTGTGCCTTTCCACATGTGATTGATAATGTTTTCAGGCTTGTGGTCCCAGGGCATAAACGTAGCGTTGAGACTCTCAAGGAACTTCTTCATCGGAGGGCTTAGTAAATCATACGCCTCATACGCGCTGGCAAACATAGTGTCGCCGCCGGACCCTTCGACAGGAACCTTGACCATGTGCAGAAGCGTATAGTCAGGTGGTACATGTTCGAAGCTACCATCTGTGTGCCATCCATCGGCACGGCTCTGATTGCGCTCGCTGCCCTTGGAATAACCACCTTCGCGGATGTACAGTTTATTCTTGGTGTTACGCGAAGGAGACATGACTTCAGGGTCGATTGAACCGTCCGCCAACTCCATCTGGTTAACTGGGTGGATATAAAGGCTCGAGGTGTATGGGCGTGTAGTCAGTTGTCCAAGGCGGTGGCATAGTAACTTCTCATCGGCAATACTTAGATTGGACTGGTGACGGAAGATGCAGAATCCGCGTTGCGAGACCATTACGGCAAGGTCGCGTAGGAGTTCATCAGCGTTGGGAGCATGCAGCATGTCCGCAACGTTGGCATCAGGGAACTCAGTACCTATCACTGGGGTGATCTCTTTGTGTGCATAACCATCTAGCGCTCCAGATAGCTTGAGTGGGACCGTCTTCACTGGAGCAGTGAGCCTCAGAGAAGCAGCCCCATTTTCATTGGCCTGGCCATTGACGTTTGTCTTGGTCTCCGTGACGGTGATAGACATGTTTGAGAACAAACTTAGAAAGATGAGATGTGGTGCAATAGGATGTCATACAATCAGATAGAAAGGTTTAGAAAAGCTGCTGATGAACTTGTCCCACAGATACTTCAAAAGCGCAGAAACATCACCCCTTTTATAACCCTGCCCACAGAATGTCAAATCACCTTTCCGACTTTCCCCTTATCTCATGAATCTGAAAATTGAACTCGCCACCCAAAATTCCCTCTACCCCCTTGTTCATAACCAGGATACATACGTGATGATTGTCATAGTATGCATCCGGGATTCCAAATCAGGCTGCACACTCAAGGTTGAAACTGGTTGAGAAATAATATACACGGTTTGATCATTCGATGTTGGACACAGGGATTATGATAATCTGCAGCGCAGTACATATGCCCAGGTGCTAAAGTACTTTGTGTTGTATTCGATTATGTTGGTGTAGCAAGGATGTAGATAGTGTATTGGTTGATGCCTCAGCTCCTTTCATTGTTTTTTTCTTCTTCAAAGTCGTTTTGTAGCTACTAAACAGAACATTGACTTGAGACAAATAGGATATCGAAAGCCGGTATCATGTTTGTCCAGTTTATGAAGACCACGAACTATATAGCATAGTGGAGGCGAAAGTTGAATGACAAATCGTGAATGGAGTTCGTGCCAGCCGCAAAGATATTGTCACGGAAGCCACAGACCCAAACTTGAGACCAAGAATATATGGAAATACCATTGGACGGGGCAGTCTGAACAACTTGAGATACGTACCGAACCCTTGTTATAACCAAGAAATACTTTATCCATTTCCGTAATTCTCTACAGATCAACCGATTTACCCGGTAGCCAAGCCTACGTTGCTGAGGTGTAAATCATGTTGTCATTGGGGGTCTGTATGAGGCACCAACATTGGCATGAGAATAGATCCAATGACGAGGCTCAAGTTTATCTTTTGTTATATGCATATGCGTTACATTGTACGAAAAGTATCATGCATTATCTCGACGGTTTAATAAGAGGATAGCAGAGGTGGTTCGTATTTTCCAATAGATTTAATTTATTTTAATAATTCAGTGACCCTATTATTAGTTTGTCTACATAACGAGGTGGGATGAATAGTATGCAAAATTAGCAGGTTGAAAACTACCTCCTGTCGGTAGAGTATATACCGTTCGGCTCAAAATGAAGGATATGGAATATGCATACCCACCTCTCTGTGGGCCCTGTCCTTCAACATAGTTATCCATTACGCAAAATGAGGGAAGATGGATAGCTTCACAATCTCTTCTCCTCCCGAGCATAGCTATTTAGGAATCTTGATGCTATTCAAATTTGCCTTATTGACTGATAACTTCAGAGATAGCTTCAGATCTGATCAACTCACCGATGCGAATTCCATACAATGGGCGCACACACGAGGCGGAAATCGTGCGTCAAAATATGCAATGTGCCGACCCTAATGCTTAGCCAGCGTCCAATAGTTTCCCACGCCCTAATTTAGTAAGTATTCTAGGTCGACGGGGCTACACGGATGCATCTTCGTGTTCTTTATCAGATTCGGGGATTTTTCCGATATCGCACATTGTCCACCCTTGCTGCGAGTGCTTTTAGTTGCGATCGTTCCCATCCCTTGTTGTCTTGGTTAACAGCGCATTTTTTATGTATCTTCTCATCATGGCACCTGACACAAATTCAAGCCATACCACTGACTCAGGTCCGGGAGGGGTCGGCGACGTCGAACTGGCGGAGCATCCCATAGCCCAAGACACAACCCCGCATAGTGCTGTCTCCGGCATCCAGCAATTCACAGACCATCAGTCTCGAGCGCTTCCTCACTCGCGCCTGATGGTCGTCTTCCCTGTTCTGGCCTTGGCACAATTCACGGCATACCTAGATCAGACTTCCATCTCAAGTGCCGTTCCAGCCATCGGTGACGCACTAGGGCTGGGAGCCTCTCTGCCATGGGTTGCGACCGCCTATCTGCTTGCCACAACGGCTGTACAGCTGGCCAACGGGCGGCTTAGCGATATATTTGGCCGCAAGCGACTACTGATCACAAGCCTAGTGGTTCTCGCGGTCGGAAATCTGGTGGCTGGGTTTGCTACCAGTCCGGGTATGCTGTTTGCGTTTCGAGCAGTCAGTGGCCTCGGTGGTGGGGCGATGTAATTCAGACTTGATGTATCTTTAGGCCTTGAAAGCTGACTAGTATCCCAGCACTGCTCTGGTCATGATAATTGCCAGCGATATTACGACATTGCAACAGCGCGGCAAGTACAATGGTTTTATCGGCGCCGCTGTAGCTTGTGGCAGTGGAATGGGGCCGTTGATTGGAGGTGCCATCACCTCACATGTTTCATGGAGATGGACGTAAGTTTTCAGTTGTTGAATTTTGACTCTTGTTGATGGCATTTCTGATTGCTGCAGCCTCTGGTACGATGTACCATGGCTTCTTTTTCTCATTATGCTTCTATACATCGTGCTGCCTAGTGGCCCGAAGGGAGTCAACATACAGTTGAAGATGAAAATGATCGATTGGGTTGGACTCTTCTTCAGCATTGCAGCCATTGTTCTCCTTATGGTACGTATCGACATCCTCTGATTACCCCGGTACATACGTGCGGACCCTGACTTGTTACACACTTTAAAAGATTCCTCTATCTCGCGGTGGTTCTACAATCTCCTGGAGTAGCGCTCAATCAATCGCCATGCTCGTGGTGGGAGTATTTGTGGTTCTTGTCTTCCTCGCTGTAGAGGGTAAATTTGCATCTCTGCCCATTATGCCACGTAAGTCCTTTCATCTCCACTTTGGCAAATCACTAAGATCGCTTCCTCAGTACATCTATTCACTGCTGATTTCTCTTGCAATATTTTGCTCATACAAAACATTTTGTACGGGTTCGTATTTTGGGGGAACCTTTTCTACATACCTATTTACCTGCAAAATGTTCGTGGATACTCTCCTATTCTGGCCGGAGCCATAATCATGCCAATGGTCGGCACCCAGGGTATTGGATCTATCATATCTGGGCTTATTATTTCCCGCACGGGACACTACAACCATGTTATGATCACCTCGCAGTTTCTATGGATGGCCGGACTGATTGGTCAAGTATTCTACACTGCCACGACCCCGATATGGGTAATTTGCTTTGTAGGCTTTTTTCAAGGTTTGGGAACCGGTGGCTGCTTTCAGCCAAGTCTCGTTGCTATTCTAGCGCACAGCAGACGAGCTGATCGTGCTGTTCTAAACTCGCTACGAAATTTCCTCAGAACACTGGGTGGCACATTGGGATTGACGGTCTCTGGAGCCATTCTTGACAATGTGCTGCAGTCGCGGCTGAAAGGTGTGGTCAGCGGTGGCATCGCTACGCAGCTGGCTTCTTCCGCACATTCACTCGGTAGTTTGGGCTTGACTGTGGAGCAGAGGGCGGCTGTGCTAGATGCATACATGCATGGTATTCATATAATACTCATCTTGTATGCGCCACTTATTGGAATATGTGGTTTCGGTGCCCTGCTTGTTAGAGATCAAGGTCTAGAAGAGAAAGACACTAGCACGACGCTGCAGGTGCGGTCCGAGAAGGCACACAATGCAACAGGGGTTTCTTCCCCATCTGCAACACTCCATGTTGGTGAAGCAGCTGCAGGCTCAAAATAGATTGACTTTGTCTGCTGAATACCGTGATACTTGTTATCTCTTCACTTCCAAATCTCATTGTTCTAAATACCATTCTCGATTCACCATGTACCTGAGATCTTATGCAGACGTTGATCTATATATATAGGCACATTGTGTATTATTTACGAGTCTGTGGAGGATATGGCGCACTTCACAAGATCGATCCTGTCAGATCTTGTATATATCGGTCTAGATCTCACATCAGTGTTTTTGTACGACCCAGATGCCAGAAAGAGATATTAAAATGACGTACCAGCAAGGCCCCAAAGATGACTCTTCTTCTCTAACGACCTTTTTAAAATAAAAGATCCTTCCGAATAGTCAGTTGTGGTTGCATGGACTAATTCCCTCTGCCTGGATATAGCCACCAAGGAATGGTGACCTGAAATGACGCTGGTAATGGGGACTATGCCATTGGCGAAGTTTGTGTCTTGGTCCTCCAGATAATTTCGTGCAATGTCAATTGTGATTTTGAGATGTGTTGAGATTCCTTGTAGGCATGACTGGACAGCTTCTTCATTTCTGGTGACATGGGTCAACCTTGCAAATTCGACTTCGACGGCCGTTCTTTGCTCAATTTAGTAATTTGATTCACTGGTATTTTCCATAGCAAAGTAATTGTTATACTCACACGAGTAGGATTGCAATAGCACTGCAGAACGGTCTCCAGGATCCCGGTGCTCTTTCAAACATATTTCTAAGTTGTGTAATTATCTGGCTGTTCAGATTCTCTAAATCAGACTCTGAAGATCCGTTCGAAGTATTAATGCAGCTTATAATTCTTCCAGCAAGGTATGCGGCGTGTACTTCTTCGGTGAAATAGTCATATGGTTGAACCTCTGCCTCATTATTCGACGAAGTTCGCAAGCAATGTATCCTTGGATAGTCTTCAAAGTCTCGTGGTTGTTCTATTAGCAGAGGCAGATTTTCTGGCAATGAAGCTAGCGCAAGGATTCTGCTAGAGTCAACGGAGCGGTCCTAGATATAATATGGGAGGAGCAGGCTTACCGATCTAGCAAGAATATAGCCCACCAAACGGCTTTCGCCTCATGACTACTTACTCCAGCATCTTTATCATCATGAGATTCCGGAATATGGGCTGCGCGAGCCAAGCCTGTTGTTGTTGATAGAGTGATATAAGCATCCGAAAGCAAGCCAGCGCCAATTTGGAACACTGCCAGCAACAAACCGCATTGAATAGTATAGAGGGATAATTTCCTAGTCAACTGCAGGGAAGCAAAAGTTTTCTGTGACTGAGAATAGAGTTTTTGCATGTAAGGCCGTTCTCGAATTTCAGTTGAAGATGGCTGCGTGGCTAGGTGAACGCATAAAAGTAGACCAGCAAGCTCTGCGTCTGCTCCTTCCAACATGAGGCAATTTTCTATGTATTTGTTCTTTCTTTGGATGTCAATTACCGGCAACCAGTGATGAATATACTTGATATATCGTTCCATGACGTGAGTCGGGCTGGTGGAGTGCTCTTCCAAAATCCCTCGTACTTGATTTGTGATAGATTCGTCTGTGCTTTCCGACTCGTCCGAGATGTTGGGGTAAGTCGGAGAAACTGCAGACATCGTACGAAGATTGAGATAACAACATCGCTGTCGGTTCCTATATCATATATAAGCAACTGTTGTGAAGAATGGGTCTGATGACATACTTTGAGCACCGGTCACAGGCCGGCAGCTTTTTGTCACATTTTCGCTTTTTACTATGGCAAGCTGTGCAGGACGTAGGGGCGGTTGGCGAACGGGTCTTTTGCCTTTTAATATCACGAAATGTGTCATCCATCTTCTTCTAAACAGTGTAGTTAGACAATATCAGCTATGCGAGATTGCGGAGMAAGCCACAATCACTGTGGTATTTCGTAAAATTTTGATTTGTTGTTGTTGGTTGAGGTTGCAAATTATGGCGCTGGCAGAAGTTAAATATTTAGCCGTGCCATTAGCTCGCAAATTTGAACCAATTAACGGCTTCCTTTTCCACTGGAGGTATTTGCGAGGTCCGCACCATTCGTCGAAGCAAATCGGACTCTGTTCAGCAGTTGTTCATGGATAATAGGATTAGTTTATATTAACTAAAATTGGTTCACTAATCTCTCAATTTCAAGATCCCCTGCTACGAAACGATACTATATCGGTCATTCTCCTCCTTTTTCATGTAACGCGAAAGCTATGATGACCTGTGGTAATTACTTATGGGTACCATTATTGTCAAAAGTAAGAATTAAAATCTTGATCTCGTAGTTACTGAAGTCGCGATTGTATCAGTACGTATCTTGTTTATCTCATTCTGTCAACAGTAGCAGGTTCTGTAGATCGAGGGCTTGCTACACCACGTGATCTTGATCGTCGAGATGTAAATACTCGAGATTTGGTGCGCAGCTACATAGCAATGATGATTCCCACTTTGTCTAAAATATTGATGGTCAAATATTCAGATTTTGTAGTGGATATTTGTAGTAATGCGATAAACACTTGTTGGCAGCATACCCCTACACGGATCTACGTGTTCAGCTTATTTAAAAACCAGCAGTGGGCTGTCTAGCAGCATTACCGCATGCCGAGTATAATGCTTCTCATAGCGTGCAGGCCTGGATGAAAACATTACAATTCCCTGAACGCCACTTATCAGAATCAGACAGCTAGGGACCATGGTACTACTAACGTGCCTAAAAGTGAGAACCTTGGAGGCTACCGCAAGTAGTATAAAAAGTACAACGCCCAGTAACTTACGCTCACCTATATTCATACAATAATCATACACCGACTGTGAATCCGTCCGCTCCCAAAAGGCCACGTCCAAACTGATATATTGACATGCTTTTAGAATCAGCGATGGTTCCCTCGCGCATCCGGCGATTGTCGGCTATAGAGAAAGCATGTCTATCTCATATTGAGCGATTTTATAATTAATCGGCAACAAGATTTAGAGTGGTTCAATACCCTATTCAGAGTATTCTTAATACGAACGCAGATATAGTTGCGAGGGGTTTGACCTGAGAAGCGTCATGATCGAATCAATTTACCCCGAGCACCGTTTACACCGATCTTGGAATAAGCGAAGAACGATGATTCGATGTGACCAATGTACTCGATTTGACATTGATGTCAAAGAAGCTGATGTTGAAAGACATGCGGGTTCCAAGAATGATCAGACGCCATGCGCGGAACACGGCGAGAAAAATGATCCTCGATTTCGAATTGCATGCTCAGAGACCATGTCTTCGGGAATGGGCCTATTCAAGAAGGTAGATAATGCAAGGCCTGGTTTGGGAATGAAGATGTCTATAGGATCCTTGTCACTAGTCTATGTGGGGCTGGGGATGCAAAGAAACGATATCGACTCGATCTTCGGACAATGATTCTTCGTTACTTTATTTTCCGAGCGATTGCGATGCATGAATAATGATACGAAGTCAAGGAAAAGAAAGCAGCACTTTGAGGTGTATTTCGTCGAGGTGATATCTATGGATTCGTCCACATTTCTTCTGCGACTGAGGCGAAATGTTGGATGCCCCTTTGTGGCTGTCTCAAATAAAGCACGTCAATAGTCGCAAGCAGTCCAATGACTCGAAATAAATGAAATATCGCATTCACATGTCAATAAGCATGCATCTTCAGCGCTGCGGACGGTCATGCTAATCTGATTAGATTTTATTCCTATCGCGAGTTTAGCGAGACGGCGACCTCCGGATACACCAAACCCTAGGCATAGTCTTGGCAAGGCTATTTCAGCGTCGTTTTGCATGAATAAACATGGTGTTTATCGAATGTTATCAGGACAACTCTGCACGTGAGCCCCATTGGGGCTCAACGGTTACATCCGCGGCACGGGTGGGTTTCTTAGGGCCTTTTAGACTCTCTTGTTTCTGACTCCAATTCGCTATAAACAAGATAGCGATCTGATCTGCATGATTTGCATACAGGAGGTTTGCCTCGTGATTGGGTATTCGGGACCATCCTTGCGGCAAGGTCTCATTTCGTCAGTGTTAAGGTTATTTGCATCGATGCCAATGCGACGGCATTATCAAGCATCGTGCCAGCCTGCCAAGTGTTCCTAATGCCCCGGCAAAAGTCTTGTTTTTCTTGGCTATAAGCAGTGGATAGATATTTGTATAAATTGGGAAAAGTTGTCCGCCAGAAGTTGGGCATTGAAACTTACCTTCTATCGCATTGCTCAGACATATTCGCTTACTAGCTAGATCTCAAGTTAAAATATGTTCGACTCTCGTTCGCTCCTCCTTTCCCTGGCTGCCCTTCAGGGTGCCCAAGCCTGGGGTACTCTCGGCCATGCCACTGTCGCGTATGTCGCACAGAACTACCTAGACAGCACAACAGCAGCCTGGGCCCAGGGCGTCTTGGGCGATACCTCGGACTCCTACCTCGCCAACATCGCATCCTGGGCGGATACCTACCGCAGCACCACTGCGGGCAAGTGGTCTGCTCCTTTCCACTTTATCGATGCCGAGGACAGCCCCCCAACCAACTGCAACGTCAACTATGCGCGAGACTGCGGCTCTACGGGTTGCTCCATCTCTGCTATCGCAAACTACACACAGCGTGTAGGCGACGGTCGTCTTAGCGCAGCCAACCAAGCCCAAGCTCTTAAATTCCTTGTTCATTTCCTTGGCGACATCACTCAGCCATTGCACGACGAGGCTCTAGAAGTTGGCGGTAACGACATCAGCGTCACTTTTGATGGCTACAGCGATAATTTGCACGCGGATTGGGACACCTATATCCCCGAAAAGTTGGTTGGCGGATCTGCGCTGTCTGATGCACAGACCTGGGCCAACGAGCTCATCGACTCGATCAACAGCGGTAGCTACAAGAGCGTGGCTGCAAGCTGGATCAAGGGTGATGATATCTCCGATCCCGTCACTTCTGCCACCACTTGGGCTAGCGATGCCAACGCCTTTGTATGCTCTGTCGTCATGCCTAATGGCGTGTCAGCATTGCAGAGTGGTGATCTATACCCTACCTACTACAACAGCGTCATCCCAACCATCGAGCTGCAGATCGCCAAGGGTGGTTACAGATTGGCCAACTGGTTGAACAGCATCTATTCCACCAACATTGCCAAGTCCAAGCGTGACAGTGAAATCATGGTCTCCAAGAGAGATGTCGACCTATCTGGTCGCAGCTTCTTGCCTCCTTCGATTCCTTTGAGTGACGCAAAGCGAAAGAGGGCGGCAGCTGGGTTTGGATGCAACCACAAGCACTGAGTTTCGTATTCGCAGAATACTAAGCCTAAAAGAGTTGGATTGAGGTTATTGTTGTTTTAATCGTGCAAAGAGTGTAAATAGTCAGTATTTAGCAGCAGACTACTTAGTCAAGTCTTCAGACCATGAATGAATGAAAATGAATGATTAGTATGTGCCTAGCAGACAGACTTATTAGACAAAGAAGCCCGGTTCGTGTGTATCAATCGCATGCTCTAATTCTACCGAGAGGAGGTCTGATGATTTTCGAGCGTTGTCTGAGTAGGATGTAGATATAGAGGAAAATAAGGAAACAAAGCGTCAGTCGCTCTCGCCTGGCGCGTCATTTTTGGCCTAACATTTCAGGCAGCAAACGTGGGGTCGCGGATGCATTCCGCTAAACTTTTGGCATTTCATCTTCTTCCTCATGTGGCGCGACTGATTATTTTCGACGATATTATAATCGACATGGAGGATATCGACACCAAATGTGCAGCTCTACGGGCGCAAATCGCCGCCACAGAATCCCAACTTTCAGCTCTCAAGCAGGAACTTGAAGCGGCCGAGAAGCTTCAAGGAGAAACAAGGCCAGCATCGAGCGAGCATTCTGAGCGCAAATGGCCTCTTTCAGCAGAGGAGTACCAGCGATACGGACGCCAGATGATCGTTTCGCAGATTGGACTTCCTGGTAAAAATCTCTCGTCGACTTCGTTTTTTCGGGTTCTGTCCAATTGCTAACGAGTGGTATATCAGGTCAACTCAAACTTCGATCCGCATCGGTTCTATTAGTCGGCGCAGGCGGATTAGGCTGCCCTGCAGCGCTATACCTCGCGGGCGCTGGAATTGGTACACTTGGTATGGTTGATGGAGACACGGTCGAATCCTCGAATCTTCATCGCCAAGTTCTGCACCGCACGAAGAATGTGGGAAAATACAAAGTTGACAGTGCGATTGAGTATCTGGAAGAGTAAGATCACAGTCTATGGCGTAATGGAATACATCGCTGATTCACTATATTTTTTGTCACAGATTGAATCCTCACGTGAAATATCATGCCCATCGGGAGCACTTGACTCCTCAGAATGCACCTGCTATCTTTCAAAATTACGACATTATTCTCGATTGCACTGATAACCCCGCGACTCGATATCTGATATCTGATACGGCGGTCCTTCTCGGCAAACCACTTGTCTCAGCGTCAGCATTGAGAACCGATGGACAGCTCATGGTCTTGAACAATCCGGCCAAACCACCTGGCGATCTATCAGGCGGACCGTGTTACCGATGTGTCTTTCCCAAGCCACCGCCTGCAGACACTGTTGTTAGCTGTGCAGATGGAGGTATTCTCGGACCAGTAGTCGGTACAATGGGTCTCTTACAAGCTCTTGAGACTATCAAGGTTCTCACAAAGCCTGCTGATCAGAACGCCGATGATCGACCTGCCCTGCACATTTTCTCCGCTTTTAGCCAACCCCCGTTCCGTACAATTCGTCTAAGAGGTCGACGTGCCAATTGTGCTGTCTGTTCATCGGAGCCGACTATCACATTAGCGACTCTTCAATCGGGTTCAACAGATTATGTTCAATTCTGTGGTTCGGCAAGTTTTCCGCAAGTGCTTTCCAAGGATGAACGCATAACTGTACGCGACTTTGAGCCTATCTACGACTCCAAGAAATATACATTGATCGATGTTCGCGATCCCGTCCAATTCGGTATATGCAATCTTGAAAACAGCATTAATATCCCCATTAGCCAAATTCTGCAAAGCAAAGCCCAAAATACAGATTCAAAGGAATCACTAAAGTCACTTTTTTCATCGGAAGTAGTCTCTACCGGCTCCACCGATCCGATATACTTCGTTTGCCGTATGGGCAATGATTCGCAATTGGCTGTTCAGAAGCTGAAAGAATTAGGCTTGGGCCAAGATGGAAAACGATTTATTGGTGATCTTCGCGGTGGACTGAAAGCATGGAAAGCAGAAGTTGACCCAGAGTGGCCGGAGTATTAAGCTAAAGTACTAGATATGAAACATAGTACAAGTAAAAGAAAGTATAATGAAAAGAGGAAATCTAATGTTCATTGTCTTAATGTATGTACCTCTCACAAAGACCCCCTACACACACAAATACACACAAAGGTCGTTTGCTATAAGTGAATTGTGTAGCAAGCCTACTTTCTTTTACCGATGGGAGGCAATTTACCTAAAGCGTCATTGAAAGACTCCACTGCCGACTATCGTCACACCATTGAAGGAATTGTCAATCAAGCGATCAGTTCGTAGGCGACCCTTGGGCCATCCACTTTCGAACTTCATTCTGAGCATCCCGAGCAACAATTTCAGCCTGCGCATAGCGATCATTCGCAACTGCACGCGGCAGAGTAGTCCTGAACTCATGAACCGGAAGCGGCAATTCTGCCAACGCATTGCGTTGCGAGGGGCTGGTAATATCCGTAAAGAACTGTGAAAGTGCCAGATTGGAGGCAACGCTATTTTCATCAGCAGGTTGTTCTTGCCCATCCGCGCTGAAGACACCGTGCCAGGCATGTTCTGCGTAGCAGCGGTGTTTCGGGTAAGATGCTCCGGCGACATAGATATCGACTACAGTTCGGGCAGTAGATTGTTTGTCCTGCACGGTGATGTTGGTCGCGATTGTGGAGATGGCACTACGATCGATTTCGTTAGGTGAGATCCCCCAGTCGTGGCACGGCGATGATGGATTCAAGCCATGTAATACAGGCGACGCCCAGGGTAGCACGGGGTCATGCGAGATGATGGCGATGATTACCAATCGCACTGCTCGGTTTGAGCCTTCAAACCAGCGCGCCGCTTTCTCATAGATGTAGTCACGCTCGAAATGTCCTTTGTGTTCGTCTCCGCGAACCGAATGGATAGTTTCAAAGACAATGCTAGGAAATGCGCCGACTTGTTGAAGGATGAGACGAGCAAAGTAGTTGCATCCTTGCCAGCGCCCAAACAGTTTCCATTGTGAAGACTGGCGGGTGCAGTATCGCTTGCTTGATGTTGACAATATTTGCGCTCCGTTATCGAGCCATTTTTCGAGAATTCTGATGAGCTGGAACTGCACCTGGCTTGGCTGAGGGTACAATATGATGTGTCTCGTCGGGGAATCATAGTCAACGGGTGGAATGCGTGGTCGGCTAGTAAGGAAATTATCAGCTTGGGGAGGCGAGACCGTCAAGCACGTTAGTGGCACACAGCTCCTCATGTTGCCCTTGTCACGAATTTGCGTCACAGAACGAGCTTCAAGGTGCTCAAGTCTGGTGATGAAGTTGAATCGCTTATCACCAAATTTACGCGGAATTCCAGCATGTCCTGCCATGGCGTGAGATTTCTTTGATATGATTCTGGGTTCAATGTCTTTGTTGATGTGGATGCTGCCGTGAAGCAAGAGGTATGAGTGTGCTTTATGTTGAGAAAGTGACTTGCCCCTAGCCCTGACAAATTGTGAAAGAGTTGTGAAAGACTCTGTGATGATTTGCAAAATAGATAATTAGACCACTTAGATGCCAGTAGTCTTGTTTCTGATGTGATAGGTGTCAAGGTGGTAAGTAGAGGCCAAGATTCATAATTCAGAACAAAGTTGAAGATGAGTGAACAATTAGGCATGAAAAAATACAGGCATATAAGTAGTAGGATAGCTAAAGGGGTATCACACAATTGAATGGAAGGAAGCGAAAAGTGAGGCCAGAAATATTTCCCCAACACAAACATAACGGAAAACACCGGTGGGCGCAATAGATCACAGTAAATTGTGGCGCTGATGTCTTTCAGTATCAAGAAACAGCGCTGACATTGACGGGCGAAGTCTCCAACCAAGCCCAATCAACTGTCACTCGGCCTTGGTCAATCTCCGCCAACGTTCCGAATACAGAGGTTGTGGTATCGATATCCGTCGCTTTGCACCCAACACAACGGTCGACTACCGTCACATCAACACTTTCATCATTTCTGCGCAGTCGTATCTTCAACCCGCATAGTGGGTTTGCATTGGGATTTGACCCTTTTTGTGCGGCGTCGAAGACTAAATGAGATACAGCGCAAATGCTGTCTGATGAAGAGGAAGTGATACCACATGCTCCCAGACCAGGCTCATAGTAAGTGAGATCACCACTATATGGTCCTCCATTTGAGGTTGGAAGAGGGAGATTTTGGGTTCTGACATTCATACCAGATCAGCCAATTTGTCTGTTATGCAAAGCACGAGCAATATACTCACTTTTTACCCGTCGTTAATCCAACCGCAAGACCGATAACAAGTGCCAATACAGCAATTATCAATCCAGCAAATATTCCAGCAATCGCATAGCGGCGCTTCCGTTGCTCGTACGGCAGGTACTTGTCCAACGGACCAAGACGGACCTTGTCAAAAAGAGCGAGCGACAGGGCAGGCAATGCAAATCGCCTTCGAGCGCCATTATTGACCGTTCGCGACTCCCATGTGCCACTTGCGACATCTTTCTCGGGGTCCGAAGCTATATTCTGTAGTCGTTCATGGCTCTGATCGTCCACGACCGTAGTGGTCGCTGTGGATTCGACAACGGGGCCATCGTTTGTGGGGAGGGGCTTGCGCTTTGGAATGTTCACTGATTGTGGCTGCGCTGGTGATGAAATTGGTTCGAGGCTCTGGCCGTCTGTCATCGTGCTTGAGGTTGTGGAGAACCTGTAAGGCACGAGGAATGCACGTATATTCTTTGAGCGACACTATGCGGAGTTGGACGGTGACTGGTCGAGAGCGAGCGTAATGGCAATATCTGGACTAGTGCATCGTACAATTTGTGTCAATTCATCGCGCGGCTTCGTCAGCTCGTACGTAACGCGAGTCCATAATGATAAAAACAAATACGGGAGACGAAGATTAGAGTTGGTGGAGATTCAAGAATGGAGAAAGAGCAGGTTCAGGGGTCAGCCAACCAGCGTGCTTACATCAGCGGAGTTGCGGAGTGGAAATGGATGCCTTAGGTCACAACTCCGCTGCCTGAATTTGTTGGTCTTCGTAATACTTAGACTGGACGAAGGACAATTATCTTTATTTGCGAAAGCACATGTGACAGCGCGGGATACTTACTAACCAACCTCTCGAAAGCATGGAAACGCTGGCTTCAATGCTGCATATAAATAATACCAGCTTCTCCAATCTAAAAATGTTTTGTGCCTGCTCTTTCTTTCGAATACCACATTGCATTGAGCTCCCTTTGTAACTCCAACTTCGAATAACATCCTAAATATAAAATGACGCTTAAATACCTCATAACAGGCGCCACAGGTGGTCTTGGCAGCCAAGTCCTCGCCTATCTCTCCAAACATCTACCATCAACCGAGTATGCCGCTGCATCCTCCAACGAAGCTAGCCGCTCTCAATTCGAAGAGGCCGGGATATCCTTCCGGGTTGCGAACTTTGATGATCCTGCGACACTAGATACAGCCTTTGCGGATGTTGAGAATGTGTACTTTGTTAGTACGAATACGTTTGACAATGAGCGGAGGAAGGTGCAGCATCGTAATGTGGTGGAAGCTGCTAAGAGGGCTGGTGTTAAACATGTTCGGTTTCCGAATTAATTTGGAGAATTAGAAATTGGAGCTAATGTGAGGCTAGGTATGGTACACGTCTCTGGCTTTTGGTGGATTAGGTTCAGACTCGAAGGTTTCTGTGCAGCAAGCTCATCTCGAGACCGAGAAGATGCTGAAAGAGTATGCTCCAACAACACTTTGATTTCTATACGTTCTATTAACTAAGTCCATGACTTAGGTCAGGTGTTACATACACCTCCATCCGCGAAGGCATCTATGGCGACGCTTTTCCTCTCTTCCTCCAATGGTACCCCAGCACCGAGACCATAGTCTTGCCCGAAGACGGGGTCATTACATATACATCCCGCGAAGAGCTAGGTGAAGCAAACGCCAAACTCCTCCTGAAGGGCGGACATGAGAACGAAATCGTACTTCTGACTGCCAACGAGCCACTCCGAGGAGCGGACATCATTAAAATCATCAACGAAACGACCAACCGCAACGTTAAGCTGAAGCTCGTATCACCGGAAGAGTATGTTAGATATCATACAGAAAATGACATTGGTAAGAAGCCAGAGTCGTTCTGGCGCTCGAGACTGTCTTGGTTTGAAGGTATAGCGAAGGGGGATGCAGATGTGTCGAATCCGTTGATGAGGGAGCTTTTGGGTAGGGAGCCGAAGACTGGGAGTCAAGTGATTCGAGAGTTATTGAAGGAGAATCCGGATTATACGTGGCATCAAAATTATATCGATCAGGCTCAGTATAAGGCTACTTTGTCGAAGAAATAGTGAGCACGAAATACGCATTTGTGTGGCATTTGGCATCCATTAACATTAAGAATACAATTAGTATTGATTTATCTCCAGTCCACGTCGTTAATCAACCAACCACCTTGTATAAGCAGCATAACTCAAGCATCAAAGCAAACCCTAGACGCTTTCCTGAGCTCTTTTCCATAGATGCTCCAAGTCATCGCCAATAAGCTGATTTGCCTCCTCCTCAAGCTCCCTTGCAGACAACCCTCTCTTCCCAATGGCTGCCAGTGAATCTATGCGACCGAGTTCGACTGTAGTAGTAAGTAGATGTACTAGTGCTATACAAATCGAAGGACATACCGTGGATATAGACCGCAGCGCGCTTTCCGCTAAACATGGCATGCGGCACATTAGTCGCTCCGTCATTATTAGCATCCCCAATGGCGTAAATGCCGTTGTCGCTAGATTTCATGTTTGTTCCGACTTTGATCTTCGTTCCGTCCATTGTCAGATTAAGAGCTCTTGGTAGCGTGGATTGCTGGTCGTCTGGAAAGTTCGTGATAAAGGCTGCCCGCTCAATGCTGGAACCATCTGTAAGATTGACACGGAAAAGGTCAAATTCCAAGTCTTGAGCGGGGTCATTGTTCGTACTGCCATCCTGAAGACGGTCAATAGATACAATAGTCTCGTTGTTGATCGTCACATTGTATGCTTGCAACTGCGCCTCCCAGTTGGGGTATTTGGCGGCTAGTGCTGCTTGTTGTTCGGGGGTGTTCGTGCCATTGACGAAAGCAATGATGTCCTGATTCAGAGTCCAGACTTCGATCACGCTGCCCATGACATCGCTCAGATTACCCAGTATGCCAAATGACTGACCACGGTGCTCGTATCCATCGCACCAGGGACACCAGTAAATACCCTTACCCCATCCCTCAACAACGCCGGGAGTAATGGGGAGTATATCTTTCATTCCAGTACCCAGGACAATCCTGCGAGCGGTATATTCCTCGCCGTCGGAGTCGGCCGCTCTGTAGTACGACCCGTTGTTGATGGACTCCAGAGATGTGACAGTTGCATTGCGCATGGTGGTGGTTGCATTGTATCGCGAGATTTGGTCCCGAGCGAGGGCTCTAAAGACCGCCGGAACAGTGCCTTGTGAATAATTAGATTATTGTGCATATTAATCTGTCTGGGGCTTACTTACCATCATTTCCGATCACGTCGTGCATATGTCTTGTAGGATCATTGCGATAGATGCCCGAGTCTAACATCAATGTCCTCCTCTGCACTCTGGAGAGACCGCTCGTAGCACTCAGGCCGGCAGGGCCACCTCCTATAACGATCACATCGTAGTCAGTCTCGACAGCAACAGGAGCTGCAAGCACCAGACTAGCAATGCTCAATAAGAGTACTGAAAAGAGTCTGAAAGTAGCCATATTGACTGAAGAAGCTAACATTGGAAAAGCGCTGGAAAGTGTCCGTTGAAGGCAATCATCCTCTTTACTCTTAAATCACTGGGAAGGTGCGATACTTATACCCAGTGTCTGTCATGACTGCCTCAGCCAGCCATGGACAGCAACAAAAGTAATGTGCCATGAACCCCAGAGTCTGGATCATGCTCGCTGCTCAGAAAGTGACTGATCGTCACTTCTCCGCGCAAAGAGGATCCCTTGCTTCCTATTGGCATCGCCGGAACTCAGAATTCGGACCGCATATACCGCAAACAGGCACGGTACTATTGCCTATAAACTGCAGTGAGTGGTTCAATGTGTGGGGTTGAAAGGCTTGAATGGATATTTTTCATTTCATTGACATTTCATTGATGCAATTGTGCGTCGTTCTGTGTTACGTCGGCAATTTTTGTTGCGCTTGCTCGGGTATTTTCTCGTATGTACTATGTATACTTGTATGCAGAAAATGCTTTCAAGTTTGTGTAACAATTGCAAAGTTCTCCATTCTCATGCAACATAGCAGAAAGGATGTATGATGATCGACTGACGAGGGACACCACTGTTCATGCATGAAAAATGTGCTCTTTCAGGTCGCCATGCTTGAGCTCTGAACACAAGTGATCAACTATTCAAGGTCAATGTGCAGATACGAAAGTGATGTTCGTCTTATCCATCTCATAGTGGGCAGATCGACAAGCCGCAGGTCTTGGCTATGCGGACTTGCAGCTCGAGTCCCCAATGGCGGCGGGKGATCTACAATCACATATTTCAGCACTTCACTCTGATGCTTTTAGAGTATGGAGCATGCAGAATTACATTGCATAAGGTTCGATTCTCACCGCAGAACTGATGTCAGAGTGTAGTCTTGATCTCTAGGTAATCTGAGTCTGGAGCGATGACAATAGAAGATCAAGTATTACACCCGAGATCTTCGCCAGAGAAATAGAGCAAATAGCTTCGGAATGCGTAGAGTCAACAATATAGGCGCAAAATTCTTTCAGGCTATCGTGCACACAAAGGTGCTAAATCAATCAGAGAAGCTGAGGAATTCATGTTTTAGACCTTCGGATTTTGTGGGAATTTTCCATCGAGACTAGACAGTCAAAAAATACAATTGTGAATTTATATAGCAAGGCTTGCACGAAAAATACATCAAGGAAATCTAGAGAAATTGTAGTTACAACCTCGTTGATCCAGCCGGCGGCACCATTCCATCCTCTTCTGTATATAGCCCGCCATATACCATTGCGCCCCAGCGCCAGAATCCCTTTCGAATCCAGACAGTCTTTATCTTCTCATTCAACTTCATGAGCACATTATCGTTCCAGTTAAAAGTGCTTGCAACCTGGTCACTTAGCAAGAGATGTGTTCGGTACTCGTCATGTCCATCCCTAGCTGCGTCGTCGATGAGTGTTTGCATTACTCCTAACGCTAGATCGCACTGCTTGGGATCGTCACGGTCATAGTCTGCTTCGATGACAACGTGTAACTCGCGCAGGCTGACGATCAAATCGAGGAAACAGTCGAGGCCTTAGGCTTCCCATTGTTTCTAGGCCATGTGCCACAGCTTCACGGCATGTGTTCCGCGTCTGGGCAACACAGGACTGAAGGCAATATGGCCACTGTAGGGCCACCAGTTTACACATGCCAGCTCCTCGAGGTCAGGTTCGCCAGACGCAATTTTGTCGCGGGACTAGAAATAATCCTTAGCTGGGAGCGTCGAGGAATTGATGCGCTTTGCGCCTGGGATTTCTGGGGAACTCGCTCCCAGTATCACCTGGGAAAATGACTGCAGAAGCAACGAGCTCTTCCTCGTCTGTGACAGTCATACCGTCGTGCGTATTGGGCGCTATTCAAATGTCAGTATCGTTTTTTTTCCCTGTCCAATGCAAGATGATTGAGACCCACGTTCGATATACCTATGAATAGTGGAATTATCAGCATGGACTACAATTGGATTCATCTGAGATTATCTTATCATCCATCCTCAAGCGGCTTATCTTTGGCCTGAGTGAGAAACACTTTGCCAAATGCCATGGCTACCCATGGATGGTTTGTCTACTTCTGGAACATAGGAAAAAAATCGAACAAAAACGGGTCTGGATTAGATATGTGTTGAAGAATGGTTAGTACCGTCTCCTAGTCAGTCGGCTTAGGGTTTGGCTGTGTGCAGTACATGGCTGCACCAGGCCATCGTCCTCCACATGAAACGATTTTCCGGCAAAGTTGTCCCCGTTGTCCCCTACACAGGCGTTCAACCCACATAAGCAAGGTATTGAAGTATTTGCAGTATGTAATGACTGTAGAATACATTATGCTGCTCCGCAAACCCTTGGAGAGGATCCATTACCTAGTAATTCTACGACGTGTGGAGATCCGATGCATGCAGGGCTTTGAGAGGCCACCTCACTTACAGCAAACAAGCCCTGCCTCAATCATCTACTCGGCCATAACCAAATACTATGGCGCACTGAACAGAAGTAGTTTTAATCGGTCCTAAGATATTCCCTAGCAGAGTACATACTGGAAACTACTGAAAAGAAGAAAAACCGGACATTTCAGAAATAGCGTCAATGTCGCAGCTCGTTGCACTCATCACAGGTGCCACCTCTGGCATTGGCCTAGATTTGACGAAACATCTAGTAGCCCAGGGTCAGCGGGTTGTGATGGCCGATGTGAATGGGGAAATAGGTAGAAAAGTCTCGAAGTTTGGCAACCAAGTTCTATTCCAAGCCATAGATGTCCGGTCAGGCCCACAGTAAGCACGTCTGTTCAAGGCCACGTTTGAATGGGGAGGCAGCCGCTTAGACCTTTTTGCTGCAAATGCTGTTGTTGCCGATACTCAGTTCTTATACAGCAAAATCGAGCAGTTGGACGAAAATGGACTGCTGGAACTACTGCGGCTCGATTCTTTGGACGTAAATTTAATTGCTGTCGTCCAAGGCATCTAGCTCTTCAAACACTACACCCAGCAGAACAAATTTCCACGTGGAAGGGTCGTTATCACCTCATTTTCAGCCTGCTTATAACCCATGGAATCGACTCCCATGATAACTATAATCAAAGCATACGATACGTATGTCAATGATGAGTCGCTGCATGGTCAAACTGTGGAGCTGAGTCTTGATCAGTTGTGGTTTCGTAAACAGCCCGAATTTCGAAACAAGATCCAGTGCTGGTTGGCAGAGGACTCAATTAGTTTCTGGGAAGAGGCATATGAAGACTCTTTATGATTTGCTGCGTTGATACTGTTGATATAATGTTCCACTGCCTCTTAGATCCAGATGGTCATTAGGAAAGAGAAATCAAATCGGATGATTCTAATTGGTCGATCGCGAAGTAAAACTTACTAACTGTATACGGCTAGCCTTCTGGATCAGCTACCACTTCCGATTGCCGTGCCATGACGCACATCACGTGATACCCCAATCGCCGTAAGTCTCCGAACGCTTGCAATTACGGCAGCTCTGATTGGCTACAATCATATGTCACGTGTCGCTTTCGGCAACGGGCCCTCGGCAGAAGCACTGAGCGGCAGAGTAGGCTAACAAGAAAGCGAACCTCGACTTTGACTTCATACCACCAAAAGTCCCTCTTCTCTCCACCTCGAAAGCTATACGCGATCACGTTTCTCTCTCCGCTCCTCTCCAGCTGCTGCTACGCTCTTTATTGAGTGATAGTCATTGCAATCTATCGTGTCTGTCGTATATCGTCCTCAACCGAACTGCTATCCCTCGTGCCCACCATGGCCGCCCTTCGCACCACTCGCCTCTTGGCCTCTTCCCGGCCATTGTTCACCTCGTCAGTCTTCGCACGCTCCTATGCCACCGTCGATCCTCTCTCCAAGGTTAGCGAAGCTACCTCCGCCAGCAGCAAGTTCGTGCCCGAGTCGCAAACCTCGACGGTCAAGGAACCTGCCCCTTCAGCCACGCCTCGTACCAAGACTTTCCATGTTTACCGATGGGACCCTGATACCCCCTCCGAGAAGCCTCGCATGCAGAGCTACACTCTTGACTTGAACAAGACCGGTCCTATGATGTTGGATGCTTTGATTCGTATTAAGAATGAGGTCGACCCGACATTGACTTTCCGACGAAGCTGCCGTGAGGGTATCTGCGGAAGCTGTGCTATGAACATTGATGGTGTCAACACGTTGGCTTGCTTGTGTATGAACTACTTGTTTTGAACTCAAAGGAGTCTCAATAGGTTTGCGACATGGCTAACGAATCACAGGCCGTATCCCTACGGATACCACCAAGGAATCTCGCATTTACCCTCTCCCTCACACCTACGTCGTCAAGGACTTGGTTCCTGACTTGACCCATTTCTACAAGCAATACAAATCGATTAAGCCATATCTCCAAACCGATAGCAAGCCCGAAGATGTGCGTGCTGAAACCCCAGTATTCCTACCAGCAACTAACGTGTGCATAGGGTCTTGAGAACCGTCAATCGATCGAAGACCGCCGCAAGCTCGATGGTCTCTACGAATGTATTCTTTGCGCCTGCTGCTCGACCTCTTGCCCTTCGTACTGGTGGAACAGCGAGGAGTACCTCGGTCCCGCCATTCTCCTCCAGTCATACCGTTGGTTGGCCGATTCCCGTGATTCGAAGACCGAGGAGCGCAAGGCAGCTTTGAACAACAGCATGAGCGTGTACCGTTGCCACACTATCCTCAACTGCTCACGAACATGTCCCAAGGGTCTCAACCCCGGCAAAGCGATTGCCGAGATCAAGAAGATGATGGCGTTCTAAGAAGCAAAATCTGTCTGTCTGTATTTTTGATTGAATATTTTATGTATAAATTGACTGAGACATCACTTACATCCGCTTTTCTTCTGTTCTGTCTGCCTTTTTGTCGCATTTGCCATGTCCCGTGTGTCGAATTACTGTAGCTCGGACGAACGGGACTCGCTGATAGTGTTCTTGTTCGTGAAAACTTTCTGTTTTCTCCATTTTGTTGCAATGTCATGGAGTCTAGGAGAGGAATAGAACTCAATTCTATAAAATGATTGCAATATTCGCTTTCTTATACCTCAACTGACTTCGCTGTTTCTTCTGCGACTTTCAAATGTTAAAGGAAATGCATGATTGGCGATTTCGGGGTGGCCAATCAACGGTTGCGTATTTGTCAAGTATCACTTTCATCGATCAATCTACACCTGTTTACTCCCTCAATATATCAATCAATGGACAGGAGCTTATGAGCTTTTGGTCTTTCTCACTGAAGCAACGGGTACGTACATTGAAAGACATTGCATCCTTGGCCTTACAAACTTTTCGACATATAACTCAGGTAGAGATGGTTTTTATGGAACTATCTAAAGCATTCACCTTTGGACAAGTACAGACTACTGATTAACAATCCCTCCTACCTATTGAGGTGGAAGGGGCGCCAACATATTCGCCCTAATAAACTCCACAGTCTTTTCCTGATCCGCATACGGATACCTCCACTCCAACAAATTCTCAAACTCCGGCACCGTCGGCACAGTCACAATAGACTGCTTGTGCGAAAAGGTATCAATACTTGCTTTTCCACGATACGCGCCAAATCCACTACTTCCGAATCCACCAAAGGGCAAACTGGGTGGCGCAATTTGACCTAGTAGGTCGTTGATCGATGCAGAGCCGTTGGGTAGGGCGTTGACGACTCTGTTGGCTTCCTCGAGGTCTTCGGAGAAGACGTATAGACCTAGCGCTTCGGGGGCAATTTCCCTGGCGAGTGTTTGAGCGTGTTCGATGTCCTTGGCCTTGATTACGGGGAGGACGGGACCGAAGACTTCGGCTTGGAGGAGGGCATCGTCGGCCTCGACGTTGGTGACGATGGTGGGCTCAATGAAGCGGGTGGTGGAGTTGAGTTCGCCGCCGAGAATCACTTTACCCTTTGTCGAGGAGAAGGTGGATTGGACACGGGAGAATTGGGCGGCGTTGACGATGTGGCCGACTGAGGGGTGTTCGGCTTTGCCTTTGTAGAACTCGGCGTAGTACTGATACCCATTAGCTGAGCTACAAAATCGTGGGAGAATTGAAAGGGTGGGGATCTTACATCTTTAAGACCACCTACAAACTCATCATAAACAGCCTCATGCACAATCACAACATTGGGCGCAAAGCAAGTCTGACCAGCAGCAGCAGCTTTTCCCCATAGAATGCGTTTCGCGGCAAGACGAACATTGGCTTTGTCAGAGACGATAGCCGCGTTCCTGCCACCAAGCTCCAGTGTGATGGGAGTGACGTGGTTAGCGGCGGCTTTCATGATTTCCTTTCCGACTTTGAGACCTCCCGTGAAGAGTATGTGGCCGAATGGGTGTTTGAGGAGGGCTTCGGCGACTTCGCGGCCGCCGATGACGCAGCGGTAGCTACTAGCGTCGAGATATTTGGGGAAGAGCTCTACGAGGAGGTCGGCCGTGGCGGGKGCGAATTCACTGTTGGTTCATCGGTCAGTGTAAATTCGTACCACGGACAGTTAACAGTTTACCTAGGACGAAGGATACCGGTGTTACCCGCGGCAATGACTCCGATGAACGGTAGAAGCGCTATAGGAGCTCATTAGTATCTCATGATTGATACGACGAGACTGAAAACCTACTCAATGTCAATGGGTAATTCCATGTTCTATAAGCGACTAGTCAGCATGCTATTACGAGCCAAAATCGAGAAATAGCTCACCCCAGAATAAGAACCAAACCCTTTGGCTGTTTTCGAATGATAGGAGACCAGTTCTCGAAAGGTGGTAGAGTCTCGACGACGTCATCTTTGAGCCACTCGTCGAGGTTTTGCAAAAAGTGGACAATCTGGATGCCATCGAATTGGCATTTCAGCACTATTACAACGACAGAAGAAGAAGTAACGGGGATACCAACCTCATTGGCAACACATAGCGTCTCCAAAACCTCTACTTGCACAGGCGGCTTTCCGACGTCCTTGAAGATAGCTTCTGCGAATCGATCGCGGTTGTCCTTTCACGTAATACCAACAGTCAGCAATTAAAAGCAACCATTTACTTCGTTCTGAACTTACCACAACAAGATGATACAAATTCCGCAACTGCTCTTTGCGATATGTAATAGGACGAGTCTTGCCACTGTCGAAGGTCTGGCGAAGCTCGGCGACAATGCTATCAACCTCCATGGCCTTTGTTTCTGAATATAAATATTCAATTGAGTATTAAACGGTCAAAATTCGAGATCTTTCACGCAATTGCAATGTTTTGCCCTTGTACCCCTCACGCCTGTCGGGGAAGATCTATCAATATATACGCAGCAGACACACACACATTGGTTTGACTAGTACTTGCCTAAGCTCGCAAATACACTAGACTGATTGCAATTGGATCCTTCGTTTGAGGGGTAAAAACAGATTTCTTTGTGCCAGAGCATAGCTAGTATGTACCTAGCGTTATATCCGGTTCTGAACGGGAAGTGGCATTTTCATGATGGATTGACTAAGTTACGTGTCTTGTGGCAAGCAGCCGTTTCATAACCCCTAGTCGAAGAAGAGTTTGCTCTGGACCAGGCACCTAGGGCATAGTGAGTTTTTGGTGACGGTGGCATGATAATTATTGTCCGGAAAACGCAAGCGCCGTCATCCGCTGATACATACATACTAGCCCAACAGTAGTCAAACTCTGGAACGTAATTTCTTACGCCGCATGTAATTTTACAAACGTACCGCGCTTGTACATCCAGACAGACCCTGATCTTTAATTGCCGCGAAATATAAAGAACTGCGAACAGGGATCTAGAGGAGCTAGACTGAGAAGAGAAGTTCCACTCAACAAGCTTCGGGCCAGTATCCAAAGGTGGCTAAAGATTAATCTAAAGGACTACGGATTGTGGGGGTACGAGAGCAGGATGAAATACGGCCGCTAGTTCGGGGGTTCTTACCAGCTTTTTACAAAAGTGACTGTATGTTATATGACCATTAAAAGCCTGGGATCGACCTGCGTAACTCTTCTTTTGTAAGAGATGAGTAGAATCCCTTGATTAGCGGCCGCAGATTCGTCACTCCGTGTATTATCATTATGATAGCATCGTACAGTGGTCAGCCAATTCTGAGTCTGAATGGAAGCATGTGCTGCGGAAAGTGAGGGATGTTAGGGTTTTGATGTCCAAACCCTAACCTGACTAAACCTCAACAAACGTGTCTTAGTAGGCAATGATCTTACTGTTGATCACGATGATATACGATTAATATGATATCCATGAGAGTTAATTGTACCCTTCAAAAGGTATTATCTTTTGTGTCTCAGACTCATACAATTATGTGATCGCCGATCACAATATCACCATACGAAAGTGTTTGTATCAGCCTTCTTTAGGGCGCGTAATGTTATATGTCAATTGGTATTTGGCTATTTGTGTATAGATTGTTAGCTCATAGCTAAATTTTGGATTTAAGCACAGATTCATCTCCTTCAACGATTGAATCCACAACGAGATTGTCTAGATCTTTCGTATTCACAAATTTCGAACTGACTTGAGACAAATCCGTGATTCCGACGAGTCTCATTGCCGTTTCCAGCTCTTCCTTAAGGACTATAGCAGTATCTTTATCAGCAATTTTCGAAGGTGATTGGGAGGTGAAACCTACTTTGAATGAGATGGTGAACCCCTTGTTCTCCATATAGAACAGAGTAAAGGAATGGACGCCCTAGGGAGACACTGGTGGCACCAAGGCATAGTGCTTTGAGAATGTCTGTTCCTCTTCGTATGCCTCCATCGAGGTGAACTTGAATTCTGTCAAACACTTGAGGGTGGAACTTTCTAAGCTCGAGAAGGACCATGAGGCCTGGAGGGGAGGTGTCGAGGTTTCTTCCACCATGGTTGCTGGATATGGTCAACGAGTGTCTTCCATTTCCCACTAATGAGGTAAAATGAGAAAGCGACGTACCTCAAGGTGATACCGTCAACACCAGCTTTTACAGCCATTATCGCATCTTCCACAGATTGAACACCCTTCAAGATTACCTGCCCTTTCCAAATCTTTCTCAACCATTGCAGGTCATTCCAGTCCAGTTGATCATCGATATACGTACCCATTATCCTAGTCAATCCGCTTCCACGATTATCATTAGCACTCTGCGTCCCAGTCATAGGTGTCTTGATCATCGCACTAGTCTTGACCTTCTCATCTGCTTCTCTTTTTCCCGGGACAGGTGCATCTACAGTCAAGAATAAGACACGTATCCCTGCATCCCAGACTCTTTTGAGCAGAGCCTCGGTTGCTGTGCGGCTTTTGTTGACGTACAATTGGAAAAAGAACGGAGTTCCAGGCGGTGCTGTGTTGACAATGTCTTCTAGTTGGTATGATGCATTGATACAGATCTGTACACGGAGGGTTAGATGTGACAAAATTAAATTCAATTTCCTCAGGAAGCGCAATTTACGTACACACTGCACAACTCCATTATCTGCACACGCTTTTGAGATGGCCAGTTCTCCATCGTCATGGGCCAGCCGTGCCATCGCAGCTGGAGCTACATAAAACGGCACAGACGTCCTGACTCCTTGAATTTGTCGCTCTGTGACTACATTTCTCACATTTCTCAGGATTCGTGGACGGAACCAGATCCTACCCCATAATGACTGATTTGCTCGCTCTGAGACTAAATCTGTAGCCGCCGAAGAATAGTAAGCCCATGCTTTTTCCGAGAGGTGTTGTCTGGCAATTTCTTCAAGATCGTGTGTGCTCAGGATACTGGAGAGTGGGGGTAATGACTTCTCGGCTGTCAAATTGTCGTTCATAGACTCATTTTTGACATCCTGGGGTGTTGGAGGTATTACTCCTTCGATGACCGTGCCTTTGAAACATGTTGCTGGCAGGGTTCGTTCAAGGAGTTTGGCGTCGTGCACTTGATTATACGTAAAGGACGCGTCTTTTCCGGCATGACAGAATATGACTTAAGACATTCGTTAGCTATACGAATTTTATTATAAAGTTACTTGGATATTACCATCTGCTCCCCCAGGGTGACTGTAAAGATAATTTGATACGTCCCACACTTTTCCGTTGATTATGACCCAGCAATCGGTACTATCTGAATGATAAGCAATATCCTCTTTCTTGAGAACTTTTCCATAGTCCATTTTGAGCTCGATACTTTCTTCAGAAGAGTTTGTTGCTGTGAGTCGAATAGAACCAGGTTAATGGTGATCATGCATGACGGTCACGCAAAAAAAATCCTTGTAAGTAGGTAATTTTTCTGCAATGTCAGAACTTACCAAGTCCTTTACTAAGGCTGGGGTATTGTTACTGTGCATATGCTAAGACCTTCTCACCTAGACCCGCCTAGTTTCGGGGAATAAAAATTAGACCTATGCAGCGATCGTCAGTGGGGTGTTGTGCCGACGATAACGATCAGTTGCCGAGCTCATTTGGAAGGCTTGTATTAGATTTCAACCGAACGGACGCGCCTTCTTTATGGTTGGTACATCAAAATACGAATCTACATGTACCAAGAACTTACATACTAAATTTCCGACAATTTTTAACTATGGCAAAAACTCTTAGCCCCAACGACCGACTCGTCTTATCCCGCGTTTTTGAATCACATCCCGCGGGATCCTTGTCCAAGTCCCTCGTTGATCCCGAGCTACCAACAGCGACTAGAACCAATCTTTCTCCCACTGTCCTCGAAAAATTGCAGTCTCATGAACATTCTATCATTACTACATGTGGCGGCTCATTCGTTTCCGAGGAGTCACTCAAGCAAGCCATTGATCAATTGACCGTTCTGATTCGTTCGCATCCAACATATTCCAGTGCATACAATAATCGCGCTCAGGTATTACGTCTGTTATACGGAAATAACCTGTACAGCGAGGAGGTAAAGACCACCACGCTATGGAGCGACCTCTGCACTGCTATCAGACTAGAATTACCCGAACAACCAAATAAAAAGGTTTGTGACTTCCAAGCGAGGGTTTTGAGATCTGGCTTTGCGCAAAGGGGTTACATGACGTGGAAAGCAGCAAAACGTGCGAAGAATGGATCAGAAAATGCGAGCTACCTACCAGAAGAATTGAAAGTGTTGACACAAAGTGAGATGGAAGAAAGAGCGAGGGCCGATTTCGAGCTGGCTGGTAGATATGGTGACCAGGAAGCTATGAAGATGGCCGTGAGTGCGAATCCATACGCAAGGTTATGTGGAAATATTGTTCAAGAGGCTATGAAAGTGGAAATTGAGAAGATGAGGGGGGCTACAGAGTGGGTTACGAAGGAGAAAGCTCATTGAATTTCTAGTGATAGAAAAACAGAACTCGGCACTGCAATTGGTCTTCTCATCTTTGATCTAATATTAAGACATTCATATCATAGATTTCCCCGTTTAGCTTGTTCTCTTTCAACAGCTTCAAACAAAGCCTTGAAGTTTCCAGCACCAAAGCCATCAAAGTTGTTCCTCTGGATAATCTCTAAAAATACCGTCGGTCTGTCCAGTAAAGGCTTGGTAAATATTTGAAGCAGGTATCCCCCTTCATCAAAATCAACAAGGATGCTTAACCTTCGAAGAATCTCCATATCTTCTTTGACCTTCATACCAGAACTCTCCAATCGAGCCGAAAGGTCTTCGTAATATGTTGCTGGAACACTGATAAATTGAACACCGCGCTCTTTCATATTCGTCACAGTCTGCACAATATCTGTTGTGTGGAAAGCGATGTGCTGGACACCGGCCCCGTTATAAAATTGTACGAATTCTTCGATTTGTGACTTCTTCTTGCCAACGGCTGGTTCGTTCATTGGCATCTTTATCTTTTCGCTGCCCGGAGAAGCCATGACAATCGAGTTCATAGTAGAGTATTCAGTGGTGAGAGATCTGTCGTCGACAGTCCAGAAACGGCGGAAACCGAGGCATTCTTCATAACTAGACTTTTCTTAGTGATCAGACAGACAAAAGGGGAAAGTATAATCTTACAAATTACAGGCAGATTCCAGATCGTCCCAGTCGTGGTTCCCAACACAATGGTCAATTTCGTCCACATAAATGGAAGGGAGATATCGTTGAATGGGGTCGGACTCGTTTACTGCATGATACCCTGGTAGGAATGCTCCAACATAGTTTCGACGGTCTATGAAGGTATGAGTAGTATCCCCAAACGTCTTGATTGTTGCCGTAACTATGAACCCATCTTCTCCACCTTTGATTGTTGTCGGTTCTTGAACACTAATAGCACCAGAGGCTACCGCATTCGAGAACAGTGCTTGAACATCGTCGACTTCAAAAGCAACGTCTTTGACAGCATCGCCGTGTTTTTCCAGGTGCTCGTATATCTCTTTGACAAGTTGTCGGTCCTCGGATGACGCGCTCTCCTCAAGAGCAGAATAGCTCTGAGTAGCAGATGTAAGAACGAATCTCACGTTGTTGTTGGCGACCACATATGAAGTGGTACAACGAGAACCCGTTTCCAATCCCTGATAGGCAACCACCTCAAACCCCATGCGGGTGACATACCAGGATGCGGCTTGTTTGGCATTTCCGACGTACCATCTTGTATGATCGTATCCTCTATATTTATCTAGACTCGAGGAATCACCGTTGAGTGTGTGCAATATATCCCGGTGGGGTGAATCAATACTAGGGGTCATGTTTATTAATTTCGTAAAGTAGTTTTAACCACTTTGCACGTGCGTACCGATTTTTTTTGGTGAAAGAACGCCCTACATTGGAAGCAAATAGAGATTTAGCATTCACCTCAGAAGCCAGATAAGTTATATATGGCTATGCAGCCATTTTTTACCCTGGTATTCTATGGGAGATTGATTCTGGAATCTAGTAGTTCGGTAGCATCCCACCTTGTGAAATCTACCTACTTTCCAAGTACCAGTGACGGTTGGCCATTCACGCATACCCCCTCGATCCGAATGGACAATCAAATCCACTCGGCAATAAGGGTGGCGCTCTTGAACGGGCGAGAAAGTCAAATGGTGCTGTGGATACTCTGAAAATTATCCTGTGCAGATCAGAGCATAAAGTCGGATCCAACCGTTTGTAAAGAATCTTACAGTAGCAGTCTCGGGGAAGATCGGGTTTGGAAGGACATGCAACATAAGTAGTATGACCCAGCAGAAGTCAGACAATAGGTGTAACACTCATTCCATGTTTGCAAATGTTAATTGGAGACTTACGCGTAATTGGTGATAGTAAGAGCCATTGGCAGAAACACTTGGTGATGTTATCAGAGCCTATTCAAGGTTGGGATTATGAGTATATGTACGAGTATTAAGCATAGCCCCCACGCCCAAGTATTGGTGAGAGACACCTCGGATTCGTCACAGGCTGCCAATTATCTATGACTATCAGTTAGTTTTGATTTGCCCTAATGCGAAGTCTATTAGGTACATGGATGGTGCTGGCTAATCAGATGGTGTATTATCTTCAGGACGTTGGTTATATGTACAGGTCCATGACCCTGTAACTACGAGCTTCGGCATATATACTAAGGATAGACATCCGACACGGTTTCTCTGACGAGTCTGCAACGCTAGTAGACGTTCTTTATCTCGGCACGCATAAATGATCCGTGGTTTAATTGAGAACAATAATAAACGAATAGCTAGTCTTGATTTTGGCGAGGTTGTGTATTGAGTGATAGGCCCATAGGCGAGCCGTTGAACGACGCATACCAAGTGTAGAGAAATAAGGTTTAAACTCCTTATCAATGCATTTATCACCCGGATAAAAATGATCTTAAAAGTCCATCAACCAATTCAACGGGTTCTTGCTACGACATACCCAATTTTGATAGTGCGTCTTAATAAGTGCATGAAGATTCTCGGTATCCCAGTGCCAAGCGCCTGGGTCTCTTTTATTATCTTTTATGAAGAAAGAGTAACAGGATCCTTGTGATTTGGAGCGGTATAAAATTACATGACACACCTCAATTATTTTCGGGCGACTTGCCTCAGTCGGACCTTGTCGATCCCATCATCATTAGGGCATGTGTGGGCAACTTCATGTAACATTAAGCATATGATATTAAGTGAGCATATAGGCGAAAAGTGACTATAGACCCACGAATCCTATAATCCGATTATAATAAGTCTTGACGAGACCTTGCACGGAATACTTATCGAAGAGTATATGAATTGAGGACGTATTTAGATGAGGATCATGCTAACTATTACTCGCTATAAGAAACAGACTGTATTTAGCGGTAATGCTAGTATCATGATCTAGAATGAACTATGGATATGCTCGTGCTTACTGCTCACGCTGTCCGGGGTTGTTAATTCACGTCGCTTAATACAATCAGTGGCAATTTCGATTTATGCTCTTCATTGTCATGAGATTGAGTACGATGCCTTACCACGTCGCTCCAATGACGGCACATTCCACTGATCCGTTAACTCGAACTCTGGGCCTTTGTATAGATAATTTGACGACTGCTCACTGACTGGGATGTTTTGATAGTCAAGGAATGAAACTTGCCGGTGCAAGGATTCTCATCCTGACGAAATATTGACCGAATATGTAACTCGCTAATTTAAACCATGTCGAAATCTTGGAACCTGCCTCTCATCCTTCTATCGCAACGTGAGCTAGCTTAGCCGAGATAGCCATTTCAGGTGAAGAATTAGTTAATTGAAAGTCGACAAACATGAAAAGTCTGTGTTGTGGAAAATCCCTAGTCCAAGCAATATCCCGTTATAAACCGCGGGGCCTTTGAGTTCAACAAAACAAACGCCACGAGCTACATTTCCATCGATACGGCTTTTTCAACTGAACCCTGAGCACGGTGGATCTTAGGAACCGGACAATAGAACGTTCGACAATCGTTGCTGCTTAGAGAACAAGCCTCACGCCGATCGATATGACATCTGGCTGAGTGGCGTGTAAGAACCTATCATCCACGTCAATGGCGCGAACAGCTTTGCATTAGTACGAATCCTTCCTTCCAGATTCTACCAATCAGTCAAACCTGACTATAATCTTACACTGGCACATCAACGGTCCAAGTTCGAAAGTGATGGTCTAGATGCAATAACCTGATAAGCTAGAAATAGAAAAATACCCTCCCTGGTCGGCAGTTTGCAAATCAAGGTACAAGGGTCAAAGTGCCATTCCAATGACCTATGACAATGGTAGTCATGATTACCTAGTGGGTCTTGGTGGGACCAGGCGGGGACTGCGGCCCGCGCATAACCTTGAGCCAAAAAGGCAATACTCCGTACAATGTCTGTATTTACATTGTATTTACGGCAAACGTTACGACTTCGTGTATAGATACTAGTGTTGTATTCTAATAGCTGTTTCCAACATCAAGTAGCTGGAGTATATTTCCTTGTGATGTACGATTGCGTTCCAACCCGTCTTATCACAAGAGGTACGGCATTCATTGCATTCCCCTATCTTGAAACGTCCAATTATCCCTCCGTTCTGAAACAACTACGAAGATTTTTGGCGGCTAAGTAGTGAACACTTACCATTTTCTTCGTAAATGCTGCGAAGCTGATGTCGATCCAGGGGTCGTCCACACGATGCGACTATATGACGATTTTCGGCTTGTTACATGCCAATTCTTCGTATTCGGTCATTGGTGCGACATCTAACTGGCTGCTTTAGACTTTCGGAAACTTATTACTCCCATACAAAGCGCGGCTCCAATATAAAGAAAGCCCGTAAAGATTTGGGTGGGGAGATAGATCCTGCTGCCGTCCTTTTCTCGCAGGCCGAGGGCTATCAGTTCGGCGACTATCACGTAGTCAATACTTGCTCGTACTTCTAGAGGGTTGTGTAAACCGAAATAGTAAAGAAGAACACTTACATGTGCCAGGTATGGTCAGCAAGAGCCAGAGTGTAGAAAGTATTGACGGCAGGTGTTTTATACCAAATATTTCGGCAGAAACTGGTGCAGTCGCCTTTTAAAAAAAATTAGCGTCTCTCTAATCTCTTCCCCAGAAGCAAGGCCAAGTGAAAATTGACTTACCGCCCAATTGTTCCCGACGAACAAACCAGACATCATAGCAAAGAATATTAAAACACCATAATTTCTAGCAAATATCCATATGAAGAAACAGCAAAGCCCGCAGGCTGTGCTTGCGAGAGCAGTGACTCTGTATCGTCCCAAGTGGTCGCTCAGATAGCCCATTACAGGCCGTCCGATGGCCTGGGCGACATTTAACAGCGCGCCAACAATTGAGCCCTGCTGTTGCGAAAGACCGATGCTCACGGCGTAGGAGGGCAAAGAGAATGACAATATCACGTATCCTATAATACTCAAAACGGACCAAGAAGCGAGTGCTAAGAAGTTGATGTTCGTAAATAGCTTATAATCAAATGTCTTCTGTACTGCCCCTATTTGTCGATTGCGATCCTTGATAAAGGATGCACAAGTGACGTTTGTCGTGAAAGCCACAATTGCAAGAATTCTGTATGCCCAGGGCAAGGAGATGTTCCGAATCATTGAATTGACCGAAAGGTTGTACACAAAACCGCCGGTGCCGGCTCCAGCGGATGCTAGACCCGCCGCCAGTGAACGCCTCTTGGTAAACCACTGTGGGACCACGCCAATAGTCCCCAGAAATAGGAAGCCCATTCCCCAGCCAGAACATAAGCCTTGGCTCAGAAACAGCTGCCATATTGAGTTTGAGAAGGAAGCCCCAACAAGTGCAAGGGCTTCCAAGCATGCGCCAATGTACAAGCTAGTTCGTGTGCCGTACGAACGGGTAGTATAGGTTACCAAAGGAGAAATGAGCAATGCCTGTGATATTGACAGACCGCTTACCAGGGCGTAATCAATATATGTGGAGCCCGGAAATGTGTTCGACGTGAGATAATAAGAAAGAAATACGCCATATGACTGTCTCAGTAGTTCAACGGCTACTCATTACCAGATATGATTAGAAGGCTTACCCCGTTGATGCCAAAAGTGTGCATATTGATTAGAAAAACGCAGACAACACAAAACCAGCTATAAGTTCCGTCTTGGGAAGGATCTACCTCGACATTTGTCTCAGGTATCGCCATATCGGTTCTCACCACGGGACTCGCATTGGTAGTAACTTCCCGCGTCTCAAGGAACTTTTCCATTTCGAATACCAAACCAAGTTGACTACTTGCTTAAAGCAGCATGCGAAACCAATTTTTGCTGTATCAGGTGATCTTTTCAGCAATCACGGCTATGAATTCAAGACGATGTGGTCAGATAAGTGTAAGTGAATTGATGGACAGTGGTCTACTTAAACTCGACCAGTTCGAAATAGCTTTGTCGGACATGTGAAAACGTTATTGAATTTAAGTGGTTTACTAGCTATTTCCCTCCCTGCAATCTATACTAGTTATACTAGTAGAAGATAGATAGGCAGCTGAGATACCTACCGCGTACAGAGAATTTACGTACTAATGTACGCAAAATTCTTAGTCCGTCATTAAATTGGCGAGACCCTCAATTCATCGACTGACTCGGCAAATGAGTTGAAAGCGTGTTGCACGATCTGGATCTGGCTAGGTTTATTCATGCCGTCTTAACGCTTCTGTTGATCCTACTACATGGGTCGCAATCGTGGTACTTATTTGCTGATATTATTTATTCCCTCTTCTGTATGAATTCTTACCCCCCCCTTTCCAGAACCGCCCCAAAACTGTTAGCCTAGCGGGTTTTGACTCTGCAGATGCCAGGGTAGGTTGACTGGTTCCCTATTGTCAGCCACGCTACGCATGCCATGACCAATGGCTTTAGGCTTTTTGGTAGAACTTTAAACTCCATCATGCCTTCCATTTTTATCCTTCCCAAAGTTGAGATGCATATCCATCTAACGAGGTGGTGAGCATATTGACAAAATGAGCGTCAACCTCAACGATAACGATCAAGCTCGAATCTTAGGTTCAACAATTGCCGTATCTGCATTGGCAGATATTGCAGTCGTACTCCGATTCGTTTCTAGAAAGCTCAAGGGCAACTATGCTATTGACGACTTCTTAGCAGTCGTAGGCCTGGTAAGTTTTAGACAGTCTTGCCATTCTCGCTTTATGTATGCAACTCACGCTGCGTTAGATTTTCTCGTGGGGATGTCTTGGTTTGGGTATATTCAGTAAGTTTTTAACAATGTTCCGCGATTCTTCAAAAACCATCTTTGAACTGATGGGTGCAAAAAGTGGTCGATAATGGCGTTGGAAAACATGTACAGCTTACGACGCCTGTAGAACAAGTTAATTTCTTCAAGGTTCGTAAGGTCTAAAAGACTTATTTTGACTCGCCAACTAATCCAATCCACCAGGCTCTGATGGCTTATGAAATTATTTACTTTGTCAGTCTCGCGGCGACGAAGATGTCTATCCTACTCTTTTACACACGATTATTCCCAACACGAGAGTTCAAACTTGCTGCAAAAATCATTACATTTATAGTCTCAGCCTGGCTTATTGCGACAATCCTTGTTTCCGTCTTCTCCTGCAACCCAGTACGAGCTTTTTGGACACATGAGGCCGGATCCAAGTGCATCAACTCGGAGCATTTCTACATTGCCAATGCGGTACCCAACATCATCACGGATGCCTTTATCTTGATTCTTCCGCTTCGCATGGTTTGGGGATTGCACACTTCAAAGTGGGAGAGGGTCGCTCTTACTTTCATCTTTATGCTTGGTAGCTTGTATGTCGACCATCGGACTCTTTTATGGCATCGTCGCTAAATCCCTGTGACTCATATCGGATGATCTGCTAACTTTTTGCGTCTGTTCCAGCGTTATTATAGCCAGCATCATTCGATTGTCACAACTTCACGAAGTTTCCAACCCCGATTTCACCTGTGAGTAATCTTACACAAAGAATACCGAACTATCATCAATTCAAATGCCGATACACAAGAGAGAAGTTCATGTGTTCTAACGTCTTAATTTCAGGGGGTTTTAACAATACCGTTATATGGTCGTCTGTCGAGCCTTCAGTTGCCGTCATCAGTGCCTGTCTACCAACTATGCGTCCTGTAGTAGAATTTATTCTACCTCGATCATGGCGCACTCGGAGCTTCAAGTCCTCATCCCACGTACACAGTTTCTCCCAGGATACTTCAAAGTACATGGGCAAACCTTCAAAAGTTCCGGATAGCGACCACCATACTATCGATTCAGAAGACCGAAGACTTAACGGTTACTGGGCTCAATCATACGGTCAAGAAGTACCGCTAAACCCTGTTACAAAATCTGGTAGACCACCATTCAGTGATTACTCAAAGGATGCATCACCTGGATCTCGTGAGATTCACGTCGAAACTGATATCAATGTCTCAGCATCATCCATTGTGTAATACCAGAATGATGTCACTTTTCGCGCATACTTGTGCCACTGTACACAACATACATGTATTTCAGAAAATTTTGTTCAATATTATCACGTCGGTGTTATGCTTGTTCCATGGATGGATAGAGGTTTGAAGCACACGGTTCTACTTTCGTTTCCTGTCATTTTTTATGTAAGTCTTATCGGTGGATATGCCCCCGATTCATTGAATCAAACAATAATTCAAAAAGTCTGAAAAATTAGTTCATTTGTCATGACATGCTGTTCGGCTTTCTTAACCATGAATACGTTTCCTGTGAATATTACAAGATAACAAAATTGGTGAAAGTCTTTGGCTATCATAAATTGGCCGTTGGCTTCTATTTGAGCTCACCCAACTATTCTATTCCTGCCATATAAACTCGATAACAGCGAGATCGGATTTCTCTGGCTGTATAACATCTACAAATTGAAACCTCTCATCTGCGCGCTTGAATAGGTCTATCCATTCACCCTTGTCCCTTTCTTGGGCGTTTTGCATCGTCATCATAGCAATATCCATAGCACTATGATAATTGTCAGCAACTTATTCAATTTGATGGGTCTTTAGAGAAGATGAAGAAAACATTAATGGAAGAACTAACCGCAACTTTCTTTCCTTCCTGACCGCGATAGTGTTCGGCTCGGGCAAGCATATCTCACTAACAACTACCCTTGAACCTTGCCTCAAGGCAGGTACCAAGTTCTTCAATATGCGTATGCAGTGCTTGTCTGGCCAATTGTGAAAAATCCATCGAAACAAGTAGGCGTCTGCACCCACGATTGGCTGGGGCGTAAAGAAGTCGTGCTCCATGAACGATACACTTTTATCAAATTCTGGAGCTAGGGGCCGGCGAGCAGCGATAGTGGGTGGTAAATCCTGAACAATGAACCGGAGTGAGGGAAATTTTTCAGCAATAGCAACCATTGCTTTTCCGTGAGAACCGCCAATGTCTACAACGGTTCCTCCCGCTGGAAGAGATGACCAAGGTCCATGATTAACTAGAAAATCTAGTTTCAAGGCCGGACCTGTAAGACGGAATGCCATTGCATTGGAGAAGCGTTGAGCTCTGGCTGGGTCTTTCCCCATGATTTGATACATCGTATCGGTTGTATTGTTTGCCAGCGAGAATCCCTATATAGAATATATATATATAAGCACAATAACAAGTTTGAGCGGGCCATCCTCTCCGACTTACTGTTTGAGATGGATCGTCGGAGTTCGGCCATTTCAACATCGCTGGGATTGTCTGTTGCTTTTGTGGTTATCATTCTTGATTCTCCATCTCAAATCAAGGGATATACGAACATTCAACTCTGCCGGACACATTTCCTCGCATCTCATGCCAACATAATCACGAAACTTTTCATCTTCAACTAAAGCTTTAGATGTTGCAGTGTGAACAACAACTCCTTTGCGAACTTCCTTGAAGATTCTATTCGTCATTGCAAGACGCATGATACGGCGAACTATGGCCTCGCTGCAGTTGCAGCTGCTAGCTATCTGCGCAAATGTTGCCTCTTCTCCGACGGGGAAGGCATTTGGAATTTTGTATTGATAAAGAGCTCGCATGCAGACGAAGTAATTGTACTAGAGAATAATGAGATCTCTGCAATATAAAATGCATACAAACAGATATTTGAGCAAACTATTGCAGAGATTCCTGACCTGATATTCAACAAATGTTTCCTTCGGACCCAGGAGGAGCTCGCTCAGCTCCAGATTAGCCTCAAGAACGGCATCTCTAATCGCACCTATTTCTTCTGGGAAGCTGTTGATGAATGGTGAATCAATATCAAAAGACGGCCCTGAGAGGCCATTTGACTTTAAATACGAATCAATCTTTGCAACATTTTGGGAGATCGATGTCGCCAACTCAACGATTCTGTTGGTATCCATTTTTGATATTTGTCCTTTTACTATTTCTTTTTTCTCGATGCGTAACCTGTCTCCAAATTCTTATCTTTGTTTGCTGATTATGAGGTACGAGGCATTGAGATTTTAGTATGGCAGGATTTACTTATGCATCAAGCACGAGCCAGCAGATCTGGGGGTACCACGTATCCGGAAACTGTATGAGTAGTGAGAATTTTAGCACAGCCAAAGAAAAGCATTGGCTGACGAGACTGAAAAGGGTAGCTACCACGGAGTACGGAGTAGATAGGAAACGGAGTATGCCGCTATAGTCACAAGACATTTGAGGTATGTGGGCTGCGAAACCGTGGAGCTTTCGGTTTGCTAGGGAGGGCAGTCAGTTGTCTTCCTCGGTTTGGGAGGCGTGCTACAAATTTGAACGTCTAATTGGGTGGTTTATCACTATCAATTGAGATTCCTGATACCAACTAATGCTCAGAGAGTCTTTCGTTCCTGATGTGGGTATCGAAAAGTAGGTATCGCCATAACAGACTCACCGAGACATAGGCCCAGACCAATCCACTTTACTTCAGAGAACTGAAGCACCACTGCGTATCATCGTGCGTATAAGCACTAGCGAGGTGCCTGAAAGCATAATGGGACAGCGGTTTCTAAGCTGTCTGATCGGCGAATATACCCGTTACATTGCATTAACTTACCTGTATATTCGTCGTCTAGCAGGGATTGAATCCTTTCATTATTTGATTACTTGATTGGTCCTCTACCTACTATGTATTTTGCTCGCTACTGGTACCTATGGTATGGCGAAGCCAATAAGTTACAGTCTAGTAATCTACGTACACCCAGGTATCATTAATACATTTCATTACGTGTGCATACACTAGTGCACCTCGTTACAAACAATTCCCCCTGCTTACGTAGGTGGTAAGAAATGTATTTATCTTAGTGCTTATTTTACTTTCTATCAAACATCAAACATTTAATACAGAGTGTTATTGCAGTTTATTGTGGATAGCGTACCTACCCACCCACCTAAAAACCCTTGTTTCTCACTGCCAATACTAAATAGGGTGCACGCATGAATTTCCGTTTTGAGCTGGTAGCTAAAAAGCGGGCTGCTATCAGTGCTATGGTGTACACGGTCTGCTGGAAGTCAGGTTCGGATATCATCAGTTGCTACATACGGATTGGATCTCATTAGCGAGCTGATAACGCAAGAAGCTGGAAAGATAGCGGCATGTTTCGCAAGTCCACAATGTCCAGGCGAGGGATATCGGTAATCCTATAGATTCAACCCTACGGTACTCTTTCAGGACTAGGTGATATCATCAAAATAAATACGACTCGACTCTTATAAATGCATGCGACATGAATCTAGTGCAATTAGGTTGTTGTAGAAACACGGGTCCTTTGCGCGACTCTTGATTCTGTGAACCATGATGAGTATAACTTCTGGTCATGTCCTTACATAGCTCATTGCCCAATGAATTTGCGCAGACCAGGCCTTAAAGACTGGCTCTTACTTCCAATGCATTCAGTTTCTTTTAAACAATGAGCTATAGATATCATGCTAGCCATGTGTAGACCGCATTGGACGTCCCCCACTTCTATTTGGTCCAATTGTATGTATGACATGTCTACAATACGATTCCAGGACTCATGGTTAACTACGTTCATTGTGTCATCAAATTTTTTGAAAAGAGTAGTCTGATTTTCACTTGACGATGTTAAGGTAAGGTGTTATTCCTTGCTCGTACATGTTCGCGGGCTTTGGCGCGGTGGCTGCGATAGCTGCGATGCGTCTTCGCTAGAGAAAGTGGCCTCCGAGGTTCCGTGATAGACATGATGGGTGAAGATAAACATTATATAAGTTTCCTCCCGACAGATGAAAACCCTAGAGAGATAGTAAAGAGAATAGAGTAGAGTATTGACCGACCATGCTGGGGAACCCAGGTCTCAGCCTCGTCTCTATAGTATAGATAGGAGGGCTACAGTCTACTACTGACAAACGGCCTACGATTTCAAACTTTTTACACCTTCCAATGGAGTACAAATTGGTATCACATTTAGACTCGTCTGTTTTAAGATGGTCGAGGAACTTGATCTATCTTTGGCACATGTGAGATCGTGGTACCTCAAAGGTCAAGGATCTGTTTGAAGAAGAGATTCAGCATCACAGGGAGCACAAGCTTGATGGAGGACATAAGAAAGTCGCTAGTAATACTCATCACCTAGAAGTTGTTTGAAGTATGACTTGTTCTTACCTGCTGGAAACGTCAATGACATGGGGCTAAAGTGTCCATAGAAATCGCTTCGTAGGCACTGGGCCAATACATCAGCTTAAATCAAGGGTATCTGTCTTCTGTCGGGAGTGAAACAGTTTTACAGATTACCGAAGTATCAATGGGCTTGATTTAGAGTGTGAGATCGATCATGACATCATATTCACCAGTTCTCGATGGCATAATCATTAGGTACCTATACTATTCAAAATCGTAGCTATATTCAGGCCGCCTTGCCCGTTGATCCCAGCATGTCCATGCATCGCTCAATAGCCGCCTGCATGGCATTGGTGACCTCCTCATGTAAAGTAGTCAGGGGGACTTTTCCAGCCTTCTCAGCCTGCACTCGCAGGTACTCGGAATTCATAACCTTGTTTATATTAATCTTCGAGACACCATGAGAGATACACTTTTGGAAAATCTCGGTGGTGAAAGGGTCCGCCCCATGAAGAACAAGGCGCACTTTGTCGCCAACAGCCTGGTTGATGGACTCCAAGCGGTCGTACTCCAACTGAACACCACGAGGGCCATATGAACCGTGAACGTTACCGAAAGCAGGTGCCAGCCAGTCAATACCAGTAGCGACAAACTCATGGCTTTCTTCGGGGGTGGTTAATAAACCAGTCAGGTCAGCGGTGTCTGCCACTCCGTCCTCTCCACCTTCAATTCGACCGGGTTCTGCCTCAGTTGCGATTCCGCGCTCGTGGCAATAAGTGACCAACTCGCGCGTCTTTGCCAGATTCTCCTCTTTTTCGTAATGGCTCATGTCAACCATGATACTATCGAAGCCACCGAGGTCGGCCGCATAACGAATGATCTCCGGCGATTGGGCATGGTCCATGTGCACTGTGACGGGCACCTTAGCTTTTTTGGCGGCTTCGGCGGCGGCGTGAACGAGCAGGCCATCTGCGTATTGTACTGCCCAGGGGAAGAGCAGGATCATAGCTGGTGACTTTTTGGCCTCGGCTGCACGCACGGTGGCTAGAATGCCTTCGATATTGTAGCAGCACATTCCGGGGACGCCATATTTACCGGCGAGGGCATTGTCGAGGATTTCAAGGGCTCGGTTGCCTTTCAGGTTGGGGTGAGGCATTTTGAATTATGATTTTCGTTCTTGTTTGAATGCGGGATCTGGGCGTGAAGTTAGCAACGGCGGTTGCCCACTGGAGACAACAAATTACCTGCGAGCCAATGATGGTGTCAACAGCCCAACTGTCAATACAATACTATCTCTCGAATGTAATCAATGAATAAGGAATAAGATTGCTTATATGCTCAAAACAGCCGATTCAACCGGGTGATTGTCGGCTGTTGGCCGACGCTCTTCCACGGAGATCGGACCAAGTCCGATGGGGCGCCGGATGTCATAGGATGGCGGGGAGGTGGGGTGATGGAGGGATCGGACACTTCTGCGGTGTCTTAGCCCTAATTCATGGTAGACGGTCCGGTTCCTGGAATTACATTCGATTTCATTGGGTGTGCTAGGTACTTCATGGGTTAGCTTCAAGTATTCACAGTATGTTTAAAGGATATCTGTCCCTTTCCCAGATTCTCTTATACCCGAGGTCTTATCATGGTATGCTGTGAATGTCCTAGAGGGAAGAATGAAAAAGGATAATCATCTCAAGCAATTACAGCGCTAATTCATGGTTCTTGAATCGTTCAACTAATTATCTAGCTCTCCCACACCCTGATAATGCTCGTCGCGGCCTCAGACCCCCAGCCACGTCGTTGCGCTACCAAATACTGAGTCAGCGCCTCAGTGGCCAGATGCAATGGCGTAAACAAATCTCTCGCTTCCTGTACAATAGCACTGAGCTCTTTGATAATACCATCAATACTCAGAGTCCCCTGCGATGAGTTTCCCGTCGGTATCCCCTCACCCATTGTCACGCCGAGCGTGTTGAACATTTTGCTCCCTCCGGCGGCGTTGATGACCAGGTCATAGAACTGTTTCATGTCGACATTCAAGTACCGTGCAAATGCGACGGCTTCTGCTGCTGCGACGATGTTGGTGTATTGCATGCACTTGATGACCATTTGGAGTCTGCGCGCTGTTTCCTCGGGCGAAAGGGTGCATTTCACGCTGGCTATCGACTCAGGGGTGTACATGCGGACGAGGGATGAATCGTCCTTGGGGCCATAACCATGGACGAGACTGGTGAGGTAGAGCTGTTCTGCTGATGAGGCAAGAGGTGTAGGGAACTTGTGTAATCGTGCGGTTGATGTGATGATACCCTTATCCAAGTCAGCTACGTTTCAATGGAAGCTTACAGGTGGGCTGAACATACCACGTCTTTGAGAATGATCGTCATGGCACTCGCACCTGGATTCCAATCCTCTTCCAGCATCCTCTGAATACGATTTTCATGCATCCAGGTCCACGCATCCGACTTTATAATCGCATCCGCGACAACACGAGCATCTAACCCCAATCGTGCCGCAAGACCCATCGACTCACTCACGCCCGCAATGTGAATCGCCGCAAGAACCTGATGCACCATTTTCATATTACTACCCGCTCCAATACCGCCAGGCACCAAATACAATTTCTTTGCGTCGGACATTTCTTGAAGTAAGAATTTCCCCTTTTCGAGAGCGGCGTCGCTGCCACCGGCCATTATGGAGAGCGTTCCATCAGCTGCACGACCAGCGCCGCCGGAAACGGGACTATCGATAAACAAAATATCGTCTCGTCCGCGAGCTTTGAGCTCTTTTTCGACGGATTGGGCGTATGCCGAGGGGACGGTGGAACAGAGCAGGAATGTCGCGCCTTGGGGGAGTACTATTACTCTTTTGTTAGTTTTACGCAATATACATGTAGAAAGGGATGAATCAATAGGCATTAAGATGATGGAATGAGCATACCATCAAGGATCCCTGTCTCCGGATTAAACAATACATCCTGCACTTGGGGCGCTGATGCTACCATGCAGATATAAAACTGTTTCCCCTCTGCCGAGTCTCTCAGAGATGTCGCTGGGATTCCACCGGCGACCTTGAATCGCTCAACAGATGCAGGAAAGACGTCATATCCTTTGACGGAGTATCCCTGCTTGACGAGGTTGGTGGCCATGCCGAAGCCCATGGCTCCGAGGCCGACGAAGCCTATCTCTGGTTTGGTAGAAGTCATGATTATATATTAGGCACAATGTAAATTCATATATGATTTATTGCAGTAATTTTGAAGAATATCGGGATGTACACCATCATGAATATTTATAAAGCTGACGGTTGTTATTCACGTTGATCGTTGACCTCGGGGCTTTTTCTTCCCCGCGCTGCTCCACGGAGCAAGTCCGAGGAGTGGTGGAACTCCACTACAATGACCTAATAATCTTTGCCGGTAAACAGGCTAAACAGACAGCATTCAGGTCCTCGCATCAAAGTCCGAAAGATATGTATGCGAGAGTCAGGAACCGGTAAGCCTTCGATCAGAGCCGGTGATTGTCGGCTGATGTGAATTGTTGGTGTAAGCGACCGATTGGCCAAAGAGAAAGCCAAATAATATGGATAATCAGAAGCCGAGTGGACTTAAGGTAACTTGGCAAATACTGCTGTTCATTTTCTTATCTATCTAGTTAAATTTACTCTATCGATTTAACAACAGATGTCTACTACCGTCATTTGCCATCCAGCACAAAACATCTATGAACTTTCTAAATCACTCCGACGCTACCTTGGCAGCATCGTAATACACGTCAAGCAAACATCCAGCAGACCAAGCCTGAGTAGGAGACTACATACCGTCAGTTCAAGAACAAGGTACAAATCAAAAATTTCATGGGAAAAAGGAGAACATACCGAATCTGCGCAATAAGCTCCATCCTTATTCGTCAACTCCGTCAACCCCTTCCACGGACTTTCCTTGAGAGCAACTTTGCACCCCTTGAGCCGTCTTGTAACCTGCTGGAAAGTCTCTGTACGCTCATGCGCTGTCTTCCGTCGTAGAAGATCGAAATGCAACAGTGCCCGTAAGAAGAACCCGCGAGGCCATAGCCATTCCGGTCCTTGGTGGTAATTTCTTCCCTTTGAGGTTGCAAAATCAGTCGAGTCTTCGGAATTGTTGTAGTTAGGTCGATAATTAAAATCAGATGGATCAAGTGTGGCAACGCCGGTGGGCCCTAGAAGGACGGAGTCGGCGACTGAGAGACATTGTAGTGCGTGTTCTGGGTTGAATAGTTCGGGGGCAACGGTCATGGCGATCGGAAAATTGGCACGGAGTTGGTAGTCTTCATAGGGTTTACCAGACTTGTATAGATCCTTGTAGATGCCTCGTCTGTTCACGAGAGAGGAGTCAACGTCATACTTGTTGTCGTCCGTGCTGTTTACCGGAATGTAGTAGCATCGCTCAAAGTTGGATCTGATTTTTGACGCCCATTCAGCGAATGTAATAGACTTCTCGTCGGCGGCTGAGACTCCCTCATGTTCGTATTGTCCGTTTGTGCGAAGTTCCTCGACCCATTTCAATGCACTATAGCACAAACCAGTAATCTCAATGGCGGCACCGTCTCGCGGTGTTCCTGGGATTCCTTTGCTTCCTGCCTTTTCACTTTCGCCCATTTTATCCATCCATGTACCGCAATTGAATTGACTACCGCCGAATATAATCCCGGTGTCCCAATCTACGTTGACGTCGATCTGGAACCCTTCTGGTTTCATTTGAACATCTAGCGCAGGTCCGGCGTTGTACTCTTTGAAGCTAAGGCCCGATGCATGACGTTGGAAGACTTCTTGGATAACTTCGCGAATTGTGGATGTTTTAGAGTATGCACGTGGATCGTCATATGGGAACCAGGTATCATCATAAGGCAGAAATCGTCGAGGAACCTTTGCATCCAAAATCTTGATTCCATCAGGTACCATCTTCGTGTAATCCTGGATAGCCTGCAAAAAAAACCAAACCGAGTCTCGAGAGTTGTATCGTGGTAGCTTACCACTACTCAACAGATTAGGAATCATGCCGTGTTTGAGAACGCTTGCAAAACCAATGATGTGTTCTTTGGCCTCGTCAAAACGGCCAGTACAAAGGAGCAAACCGCGGAGGGAGATGAATACATCACGACCCCAGCATCGTGCCCAGTCCACAGCAAAATGTGGAAGACCGGCAGCAAGACTTGGCACGCTCTTACTTGGCCATAAGGATGCCGATTTGACGTAGCCGACTTGCTGGACGCTGACCATGGCTAATTGGTGGATGAATTGCTGGCCATGTTGTACGTTTTTGCTGAACAGCTGAATACCGCGTCTCCATGCAGCCGTGAACGCACTTTGGACAATGATAGCAAAGTATCGTGGCAGGAGAAAGCTAGGCAATGTTCGGACCACATCAAAACGTGTTCGTAGCCAAGCTGCTGGAGCTTCGAGATTGGTATACATTTCTTGCTTGCTTGCTCGCTCTAAACGGCCAACGATGTAATCCAATGCCCACTGTCCCTGACGAAGATGGTCGCACAGTGGGTGTCCCAGCTCGTTATATCTGATAATGTTCTCAAGTACACTCCACCAACCCTGGAGACCAGCATAGACTAGCGGGCCATGCTTCGGGATACTGTATACCCCATCTTGTCCATTGCTAGAATCCCGTTCTTCAGCTTCGCATTTATAGAGGAAAAAGTTGAGATCGATGAGATTGAGTTTTGAGAAAGCCTGGTCAGCGCCGCTGGTGATGTAGTGATCGAAACCATCTGCATGTTCGGCGCTTGGGGTCCAGGTCTCGAACAGGGCAATTGAACCAGGGACCAGATACTCAGTAACAGTCACATCCGCGTCGTCTCCATTGATGCTGACCGTGGCACCTTCGACGCCGATCACCTTACTAGGTAGACCTCGTAGAGAGCTCTGGTCTTCCAAAACATTCTTCCGAGATTCGTCGCTAACGTCAACTTCGAGTTTCCAGCTTCCGAGCAGCTTGGCATGAGTTCCAGTGAAGTGAGTTGGTGCTAGAATACCGTTTCCGTTGCCATTCCCAGGGAATGCAGTATGAGCAATCAAGAAGATACCTTTCCGTGTCTTCGGATGCACTCTATGAACTGTGATGTACTCTCCGTCGTGATGGATATATGTTTCATCATACCCTTCCTTGCCCATCTTCGTATGAAGCTCGTTTAGAAGCTTCTTGATTCCACCTATTCCACCCTCGCCGGGTCCTACCTCAAGAGTCGCACTTTCTGAACATTTGGAATTATACAAACGAGTCTCAGAAACAAGATCAATGAGTTTAGGGTATATCTCGTCATAACCCATAACACTGCCAGTAGCAGAAGCACACATTGCAACCAACGCAGCATTTGGCAATGTATCTCTTGCATCTCTTTTCTGAGCTGGAACTTCATTGTCGTGCGTACAGTCCATGAAGAGTGCATGAACAGGACTTTGGCGAATATTTGCGATGGTCTCCTGCTCGTTCGACGCCGGAGAAGATCCTGTGGGTAAATCTAGCTCAAAGCTTCCAATGGGTCGACCTCCGTGTCGGTGAACCAGACGACTCAATTCAGCGGTACTCCATGCTTGCATAGCCTCTCGAATCAATGCGCTTAGACCCAGACGTTTCACAAAAACGTAGTCAGTCTCTTCAGAACCGGTGAAAAGCTCCGCAAAAACAGTAAGGTTAGGTCGAACTTTGCGCGCTTCATCAAGAAGATACTCGGCCACAGGCAAAGGGGTAGAGTGGCAGTTATCTACCCGGAAACCAGAAAAGTACTTGGCCATGAGCCGCGTGTATTTGGCCATATACTCCCAGAGAAAAGGGTTATCCTCAGGGGAAGATCCGTATCTCAGCTTGACACAATCACCCCACACGATGACTTCTCGCCGGAGATATGCTCGCGAATCCGGCCCGGCGTTGTCTTTCATAGCATCGGCATTCCAGATCCAGCCATTGTTGACCAATGCCAAGGACTTGGGATTGTGGCGCTTAGTTGTCTCATTGGCAGGCAGTCGTGTGAAATAGGTCTCAATCAGAGCACTGGATTTGGTCACAGGTCCCAGCTTTGGACCATGGTCATCAATCCTGACGTACTTGATGCGGTTGAGTAATTGATCCAGAATAACTTTGACATCTGCGTCGTACTCTTCATAAAACGGTTGGTTGACCTCGTCGAGAATGTGGCCTATTTCCGATTCCACTGCGGAGCTGTCTGCTGTGTCTTTCGATCCGTACAGGGCAGTAAGCAAGCGTGAAGCTTCCTTCTCATCCACCTGCCTATCAAATCTTCCAAGAATTCGAGAAGCATTCGGAAGGGCGCTTTGACGGATGAAGTCTGCTTTTTGCTTCAAAGTCCACGATTGAGCACCCTCAATGGGTTCCGTCGCTGAGCTGGTCGTCCACTCTTTCAAAATTCGAGCAGCATTCCCCTTTACGTCCACGACGTAGAACTCCCACAACTTGATCGCATCAATTACATGCTTGCGCATTCCCGTTATCACTTTCAACAGATCGTCCACGGTGTGAAACTCCGTCGGCAGGCCGAGTTTCTCCAGGTCATTGCTGTAGTTGAGCAAAGCAGTATCAAGTTCAAGAGCTGCTTCTAACCACGGTGCGGTTTCCACGTTATAACCAGCCTCGGGATGTTCCTCGAGCCATTTGCTGTTGTTTGCAGTGTGGTTCCAGACGACGTCCGTCAAAGCTAATAGACCGTATTCCTTGCTCATTTTCTCCACCAACTCCGCAACATCCTTTTCGCCATTGGGGAACGAATCCGAATCGAATTGCATCTGGTCGTAGATACTGTACGGTGAATTAGACGAGCCGCGTTGCATTAGCGGTGTGAAATGGATCATGTTGTAATTTCGCTGCGATATGCCACGTAGGTGACTATCCCAGTCCGTCGGGTATTTTCCCATGAATTTGGATATGACTGAGAATATAGAAAGGGCATCCAAGGGCAAGTCCGCACCCCGCAGGTACAATGCCGGCGACACATCGACATAGTGAACTTCGCTCTTCTCTTGCTTTTGCGAGGGAAGGGAGGTCGCTGTGAATTCAGGGAGGGGTGAGTAGGTGGTATAGAAAGCAAAGGCGCCCGCCTGGTTTATGGGTACATCAATATGGATATCTTTATTAAAGTCCGGTTGAAGACTGTCACTCGGTGTAAGCTTTACACCAGTAGTTTTTGAGTTTCATGGACTCACGTGAATTGGCGAAATTTTGATCGATCAAATTCTGCGCCCTCCTCTGGTATATTTGTCCATAAGCTCCCCTCTCTGCAAATAGAACTTGTACCTTCGATCACGAAGCGTAGCACATAAGCGGGGGTTGTCGGAGGTGGCAGGTAGATGTACCCGCCAGGAATATCCGGCGCACCGCCGTCTGTCAGCGGCAACAGATAGACCTGCCGTGTACCGCCCATTGTGAATGCGCAATGAATGAGAGATCAAGAAGGAGATGGTGACTATCGGATTGTAATGAGAAACTGCACGGGCGTGTGGGATTGGAAGGGATTTATTTAACGGGCGAGCTCATGGTCGGTCAGCCAGGTCAGGTCCAGAAGCGCCGTAGGACGCTAGGAGAGCGAATTAATGGACCGCGTTACACACAGACTATTCATATCCACAATGACACAGACGGCTTACTCTTACCATCTCACTAGAGCTTGAGTTCTCCGGAGAAGTGGTGGAGCTGGATTGTGAGTGAAGCACTTCCCGGCTTTTTAGCAGGTGTGCCGCGGGGCTAGACCGCCCATGACATCATGCGGCATGGCATGCCTTGGTACCTGAGGCTGCTTTAGCCTCGCGACTTTGGTTGTTCTACTGAGACACAACAGAATATTTCAGACCGCTCATGCAATTGTCGTTAAACTCCGTCTCAGGCTAAGATACATCATCATGCTATATACCAGTCCTCTTATCCACTCCAAGTCCTTTGCGACTCCCCTCCTCTCTAACACCATACCAGAAAACACCCCGGCCAAGAAGAATAAATCGTATATTTAAAGCTTAGGCTCAATGAACGAAGGAAGGTCCTGAACCTTCATTTCGCCTTGTAGAATGCCTACCATCAAGTTAGCAGTGCGAAAAAAATATCATATGGATAAGACAGCTTACGGTAAACTGCAGTGAATAGAGGATAGTCCTTTTCCACTTTTTGATTTTTCAAAAACTTGTTGACCTCAACAGCAGTCAACGTGCCCTGAAGTTTTTGGCCGTTGAGCTCTTGCTGCTCAATCTCCTCGATGGGAGCGCCGCGCTGGACACTCAGTTTCGCGCAACGGAAATTGCGCCCACCGCTACAACTAGTGATGAGATCCGCAACACCGGCACTTTCCTCGGTGAATGTTTTCGGGTCAATGGAGTTGGCAAAGAATTGAGATCCAAACTTCACCATCTCCAACAAGCCAACGCGCATGACTGCAGCCTTGGCGTTGTCACCCCAGCCCAGTCCATCGACAAAACCGGCGGCAACCGCAATGATGTTCTTAAGCGCACCCCCAAGCGCGACGCCGGCAACATCGTTGACAACACGTACGTGGAAGTAAGGGCGGTGGAACAATGTCTTAAAGAGACCGTGGTCAATCGGTGGGTAGTCGTTAGGCAGAGGCCGAAGCTTCACTTTAGAGTACTGTCCTGAGGAGTCCTTGTGTTCAAAGGAAACAAGGTCCACGTGAGATTGAGAGGGCGAGCCTCCAGTAGGAGTAGGTGCTTTGGAGTCAAGGTGAGGAGGATCATAACCAATTGTAGTTTCGCACCAGAGCTCCTTGGCGACTTCGTTTGCAATATTGGCACCCGAAAGAGCGCCGCAGTAGATTCCAAGCTTCTTGCCAATTGTTTCCGAGAAGAGGCTAACTCCCTCTTCCGTTACATCCACACCCTTGATGCAAGAGATACCACGAGCATAAGGCAGAATCTTGCCCTGGAGCTGATCGCAAATTCGGATGATAAATTGATGTGGCACGTTGAAAACCAGGATTGTAGAATCTCTGACCGCATCTTCTAACGAAGGGTTGGCATGGAGGTTCGTCGGGAGAGGGACGTCGGGAAGATATTTGACATTCTCGTGGAATCCGTTGATCACTTCCGTCAAATTCTGAGGGCCCTGACAAAGAGGGTTGCTAGTTTTGAAATGCGTGCTGCTTTCTGGCACTGTCACCTTCTCTTCAAACACCCACATCTCGACTGTCTCGTGGAAGATGTCACTGTGCTCCGCGGCGTTTTCGGCGACGATTTTCGAGATAGCGGTTCCCCTAAGAGCAGGATTAGCTCATGAATGCGCTGATAGAATTATATGCAACGCTGCTTACCAGTTACCAGAGCCGATAACGGTCACCTTGTGCTTCTTCGAGTTCGTATTGAGCAACATATTGGCTTGGCTGCTTTGAGGGGTAGTAGACGAGCGACGAATCTGATGTCGTCCGTGCAAGGGCAATGTTGTGTAGTGGCAGGATAATATATTCTGGCGACTTGAAGAAGGTGGCGCTGGGACAGACGTAGTAGAGGACGAAATGGTGGTGGTGGTGGTGGTGGTGGCCAGAGATCGTTGGGGCAAGCTTTGGGCAAGAAAACGGTGACAGACCAAGGATTTTCTCAGAGTGGTTGTTGTGGTGGTGGCAGCATGTGACGCGAGCTTGGAGTAATTCATATATGGGGCGATAGATTGTGAACAAGGAGTGATACTATTAGACAGGGCCTGGTAAGAAATCTGAGGTCAGGTTTTTGTTGACAACAAAAAGGTACGTACCTCCGTGGTCGACGTCACATGCGATCCCTCGTTTTTGGCTGACCCGCAGGAGTCTCCGAGCCACTACATTTTTTCACCGGCACTACCACGCACATGCAACTAATCCAACACGCACCTCCATTTCCTCTTTTATACAATTGTTCTGTTCCCTTATCTCTTACCTCATAATTCACATGGTAGGCATTCCATTGATTGCAGTTTGCCGAAATGCTCTAACCGTTGCAGGCTCCAGTACCTCCAACAAGCCGCAAGACATCCAGCGGCCGAGGCGCAATACCTTCGGTCAACCATGGTCTATTCCCAGATGACTTTCGAACGACCAAGAAGGACAAGCGCTTGATCAAGCACTCAGTCTTTGTGAACAAGGTGGCAAAATCTCAGATGAAAATACCCAAGCGACGACGGCCCTCGAAAAAGCTTGTCGCCAATCTCGACTCTCTCGCCGATGCCCTACCCGACGCTGACGATGAGACTCCCTCGGACGCTGCCAATCAAGCGAACATCATCAAACATAAGACATTGAAACACCGCCCGGGCGCTATGAAGAGGAAAGAGAAGATGGAAAAGCTGGAGCGTGACAGGTTTATCAAGAATATGGCACAAATGAGCGCTATTGAACAAGCCGCACCGAAACTACAGGAGCACGCCGAAACTCAACCGACAACTACGGAGTCTAGTTCCACGTCAAATCGATGGGCGGCTCTTCGAGGATTCATTTCCCAGACTATGGATCACCAGCCTGCATTCAGGAACGCAAAATGAGTTGCATGCGGGGGTTAGAACCATGTTATACAAATTCATCAACGTCAGGGATTTCAGCCAAATCCCAAATTACGGCTTGGATTGAGTTGAGCGACGCAGGAGTCTTGAAGTGTCCGAAGATGCGGTCGCTCTAACGCCTTGGGTGAAATTACTCGGTAATTCCATACCTAAGGGAATGTAGCTCACTGAGGCGATCAGACTTTACGCTCACATATTGGAATTGTGCTGATATTTGAGTGAGTCTTATCATTTCGCTACAATTCTTCACCCGATAAATGGACTAGATATGGTCCTTGACCATATTTTCAGCGTCCGTCCTATCGACAGCGGCGATATTGCTTTGCATATGTAGAGGAACACGTTGGCAACCAGGGAACATCGCACTATAATGAATTTACGTTACTCATGAATAAGAGAGAGAGAGAAAAAAATCCAAACATACACGTGTAATACATGAAAAATTACCCGTCCTGCCCTCAGAATACCTTCCTTCAATAGTCAGGGCAGGCGCCTTCCATTTTTGCAAGCCAACGCAGAGAGACCGAGACCTTCTACTTCAACAGAGGGACAACCTCTCTTACGTTCTCGTCCACGGCATCTCATTTTTAGAATGAAGATATTTAGATCCTTGTGCACAGTCTTTTGATCGGTGTGATTACTACAGAGCAGTCCTGTTGGATACACTCTTTTATCAATTCGAAGTCTTACCTTCAATGCTGTCCTAAACCCACTGGATATAACTTCTTCCTCAACCGATGCTTCGACATCCACAGAAAATCCATCCACCATGCGCGGCTATCGACAGAGTCTGGGCAGAATCGCGGAAGTGTCGGAATCTTCAGCTGCTAACCCGGACAGTCACGCTCGAAAAACATCTCACAATGGGATAGAGTCGGGGCCTGCAGTACACTTCCCAGATCAACTTGACAGCGAGAACTCGAAACAGAGGAATAAGCTACCTGAGGGGGACAATGAGACTGCAGCCACTCGTACGGGCATCTGGACTCGACGTCGACTGAATTTGGCGTATGTTGGGTTTGTGCCCTTCTGCACGTGGACTAGATGAGAAGCTCTTTCTGACATCTCACAGAATATTCATCGTCTTTTGTCTCACGACCCTTCAACTACAAATCAGCAATCATCTCATCGTTCACACCATGAGCACTTTTGGAAAACATCATCTAACAGCGACGAATGGAATTGTTGCCAGCATCATTGGAGCTGTGATCAAGCTCCCTATGTCCAAAGTGGGAAATACTTGGGGTCGAGTTGAGATGTTTGTTGCAGTTGTGCTTGTGACAGTACTTGGTAGGCACTCAGCGAAAAACAACTTGGTAAACCTGCTAATAACCTCTAGGCCTCATTCTGGCGGCGATTGCTAAGAATGTGACACTGTTCATGGTTGCACAGGTAAGTCGTCATTGTTACCTATATATTTTTCTGGTCCGTTTCTCGTGGCTAATGAGACAGACTTTGTGCTGGATTGGTTATGATGCAATTTCCTATATCCTTGGTATCGGTATAGCCGATATAACCTCCATTAAAGACCGAGGCTGGCTTTTCGCGGTCAGCAATCTACCACATCTCATCAATACGTTCGTCGGTCCTATTGCAGCGCAATCGCTTCATAAACGCGGCAACTGGCGTTGGGCCTATGGCGCTTTTGCAGTCATTTTGCCACTGTTTTCCTTGCCGTTAGCAGCCACGCTATTCGACGATCCTCGAAGACACACACAAGGGACCCAAAAGCCTCAAGAGGCCTCGGAACCTTTGACGCGCCGACAGAGGGTGTGGAGAGTAACCAAAAGCATTTTGATAGAGTTTGATGGTGCGAGTCAGCAATCTTCTTGAAATACAAGCCAAGCAACTGACTTACTAGTTATCGGCGGCATTCTTCTCGGGGCATCTTTTGCAATGCTTCTCCTGCCTCTTAGCTTCGGAGTGTTTTCACAGAAACCTTCCAAGGCCCCTCGTCTGGCGTTCATGCTAGGTTTGGGTGTCTGTTTGCTGCCCATTCTCGTCATGTGGGAGAGACATCAGTTCAAGACTCGCAATGTTGCTTTTCGTGGCCTCATCAATCCAACCATACTCGGCGCGTGTATCTCCAGCGCAGCGCTCTTTGCCAGTTTTTAGTAAGTATCCCACCATCTTTCTCTGTTTTCATCTACTAACTCATTCGGCATAGCTGTTTAGACTCTCACTTCCTATCGTACCTTCAAGTGGTCCATAATCTCACGGTATCAAAAGCGGGATATGTGCACAACGTCTACATCGTTGGATCCTGTTTTTTTGCATTATGTACTGGAATGTAAGTCAATTTCCTGATCCATGGTGAGCAAGTTCTGATCGTGACAGCTCGATACGCCTCAACGGAAAGTACACAATTTTGGCTCTTGCAGCTGCTGCTTTCGATTTCCTAGCGACAGGTCTGACCATAATCACCCGTCAATCTAACAAGACACCGTGGCACATCATTGCAAATCAACTGATGCTATCTTTTCCTGGCGGTACAATGGGAATCTGTGGAACGATGGCGGTTATGGCTGTGGTTGAAACCTCGGAGGTGCCAATATCACTTGCATTGTTCAGTCTATTTACAGGACTCGGTGCTGCCACCGGACGGGCCGTTGCATCAGCTCTATATATCAACTATATGCCCAAATTATTGGAGCAATACCTCCCTCTTGATGCAAAACCATGGGCCAAAACGATCTACGAAAGCCTCAACCAGCAACTCAGTTACCCGATGGGCAGCCCCGTCAGACACGCAATCATTCGAGCTTATGAAGAGTTTATGCGGCATACATGCATTGCAGGGCTGGGGTTTCTACCGATAGCACTACTGTTAGCGGCACTATGGGAGAACGTCAATGTCAATGAATTACACGAAGGAAGGCGGATCGTGGTCTGAATCGAGCTCGGCGCGATAGACTTTTCGGAACTAAAATCATTCTTGATAACTATCATTATACACAATTTACCATACCGGGCGTGGCAGTACTATAGAAGATATTCTTATGCAATTGATAATTCATTGCTGCTATTTTCATCTTGGTAGCTGAGCAACGTAAAATCAATCTAGAGGGAAAAGAGCAAACATCAAAGCTACTGTAGCATGCATTCTTCAGGACACACGAAGCGAAAGAGCCGATTATGTCTTCTGTCAGCGAGCTCAGAAAATTTATTTGTTTCAAGCGTGGCCACCTTCGTTAACAACCCACATGCACCAGCTCTCTCACACGTCAAACATTTGTGACAAACAAGATAGTCAAATTACCAGATGTTTCGTGGACAGCGAGCCTCTGAACCCGGTCCGGTCTCTCGGAATCTTGGGAACATTTTGAAGCCGATGCACATCATCATTTGGTGGGAAAAGCGATGCACTATCTAGGAGTGCCATTAGTTTTAGGTGTGAGTACTGAAGGAAGCCATAGTGCCTTCTTCATTCTCTGTACCTCCTTCCCAAAAAGGCTAGAGGGATCTAATTGGAACTTACAAAATGATTGGCGGAAGACATCACCAATCGTTACCTAACCGGGATTAGTGCAAAATGGTTGTAAGGCTTGAGCTTATATGGGTGGGCTGCTCGATAAGAGTCCGGTTTTTGTGTGTGTGGCACGTGGATCATTCTTTCTCATTTACTTTATCTCGTCTTGCTGTTTATTTATTTTTTTCATCTTGCGACTTACCCCGTGCGATCCAATATATAGTCTACTCGGCATGATTTGAATGTGTGGCATCCTCAGTATAGATCAGCCCGGGATCCCTGTCAATCCGATAAGAGAAGAGAGCGGCACAATAGACCATACACTTCAAAATGGCGATCAGCCATGGCGCGATAGCCTCGGACTCAGAGAAACAAGTGAGATTTGTTGATACTATGCTTTTCGAAGACGCTGATTCTAATCATCGAAATAGCTTCTCATTTCACCGACTTCGGAATGCAAGCCGAAACCGCGGCGGGCAAGCCGTGTGATACTGGGTGCCAAGATTGCCATCACGATAGCAGCTGCGATTTTGTACATTTTCATCTTTTTTCCTGCGTTGAGGCCTTGTATTCTCTCTGGGCCATGGAGGGCTACGTCTCCCGCAGTCACGATCACTGATGACAGCGACGCGAATTTTGGCGCAGTGGCGAGTGAAAGCTCGATATGTAGCACAGCTGGAATTGATATGTTGAAAAAGGGAGGAAATGCTGCGGATGCTGTAAGTGAATAGCTTCAGTCAGTAACCAGTGACATATACTGACTTGGTCAAGATGGTTGCAACCGTTTTCTGTGTTGGAGTAATTGGTAAAGACTCTCCACATCCTACGACTGTCAATAATATGAGGCTAATGAATATCTAGGTATGTATCATAGTGGGATTGGGGGTGGAGGATTTGTACTAGTCAGATCGCCCAATGGTATCTATGAACATATCGATTTCAGAGAGACGGCGCCGGCGGCAGCATTTCAGGACATGTTCAATGATAATAAGCAAGCATCTGTTGTCGGTGGACTGGCCAGGTAGGTTCCATCATTACCGACCGCCTCTATCTCAGACTGCATACTGATATAGTTTGTAGTGGCGTGCCCGGCGAAATTCGAGGCTTGGAATACTTACACAAAAAGTACGGTTCCTTAGAGTGGTCAACACTCCTTCAACCTGCCATCAGAGTTGCTCGAGACGGATTCTCGGTAACGGCAGACTTGGCTCGCGCCATCAATGCAAGTCTTGTTAGCAATCCTGATCTCCTAAGAACCGACCCGTCATGGTCTCTAGACTTTGCGCCAAATGGCACGTTATTGGGACTTGGAGACACTATCTATCGGAAGCGCTACGCCGATACTCTAGCAAAAATCGCAAATGAAGGGCCAGATTCATTTTATTCTGGGCGGATTGCTGAAACTATGATTCAGGCAACACAGGAAGCCAACGGGACAATGACCCTGGAGGATCTCCAACGCTATGAGGTTCTGATTCGCGATACTAAGGAGATCGATTATCGCGGGTATAAGATTACCAGCACATCTGCTCCGTCTAGTGGAACTATTGGATTGAGTATTTTGAAGATTCTGGAAGGCTACAACGATTTCTTTCAGCCAGAGACAAAACACCTTAGCACTCATCGACTTGATGAAGCCATGAGATTTGCTTACGGCCAGGTGCGTCACATACTAGTACTATCGTGGTTCATGCTTGCTAACGACTCGAATAATCAGAGAACGACGTTTGGAGATCCATCCTTCCTACCAGGTTTACGTCAACATGAGGAAGACATGCTGAATGACACCGTTGCCTCTGGGATTCGTGGCCGAATATCTGATTTTCACACTCAGAATGTCTCGGCTTATAATCCAGATGGTCTTGAGAGTCTAGACACGTGCGTATAAGTTATTCCAAATCGAAATTAGCACGGCTAACAGGATACAGACCCGGAACATCACATGTCTCGACTGCAGATCGCTCCGGGCTTGCATTATCTTTGACAACCACGATCAACCTCTTTTTTGGTAACTTGATCATGGTTCCAGAGACGGGCATTATCATGAATAACGAAATGAACGGTTAGTGTGATCTACTTCCTATATATGACTTATAGTAATAGTTTCAACTATAGACTTTTCCATACCTGGATTTTCAAACAAGTTCGGCTACGCTCCTTCGCCTTCAAACTACATCCAGCCAGGAAAACGGCCACTGTCTTCCATAACCCCGATGATCGTGGAAAACGCAGATGGCTCGCTGTATTTCGTCACCGGCGCCGCTGGTGGGAGTCGAATTATTACAGCAACCGTTCAAAGCGTCATTAACGTGATTGACAGAGGAATGAGTCCCGTGCAAGCACTTTCAGAACCTCGCCTTCACGATCAATTAATTCCAAATTTGGCCGCTATGGAGGCTGATTTCGACAAGGAGACTATTGAATTTATGCGAGGCCGAGGCCATAATGTCACCGAGTTGATTATTGGTGCAAGTTCCACGCAGTGTGTTCGGTTGTTGTCGAATGGCACGTTCGAGGCTGCTGGCGAACCAAGACAGAAAAACTCCGGCGGTTTTGCTATATAGATTTTAGTTAGTCATAGCGATTAGATTTGTACATAATGCATGCGATAGAGAATACGATGATACCTAAACAAGTTGGAGGAAAATGAAAGGCAATCATATGCCTGAGGCACCATGCATCCGTCAGGCACCAATGATTGGCAGGCGGTGAAGCCATACATAAGTGCGCGCCTATTCCTCGCCTATGACTTGCTCCATGCCAAATCCCTGCCATCTATTTCTTGATGAGAGCTACTAAATTTGTACTCTGCATCATTAGAGATCTTCATTTTTACTAAATACTCTGTACACATCAACCTATTCAAATCCCTGCCGCCTAAGACGACAGACAATAGCATTACTCCAGACCAACTACAATCCTTCTACAGTACACCCCGCCGAAATAAACCCTGACAGCTAGCTGCCAACGTCACATCACGTTGCGCCAGAACCCACATCGACACTGAGGCGGACTACGTTGGGCTTTCTACGACCGTTACGGTGCAGGCTTCAAGCCGCATCATGAGCTCTAACTGGACGACTGCAGAAGAGTTGGTCGCCCAGGCCCCGCTTCGCTGTGTTGTCCAACCTCGCTCAATGACACTGGTGATTCTCTGAGGTGCAACTGACGCAGTATAGCTGCCCTATCACAACGGTGGGTGCCCCGCGCGCTTCCCTGTCCAACAATGTTGTCTGACGTTCCGCTGATTTGTTAGGCGAGGTAGAAGTGATTCGCTTGAGACTATCCGTTCATTAGTCAAACCCCCCCCTTCGCCTCCAGACCATGTCGTCGAAGCTGCGAAACATACTTAACGACCGCGATCTGGACAAAGGGAAAACAATGGCCAAGTCTCCCAAGAGCAAAGACCGAGAGAGAGATGTGGAGAAGGATAAAGAGAAGCGTCCGTCCCATGGAAAACGACCGGGCACGTCAACCAGGGATCGCGACTCCACCATGACTTCGTCCACTTCAAGCTCTCACACTCGCACGCGCAGGTCGTCCATGCCGGAGATTGACAGCAACACGGACTCTGCTGCCACTTCGTTCCTCGACTCGAGAGCAAGTCTCCCCTATCCGGCCTTGAACAAAGCACACAGCAAGGTGGCGCTATGGGGTAAATCCGACCCAGCGCGGCAGGCAGAGATTCCTACCCCAGATCCTACGGATGTTGACCACCAGGAATCCCGCACGACTTCATCGCGCAACGGACACCGTCATGGTACTCCACCAAGTCCACCACTCACCGCCGACCAACGATCCTCGAGGGTGGGAAGCTCGGCAGGCAGCAAGCACAAGGATAAAGAGAGGGATTCGAAAGTGAAAAGCCGCAAAGACCCAACACAGTCAACGTCTAGTTTGGGTCGGGATAATGAAGATGGCTCGCGAGTGAGCACAAAGTCTCCCCGATCGAGCACCCCGATCAAAGTCCGACTTCGAGATTCGCCGACACCGCATCGTACATCTAGCCACCGGTCGTCGAAACCCACATCGCAGGGCTCTGATCTACCAAAGCGTGCTGCGAGTCATATATCTAGGACGTCACATTCGATTGTCCACAGCACGGATAATATCTCTCAATACACGACTGACTCCGATGCGACGTCGATTGCTCCCAACCAATCCCAAGCTCCGTTACGATCCCAAGTTCGCTCGCCACAGAACCGCTCACGAAAACAGTCTCCTCCAATTGAGGTGTTCATTGAAGAAGATGAATCAGTTATCAATGAAAATCACAGCCACGCTTCACCTTCACTTCCTCCGCCGCCTCCTCCACCTCCACAAATGCCTGTCGCACCACCCCGGGTAGACTATTTGCTACAGAATGGCGGTTTGCGATACCCTGTACCTAAACACCTTCTTGGAGCTGTGAACACGCCAGAGCAACCTACTCAGCAAAGCACTATCGTTCAAGCCTTCGAACCATATCACCGCTTATTAGACGACTATAATCAGGTTTTATCAAAGAGCGGATCGCTTGCGGTAGCTACAGGTTATCGGTCTGTAGCTCGGCGGTTACTGGATCGGTTAGAAGCGGTTTTTGCAAGAGACATATCGTCCGAGACTTGTCAGTGTGTGATGTGTGATGGTCAGGAGTCCGATGAGATGACCACTGGTGTCAGCTGGGGCGAAGTTTTGGAGCTGGTTTCTGGCAGGCGCGAGCTACCCATTTGGCCCCCGTTTCATATGCCTACACCGACGCAGGACCAGCTTGCTCCAGGAGAAGAACATATTCCTATGCAAAAGCTGGATATTGATGTGCCGGAGGAGTTTCGTGATCACTACGTCCGGCAGTCTCGAAAGACGAAACAAGCAGTCGACAAGTGGCTACTTGGTCAAACAGATACCAACGCGCCCGAAGAGGTTGATGATGAGACTCTTGCGTTTGCAATGATGACATATTTGGATAACGAACAGAGAGATATATTTTGCACACTACTTGGCATTAAATCGTCAACTCCAGTACCCAGAAGCGCAACCCCCGCTCCACGCCCTCGTCCAGAGACTTTGATTGCTTCTTCCTTGGCTATACAACGCTTGTACCGTTTGGCTGCTCCGGCTCGAGACTCCGAAACAGCTCTCTACATGTTAAAGAACCCGCTAATTCACAACGTTCTTGCGACACTTGCGGCTATAAGTGATGATGAGTGGGAGATTCTCATCTCTGGCCGCTTTGATGGGTTTTTGCGAAGTGGTGCCGAGGACGCCTTTGCTCCATCACGATCTGCTAGCCGCGCGGGAACTCCTTTCATCACGCCCTCTTCACGTGGACCGACACCATTCCAGATGGACCCTACCTATCGGCCGATGAGTCAGCCGTATGGCTCAAGTATTTCTGCGTCATATGGTGCGCCGATCGGGCTAGACGAAGACACTGAGATTGCCGTCCTAGCAGAGATTGAGAAGGATATCTTTCAGAGCATGGAAGCCCTGGAGGACGCATTTGAAGCGCTACACTGCAAGGCCGAAGCCGTACGACGTGCGCTACGTGAACGAGGTGCTGGTTTATCGGTTGCTAATCAAGCACGTCGAGGTTCCGCTACCAACCTCGATGCTCGACTAGGTACTCCGGCGTCTATGGCGGGCAGTCTTTGGGAGAGTGGTCTAGATGAGGATGATGGAATAGACGACGACATGTCCCTTGCCCCAGATGACTCTGCAAGTAATATCAGCTCGAACCGACGACGCCGACCAAAGCGAAGGAGTGAACGACGTACGCCAGCGCCAGTTGAAGAAGAGGATGAGGAGGAAGACGAGGAATACAATGCAAGGCGAATGCGACGCAGATAGTTTTATTTTGTTTATGACCCGGTACCAGTCCATCATGATGATGAAAACGACAGATGATGAGCGCTATGAGATGCATTCGATGATTGATGATACCACACGTCAGAACTTTCTAGGTGTTATATTTTGTTCCATTTGCTCTGCATTTTGCATTTTGAAAAGGAATGGTGCATAAGATTTGCTCTTAACCAGAGTTAGTACTAGCATTCGCATCGACACAGGTTACAACGAATACCAAGTCTGAGTCCAGATAACAGAGGTCTTGACGTAGACTGTAATTAGTAGTCAATCCTCCATTTCATTTATTTTACTAAAAAAAGGACTCGACACATAAAACGGCCTCTCTCCAGGCGCCTCCCTAGAACCCAAAAGCGACTGCATCCGCTGCTGAAACATCTCGTTCTGTGTCAACTTCCCCACAGGCATCATTTCTGTATTACCAAATCTTGCATCCGGCTCTCCCTCAAACGTCAACTCCGCTGGCCCATCTTTCCACTTCTTACCACTTCGGAGACACTCGTCTTTTATCTGTTGGGCACTCTTATTAATCATCCCTTTCCAAAACCGCGCTTCTCCATTCGAAACGAGACCAGCTCTCTCGAGCACACCCACGGCATCAGCAACCCAGTCCTGACAATTCCCGGTACCGAACTCGGGGATATTAGCTTTATCGTTCCCAAATGCCGTTATCAGGCTAACAGCTTCTTGTCGCTGTGCAGCAGAGAGGGAAGAAGCAATCTCGCACCTTCCCCTGAGAACAGGATCGTCGTCGTCAAGAGGCTGTGTGCGCGATTCGTAGATGAAGACTGGGTCTTCGGTGGGGTTGCGGATGTGGTGCATTTCGCAGGTCGAGGAGCTAGGGTCGGAGATTGTGATGGACATGTGAGAGGGGCCGTCGCCGAGAAGGGCGTCTCCGCGGCCGTAGATGTTGATGGAGACGTTGTAGGTGGGGGGGTCCATAGCTGGAGATCTCATCTACAGGCGTAGTAAAGTAACGAATGAGAATATGGATGCCAGCTACATGTGAACAAGAACGTGGACGCCTAACATGTATGTAAGTGTACAAATCAAAATGAATACAAAGATGTGAGGAATCCGGGACGAACCGAAGACGGGATTCTAGGCTTTGTGGGTTGGATGTATGCTTATCCTTTAATATTCTGTATTCTCCAAGGTTCTCTAAAAAGGAAGAGCTGGAATCAGATCTGAACAGTATACTGACATAATCGAAGAATCACAGTCCCAGAATATTGCCTTCGCGTTACCGCTATCGCATACCCCCCACTTAGGTTAGCGCTTGGAATTATGGCCCTTAATCCAGACCAGAATTTGTTGTAAAAATCAGAGCTATGATGAAAAGATTCACATAACCTGAGTACGATAATTGAGGCCTAAATGGTGAGCACATTCAAAATGGCAACTACGAAGCTAATGGCGCCAAATTCTCGCCTTATGTGTCGAATATTCACGGGAGTGGGATATACCAGAACAAGCCTTATCACTAATAAGGTATAAAAAATTGTATTTTGTATATGTAGTTATATATAGATCAATGATAGAAGGATCTAGACATGACACTATAAAGGATAATAGGCACAATAAAAAGCGTAGATAATGTTACATGGAGGTATTCAAAACATACAACAGCAGTACATATGTAACGATGACAACACCAAGAATGACAAGTCAAATTGGACTTATAAACGATTACCGCCTAGGCCTACTAGCACTACTGAGGCCTGCAAACTTGTCCAAATTGAGACGGCCGGTCGGCCGTCGCACTTCCTCCTTTCCAAAGGTCGCATCGGCAGGTTCTCGTCCTCTAGAGTCGGTAGTAGTTTTTGGAACCCAGGACCTACCATCTCGTCGTAGTCGTTCGCCAATGGCAGGAGAGGCCTGTCCAATATTTGCGTCCCAATAGTCTCTGGTGCCCTGRGGGGCCAGCCTCTCTTGCTCAAGAGCACCAAGTGCACCGACAGTCCAATTTTGACAGTTTGCATCCTCACGAGGAAGATTGGATTCGTCCTTTCCATACGCATGCAAAACCCGTGCCGCAGTCTCCTTGCGCGACCTTGAGAGATGTACGATCTCACTTCGACCGTAGGTGGTTGTTGATTCAACCATACGCTTCGGAACTGGGTCCTCGTAGTAGAACCTTTCGTCCTTGCGAACATGATAGAGATCACCGTGTGCCTCCTCTCGCCTGTGGAGCATGGCGCCCCAGTGGGCTGGGGGATCACCCTTGGCTGCATCTCCCCTGCCGTAAAGATTGACGCTCAGTGCATAGTCCTTTTCACTGCTTTTGCTCGAGCTATCAGAGCGGGAGCTGTGCCTTGAAGAAGAACGAGAACGATGAGGCATGATGCTAACAAGGAATAGACTCGCTTAGGAATGTGAAGGAAATAGCTTTATCAATTGTAATTAAAGATGTTGCGAGAGAGGAAAGAATTGTCTTTGAAGGCAAATGGTGATATATTGGATGTAGCATCATGCACTATTTATCATGTTCTGAGAGTAGAACGTGGAGCGAATTTGGGCTCATGGAATAGGCTTTGATTGAAGCGCGCGCGATGCAATTGCTGAAACGTCTGATGCATACCGAAATAGAAGCGTAGCGTGTCAAACAGCCCTCGAACTTGGATATCGAGTGGCTCGCAAAGAGTGATGGCTCTTATCAGCCCGGGKAGAAAATCATTATCAAAAGACTCACATCTATGAACGGACGGCGGCAATTCTGATCAATTCGATGTATTGGTGACGAGACACCCAAAGAGACTCGCGCGTACCTAATTGAGGCGCTCATATTTATAGCACGAGCGAACTTGTTTCAAATGTTGCATGGATTTGTGTCGGCGGCGGGTAGTTACTGGTAACCACCTACTTAAATTAGTTAAGTTACTTGAAAAGCGTCTGAGTACTGACTAAGCCGCCACTACCCACATGACTCAAGGGCATCAAAGGCCAGTCGAGAAGCTCACCCAATACATAACAACAACACAGATGACGCTATGATAATGATGTGCGGTATTCGAGGCTTCAATAATCAACATTCGAAAATCATTATTAATGAAGAGTCCTAGTATTGATAATGTCCAGTCTATCTGACATTTCACATACTCTAAGCAGTCGTTTACATGATGCTCTTCCTCCTATCTTGAAAGAGTCCCGCTATACTGAGATTTGGGGCGTTGATATAGAGCACGCAGAGCCACAGATACTGGACGCAATCTTGAATAGGGTACGTTTTCGGAATACACGCACCGATTTCCGTTACTGAGCCATCAATAGTTTCTTAAAAGCCATTCAGCAATCCCTTCACTTCAAGTCTCCAGGGCAAGTGCCTCGCTTGAGAAAACTTTGAAATGGCGAAGCTGCTCTTACCCGAGGGCGCTTCTTGCCGAAGCAGAGTCCATTCTCCCAGACTTGGACTTGTGCCATATTACTCTAAATGAAGGTCGCTATGTGCTATGGATTAGCATCGATGAGATGACTATTAAGGGGCACTCGGCCATACATCCAAGCCTAACAACATCTCAAAGGCTGGTGAAGCTGGGTCTTGCTGTCATGGAGAAACTTGCCACACTTTTACTGCATGCAACGGTCCCTGATACTGGTCCGCATGATTATTCGGCTTCCTGCGTAGTTGAGTTTAAGACCTATGCCACTCCAAATACCGAAAAAGAGCAACAGTCGTTTCACAGAAGAATTCGCAATGCTCTTGGAGAATTGGTGACATTGATTCGGCATCACTATCCTGGTATTCTCGGGAAAGCTTACATTATCAACCCTTGTGATAAATACCTTGCATACCTCGATATCGAAGAAGCTCTGCTGAAGAATACAGTACTGTTGGAGAATTCCGAAAAACTTGCTCGTTTCCTTGGGTCACAAGTACCATCTCGTTATGGGGGCACTGGCAAATCATTTGTGGAATCTGACCTTCTCCATTGTTATCGACCAACGGAAAATCTGGAAGAAAGCGCCTGTCTCCGAACTCCAGATAACAGTGCGATTACACAAATTGAGACGACTGGGGTAGAAAAAGAGACTACCACAGCCTCTCCTACGACTACCAGTAGCAACAGTACCCAAACCGCAGAAGAAAATGGAGAAGAACAGATCCGCTTGATTTACTCAGAAACCGTTGGACCTCCGACCATCATACTTGACCCCGACGATTTGCAGACAGCAGAGAGCCTTTGTCCCGGCAAAATGGGTGCACGTGTCGTTTTTGCGGATTCAGATATGGTCGTGAAATTTGGTCATGGCGTTCGTTTAGCCGAAGCCGAGGCATTACATCTGGCATCTACTCGTACAACTATAGCTGTACCGAAGCTTCTCAGTGCATATATCCTTGACGGTGTTGGGTACATCATAATGTCATATGAGGCGGGCGAATCACTCGAAAAATACTGGGACCGGACTTCTCTGGCTGATCACAGTCGCGTGCTGGACATTCTACGGGACTACGTAAGGCAGATTCGAGAGATTCCAGGAGATTTCATCGGTGCACTCGACAGATCACCCTGTCGCGACGGCATTTTCGAAGCCGGTTATGGCGACTACACCCGATACTCCTATGGCCCATACCCATCTGAGGAAAGCTTTAACGAAGGAATCATTCAAGCGCTACGTGATCGACTGGCCCCAAAAGTGCTAGAACGTGAAGATGACTTTGAGTCAAACTTCTTCAACAGCGAGTACATGCTCTATCAAACCGTGCGAGGTCTTCAAAACCACAAGATCGTCTTTACTCACGGGGATTTGCATCCGGGAAATATCATTGTCCGCGCTGATGGTACTGTTGTCTTGCTAGACTGGGGGCTGGCTGGGTTCTGGCCGGAGTATTGGGAGTTTTATCGTGCCATGAATAACATACCGTGGCGCGCGTCATGGGATCGCATGGTAGAAAAGTTCATTCCGCCCTTTTATATTGAGTTCAGTGTGATGAAAAGAGTTTTGGCGACGGCGTGGAATTGAATATTGCCTCGTGAAGCTCTTGATTATTGAATACCTGTTTACGCACATATACTTGATGCATAAACACAAAAGTCCGCAATGACCCGAATACATGCAAACCTACTGTAATGAAGTTATATAATTGGCCAGCCTCAGAGCATGAGCGAGGTCTTATGGTAAGAGAGTATAATAAATCAGGGTTAGAGTTTACACATGGTCATGACGTCGCACGCCGGGGGAAAGATCCGCATACAACATCATCTGGCGACACTAGACGAGAAAAGTTGTTGAGATTCGAGTATACTGACATTGAGTGTGGCTCTTGTTTGACGAAGACTTGTCCAAGACTTTGGTGACTTGTCGCGTCTATCTATACCTAGTTTCAAGCGATGAGATTGTTTATGTTGAATGATATCAGGAGCTCAAGGTTGGACCGGAAGACAACGGCTATAGAAGCGACAGAACCACATCTTCGTCAAAACCTTCAGGAGAGCTGGATGATTAAAAGGAAGTTACTTCCTACGAAAGGTGTAGTGGTCAATGAAGGTGACCTCCTTCCTGCCTCTTCGACACTTTGCTTCGCAGAAGGACGAATTCCCGTAACCTCCCTCGCTTCTTCTCAACAACAGGTCGAGTGTTGAAATAAATTGTTTCGTCAGTCAGCATTTGTTCTGGCATCAGTTCTTTCTCGAAATACCTAGGAAGAGCTCCAGCTACACATTCACCTACTGCATGTACGGAAGGTTTCGCTTCCTATTTCGGGTTTCGTTCCCTTCAGTGCGACTACGGTATGTCGATTTCTACTATGGCTATTCGATGAAGTCTTGGAAAAATGCTGATATCCAGAGGTGCCCAGAGAGTATTGGTCAATCGTTCAACTAGTCTCCCTTCCGAAGTGGGCGCTCCTTTTCCTTTTCCTCGACCAAGACATCCAGTACGATTGCCCCTTTTTGAAACTCTCGACATTTCAACTAACTATAAACCTTCAAGAAAACGCTGGGGATTTCCCAAACGGTACACTATGGCTGTCATTAGCAAAGTCCACGACCACCAACACACCCATGAGCTCCTGAAACGACACAATKGGGCAAGCCGTAATCCCGGCGTCATCCTCGTATTCTGCATCGTCTTCCTAGTCGTGTTGGGATTTTGTACGCTCTTCATCTATCGACGAATGCTTCGCAGGAAGGCTGAGAAGCAGGCTTTTTCGGGATAAGTTCATTGCAGCAAGTAAAGGTGCTTCGCTAGCACGCCGTGTGTAGTTACTATTTGTGTGGCGGTATTGTCATCTTTCGGCTGGACATTGCGATCAATGTTCTTTCCAGCGAGGGTAGATCTTTTGAAGACGGAGTAAGTCTATCTGTAATGTATAATTACTTTTATCATTAGTCCGAATCCATTGAATAGAGGGATAAGTGACGCGATGTAGGGGCGAACCAAAGTAGAATAGCTGAAATCTTGTAAGAGGTTATGTAACAATGTCAAAAGGCTTCCCATAACCCTAAATAACATAAACCAGGGGCCATGATAATATGCATAGGCGTCCTCCTCGCTATATATGATTAGGTATCGACTTGTCTACTTTAATCATTGATGACCAACGGCCAAATGCAAGCGGCACATCATTCGACATGTAATGACCATGATGGCTTGCGGTTTTCGTGCAGTCACTTCGGAGTGATACGTACGAAAGCCCAGGGATTAGGGCTTTGCATCAAAAAGCTAGATATGGAATCGTTCAGACTTACTGCCAAATCCGGTTGTCTGGGGCAGTGGTGGCTAGGATTTTAGTATTGAATGGGTGATTGACAATTTATCACTGTGTACTTTGTACCCGCGTCGCCTTGAGTACTCTTATGGGGGTTATTCCGAACTATGGCTGGTATATGGCGCTCGCAAGACTAGGTATGGACAAATGCTAGATTTAGGGTTCGAGTGAACACTGCTGACAGATGGCAAGATGTTGAAACATCCGGTAGACCAAGGGTGCCATTTTGCAGCAGAGGTCTTATGAAGGCGAAGGAAGCAAAGATACAATGTTACCGAACTACTTCTGATTATACCTTGATGGCTCAAAACTCTCATGCTGTAAGAGGGGAAACCGTGAGATTATTAACCCGGATGGTGACCCTCATTTTGGCATGCCTTACTCCTGATCCATGGTTGTGTTATGGGTTGACTGCTATCTCGGTCGTGAATCAAATTTCTGCAGACCTGTCGAACGACATGATTGCAGAATTCAGATCATCTGATAGGGTTGGCTTAGTTACTGTGTCTGTGGCGATCGCCTAATTGCCTTCAATAAACTTGAGGACGGTGCTTGGTTACACTAGGTAGTAATTTCCCAAAAGGATATAGTGTTATATGAATGCATGACAAGAATTAGCGATAGCTGGAACATGCATTTCCGACTGTTTGTGATAGGCAGGACGGAATTCTAATAGTTAAACTCTCGGCAAAATTTTTACACGACAAACTGCCGGAAAACCGCTTTTTGGCGATCGTTCTGATTGAACACTTTCAATGAATCTCGAGAATCAGATAAACCTTGAGCATGAGAAGAATTGCTGGGATCTCAAACTTATTTACAAGATTCGACACTATTGTACTGTCTATTAACAGTTTAGCTTCCGACTACTATCTTCTGTCGGAAAACTCTGTCATCTGAGATCATCGCATCGACTGAACCTAGTGAACAGACCAAAAGCTTCTTTCGAGAAGGATTTTCATGATTCCGTATGTGCTTGCGTAAACTTACGTACATCGATAGTCCAGCGAGGCTCAAATTGGCGACCGATTTTGCTTTGGCCGCCGGAATAGTGTCCCTTTTTGTTCAAGCTGTCAGTCTGAGCGTTCCAGGCCGTGTCAAGTCGCCAGCTTGAACCAATCTTTGGTAAACACTAGATTAGGTACCTGCTGAAACGAGCAGGGATTAAGGCCCGTTTCTTGGGTCTCCATTGATCATCCCTGAGTTCCTGACAAAGAGATTGTTGCGTTTACTCGCAGTAGTTAAGTTTCGCTACAGGGGACGAAAACCTTGCTGCCGGCTAGCTCGTGACGAGACAGGCCATTAATATCAAAACGGGATTGGATTGGATATCCCCACTGTAAACTCCGCTTCATGCATTATCTCTCGGTGAGTCCACGAGTCGTTTCCGGCACCTCTCCCCTGGATAATTACGGGCCCTCTTTAGGCTTCTCTTGCTCCAAGCCGTTAGAGCAACACCGCTCATCTGCGCGCTAAATTGGCCTAATAATTGCGCCAGCCAGCCATATCGTTGCTTAGCATTTGTGACCCCGGATTTTGCTTCTTTTCCCTGTAGGTACTACGACGTCGTACGTGGGTAGTGTCTTAGCTGGCGCCCGCCTATTCGCTGGTAAGTGGCTCCCCTGGTCTATCATTGCGTCTTTTTTCAGGGCTGAATGCGAGAGATAGATTGATAACACCACGCATAATACGAGTCACTCGACTAGTTACTAGGTAGGGCTACTGTCCCCCATATTCTTTCCATTTGTCCGCACCTCTCAATAGCAGATTGATGCTATACATCAGCCGGTAATCCGATCGATCATGCAATCAATGATCTAAGATGATAACAACAAAGAACTTCTATACAATGCCATTATGCCATATGGCAAGTTGACCACAACGGCAAAAGTCACTAGTACTACGTAGGTTTAACTACTAGGCTGTCTCAACCTGGACCCTCGCACGTGCATTGCCCACTTTATAAGGTGCGCACGAGCACGGCATTTACTGATTTCCTGTAGCTGCGGATAGCGATGGCAATTCTGAAGCAAAAAGTGGCTCTTACACTTTTGCATGCATGTCCAATCTCAAAAACAGGTCGGTATCCAGCGACGGGAAGGTAAGGCTTCAAACGGCAATTACATAACATGAAAGATCTCCCTGCTCCATAGAATGTTCGTGTTTCTAACAGTCCCAGCTGCTGATCTGCCCCTTAGACTGGCAAAGTTCGAACTTTGTGGAATCAACTATCAAATTCAGACTCTTGTTGCAGGGTTTATACTTGGTCGAATTTCCTTCATTTCCTGCACCTACTGCCTATGCAGGTTCTAGTCTTACCCCCCCCTTTTTGTGGCTAAAGCCTGCCCCGGATAAACTTCTTCCATTCTTAACCACCGCATTCACATGCATGTAGTGTTCGGTAACAGTTGACCCATGTATAAAGTAAAGGTCTTTGGGCTCTTTTTACCGAAAATTAGATTTCGGCATTTGGTTCTTGTGCCCTAGTCCCACGTCAGAAGCTTGTCTATATCATTAGCCCGCATATCAAAGGCTGTCATCTCCATTAGGTGTGATCTCAATTGTCTCGGATGAAAGGAAATTAAAAATCCAAAGCACGATCATTTGATAGCTGCGATGAGCTTCATCGCAAGGGAGCTGGTGGGCGCGGCATGGGACAGCAACAATAACAGCCAGGATCCTCATCCTATAGACGATGCGCAACTCCAACAAATAAACTCGCTTACAACGCGCAATGCGTTAAACATCGACCCTCTGAGCTCAGTAGCTCGTAATGGCCTCATCGCCATCTCGATACTCGCAGTGATCTCCCTATTAGCAACGTTCGGGCTTCTCAGCTTCATCACATACCGCTTCATCTTCTGGCAAAAATACTACAAACGCAGCCTTACCACCAATCAGTACATTGTCCTCATTTACAACCTGATTCTGGCGGATTTTCTGCAGGCGTTGGGTTTCGTTTTGTGTTTTTGTTGGGTCTCACAAGATGCTCTCAAGACTGGCTCAGCGGCTTGTGTCCTACAAGCATTGTTAATTCAGGCCGGTGATCCCGGAAGTGGTCTCTTTGTCTTGACTATCGCTGCTCATACATTTCTACTCGTTACTTCGGGAAGATTAGTGCCTCATAAGTGGTTCGCTGCTGGCGTCGTGGGAGTATGGGTGTTCCTGGCCATCCTGGTCATTATTCCAGTTGCTTCTCACGGAACGGGTGTTTTTACCCCTTCAGGAGTATGGGTGAGTTTTCCCCATTAACCATTAGCTACACTCAGGTGAACTAACATCAAATCCTTCAGTGCTGGATCGACTCCGCATACGAAGACTACCGCCTTTACACTCACTACATTTGGATTTTCATGGCCGAATTCGGCACCGTCGTTCTCTACGCCGTCATGTTCTTCCAACTCCGCCGGCAGATGGCTGCCTCATCGATTCTCGCCGGAAGCCAGATGGAGAGCCTCAAACGTCTTCGTCGCGTCGTCAGCTACATGGTTATCTACCCTGTCGCATACGTCATCCTGTCACTTCCCCTCGCAGCCGGGCGAATGATGAGCGCACAAGGAAAGACGCCTAGTACGGCATACTTTTGCGTTGCAGGAGCCATGATGACAAGCTCCGGGTTTGTGGATGTGTTGTTGTACACGCTTACTCGTCGCAACTTGATCATCTACTCTGAAGTGAGCGCCCACCGCGGGAACTACGACAATATGGGCAGTCAAAGCAACTCGAAACGGAAAACGAGTCGCTTGATGTTGGGTACCAAGGGAATATCCACAATGACTACAACCATCACCAGTCACATTGACAATACTGGCGAAGGAGGTGGATTTCGTCGAACCCGAGTTGCTCCTGATCATGAAACGATATACTCCACCGATTCGCAGGACAACAATACGTCGACCGACAACATCGTCCAGAAGGATGTTGAGCTTGCCGAGTTGGGCAAGGTCTATCAAAAGACCACGATTGAAGTTACGAGTGAGCCTGCTCCTTACCATCCTCAAAAATCTCGAAATTCCGGTCATGCAGAGGATGGTCGGAGTTGGTGATTATACTTTCATTTTAAGATTTCTCTTATATTTATTTAATAATGCATTTGTATTTATTAAGGCTTCGTCGAGACTGCGCGGGCCTGACATGAACTTTTACGATCGAATCACTAAACAATCAATCCCATCTATACTCGCACTCATTTACCGTCTCCGCGATTATTCAATAAGATAGCTACGATTCTTCAATATCACATTCGTAGACTTACAACTCGACCTTCAGGGGAGACACTAGGTATCTGATTGCTCCAGACGACATGGGTCTGAAGTTATATTCCGACATCATATAAGTACTGTTCGCTGATCTGATAAGTCGCTCTATGTTCGCATCTGCGTGCGAGTAACAAAGATGTAGACCATCAATATCCATTATTCAGGTACAACAGCATTCTAGCATCGATACTAAGAAGAAGAATTTCAGACTGGAGAGAATCTTATGAGTAGTTTAGGGCTGACTTGTCGAGCTGCCGGCCGAAATTGATAATATTAAAAAGGTGTCATTCTCCAAATTCTGCAATTGCGATGCATCATTGGCCGCATGGCGCAACGGTAGCGGTATGTAAAATAATCTCGCTATTTTTAAGTCTCTAGACTAATTTCCTCATCAGCGTCAGATTCCAGTCAACCATCACCTGGGGTATCCTGAAGGTTAAGTGTTCAAATCACTTTGTGGTCATATCCTTTTTTTCGCCTACTTTATTAGGCATAAAGTCTTCAATCTGAGATGCTCATACCTCGATGGTGCGCAGTTTTTTTTCTTTTCTTTTTCTGGGATAAGGTTAGAGATCGGACGGAATTGCTGCTATCGTTCGGACGAAGTTTAGGCGATCGGTCATTGTGTGGTCACGTGTTATATATAGGCTTGTAAGAAGCGGTCTTCATCACATCAAGTACGACAAACATTGCGAATATTTTTACGAGTAGTGACAAGTATTGCAGTAAAAAATATATTTATACATTCACAACAAATAGAATATGCAACGCTTGCTATAATCAAATGGGGTACTCGATAAAAAAGCATCATCAAAAATCATCATATAGTGTATATACATGCAATCATCGCCATCGACCAGCAGATGGCTTTGATGCAGACGTGGACCAAACAGTATAAATCTTTCTAATCTCTTTAGGGTCGTAGGAGGCGACGTCGTGGAAGTCGGCCGACTCGAAATGGTCGTTGTCGAGGCCACAAGCGGGTGTTGAAGGAACCGTTGAGGCGCGATTGGGATCTGTCCATTGGCCGTCTCGGGCGCCGAGTTCGGGGATCTTGAGATCCATAATGCACGCCGCGAAGGATTGGCGGCGGTTGCTTCTGGCGCTCATTCCGGTTGTTGGTCTGGATGGTGAGGATGTTGGGGCCGCTGCGAGATCGGGAGGACTTGTATCGTCGTCTCTGCTGGTAGATGTGTTGCTGTGGTTCCACATGCTTAACAACTTCCGATCAAATGCTGCAGGCTGACTGAGGTGCTTTCGCTTGCGTGTAGCCTTGATGGGTAGTGGTGACAAAAGGCCAGACTCTGCGCGGTCCTGGAGCCGAGCAGACCCAATACTGCCATCAGAAGCCACATTCAAAGCTTTGATGGCAACATCCATACTCGGCCTTGTCTTCGAGGTGTTTGTATCAATGTCAAAAATACGAGCCTCGCCAGATGCTCCAAATGCCCATACCCGAGCTCCGCCATTCGAAGTTTGGACTGAAAATTCGACGACCCTGTCCATACGTCCGATTTCCTTGCCGTAAATCTTCAATGGCCAGAGCATAGCTGTTGGTCGGTAGCTTACTCGCAACAAAAACTCCCAATCACCATTCTGGTTCTGTGCTAGACTGCCGCGGCGCTTCGAGTTGCGTTCATTGTCAAGGAACCAGTCGCGTGCCAAATCACTGTCACCCATAACGTTATCACCCTGAAGTTGTCGTTCTCGTCGGAGGACGTTGTACACATCAACGGGCACGGTGTACAGGACAATGCGATCCTGATAAGCAGCCACAATACGAAGACCCCGGCTCAAATCAGACCCCACCGCAAAAATCGTTGGAATGCGATCTTCTGTAGAATCCAATCCGTGATCTGAAGGAGGTATACAGATCATCGCACGAGTCAAATTTGTCGGTCCGCCAATTGGAGCATCAGATCCGATGCAAAGGTAACCTGTGACAGGTTCTATAAACAAAATATGTAGGCCGTCGTTAACCGGCATGGCCCGATAATGATGACAGTGCGTCGCCTTTACCAGACTCAAACGACCATTCTTCCGTGGAGTCCAGTGGGTGAATGAGTTGACCCGAGAAGATAGATGAAACTGGCAGACAACATCTTCACCGTTAGCTGCACGATGGCACTGACATCCCGAAGCACCGGGGCCGGCTAGTGATGAAATCAGTCGCAATTTAGATGCTTCGTCAATTTCGACACGACTGGGTAAAAAGTGCAAGACCTCTGCTGGCTGAGAAAGTGGAAACATCTTTCTAGAGTCCTCCTGTGTCTTTTCATCAACCCAGTGCAGCTCAATACCAGAACCGCACCCAAACGCCACACACCGACGACCAGGGCAGATTGATACACTGCGAGGAGGATCCTCCACGGAACAGATATCATGAAAGTACTTTCTTGGTGCTCGGGTTAGACGATTCATCGTGCGACGAGTGGAAACAGTACGAGGGGCCATCGGCGGTCGCCCAGTTGTGGTAACTTGCTCAATTATCGCACTAGAAGCAATGGCATCTCTGAATTCATCCATCTTTCTGGCGTGTTCGGCAGGAATATCCTCTCTGATTGTGGAGCGCTTGCGCAGAAAGGGAGATGCCTGCTCTGCAGAATGAATCGGGACTCCCTTGATATCGCAGATCATGCCGACACGTCCTCGCAACAATGCAGCGATCACGAACTTTGGTGTACTAGTATCGATAGTAGCAGACAAGACTTCGTAAGGACAGCCGATGCTTGATACGGGTAGAATGTCGAGGTCGTTGTCTCCCAATATCAAGTCTGATGGGGTGGTCTCTGCTATACGAGGAGGTAATGAGTCGCCTCGCTTTCGGTTACCAAGGTAATACACATAGATCATACATCCTGTAGCAACCAAGACATAGTGCCCACATGTACTAACGCTGAATTTGATCGAACGAGAAAAGGCCGGGTCTCGCAGCGCAGCTGTAAGTCTCGGCGCAGAGCCATTAAACATGTCTCGTGACAATCCCGGAGACTCTTTTGGCAATGATTCACGCGACAACTGTCCAAAATCAACGACACCTGTCGGCAAGAATCCACTCTTCTCGACGTTGACCTTCCGGCCAGACAGAACACACTCGGTGGAAAATCGCTTGCTCAATCGCCAAACCAGACTTTCCTCAACACCGTCGACAGGCTGATATGTTTGGCAGTCCCGCCGCCATGCATCCCACCAGCCAGCCCTTTTCAACATACCCTCAAGAAGCTTTTCTTGCAAACTCGCGCGCATCCATTGCGAGCATGTTCGTCGAGCGTTATCGAAATCTCGAGGACTTAGCAGGGCGTATATCTGGAATAATATCTCTGGAGGTGTCCTGTTTGCTGCCGGAATCTGCTTCCAGGTATTGCCAGTCTGGCTTATGCTTCGCCATTCTGCGTCCGACGACGTCCCACTTACTGAAAGATCTGGACTGGAACTGCCTGGAGATGAGACGTCGTTGTCAGATAGAGTCGTATCTTCCGAGATACATGGCGATGATGAGAGATATTCGCCGAAAAGGTGACTTTTCGACTGAAGAGGCGTGGTCGCTCGATGATCAGAAGAATTTAATGCAATAATATCGGCTGAGCTCTCGACACTTTGTGGCTCAATGGCGAGTTCTGGAAAAGGTTCGGTTGCCGGATCCCAGTCATCTGACCAATGCAAGGGCTTCTGGGGTAAACTGCCCGAGGTTGACTGACTGCTGGACCCTGACCACCAAGAAGGCGCCATTGGTGCAGTGTGAGAGCTGCCAGACATAATACTGTGCGATGCGTGAAAATGCCTGCGCTCTGATGGACGTCCTCTAATATATAAAAGATATATACTATAATTAGGCGATAAGACCGAGAGAGACCCAATAAATGGAACCCCCCTGGAACGGGAATACGTTGGAGACAATGAATTGCACCGAACCGGGGTCTAGAAGTACACTTCGAGGTCGAGACCAAATGAGGCGTTCCGAGTCGTAGTAAAGAATTGAATTCGAAAACCGGAATCACAAACGCTATGTGTATGCACAAGGGACCACCCAAGGGCCAAGTTTAACCCGGAGAAGATTGAAGAATCAAAAGCAAGATCCAGCGGTGAGCTGTCATTTGCATTTCCAAGTCAGACTGATGCTTGTTGTCCCTGACGAGAAATTTGAGTTGTTCCAATCTATAATCAGCCCATTCAGACTAGCTACCAAAATCAGCAGGTCACGCGCAACATGGAGGCGGGCGATGGGCGGAACGATGGTGTTAGTGCTAGACTCGTCCGGTGGCGTCGAATGAGTTTCGTAGGCTTAATGAAGAAGTGTATGGAGGTGGGAGTAAGCGTAAATCAATAACATAACATAACATACGTAACAGACAGAGAATAAAAGAGCAAGAGAATGTATTTAAACCTTTGAAGCTGAGACGGGCAAGATATGCACGACGTATGAAAATAGACGATCACTTACTAACTACCAACCACGATATGGACGCCCCTCTCGCGAAAAGTCTGACGCGAACCGGACCATGAAACGGGTTGAAAAGAGTGGACCCATTTCGATTAATCATTATCATCAGCAGCCAAGTAAAGAGCAAGGTGCTCTCTGAATGGCTGGGTCACAAAAGTGATTCCGTTCGATGACCGTGGTCCGGCTGACGTCGATACGGTTAGCCACTATGTGCTCCGGAGGTATGAGACTATGAAAAAACTGGGGACTCGCGCAACGAGGGCGATGGGATCCGATTAGGAGTGGATCGATGCCTCAATCAGCCAGGAGTTGGGCATGCTACTCACGCTACTGGGGGAGCCAGAGGCAAAAGCGGAGCCGGCACGAAAATGAGCATCCATGGCGCTAGACGAGTCGGGAATTGACGTGCATTGAACGGAGAGCGGCATACTCATTGTACAGACGTACGTAGAGTAGTGAAGTTCAAAGATGTGGCTTGGTAGGAGTATGGAGGCTTGTGTAGGGGGKAGATACTAGGTAGGAGTTGAGATTGTGGTTGTTCACTGTTACACAGCAAGGGCGACGAGCAAGGAAAGCGACTGGCGGCAGTCGCGCATCTAGAAGATTGCCTAATTCATCAGGTGTCTACGCTAGGGCCTGTGATCTCATCTCTTGGTCTTAGTTCTCTTACACTAGTTCATACTCACCGTCTCTTCTTTTAACCATCTACTATGGAGTAATACATTATCAGAGTCTAGATTCCATGCGAGGGCGCATGGATTCAGACATCCGAGGAATGCGGCCAACGGGTATGATGCCGAATGCAGACCACCACCGAGTCTTTTCATCACCACTATTAAGTTCTTAACGACATGCGTTTATCTCATGATAGAATCGAAATAATCGTTCGGGTACTCGATTCTCCACGAATTCACCTCGACGATCATCGCGGATCTCACGTCAGCGGGGGACAACTAGTACACAGTCCGGAGTACACCCTTCCAGAAAACGATCATTCAACCTACCCTAGAGAGGCTATTCCGCACCTATAGGCGTACACCCCTGCGTATACTGCAGTAGTCGCACGCTCAGTGGATACCGCCGCAACGGATGTCTGGCTTACTGTATGACGATTGCCAGCGCATGGACTGGAGCTTGGGCTCAGGACATATGCAGTCTAATTTATGCGATGCGATGCGATGCAGATGGGTTGTGTATGTATTTGCTGGCATTTGCCCTCCCCTTGGCTGATAGCACGTACTAATCGATTGGCTCCTCCGGCTTTCGCAACAAAAAAAATGCTAGATGCATACACATCGAATGGCATGATGCTCAGGATAATTGCCACCCGGCAAATCATTCATGATCTCCGAACATTCTCACATGGCGCAACGAACTGTCTATCTCGTGGCATTCGACTATCGAACTGAAACATTCGTATCAACTTAAGAGGCGGCGACTCAATTTAAAGTCTAAGCAAGGATCTATTCTCGTAAATAAGCTGCTGTACATTCCTGAACCCTCGATGCGTCCAAGTTCTATCTATTATTACAGTTAAGGGTCACTCAGGAATGTTTCGTTTCAGCTCCTAATGTACTGCAAGTCTGCAAGGCATACTCACGCTTCCTTGCTCGTATAGAGTTCTAGTGTTGAGAAGACATACCGCCGCTTTCCTGTCCCAAGGCTTAAGCAAAAGCCGATTGGAATGTGGCGGGACGGGCCTCGCCTCTTTTGTTCGCTGGATTAGGGTTATGACGGATTTCGGACTCGTGGCATGGTATGCTATGTAACTAAGCCATGTGCATGGTAGCCATACTTACCGAGAAAAATCCCGACTGATCATGTCATGTAAGTCATCTATCCAACTTATTCATTTCAAATCATCCATCACATTATTCTCAGTAAATCGAAATAATTATCTAGTCATCGCTGGGAAACGAAAGGCATGGTTCAGTGGTATCTCGTCAAAACAATTCACAAAACAGATGAAACAAACAGAAATGCAAATAGATAGAAACGAAAACACAATAGCCACAGTCCATAAAAATATGCGTACATCCATGATGAGAATAAAGAAATCGAGCATGCGGTAATTCCATGCGTTATGTATATATGTATATGGTTAAACCTCACCTATGTGCGCCTCTTCAACCGCACTGGGTCTAATCACAATCGACCCATCACTACGCGGCACCCACGCCCCGTCGAGCGGAATGGTCAGATTTGGATTGACATATTTCTTGAGCCTGAGACCAATCTCGCGTCCACCGATGAGGATGGGGAGAGCGTCGCGGTCCAAACCTGATAGTGGCGAGAGGAGAGGCGGTGGGCTCACGGAGTCATCTGAATTGTTGCCGTTGGTGCGGTCTGGTCGGTCTTGGTCGATGCTTCGCAGAGCAATGAATTTCATCAGGGGCTCGTATGTGTATGCGAAGAAATATGTGAACCAGACTGTTGCGCCCAAAAGAGGGACGAGTAACAGTGATCGCGCGATCAGTTTGCGAAGAGCAAGAACACCGATCATTGCAACTTGGAAAACTACCAAACCCAAAAACACGCGACTGCAGATCATTGGCCAGGCGCGGCCGGTTGAGTGTTGTTGGTGGTCCATTGCGTATAAGAGTTGGTATTTGTAAATAAAGTGTCCAAGAAAAAAGTATATCAATCCACAGAGACAGATGAGCCATGAGCTGGGAAAGACACTGTACACGACGCAAATGATGAATATGAAGATTGTTTGCGGGATAGTAAATCCGTAGCTGAATTTCGGAGGCGTGGACAGTTCGGCGTAATCGCGAGGTGTTTTGGCGTACAAGACATTAATAGGGTATAAAGCGACACTTCCAAACTCCAACAGTCGGAAGGGGAACAATCCTAGACCTTGGAGGATGATCAGGTTGATGTAGAATTTAGACAAATTCTCCAAAGACGTTGCCAAGGCAGATGCGATAGTCGCTGCGTCTTTGAATGCATTCTGCAGATTTTGGAAGAAACCGTAGAAATTCGATGCGGATCCGAGCACGGTGAAGAGGAAGAAGAGGTTGAAGAAGGTGAAGAAGAAGTTTTTCGAGATGACGGACAGTTCCAAGTCGCCTCTAGAAGTCATGCCTTGAAGACTTGAAAGCCCTATGAAAATGATTAGCATCGGAGAATAACAAACAGAGAGAAGCACTTACAGGCGTAAAGATAAGGCACCGCCACAGTCAACAAAGAGATTGTAATGGTAGGCAATCCAGTTCGAACAAGAGAGTCAATAATCGGATGTCTCGCAAGCAAATCAGCAAGACCAGGAATAGCCTTGTGAAGCGTGTTCAGATCCAACAAAGACGCAATGGGTACTAGCAGAACAGACCAGAAAATGGTCAAGAAGCTAATGACAACCGTAATGAGCCAGGACCGGGATATCCGACTCGAACGCGCAAGATATGTGTTCTTCCATATCACGTCTGCAGGAGCGGGCGCAAGACTAGGTACTAGCTGAGTAGGATGCGGGTCAATGATTGTCTGGACGACCAACTGACATGCAGAAATCGTTTCCATCGTGACAAAAGCGAGATCAGTGGCTGGGTAGTCTTTCTGGCGAGCGGCAAGTATTCTCTCATCGACACGACGTAGTTTCTCCTCGAAGTAATCAATCGAGTCCACATTCTTGTAACGTAATTTGAATGAGCCGTACCACAATCGATGAGTTGGTCGTTTCTTGTCTTCAGTTCGAACCGGAACACGCCCATCATCACTTCCAAGTAGCTGCGAATGCTCCGTAGCCTCGGATTGCACACTGGGCGAGCGATTGCGCGAACCTCGGATCAATGGCAATGTATCGTTGTATCTCCTTTTTTGCTTGTAGCCAAGATGCCTCGTATATGCTCGTTCAAGCGGCTTCAGAATCTTCTTCCGTTCTTCCATCAACAGATCCAGCTCATGCCACTGACGACACAACGTGACGGCTTCCACTTTCCCAATATGGAGATCTTCGATAATTTCTTGAATCTTCTCTTCTGAGCGCAATTCATTTGGAACGCCCGACAGTCGAAATGTGCGATCGGTAGTCGACGTTTGACTGCCAAGGTACTTCTGACGTACCCGGATAATCTTGTTGGTTTCTTGAATGAGCAGATATATGGCGATACCGGTAAATACGTAGGGAAATATCACGTAGATCCATAGATAAGTCGGGTCTCCTTTGAATTTCTTATTTCCGTTTCCGAGCAATATGTCCCTCGCGAAGAGTGATTGTCCGTCGTCGTCATTGTCATCGTCATCATGGTCCCAGCCTGGAACACCCCATTGACCGGCATATTTTAGATGTAATGGCATAATTATAAGCGTAGCGAATGCGAAGGTAGCCGAGAGAAATTTGGTAGCGAACTTGAAGAACGAAAGTAACTGAGAACATTGTATTAGCAAAACGTCATACCCATCATTGAGTACGACAACATACAACATAAGCATCCAATCCGGCAGATTCTAGCACCTCCTCATCCGTTATCCTGTATATCACGGGTATCCAACCGAAAAAGCTATCTGGCAGTTCGGGTAGGAAGGAGGCCGCATTCCGTCGTTTTCTCCGTGCGGCATACAGCTCTGTCCATTTTGGCCGGAGAAGCTAGCACGACATCAGCCATATGACATATAGCTCGAGTGAAAAGTATACATACACAAAACGAGAAAAATGCACTCAAACCCAAAATCCCACTGATAACGAGCTGCGTTGCCAGGTCTCGACCTCCATTCGCTTGACTGCCCCAGTCTATTTGATGGTCTCCGGGAGCTGTGGAACTTGCTATGACCGCGAACTGGATCGGCGTGGGCATACTGGAGGTAGCTGACATCTTGGTCGGGGCTCGAAGGTGCGCAACGATATAAATGAAATCTTATTGACAAGGCATGTGTATGTTTGCTGTCGCGCTTCTGACGATCGTATCCGCCGGCAAGACCGGATTGAAAGGGACGCGGTGTATCAGGCGCAGTGAGTATTACTAATGTATAAATCAGAAACAAACAGTAAGTATAGAAGAATGAGCAAATAGCATGTCGCTCAGATGAGTAAATAGTTGTTGGGATCAAAACATTAAGAGTCAACTGCCCCATTTGGGTTTTCTTTGCGCCATGACGAAACCGACCCGGCCATGTGCGCTATGCCGAGTTTGTCTTAGCCTACTCTCCTTATTTTCTAAGCTTATTTTCTCAAATGGAACAATCAACACAAACAAACATCAAAAGGTCAATCCATTATCATGTCCATTCGTTGTCTATGGACCAAACTCCAATTTTTATAGCGTCTCCTTCATCCGAGATCAAATGATATCGCCAACAAACATGAACATTTTCCCGACTTAAGTCAAAACATATCTAGGTGTAGAAACCGCGCTCGACATTAGTTACCGTTGGCAGCGGCCACTTTTTGACGCTTCTGAACAGCCTGCGCCAGGTTCTCGAGAACTAACTCGGTATCTTCCCAGTTGATACACGCGTCGGTAATACTGACACCGTACTTCAGACCGGACTTGCCTTCTGGAGGAACCTTTTGGTTGCCTATACCTGGGTTAGCTAATGACGCGCAGTGGAAGAACGCAACTAACCCTCATTGATGTTACTCTCAATCATGACTCCCATGATAGCAGTCTCACCAGCAGCAATCTGCTCAGCAAGAACCTCGGCCACCTTGGGCTGATTCTTGTGGTTCTTCAACGAATTACCATGTGAGCAGTCCACCATGAGACGAGGTGTCAAGCCCTTCTTGGTCAGATTCTCCTTTGCCTCGGCGATACTGGCAGCGTCATAGTTTGTTCCCTTGGTGCCACCACGGAGAATCACAAAGCAGTCGTCGTTACCATCCGTGCCGACAATAGCGACCACACCTGGTTTCGTCACGGACAGGAAGTGGTGGGGATGCCTGACGGCGCCGATGGCATCGATAGCCACACCCAGCGAACCGTCGGTACCGTTCTTGAATCCGACGGGGAACGATAATCCTGAAGCGAGTTCACGGTGGACCTGAGATTCGGTGGTACGAGCACCCACGGCTCCGAGGGATAAGCAGTCGGCGGTATACTGCGGGGAGATGGTATCCAGCATTTCACTGGCTATCGGCATACCCTTGCCAGTCAAATCGACAAAGAGCTGTCGCGACAAGCGCAAACCCTTGTTGATTTTGAAACTGCCATCGATATCCGGGTCATTGATCAGGCCCTTCCAGCCGACAGTTGTGCGGGGCTTTTCGAGGTAAGAGCGCATGACAATAAGCAGTGTATCTTGGTATTTCTCTTTGAGTTTGAGCAGGCGATCGCAGTATTCGAGAGCCATTTCGGGGTCGTGAATGGAGCAAGGGCCGATGATTACGAGCAGACGATTCAGCGGGTCTGTGCCCTTGACGACGGCGGCGGCATCTTTTCGACCTTGGAGAACGGTCTTTCTGGATTTTTCGGAGAGGGAAATCTCATGTTGAAGGAGGTTGGGAGGTGTGAGGGGGTTGTAGCCGCGAACTGCTCAATCAGTTTTTTTTTCTTGTGTGGCGGTATCGGACATACGTACTGCGATGGTCTTCCAAGCTGTCGACGTTCCCCAGGTTGGGATTATCTATGAAGAACTAGACAAGTTAGCTTAACAATTTGAAATTGCCATTGAGTAATTCTATGAGGATCAATACCGGAGCGGAATCCATTGTGTGAGTGTGTGTTGATTGAGAGTTGTGTAAAGAGAGCAGAGTTGACTCACCGGCATCCTGGCTCGACTAAGAAATAATGCGGGGGATATCTTTTTTCCTCCAGCCCGACGGCTCGCTTCCAGCAATGACGTAGAACTCGCTTCTCTTTTCTCTTTTCTTGCTCACTTGATATTTACTCGGATTCTATTTGATGAATGGATGAATTGCACAGACTGGAAGTTTCAATTCCTTCCAGTCCAAGGCCGGATTGTCGACTCTAGAGAACGTATAGCCCCTGTTATGCGCCGGTGAGATTCGTGCTTTCGGAGTCTCTTCGGCGCTGCACTCGGTCCATGTATTCCATGTGCAACAAAGAGACCGAATCGAATCTTTGGCCACGAACACCGAAGTCACCTCGAATGGGATTCTTACTGACTCACTTCATGCTACCATTGAGAAAACAAGACTACATGTACGTACTACACTCGGCAGTACGTGACTTGCATATCTCCATGGTCTAGCATAAGCAGTGAGCACTAGCTGGCGAACCGATTCCCCCTGTTGGCGACATTCTGGCTWCTTGTCCCGCCACTGCCTGCCTTTCATCGGAGACTATCGGTGTCTCATTGTGTGTACGAAGTCCCATCAATTGATACTACGTCCGCTTTGTTCCATTGAGACTTGGATGTTCGTCCATGGTCCGAAGTACTCGGTTTCTGAGGACTCCGGCATCGGATGTCAACCTGATTGCCTCGTACTGAATGTGCAGCCGACGAGATGTTTTCCTTACCTGGTCATGATCTGCTTTCATCTAGCAGAATACACAAAGTAAGGACCAACATTGAAGATCGGAAGTTGATACGCTATTACCAACAATGACTGGATAGTAACCAATCAATAACTAGAAAGGGTTGGATAGTTTCATCGCTCTCCCCGCTTCCACAACTGACACTGTAACAGTAATGGAAACAAGCTGTACATAATGAAAGCCCTCCCAATCGAACTCCTCCAACAAATATGCTCCGTCCTCTGTCCTCATTGCGTAAACATTAACACCAATGACCAGCCCTCATGCCGCCACGCGCTAGCATCTCTCTCTCGCACAAGCCATCTTCTCCGCGCCGTCGCGCAACCATTCCTCTTCCATCGCCTAAAACTACACACCGGATCAACATGCAAATTTCTACGCCTACTCTATGAGCGACCGCACTTGGCTTCAAGCGTCAAACAACTCCTCCCCCTGAGACACGAATTATTCTTCGATGGCTCCAAGGAAGATATCCAAATCCTTAGGCGGGCCGCGCGGGAGTTACTTCTTGACGTAGACGGTGACCCAAACTTTGAGCAATCGTATGGAGATCATGACGAAAAACACTTTCTGACCGAGCTCGCGATTGCGTTGTTGCCGAATTTAGAGGCGTGCGTGATGGAGATTGAGTATGACCTTCCAGATGAGAATCTTGTAACTACCAATCGTTTTTTGGCTAGTCGATTCAAACGGCTTGCGACAACAGATCAGCAGAAGCCGGGACTGCCAAAACTTCGTACCTTGCGTTTTGCGAAGGAAGGCTATCAGGCATTCAATCTTGCCACGCCGGGGATTGCGGTGTTATTGAATGCGGCGCCGAATTTGGAACGGTTGGTGTTTGATGGGACGCATGGAGTTGAGAAGCTATATCAGGGATGGCCTGGAAATATTGAGCTTATGGCTCCCGCACTACGGAATTTGAGGGTATTGTCTATCACGTATACGGGGCTGGGGAATGCCGAGGATGATTTTGAGTTTAGACTATTGAGACGGCTTGTGCAGCTATGTACGCGGTTGGAGACGTTTCGATTTCGTGGCGAGGGTCCGTTTTCGTGGGATTTGGATGGACGGCATTTGCCGCCGTCGAAGTTTCTGGAGGCGCTTGAGCCTGTAAGAGAAAGGTTGAAAGTTCTTGATTTTGATCTCCCGAAATCAGATCATCCCGGCCCACTGGATGACTGGACCTTGACTCGCCAGTCTTTTACTTCGTTTACGCGCTTGGAGTCTTTGCATCTGGACGGGTTCATGTTTTGTCATCACTTTGTAGATGTCGTGATGAAGCGGAGTCCGAGGGCTAGTACGACATGTCTGACTGATATCCTGCCGCCGACGGTACGGTTCTTGTCGGTGATGCTTGTGCATAAAGGACGAGTCTGGGATGATCTGTGCCACCTTGGCCGTGTTGCGGACACAGAATTTCCGCAACTAAAAACGGTGACTATTGAAAGAGAAAATGTGCTAGATGGGGTATTGACGCGCGCCATGAGACGTAAAGCGCGAGAGGCATTTGAACAGTCTCGAGTTCGGCTGTCTATTACAAAGGAAAAATGCTATGATGAGGATATGGCATTTGAGGATGTGTACGATTACAATAAGTAATAGCCTGTAGAGACACCCTAATTCGTCATATTCTTCCAAACCTGCCCCAACATACATAAACCTGAAGATACTCATACAACTTTTACCACCAATTCCAACTTTTACCTTACACAGTTCTCATTCTCGGCAGTCTTCCAGTTCAACCATCAGCCTTTTGCAACAACATATCAATGACCTTCTGCCGCTCATTCATATCCCTCTGAAGCTCAGCCACATACTCCAAGCGGATAGCATCGACTTTTTCCTTATGTAAACGAGTCATCTCATCAGTCACTTTCGCGAGCTTCGCTTCTAGATGTGAGCTTGCAGCAAGCGGGACGCTACGCAGGAAGATGCCGTTTTTCTGAGTGAGAAATTGTGCGAATGTCTGGACAGGGGATACGGTTAGTCTATGGTTCTGAGTTGGGTGGCAGCATATGGCATGAAGACCGTATTCAGATGATCATAGAACGGAGGAAATATACCTGGTTTTCGTTGAGCAACTGAGTGGCAAAGGCATTGCTACTCTGTGCACCTTGGGGCGCAAGAATGTTAGCGGAATTCTGATACTGAGTGCCGTCGATACTACTAGCTGCAATCTCTGGAGTCATCGAAGCCCGAGCGTGCTCTTGCTGAATCCTGGATTCGATGTGCTGACGACTTCTGTCCTTTGCTTGTTTCACACTTGCAAGACCGTTATGAATCTGAACTTCAACGCGGTGCATGGGACTAATGCTGGCTTGCTTGGTGGTAGACGCGTCTACTTGCTTCTGTGAGGTCTTTGCTGGGGTCTGACGAGGGCGTTTGGACACTTGAAACAATGAAGTTTCACTTTCGCTAGACTCGTTCTCTTCGGTCTGCTCTGTGTATGGAGTTTTGCGAGTTCGTTTGCGAGTCCTTGTAGTTGTAGTCTCCTGAGTGGATGGTGCGGTACTGGGGGATTGCTCGAATGCAGTCATTCCTGCTCCTAAATTACTGTGAGTAGGATATATCAAGAAGCTGAGAAGTGGTCTTACTCATGGCCTGACCGGCATTAGGGGCGGGAGTGCTAGAACGCTGAGCCCTAGATGTCGAGGGTGGCTGAGGGGTCTTTGACGGACCACCACCACGCGCTGGCTTGAAGCTCTGAAAGGCTTGCAACAGCTCAGCATGGGTCTGCTGGTTGTTTTGCTTCTCAGGACTGCTTTCTCCTGAATCCATGATGCGTAATTCGCTGGACGACGTGGAAGGAGTTGTGAGAGGGGTTATTTCTGAAATGACGCGTTGACGAGGGGAATGAATGAAAACGACTGGGTTGCGTTGTGTACCAGGTCGAAAAGGAGGAGAGGGTCCATTTAAAAACACATTCTGAGTCACGCTTTGATAGAGAGGAGGCTGGGTCTGAAGAAGACGAAGAAATTGGGGTTGCAATAGATGAGGAGGCGCTGCCTGGAACAGATGAGGAGCTTCGGATAGAACGTATTGAGGGGGAAAGGTTTGAAAAGGATCTAGAGGTCCTGGTTGGACTAGATGAGAATCTCCAGTCTGATATTGTGGAGGAGGTCTAGCCAGGAATGGACGAGGGTGTTGGGTCTGATCTGGGTAAGGGGTTTCATGAATTGGATGATGATGTCCAGTATGAGTAGGAGGTGTGGTCAGAAACAATTGAGAGTGTGCACTTTGTAGAAGATAAGGAGCAATTTGATTTCGCTGACGAACTCCAGTTCCAGAAGGCTGAGGAGCCCAAGTGGAGTTGTCAAACGACCACCCAGGATCAAAAGACATGTCTCTCACATGCCTGTAGGATTCTTGGTAGAAGAGGGCACTAGGGAATTGTTCTAAAGTTGAAAAACTCGAGCAAACGCCCAGGAGTTCTTTCTTATGAGCTACTAGCGGCGTCGGTTTGTTTGTCTACAGGCCACCCAGAAACAGACGGCCCTCAAAAGTGTTTGTGTATGGAACTTCCCTACCCTTCACTACTCCTGAGGATGAATATGGACTGAATGACCTCAACACTAAACATAACTTCATAAAGATCGAGATACAATATCCATGCGCAAGAAAAAATTTAATTTGAGTAGATTACAGTAGACTCTGGCTACTTAAGATATGTGATGGTTTTATATCATCAGCGTATACATGTGGAACGTCCAACATTGCGTTAATTCAGTGAAGGAATGATCTTGATCATCAATCCACACAAACTCATACTTCCATTCCTATATCAACAACACTTTACATACAGCATTTGAAGATCTACAGGTCCGGGGCATGAAGGAAGCATTCGGCTCAGTTCATCCGAGCTGCAAACAAGCCAATGACGTACGGCGATAAGAGCATCCCAGTTATCTCCGTACTTCAACAGCATCTACACCTCTCTCTTCTTAACTAATGTACATATTTGTACATATTTGTATACTCCAAGTTAATAAAATGACCGACTGGTCGACAATCACCATGCACCCCTCGGAAGTAAAACMCCCTCGTCTCCCCCCTCCCCCCGCCGACAGACTCCAACTCGCGCGCAAACCGACATCTACAGACGCAGACCCGAACCTATATCACTCCATCCTGTCTCAACACCACCAACAACCTTCTTCAAATCTCGAAGATAACGATGATAAAGATTTCGAAAAAACAGTTTTGTATCTGGCATACGGCTCAAACCTCTCCTTCGAAAAATTCCGCGGTGACAGAGGGATTAACCCGCTGTCGCAGGTCAATGTGTACGTGCCGGCGCTGAGGCTCACGTTCGATTTGGCTGGGATACCGTACTTGGAGCCTTGTTTCTCGGGGACGCAGTACCGCAGTACCACGAAGGATCGGAATGATGCGTCTAAAACGACGACGGAGCGGTATCGGGATGTGGTTGATGAGAAGGCGACAATCGACACCTCAGAAGATGTCGACCTCGAATCGGGGGATCAAGGACATGGTGGCTATCGCAAAGACCAATGGCACAAACCCCTCATCGGCGTCGTCTACGAAGTCACTCTAACCGACTACGCACACATAATCGCGACAGAAGGCGGCGGGAACGGCTACGTGGACATCGTGACTGAATGTTTCCCATTTCCCGGTGCTGACGACGACAACGAATACAACCCGAATGACCCGACGCCCGACGCGCCGTCTGGAAAACCGTTTATGGCGCATACGTTATTATCGCCGCCCAAATCAGCGCATGGACCGAAGAGCCATGTCGTCAGGCCTGACCCGTCGTATGCACAGCCATCAGCGCGATATCTGAAATTGATAATGGATGGAGCAGAAGAGCTCAATTTTCCGTATGATTATCGCGCGTATTTGGCGTCTATAAGGCCGTATAGAGTTACGACTTCGGGGCAAAAGGTGGGACAATGGATAGCAGTATATATATTGATTCCGTTGTTACAGATATTCATTGTGTTGGGGGAATTGTTTGCGGATGAGGATGGAATTATACCGGCTTGGTTGCAGGCGGKGTTCAATGCGATGCGCGAGTTGATGTGGATGGTATATGATGTAGTAGGTGTGAAAGTGCTGGGGGATGGAGAGAGGAGTGTTGATGATACATAGCTTAAGTCTGATGTAACGTAGGCAGGATATACGTAAATAAATAATCAAGAACAATGAATTGCAAACAGACAAAGGAAATTATCTAAGGTCTCAGATCAAACTAATTTTGTGTCTATGTATACAAGGAGTACAGGTCCACACCCCAAGGTATATCTGCGAAGAGTGGCGTTGTTCTTTTTTCGTCCGTCTTGCGATTTTCGTTTGTCGCCATAAGAAAGCCAACGAGAGAAAAATAACAACATCTAAACGTACAGATACATATTTCGATGACAGCAAGACAGAAGCAAGCCGTCATCATGGGAATAAAGAAATCGTCTAACGGCGCACGGGCGGGTTATAGACAATCTTTCTGGCCTTGATAGCAGCCCACTTGTATCGCTTGACCCACACGCTGATGGCGAACAAACCGGCGGAAAGAGCAAGAGCCTTCATACCCATCTTCTTGCGGTCGTCCATTTCGGGCTCAGCGGCCCAGTTCAAGAACTCGACAACGTCCTTGGCCATTTGGGAGGTGGTGGCGGGAGTGCCGTCTTCGTATTCGACCAGGCCGTCAAAGAGAACASGAGCCATAGCAATACCTACGGAAAATCAGCAAGTAATATCGACACAGAGTGGGCATACATACCGGTACCGGGGAAGTAGGGGTTGAAATTCAAGCCCTCCTGGACAGAAGCACCCGCAGGGGGCTCATCAGGGTAACCGGTAAGAAGAGAGAAGATATAGTTGCAGCCACCGTGACGGGCCTTGACAATCAAGCTGAGATCGGGAGGAAGAGCACCGTTGTTGGCAGCACGAGCGGCCTCGTCGTTCTTGTAGGGAGCGGGCATGTAGTCAGAAAGCTTTCCGGGACGCTTCTCGATTTCGCCCTCGTCATTGGGCTCTGTGTCGTATTCTTGTTCCTCGGCCATGGCCTTCATTTCGTCAACGGTGTGCATGACACCGACAAAGTCACGCCATGGCACACGGGTGAGCGAGTGGCAGCTGGCGCAGACTTCACGGTAGACCTGGAAACCACGGCGGAGACTAACCACGTCAGTTGTCAGTATTGAGTAGACTCTTCGAGGGTCGCTGAGATGGAACATACGCTTGGTGGTCGAAGGTCTTGTTCCATTTGGCATGTTCCCAAGGGTACTGAGTTGCGTGCAATCTGCCGAGGTTGTCAGCCAATCGTATCCAGTAATCTCCTACACTTGTATAACTCACCCCTCCTCAGCAGGGGTCATGGCAAACGCCTGCTGGCCGTACAAGTGGTAGTACCAGGCGGTGGTTGCGATGGTGGCAGCGGTTGCAACGGTAGCGGTCGCAGTCAGATAGAACGGAGAGCTCGCGTTCTCAGCACCGAAGGATGTGGAGGAGGCTCGCTGCATCAATCGTTAGTAATCCATTCCAATAACCCATAACAAATGACAGAAAGCCATTGCAGCCTCATAGACGATCCAATGGCTATCACGACGACGGATGGGGTGGTGTGCGTACCGAGTTCTGACGAAGGCTCTGGMGTGCAGTGGCCCGCGCAGGCGCAGCACGAAGAAGCGAACGAGCCAGCATTGTTGCGTGATTGCTGGAGCCCTCCGATGTGTATACAGAGAAAGAAGCGTAGGGGCCCTGGAGTGGAGGGGAGAGGAATTGGAGAGATGGCCTATGATGGCTTGCGAGGTGAAGTTCCAAGTTGGACGGTCGGAGCTCGGGATGGAATTTGCTTTCGCTGATTACGTGCGCGCTGATTGGTCGAGCGGACGGCTCTAGTCGCCTTACGAAAACACCCGAACTCGTCTCTCCCTTCATCTTATTAATGCTCTTGACATGATAGATACACTAATTGATTGTGCTGTATTGAATGATTATATTTACATGTTATACATTGATATAAGTGATATAAGTTAAACACCCTCTATGTGTGTGGCTGGTATAACCTCAAATTCCCTATCCGATCTCTTTGCAAGTTCTTCCTTGACCCATCCACCAATCAAAGAGGCAGCGTCATAAGGGCTGTCTAAATGATGCTGGAAGAAACCCTGTAAAGCAGACGGAGTAATCTTGTCATCCGGTATCTGGCAAGCAAAATCGGTGGCAAGTTCTTGCAGTTCGTCCATGTCTACCAGAGTCTTAAAGCCTAGGTCAGGTGAGAACATGCGCAGGAACATCTCCCTGCTAGATTGCCGAGTGATATTGCCCAGATAAACCTTCATATCAATGCGACCTGGTCGGGTCAGTGCACTGTCCAATGCCTCTGGTCTATTAGTGGTCATGATGACAATACGGCCTTCCTGTGAACCAACGCCATCTAGAACATTCAACAGTCCGGATAAAGTGCAATTCTGCATTGGCTGTCCTTCTTGCACGGGTTTTGATGCTGCCGAGCGGTCTGTCCATACGGCATCAATATCTTCGAGTAGGACTACACATCTCGGTGGGATATCTTGAAACATCTGCTCTAAATCGGCATCGGTAGCAACACTGGGAATCTTCACTTCGTAGAGGTCAAGACCAAATTCACCCGCAATAGCGAGCGATAGAGACGATTTTCCAGTTCCAGGTGGCCCATAGAAGAGATATCCTCTGCGATAAGGCATGCTTCGTGTCTGATAACGCCGCTGAGTCTTGGGATCCAAATAATTTCGAATATCTGCAAGTAGATCCTGCTTCAGCTGATTATCGAAATGGACAGTTTCCAGTAAGCGAATCGGCTTGCGAGCTTTAGGCTGCCAGGCAAGCCCGTATCGATCCCGTGAATATATAATAACGAAGAATTGAGTCTGCATCTCGGAATAGTCTCGACAAGCCTTTATAAATTCCTTCACAGGGTCTGCAGACCAGCCGAAGCAGCTTATCGTAAGTTCTTCTCCCCCAATACCATCATAGCCTGGATTTGACATGGAGATACTACTGTCACTGGAGCGTACCACAAGAAATGCATTCCCATTGTACCAGAGCCATTTGGTATCCCAATGAGGTAAATAGCGGACAGGGTGTCGAGTTTTCTTCAGTGCTGCGGCCCGATCAATGCCGGAATTCCCGACTTCTGTGAGTCCAGTAAAGTATCGATAATTTCTAGGTCGATTTGCGAGGATCCATTCCACGACGCTCCGATTCAGAGGGTCGCCTCCAGGTACCGTGACTGAAGCGAGAAGAGATTGTCGTACCCAGCTGTAAGTCTCATCCCAGGCACGCCGTAAAAACCTCCAAGCAGTCGGTAATAATCCGGCAATGGCAACAAGAGACCCAATTTGAGTGATATCTAGTTCGGAGAAACGAGACACGACTTGTTTAGCCAAAAGAAGGCCGTTGGAACAAGGGTCCAGTAATGGGTGACTTGCAGCACCTCCGGCATGGATATGAAAGGCCATATCCTTGTGATTGGTCGCAGTCGATGTTGATATAGGTGATCTCAAGGACGCAGAATGTTGCTACCATACATCCTCGATTAGTGTACAGGAACAGAAAGGACAAAATTGTAGCAGCGATTGAAGTGCATATAATGATTAAATATAAAATGGCAATAAAGACAGTAAGAAGAAGAGAAGTAATAATACAATGAGCGACAGAAGACGAAAAGAAAGGCGTTGTACACAGTTCGAGGTTGAGTTATAGACGAAGTCGAAATATTTCTGGCCCGATTTCTTATCGACTTATCGCAGCCCGGACTTATCGGAGCCGCGCCACAGAAACATACATGTTATGTGGTTACATGCGCCACAAAGAGCTGATTACGTATACCACTGTTTGCTTCGTCAGGGAGACAACCACCACAACAGTGTAACCTCAGTGATGACAACCTCGTTTCTGGTGTCACTGTCGTCTCTAGTATATTTTACGCGATAACAGATGCGTCAGCCGATATAAAGGGATCAGACCGTTATGAGATAGCTTCTCCACCATTCCGTGCTGTTCAATGGCAGCCTCAACTATCCCGCTCCATAGCTGAAGCCAACATAGATGGCAGTATATCGCTAAACGACCCCTCTCCTTCACTCCAAATCGTTGGCACAATGTCAAAACCTAAAAAGCCACCCGCATCTCGCGGGCCACCGCGCAGAGATGTTCTGGCGTCTCTCAAAATGGCTTCTATGGAGATTATTGTTCCCGTTTTACCTGCAGGTATGTCGTGTCTCGTGAGCCGGCATCTGCTGTATAGCTAATAGAGGAAAGAATTAATGTCGCAGGTCCTCGATTATGTCGATCCGGTTGATCTCGTACGTGTCGCCCAAACCTCGAAACGCATGCGCGAAATGGTATATGAGGATGCGAGATGGGTTACAAGGTTAAAACGGATAGGTTGCTGGAATGAAGAAGAAGCTAGGCAGCATGCAGAAACCGCAACACCTACAATTCCTGCAGCTGTATACGGGAGACGACGATCAAGCGCTCACAAAAAACCAGCAGACGGGTTCGATACTATACCCACATCATCAGGTGCAACAAAAGAGGCTGAAGGTTCGGTTCAAGAGGACGAGACGCTTGACATTTTGCGGCATATCAAATCGATACGTGGAAAGGCACGCCAGGAATATGGCCGGGTCCATGCCGCGTTGGCACCATTGTATAATGACATCGCAACGAGTGGAGGATCTACAGACAGCTTGGTTTTCAAACGATATACCGACCCAGAAAGCCAGGCTAAAATGCTCGCTCAGATTTTGAAATTTGCTGAAAGCGACACCTCGGACGGATGGGCTCATCGCGAAATACGTCTTCAGGAAGCAATACAGCTGTTTGAGACGGCTGCGATTCGCGAGTTTCGCAATGCATACGAGGCATCTGACATTAACGGCGAAATGCGAAAATATGCCCACGTCTTGTGGTATCTCAATGGCGGACAGTCTGCCATCGATTTTTTCCTTCACCACAATCATATCATCACACGAAAGGGTGAGCTCGGTAGAGTTTCAGACTGTATAGATCCAGAGACTTTGGAAGTTAAAGTGGAGCATACACAAGCATTTTTCACACGATTCGGAGTTGCCTTCAACGAAGAAATCGAGGCCATCAACGGCGCATTTCCAAAAGATCTAGAGGTAACAATGCCTTTTCTCGACAAAGCAAGCGTCAGCGTTTTATCACCTTTTCTGACAAGCCTCTTTGACGAATTACATCGAAGCAACATCGAAAGTTATCTCAAAGCTGTTTCTGGCACATTCGCACAATGTTTGAATCTTTTCACAGATTTGAAAATACCTCTGGCGCCTGGTGTGAGCAAGGAAAACACGATAACCCGTGCCATGGCCCAAATATTTGAGCCTCATTTAGATCTTTACCTCGCGGAAGAGCTCGACTTCTTCCGTAAAGGCTGTGATGCCACCGTCGATGATTGGGATCGACAATTATCCGAACAAGCGGCATCTACAGAATCGTTTCTCATGTCCAATGTGAATCGACAAGCTGCCAAGAACGATTTCCTGACGTCTTTCAAAAAAGTGCTCATGATGCCAGTTACCATTCTACCTCTACCGAGCTTCAACAAGTCTCACAAAGATGGTGGAGATATTTCCGAAGCCGACAACGCAGCGGTACATAACAAGAGTACAGCAAGATTCTCGACGGTGTCTCCAGTCCCTGCTACCTTGTCCTTGTCCGAGGCACCATCCGATGAGTTGGCTGCAAAGGCCGCCTTGATGAATACAAGATTAGAAGGCATCAAATCATTGTTTAGCATAGAGGTTGCTCTTGGCTTAGTTCATGCGGCAAAGACCAGTCTTGAACGCACAATACAATTTGTTAAGCTGGGAGGCGATTGGGGGAATACCGCCAAACAACAATGCGAGGGTATATTTATTTCCTTACTTGAAATCCTCGGTCATCGGCATGTCATTAGAGGAATGAGCAAAGCTGTTGACCATTTATCAAACTATCGACCGCGCGAACAGGGTGAACGAGACAGGAATGGGGTAGAACCTCTAGTGACGTTCTTGGAACTTGTGAACGTCGGCGATCTTATTTTACAAATGATGGATGTCTTCTACGAACAAGAACTTATTGGCGCGAAACTCATCGATCGCAGTGACTTTCTTGACCCGGCGGCAAAAGGCAAGAAGAAATTCGAGCAAAGACTCGATGAATGTGTGGCATCTGGCTTGAATAAGGGCATCGATGTGCTCATGGAGGAAGTAGACTATATTCTCGCCACGAAACAGTTGACAACTGATTATAACCCGGAAGCCGACATTGACGCTGGGCGAAAAGTACCCGATATTGGTGTCAGTGATGCAGCGGTCGGTGTGATTGATGTCGTTTCGTCGCATACTTCCATGCTTATTGGCAGCACGGATAAAAGTACACTTGATGTGTTCAATCAAGAAGTCGGGCTCAGGCTTTTTGCAGCCATTTGCAAGCATCTCAAACGGCAACGGATCAGCGTCGACGGGTCACTCAAACTGATCAGGTATGTATCTTCACTCTGAATCTCTACGGGGAAAGTACTGATCAAGACAGTGATATGAACCATTATTTCAAGTTCGTCCAGAACCTCAAAAATAACGAACTTCTACTCTACTTCAAAGCGCTCCGAGAGCTCTCACAGATCTACCTGGTTGACCCATCCGACGCCAAAGAGCTCGCATCCGTCATTGCCGATAATGACCGATTTTACGGTATTTTCCGTGCCGAAGAGGTCTATGAATTTGCAGAACGGCGAGCAGATTGGTTCCAGGTTCGCCGCGACGTTGAGCGAGCCATGTACGGGCTGGAATGTAATGTGATGTGATTTGATGATGTTGATGTTGATGACGATGGCTAATGCCGCATGTATATATACATATTTCCGCATATAACATATGTCCTAGACGTGATTGGATATGATTCCATCCATGTTGATCTGATTGCTAAGCAGTATTCTTCGCTGAATAACCCTGCGTAATTTCCGCTTATGTGCTATATCCGCATATACACTAGTCAATGATGTCATTAGTTCCATTTCTAGTTTATCCTATCAGCAGCCAACAGCATGTCAGCATTTAGCTTCAATATGTTGTTTTCCCACTACATGCGTAGATGCTATTATTGTTCGAGAGTAGATAGGGTTTGAGCGGGGTTTACGGCGATATTGGCGGAGATACTTGATAAAAATGGCCCCGCGTTGGGAGGATGTATAAGTAGGCGAGATCCCCTCTTCGTTCACTTTCTTGTAAATCATCGAAAATTTCACTACAAATTAATCCACTAATAGAATCATCATCATGCCTCGCGTCCTCGTCACAGGCGGCAGCGGCTTCCTCGGCGGCACTGTAGTCGACACTCTACTTGCTCGCGGCTACTCAGTCGTCACAACGGTACGCTCCACCGAAAAAGCGCAACAAATGCGCCTCGACCGACCACACATCCCTGCCTCTCAACTCGAGTTCGCCATTGTACGCGACATTGCACAGTTGGATGCCTTTGACGACGCCGTGCAACAGAATCCGGCCCTAGATGCGGTCATTCACACCGCTTCCCCGTTCCATTATCGTATCGATGATGTGAAGAGGGATATGCTTGACCCTGCCGTGAATGGAACAGTGGGCGTACTGCAATCAATTAAGAAATATGCCCCATCAGTGAAAAGGGTGGTGATTACGTCTAGTTTTGCGTCTATGTATAACAATCCTAATAAACCTACTGGATCGACGTATAGCGAAAAGGATTGGAATCCCGTGACATGGGAGACTGCCCTTGAGCCTGAGAATGCGGCTGGTCAATCCGGATATCGCACCTCAAAGGCCCTTGCGGAAAAGGCGGCGTGGGAGTTTGTGGAAAAGGAGAAACCGGGCTTTGCGTTGACGGCGATTAMCCCGCCACTCATCTTTGGGCCTGTTGCTGCGAATACTAGTTCGGTGGAAGGCATGAATACGTCCAATGTGCGATTTGTGGAGTTTATTACGGGGAAAGTCAAAGAGAAGTGTCCGCCGACGGGCAGTCTGTTTTGGGTTGATGTGCGAGATGTTGCGTTGGCGCATGTATTGGCTATTGAGAAGGATGCGGCGGCCGGTCAACGTTACTTTGTGGCTGCTGATCCATTTAGTAATGTCGAATTGGTTGATATTATCAGCGAGTCGTTCCCTAAATACAAGGATCAGTTACCGACGGGCGAGGCGTTGAAGTTGGGGAGATATCCGGAAGGGGGACCGCCGTATAAGGTCGATAACTCGAAGTCTGTGAATGAGTTGGGACTCAATTTTAGGACATTGAAGGAAAGTGTTGAGGATACAGTGAAGAGTGTTGAGCGTTTGCTGGAAAAGGCTTGATTTGTATGCCCAAAAAGGGAGCTGAGGCGAGCTCGCTCCTTGTATCACTTCACCTCTAGCCTCGTCCATATACATGAGTCTAGAGTATCAGAACAGATACATAAGCAACTATGTACATGCATTGATCTCCATCTATATCGCCATTCACTTCTTAGGTGCGGGGCAGATGGTACAAATACATTCCAACGAGAGCCCTGATAGACAAGAATTTCCGTTCAAATATGAATACCGAGTCAATATTCAGATGTTTCAATCGATGTTGGAGACATAGACTTATCAAAGTGTTTGGTAGGTTAGGGCAACTGCGTGCCATCTCAGCGCCTACTGAAACGTTTCAACATCACCTAGCAGCCAATCATCCGCTACCGCGATTTTTCAAGGTTCTTTACTTGAACTAAAGTCTATTCTGTTTATATTTAATATTGGATTTATTTATAGCAAAATCTTTAATATACCTGTTTATAGTCTGGGGATGATCCGGAACAATGTTGACTATCATACTCCAAGCTCCATCTGATATGCTATCACATACCTCTTGAGTCTTCTATTAAAATGAAGTCTAGATAAATCGAAACCTGTGCAGTTTATATAGAACAAAATAATGCGACGTCTTTCATCCTACATTCTGCTTCTATATACACTACTCGAGCTCGTATCCAGCCAGGACATACAAGCCCTGACTCGACTCCCCCCAACACCAACAATACCAATACTCGAGAAACGTGCAGGCACTGTCATCATAGTCACAGTCACGGTAACACCTTCTGCTGTACCTGTATCCCCCTCATACACGAATTCCGCAGTTTTTGAAAATGACATCCTCAATCAAACCAACTACTATCGCCGACAACACAACGCCAGTGCTCTGATATGGAACGATACGCTGGCGACATACGCCAAACAATGGGCTGAGCCATGTAATTGGAAACATTCAGTATGAAAATTCGCCCCCGACTGTTCAAGTGACCATATTCATGGACAAAACTAACAGCGAAATTATAAAGGGCGGCCCCTACGGCGAAAACCTCGCCGAAGGCTACACAAACGTCACATCCGCAATCGATGCCTGGGCCATCGAAAGCGAACAGTACAAGTATTCCCCTCCTACCGGGTTTAGTGAAAAGACGGGCCATTTCACGCAGTTAGTGTGGAAGGCTACGACGGATGTTGGGTGTGGTGTTGCGGATTGTTCGGCGAATCTTGATGATGGAAGAAATGGAGATGGGAAAGCGGTGGGATGGTTTTTGGTGTGCGAGTATTGGCCGCCGGGGAATGTGGTTGGAGAACATAATGAGTATTTCAAGGTGAATGTTGAGCCGGTGATCTCTCTGGGTGTTGGGTTAGAGGTGGATGGGGTTGGTGTTTGGTTAATGCTTGTCTTTGTGGTTTTGCATTTGCTGTAACCGTTGGTGGACTGCATAATCTCATATTCCGAGTATATTGGGTATCTCATCATATATACTAGTGTAAACCATCAATGTCGCCATATTCTAACTTTTTTGTCCGCACCTCCACTGCCCACTCGTTCCCCATCTGGTGACCAGTCTACAGCAAAGACTTGATCCTCATGGCCCGGTAGATCCATGACTAGCTTCCCTGTGCGAACATCAAATATCTTGAGTGTGCTATCTTGAGATGAGCTAACGAGTAGCCTTGAGTCTGCCGAGAAGCAGCATTGATAGACTGCTGCTACATGGCCTCGAAGGGTGTTGATGAATCTATAGTCTGTCAGCTTGTGGTCAATCGCACGAAAGAAAAAATGGAAAACTCACTTTCCGTCTCGAGCATTCCAGAGCTTGACGTGATTATCAAATGCAGCGCTGCAATATATTAGCAAAACTCAAAGGGTCTCGATAGTATAGCATACCTTGCAATATAAGCCCCATCAGGAGAAAATGTGACGTGATTCACTGCCTTCTGATGACCCAACATCCTTGCAACAGGTTTCGTCGAGCTCTCTGGGTCCCAAAGGTACATCGTAAAATCGTCACTGGCTGATACAAGCCTCTCCGTGATTTTGCCCTGAACAGTAGCAGCCTTCTCGAACCGCTTCTTCGCTACCTCCACCTTCTCAGCTTCTGTTTCGGGAATCTTATGCGTATGATCGTGGAAAGCAGTTCGTAACACAAAGTCAGTCGAAAGAGCGAGATGATTGACACGATGTGTATGAGCATTTAGCGCGGTAATCAAAGTACCGTCTTTAGCAGACCAAACTCGAACAGTCTTGTCCAAAGACGCAGTATAGATCTTCCCGATACCGCCCCAACGCACACAAGTCACGGAGTCCTTATGGCTTAGAACCATTTCAATTCTTTTATTGACAACATCCCATATCCTAACTGTTGTATCCTTGGACGCAGACGCCAGGCGCGGTCGGCCGTCCTCTTGTGTATGGTATGGTTCCCACGATAAACTGTTGATCCATCGACTATGACCCTTGAGTGTACCCAATGGCTTTCCCTTGTTTGAAGACCAAAGTCGCACAGATTTATCTTTACTTCCTGTAGCTATCATTTGCCCATTTGGTGAAAATGATACTGCCAAAACCCAATCTGTGTGTCCTTTCAAAGTTTCGATCGGTGTACCGGTATCGCAGTCAAATATCCTAGCGGTATTGTCGCCGCTGCCTGTCACCATAGTCGACGACGAAACGGGAGAAAACGCTATAGCCAAGATTGCAGAACCATGTCCAGCTATTGCGGCGGAGCATCTTGAGACTGCCTTCACTTTGAAAACAGCTTGCGGGGTGTAATGGAGGCGTATGACATCTTCAGTAGTTTTCAAGCCGGGTTTGATCAATGCGTCGTATAGATCGGAGAGGATATCGACCGTCGGTCCATCTTCCTGTTCGGATTTGTAGGCAAACCTATATGGCACTCGATCATGTTCCGTCTTTTAAGACACCATTAGCGCTCTGAAAACATATAATAGTGTAAGGAGCCCATTACATTGTTCAAAATGGTGTTGAGTATGGTCTCAAGCTCTCGCACGCTAGTATTTGCAACAGGGACCTTGATTTCACCCTTGGTGGGCGTTCCGGTAGACTCATCGATAAATTGAAGCACAACGCTGCCAAGAGTTCGAGGAATAACTTCGATTTCTTGTTGTTCGCGAGCCCTGTCGGCGATTTCTCGTTTTTGTTTCTTGCTCGGAGGGGGTAAGAGGGTCGCCATCTCGTCAGATCAGTCCAAACAGACAACAATTGCCAAAGCGACGTATTGTCGTTGTTGTTGTTGGAGGTGCTACCGTCCATGCTAAGAGTTGCAGTGAGATAGAAATTTCGGACATTTTCCCGCACTAACCCAATTTGGATAACCCTTATCTTATCGCAGCGTGCCTTCCTAAACGGGAAGCTGGCACTTTCCACGTACATTTTTTTTCTACCAGCCTGTTTCTTCTTCATCTATGTTTTCCTCCTCGCTCGATAAACTACATTCCACACTTCGCTCAGTTACCAAAATGTCGTCGCTTCTCACTGACGTTCCTCCTAGCGAGATGAGACCTCGACCAGGCTTCAGTCAGCGCACCTACACTGGTACTAGACCTACGACTTCTGGTACGAGCATAGTGTCTCAGGAAGTCATCTGCGCTATTAGTGAGTCTCGTGGGGTCTCGCCAACGGTTGGACTAGCATTCGTCAACCTGTCCACGTCTGAAGCAGTACTCTGTCAGATCTGCGATAGTAACTCTTATGCGAGAGCGATCAACAAGCTAGCCGTTTTCGAGCCCACGGAGCTTTTGTTTATGAACACGCCAAGTGCACGTCAAACAATGCTATACGACACCATTCAACACAACATACCAGATCTTATCATCAGTTCAATTGGCCGCCGGTACTGGTCGGATAGGGCAAGCCAGGAATACGTTGACAAGCTTGCTTTTCCAGAGGAGTTGGAGTCAATCAGGGGATCCTTGGAGAGCCACTATTTTGCAGCTTGTTGTCTTGCAGCGGTACACTACATTCCTGTATTCTTGCATGAAGTGACCTGATCTGCTTAGGTCCTGAAGTATATCGAGCTCCAACTTGACTTGACCTTCACATTTCATTCCCTTCGCATCAAATTTGAAGCCTCCCAGGGCTCGATAATGATCGACCTCTCTACCACAGCATCTCTAGAATTGATTCAAAATCTTCAAAACGCCAAATCACGGGATTGTTTGTTCGGCCTCTTGAACGAAACCCTGACTCCGATGGGTTCGCGGCTATTGCGGACTAATATACTACAACCGCCTACTGAGCAGGAAAGGATAGCTGCTCGCCACGATGCTGTTGAGGAATTGAGTACAATAGAAGACATGTTCTTCGCCATCAGAGAGGGTTAATTCAGTATTTCCATGGTTTGAATAGCAACGCTAAGTATTTCTAGCATTGAAGAATTTCATTGACGCCGACAAAGTTCTGACATCAGTAAGCTTATGGACATGTGTGTGGTGAATAGCGAAACTAACAGCCAAGATTACATTGAAACCCGTCAGACCTTCCATCTCTCATGTGGAACAATCAGTCAATTATGTCATTATGCTAAAGTCTTATGTTTATTCGATCCTGCCTATATACGAAGCATTAGCAGGGGCAAACAGTAGTCTTCTCCTGAAGATCAAAGATGTTTGACTATCACTCTACAGTTAAAGATCAAGCTAATGGAACTAGGCGTGCGCAACGAGCAATTACCAATCTATCAAAAATGCCATTGATGAGACTCTCAACGACGACGTGGTCTATCAGAGGAAGCCTCTTGATCTTCGAAACCAAAGGACATACGCAATCAAAGTGAGAAACGCGAATTATTCAGTGACCAAGCTGATCAAAAGCCAGACAGGTGTGAATAGTTTACTCGACGTTGCTCGCCAGGCATACAAGGAATCTAATGCTGATGCTGCCGAGTTTGTTTCTGTTCTTTCCGGTAGGTAATGTGCCAATGCCGAGGCTTTCTGCTAATGTTGAATAGAGAGACACAATCTTACCTTGGAACTCAAATACGACACCTCACGGAGCTACTACATCAGCTTGTCAGCTTTCGAACTAGAAGGAGTACTTCCAGACGAGTTTATTAATGTAGTCAAACGGCGAGACCGCATTGAATGCCAAACACTGGACCTTGTTAAACTCAACCAGAGAATCTTGGACTCACATTATGAAGTCATTAGTATGAGCGATCAAGCCGTTCAGGAACTGCTCGAAAAGATTTGCGAGGGTGTTCCCGACCTGTTCAAAATCAGTGAGGCAATAGCTACGCTCGACATGCTATCAGCTTTTGCACATCTAGTGACCATACAGGAGTATGTGCGGCCTGAGATAACAGATGTCCTGGCTATCAAGTCTGGCCGCCATCCACTGCATGAAAAGATACTTAAAGATAAACTCGTACCCAACGACACTTACGCAGCGCAACAATCACGCTTCCAGATTATCACTGGATGTAACATGAGCGGAAAGTCCACTTACATCCGATCAATTGCCCTTATGGCGATAATGGCTCACATAGGATGTTTTGTGCCCGCCGATTATGCGTCGTTTCCAATCATACATCAGCTGTTTGCAAGAGCAGCCACCGTTGATGAGATCAATGCGAGTGTTTCAACGTTCGCTGTCGAAATGCGCGAGATTTCCTACATCCTCCGCAACGTAGACGGACGAAGTCTCGTCATTGTGGACGAACTGGGTCGCGGAACAAGCACTACTGATGGACTAGCGATAGCAATAGCAATTGCAGAAGCTCTCCTGGACAGCCACGCCTTAGTATGGTTTGCCACCCACTTTCGTGATCTTGCGCGCATAATGTCCGAGCGAAGCGGCGTGGTCAATCTGTCCCTATCCGTGGAGCTTTCCCAGGAAAGTAGCAAGATGACTATGTTGTACAAAGTTCAAGAAGGTCATGTACAAGAGAAGTTCTACGGTCTTGCTCTTGCAAAATTCCTGCCATTCCCGCCGCAAGTCCTAGACATTGCGCAACGGGTTTCAATGCATCTATACAAAATCGCCGAAGATGGTGCCACCACTTCAAAAGCACTGAGGACATCTAGAAAGAGAAATTTAGTTCTACAGTTACGAGAGCAACTGCTGCAGGCACATAACGGAACCATAGATGGAGAAGAGTTGCGGCAGTGGCTGAAAAGACTACAGGATGACTTTGCGATGAAATTGGCGGCATTGGAAATAGGAGATGATATGGACCCTGTGGATGATGGTGCTTTAGATGACCAGGAGCAAGAATCAAAATCGGACGAGGACTCCTTTGAGCCAGTCGAGGACTACGAGAAGAGGTTGTCCACCGAAGATGTGGATTTGGTTAGTGAACAGAACACTGAGGAGGAAATGTGGAATATGTGATAAATATATCATATGTACTAGGTATTATGTATCGTATCGGGAGTACTCGGAAACTGATTCGAGGTGCTCGAAATGCTTGCTGTGAATTCTATGTACTCATAATGAAACATCTTCTATGTCGTATCAACATCCATCATCTATGCATGTATAGGGAGCCGTCTATCCAAACTGGAACAAAATCTGTTTCCCCTTCTTCCCCTTCCCTTTCTTCCCTCCAACAGTCTCATCACCCTCTCCGGGCGTCGAAGCACCAGACGTCGACGTCTCAGTACCCCAAGCTGCCGGCGCCGGACCCCGACGATCATCCCATCGCACCGTCCCGCGCGTCAAGCCGGCCATTAACGTATTCGGTTTGGGAGCTGCAGGAAGAGCCGGAAACGCGTTTCGATCTGCCGTTCGAGGCGCGGGACCCGTTGATGCGCGAGGTGCAGGGCGCGCGTATGATGATGTGGTCGTCACAGAGGGCCTGGTAGGCGGCGTACTAGTCCAGACGGGCGCATTGGCAACTGCACGTTTGGCCGCTGTTGGCGCGGAAAGTGGCGGGAATGGGTTTGTGCTACTACTCGCACTAGAAAGACTACCGGCGCGACCAACCGCAGAGCGCGACGATTGCGCTGTAGACGATTTGAGGCGCAGGACGCGTTTTCCGCCGGAGCCGGTTGTGCCGGACGAAAGTCCTGGGAGGATGCCTGGTGGGCCTGGTAAGGCGGGATAATCCTCGTTGATGGCGCGCCAGTTATTCCATGCTGAAAGTAAAGAGGACTTTTTAGAGTCGTCTTCGTAGATTTCGGCAAGTTCCTTGATTAGTTTGCCTAGTTCTGAGGTTGGGGTGTCAAACATCGAGAAGAAGGAGTCGATGAGATCGGTGGCGGTTATGAGGGAGGTGCGGTAGTTGGAGACTTTGGTGCGAAATTCGGAGATTTTGGAGGCGTCGTTTTCGAGGAGGTTGGATGCGCGCTCAACGACGGCAGCGTGGCGGAGGCGGCGGGCTTGGTCTTGAGGGGAGAGGGAGGCCATATTTGCGGTGTTGTTTAGGTTTAGGTTCTCCATGGCGTTCACGGGGGCTGCAGGAGTACGAGGGCCTGCGGTGGTGGTTTGACCGGGTAGGGGTCCAGCTGGGGAACGAGGAGCGGGGGTAGGCGCAGGCTCGCGCGCGGTGAGTTGTCCACCGAAGCTTCGAGTAGAGACGGATTGCGCGCTTTGAATGGCCATCTGGCGTTGGTAGGCTAATTCGTCTCTTCGCATTGGTTGGGCGCTTGAGAGAGGAAGTGAATCTGCATTGGGATCGCGACCTCTTCCAGCGCCACGTCCTTCTCGCCCATCTCGGCCATCTCGGCCGCCACGGCCTCGTCGTCCTGGTTGATAGGGTGCTCGGTAATCGAATGTAGATATGTCTACTGTACGGGCATCGCGCCGAGCATCTTTGGAAAGTCCATTGGGATGTGCTTCCAATTGGTGAGCTTTGAGATCCATCTGACTCTCAAAAACGACGAATTTCTTCTCTAAGCACTCCTTATCCAGACACAAAAAGTGGTCTCTCTGGAAGTGCTCCTCGAGAGCATCATAGTTGATATAGTATTGGTGCTGGCGATTGCCAGGCTGTCGGTCACAGATGTGACATCGCTCGTGCTTGTCTCTGCAGTGGGCATACAACTCGTCATCCCCGTAGAAGCGCTCGTGACAGAATTCACATTCAGGGTGGCCTTTAAATCCACTCTGGTCAATAGCGCCGGGTGTATCATCTCCAAACTTTTCGTGCTTGCGAAGTTGCGCGATAGTGAACAGCTCGTGCTCGTGTGTAAAGACCTTTTTATTCCGAGTACACAGATCACTTTATAAATCAGCTATACTGGGTCTTATCAATCTTGATAAAGAAAGAAGGACATACCACATAGATCTTCCATGCTTACTCTTGACGTGACGATGCAAATCCGGCCACCCCATGCATGCAACATCGCAATCCTTATCCGGACAATTGTAGCGCAACAGAATAACAGTATCTTCGTAAATCTCGTCTTTTTCATATTTGATACCCAAGTTAGTATCAGTCCGAGATAAATCGGTGCTCGTAAAGTCCTCGAAACGTTTATTAGGATCATCCGTGAATATCACAAACGGCGATTCAGTCTAGAGATTCGAATTAGATCAGAGTCAAAACTTGGGGACCTGTAGTCAACATACCCGACAATGCGCACAGGCTTTATTCTTATACAAAGCCCTCAACCTGAGCGCACAAATATGGCAAGTCCTATGATTACACGGAGCCACGGATGTGTGCTCAACAGTCGAAGCGCAAATAAAGCATACTTCGCCGTCGTCAGGCTCGTCCGTGGCCGCTGTAACCAACTGCTTGCCAGTCGCTTCACCCTCCCCCTTTATGGCATCTCCAGTCGGGTGGTCACCGGAGGTGCCTGGTCCATCAGGGCTTTCACCGGGTGGTTGCCCACCACCTCCATAGGTTGCGGTTGGCGGTGGGTTGTTGCGCTCGTTGCCGCCACGGCCTCGTCCTCTTCTGCCACTTCGACCGCGGGAGTTTCTGGGTTCGCTACCTTCAATGTGTCCTTCGTTTCGGCGGTGATCTGTGCGATTTGGGTTGTGAGAAGCTCCTCCGCGTCCGCCTCCTCGTCGTCGACCGCCGCGTTCGCCGCCAGCGGGATTGTTTTGTGGCCCCGCAGATTGATTGTTGTCGGCCATATGTGCGATGTAGGACGGTGGAGGTGCCGTAGATCTGAATATTCTATAAATATGTTGACAGTGTTCAGCGTAAGCGAGGGAATGTGCAAGATGTAGGCAGTGGTGGCTTGAAATAGAAGAAGTAAGTGATGTCGAATTGCCCACTTTTTTATTTTATTTAGTGGGAGCAGCGGCGGGCCTTTCCTTCTTAGCTTCTAGAACGCCACAGCAGCGTCCACTCCTGAGCTCTTTGCTTTCTTTTTGATCACTTTCGTCATTCAAGAGGCAGTGCAATTTACGTACATATGTAGGTACTCCCTTCAACGGATTGGCTGCTATCACAAGCAACTCTGATATTGCAGTGGCTCATTGCTGACATCATGACTCATGATTACTCTACATGACCACCGGCTTAGCTTGTTACATCCAGATAGATGCTACAATGTGAAAATGTCAATAAATTCATAATGCTAAATAGAAACCGTTTGTAATATGAACCAATCAACTCCCACTGAGCGAGGCAAAATATGGATATACTATACGAACGCTAATATGAGATCAATCATGCAATCACCAAAATAAATCATGAACACATAGAAGGAGCTCGCCAATGAGATCGCCAAGAGCAATTGCAAATATGAAAAGGTACGAGTCGACGCGGTCGATGAAGATCGTGCAGCGCGGTAGTATGGAATGAGATGTCTGAGAGATTCGAACTGGCGTAAATGCATCTTTGATGTGATCCCAAGTAATTTCATGCTCGTGATAGAATACTGCACGTAGTGTCAGGTATCTGAGCAGAATTGCGACTGAGCGCTGAGGAGGGAGGGACATGGAAGTGATGAGCTCAGAGTAAACTTTTCGGGTATCAAAACTACTCTCCAGGATCGTAGAGATTCTGATTCAGTATCTTAGTCATGGTAAACATGTGAACGCGATCTTGTTTGAAGACAAGTCGCATTCGATCATCGCATCGAATCTGTCGGCGGTCTGACGGGTCTTGTAGTTCGTTGGCTTTGATATACTCCCAGACTCTTTTCACAGTTTGTGGACGGGACAGCTGTTTAGATCAGTAAATATTCACCTTACAGAATTTGACATGGAGCTCACCGCAACTTCACCACCCAAAAGTTCCGACAGAGCAGGAGAGAGATTGAGAGGTTTCTGGTCCATAAGTAAAATTACTGCATAGGCGGATAGTTCTGATATTTGACTTACATGAAATCCACCAGAACGATTGACTTCTTTCTTGGTCTCTGAAGTGGACTCCAGATCCGAGTCATCTTCAGCCTTCACTTTCTTTGACGTCTTAGATTTTGACTTCTTTTTAGACGGTGCAGTCTTGCGCGTAGCACTGCCTCGTGTTGGCCGAGCACGTTTGTTCTCCTCCGCCTGTAATTTCGCGGCGAATTCCGCATCCGCATCCACGTCAGGGTCGGGCCGTCGCTTCTTCGGCTCAGTGTCATCTGAAGCCATACTTTCTGCTTCGCGTTTTCTCTGCGGTGACGACGAAGATGGCGGAGGCGTGATATGCTTCTCTTGTTTATGTGAGCTGTGTCCGTGACCGTTAGCGGTCTCTGTCGATGGGATAGCGTCGTCCGAGGGGGTCGATGGTTCGTTGTTCTTGTTCATGAACAGGTCAAATCGCTGCATTATGAGGTCCTTCACGGGCGCCTGCTCGATATTAGCAACCGCGCGAATCATAATGGTGAATTGGAGAGTCAATCCCACCTTGTAGTCATTGAGGTCATAGTTGACAGTAGCTTGGAGACCCTGTCGGATTCGTTTGGAGGAGATGGTGTTGATGTCGCTCGCAGCAAGAATCGAATCAATTACTTTCGTGAAAGAAGCGCGCTGCTCGTCAGAGACTGTACCAAAAGGCCGGTTAATGACTCTATTCAACTGCCGCAATGATCTTAGTTCCACTTACGCGACATGTTGAGCGCTGACAGCCTGTGTCGGCGTAGCAATCCAAAAATTGAGAACAAAAAAGAGTCGATTCAATTGCAATCTTGACAACCAAGCATTCCCAAAAAACAAGAGTTTGAGTTGCTGGAGAGAATGACAAGGCGTTACTTATTCTTATGTTGATGTAGATGAGAGACCGGCGCTTCGGGCGATGGGTGGGGCATGGATAAAAGATGGAGCTAAGACAGCAACAAAGATCCTTGACGGTTGGGTGGATGACCAATGCGTAGCAGAATGAAAGGGATGGGAAAGAATCCAAGAAGAGAAGGTTATGATATATGCGGAGGATTTTCTGGCGGCGAGTTCTACAAGAAGAAATAAGCTGCAGGAACATCCGATGGGAAGCTCACTGACATGTCACTCGCTTTCTACATGCTTGCCGTGCGTGATTGGCCGAGGAGCCGCAGCCGCGAGCAGACGAGAGGGCACGTGACTTTTGCTGGCACTTTACAAATGGAAACCAAATCATACCTTTGTAATTGAATTGTATATTAGTGCTACATGTGGATAGTGGAATATTTTGTACGTATTCAAGGTCCTTGCTGGCCAGCAGATCATACGGTATAGCGTAGTCGATGTTTGTCTTGTTTGTCTTTGTGGTTCTCCGCCTCGGGAGGGTGACTAAGCAGCACACACAGAATTAGTTAATCCGCTGTGCAAGACCAAAGGCAAAGATCCAGCCAAAAGAGGTCGACGAACATTTCTGTAGAGCGCGCAACTCGCTACACCGAGCACTAGGGCCTTTTCAAACTGATACTCACCTTTCAGTCTGCCCAGCATGGCTCCCAGCTTCGACAACCTCTCTGAGGACGAGTTCGACGTTGAAGATATCAACTTTGACGGTAAAAAATTAAAATTTCCCCGGTTGGCTTACCCCTCCGCAGCGGGCTAACAGGCTGAATAGATCTCCACGAACAGTTCGAAGTCCGACTCGAATCAGGTTACGATGCATTCGTCGTTCTCGATGGTCTTCCGGTTGTGCCAGGTGAGCTGCGACCCCAATTTGCGGTGAGGTGGAATGAATGTCAAGATGGCTGTCGCGTTGGAAGGCGAGGTGGAGAGAGTAACAATCATACTGACGATTTTTCCAGAGGACAACAAGGACAAACTAGTGAAATATGTTTCAAAAAAACTGGCTGGTGTTGGTCGCGTGGTTGATTTTTTTATGCCCATAAATGCTGAGGCCAAGTCCGAAGGGTAAGCGGGAGGAATCTGCAAAAACAGAAGCAAAGCGAGGGACTGACTTTGATAGATACGCCTTTGTTGAATACGAGACTCCAGAACAAGCATCAGCAGCCGTCAAGTCACTTCACGGCGTTGCCCTTGACAAAAAACACACCCTTCTAGTCAACAAGCTTACCGATATCGAGCGCTATGGCCGTGAAGGACGCATCGACGAGGAATACACTGCACCCGAAATCCCACCTTTCCAGGAGAAAGAACACTTGCGATCATGGCTCGGTGACCCAAATGCTCGAGACCAATTTGCTCTTTTCCGCGGCGACAAAGTCGGTGTTTTCTGGAACATGAAGAGGGAAGAGCCGGAGAACGTTGTTGATCGCCCGCACTGGACACAGCTTTTCGTGCAATGGTCGCCGCTTGGAACATACTTGGCTTCGATGCACCCTCAGGGTGTTCAACTTTGGGGTGGAGCTTCCTTCTCCAAGCAAAAACAACTTCCTCATCCTTTTGTTCAGCTCATCGAATACTCCCCTAACGAAAAGTACATCACAACCTGGTCGGCGCGACCTATTCAAGTCGAGGAGGGACAGGCAGGTCCTCTTACTATTGATGAAGATGGAAAGCACATTGTTATTTGGGATATTGAGACTGGAAAACCTTTGCGATCTTTCGTGGCACATGACCTCGCCGGACCTGAGGGCGATGCGGCTGCACCCAAGAAGAAAATTCAATGGCCTGCATTCAAATGGTCTGCCGATGAGAATTACGTTGCTCGCATGCTTCCAGGACAATCGATTTCCATCTACGAAGCGCCGCGTATGAACTTGCTGGACAAGACTTCTGTCAAGATTGATGGCATTGTGGACTTTGAATGGGCACCTGCTACAGTGGTTCGTGAGGGTGTCAAGCGCCATGAGCAACTGCTTTCTTATTGGACCCCTGAAATTGGCAGCAACCCGGCCAAGGTTGGATTGATGAGTGTTCCATCGAAGGAGATTGTTCGTACCCGAAATTTGTTCTTGGTTTCAGATGTCAAACTTCACGTCAGTACCTTATTCTTATACCCCCTCTATATTTTTCCTATTGTGATACTAATCCTCTGCAGTGGCAATCACAAGCAGCCTTCCTCTGTGTCAAGGTTGACCGACACAGCAAGAGCAAGAAGAGCATGGCCACAAACTTGGAGATCTTTCGTATCAAGGAGAAGGGCGTCCCCGTCGAAGTTGTGGACAGCTTGAAGGACACAGTAATCAACTTTGCATGGGAGCCTAAGGGTGACCGATTCGTAGTGATCACATCTGGCGAGGCCGTCGCCGGAGCAGCCACAGCCCCCAAGACATCCGTCTCTTTCTTCGCGCCAGAGAAAGTCAAGGGCCCCGGTATTGGTAACTTCCGACTTGTGCGAACCATCGAGCGCAAGACTAGCAACGGTATCTACTGGTCGCCCAAGGGACGATTCGTGGTCGTCGCCACTGTGCACTCACAATCCAGCTTCGATCTCGATTTCTGGGACATGGACTTTGAAGGTGAAAAGCCCGAGGCAGAGAAGGACTTGAACGCCAACGTTATGCTTCTCAAGACCGCAGAGCACTACGGCGTCACAGACATTGACTGGGACCCCACGGGCCGCTACGTGGTCAGCAGCGCCAGTGTGTGGACTCACTCCATGGAAAACGGCTGGAATATTCACACTTTCTCCGGCGAGACGCTTGCTGAACACCCGACAGAGAAATTCAAGCAGTTCCTCTGGAGACCCCGACCACCTACCTTGTTGAGCAAAGAGGAGCAGAAACAGGTGCGCAAGAACCTGCGTGAATATTCCAAGGAATTTGACGAGGAAGACAAGTACGCCGTCGACATTGCCAATACAGCCGTCGTTGAGAAACGTAAGCGCGTGCTCAATGAATGGTTGGCCTGGGCCCGGAGGGAGAAGGAGCTCCTCGCTGAGGAGAAGGAGGATGCTGGTCTGCCTGAAGATGAGGAAGTTTTCGCTGATACACCCAAGGGCGTCGCCACCAAGGCGGAGGGCGAGCCTGCCGATACGGTTGTTGAGGAGATTGTGGAAGAGATTATTGAAGAGACGGAGGAGATTATTGGATAATTTCCACGCCCCCCTTTTTTTCTCTTTCATACTTGCATACCTTTTTCTTTTCTTGCTGTTATAAAATCGTTCGGTACTGGGGAAACATTTCTTTGTCTGTCTTATTTCATAATCGACTTTACGCCTTCTCATTTCAAGTGAAAGATGCAAACCCACGACCATATACTATTGGTCATATTCATACATGTTAGGAGATCGAAACGAGAAAAACATGAAAGGGGATGATGATACATGATGATACAATTATTTACGATGTAACTCATGATTTGATGAGCTGAGAGGGATAGGTAGACAGTTTGATTGATACAATGACTTCATCTGCTTGCTAGTACTATCTACATATTACTATCTACATATTACCTGGACAATGAGTATTAGGGCTTCCTTTTACCTGTTTTGGGGGGAGGGGGAGGGGGGGGGGGAAGAACTGCAGCATCCTTGAATTGATGCTCCCATCACATAACCTTGCTCNGGGGGGGGGGGGGGGGGGGGGGAAGAACTGCAGCATCCTTGAATTGATGCTTCCATCACATAACCTTGCTCAAAGTCCTCCACCAAGTAGACCTTTAATAAGACATTAATAGATGGGTTTGCACGTATTTGAGTAAGAATCAAGTCAAACTAATAGTGGTACGTGGGCAAATCACGAAAACGCAAATGATTGGGTTGGCGTCGATAAAGATAAGACTAGCAAGGATAGTTGATTAGTTTGATATCCACGTATCGAGAGCTAGGACGTAGATTGTATATTTGCTTTTTCTCTTCTCCTCTTACATATATGGATGATGTCTCTTCTTCTTGTGGATTTTGTGAAGTCTTCGTCACTTGAGCATATGTATTGCCTATTTACCGACTAACGACACAAACACACACACGCAACACACAAAAACAGAGCATGATTATGCAACTACGTGCCTCCAATACAAGACATACCGAAAAGAAAGGACAAACCTGTCCATGATAACAAATAGAGACCCTTTTGGGCAAATGGTACGCCGAGACGCCGCGACGGGGAGGGTATTCCAAGCAGGGTAAAATGAGAAAAAAAGAAGAGGGTATAAGAAAGAATAACGAGATGGTCGGAGGATGTCCGGCATTCTGTTAGTTCGCAGGTTGTCGTATGATGGAGCGGCGTTGCGCATCGAGGATGGAATTTTATCATGCGAGAAGTTTTCAGGAAACAGACAGATCGTGGTGGCGCATCAAGACTAATGATGCAAAGTCGTCTCCGAGACGTAAAGACGAAATGAACTTTAAAGACTAATTAGTCTTCCCACCAGCAACCTCCTTGGGCCGCTCCTGACTCGGCACTCGCTCAGGCTGAGGGTCGGCGGCGGTACGTTTCGCTTTCTGCTCTTCGACTGTTGGGATGACTGCGTTCGCGACGCCACCTTTCGCTTCTGTCAGCTCTTTATACTCATAAATCTACTCCAGCCGCAAGGGACGGTATAAGGGCGCACCTCGACCAGTGAACTGCACACTCTCCTCCGATCGTTTGGGCGGCTTCTCAACATCCTGGCTGCCGCGCGCCAGCTCCGGGCGATCCTTGTCGTTGAACATCATGTTTCCTGTGCCGCCGCGGCCGGTTGTGAAAAACTCTTGTTTGATGGTGGGGGTGACCAGGTCGGCGGCTGTGGTTGCTGTGCCGTTGGTGTGGATGTTTCCTTTAAAGGCGCGATGTGTCAGTGGGAGGCATCAAACTACTAGAGAGGGGAGATAGTAGGGAAAAGGGCTCCATGCTGAGGAAATTGGTATGAATATGAACGAGTATGGTGACTTACCAGCGCCCCCCCGGCCGTGCGACACGGCGCGACCCGTTGACATAGTGAACTCTGGCGACGAGATATGCGATGGGACTGATCGACTTCAAAAGCAAAGGCAGAACGACTATTGGACAAACGCTCAACAGGCGAAGAAGAATGTACAGATCAGGAGTAGACTGAGTGATGTTGACAATTGAGAAGTCCTTAAGGAAGGCGTGACCCTCTAACCTAGGCAATTACGTACGAGCAATAGAATTTTTTGCCTGGGACCGCCGCCGCCGCCAAACCCTCGCCTTGCCCTAACTATACTCAGCTGATAATAACTGCCACTAAACTGGTCTATTTTAGTGGTAGAAGAGATGGACAGGGGCTGTTACGTGCTATGTAGTCATATTAAACGGATCTTATTCTGACTAGCCAATAAGTGGCTTGTGGTGATACATCAGAGCGATCGAGTGGCAGATATTGCCCCTCCGTCACCCTAACCCTACTTAGCGGTTCGTTATAGTATGAGCTTAATATTCAACCAATCTCAGTAAGTTATGGTTAGATCAAAAAATATGATAATATTGTAACAAATCGCTCAAAGGCTCAAACCCGAAATCGTTTCTTCATGATATTCATAGAATTGTTAACCTAAGAACTCACCATGGGCCAGCGCCATCCACGGCAAATCCTCTTCCCAACACCGTTGCATCAATTTGCGCGCATTTTTGAACTGTCATCGTATTAGTAGGTGACAACACATCGACGAAAGAAAACAAAAAACGCACCTGTTTGAGTCCCTCTGTCTCAAAATTCATTACTCTCGTCATAATATCTAATCGTTGCTGAGGATCCCGACTTTCGCATCCTGCCGTAAACAGCGGGAAGAGAACTGAGCACTCTGTCGAACTTCCTGAACGGATCCTGGCAATAGCGCTGCAAAGATTGTCGACTGCTTCATGGATCTCTGCTGAGTAGCCTGTATTGCCCAATACGCGGCGGTGGATGTGAAGGACAGCAGACCAGTGGAATGCCATATCGATCGCTATCATCTCGTTGTCCTCCAGCTCCGTATGATGGGTTCCCGGTACGTGACCATGCTGTCTCGTTCGGCGCATGTCCTCCAAAAGAGATTGGCCAGCTTGAATTACGTCATGAGATGGACTCCAATCTGTCCTGAAATTCCCAACCTCGTCAAACCGCTCGTTGTCACAGCGATGCGTCAAATGTGCCAGACGTGCCAAGTGTGCCCCCGTCGGACGCGTGTACCCGTTGAAACAGTCAACTCGGTAGTGCTCATCATTAGCTTCGTCCTCCTGATATGGGTTGTCAGAATGTTCCTGGCCCGCTGATATCGGCCAGTGGTTGGAATGCAGTACGGGAGCGCCACTGTATCGACAAGACAGACTTCCGAAAATGTCTAGATAGCAGAACCATTGTCCAAGGAACCAGGCTACTTTGTTTTCCGGTTGGCAGTGAAGATGGATACCACGAGCAATAAAAAGATCCCTTGCGAGTTTGAGGTGAGTCTGCCATGGAATGGGTACTTCGAAAGTGCTTGGAGACACGATTTTCAAAGACACAAGCATGATTGCAGTTGCCAAATGGCTATCAGTCACATTTTCGTCAGGCTCGTTCAGGGCGTGCCGCAAGGTAGGAAAGACATCCCTGACCCAATGCGCTATGCGATTGGACGGTTCTGGGTGACGCAGAAAGCGGGCTCGATGACTTGCCGAGTACGCCAACATTAGGTTGAGAAGGTTTGGATCGGTAATGGCCACTATGAAATTCAGTTTCATTCATCTCTATCAAGGAAGGAAGACTCACTCGCAGGTAGAATGTTCAACAGCCCATTCCGATCACAGTCATGAGGAACTAAAATTCGCGCTGTATGGTCAATGAAATGATGGAAATATAGCAGATTCATCGGATTCTCCAGTAAGGCAGATGGCAACGGTGTCATCCTTCTGGGTATTTTGACTCGAACAGGGGTGATATAGTAACCACCGCCGGTAGTGAACGACGACCTTCGACGAACATGGATAGAACCAGTGGGCGTCGGCTCTGATGCAGGGCTTATAGGGTCTTCATCAATAACTTCATCGGATGGATTGATCGGAGCAATGGCTTCTGCGTCGTTGTTCTTAGGCAAATCATAATCGGGAGTGCCGCAGTCATACCCATAGAATATTTCGTGGCCAGTGACTATCGGTTGACGTCTGTCTGGAGACTCGAAAGTGATGTCACTGCCGCGAGACAAAAAGCCTACTGACATTCGACCAGCATCCTGGTCAAGCGATGTTTGGCCGTGATACTTAGCATGGCTTGAACGATCACCCTGCCTCCGGGGACGCTTAGGGCTGTACATCCCCTCAGTCGACAACCCTTCTGTCGATGTATCGCGGAGAAAAGAGACTGGTTGAGAAACAGCATTGCTCTCGAATCCATACGAAAGAGCGGTAAACCCTAAGCCGACAGAATCAAGGCCAGAGGAAACCGGGGCTACGAATGGTGGTGAATACTGCCGGAAAGTCTCATGCACTGTCGTAGATGGTATGAATGGGCCCTCCGTAGAAAGGTCATGCTGTGCAGCTACGAGTTGGTGGTCCTCGGGTCCTGTAGGCGGCGACTGAGTGGGAACCGATGGGGGTGAGCCGGAGGGAATCCATGTGTTGCCAGTACTATTGGTAAAGGGGCTTGAAGCTGAAGACCACTCATCCCTTATTCCTAGAGGCAGATCGGTTGGAGATGCCAGCTCAGTTCCAGAAACCAGACCGGACGGCTCTGGGTTTGTTGCGAACGACATAAACCCTGAAGTCGGGGTCAACGATTCGGAAGCCTTCCTCTTGGTGCGACCTTCCCAATTCAGGCGAATGCTATAGTCGCACGTGTCCCCCTGGCGCAGGCAATTTGCGCAAGATGGCTTTTCCTCGGTGCTTCTAGAATTAGTTGATTGAAGCATAGACATATGCACGCCACATACCATTTGATCTTACGTCTTTTACAAGGCCTAGGTCTGTTAGCTCTCCTCTTACTAGCACGACATTCCCAGAGATATCTTACCAGCATCCATGTCGACTTCTGGGCTTAGGTGCAGGCGCGCCTGGTCGTTTGGGTCTCGGCATTATGACTAAGCGTCCAGTCGACGAAGATAGTTATGGGGATGGAATCTAGAACTGTACTCGAATACGCAGCCATCAAGCCTTGATTCTTCGGGTCTAGCCTCTCTGACAAACTATCAAAGTATTTCTCTGTAGAGGCTCCTAGAATGATAGGAGCTTTCATCAATGGGGTGAGGTCTATATTCCTATTCATCGATGTAGACGATTGGCCGGATTCGCCGGTTGCGATGGTGAGCGAGAGGCTGAATGCTATTCTGGGATGTTAGATTCTGCTTGCTGCAGCCAGTCACGAGAAGGGTCTCGCAGCGGAGTGATTGCTATAGCTATCCCGAGTTGGATTGGTCTGATCTGAGGGTCTTGTAGTTATCTTGTCTGGACGACTTTTCTCTTATTCAAGCAGAGCGGAGGCTCGAGAATGGGGCGGAATCGGAATAACGCGAGTGCCGATGACTAAGTGGGCCGCCAAGGCACATTTGTCCTATCCAGGACTAGCTATATCGGGCTTCAAGCAATGGCCGTGTCCTGCACGCCGATTGGCTGCTTTCGACGGGGACTTCGATAGTAAGAACGATGATGACGTGAGATCTTCGTTTGTTCTTGACACCAACTTTTGCATGCTATCCTTTTTCCCTTGTCAGTCACACGCAATTGAGCCTCTTCAGTTTGTTGAGATTATACAAAATGTCCGTTTCCAAGACATCCGAGTATCTGTTGAGGCAACACCCGCTGCAGCGACTTCCAAGTCCTGATCGAGGGACGTCTGCATTGGTTCATGTAAATATCCCTCCCGACCATCCCGAACAAACCCATGGCTAACGACAACTCTAGTTGCTTGGATTAGCCAGTTTCCTCTCCTCTTTCAAATTGTAGGTTTAATTTTTTCGGCGAACATAGTCAGAAGTCTGGACTAACTTCGTCCAGTCTCATCGAGAACCCGAACAATGCGTGAGTACGATAATTCGAACACCTACCTGAATTCGTTCTGACCACAGACCCAAAGCTCTGAGGGATTTGGCTGGCACTTTGTTTTCTTGACTATCATTGGTCTTGCATTGTCAACATGCACGTTTACCGTCGGTCTGTTAGCAGACGTTACTCTCTCGCGCCGACTCTTCTTGTTGAAGAATATCCTGTCGGTATGCAGTGCGCCTTTGGAGGTCCTGATCAGCGTTTTATACTGGGGCCTCAGGTCGGTAAGTTGCGCCTCTATGAATTTGACACAGTCATCTGGCGGGATACTCACTGGCTGATAGATTGATCCTAATCTGGTGGTTCCGCCTGATGAACTGCACATCCCATTCCACGTAGGTGAGTACTTGTTCTCCTCGACATTAATATGACAGACTCCATACTAAGCCGTGCAGACCTAGGCTTCCACCTCGTTCCCAGCGTAGTGATGCTCGTCGACATCCTGTTCCTCTCGCCCCCCTGGACCATCACAGCCCTCCCCTCGATGGCTCTATCCAGTTGCATCGCCTTCGGATATTGGTTTTGGATTGAAAAATGCTACTCTGTTAATGGATGGTGAGTAGGCTGATCACCATATGGCATGGGTCTCTGAGCTTGTGGAATAACGGAAATAGGTACCCTTATCCGCTTTTCGAAATACTTGATTTGAAAGGACGTATTGCACTCTTTACCGTTAGTGCCTTCTTGATGGCTCTCGATACGATAACTCTGAAATGGTTATATGGACGTGTCAACGGATATGGGAGATCGGAATATCCACAAGCACGACCGGGGCACATCAAAGAGCCTGATTTTCACATTCGACGATCTTAGACGATGGCGTTCTGGTTGGAATGATAAGATGTACTAGAGACAGACCTTCAAAGTTTGCGCCGAAAGACTGTCAATATTTGAAACTGCAGGCACATACTCGGTGTATGCTGTTCGCAAGCCAGTAGGTTAACGCCCAAAATTCTTGAAGGTCTTCACCAACCTGCCGATAATGAGAAGACAAGAAATGAACAGGTTAGAACTAGAACGAAAAGATATTACGAAACACCAATTTATTTACATAGAGTGACCATACGCATCTATAATCAGCCAATCAAAGACAAGTTTAGGGTAATTACGTAATATTCCAAGTGGGTCTCGACATCAAAGCTGTTCCGCCTTTCTCCATGAAGCTTTTATCAACCAACAATCGTTCGACACACGGCATCAGCCAACTCCCATACTCTTTGCTGATATACAATTATCAATACCAGCAAGATGCATGCCTCGGTCGCCAGCGCTTCTATTCGCAGTGTCATGCTGTCGGGAGGCTCTCGCTTTTCCTGCTGCCTCACCCCGTTCCATTTAACCGGATCCTCGACCGCGGCGGCGCCTCAACAGGTCATCAAGCGAGGCGTTAGCCAATTCTCGACGAAATGCTCCGCATCGACTCAGTCGCCTTCAATAACCAGCTTTGCGCGAGCGAACCGAGTCACATCCCACAAGGAGACAAAAACCACAAGTTCACAATTCATCATCACATCTCTTAGACGGAGCTTTAGCAGTTCTGCTGGTCTTTGCGCGACACCACCACCGTCGTCGAAAACCGGCAATGCGGCTTTACTTGACTGGAATACATTCTTCAAATTGCGTGCCTCCCGCCGACGCTACTCGCTCATTTCCTCGGTTCTAGCGTCCCTCGCTAGCACAGCTGTTGGCGTGCAGGTGCTCTCCGCTCAGGATCTCGACACACTCGGCGCACAAGTCATGGGACTAGATCCTTTCATTGTTTTGGGTCTTGCCACAGCTGCTTGTGGTGCATTGGGATGGCTAATTGGCCCGATTCTGGGAAACACGGTTTGGGGTCTGGTGCATAGACAGTATCGAGGTGGTATCGCTATTGTTAGTGCCTACGCTTTCAGAAAGAATTCGTCTATGACGCTATGCTAACACGTTGGGAATATATTAGAAAGAGAAAGAATTCTTCAACCGTATCAAGCGCTTCCGTGTTGATCCATCTGCTAACTCGATTGCGAACCCGGTTCCCGATTACTATGGCGAGAAGATTGGGAGCGTGCAGGGTTACCGTCAGTGGTTGAAGGATCAGCGGGCTTACAACAGGAAGAAGTCGAGACACATTATTTAATGTATAGTTCGGAAACATGAAATGGAAGAGGAAAAAAGGATATTGTTCATAGTAAGCGGGGTCCTTTAAAGTGGCTTGTATTTTTATATTATGTCTGCATTTTCAGCTCTTTTCTTTGCTACTTTTCTTCTCCTCTATTCTGGCTAGGATAGTTGCAGGCTCAGATTTTGATCAATAGTCATCGCCAATCTTTACTTCAGTCCATGTATCAGAATTTCATTGTTCTCAACCTGATGGTCTAGCTACGTGATCAAAAACAATTTATACTACCTTCTGCTCAATCTGCCTCCTCACAAACGCAGCAACCTCATCCGGCACGACTAACCACGGCGTATGCCCCGTCTTCACCTTTTCTGTGTTGATCACCGCGCCCTGAGAACGCGCTTTCTCAACCATCAGTTCCTGCACAAATAATGGGATTGCGCGGTCGTCCTCGCAGAGTAAGTACGAGCACGGAATTTCGAGGTAAGATGCACTAGTCGCAGGCGAATTTTTGGTTGCCCATGCATGCGGGCGAAGTGTCTCAGCCCATTGCTGACCGTCGGGAACATCGTGGAAGAAAAGCGTGTAGGGGTCGTGGGCTGTCACAGTGCCGTTTGCTTCCTTTTATCGCTGTCAGGAAAATCATCCTCATGTTTCTAAATGTAACATATGGAAGGCAGAGAGGAAGAGACGGCATACATCACGAATATACCACTCCGGAGCCTGCCCCCCAAACGCCTGCAACAAACTCTGCCCAACATCCGGTATAAACGCCGATAGAAAAACCAATTTTACTACACCACCTTCTTGACCATTATTCTGACGTTGGGTACGACTCAAGCCGTGTAGAGCACTGCTGACTGGTAATCCGGACCAACTGTGTGAGATCACCACCACTTCACGGCCCTGGTCGCATTCGCGCTGGACGACGGTGCGGAGAGCAGAGATGTCTGGCTGCAGGTCTTTAACGACTGTTGATTGTTGGATGGAAGGGAATGCAATTGTGTGCGTGGTGTAGTCGGGGAGTCTTGAAATGAGGGGGTCGAAGGCTGTGGGCGGATACCAGGCGCCGGGGCAGAGGATTATGGTTGGTTTGGACATGATGATAATACTAAGGTTTTTGACTGATTGATCGAGGTGGTTTGACTGAAATGGAGGGGGCAGGGACAGCTTATATGTATTATGTTTCAGCCAGTGAATCGGCCTAGTTAATGAAAGTGGGGAGCATGTTGCATGAGGCTATACAGAATCAATTTCGCATTTGTTGGGAAAGCACCTCACTCGGTATGTAAATGATAATGTTGCCTACACACTAGACCTTTGTAGTCACATATGAGTTCCATTCAGCTGGAGAACCTCGTAGCAGAATCTAACCAGTGGTTCTACAAGATACAGCACTACATACATACTTGACTAGGTGGGGGGCGATTACGTCGCAGGTGTTGGATGTTGGGTGGGTAAGTTGTTCAGCTAACAATACAGACTTGTCTAATTTGGGTAATGTTGATGTAGTCGATTCACTAGTACGACGCTTGTTGTAGATTTCAAGATCTGCGAATTTGGTTGATGGTCAGACAGTTGTATTGAAAATACCGAGGTAGGGTTGCGTTCGTTCAGCCCTAATTGTCAATAATCTGGACTTGAATTCAAGCCGCCAAATTGATCTCTCTAAACATGGCCACTTCCAAGGTTTCTTTTTTGGAAAGAATACCTCGTCTTGCAAGTTCAACGATGATAAATCTCATTTCGGTTTCTACTATCTAGTATTCCAAAGTAGCCGAAAAAGTTACACATCGAGCGAGTACATGAATGGCGCCCCCTTATCGTCCCAGCCGTCACGAAAGTTCACCTCAAGAGTGCATGGATATTGACGTAAAGCGACTACAGGGTACAACTTGCGGTATATATTTTTGGCCTGAAAATCGCCTCGGAAAAGACAGCCAGAGATTGTTAGCAGGCATCAATTTGCCAAAAGCAAGATGGGGTTGAGGCAGTTTACCTATTCGCTCGCCATTAAGGGTGTAATAGACCAGGATTGATCGTTCGCATTGATATTTCAGGAGATTTGGGGAACTACTATTTATTTTTGGCAACATCGACTGTGACTAAAATGATTATTCTGGTATCAATACCGAAATTTATCTGGCATAAGTTGAGCCTCAAGGCAGTTGGGCGGCATTCCAGCATCCATGCCCGTGTATCGACGAAGAGACTTGAATTGCTTTGGCTTTATCAAAAAATTCTTTGCAGGTTGAATTCATTCGCCTAGGTGTGAAGCTAGTCGGCTCTGGGATGTTTTGAGGTCACCAGACTAGATATGAGCCGATGAGCAGGTTTGGACACAACAGGTGGCAGGTTGAATATTGGGAAACTGAGACGCAAAAACTGAAAGAGTCAGTCGTAGCTCGTGAAGGTTTTCTTGTATATGAAGTATAGAGAATGAATATTTATGAGCTCTTGAATCGACTCCATAGCATATATCCCAGCTGGACACAATAGTTATCTCTGCAAAGACAAGACCAAATAAAAGTAGTATCGCTCGTGGCAGACTAACCTTGGTGCAAAATTATACTTGTATAGCCTCTTTCATATGCTAGACGAGCAGCAGATTGTGTCTTTTGCAGAAGTAATACAGTCTATCAGTTTGTTTGGCGTCGATTGATAAAAGAATAGAATTTCAAGAAAGAAAACCTGATTATGTATCACCGTCAATCGCGCCTTCCCAATTAGGAAGCTTCCTCGTTTGCAAACAAACACTTCAATTCACGTGCTCACCTGACTTGCCCGATTTGTGCCCTCCTCTTCTTCATGCTTTTACTCTTTCTTCTTTCACCTCATCTTTACCCTTGTATCTTCTCACTCTCTCCTCTCATCTCTCTTACTTTCCTCCCATATCTTATCTCGACCTCTCGTTCTCTCGATTATTCCCCTCTCACTTTGGCCTCCAACACTCTCCTCATTCTAACTTCCAGGGACCAAACACTAGAAGATACTGCAAATCAAGCTGTCTGACATGGCAGACTTAAACTCCCCAGACAGGCACCGCTTAGAGCTACTCGAACGAACCTTCTATGCCTTTCAGGCTCAGCAACGTCTATTAGAGTATCGTGTCCAATACCTGGAGCAGGAGAATCAAATTTTGCGTCACATCGTGTCCTCAAATACGCCGCAAGCTACTACAGCCAGCGGTGGCGGTGGACATGCCTTATTTCAGCCTTCCATGCAGACTCCAACTCCCAGGGTAAGTAAGCGTAGTATAAACCATGTGACTATCAATCTTACACCTCGCAGGCGCCCTACAGTCATAAGTCTTACCTTTCTGAGCTTCAAGCCCTTACCAAAGAGTCGGACTCCAGAATTGGGGAGCGTGCTAAAGCGTTATCGTCTCTCAGTCTCCTGGATGCCCCAAGCTTGTTGACGACCCCAACTTTGACGCCAACTCGCAATGTAAGTGTATCAGATGGTATATAGAGAGCAAAACTGACAAATTTCTAGGCTTCTGTTTCAAAGAGTACCACGACTCCGAATTTGGAAGTTCGCTATTCACCTTTGGCACCGTCAAGCGCTGTAAGTGTGTTTCTTTGGCTGGACTACGGTATCTGACAGGTTATAGGAGGCTTTGGAATTTGAACCCGTTACAATCAGTCCGCGTCTTCCTGCCTCAGTTGCATCGACCCTTATTTGCTGCTCTCCAAAGTCAAGTGCTATCGATGCTCCTTCAGAGGCAAAGGAACCAGACAATTCTTCTCCCCTCGTTCCTTCTCTCAAACCGGTCAATAAGGAACAGAAGTTCGTCTTGTCACCGTGGGATGGAACAATTGCATGGAAGTTCATCAATCTATTTACGGACAAGAAAGAGGAACAGGAGGCTATTCTAAGCTCCATGGATCACTGCGATGTTCAAGATGATTGGTTCTTTCAATACGGCCTGCGCTATATTCCAAAGGCCACCGACAAGGATGTATATCGCACAGTTCGTATTGAGAACCTTCCTGAGACAACTACGCTCGATAAAGTCCTCTCTGAGATTCACTATGGAGACGTCTTTTCTGCTGATCTTCTCAACACGCTTCCAATCACTGGCTACCATACGGCTAGAGTCGTGTTTTTGCATCAAATTTCTGCTGAAGAGTTCTGCAAAAGCGTCAAAAAGAGAGGCCTGATCATCGAAGATGTTCGTGCTCGTGTGACACTTGAAAAGACTGCAACATATCCTATCGCCCTTTCTATGAAAAAGGCAATCTGGGAAGGATGTACTCGCTGTCTGATCGTTGATGAGGTTCCAGAAGCCCTGGTTGAGTGCATTGAAGGGGTAATTGGCGGAACATTTCTCAAGAACTCTGTGGAGTATTACTACAAGAGCTACTGCGATGGACTAGATCAATCAATGTCCAAGCTGAAAGTCCGTGTACGTTTTCACTCTATGAGAGCGGCGTCATGTGCTTTCAATGAGCTCCAGAAAAACATATTTTTGAGAAACTGTATCCTTAGATATGACAAGGACCCATGCAACCCCGGCCGTGATATGTGACTTGAGGGGCATCCAGATGCATATGAATGTGGATCATGATGCCTCATTTTCTGATATGATTCCAACTTTGAGATACAATGCCTAAAAATGACAAGCATGAACCTAGATTCAATTAGATATCATCTGGGGTTAATTCTAATGAGGGGTGTAGACAATCAAAAATTAGATAATCTAATGTATTGTCCGTTTGGTTGAAGTCCAGCAATAAGCCTGTTTGTAGGGTATTTCCAAGTCCTGCTACTATGTGCTAACTATGTAACAGTACCTACATGCAAGAGAGATTTTGTACAGTTAGACAGATTAATACATCCAGTAAATTTCAGGTCACTTCATACCTATCTTTTGACTGAATTATAGAAAAGTCAATTAACACATGACCTTCTAACATCTATGACTGAATAACCTACCCATGCGCAAAAGGGGAAGGGAACTTCATATATCGACTGGGATATCATAAGTTGTACATCCGCTGACAAGATCACCCATGCCTGCCTCTGAGAAATGTTGAATCGCTTTTTTAGCATTACTTTCAAAAAGTTCGTTGTTGAATAGGCTATCTGTCTGCAGATACTCAAACTCAACGTTGAGTTTTGTATCAGAGCTCGTGTTCTTCTTTTCCTTGATATATTTGCTCAATGATTGGTCCACTTTGAAATAGATTGTTCTGGTATCTATAGGGACTCAATCGTTAGTTAATTTGTGGTTTTGACGTGAATAGACCCCCTGGTCTCAAATGATCTTACATGGTTGCCATCTTTCAACATCGTCTAGTTGGTAGGAGGTGATGGAAATGAAAAACATCAAGCTCTCGTCGCTAGACTTAGTCTGACTGTTGATGATGTTGTTGACGTTTGTCAAGAAGTTCTCTAGTTTTGCTGCAATGCTGCTAAGTGGCAAATTCATCCCCTCAGTGAAAGTTTTGATAAGCTCCAGATGGAAGTCTTCTTTCTTCATGGTGAATATCTTTCTTTGTGTTTGCATAGAGTTCGTGGAGAACCTGGCAGCAGCGTCCATGTTAGTATGACTTATAAGAAAAACATCATCTTCATTGGATAACGATAATGCATACCATGGTGTGTTGATGGCGAGGTGATTCATGACTTTGACTCTATAATTGGCCATTTTAACCTCATCATGGCTGAGTTGCTTTGCGTCAACTCTCGCATCTAGCGCAGAGTTGGCCTTGGCGATGAAGAAATTGTTACTGAGTTTGATGTTGTTTGCGACTGCGTCAAGCTGGGTTTGCAGTCCGGCGGAAGATGTTGGATTGAGGTTGATATAGTGGACGGTGTTCATTAAGGTCTCTTCCGAGAGATTGACGGCTTTCGCCATGATACTTTCATGTATGATTTCAGGTGCGGCCAGGGACTCTAGAGATTGAGTGAAGTCTCCATGTTCGCCTGGAGTAACGAGTGGGAGACCGACCTCTTGATAGAGGGCATTCGCATTGTCGGTCATGGTGCAATCAAGAGAAAGAATTGATATTGAAAGATAGGAACTTTTCTCAACGGTTTGAAACAGATATTTATTTGAATTTCTTGTAAACAGGATCTGGAGGTGGAAGACAACGGCTATTTATGCTCTTGCCCTCAGCGTCTGTCTTACCTAAATAAATTCTTGAGTGGATGTGATGAAGCAACCTGCTGTCCTATGATGTACCAAAAGGCGATTTAGACTACCAGCGTACATTACTAGCAGATTTTGTGATCTGGTAATTCTATGCGGCATGCACTCTCGATAGTCCTCATGTTGAGCTGCTCGGTTATAGTTGCTAGGCGATGGAAAATCCAACAGCCAGCCGTCGCTAGAAACTACTGGATTGCAATACGCTAACCCAAACCACTAAAAGACGCGACTTTTTAGTACCTAGAAAGTGCGTAGTGCGTAGTACGTGCCACGACAACGGTCTAGGCTTTTCAACCTTTCGATATTGAATATGTCTGGTGCCTCGGTAGGTTCTGCTACAGCTAGAGTCGCCCGAGCCGCATAATAACCCATACAAGAACATATGGGTATAAATGAGTACTACAGAGCTACTTTGATAAGTTTTCCCGAAATTTCTGACCACTAGTAAAAGAAAGATTGTATAGAGGACCTGAAATTCAAACTTCAGCTCAAGTTGAACCGCTTGGCTGCAGGATTATCGGCTCCACAGTCCCAAATCTCAGAACTCAGATTCTTGAAGTCGTCCATGCGGATTTGACCGTCGATTTGAGTACAATAATATCATTACAAAGAAACAACAGGCTGATTGTGGATAGATCTGGGACGAGACTAGGTACCATTTGCTGACGATCGAGAATGACGGTAAAGAACAATGCGTCTGCTGACGCGGAGGAGCACTCTTGCAATGGAAGGAGACTTGCAAGAGCGTCTTATTCCCTCCGGACATCGAGTAGAAAAACAGAGTCAAAAGTACGACCAGGAAACGTGCTGATTTGCAGGTCAGCGTTGATCAAGGCACTCCTAATTAATGGAGCAGTATTTATCAAAGGCCAGTACATGCCGGATGACATTAACAAGGAGCATCACTAGCGTCCTGGGTTTGGATGACTTGACCTGGTCAGACCACTGCCAAAGATCGATGACGCATGCTCGGATATGGTTTCAGTGTGATTTATAAAGATGATGAGACTCAACTCAGCTTGGAGATTCAGTATCAGAATCTAGAGAGGCAGGAGCGGTTCTAAAGGCTGGCAGCCGGAGAAAGCCAATGAACTCTGAAATTTACTCTTGCATACGCGGACTTGCTAGGAGTAAGCTCCAAAAAGATCTCAACCTGATTGTGTTCAACCGTGATTATGAATACCAAGATAACCAAACTAGACGCCAATTTCCCGTTGGTTCAACGGAGACTTTTGATCGTTGCAACTACGTCGAACAAGCTGTTCCACCCCTAATTTTGATGGAATCGATGAAGATGATTGGCTTACTGTTCATCTAATGAGTGAGCGCGTGCCTTTTGCATACGCATGGATCTTTTTTTGATTGCTCATCGCTGATTGGTAGCGAATGCGAGACAGACTTTGGCCTTATAAAGGAAGGCCGCAGAGAGGACTGCAGCACAGATATTATCTTCTCGTATGTTATGTTCGTAGGAATACATGTAAATCTCTGGTAGAGCGATTTAAATTGGTTGTTCTATCATCTCGTGTTTTAGGATAATAGACTCGCCTTTGTACTCGGGGTAAAAGGGATGCCTATGTGCTGCTGCACCCAACGCTAAACCCACATGCAGGAAATTTCTATAAATTGTCGTGCTTATATATATTTAGGCGTATCTCAAGATTGGTGACCCGTGTGTAGTAAATTGTACGCACTTATTTTGTACTTTATAGTACACATCTCCTAATATCGAGTTCATCTTATTGTGGGACGATCAAACGCTCTAAATCGTACCAGTCGTATAAGGCGTATAGCGTTCCCGTATTGCTCGTTTACCGTACAGGATCGCGTGAGCTCTCACAGCATGTTACACCACGCACAGAAAATACGGATAGAAAATTGCTGCCTGCTTTTTATTGTATTCCACTCGAATTCAAGTTTTGCGTTCATTGATGATTAGTAAATAGCGAGACACATTGCTGTCCGAATAGATTAGAGTTCGATACTCCGTGTTACTTCTCATGTTTGATGTCCCACCCCCCTTCCTTGGGTAACCTCAAGATTTAGAACTGACATTGCCAGGTTCCAGGTTGTTGATAGATACAACATCTATATTTTACAATGACTATCATTGAAATCAGGTGGACATCAGTCCTTTCCTACATTCTTGTCAGCGTAAGTCCAAGACCACCATCTTCAATCCATCCATAATCGATCTATTGACATTCAGCATAGATCCTACTTTTCACGGTTTCAAAACTGATCTACAACATCTTCTTCCACCCCCTGCGACACTACCCAGGCCCTCTTTTTGCTCGAGCAACACGTCTGTACCATCTGTACTACGACCTCAGTGGCGTGCAGCACCTCAAACAGAAAGAATGGCATGATCTCTACGGTGAAGTGGTGCGAATAGCGCCCGATGAACTTTCTTACACCTCTGCGCAGGCTTGGGTTGATATTTGTGGTACGTGTAGCCCCCAAAGCAGCGAGGTTTCAAGTTGTATCATAGAGACTCATAAGTAGAAAGGCCACAGAACTCGGGACCGACCGGGTAGCTTCGAAAAAGACCCCATCTTCTTCGGTGGCACTCGTAGAAAAACGAATACTCATATCATCGTGGCCAATGACAAGGATCATCGCCGCTTGAGACGGTTGCAGTCGCACGCGTTTTCGGAGAAGGCGCTGACAGCGCAGCAAGATGTTATCAAAACTCATTTGGATACTTTCATTGGGCAACTGAAGAAACAAGCTTTGCCTGGTGGCGAGATCGAAGTCAAGGAAAGCGGTGATGGTTTTCTTGACATAGTTCAATGGCTCAATTTCCTCACCTTCGACACAATCGGCGATTTAGCCTTTGGCAGTCCATTCGGCTGCTTACTCGACCCGGTCAACAATACGCGATACATCCAGGTGATTTTCAGTATGATCAAAGTCGGGAACTATTTTCGAGCTGCGAGACGGTTCCCATCACCCTTGAAGCAGTTGTTGACGCTGGCTATTGTGCCGAGACGGCTTATTGAGGATCGGGAGTATCAGGTTCAGGTTAGCAAGGATAAGATTGATGAGCGGATGAAGAGGGAGACGGAGAGAGCTGATTTTAGTATGTTGGCCATATTCAAGTGTTATATATTATTGACTGACGTGATTTGAATAGTGTCGTATATCTTCCGAGCCAAAGACGAGAAAGCCATGACATACCCTGAATACATTGGAGCGGCAGTAATATTCCTCGCAGCCGGCAGCGAAACAACAGCAACTCTACTTTCAGGTGCTCTATACCTCCTCTTCACACATCCCGAATCTCTAGAGAAGCTTACAGCCGAGATCCGCACTTACTTCAAGTCTGAAGCAGACATAGACATGCAATCAACAGCCAATCTGCCATTCTTACAAGCCGTGCTACAGGAGTCACTCAGATTGTACCCACCAGCACCAAACGCGTTTCCCAGAAGGACACCTGCCCCTGGACAGATTATATGTGGAAGATTTGTTCCTGCCAAAACGACGGTGGGTGTTCATCAGTGGTCAGCGAATCGATCTAGTCGCAATTTTTACTTGCCTGAGATGTTTGTGCCGGAAAGGTGGATGGGGGCGGACAAGAGATTTGAAGATGATAAGAGAGATGCGTGTCAGCCATTCTCCTTTGGACCAAGGAACTGTATTGGGCAGAAGTGAGTCTCTCTCTTCACTATTTGTATCGTTGATGCTGACCTTGCTGCGTCTAGTCTGGCATATGCCGAAATGAGAATGACCATGTGTCGTCTTCTATGGAACTTTGATCTCGAATTGCACGAAGGTAGCCGTAATTGGCTCAAGGAACAAAAAACATTCAATTTATGGGAAAAGGATCCACTACAGATCCGCTTGAAGACTGTTGTACGTTGATATGTTGAATCGATGTCATTGAATTTTATCACTAGAACTACAACTTGGACCTTTGTTGCGCTTTGCAAACTTTAGACAGAATATGACCGGCCTTCTCAAAGTCATCCAAGGTCAGATATACCTGTCCACTGAGTCGAGCAAATAGGTGTCCTCCATGATAGATTAATGGGATCCAGGTTCCATGCTTTTCTGAGATTTCTCTCTCAATCTGCTCACGGAGTAAATGCTGTTTGCCTTGCTGGATATCGTCCGCGGTGAACGTTAGAGGTAATCGAACCATGACCATAGGAGACTTTCTTTGCTCATCATCACCTAGAACTTCGGTGCCCAGGATACTGGCCACACGGTCCCCTCCCTGATTTGCAAGAGTTGTAATATATTGTAAAAGCTTCTGCTCTCCACCGCAAATCTCTTTGCGAAATTTGATGGCTTCGGGGACACATAAGAATGGCGCATAATCCATTGTTCCGACAAAGTCGAATAGCTGCGCAAATGCAGACTTGGAGCTTGGTGGGAGAGGATTGAAGATTTTTGGTCGTCCTGGACGTTCTTCGGGCTGGTAGCCGTGGGATGTAGGGAATGATGTTTTGATTAGGTGATGGTTTCGCGCAGGGACATGGAAGACTGCGCAGGAGCGAGGGGTGTATAGCCATCTACAGGATTTGGAACATGTTAGTAACATAGATTTTATGGTTAGTTGATAGAAAACGTACTTGTGCAGATTACTAATGAAGAAATCGGCATCCAAGTGACGCATATCGACTTCGATCGCTCCCACGGAATGAGCACCGTCAATCAGACTGAGGACATTGTACTTCTTACACAGGGAAACCATCTTCCGAAACGGCAACCGAAGAGCTGGAAGACTTGAGATGGTGTCGAACAAAGCAATGCGCACTCCCTTCTGAGAAATTGCGTCCTCAAACCGGCGCAGGATCTCATCGTTCGACACCGGATACTCGACTTCCACTTTGATGCCCTCCACGGCACCTTCCGGGACATAATTATCCACGAGATGGATAACCGCCTTCTCGCAGGCCGCATACGTCGTACTCAGATACACAATCTTGTCACCCGGTTTGTAGGCAAGATTGCGCAAGACGGTGTTGACGCCCGTCGAAGCATTAGGGATGAGAACCACATTATCGACATCGGCATTGATCAGCTCCGCAACTGCGCTGCGGGATTCATCGATCAGGTCCGGAAGCTTGTAGCGGATGAAGTTGTCCGGTTCTGCATCAGTCTGTCGCTGATATTCCCGTAGGGCATCTCGGATTGCGATCGGATAGGCGCCGAACGAGCCGTGGTTGATGTTGAGATAGTTGGAAGGGAAAGGGAAATGTGAGAGAAGTGGGGCGCCGAAGGGAGGATCGTTGTAGGTCGACATTGTTTCTGATGTCTTGAAACCAGTCCCTTGCTTGATTTGTTCCTCTGGTGTTTAGATCTGATCTTATGTATTTATACCTCTCGTGTCATCGATAAGGTGACTCAGATCACCATCGTCCGTGCTATCTTGGAGGACCACATGAGTCATTGTGGAGCATCAATGTACCCTCGTTAAACTCAATGTCAAAGGGCGTCTGCCACGAATCGGTATTCTAGACCGATATCGCTAACATCAACTTCATATTGGCGACTTCTCTTTTCCATGCCGCAACTAGCCGAGTTAAGGCTTGATTCGGATTTCGAGAATAACCGCTTTGCGGGGAAGTCAAGACAGAGACATTCTAGGTCTGCTGCTAATATGTTGCTCGGATTCTAATGAGCTTGGGGGGAAACAATCAATATCCAAGAAATGAGATAGAGGAGCAATGAATTGGCAATTTTTAGACCGAACTAAGAACTATCAAGACGGACTGTGAATGCTCGACAACTTTTGAATCTGTTCACTTAGATGGGAACATTTGCTGCCACATCCATCCAAAATCCACATCGCTCTTTCAACTGTTCTATTTTCGCAGTCGTAAAGCCACTCATTGCTATTACCCATTCCTTTCCCGTCTTGATATTTGGAACCGCAGCCTCCGAGGAATTAGTCAATTTGTTTGTGTTAGGGTTACCCGTCTGTATCAGGGACGCGTAGGCACCTGCAAATCCGTGGTAGATCGTAGGGTATTCTGTTTGCAGGACGTTCGGATTATCCCACTGTTCTACGTCAGCACAAAAAAGAACAAAATTTAGCATTATGATGTTCTCACTTACCCAAGAGACATCACTCCCGTGGGTCGCTGGTGAAATTGTGTACTCGCCCAGGTATCCCGTTTCCGCAATGCTGGCAGTCCAATATGCAGGACAAGCGAGGACAAGATCTCGGTATACCAATTCCGCGCGTACATATGTGGAATTGTAACTCTCGATATTTTCACTGCTGCCGCTCGGTGGGTAGACAGTTTCAAGACGTTGCAGCTCATGTTGGGATAGTCCAGGCAGAAAATCACCCAACCAAAGCTTGAAAGCTGCATCTGATGAGCCTGAATCAGAGTTGTTGAGTGAGGGCGGAATGAAGTTCTCTCCTTCATATGTGTTATACATTCCCCAGTGTACATCGCCATTTATATCGCCATTTTTGATTGCTTTGGTCAGAGTGGTGCGTAAAAAGTGGCCGTCTATGACTGGTGCCCATGTGTACGAAGAAGGGCCATACTCGTCACTGTACGTCACATTGTACGCAGCGGTCATTAGGGTTTCTAAACTGGCAGTCTTTAAACAACCGAGAGTATCCTTAGAGCTGGAACAGTTGCTCGCACGCGTGAATTGATCGTAGATGGCTTGCGCCTCTGGCGCATTGTACCGATATGTCTTGGGCCAAAATGGACTCAACGATAGAGATCTCTGAAACAGAGGAGGTTCTGTTCTACCGCCGTTTGCAAGCGACTGTGCTACCGTGCTCCCTCCCCCGGCACTTTGGCCGATGATTGTAACTTGCGATGGATCGCCGCCGAAGTGATGGATGTACTTGTGTACCCATTCCAGGGCATATTGCTGATCCAATAGACCAGCATTCAAATCAGACTTGGGATCGTCGTGTACCTCTTGGCCTGGTAGGAATCCGAATGCATTTGTTCGATAATTCGGACCGACTGCGATAAAATCGCTCTCGTCGCTCGAGTTCAGCAACGGGTAAAATATTCCAGGTAGCCCGGTGGAGGCAGAACCTTCGACAAATGCGCCCCCATAAAACTCAATGAATACGGGACGTAGTTTTTGTCCTTGACTCCATGGTCTTGCAAATACTCCCAGGTACAGACAATCCTCAGAGCCAGTACTGAGCTTTTGTGGGCATGCGAGGAAAGAACTGTTAGTATCGTACGTACCGTTGATTTGAGCGGGTGGTTGGGGACCCCTGAATCGATTCTCGCCCACTGGGGGCGCGGCAAATGGTATTTTCTTCCAGTAGGACATGTTGTAGTCCGCATCATAATAACCCTGGAAGGAGCCATAATTCAGCTCGGCGAGGAGGTTATTTGCTGATGCTGCACCCATCAGGGCAAGTAAGGTTGCAAGTACTGTCATTTTGGTGGCTAGGGTTCATATCAAGTGATATTTGACCTTAGGTACATTGATACTCTAAGTAATGAGCTTAGGAAACGATTCTATATTCAAGAGATGACGCTACTACTTATGCCACACACTTCCCCCAAGATCAGAGTGTTACCCTTGCAATATATCGATGATCAACAACAGATATCCAGATACTCGGTATCTGTTACACCGAAATTGAATCTAGAATCAAAAACAAGTAGTCGAAATTTTCTAGTTCACTAACCCCGCACTCCCCAAAGTGATCGTCATGTCAATATTTATGCTGTCTGTCATGCTTCAGTAGGTCGGTATTGAGGAACATCGATCAATTTTATCCACCTATAAGAAGAGCCGATGATGGACGGAAGTGCAGTACATTGTCCAGTGAGATCATTACTAGCCATTCACTCTCGATGTTACTATAAATAAGCTCAGGTGATTGCATTTACTTTATTTCTCTTGGTACTTGTGAGAAAGGACCACTTAAAGTTCCATTGAATCTGTCATCTAGTCCATGGGAAGCTAAAGACAGAGGGATAAGATTGATACAACGTCTGTATCCAGGTTTACAAACAACATATTTCCATTCTATAGATAGAGTAAAATCCTGAAAGAATACAAATAACTATTCTATCCGCCCAACTCTTTCTTACATGTCTAGGGTATATCGTCAGGGGTATAATTATACTCTCATAATCACGCTATCTAAGACAAGTCCTTTTACAAGGACATCGATTTCCAAGAACACTATTCCTGGCCTGAGAAATTAAATCACTAGCCGAGACCATCCGTAAAGCTAATCTTGCTGTACAAGAAAAGGTGTATCCATAAATGCCCTCAGGCGATGTATCAATCGCCAGTCCATTAATTCACGACCTCCTTATGACCACCCTCAGGCGATGAGATGTCTTCTGTGCCCTCTGTCGTCGCCGACTTCTCAGTGTGTTGCACGGTAGCTTGCTCCGCAATGACATCCGCGTCCGCACTTCGGTTAACCTTTCCCAAATGATACAATGGCTCAAGGACAACATCCTTGCGGCGGTAAACGTAGCGTTGAATCCAGTAGGGTAGCGTTTTATTGAGCTGATAACGCATGAAGACTCGGGTGGGCACGGCGAAAATGTAGTCTAATTCTTCTAGGGTTCGTTGTTTGGTTTCGGGAACCCAGAAGAAGATCATGACGAAGGCGAGAAGGTTCGTTCCTGCGTAGAATCCAAAGACTCCCTGTAGCGAAAATTAGTTTTTGTAACAGTGTTTGGGAGAAAGAGGAAGATGACATACCGTGGTTGTCATTGTTTCCAACATGAGGGGAAGGAAAATAGAAAGAATAGCGGCCCAGAACAGACAAGTAGCAACAGCCCAGCCCATACCAAGCTCACGGTGAGACAATGGGAAGACTTCTGCTGAGTAAGCGAATGGAACAGGACCTTCACCCGGGGAGTAGAAGATGGCAAAGATGTAGATAAACATCGCCACTAGGGCTAGATGAGCTTTGAGATGTGTACTAATCAATGCACACAATCCCGCAGTTAGGAGACTCCATGCCATATTGGGAAAAGTGAAGAGTAGCAGCGATCGGCGACCAAAGGTATCAATAGTCCAGATTGCAGGCCAGGCGAATAGGAAATTAATAAGGCCGAAACCCCATGATGCCCACAACGCCTGGAAGTCGTTGAAGCCGGAGTTGGCGAAGATGGTAGAGGAGTAGAAGGCGATGATATTGATACCACACATTTGCTGCGCAATCATGACCGTGAAGGAAGCCAAGGTAGCACGACGAACACGGGGGATAGTGAAAAGCTGGATGAGACGAGTAAAATAGTTGTTCTTTCCTACCACGGCGGCTTCGATCTCGAGCTGTTTGTGAATGTAGTATAGGTCACGCGCGGCTTGGAGCGGGTTGATGCGTAGTCTCAGCAAAGACTTCATTGCTCGCGGATACTTGTTTTTCTCTAGAGAGATGGTCAAATGTGTTAGCTTTCATTCATGCCTATGGTAAATGAATCGGAGTGTAGAACGTACTCATCAACCAACGAGGCGATTCTGGGCAGAAGTATACACCCAAGAGAAGCGGGATTGCTGGAATCATCGCAGATCCGAGTTGGAGTCGCCACGCAATAGTACCGACATGGGCGACTGCTAGATTGGCGCTGTACCCCAGGAAAATGCCAAAGGCAGTCCACATTTGCCAACTCATGACTAAGGCACCTCGAATAGACGCAGGAGAGTTTTCAGCAGCGAAAATAGGAACACTGGATCCCTTGGCACCCATTCCGATGCCTAGAAGAATACGACAAGCGAACAACTGACCCCAGGATTGTGTAAACGCGGAGCCGATGACAGGAAGGAAACAGAAAATCGCGGCAACGAAGATGGCACCTCGACGTCCCAAATAGAAATTCAATGGGTCAGAAACCCAACATCCAATGAAGGCAGACCCAAGATAAGGTGCCGAGTTAATCAAACCTACAATCAGCTTGTCGTGATTGCTGTTACTTCCGATTCCGAAAACGTCAGGGAAAGAAAGGTTGGCTCCATTGGAACCAGTTTGATCCCAGCCCTGCACGGCAGCACCAATAGAACAGAGGATGATCGTGAAGTACAAGGTCCTCGGATGGCGCCACTTGTGTGTGATTTCGGCATTGAGATCATTGATTTCTGTCTCGCTCAGGGCTAGTTCCCCGGATATCGACTCGAAGCTGGTAGGGTCTTGGGCAACTAGGGCACCCTTCTTCAGCAATTCCGTGTACTCGACGAGATCCTTTTCCTTGGCAAACTCCTCTACCTGTGAGAGGAGAATTGATCGAGGGATATTTGCGAGAGGGTTCTCAATCCTTTTTGCTGTCAAAAACTATTCGTGATGGAGACTATAGATGAAAACAGCAGGCACTCACTGTCCCGAAACATTGGCGTTCAAATCTACGTGATGGGCTTCGTAGCCCTCTTCATTTTGTCGTTGGTCACTCCTATCCACGATTAGACAAAAATATGAAGATGGAAAGGTAGCAATTCTTACTTGGCAGAAGGCTCCATGATGGGCGTTGGTTCTGCGATGATTTCCGTACGTACACCAACAGAGGTCAAAAGTTACTTAAGAGGCTGAATTGGTACTCGGGGAGAGGGATATTCTTATACGTCAACGATGCATGAGCGCTAGTTATAGCTTTCCTTGGGAGCTTTCCGTCAATTATGCCATGTTTCTTTCTTTGTCCGTATTTTCCATGTGACCTCCTCCTTCGGCCCCCAAAACGGGGATGTTTTCCCAGAATTCGACGCCAACCATGCTTTGACAACGAATCCCCCGCACAGGACTCACGATCTGATTGGTGTTTATGCTAGCAGGGTTGCTAGAATCGAGTCATGGCCTGGGGTTCTACCCCATGCCCCTCACACGGCTAAATCCTGCGCTTGTTACTAGTTGCTCGGTACCCTGTCCAGGATGGAGAAAATTTTCTCATATTTCTCATTGTTGATAGGTAGGATGTAATTCTGACTCTTCCATGGTTGTCTAGACTAAACATTCAAAGATTGTCTTCTGCTTCAGCAAACGTGACCTGAGTCCAGCACAGACAAATTAGCCAACAGTGATCGTTGGTTCTACCATGATATAATCGATGATCGGCGAGGCCGTGCCATACGTACTATCCCGGACTTGGTGGCGCAAACGACGGCGTTCAATGGCGTACTAAGGGCGCCGGTGCTTGTTTGCGCTTGAGCAGCGTTCTCCACCCGCTTTTCCCGCTTTTCGAAATGATTTCAGTTCAGCCACCGCCATTTCTGGACACATGGAAGGATGATCAGTTGATAGCTCGATGGCCAAGAGCTTGAACGCTGCAGCGTCGTATGAGGCGTGTTCTCACCGGCTGTAAAAGTAATTTCGTGTCTGCTGCTAGTAGTTTCGGCGATAACCACCAATGATTTCTTACGTACCACATTCGGCCCAAGGCAGTCCGCCCAAACCGGAGAAAGACACTAACAACTGCCAATGTAACCTTGCCCCAGTCCAGATCCTCGAATATTGATAAAGAGCACCATCTGCCATGGACGCGTCATTTTCAGTGAGATGGATAACATCTGGTCTTACCACATTCTCTTGGAAGAGTCATTTCCGAGTCCGCTCCTCGCTCATTGAAAAATCACCGACGGAGTATTTCTTACCCTAGGCTCCGGGCCGAATCTGAGCACGCGACAGAAAATATGAGTCGAAAGTTAGGCTCGCCGAAGTACTTACTCAAAAGGCTCACTAGAAAGCTTAAGCAGGGCCCACCGGAGAACTCGCCGAAGACTCACGGGGAGATCACTTAGGGCTTGTGGGAGCTTGCCCAGGCAATTACCGGGCCTTCCTTGGATGACAAACTGGGGTAAGCTGGGGTTACCTAGAATTACCTAGGGTTACCCGATTACCTAGGGCTACGGAGTTACGGAGTAATTAGGGTTACTACTATAAACGCGGTTAGGCAGGCAGTCGCTAGTAAGCAGTCACTCAGAGGAGAATGCGCTTTACTCGCACACGTGACGGGCAGTAAGCGAGACGGCTGAGATAGCTGGCGAATTTCGAATTAATATTGTGTCCATTTCTAACGCCGCTTCCACTTCATCCTCGGTGCATTCCTAGTCATCTTATTCCTTGATCAGTTCGTCTCCATAGCGACTTTCTATCCTCCGTATTAGTAAGCTCCGATAGGTAAACCCTGATTGGCAGCTCTTGTGGGTTCCGGAACTCCCGTCTGTTGCTGCGGAACTTCCTGAAACGTCCTCAAAATCTCACAAGGAGTCGCTCCCCTGCATGACATGCATTTTGCGCCTGCATCGATCTGATTCCAGTCGTGAGGCAGACCAGATCGTCTAGTCGATTTCTAGACTGGCGCGCTCAGTGAGACAGGTGCTCTTAGTTGCTCTACTGCACATCGGAACATCCGTCATGCGTAGCACAACTACCTCAGCGCATCCCCAGAAGAGGGTAAGTGAGCTTAGTCATGGAGACAATAAGCCAAAGAAACGTCGCGCCCGCTATGCCTTGCGCGCCTGTGATGAATGCAAGCGGCGGAAAGGCCGCTGCGATGGTCATACCCCTTGCGAGTACTGCCTAAAGCGCTCTATTGAATGCCACTACGATGAAGACCCTCGTTTCCTCTTGAACCATGCTTTTGGTGGGTCTGGTCCAGGTCAAGCTTCTAATGAGCCTGTAACAGATGGAGACCGGGGAATTAATAGGTGAGATAGGAATCTCCGAATAAGACTAAACTAGACCAGTGGTTCTCACGCTCTAATCTGCTTAGCGAGATCGAACGCTTGACCGGTTTGGTGGGGAATATGCAAAGGCAGATCGATATGCTTGTTAATCTTCGTACTTTACAACATAGTGATTTTGGTCAAGACGACCATGGAGCTTCCGAAAGTCTAAGCCAGGGCATGACCCATGCTAGGACTACAAAGTCGTCGCATAAACACCAAACCCCCAGTGAATCTACACCTGAAAAGAATATCGATGTATTTTGTGGCGCTACGAGCTCAGAATACACTTTCAACATGGCCGAGCGTAACATTGTTGAGCAGCACATCAACCCGACACAATATAACGAGATGCCGCACAACCCAACGCCTGCTTCTAAACATTCACCCTACTTTGCTAGCAAACAAAGTCATAATGATAACAACAGCTCTCTAGGAGATAAGCAGTCCATGAAAACTTCCCCAGCATCAAGTGCATGTCTTTGCGAAGATTGCACCCGGCCACTGCGGTTGCTGACAAGAGATGAGGCCCTACGACTTGTGGACCTATACGAAGAGGTCGTAGGCCATCTGCATCCTTTGTTCAATCAGAAACGCTTCAAGTCACAGGTTGAAGCGGTGTACACCGGTATAGAATCCCACCATGCCAAAATTGAGCACCAGTCCAAGATCGATTCAGATACTTTGGATAATATTAAAGTCGCTCTAGCAATACCCCTTCTTGCGCTGGGCATTGGTAATGGCGACATTGGAACATCGCTTTATGCCAATGTTCAAGAAAAGGTTCAGAATGCCGTATTTGCTCCCATAAAGAGCGTAAAGAAGATTGTTTTATTGCTCCTTGCGGTTGGTCCTTTTAGATTCTAAAGTACCGTTCGTTTCTAATGTTGTAGTAGGCTATATACCATTATTTTCATGATGATTTGCAATTGGCATGGCGAACATGCGGTATCGCTGGTAAGGCGGCCATGGAAATGGGACTCCATCGACAAGACGCAATAGTCCACATGATTGAGGATGAAGCAGAGCGCTTTGAGGTCGTCAATGTGATGTGGAATATAGTTGTTCTTGACAAGCAATGGAGTTGTGCGGCCGGGCTCCCCCATCACTTTTCAGACAATGGGTTTCCGAGAACCTTGCCTGAGCGTGTCGAGGTAAGAAAGCACTTGCTGGACGTGATCTTCGAAAAGTTTGCTGAAATACGTCTTTGATCGATAGAATCCCTATTTGAAAGCGATGATATCGTATGCGTCTTTTTATACTCGATTCTGGGATTTCTCGGGCTCCATGCAAACAGCAGGTGCAAGTGAGGATGAAGAATTGTTTGACAGTACCAACTACCAGATTGAGCAATGGCGAAAGAGATCTCTCGCAGAGCTCAATTTTGTTCACCCTAAAAATCGACCGACTGAGAGTCTTCCTCAGTCCATGCCAACATTACTCTACCTTCGCGCCAACCAGCTCCGCGGTCTCACTATTCGCTCTTGTTTTCTTTCCGGCTCTAGTATAGCAGGTAGTCCACAAATAGCACAGTCAGGTATGGAATATGCCTCTGACACAATCGACATACTCACAGACCTGGACGCAACTACTGATATCTACGCCAAACAACACCCTTTCTTTCAGCATTTTCTCGCCTCTGCCGTGGGCTTATTACTTCTGGTCATAGCATCGGAATCGAAAAGAAACACGTTGGCCAAAACAGCTTCGGACCTGTCGTCCTCTGTGAACTTGAACGAAAGTATTTCACGCGCCTTTAGCTTGACCGCTTCATATTTCAATGTTTCAGCCCCTTCGCGACGACTTTTGAAAAGAATGATGTCCATGGCGGAGCCGCTGTCGAAGTTGGGTATACTCTATCCGACAGTGTCTACCAACAAAGACCTCACATATCTTTCTCTACAGTCTCAAGTGAACATTGGGAATATTCCGAATTACCAAAAATACCCGCAAGAAAATGCCCGTCAACTTACCGAAGGAGCAATAAACATCTCAGCGCCCTTCACTAATATAACACAGGGAGTCTTTCCAGAAATTTATACTACGGAAGGTGCACCTGGCATGATGCAAAGTATGCTCACTCCATACTCTATACCAGATGCCGATTTCGACATCCTTGGCGGTTTCGAATCTATGATGGAAGATCGAACTTGGATGGAACTTGGCTCATTATTTTTTCTGGATCCACAATAAGCCTACTGACAAAGGAACGTTCCTTTGGTAATACAGTCTGCTCGTTTGCATAATGCTCAGCAAATCAAGTACTTTCCGGGCGTCACCGATACCCATCGGTCATTGGCAATGATCACTCTCTACCTATCATATATTCAACATGGACGAGAAATCTTCAGTTTTCATGTAGTCCTCGAGACTGGTCGTCGGACAACCTATCTCTTTTGGAATCTGTTGTATAACTTAGTCAACAATTCAAAGATACAGATATCATTTTTTTCAATATCTCACCTGACTGGGATGCACAATGTATTCACTAGACAAATCTAGTTGTAGCACACTTGCCACCTGCTCCGCAAGTTCAAGACCATGTGGTCCACCTTCGAAAGCGGCAGCTTCGTCGATAGTCACATGCTTGATTTTGATATCCCCGACTCCCAGGGCCTGGGTCCAAAGACGAACGTACTCTTCGTGACTAGGGAGACTTCCATAACCCAAGAGCAGCTTTCCAGGTGGTAGCATGACCAGGGCCCTGACGAAGTGACCAGTATCCTTCCTCGGCACAACGAACGGTGTTAAGGTATTGCCGTCTCCAGGCAGCAAAAACACATACGAGCCATCTTCCTGCTATGATACTATCAAATCTTTGAAGCTCAACGAACGTAGGATATGTAACTAACCTTGTTTGGTCGTCTCAATCTCCACATTCTCCAATTAGTGGCATATTCACCAAGCAGCAGCAGCGATGTCTTTGCATTCAATTGCGGAAGAGATTCTTGTATATACCGTGCAATCTCCGCCTTTGCGTCGAAGTGATAGACATGTTGATACTTTCCATCAGCAATTGATTTTATTCCTGGTAGACTCGAGAACACGAATCGCTCCAGAGTATCGATACGAGCAGCAGCATTCGCAATGTTCGTGCCACGCTTGATTTCCAACTCGTAGCAGTATTCATTAATCGTTTGGCCTAGTCGGAGTTTGCCGTAGCTGTGCTGGTCGTACATGGGACCCCAGTAATCCGTGACCGCGAATATGGCATACGCATCTCGGAAGGCGTGGGTGAGGGACTCGATATTGTCGACATCCGCTTCGACTATTTCAACTCCTTTCTTTGACCACGAGAGGCTTGATTTCTTATTGATGTCGCGTGTTACGCCACGGATTTTCCAGCCGGGTTCTTGGAGAAAGACGTCGGCGACGGACGCTCCCTGAGTGAGATGGGTCAGCCTTTGACTCTATGTTTTTGGTATCTGGAAGAACATACCTGGGTACCGGTGATACCCATAATCACTATGAGTTTTGACATGACTGGATATTTCGATTGAGTTGATGACTTAATTGCTTAACTCATACTTCAAACTCATGATCTTCCTCCCTTTTATACTTCAAATACCTCAACGCACCAACCCTTGCCTCCCTCAAGAGATCCATTGAAGTAGATTTGACCAGTGATTTCAGCTCAAATATGGCAAAAACAAAAATTTTCAGCTTCAGTAAGTATTGACACCAGCTTATTGCTGAGCAATAGCCTGGCACCACCGAACACATGCGTGGTCAGATACCGGAAGTTCCGAACACATGTAAGCCCTAAAAGTGGAACGCAATATAAACACCTGGAGAGAAACAACATTGGCGAGTAGGCATGCCACATGAAAATAAAATACGAGGTTCACATTGCTTCAGGGCCTGATTGATTGCGAGAATGATCATACAAAGACCAGTATGGTTTTAGTCTAGACGTCGGAACTTCCGTTGGTATAAATAGAGGAGCTTAGATATTCAAGTACGGTGTTACGCTCGCACAATGCATTCTTTTACAGGTTTGAGTACACGTTTATGTATAAGGACTTGCGCTGTCAGTCTCCTGGTGATAAGAAGCAAATTTCTTTGAAAGAATAGACAATAGCAAATTGGATATCATGTACGGCACCTGGTGCCGTGGAGCACGAGTCATGAATGTACTACAAACAGATGCTCCCCATTACTAAGTAAGCTTTTCTTAAAATTCCTGCATACTCAGGTAATAGCACGTGGTTAAAGACTCCAAGTTTCTATCCGAATTGACCAGATTGTCTTCTCTTCTCATCGTTATAGCAGCAGGCCCTACTGGACGTCGTTTTCATTTCAGAACCGCTCCTTGACTGACGACTTAGAAGAGATTTTCAGGCATAATTGCCCTAAAACTCCATCTCGATTCGGAAATCGTTTCATACTGAATTTCTTCATTGTCCCAATACTTTCGGCATCCCAATGCTAATCCCGAGACTCGAAGAAGCGGATGCGGGGAAACGCTTAATGAAAACCGGAGCAGCGGAGCTAACTAGATATACTATGTACGTCGCATGGGCCATCGGCAAATACAAAGGGGCGGAGAAGACTTGGCGCGCTCATTTGCCGCATGTTTTTTTTGTTCTTTTGATCATCACCCATATTTCCGTTTTGGGAGATTGAAGTGTGTGCGCACAACGCTAGAGGCTGAGCTTACAGGCTGGGAGCTTGAGCCTAGAGGCGCCATGAGGAGCAGGGATCCGCGCGCACTTGGGGATGAAGGGTTCCCCTCACATGGAGATGAGGTGGCCGGGTGGGCATGCAGGGCATTTATAATCCGCTTCTGCAGATGCGGAGGATAAATTGGTGAAGAACCCATGCACCCTTTTTGATTTCTTCTCAGCGTGGCAAGACCCCCCGGCTACTCTTCAGACCTCTTCTTGAGAGACAAAAATCCCAGCCAGTGCGTTCAGCAATGGAAGTAGCGGCGTTCGAAAAACCACTGTATGCTCATGCTTCACTGGTTGAAGATCCAGATGAGGGCTTGAGCGAGGAGGAAAAGGCAGCCATTGTAAGCTTACAGAACTTCAAACCCGAATCATGGGCTCAAGCTTACGGGATGTATCAGGATCGCAGATTACTCTGGAAGCTAGACCTCCGACTCATCCCCTGGCTCTCGCTGCTGTATCTCGCCGCATTCCTCGATCGCACAAATGTGGGAAACGCGAAGATCGAAGGTCTGCAGCAGGCGCTGCACATGACCAACAACCAATATAATGCAACGCTTACCATCTTTTTCGTCTCGTATGCCATCTTTGAGCCCTTGACCAATGTCTTGTTGAAACGGACCACGCCCAAGTATTTTATCACGGCGATAATCATCATTTGGGTAAAGCCCTCCCTATTTAATATGAGGGCTTCGAGCTAAGCGTAGTAGGGAATATGCATGACGACAATGGGTCTCGTTCACAATTTTTCCGGTCTCATGGCAGCGCGCTGGTTCCTCGGTCTCGCCGAAGCTGGTCTCTTCCCGGGTATTAGTTATTATCTCTCATGTTGGTACAAAAGATCTGAATTCGGTGTACGCATGGCGATTTTCTTTTCCGCTGCCGCTCTCGCCGGCTCCTTCGGTGGCCTTTTGGCCGCTGCAATCGCAAACATGGACGGCGTCGGTGGTAAGGCTGGCTGGTCATGGATCTTTATCCTAGAAGGTCTGGCCACAATCGTGTTGGGGGTGATATCCTTCTGGCTCGTTGTCGATTTCCCGGACAAAGCGACTTTTCTCTCGGATGCCGATCGCAAGCGTGTGACCAGACGGTTGGTTCTCGATCAGCAGGCAAGTGGTCAGCACGAAGAATGGAAACGGTCGTATCTATGGGACAGTCTGAAAGATTGGAAGACATATCTGGGCGCGATTATTTATATGGGTGCCGATGGGCCTCTATATGCGTTCTCATTATTTATCCCGACCATTATCAACGAACTAGTAAGTCTAACCCTTCATGGTGAAAAAGCAATCTTACTCACGAGAATAGGGCTACTCCTCGACTAGAGCGCAGCTCCTCACCGTCCCGCCCTACGCGGTTGCTGCGGTTTTGACCGTGGCTATTGGTTACATTGCGGATCGCACACGCGCAAGAGGGCTTTGCAACATTATTGTTTCTATCCTTGGCGCAATCGGATTTTCGATGCTGCTCGGCGCAAAGACGGCTGGTACTCGTTACGCAGGTGTTTTTCTCGGTGCAATGGGGATTTATCCCTGCATTTCAAACACCATCTCTTGGACCAGTAACAATGTGGAGGGTGAGTCACATAGCTTCCCACCAGTCTTTACAGTTTAGTACTAAGAAAACGATTGTTCCAGGGGTCTACAAACGTGGCGTCACGCTCGGTATCGTGATCGGATGGGGTAACCTCAACGGCGTCGTTTCGTCAAACATATACCGCGGCAAGGATGCGCCTACTTTCTACCCTGGTCACGGCACCGTTCTTGCCTATCTCGTGCTGTTTCTTCTGTTTGGGTCGATCTTGCAGACTATTCTGCTGAGAATCGAGAATAGGAAGCGTCAGCGTGGTGAGCGTGATCATCGCATTGAGGGTTTGAGTGAGGAGCAGATCAAGGATTTGGGAGATTTGCGGCCGGATTTTATATACACTACTTAGCCTCGCCTTGAGTCTGCAGTGGAATACATATATTCAATCATATAAGCCTATGCGGATATTGCACTGGAAGTGAAAGTGTAAGTGAAGTCAGTTCCGGCATTTCAAGGACGAGAGATAGAACGCACATAGTTAGATGACAAAATGCCAATTATGAGAAACTCGTGTAGGACATCACAGATTAGATCGTCATGAGCAAAGTTTTTATTGAATAGAATAAAGATTCAAAATATCCTGATTCTTCTTCGGCCCCTTGACAACATGTCTACTAGCCCAACTCAACACCTCCCCTGTCTCCGGCACAACCCTAAATGAGTAAGCCGTATAATACATATCCTTGACACAGAGATGATCGCCCGTTGCTTGCATGACCGTCGTCTCTGGATATTTCTCTTTAAGATCGGGGAGTATCAGCGGCGGTGGCGTGGGCGGTTCAAATTTCGGCTTTGTTGCGTCTGTCGTCGCGCCTGCCGTTTCTGAGGAGTCTTGTTGTTTCTGTCGATAATTAAAATCGAACTCATGAAACAAATAATCAGGCTCGTCCTGATCCCCAGTTTCGGCTTTCTCCTTGCTAGATTTAATTTTGACGAACCAGACGCTGATGCCGCCCATTTCAGGGTTGCTGTTGTCGTCTTGTTGTTCTTGTTGCTTTTGGTCTGTAGAAGCAGCACCGTTCAAGCGCCAGATATATTTCTTGGTCCATCTCAATCCGGCCATACCCATCACGCTACTCGGCATTTCTCCTTCTTCCTTGTATACCATTTGTCTATACGCGGTTGCATCGTCTTCGGAAGGTGTGTGGTGCAATGGGTGGAAGGTCGCTGTTCCGTTGAGTTCGCCGTTGATGTCTGCGGGGTTGTCGCTGCGGAGGATGCGGTGGAGGTGCCATTGGCGCGTTGGAGAATTATGTGAAGTGGTTGAAAGTGTTGTTGGGGTTGACGGCGAGGATAGCGAGGTGTATAGAGAGGAGAGGAAGCGGGGCGAAATTCGCGATTTCATTGTTGTTGTTGTTGACTCCGCGGAAGACATTTTGTGGAGGAACTTCTTCTTTGCTCAATTTTCGCTGGACGACATGGAGATTTTGTCTCAAGATCGAATGATTATTAAAAAGTAATGCGACAGATTCTCTTGTTGTAGCGATTGAAGTGCTGTAGAAAGAAGGTTGGAAAGTTGAGGGTTCGCCGGTGAAGGTTAAGGTTATTCCGAACTATCCTCAATTCAGCCAATCAGCGCTCACGATCTATGGATCGATCGATACAAAGCATGTCAGTACATTTTTTGGTTTTTGCTTGTCGATAGCTGAAGAATTCTTCCCTTTACGATTTTCTTATATGCTGCAGCACAACGGAATGAAGAAACGTAGCAGCCTCCTTCAATGTATTATGCAAGTAGAGAGACCTCTATCCAAGAAATTTCTTTTGACATGATGAAGAAAGGGCTTACCAGCTGAGCATGGTACTCATATCAGTGTGTTAATTGCAACCATGAAGATAGAATGTACTCAGTGTGGCACTTCCGAAGTTGTGTTGCTCTATGAAATCTTAGGTACTGATTCATCTTTCAAGAGACCCTTAATTTATAGTTGAACGTAGATACTCAAGTTGTCTTCAATAAGCCGAAGCATGTCCAAGTTTGATGTACCCCATCCTCAAGATATGTAAAAAGCCCTAAAACACCTACCGAGCACACCTGACAGCAGTCTGCTTAACAAAGCAAGCCATTACCATTTCAGCTGACTCATTCTCCGTCACCTTCATCCCTTGATCTCGGCATTCATTCGGTTCCATAGGCATCAAGCGATTTCATGCTCCTTCCGCATGCGGCCTCAACCCATCCATCCATCGCCCACTACGAGTAAACCCAAGGTTAACCCTCAAGATCCCGTGCACAATCCAGGGTTTCTACAATAGTTGTGACCTACGGTTGAATTCTTCAATTATCAATGTGGTAATTATAGCTGACTGCAATCCATTCATCTAAATATCTAGCTGTCTAGACCCGACTACGTCGAAAACAAAAACAAAATGTAGTATATGAATAATAAAAGATCAGAAAAAACGCCCATCCCCATTTCCAAAAAAAAGACATAGAAACAGTAACACCGCCTCTACTTAGTCCATTTAGCTTTTTCCCAAGGACAACACCCAAGCTCCGGCCAACGGATATCAATACAAAAGCAATAAAAATAAATAGCAAGCAAAGTATAGCCAGAGAAACGAAAATGAAGAAAATAGGCAAGAAGGAAGATAGAAGCAAGTCTCGTAGAATGAATGAACTAGTCGAAATCGTCATCGCCGTCACCGCCCCCGCCGCGACCCTTGACGCCATCCTTGCGGATGGGAATTTTGATGCCTTGTAGTGCAAAGCATTTACTCAAGGGTGTGCTTTCAATAACACCGGGGAATTTCTTGGCGGAAAACACTTGGAACGGCTCCGAAAAGACAGAGGCGAGAACAGGCGCAGATCCGTGATTGAGAACGGGAGCACCTGAAGCGTCCGGAGATTGCGAAGTTCCCACGTTGACAAAGTTCATTTTCAGTCTGTTTCTGTGTTAGATTCTGACAGATGCTAGCTCAAGACGAGAAAGGTCATACCTGAAAGTTCCTTCAGTGCGGACACTCAAATCCTGCAGGATAAACCATACGCCAATCTTGTTATCAGGATCTGTCAAGCGAAATGCACTCGCACTCAGACTTCCAATCAAGTTCCGCGTGAACATTCCACCCGGTGCCGCGGCCTGTGGCGATAGATTGGGCTGCATGCCGCCTTGATAGTAACCGCCGCCATAGTACGGACCGCCCTGAGGAGGCGGGGCAGCCGCATATGCATTTGGATACACGTTATTCTGGCCATAATAACTCGGCACTTGTTGATGATATCCCAACGACTGCTGAGGATAACCATGTTGATTAAATTGCGGGTATGTCGGCGAGATGTTGCTCTCCTGCGGGGGCGGGTATGAAGACGAGGTTGCGGTAGAGATGGAGGGCGAGTTTGCAGAATGACGGACTAGGTTGACTTCGCTCGTGCCTTCTGCATTCCATAAATCGACTGTGAGGACGTAGAAGGATGTGTCGATTTCGTTGATGTCGATTTCTTTGTCTGTAGTTGCGTCTTTGACAATCAACCTGATACACGGAGGCGGGGTGATCGGCCGTCGGTCCTGGTATTGTCAGCGATCATCCATCATCTGATTTTCCATCGTCCTACCTTATCGCCAAAGCCGCACATGCGAGCTCGAATGGGCTGCTGGACAACATGCAGCGACCATATACGCCCTCCATGTATCGTCGAGACAGGCTTCAAATGTTCGGTAGTGCGCAGAGGTCCAACAGTCGCTGAAGTTGGGTATACAGGGCCTCCCGGGGGTGCAATGCGATCCATAGATAGAGGTGGCGGTTGGTGAGGAATTGGCTGGGACCTGTCATGCTCGACGGCGGTATACATGGTTCGGACGAACGTGGTACGTTTATACCGCAGCGGAGGTTCGAAAGAAGCGATAGATTTAAAAGATACGGAAGAAGTATAGAGATGAACGAAATAAAGGAGAGTATAGACGAACCAACGAGAAGAGGATGCGATTATCTGGTCGTCATCGTCGAAAATTGGCCGAAGACGGTCATGCAGGAGCCGCCGCGGGTTCGTCCAGTGGACAGTCGCGACCTAGCCGGATGTAGGTTAGCGGCAGTCTATTACTATAGATTATGTAATGTCTGATCTGCCGCTAGCCGTATGTAGTGATTCGATCGCTGTCCGAGAAGTACCTCGAAGAGTGAGGTTTATTTATTATATCTTCTTTGATGCTCTCTTATCATTGTGCTCAAAAATGTAAGATGTTGGTGGGTTAAGTAACCTTATATCGTGATATCGCGATACCTTCAAAGCCGGAGCACTAGTGTCACGTGCCTTCAAATCGACCATATCTAGAGAGGTCTGACTATGATAAGCATGAATACTTTTACTGAGTACATTTATTGAGTATGATACTCTAATACAAGACCTTATATCATCAAACTCGTTATTCAAATAGTGGTTACATCACAATCATCATTACACAAAAGCGAAAACTTTGCTGTCAACTTTAATCACATCATGCTTGCTGCTGCCTATACGGTTCAAGCCTCCCACGCCCTCGATCTCGCATTGTAAAGAGTCTTTTGTACTCATATATGTCGTACAAGGTTCTGAAATGACAGCGCCAAACGGCCTCCAGAGCAAGATGTCAGATTGTCAGGCTCAGCAGACGTTCATATTCACATGCCAAGCCAAACCGATAAGACTCGAAACAACTTATCTTATCTTATCGACATGTCAGATTAGATAGGTCTAAATCCAGGCACCAAACGTTAACGCCGGGCTGCCGATCTTCCGATTCCGTCTGCACTTTGAGCCCTAACTCGATCTAGTTAAAACCATGCAGACATTGCAGAGCAGCGACAGCAAGCAGAGGGGGGCATATACATCAGCTGATCTCGTCGTCTAATCTGCCAAACTTGTGTACAGCAAAAAAGTCAACGCAAGGGATAGCACGCAAACTCCAGGCCTACTTACGTACGTTATCTCCGAAGCACGGAAATTGACGTTTCATTCATTCCCCAGGGTACATAGTACATTGTTCTAGATCATGTAACTTACTCCGCGAGATGCTGATGTACACAGCAAGGGATAACCGAAATAAATCTGCACACGTGATTTACCATCCGATTCCACGATAATGACAGAACATTGGCAATTGGCATTCCGCATATCGGCACATGTTTCGAAATACCCGATCGTCGCCATGCCTGAGGCCACATGATAAGTGCAGCCGCAAGAATCCGATTGTACCTACGGGGCGTTTACGATATCACATACCATACTAGACGTATCACATCTACGGGAAATTTAGGACATTTTATCTCCGTGCGGTGAAATTGCCTCAAGCGATGAATATAGCTCGAAAGGAAACGAAGCGGAGAACAGTAGAACGTGCAAAAACCACTCGCTCTATCCGTGCAGAGTGGATTAAACTATCAAAAACAGTAAACCTTACAGAATTTCGAGGGTCATGTGTGCTGTTCCCACCCACTTGCGCTCTGCTGAGGGAGAATGCCGCACTGCCGTAGGTGCCGCAGATCCGCTTTTTCCCTCGATTTGCTCGAAGGGCTTGAATTGACTCATCCCAGATCACACTAATCCCGTTTAGGGCTAAGAGGCTGGAACCTATTGGGCACTGTGAGAGGGGATCGACATTTTCCGTTTGTAGTAAGCAGTCTACATTTTGCAATCTACGATCTAGAGTCTACGAGAATGGAAAGATAGAAGACATTATGTAATATCCATATATTGAACTATATAATCGTCTCGACCATCAACCCTAATTATTGGGGAGGGAGATCGAATCATCATGAGAAGAGTGAATCAGAGTGAATCATGAGTAGAGAAAAAACAATAACAAAAATCGTAGTCGATACAGGCCATGCAATCCAGTTCATCAATGCAATGCTAGTACATAGTCGTATCGCTTCATCCAAATGCGCCGATAATGCTCAGGACAGAAGTCGCTGTAGTATGGGGTATATATCATAACAAATCCAATGCGTAGAGAAGAGTCATAAACTTTTTGGATATTCATCAATCACGATCGTGACTAGTAGGCTGGGATCATGGTGCCTTGATGAATAAATCCATGCTCTTCAAACATTGATTGCGACTCTGTATCTGTGAGCAGAGTGTTGTCCCGCTTGACGGGATGGGTTTGTGAGGAGGTGAATGCGTTCATGGTGGGTTGTTCGGGGGATGGAGGCATGGAGTCTTCCTCGTCGGACGAGAGGTCGTCCAGTAATTCGGGCGGCGAGTTGTGTCGAGAAGGTGAGCGAGTTAACGTGAGACGAGCTTCTTCTTCTTCGTCGTCCTCCGCTTCTTCGTCAGACAATTCGTCGATCGAGATGAGGGCAGGTGGGGAAGGAGCGCGGCGGAGAGGCTTTGCTACTGCTGCAGCGGTGTAGAGAGCAGTCAAGTCCTCAAACTTCTCGTCTTCCTCCTCATCGTAGTCTGAGTAATCATCGTCGCTCAGATCGGAGTCGTCTTCTTCAGAGAAGTCCTCCATCGACTCCTCTTCAATGGTGTCTGCCCATCGAATGTGGGACGGCTGTGCTTTCTTTGTGGCGTTGCGGACGGTGTTGTTGAACCATTGCTCTTGTTCGCGCTCGGCATTGGCCAGGTCGAGCATTAGCGAATCGAGCAGGTTGGCGTGGCCGACGAGCAGACGCAAGTCATGGTCGGCGCGGGCAGCCTCCTTGGAGAGCTTGCTGCGGGCGGTGTGGGCCAGGTAGTAGGTCTGAGTGATGCTCATTTTCTTTTTGGGCTGATCTGGTCGACGGGGGTAGAAGGATGTCGCAGAGAGCAGAGAAGGAGCCATTTTATCCGGCATGGCTTGTATATATATAGGTGGTTGTTGTGTGCGTGAGCTAAAAGGGCGGAGTGAGTCACCTCGTTTTAGGAAATAAATTTGCTTTTTCCGCAGCGAGGGCAGCGACAGGGCGGTGAGGGGTGAAACGTGGTGTCGTATGACTAATGACTTATTGGCGGTTGCTATGTGCTAGACTGTTGTCTGTGTCCGAAGTCTGAGGTTGCTTGATGTAGTAGTTGTAGTTGCATTTGTACTTATTGAAGCTGATGAAAAAGTCTCGTGGAACATCAGGGCACCAGCTATCTTTATGTCAGCTGAACGCCCATGAAAAATTAGGCTCTCTCATTTCTCATCATCCGGAAAGTCCTAAGTCCATGCATTTCCGTGAGCCGAAATCCGTTGACTAATTGCTGCAGAAAAAGTGGATTTGTCAACCGCAAAGTGTTAGTGCATACTCGGCGGTCGGAGCTTAGGAGTTAACAGGGCCAATTCTTACGGCCGTCACGCCGTGCCCGATCCACCATCAACGATTACCATGGTTTTCTACTCTGTCCTGCTTTATGAATCATGCTGTCAGATTCATGTAATTGTGCAATTAACTCCGGTTCTGATGATATGGCCTGATTCTCATGGCACATCTACGATAGTAAGTTATCGTGTATCTACGATGCTCAGACTCACCGCTCATACTGATCGTGCATACAGCTAGGCAGGTCAAAGCTCTAACAAACCCGCCCGGATTTACAATCACAATTCGGCTGATCGCTTTCGCATTCGACCATTTTCCCTTACATACGACGGAGTACGTGTTGGTAGCTAGCGGCGGCCGCCCTAACACAACCCAGAATTCTAGGCGAGCATTACTCATCCTTGGCACAACCCCAGATTGCAATTTTTTTTTCTTTTTTCCTCGGATTCTGAATAATCGAATAATAATCGGACCCGCTTAGCAATCAACCTTTTTCATCGCTTATTATTAATGACTCCGTGACCATGTATGTAAGTACTACGTATGATGTGCTCGATTATTAATCTTTGTAAGGAATATCAAACACTTGAATATTCCGTAATGCGACTATCATGTATACATCATCAATGTAATCGAACAGTATCTTTCTAGCGAACTACTACTAGGAGTATCCCCGTGTTGTTGTAATCTCTCTGCCTGACAAAAGTGATCAATCCAACAATTTGCAGGGTCCCCAAGGCTAAGCCCTAACTCCGCCCAGCTGATTTTTTTCTTATCAGATACGCCGACCAATCAGACCGCCAAATCGCACTGATTCAGCCCGTGTCCAGGGCCAATCGCATCGCGCCTCGTTAACCACGTCGATCCCTTGTACTAAATCGTGGTGCCTAATCTTCAAGGCTGCCGCTTAAATACGCGGTAGGAGTTATCCGCAGGAGTTACGGAGCGAAACGAGCCCAGCCCGCTACTCCGTATGTACTAGCTGCTATCCCGATTCGGCAACGAATGCGATTTCTCGCTAAAAGGTATGTTTTCAGTTGGAGTAAAGTGTGGAATTCCTGGTGCCTGAAGTCTGAAACGATGCTCAGCCTCCTTACTGGCATGTTCAGGTACGCCGTACATTTAAACGACGAGCGGGCCATTCTGTCAAGCATTCCTTGTCGTATTCGTGTTACGATGATTCACCCTTTCTAAGCGTCGCTGGGGAAGGCTCGTTGAGGCTGAGCTGAGTCATAATTCTTCGCATTGGCCAATTACGATCTGCGTTCCGCACACCTGGAGCCTCACCGTGGAGTTTCCATGGATATACGGGTTATTTTTTCTTTTTTTTTCTTTCCTTTTACTCTAAGTTCTCCGTACACGCCAATTAATTATTCAGGCTACAGAATTGATTCAATTATTCGCCAATTAATCTTTGCGCAATACGGCTTGCCTCTCATAGATCGTGCAATGCCACAACCTGCAATCAGATTTTGAAGGTAAGCCCTCTACGTCGCCATCGGTAGATTCGCCAAACAAACCTGCGACGGAGAGTCGGCGCCTCGGTACTTCGGATTTTGCAAAGGCAGTGGTTACGCTGCATAATTCTTGACAGTTGGGCACTAAACCATAAGTAGACTAGAACCCCGAGGTTCTGGCGGACGGATATAAGACGATTTTTTCGTCCGATGCACAAATCAGACAGACCGGTCCGTCTGAGTCATCGGCTGCAACAGCTTCCGTGAAACCGGAACAACCGTGGAAATGCCAAGACAACCGGAAGAATCAGTTGATGATGCCATGATGTCATGAGTCTTGAGTCTGGAGGAGCTACGGCCGAAAGTAAACCGCATGTCCCGTTTTCGTCCTCAGCCCTACCTTGAGGGTTCGTTCAGCTGGTTCAGCTGACATAACGTTGATTGTAATCTTATCTCCGGAGTACTTACGGCCTGGGCCTAGATTTCTGGAACGATTTATAATTCAGCTTTCATCTGTTCCTCTACTGGAGTAGAATACTAGAATCTAACTGGCCGGCTTGCTTACTCGCAGGTCGTAGCTGTCATGGAGATTTTATGCAGACGCTGGCTGGGTGACTTCCACGCTGTCGGGCCAGGTTTCGTTCCGGTGTCCCGGGGCGGTGGTTCGTACATTAACTGCTGGGTCTGCTGAGGTTAATTGTGTCGATGGTGGCAGCATGTGACTACGCACATACGGGGACATTGTGTCGCTGACAGATTTCCACGAGTTCGAACTTCGGTCTCGAACGAGTCTAGCCCAACTCTCCGACACTCAGATCATGCATCTCCATCTGCTGACATCTGAACTTATGGCCAATTCCAATTCTTCACGGCCGATGAAGGTTGTATGTAGCAGTTTTACTGGACCGTTGATCGCTTGTACAGCTGTCAAATTTTCAAGTTCATCCAAAGACCGCTTAAACATCGGAAATTGCCAGGATAACGCTCTTCGCGCCTGAAGCTTATCGCGATAATCGGCTACCAGTTTCCATGCATTTGATTGGTCAAATCACGGGCACACGGGTTGCCCCACTTTCTCATCACATAATCTGGAGACAAGCATGTGGAGAGATGTTTATCAACACATGCTTCAAACTTTGTATCGCGAATACCTAGGAGATCATCATTATTGATGAAATTCACAGCAGATATGGACGAGCCAACGCATGTGATCGACCCCGATGGTGAGGTCATTATCGTCTTGAAAGACGCGAATTCGCCATTCGCAGTTTGGCCGGAGGAGAAGACTGAAGATGAAAAGAGGTAACTTTAAATTTTAATTTATTGTCTATCAACACACGCCATGGTTGAACATATGCTCAGCAAGATTCTCAGAGTGCCGAATGAAGATACCACGCCGCAGTCCGAGACGGAAGAGGAAGAGACGGAAGAAAACTGCTTCCGTATCAGGGTATCCGCCAAACATCTCACACTCGTATCGCCCGTGTTCAAAAGCCTCCTTGTGGGCGGCTGGAAGGAGAGCAGCACATTCATTCATACAGGATCCACCGAGCTCACTGTGTCGGGCTGGGACCTCGAGGCTTTCTTGGTTGTTATGCGAATGATACACAACCAGCATACGAAGATACCGCGCAAGGTCAGCCTTGAACTGTTTGCCAAGATAATTGTTATTGTGGACTACTATAAGTGCAAAGATGCGATTGGATTCTTTGCGGATGTGTGGCTTGATGATCTGGATGGCAATTCGGAACTGCGGAATAAGATTGCTTGCACCTTCTCGCGAGATTTGATGCTTTGGTTGTGGATATCGTGGATTTTCCAGCGCTCTGATCAGTTCAAAATATCCACTGCTATTGCTATTAAATATATCAAAGCGCAGATATCGAGTCTGGGTCTTCCTCTCCCGGCAAGACTGATTGGTGAGTGGGCTTCGAACTCAACATTGAGACTGAAAGCATCACATTGACCACATTCGTTTTCTTAAAGACCAATTGAACCACGAAAGAGAAAAGGGCATCGAATCTGTCATGGCTGCACTAGAAAAGCAAAGAAGTTTCCTTCTTAGTGAAAACTGGCCATGCGGTTATGCGTTCCAGTGTACGTCAATGATGCTAGGTGGACTTGAGAAATACATGTTCACCAACGGCCTATTCCCCGCGCCGACGGCTCCTTTCGACGGCTTTGGGTATCAAGATCTTGTTGACAAGATTCGGAACTTTGAGCCACCAACATGGTATCACTCTTCAAATACATATGGATCGCATTTATGCAGCGGTTCGAAGCAGGGATATCAGCAACTGAAGCTGACGACGGAGTCGACTGTGGGGTTGAATTTTCTTTATTCATACTACTAAGTGATTCGTTGAGAGAGCTTTCACTATCAATGCTGGGAATATCGCATTGCAAGGGAGTGATCATACTAGGATTGGGATGTATCAGCGACAATCATGAGATGTCCCAAGTCGAGATAGTTTTACATTAGCTAGCATGTGCACATGTGAGCTGTGGGAATGATCATACAGTATCAGTCCCGCTATTTTGTTAGCTGCTTGTACATGCGCTCATGTTGGAGATGTGCACAAAACTATCGGAGAACATCTGGATTGCATGTATAGACATCAAAATCATTTTGTATGCTCTCTACTCGGTTCAAAAAATGCTCCACAGTTTGGATAAATCTAGAAATTCATTGCTTCCGTTCAACTGGAAGTTCTTGTGTTTGGCAAGTGACCTGAAATTTGTTTTAAAAAAAAGTCTTGAAGGTAGGCTTTCGTAAAATCCACAGTAGACTGTTAATAAAAGCAGGAAGTGAATCGAGCTATACTTATATTTAATGAAACGTCCAAATTAAACCTGAAACAAAGCGTGATTTGGTCGATTCAGCTAAAGCGCGGGTCGAGGTAAACTCCTGCGAGGGTCTTTGAAATACTTTGACAAGAATTCGGAAAATATTTCCTTTTGCAGCCCCGTTTCAACAACCGCCTTTCCTATCTCCTTGTTGACCTTGTTGAGCATATGTCTATCCCAATCTTCAAATGCCTGGTCAAGTTTGAGTTGTTCAAATACTTCCCGTACCTTCAAGACATCACTATTGCGCTTGCTGCCGTAGGAGTTTTCTAGGACTTTCATTTGCGCCTCATCACAACGTCGAATAGCTTCAACTGAAAGCCAACTGCACTTATTCTCTTGAATATCAGATCCTATTTTCCCAGTAACCCGTGGGTTCCCGTAGACGTCTAGGTAATCGTCGCGAGCCTGGAAGACAAGGCCTAAGAGCATGGAGACTTGATGAATCCCTTTCAGCTTTGCCGGAGTTCCAAGTCCGAGATATATAAAGGCAAGCGCAAGAGGAAGATAAAACGTATAGTACCCAGTCTTGTGAGCCGTAATGAATTGATATGTATCCCAGTTGAACTGGTCGAGCCTCATCAATTTCATCGAAGCCATCAGGTCACAGTTTTGACCAAGTTCTGTCCGAAGGGCAGCTTCACTAAAAAGTTCCAAGAGGTCCACGTATGAAAGGTGGTCTCGGAAGCGTGTCTTGAGAATTATAAAGATAGAGGATTTCAAAATACACGCGTCGTTGATGGCCATTAGCCCGACATTTTCCCGGCGATACCAACAGCGCCTACCGCGTCTCGTAGAAGAATTATCCATTATGTCATCCCAAACAAGGTATGCCGCGTTCAAGAACTCAACAAGGCATCCAAGCGCCAGGAGGTCTTCTATTTGACGCGGACTGAGATCTTGGCCACTTAGGATCCGTCCAGTGTCTAGGACAGTCCGGCCACGAAGAAAATTTCCACCACTTGTGTTAAAGATCAGACACTGTACGAGCAATCAGCCAAAGTAGGCTTGGAAGTGGACCATCGGGTGCAGACCTCTTTCAACCGCTCAACGGCTTCAGGTGATAGTCCCATTTCTGAGAGATGATCAGCTATCTGCCCAGCAACATTTGCCAGGGTTTCTTCTAGTCTATCACCACTGGATAGAGTCATGACGGGGATGTTCTGTAAGTTCGATTGGCAGCAATTAACCTGCGGGTGGGTGGTTTCAGGGGCGTAAAAAGATTACGAGATCGAGAGATTTTTTTGATTGTTATAAAATTTCGGCCATTCCCTACATGTATACAGCAGCAAAGCTGAATTTGCATATTAGCACAAAGACTAGATGAAACGAGCGGTCTGCAATCGTACTAAGTGCGAAAGTTAAAATGCTGGTAAATCATGCTTTGTAAAACTTTGTACGGTTCATAAGGGTTCTATTACCAGATCTCGAGATTGATTATCTAGACCTGTCACATAGAGGAAACAAGCGGTGTATAACGCAGTAGCTGCACATAAATGTTTGTGGATACTGTAGTCCTGTCTTATTGGATATCAGAGATGCAATTTCTAGGTCTCGCGCCCATGCTGGGTATCTTAATGGAGTGGGAAAATGTCAAATACTGAGATAAAAATGTTGTGCATTGGTCTAGGTTGCGGATTCTGCTATAGCTCCGGTGTAAGGCCGGTGATCGCGACGGCTTTGCGCAGGAATGACTGAGACAGAAAATGGTAATATCTCTTCTTGTTCTTCTTTGGGATTGGTGAACAAAAATTTATTAGCAGCTTGAATATATACATATACATACTAGGCTGATTGGGTTTTTGTGCACACCACGGCTCAGAACATTTTAGCAACGTAGCGGTAAACTGCCCGCCTCCTTTACCCTCAGCGTCCGCTCACTCGACTGAACAACAGCGTAGTGTCTCTTCTCAATATGGCCCAAGAAAATTTGCAGAGCAACCTTTGCACGCCTGGATGTTCGTGGCTTGAGATCGAGGGCACGTTCAATTGTCGTGACTTCGGAGGATATCGGTGCGGTCCGAATACCAGCATGTCTACTCAAACTCGAGACAGGATATTGTACCGCTCAGGACATCTTGATGATGTTACAGTAAGCGGCTTGGAGAAAATGCGTGAACTATCAATTTCAACAATAATTGATTTAAGGAGCCCGGGTGAGGCAAAAGCTCTTTACTCCAAGGATAAGCCAAATAACGAAAACCTCAGCGGTTTCAAGATTATCAAGCTTCCACTGGGGCGAAAAGGATTTTCAATTCAACACTGTTCCGCAAAGTATGAGAAGTACCTAGAGGCAGGCTCAAAGGTGGGTAAAGAATTGGGTCAACAAGAAGATGATAGTGACGAGCAATACAGGCCGTCGCACAGGAGTACTTCAACATGCTTCTTGAAGGACATCAGACTATTCGACAAGTATTGCTGTTACTGCGCGACAATCCCGGTGATGTTTTCCTCATCCACTGCTCTTTGGGAAAAGACAGAACTGGCATCATTTTCGCGATCCTCCTTTCGTTGGCTGGTGTCCCTCACGACGTCATAGCATCAGAATACAGTTTAAGTGAGGTAGCTTTACAGTCACTTCTGCCTAAGATTGCCGAAATAGTGAAATCATCTGCATCGCCCCGACCCACTACCGCAGAAGCTCTACGGATAGCGCACGGGGTGATAACAACAACGTAAGTGAGCTCACATGTCATGATAACGCAAGCTAACAATACCACAAAATATAGCAAGGATGCAATGTTTCTAACGTTGGAAAAGCTGGAAGCAACTTTCGGTAGCACTGTCCAATACGTGACCGAGCGCTGTGGACTATGTTTGGAGGATATAAAGCAAATCCAACAGAACTTGACTCGGGCTGACCCCCAGAAGTAAACAATCTGATACATTCAGTCTTTCTCATTCTATTGTGTTTCTCAATATAAAACTCTTAGGTATTAGCACACTGATGCTAGTCTCAGTATCCAATATGACTGTGACAAGACATAACAAGAGCCATGTTATTGATCCTGACGGAGAAGTTATGTTCTTCCTGGAAAATGCAAATGCTCCTTTCGCAGTTTGGGACGAGAAGAAAATTAACAAGCAGACTCCGAAAAGGCTCGCGAAAAAGCCGCCCAAGAAGAAACTCAAGGTCGATGAAAACAAGGTAAGGTTCTTATCAGGAGGAAAAGGAAGATTTCCATTAATGATCTTTCTAATCATGATGCTGAAAAACTCAAAAAAAAAAAAAAAAAAAAAAAAACAGGAGTACATCCGCATAAGGGTTTCTGCTAAACATCTAATGTTGGCCTCTCCAGTATTGAAGAAGACTCTTTCTGGTGGATGGAAAGAAAACGAATTATTTGCAAAGAAGGGGGCCTATAGATCTCGTTGTTCAGGGATGGGACCTAGAGGCGTTCCTACTTTTTCTACGTATCATTATTGCCAGCAATAAGATCTGCCTAGTTTCATCAGTGTTGAAATTCTTGCGAAGATTGCGGTTCTGGCGGATTATTATACTTGCAAAGATTCTGTTGACTTTTTTGCCAATCTATGGATTGAGAAGTTGAAAACGCAATTCCCTGACCGGTATTGCCGAGACTCGATGCTATGGCTGTTCATATCGTGGTTTTTCGGGCTCTCCGATGAGTTGAATAAGTCAACTTCCATTGCCATGACCTACAGTAACGCTCCAATAGCAAATCTGGACCTGCCTATCCCGATGTCTGTTCTTGGTAAGATCATTAGGATTCTTTTCTCTGCTCACAATTTTGGTGACAATTTCCGCCTAGATACCTTGAATCAAGAGAGGGAAGTTTGTATAAAATCTATTTTAGATAGGTTGAAGGAAGAACGAAACCGGTTATTAACAAAGGATTTGAAATGCTCGTTTGGATGCTGTTCAATTTTATTGCGTGCACTCGACAGACAAACTCATCTGAATGGCCTTTCGTTTCCCGAGCCCAAGGCTCCCTATCTGGGGCTGAATTTTCACAAACTTGCCGTAACGGTTAATGCTTTCAGAGCCCCAGAATGGGCACTGAAGTCGAGTTCCTATACTCTTGTGCATACTTGTTCAGCTACAACTCGGAAATACGGCTTGATCTTCAAGACTACCGTAGTGGGATATACCAGAATCTAGCCATTACTTGTGAAGAACAACTTATTCCGTGAGGCAAAACCCTAAATTCGAGTTCTCTCAGCTGATTTGGGTAATAGACTATCATTGTTTTAGCAACCACATGCCTACCGATACCACTTCTAATACTAGCTTCAATTACTACAAGCTGCATCGCACTTCTAGGTGAAGTTTCATTCACTGGTCTGTAGAGTAAAGACGTATCTCTGGTGCGTGTATATAGAGTCATTGTTTCGGCCTAGAATATGAAGAGATCTTCAAGGGATGTTGGCGGCCCTTACTGGTGATAAGGTAGGATCCCACATTTTATCGCTAGTCTGGTTCCATTGGTCATTGAGCAAGCTAGCCCAGTATAACCAAATTTCATTCAAAGAACAAATAAATCAGTAGGTAGTAAGGGCAGTTGCGTCAAGCTTGGAAGTACATAATGGCGCCTGTAAATGATGAATTGAATTTACGTGATTGCTCCAGACGGGGAAGTCATAGTTGCCCTTTCGGCTTCGTCACCGAGCATGAGTATATTGTGCTTGTACAAGGAGGTGGGCTGCCTTGAGTGTATCAGGACTGGAATCAATTGTACATTCTTACGTACTGGATTTTCCCCGACTCCTGTTCCGCTGTAGTGTTCACCCCGTCGTCACTTTTACTCCCTGAGTACTATCTAGTTACGGCCTGCTTGGCCGCAGCCCTGTTCGGGGAATCTTCAATGTGCCGAAGGGCATAACGGCGTGGCCAAAAAGGCAAGATACAAATGACTGGTTGACCGGATAATTGATAAATCAGTAAATATCTAGATAAAAGGTTCAATCAATCAAAGTTATCGCATTATATCGACGACTTTTGCTACTGAATTAAGCGTCAATTTCTCCTAAATCATATATCCTACAATGAGCGAATCAAACATCTTAGACCGACTTTCGGTTCTCGACACTAACACAGTGTCTGACGCATTGGACTTCCTGAAAATCAAAGGAGCTACTTACGGTCTGCGACCCCTTTGGAACTGCCCGAAAATCGTCGGGCGTGCCAGCACAATAAAAGTTGCCCCGAAGGGTGATACTGCGCCGACGACGCATCTTATTAGCCCGGTGATCGACGAAGTAACGTCTGATGACCGCATCCTTGTTATTTCGGGCGGTACAGATGGTGTATCATGCTGGGGTGATATCCTCGCGAATGCAGCGAAAGTAAAGCACATTCGTGGAACGATCATTGATGGTATGAGTCGTGACATTGATGGCAGCCGTGATATTGGCTTTCCAGTCTTTGGCCATGGTGTCACCATGATCAGCGCACGCAATCGCTTAGTCCAAATCGAATCTGGGACTCCAATCCAGATACAAGGAACTATAGTCCACCAAGACGACTATGTGATCGCAGATAATTGTGGCACAGTCTTCGTCCCAGCCGACCGCATCGAGGAGGTCGTCGAAATGGGCGAACGCATCGATCTTCGTCAGACTCGGATGCTCAGCGATGTCAGAGCTGGTGAATCTGTGGCTAGGGTCATGCACGACACTCAATTTAACGCCATCCAGAAGATAATACCGCCTTCCGCAACCGCTGCGCCATCCGCGGAAGGAAATTCAAAAAAGATTAGCGCCGAGGATCAAGAGCTGGTGGCCCTGCTCGCTGATATAGATACAGCTGCAGTCTCTGACGCGCTCGATACGCTTGGTATACCTGTCCAGGCATTCGACATTATACCTTTGGCGAATTACGAAAAAGTCACCGTGGGACCAGCATTCACAGTACGTTATGTTCCAGCCGCAAACCCGCCCGGGAGTGTTGGTGACTTTATCGACGACGTTGCCGAAGGTGACATCGTAGTCATCGATAATGGCGGTCGCACAGATTGTACTGTCTGGGGAGATATCATGACTCAATATGCTGGTTTGCGAGGCATTGCTGGCACTGTCATCGACGGCGTGTGTCGCGATGTCAATCGTGCAATTAATGATGACTATCCCCTCTTCACCGCTGGACGTTGGATGCGTACCGGCAAGGACCGAGTGCAAGTGGGCGGTGTCAACGAGCCAATCTCTGTTGGTAAAGTACGTGTGAGTCCTCGGGACATCGTTGTTGCCGACGCAAATGGCGTTGTTATCATTCCGCGAGACCGCGTCCGTGAAGTAGCTGGGCTCGCACGAAACATAGAAAGTACGGAAGCGAGCATTCGAAATATGATTGTTGCAGGTGCAACAATCGGTATGGCGCGAGAACAGCTAGGCTACCACACGCTCCAGCGTAAAAAATAGCGATGGATCAGCGAAATGATTCCAAAGCCTTGAGATGTTTTAAAGACATAGAAAATGTAGGAATAGACAACCGTATAGCACAGATTACTCTTCTGCTTTCATAAATAAAATGAAGGAGCCCATATTGCAGGTGGCTAGGTTGGACGAAATCCATGTCTACATCTGTAAGCTATTACGAGCGCGCTACTTGCAATTCAGCGGCATACCATTGCTGAATAGCTCGCACATCGTAGCTCAACGCCACAGTATCGAAAATTTTCAGATGCTCTTTGCATAGCGATCCACTTGCTGACAACCGAGCGACCCATTTGCCATGCCTTCTAGCCGCTTCAACGATCTTTGCAATAGCTTCGAGGAATTCCGGTTCATCCCCTCTCGCGGGAACATAGCCAAGTATGGACAAGGCGAGATCATTGGGCCCAATAAATATCATATCTTGATAACGAATGTAAGCAAAATGAAAGCACTGTCGGATTTTTTGGAGCTCTATAACTACTGACCAACACCAGGAACGGCACAGATGGAGTCCACATTTTCAACACCAACCCGCGATTCGATTTGAATACAGGTAATAAGCGTTTCATTTGCTTCCCTCACGTAAGTTGACAGGTCTGTACCGTGTGCAAAGCCTGGAAACGCCGATCCTTGCCCTCGAAGACCATGGGGAGGAAATTTAGCGTGCATAACCACGGCTTGAGCTTCTGCTGCGCTGTTGATTTGGGGTACGACAATGCCACTTTGAAATCAAACCTCTTAGTAATATTGATGAAATAGGGTTCTTATCATTCTTCTTACTGGGCACCTGCATCCAAAGCTCTTTTTATCAAATCCAGGTGAGTTGCTCTAATACGAACAAGAGGCGACACTCCCGAGGCAGCAATTGCGGCAGTCGAGCTGTGCATGGAATCATCGCTGATATGCCCATGTTCACAATCAATGATAATAGCCTTGACGATATTAGCGAAAAAATATTGAAATTGATTTTATAGCTAGACGAGGAAAGCTGACATCAACCCCGGTCTGAGCGACGACCTGCGCTGTCCGGAAAGATGGTAAGCCTAGAAAGGTCATAATTGGTTTCTTGTTGCCTCGAAGGCCATTGAGGAGGCGTAATTGCGGGTTGAAAAGCGTAGTCGTTAAGGTTGATGGGAACGACATCATGAAAACTACTATGAATGTGGCAACAATGAGAAAACGATGAGATTGTCGGACGAGGAACTACGCCCAGTGGAACTGAAGGCCGTCTTATATACGGCCATCCATGCAATCGGCCGAAGGCTTCTAGTCGGGAGTCATGTTGGACTATTCTCCCTTATCCGAAACCAACTCTCTCCCTAATTTAGAGATTGAGCTTAGCTACCTTTTATCAGTGTGGTTCGGACTCATTAAATTCTTGTACGCATCAAACCCCCTAACCTGTTAAAATTGTACCGTCTTTTTTTAGGCCCATAGGTACCGGAATATCATACTGGTTTATGAATGAACGATAGACCTGTCTGTATATTACTCATACCAAACAAAAAAGGTCTTTCTCATTGTCGTACTTAATTTCACATCTAAGCATCTTCTGCAGAAGCTTACCTACCTCCTTAGTCCCGATTAAAGAAAGCATCCAATCTATCTCATCTCCTGGGTAATTCAATAATAGATCACCTGCTCCTTGCCCATACATATTCACAGTACACTGCAATTCAAGATTGGAGAGTCAGTGTATAATCGAGTGTAAAGCGTCTATTGACTTTGCAAGTAGCAAAAAAGTTAGTGTGCGCCTGCACGAGTGACGACAAGGGTGTGATTTGAACACACGCTCCCGAAGGAACCAGATTGCATTTAACCGACTGAACCGATTAGTTCAAGTCTGGCGCGTTAGACCACTCCGCCACCTTGCCGTTGATGATCACTAAGTTTCAGCACAAATCAGACGCTTCCCGCACATCAGACGATTTCTGCTTCCCGCACTGTATGTATATGATGCTACTATAATCCTAAATCTAATATTACTCTATTCCTAACTGAGACAGTCTATCTGTGCTGCCACTGTTTTAGGTCTGAGCGTGCATGTTCTTGCTATTTATTCTGAGCCCATATTCAATCCTATATTTAAGCCCGTATATGAGCCTGTGTATAAGTCTATATATATACATAAGCCTGTGTATAAACCCGTATAAAAGCTTGTAGATAAGTCTGTATATAAAGCTATATAAGCCTATATATGAGCTCTTAAAGGCGCGCTTTCTACATTCTAGACTGTATTCGTTGAGAATGTTATTAAGAAAAAATCATAAATTTACTAACTTAAAGAAATTATTCCTTAGCAATTCCACTACGTAATATGTGGAAAAATGTATTTCTAGCGAAATACGATATTTGTCGTTAAGGTCGCTATAGGCACCGGTATGGTGGAGACTTCCTTTCGGTCGGTGAAATTCTTCCTTCGCCGAGAGACTCGGCTCTCATTTCTCGCGCCGCATGCTTTTTATCAAATAATAAGCTTGCATGTTGATTCCTTGTGACATGGATTTTATCCAGATATTTCGAATTGCCTGGCGCCGCAGATCGCCCTTTTGGCAAATTAAAGTTCTTCAATAACAAGCGATTATAATCATGGCTCTATCAAAGTCCACGGTATCTACGACCTCGCATGAGCCAGAAGCACACATTCCGGAGCCTGCACTCGAATGGGACACCCTTGATTTGACAGTTGAAGGCGTGTCCATAGAACTGGCAACTGTCACTCGATTTGGGCCTCTCAGTCCCATCCTGTTTCTGCATGGGTTTGGCGGCACTAAAGAAGACTACATCGACATTGCCCTGAACCCAACTTTTGCTGGACGCTCATTCATACTATACGACTCACCTGGAAGCGGCGCATCAACCTGCAGTGATTTTTCTAAAGTCTCGATTCCTTTCCTTGTTTCTTTAGCGCAAGCAGTGCTCAATCATTTCAAAATTCGTCGCTATCATCTGGTCGGCCACTCCATGGGCGGCTTGACGGGTCTGCTTTTAGCCGAGGGAAACAGTGCGGTTCTGAGCTTCGTCAACATAAAGGGAAACTTGGCTCCAGAAGACTGTTTCCTGAGTCGCCAGATTGTCGATTACCCGGACAGTGACCCCGAGAAATTCATGGAGCAGTTTATTCTGCGGACAAAGCTCTCCTCTTACTACTCGGCTGCCCTATATGCGACGAGCCTCCGATATAAGGTGCAACCAAGCGTCGTGAAACCGACGTTCGCATCCATGGTGGAGATCTCAGACAGCAAGCCTCTCCTGTCAATATTCGAGTCACTTCCCATACCAAAAATGTACATGTTTGGAGAACAGTACAAATCGTTAACGTACCTCCCACGTTTGGCTGATGCTGGAATAGAGCTTGCAATGATTCCGAGCAGTGGGCATTTTGTCATGTATTCTAATCCTGTTGCTATGTGGGAGAGGATTGCAGCATCGGTTGGTAGAGCGGGAGAATGAACAGAGGCCAAAAAGGCTTTAGCCCTCATATAATCGCTAGATATCTGGAAATCCAAATCTTAAGAGGTTAATAGTTCAGAAGAGCCGACAAAATGAAAACAATCATTCAATTAGTGTTTCTGGAGCAAAACGGACAAAACTGCCTGAGCGGGCCCAGACTTCCGATTAAAATCGCGGTCACACCTCCTATATCTCTTTTCGCTTCTTGTTCCCTACACGGAGTATACAAATTACAGAATGAAGAATCGACCCAGACTTTAAGCTCGGGCCGACTGCAAGCCGGGGAGTGGGGGTTGATGGCGCTTCCGGAAGTATGAGCCCAAGATTCACTTTACCCTCTCATGGGGGTAGAGACTTCAACGGTTTCTCTTACCGACTCCCGAGAGACGGGCTGGATCAACGAAAATGAGCTCAGCAAGAGTGCCACCAAGGCAGAAACCAATTGCGTAAGAGATTGTCGCGTCAATAATGATATCTTAAGTCATTAACGTGCGGTGGCGCATAGTTGTTATCGGTGCCATTCGCGAAAGGTCAAGTGCTCGGGGGGCAAACCTTGCAGCAGCTGCCGACGAAGTGGTAAAGTCAATGAATGTGCGTATCCGCAGAAAAATCGTCTAGTCAAAGTCAGCCAAGAGTACGTTAAAGCTAGAGCAACTGCAAAGGTGGAGACTAAAAAGAAGTGCAGATATGTTGACAGTCTGGTTTCGGAAATTCAGCGGCTTGGTGGAGGTGACCCAATTACGGACCGCTCTGCTGATTGCCTGAGATCGCAAAGCGAGGATAGCGTAGGAACGAACAGCAACACACCTACACTGGAGAGCACGCCCTGGTTTGTGAGCACAGGCGTTCCTTATACTCCGATCCTGGTGAGCGAAGCATCAGACTCTGGGTTTTCAACTCGCCTTCGCCAGGCAATATCGAATGACCAGCATAGCCATATTCCTAGGGTGAATTATCCCAGTGACGAGCGGCTACTCACTTTATCAGATGCTGAGTGTCAGTGGCCAAGCTCTTCACGGGCACGTTTCCTCGTCGATGTCTGCCTGAAGGGCATCGGCCGTTGCTATCATATGGTTCGGAGAACTGCGGTCTTGCAGAATTGCGATATAGCCGTCCAAAATCCGGCGTCACTTGGACCCATTAACACGAGTAAAATGTGGGCAATGTTTGCAATTGGAGAGATGTATGCAAAGAGATCTGGCGGCTTGCAGGAGGAATTTCCAGGTATCGAATATTTTGCCCAGGCGAGTAGAATTCTCCGCCTAGTTTGCGAGAGGCCTACTCTCGACATGATCGAAACGTGGTTATTGTTGGTCTGTTCTCACCCTTAGTGGACCGTTGTACGGCGCCCTACTGACTCTACCTACCATGCAGTCGTTCTACTCATTGTGTCTGAACAGACGACACTCAGCATACAGTCTGGCTGGCTCTGCAGTCAGAGCGTCCATTATCATGGGCCTTCACCTCAATGTCCCCGAATCGGAGTTGTACGACGCAGGCGAGAGAGAACATCGTAATCGTATCTGGTGGACGGCATATATTTTTGACCGAATGTGGGCTGCGAGAGTAGGATATCCATGTTCAATAAGAGATGATGAGATTGAGGTCAATTTACCATCAAGTTGCCCTGCTGGCTACGACCCAGCAGATTTTACGGACTGCGAATATTTTCGCGCTAGGATAGGCCTAGCACGTATCTCTGCAAACATCATATACTCAATCTACAACCAGAAATCTACCAAATTCTCTCTGTCACACCGGGTGCAAGAAGCTTTCCAAGACCTACGGCATTGGTTAGAGGGACTTCCAACTTCCTGCCAGATCAGTCAGCGGTCCGAGATCGACATTGATCCAATGACACGATCCCTTCATCTCTCATTCAACCAGGTAATCTACAATTCTGCTCCGTATTCGAAGACTTCTGGCTGACCGAAGACTAAGCTTGTGATACTCGCCACTCGGCCGGTTGTACTTCACGTTCTCTGTACAAGACTTAAAGCTGGGGCAAATCGATCAGAAACTGAAGCCAGAATTCCACCCTCCGCTAATGTTCTATGTGATACCTGCTTTCATTGTGCTCGAAATTCGTGTCAACTACTGATTGATAGCTGGATAAACGGCTCCTTTATGATGTTTGACTACTTTTATACACAATACCTATTTTCGGCTGCCACTATCTTAGCTATCTCGAGTTTGCTTGATCTCAATGAACACAAGAGTGATGGAGACCAGTTGAAACTGGTCATTGGCCTTCTCGAACAATTAAGAAACATTGGCAATTACGCAGCTGCTGAATTCTATCAGCATTGCGAGGCAATGGTACGGCTCATGGGAAATCCTGATCTTTGTAGGGACACGAATTCCTCGACTTTGGATTTGACAAGCAACACGAATTATGTCGAAAACGTTTCTCAGCAGGCCTCAGTTTCTGAGAACATGACGACCGAAGCAGCACTTTMCCAGCCACTATTGCTGGAGCTCCTGGAACAACCACCTCCAGATCTCGAATTCATTGACGCGTCAATGTATGTCCATGATTTCCAGGAGCTTTATTGCTCACCTCCAATGCCAGCTGAGGTATGACTTTCCATGACGCTTATGCACACCCAGACCGACTCATCTTGAGTAGGAGGGCCCTACATCTCCTAATATTGTTAATCAACCATTCTACTAGTCGTACTATTTGAGAGATGGATTAATCTATGACAGCAAAATTATTCCTTCTTCAACGTAGTTTGGAACGTTATTTAACCGTTCGAGTTCTGGAAATGCGCACCACAAAAATTATCCAAGCATCAGTGAGAAGCCGGCTAGACAAATCAATACTGTCACTTCGCACAGGTTCGGGCAATCATCCTGCTGTTCTTTTCGGAACCACTATTATCTCTACATGCGATTACCGGCCTGCTAGTAGTACTGCAAAAGCTTTTGTTTGTCTGCAATTAAGAACATATTCAAAAAGACTAGTTTCTTGGCTGATTTTTTCTGCTACAGTAGAGTAGCAGCAAACAGTTCTTCAATTGAGGATTCAGAAATTCAACTACAAACCAGTGCCTAGATTCCCATGCAAAACCTATGCCTGAATTTCTATTACTCCGAGTCAAAAGATTCTATATTTACTCCGCTTTTCTGAACTGTATTATTTGCTCTCTGACTGACCAGGAGCCTTCAGAAAGCATGCTGACTAAAGGCTATACATTCGCAATAAGCTGGTTGCGCTCACAGACCGCAGGCTACTTGCATGAAGAACACTCAAGCTGATTCAGACTTCAACACTTCCCCTATAGCTTTTGCAACATAGTCCACATTCTTTTTAGTCAGTCCGCAAATACTAACGCGACCCGAAGGCAGAAGATAGATATGAAACTCTCTCTGCAAGCGAGAAACTTGGCCTCGCCTGAGCCCGGTGTAGTTAAACATACCAATCTCGCTTTCAATATGCGACCAATCACCAGGTGCTCCATTCTCTTCCAACTTGTGTCGAAAAGCGTGTCGCATTACCCTAATCCGGGAGCTCATAGTGAGCAAATCCCTCTCCCACTGTGCTCGAAGTCTCTCATTACCGAGAACTTCCTCAACAATACTCACGCCGTATCGCGGCGGATTTGAATACTCTGCCCTTGCCATACAGAGGAATTCCGACTGCACAGCGTGCGAGGATAGGTGGAGAGGCGTCACTAGATGCAGGGCACCCACACGCTCGCCGTAGAGCCCAAAATTCTTGGAGAAAGATTGCGCGACGCACAGACCGTGATTATTAGACCCCGACTTGGAATCCTTATCAAGGATAATGTGCTCGACAAAGTACTGGATAGGCCAGGCATCTCGGTCGACGTTGCCTGTCGCAAAGCCTTGATATGCACTGTCGAAGACTGTGAATAACTTCTTCCGCTTCACCATATCTGCCACCTGTTTCCATTCTGTCTGCGAGAGATCTGCACCTGTGGGGTTGTGCGCACATGCTTGCAAAACCACCACATCACCGGTCTCGGCAGTGTCCTCCAGTGCAGAAAGCATGCCTTTGATGTCGACTTTCTTGGTCTCCGGCGAGTAATACGGATACTCGAGGATAGGAACATGCACCGCATCCCAGATAGCCCTGTGATTGACCCAAGTTGGAGAGGGGATCAAAACATGCTTTGGCCGGAGATTTTTCGCCAGGAACAGCGCAGCCATGTGGTTTGCCCCAGTGCCAGAGACTGTTTGGATACTTGCTACGTGATCTTCTATTTCAACAGAAAGCTCCGCTCCAAACACGAGTGATTTTGCTAGTTTGATGAACTTCGGCGAACCCGCTATACCAAGATACTCATGGCTGGTATTCGCCATGAGATTTTGCTTTGCCTATAATCAAGCTTTAGCGACAACGCCTTTGGAAGGAAGTGATATAGGATCTTTCCGATTTTTCGTACCTCCTTAACGCTAGGCAAGATCCAAGGCCTGCCATTTTCATCACGATATGTTCCGGCAATCAAGGAGACTTTACGAGGGTGCGGATCAGCTTCATATTCAGCCATCAGTCCAAATGCCACATCCGCTGGTGCGACACGAAAACCAAGGTATTGATTTGCCATGTTAGATACAGGTTTTGCGGGACGAATCTCAAAGGAAGAACGAAACGGTGGTAAGGTATCTACATTTGATCCCCCGGCTGCAGGAAGAGGTGATGGATTTGAATCCTTACATCAGAAACGACAAGCCACTAGGTTGCGTGTGTATTGTCAAGAGGTGAGGAATGACAGAACTCGGCGTAAATCAATTTCGCCGATAGCTGACTGACTAATTTGACTATTTAACGTGACTAATCCACAAGCGAGCCATCACCCCAAACCGAAGTATTATTTTTCCCGAGCGCGTTCGCAATGTTGCAGTAATGTTGAACGGATAATCAGTCCCCATTATCGGCAGAGTCTAAAGTTGTCGGTATTGTCTGCTCGTGATTCGAATTTATTCGGAGCAACAAACTATCCGTTACCAGGCAATGTACAATGGGCCTCCCCAATCCCGACGTTAAGGATCTCCACATTTTTTATTGGTCCTACTCTCCTCAAATCCGGTCTTATGTTTGCCTCGGTAGACCCTTCATTTAGTCCTTTGTATATTATATCGAATGGGATCAAATGGGCACATAGAACGCATGTCGAAATTCAAGGACTCAAAGACCATACGCCATCAGGCTAGGCAAAACCACTCTCTCATCATCTGTTTTGAACTCAACACTTAATCTCAGCTAGAATTTTACTGTGATCCTCGAAGCAATCATTACAAAGTGATGGTGATGGATAGGCTCATATTCTATTTCAAGTTGCGCATCCTGAGGTGGCTAACGCGGCTTCTTGCTTGGCTGGATCGTAGAAGAAGTCCTGCTTTATCACTCACTCCGAGCTCTAAAGCTTCCATCCCATCGACTCTGTCCAATTCGCTAGGCAGCTTTGACGTATTTTTCTACCACCCGCCTGGTTACAACCCAAAAACCGCGAGAGAAGGGCAATACCCTATCGTCCTAGTCCTTCACGGAGGAGGCTGGTGCGTCGGGAATGCTCGCCATGACGAACGGTTCATCGCTACACTTACAGCACGCAGTTTTTTCGTCGCAGCAGTCAACTATCGCCTCGCACCCGAGCATCCATATCCCATTCCAGTCGCCGACTGTCTTGATGCAATTCTCTATGTTTGGAGAAACGCTGCAGCTATGGGCCTAGACAAGCAACGCACATATATCACCGGCTTCAGCGTTGGAGGTCAAATGGCGTTTGCTTCGCTATTCATGCTATGTAAAGCCTTACAAGACAAAGACCCACGGATTGATCCTGAAATAGTGGGCAGAGTCAAGGGTATCACCGCATTTTACCCGCCAATGGATCTGACAAAATCCAGAGCTGAGCGTGCTGCCTCCAACCCTGCCTTTGTTGCGCTGAAGAAGAAACCGGCGTCATCTTCCAAGCTCATCGGCGATATCTTTGACCGAGCTTACTTTTGGAATCTACAACAAGTGCCGGATAAAGGGGGGCCCTACATTTCTCCGGGGCTGGCCTCGCTGGACCTCATGCAGACGGCTCTACCGAATCGGATTTTTTTAAAACTTGCGGCCTTGGATCCTTTATTGGTTGAGGGCGAAGCCMCCGCCGCTAGACTCAAAGCTGCAGGCAAGCAGGTCGATTGTATGACCGTTGCTAATGTACCACATTATTGGGACCATTTAGCAAAGACAGAAGATGAAAAAGAGCTGAGGCAAAAACTATACAACAAAGCAGCCAGTGAGATTGAGGATTCCATGGAGATCAAAGACTAAATCTGGCCGCATTCCGTCCGATATCGTCGAATTCAAGTATACGGCTGTAGCTTTGAGCTCAGAATTAAGTTCTCTGGGATACATGTCGTGGAGTACTGTACTGTAGACCTTGCCAGACTGGCGTCCTGATCTCTTGTGACGATTTTGGTATAAAATTAGGGGATAACATGCACGTGTACTTTTTCATATTCGTATATGGCAATGGGAAACAAAAAAAAGAAAACATCCAAGACAGCAAACACACAGCCTTCCCAGCTTGGTTAGTCTTTGAAAGCTATTCCAACAAGCGATTTGAATAGGGATATATTTAAATACAAGATAGACGAATCAGGCAGTTAGCGAACAAACGCGTGGTGTTTTACGCGGCTCGACCCGGCCAAATAAGGTATTATGATATTAGTCTAAGCTCAGTTCCCATCATCATCACACTGCCAAATCCTCTTTGATCCTCGCTCACCTTCTCTTGACATCCACCTCATTCCAACTCCACTGTATTCATTAGGTACATGGTTTCTTGAGTCTTTCAGCTTGCTGAGAGATGCAATGCTATTTACCTTAATATCAAATATTCAAATCTATCAAAATTGACTGCAAAGGTCTACTCACTTTCCAACGGATACTTGTTTTGTGTGTCCCAAGTTTTATTTATATGGGTGGCTCTGACAAACGCGCTCTGTTTATCCCCAACCTCCATCTCCACCACTCTTTTCTCTTTGTTTGCATCGCGATTTCTCTCCTTACAAAACTTTCCCGCTCCATATTCTTTTTGCTCTGCGTGCTCATCTTATTCCACTTATTCTCTTTGCTCTCGTTCCTCTTATCATTCCTCCTGCCCTTGTTTTCATTACTCTTACCGCCACTGACAGAACGAACTTTTTTTTTTTTTTTTTTTTTTTTTGGATTTCTTGAAAGTTCGGTGTCGAATAAGTGCCATTTGAAGCGACTTGTCGTAAAAAGTCTGTGGCTCAAATCTTGAGTGCCCTTTCATTTATGTCGCGAGTGGCCTCCACTTAATCACTTCGAAGAGAGTAACCGCTCTCCTGATATACTAGGTGTTCTGATTCTTTCTCTTCCCTATTTGTCGGGTATCTGTCACACTCTGATTGTCGTTGTCATCGAACCCTGTGCTCAGGATGGCTCCGCTTCAGCAAACCGCATTGCACACCCTCCATACTCGGACGGGACTCACAGAAGGTGATTGCGAGGGGATTCACGAAAGTCTGAGAGAATTCCTCTTAGCACACATGACTGCGGAGCTACGAAAATTCAAAACCAGAACCACAGAAAAACGGTGGAGAGCAATGGCAGATGAAATGAGAAGCCATGATGATTTCCTGGATCTTCCTGATGAGCTCAGCGTTGCCACATTCAAACGGGAGTATTGGTATGATTTCTTACGAAGTCCGTGGGTTTCTGCGTGGACATGCCTGAGGCGCACCGATGAGAAGAACGGTGCACCTAAACATCCCATCCATCATGAAGAGACTAAACGGTCAACTGTTACATCTTCTCGAGAAGAACATACCCAATCATCCAGTGGTACGCCCTCTCTGGAACAGCATAGCACACCTCTGCAGCAGTCGGAGGTGACCTTACCTAGAGATATCAAATTACAATGCCTTCTTATGGATACGGATAAAAGATCAGCACCAGTGAACGCCATCGCATTGATATATGATGAAAAAGTGCGTACTGACGGTACCAGTGTCAATGTCAATGTTTTCGATTTGAGTTTTCTCAAATTCGGACAATGGGTGTCAGCTGCCGATCAGATGAGCGATGCTGATGTAAATATCATGTTCTACGAAGACGCGCAGAAGAATCTAGTCGCTATTCAGAGTGAAGAGATCTTCCATATGGCACTGATCCAGATGATGTATAAGCGCAGTCGTGAGAACTCTCCGAACAAGACCTTCCAATTCATTGTCATGCCCAAAGGTAAGGGGACGTTTTTTAGCCTGTTAACATCCAGCTGACTCGACATTGTGATTGTTGCAGGAAACCCCGACGGTCGCCGCTTACCGATCCGATCCCAGTCTGCCAGTCAACCGCCCCATCAGGCACAGCGAGGTGTCAAACGCCGGCGTGAAAATAACAACTCACCCGACCATAGGCATCCCCAGAGGAGTCAAAACAAAGACCACACCGGCATCAACCCAGCACAGGGAGATGTAGGGATCAGTCCTCTCCAGTTCACGACTCCCACTGCAAGCAATCATCCTAATGGATCAGATCCTGAAAGGGGCGAAAGTCAAGATGATATAAATGAGGGCTCAGAGAATCAAGAATCGCAGGAAAAAGGCAGACGGGATGGAGGCGCAGCCCAGACCTATTCTCCATTGGAGTTTGAGCTGAATTCGTCAACTGCGTCTCGTTCCCCCGGCAGCACCCCGGAGAATGAGCGAACTTCGAGTCCTAAAAATGGAGATCCTATTTCAACCGCGACACCCAGTGGCCAGGTGACAGTTCCGAGTATTAAGCATGAGATCACCGACATCTGTGACTCTAGCGATGAAAGCAAAGTCGGAAAACATAACACACAGGAGGATAGAGACAGAAATAAAGTTCTAGTCAAGGACGAAGATGAAGTTGATGAAGACATCTCTCTAATTCCACTCAACAAGCAGCGTATGAGCCGTTGTTTTCCTAATTCATAGGATTCTCTCATCTCAATTCAGAAGATTCATTCTATTTTCTATATATTCTAAATTGCTCCTTCTACTTAAGATCCTATCTGTATCATTATTTATCTCATCTCCGCTGTAAAAAGGGTATATCTAGAAATGTAATGACGATTTTGAATCAGAATTAGAGAATGATACACACGCCTACTTATTCATATCTATATATGGCAATAGCAAACAAAAAATAAAAACAACTATTCCAGAAGAGAGGTAACACCAAAAATTAAGTCAAGAGGTTTAATGCCTCGTGACTTAAAGAATCATCTCAGTCAAATACAATCACACTTTTTCCAATACCCCCTTTCCCATCATATACCACTTGACATGCATTTCGCACCGCCGCAATATCCTTAAAGTGCGCTTTCGTTCCCACGATCGATCTTAACTTTCCTCTCTCCACCCATTCTCGGATAGAGTTTAGATCGGTCGCGTTTGGCTCCAAGAAGATAGATGAATACTTAACCCCGTAACGAGATGCACGCGCCCTTCGGATCCAGTCCAAAATATTCAGAGCAATGCGGATAGGGAACGGCACGATTGCTTTGTCTTGCTTGTCTGGCGATCGCCGCATAACGCTAGAGTTTTGGAGCACATCCCCCGATGTGAGTATGGAAACCGTCACGATGGCTCCCTTCGGGCTCACTAATGATAGATACTCCATCGCACTCCCTGTGGTGTCAAAAATAAAATCAACAGATCGCGGAGGAATCACAGTCAGAGGATCTGACTTCTTGTAGTCGATGACTGATGGGGCAGGTGTGAGCTTTCGTGCGACGTACTGCCAGAATGGTGTCCACTCACTTTCATCAACAATCCCTTCGCCCAAGAGTTCCGTCACTTTGTCCACTTTACTGGTGGAGACTGTGGTGATTACCTTGCCAGCTTTGAAAATATTCTTCGCAAGTTGACATGCGAATATACCAGTTCCACTCACTGCAACAGTGTAAATAGTCGGTCCTTGAACATGACGGCTGGGTGGACTTACAGCCAGCAGGTATGAAGACAGTCTTTCCTTCAAGATTCCCTTCGTAACCCCGAAGCGCCTGTAGTGCTGTCATACACGCCAAAGGAATAGAGGCAGCGTCTTCCATAGAAATAGACTTTGGCTTCAATGCAACAAACTCTTCAGTTGATCTTGCCAGCTCACTCCATGATCCTCGATGACATTCTGGCAATCGGACAAAAACATCATCACCAGCTTTGAATTTTGTCACTTGGGCTCCGGTATCTAAGACTGTGCCCGCACAATCATAGCCGATTTTGTAGGGAAACCTTGCCGGAACGTTCAGCATGAAGACAAGATCAAGAAACAAGCAGATTCTTACCCGTCCTTAAGAACAGCTTTGGCTCCTCCTGCCGCTTTCTTGACGTCGATCGGGTTGATACTCGCAGCATGGACTTTGATTAAGATATCGGTCGGGTGTTCTACGGTGAGCGAAGGGACCTCGCCCAATTCATACTGATCGGGCGTAGTGTGTTTTGGAATGTTGATGGAAAGCATCCTGCCTGCCTACCGCAATACTAGTTTTCGCTACTTGGTGCCAAACGAAGCGACGTACTTGCTTTTGCGAGACGAAACTGACGATCTGGAGAGGTAGAAAAGGCGACAAGAAAACAAGTGTGTAAAAGAGTGCATGAATGCACGGGGTTGAGAATTAAACAGCGGCTACGGAGTGGTGCATCCAATGCCATCCCATGCCATCCATTCTTTTATTGGCTCTGGAAGAGCGGAAAGATTGTTGGCCCGACGGCTTTGTTTGAGTGGAACCAGACATGCCAAATCTTCCTGTAGAACCTTCTGTAGAGACAGACCCTTCAGCCAATTTCGTTTATACCGATGAGTAAATCACAATCAAGTATCAACGTCTTCCTCTTCTCACATGGTCCAAAGAAATCGAAGACCGAGGTAGTCTAGTATCCGAGCCCTTCAGCAGTTATCTCCCAAGTCTCCACTGTAACTTGCCCTGGAATGCGGCTTTGATAAAGCACAATGCCACATCTCAACTTATGTTCAAAAACTCAAATGTCAGTAAATCAACCGAGCCTTCCCTGGCGAAGATTAGTCTCTGAGGATGGGGATCAGAAATTCATGATTCATTAAAACTGCCAAAGCGTCTTGTGAAAGTAGGGCAAAGTGCAACTTGACTCTACGTTCACGACACCAGCTGATGGCCGCTTGCTGGCCGCTTGCTAGGTCACTTATTATTATACTTACCTCAATACACCCGTCGGGAAGCAGATATTTTAGCCGTTCAGATTGAAGAATTGATAAAGAGTTGAAAGGATATAAGTTCCTTGATGGTTGAGACGCACGTGTGTTAAAATGCGAAGGATATTCACCGCCAAATGTCTCCTTGTTTTAGCTGGAACACTGCAATTCTCTTTCCACTCCCATCATCGACTACTTCTTTGAGCGAGACCTAGCATACTTGAATATAGCTTGACTGCTATTGCCGGCACTTCTGCATTCACGTATCATCTTCGATCTTCATATTAAAGGCTCATTCTTCCTCATGTTTCAAGTTCAGTCTCTGGAGACTTTGGTCCATCGCCTTTTTCTTTACAGGGATTTACTCTAACAGAATTGAGCTACGAGTTTCATATGCCAATATCTGACACATTTCTGGACATGCATTCGCGTCTCAGCGCCACTATGGGAATGGCCGCATCGTTTGTGCCGTCGATTTTACGACCTGATTTCACTTGGCCGCGGCCAGTACCGTCAGAGATACTAGAAACGACGCCACCTACACCTTCTATACCCAGCAGAACCAGTAGGCTTTTCTGGGGAGTTATCCACAAATCTCTGTATCACTTTTCTCGATGGTACTGTTCTTGGTTCGGCATATCCTTTGATGCCCATATTGTACAACTGCCTTTTGGACTCGTTATGAAATGGACTGATCGAACAAGCATAGAAGAGGCTATTTCGATGCAAATGGTTCAAGCCGCTGGAATGCCAGTTCCTACAGTACTCAGCTGCGGCGAACATCCAAACGAGCCGTTTAATATGCATTTCTCCATTCTCATGACTAGACTTCCTGGAGTATCTCTGAATAATTCGAATGACCCGTTGTTCATTGAGGACGAAGAGCCTTGGCTTCAAGAGCTCAGAATGTGTGTTCAGGCAATGCGATTGTGGAGTCCTCCAAATCAGTATGTTGTATCGTCGCCTATTGGGACTTGCATACATTCTTCCAGAGTTCCTGGTCATGTTATGGGCCCCTTTGCGAGTCAAAAGGATTTTTACGATTTTCTGGTCACTCCAGCTTCCAAGCATGGTTTCAAAAGCATCGATGAATATGAAGCAGCCTTGGCTCGTACAAGAAGGCTTCGTGAACATGACTATCGAATTGTGTTCACGCACGGAGATTTCAAAGCTCACAACATTCTTGTCGGCGACGATGGACATCTGACTGGATTTCTCGATTGGGAATCAGCCGGGTGGTGTCCTGAATACTGGGAATACACAACAGCCATGCGTTTCGGTAGATCAAGCTGGTGGTTTCAGGTCGCTTCGTGGATGGGAGGAGATCAGTATCTTGATGAGTTGGATTCTGATATTGCATTGAACTCCTTGACTGTTGACTCTTATATATGCATGTAATAACTCAATCTGGGTACACTTAGTTTGAGTAGAATATAGGCAAGAAGGTCAGCTGTTTGCTAAAATGAGTGTATGTCCTAGATTCAATCATTTGAATAGACTGATGTTAGTGAAAATTGCGAATTCAAACAAGATTCTAGTTAGGACATTTACATTACAACAAAGGAATTTCACCCATAAAGTCAAACAAAGATATAGTAGGTGAAATTGATTGTACCACGCAGCGTGAGTGGAGCTATTTTATCAAAATCAGCCTCAGACACACAATGTTGAGATTACAACAGGACGCGGTTGGACATTGTTCGCAGCACCGGGGCTATACTTATTCCCAAATGCCAGACACTCCTCTTTCAATCCTTCCACACTACTGCATCGGACTAATCCGTGCCGTATGAACTCGTGAAGAATGCGCAATGCCCACATATGGCATGTAAACCCGGGTATATGATTGGCATTTTCATCGAGAGATTTCATTATTTGATCAAGCAGACCGTGATTCGCCTCTGGAATAACGCCAATCTGTATTAGAACGCAAAGGAAATTGGATTTAAACACACCACTACTGGGACCATGGTCTGATATCCATCCACTGCCCAAATTTTTCATGTGGTACTTTAGTCCACCCTTCGAGCTCGTATGGAAGTAGTAACTCCAATGGAAGTCATCCAGCTCGGGGGGATCTCCTCGAATGTAGAGGACGATGTACAGTGTGTTCAATGGCAATCTTGCCAGTGCTTCCTCTTGGATTTTCTTAAGTGCTAGACCCTTCTCTTTTACGTTGGTTAGGTGTTGAGTATTGGCTGAGGCCGAAGTCTCCATTTTGACCGGATGAAGATACAAGGTATCTTCCCAATGGTGTGAAAGATTGTACTTAGTACTGATCGTGGGCTGATAAGCCGAGTTAGTAATTATTGACGAAGACAGGATAAGTGAGCATAGGCTCCATTCCTTGGGTCCATGTTTATATACATATTTATCCTTGTGATCAACGTCTTCATATCTAGATCTGTCGCGACATATGACCATATTGTTACCCAGGTATTCGAAAAGGGTACATTGGGACTCAACAGCCGCCATATCGCTGCATATGTAAGCATATTTTGATATTCGTTGTTAGGATTAGACGCTGAAGTCCGCCTATACTCTGATTGAAGATGTTGCTCAAAGGCTGGGAGTCTCTGACTACCTAGGTGAGTTTCAGCTTTGTCGCACTGTATGGCATGTCGAAACAACTGACTAGTATAGTCATTGAGATCACATAGAGCATAATGTCAAATAAGTTTCAGATTAGGAACCGTGTTGTTTTATTTGAATACAAGGCAAATCGGAGAGACAAGTTCTTAATAAGTCTGGATGCGAGCTTTGAGCGAGGTCTTCAGGTAATACGCACACGTACGGATTATCTACTAACCGTTCAAAATATTTTCCTTGTGACCATTCAATGTTTCTGCCTTGCAAGTACTTGTGCTGCATAGTTAGATGCATCTTTGACGACTACTACTTTCTTAAATGAGGTCATACCAACTTTTGCCCACTCTGCTAGAAATAGGTTCTGATAACCCGGGACGTTCATCAAAGCTCCAGATAAAACAAGTGCGCTCGTCTTGGGATTACATAAATGCTTCGCTGCCAGAGGCTGGACCATTTGGACCAGGGATCTGGCGCTAGATTGCAAGATAATCAGTGACTGCGCGTCGGGGTTTACTTCTCTGAACCCTAGAGCTGTGACATCTTTTGCGAGACCGCTGATTCTATGTTTCTGTTTCTGTGGACTTGCTGGGTCGAACAGTCTGGAAAGCACATCGTCTGCTTTACAGTCGAGCTTGGCCAGTATCCGCGCTTCCAGTTCGGTAAGAGTGCGAGTCTCGTCAAATTGCTTATGCTCTACACTTGCCAATGTAGTTTGAAGTGCTTTTTTACCAATATCAAATGCACTTCCATAATCACCCAGAATATAACCCCAGCCACCAGTGCGGCCCAGTTGAATTATTTCCCCGTTTTCTCCTTTTCTGAATGCTGTGGCCACGGATCCCGTTCCAGCGATGACTGAAATACCACTTTCAATCGAGTCCTCACTGGAAATTGCTGAGCTTAGAAGTATGTCGTCGCTTGTTAGCTTAAGTGCCTCGCTCTGGTAGGAAATATTGAACAATTCTTCCAATTTTTGGATGAGCGGTTCGAGATCACTGTGGCTAGTGTGGTATATACCTGCCATTCCGACCCAGACCCGGGCTAATTTGGGCATGCGCCTGAAGCCATCTTGTTCCACGGCTGGAAGATGTGATATTGCTTCATTGAATGCCAATGTGATTTGTCTCATAATGTCGTCCAGTTTGACGCAATTGAAGTTGCAAGCACCTGCCGTGCCTCTACCTACCAGGCCGGATCTCGTCGCTATAGACACCGAGCATTTGGTGCCACCTCCATCCACGCAAAGAAAATATTCACTCATTTTGGGAGCCGCTAAAGATTCAGATGGTTGACGGCCCAAATTTTCCACAAAGTTTTGGAAGTTGCCGTTCACTGACTTCAAACTCTGCTTTGCGACATCTGGCACCAAACCAGAAATGGCCACAGCACAAGCTAGTTTAATGCTTCCTTCACACTGCTCAATATGACAATCGAGTATATAATCTCCAGACTCTGTTTCTGGAATATGCGTGGCCTCTAGTGAAATGGTCCCATGTTGATTTATAGTATACATTGGAGCCCCGTCACACACTTGGCGCACAATTCTTCTCCCACGAGCCTTGAGTTTGTGATTCTTGACTCGAACATCAATCATAAGACCTTTATAGGTTTTATTTAGTTTTATCATGGAGCACGTGCTAATCATGTTGAGAATTTGCTTAGCGGCGCTCCCAGCTTTGAGTCTCGTGCTTCCAGCTAGAAACTCCGGGCCTGTCAGCGCACATATGCTGTATGTCGGGCTTAGCGAATCGAGTTTGGATGGTCGGGTATTGGTAATAGCAGCAGTGAGGCAATTGCTTTCTATGGCTACTTTAAGCGCACCAACAACAAATGGCGTCCTTCCTGATGCAGAAATTCCTATGACTGTGTCTTTCAATGTCAATTGAAGAGCCTGCAATTGAGTAACACCATCAACTTGTGAATCTTCGGCACCCTCCTGGGCATGTATAATCGCATTTGCACCCCCTGCAACGACGGTCAAAAACTGTTTTGGGTCCGCTGAAAATGTTACTGGTAGTTCACTGCAGTCCATGAAACCTACCCGGCCACTATTGCCGGCTCCAACGTAGATGAGCCTACCACCGGCTTGGAGTCGCGGAACAAGATCATCTATCAATGAACTTATCTCAGGCAGACAGCACGCAATAGCTTTTGACACGCATTCTTCTTCGCGGTTGAAGGCTTCACATAGCCCTAATGTATCGAGAAAGTCAATCCGGTGCGCCACCGGGTTTCGGGCCTCGGTCTGTAGCTGGTCCAAGGCCTCCTTGTTGTCTAATAACGACATTTTTCAAAATGATCAATGAGTGTCTATGCATGTTGGTTTAGATGAAAATAAATGAGTGGACTAATACTTACGCATATGACTTAAAAAAAGAGGGTGGGGCATGGTCTGGCGGATGTCGGTGTACCGATAAGCCAGCGACATCCGGATGGAAGTTTTTCACCCTCGGTAGCCTTTTCCCCATGCAAGCAAGCCAATGTAGGGATAGCTACAAGTTAATCAAATTGAGTTTATTCGTCATGTTGGGACTATTTTGGCTCATCCTGCATCGTGTCCACCTATACGTGGGTACCAGTTGACTGATTTATATAACACCTAAGTGCCTTGCAATCCCAATCCATCAATCTCTCAGCATCAATAGCCCATCTCAGTCAATTTATCTGGCTAGATTTTCAGGAATCGTTATTTTTTTCCAGCTCTAGTTATCCGTGCACAGGTGCTAGGTGCCACAATGTCTGCTACGACAGACGATGCCAAAGTGGCTCAAAGCAGCTCATCCCTTCCAATGAAGACGGAAAGCATCTGGCTCAGACTGTATCATGACCCTTGGTTTCAAATCGTCCTCATCTCTTTCATCTCATTCTGCAACCCGGGTATGTACAATGCCCTAACCGGAATGGGCGGCTCAGGCCAAGTCAATAGTACCGTTGCAGCGAATTCAAACGTCGCAACCCACGCTTGCACCGCGGGCGCTGCTCTGATCTTCGTTGGCGCCTTCTACAAATATCTCGGTCCAAGATGGTCTCTATTACTCGGCGGATGGACTTACGCCTTATATGCAGGCTCATTATTGAATTTCAACCGAACGGCAAACGGGCCATTTGTCATTGCTGCCGGAGCAGTTTTGGGTCTTGGTGCTGCGTTCTTCTGGGTTGCGCAGGGCACCATCATGGTGACTTATACCAATGACAGCACTAGAGGTAGAGCTATTGCTCTGTTCTGGGTAATCTTCAACTTGGGCGGTGCGATTGGGTCGCTCGCTAGTTTCGGACTCAATTACAACTCCAAGTCGGGTACTGTGACTGACTCAACGTATATTGCCTATATTGTTGTCATGTTGTTTGGCTGGGGTTTATCTCTGTTTGTGTCACCGGCCGAATCATTATCTCGCAAGTACAGCGGCACTCGCATCCCCGAAGAATCCAGGCGCCTCAAGTGGGTGAATTTGAAGGCTACAGTTGTGCAGACTCTCAAGATCGTTTTCGATTGGAAGATTATGTGTCTCTATCCTATGTTTTTCAACGCCAATGTTTTTTACTCCTATCAGCAGAATGATGTCAACGGCATGACCTTCAACCTGCGCACACGCTCCTTGAATAGCGCACTGTACTGGATTGCACAAATGTTTGGTGGGCTCTTGATGGGCTATATCCTGGATATTAAGCGCATCAACCGCCGTACCAGAGCTCAAATTGGCTGGGCAATCCTTTTCGTTACTGGTATGGTCATCTGGGGAGGAGGGTACAAATTCCAAATTTGGGCCGATAATCGCCAGCTCCGTCAACATCTGAAGCAGGATATCGACTTCAAGGAGAGAAGCATATTTTTAGGCCCTATGTTCTTGTACTTCTTTTATGGTGTTTACGACGCATTTTGGCAGGGTTATTGCTACTGGATAATTGGCGCACAGTCGCATGATCCGGTTGTCAATGCAGTTATTGTTGGGACTTATTCGGCTTTGAAGCCTGCTGGAGGAGCTATGGCTTGGAGAGTGAACGCCAATGGTGTTAGTGCTATGGTACAGTTTGCGATGAACTGGGGACTGTCTATTGGTAGTTTGGTGGTGGCTGTCCCAACTATCGTCTCCTTGAGTAAGTCTAGTTATAGCCCAGAAGAGCTTCAGCAGGACACGAAGAAAGTGGATGAGATTCAAGTTTAGTTTATCGAAGCATTAGTATAGTCAAATTATTTGGTGATATGACTCGGGAATAATCAATGTAATACGTCTCCTCGCATATTTTCAAGCTACAATGGTCGCTCATTACCTAGTCATGGACAAGGCATAACTGTTTACGGGTTTGTTAAATACTCAAAAGAATTTGAAAATATCATGCGACAGGAGAATGTATAAGCATTGAAATATTGAAAAATTACATTTGCTTTTTCATCCATAGTACAAAGTTTCATTCCTACTCTAAACCTAGTGCTGGTAATAATCTTGAAGCAATTGCCTCTTTCTAGAAAGAAAAGACCTGTGCCCCATTCCGTTGCGGCTCACCATTATAGACCCCATAAAGGTTGCTCAAGAAAGAGCGCGTAGCATTCAACCACGGCTGCTGACCAGCGGTCTGCTGGCACGTATCGTTACAGACTGCATGGTTCTTGCCACCCCAAATAACGAACCCATCGAGATTGGTGTTTGAGGCCAGGATCTCAAGCTCTGTTTCCCATAGGTCTACCGGTATAAAGGAATAGTTGTTGTGATATTGAGGCCAGGTATACGGCCAGATGGGTAGCGTGTCATTTATGGCGTTTATTTTGCTAATCACTGAATTGAGCGAGCTGTTCCACGTAGATATACTGCTGCTGAATGTGTATGCAGACGGGAAGAAGGCGTGGCTGCTATAGTTTGCGATCAGGCTTTGGTAATAGCTATATAGCGACGGGATGGTGTTTCCAGAGAGGCCGTMCCAGCCAATAATCTGACCAGCGGGTACGACTTCTGCAGCCCATGTCTGTAGAGTGCTCAATATCTCAAGGTAGAGATCTGCGGTGGACGCGCTGGTAAAGTACAGATCTTCACAATCAAGCACTAAAGGGTATCCGGGATAGATATTCCATTCGAGAACGATGCTTTTCCATTCTGCAGCAGAAGGGAGAACACCTCCTTCCGTCAGGGGGTTGCAGACGTAGGCAGGGATCCAGTTGATATTGGTGCTCTGAAAGCCAATGGATGTGTTGGTATAAGCCGTGTTGTCGAAGACGCGGAACCCTGAGCCCCAAGCAGAGCTAAAGGAAGCTGCAGCTACTAGAGCTTTCAGTAAGGCAGACATTCTTTGAAATCAGATATCAATTGATGGATTTATGGTATAAGATCTAGTCTGGGTTGTTCGTCTCAAGCCTACGAGGAATTCTCGAGACTGCCGATGCAGCTTTTATGTCCTCGCGTCTCTTCAGTGTCTCTTTGTTGCGCCATTGTAGCTGCCATTGTGCACTCCGTACACATACATCAGTATGCTCGTTGTCGAAAAGAACTTCGGTACAGTGGATGGACGACATCCACGCAAGCCCGGATGTCGGGCATTTCCATATCGAAGCACCAAACATATTGATAAGGAGTATGGAGCTCTTGCTCTAAAAAAGTATAATTCCAACTCAAAATTACAAAACCTTCAGTGAGATCGCGTGCTCAAAGATAAGTAAACCTCTATTCAATGCTGCGGCCAATAGAAAAGAAGTAGGAAGCGAGATCCGCATTCTTTCGGATGTCGGCCTCCACAACATCATTTTGTTCGATATTGGCGTGATTACCGCTGGTCAACGACTTCGCGCCCGCTTACTATGCGTTTTTGTTTCTGCAAAAACATAATCTACGTATCTCATGCACTTTGTACCAATGTGTATGGAAATCGGGCTCTTGGCCTGAGGATGTCATGGTTGAGCAGGCGAGCTCGCCCAGCTGTCTCGTATGCCGCCGGCGAAAGGTTTGTACATTCTGCGGGACCAAATAACTGGCATTGCAGCGACTAATCTGGCAATACTCACAGATAAAGTGTGATCGCACCCCGGGATCATGTAACAAATGCCGTGCACTGGGCGAGGAGTGCCTTTACCCAGGGGCAACGCCTACCAGCACAGCCCGCAATGCATCCAGCCCTAGTGACTCGATTACGCAAGCCGGGCTCAAGCGGCGCAGGATTCTGCGATCGTGTGTTGAATGTAAACGGACCAAGTCTAAATGCTCCGGCGGTCCTGTGTGCGATAGGTGTTCCGCGAAGGTGATTGAGTGCCGTTATTATGACACTGATCTTGAGAGCTGCCCACAGGAAGCGTCTCACCGTCATAAACACCCTCGTGCAATACCGACATGGTTGATAACCCGAAATTTGCCATCCATCGAAAAGGTTCGTGAGCTAATCGACATATACTTCGCCCATATCCACTCGGTACGATGCATGGGTTTTTTGCATATTCCGAACTTCATGGAGCAGTTTCGTGATTCAAAAACCATGTATCTTGAAATACCGGGCCTTGTGTATATAATGTGTGCACTGGCTGCTCCGATTTATTATGCAAAAGTCGTCATTGGCACCAGCGAGGACGAGCTCAGTGCTGACACTCGTTTCTACAATGCCGGTAAAGGCTGGGCTGAAGCTGCTATGCAGTGCACATTCGCGACTTTTGGAAATCCGGCTATTGAATGTCTTATGACAGAAATTTTACTGCATGAGTACTACCTCCGAGTTGGTGACTACTCAAAGGCGTTTCTGATTTCGGGATTCATTACACGGCGCGTACAACTGCTGCAGCTGAACGTCGAGCATGACAACGATATCTTGTGCCAAAAGAATCAGATTTCGTGGGCAGCAAAGGAGAGTAGAAGACGTGTGTTGTGGGCATGCTATCTTCTTGACGCGTCGATTGAATGCGGCATTGACCAGCTTCGTTTTGTGTCTGCCGGGGATGTCCAGATCCAACTTCCATGTGTTGAGGATTCTTTTATTAGAAACATACCATGCATCACGGAACTGTTGCCTGTCGGAAAATTACTGCCTTTTGTAGACAAGCAGCGGGTAGCAGTCGCATCTGCTGTTGATAACATTGACATGCGTGGTCATTATATCCGAGCCATGGCCATCCGCTCAAAGATATTGAGATATGTCAAGCATCTAGATGGGGAAATTCCTTGGGAAACAAACAGTAATTCCCATTTCCATAACCTGGACAAGGAGCTACGAGATATCGAGAGTTCAATACCAGTCAGTCTGAAAATGTCGACAGAAAATGTTTACATCTATAAGACCTCCGGCCGATTAAATCTGTTTTTCGGCCTTCATATCCTGATCTCTCAGACTTACAACGACCTGTACCGAGTAGGCGTTTCAAGATTGGTCTTTCCAGACACCGCAACGCAATGGATACGCAAAAATGCCCCGGAAGAATTTATCCACATGTGTCATCGTATGTGCATTACGAAATCTCTGTACATTGGGTCTCTTTTACGAAATCTTTGGGACTGCCACAAGCTCAGCATAGTAGATACTCCTTATGCGGTTCATTCGCAGATATGCAGCAGCGTACTAGTGACCGCTTTAACTTCATGGAGAGATCCCGAGTCATTGATTGCGGATTTCTCGTATCAGAAATGCGAAGAGATACTGCAAAGTAATGTGCAAATTCTGAAGTACCTTGCCAGGTATATCAATGCAGATTTGTACTGCGAGTCTGCAGTGCAGGCATTGAGAAGATTCAAAACTTTGTTCTCTTTTGAAGTCGGCGAGTTCCCAAACGACTCATCTTCAAGCATGGCGAGTAATGATAACCCAGAGCCGAAGAATCCAATCCAGTTCTCTCTTGAGTACATTTTGAATCCCTTGGGCACATATCCTATGGCGCGAAAACAAATATATCAGAGGCACCAGCCAGAGTTGACCCACCTCACACAATCAGAAGATATCACGGCGTCTGAGATTTCACAATCGACACCTCGTCAAAGCCATCCTTCCCATGGTACTGATTACAGTATCAATTACAGTACTGGTCTACTAGATAGTCAACTTTACTCCGACGCAGCAGATAGCTTACCAAGTCCTGAAGAGGTTTTTCTACAGCTACCAGACTGGGCTTCTGGGATCTCAATCATGGGTGGAATGGGATATCCAAACTTCTTGGAGGGGTATATATAATAGTCTACGTTTGCAGTACGCTTAAAGAAAGATTCTAATTGCACTCCATCTTCATTTGTCACTTTCTAACTTATAGGATTCCTTATTCTATATGGACTAGGTAAAATGTCTAATGAGACCTCAGTCATAATCTGCTTTTTTGCGCTCCTGTTTGCTCGAATCCGGTGGCTTGTTCATGTTTAAGCACCTGCTGAAAGGCTTCTACCACATCATGCTCGGACAACCACGTTGTATCGGGCCTTTTAGTCATCTTCGTGATAAGTGCTAGATTCTCTTCCTCGGCGGATTGATAAGCTTCTGGTTTCTTGTTGATCTGACCGTGGACAATCTCCAAAAGCCTGCCCGTATGAGGACGCCGAGTCTGGTCGTACAGCTCTAGTGCTTTTCTGATATATGATGATCCGTTATTAAAAGCACCTGGTTCTGCCAACGAGAAAGCATGTCTGAGCGCTAGTGCTAGCGCGAACGAATCATCAAGGGCTAATGAGCCTCCAGCTGCAAAAGCACCACCATGAGTATGAGCAGCATCGCCGACCAGAGTCGCTCGAGCTGCAAGGACCCAAGTCGGAAGAGGCTCGCCAGCAAAGTTGGGATACAGGCGGGTATACGGAGTCAACTCCGTCAAGGCTTTGACGATGGGGTTCCAGTCCTTGTACTTTTCTCGTAGATGCTCCACATTGCCTGCTTGATCCCAAGAAACTTCCTTTTCTAGCTCTTCGGCACTGCGACCGTCATCATATGCGCCGACAGTGGTGTACTGCCCCTTGCCTGTGAGATGTCAGGTCTGTACTCTCAAAACATGATTGTCAGGGTTGTACGTACCCAGCCTTGACGCAAAGAAGTTGTCTTTTGGCCCCCACTAATCTGATTGTCAATTCATCGTTATAAGGTGCAGGTCGAAGGCATCAATTACGTACCCAGTGAACAGAGTCAATAGGCAAGTCCGGGATTTTTCCTTCCACTAATGAGGCATCGAAGGTTGATCTGGCGAAAACTTTGCCACTAAACTTGAGCTGATACTGTGGGAAAAAAGCCTGTCTAGTCCTCTTTGTTTAGTAAAGAATAAATTAGCAAAAGAACTTTTGTGAGCCACAGATACTAGACAAACCGATTTGATCCCATCAGCACCAATCAAAAGATCGCCATGAGCTTCGGATCCATCTTCGAAATAGAGTGTTACTTTATCATCAGTAGCCGCTGCGCTAGCGACTTTTTTGTTGAGATGAATTGAGTCTTTTGGAACATGCTGCAACAAGGCACTGTGCAAATGTCCCCTATGAAAACGAGTCGTATGATGCCGAGGATCGGGTACGTTAAAGTGCGTATCTACAGTAACAACCTGATTCGTTTTCCAGTGGCTTAGAGAAAAGTCAGTCAGTATACACACAATTTTGAGGAAATTTCTGTCCATGTTCATACCGAACTATTTGTGGTATTCCGCTTGGGCCTCGATACCCATTCTCATCCGTGAGAGCATTGTGCACCCCCAGCTTTTCCAGAGTTCGCATGCCCTGATAGATCATCAACTTCGATACTGTTAAAAGTTGCAGGGAAAGGCCTTAACATACATTAGGACTAAGCGCAATGCTTGCTCCTATCTCGGTCAATTCGGGAGCCTGCTCGTACAGCTGAATGTCGAGATTCGGAATCTCCGAAATGCGACTGAGTGCTATTGCAGTTGCTAGGCCTGCTATACCAGCACCGGCTATGAGCACTCGAAACGTGGGTTTATTCTCTGCCATTACTGGTATCATCAAAGTCCTGATGTCTTTGTGAAGTGGAAGTAGTCTATAGATTTTCGCAGAATAGTTGTTGTCGGAAGTTCGTTTGAAGTGACACCAATGACGGGACCTATCACGCCTTTTGAGCTGCACGCGATAGGAAATATTCTGATATCCGATGCCAGCCTAGTGGAGGGGCTCGCTATAATCTGAGCACGTCAACAACACGATACTGACGCAACAACATTTTGAGCAATCAAAACTAACAAGATGTCTTATGAATTTTCCGTATTCAGTAATCTTTCTCGGAACTGTCACCAAAAACAAATGCAGTGTGCCACGTTAAGACAGGGATGTCATTGCGCAGGCTGGTACCAAGTAAAGACGATATATGCTGCAGAATGGCGAAATACACTAAGCCAAATTCCTAGTGCAGTCAAAGTTTAAAAAGCACTATATAGATATTCATGAAGTGTCGACTTGTTCCCAACATGTTCCGAGGCCATCTCAACTGATCTCGACACAAAACCTCCTACGCTTCTGATTGATATCGGAGCAGAGCACACACCGAAAATATGGCTTCAAATGACCATAAAACGAATATTGAGCCATCTGTTCAGTCTGAAGATGACGGTCTCCCCCCTCCTCCCAATGTACCCAAACTATCCGACCGGTATGCCGACGAGAGCTACAAACTCTTCCAAAAATTGCAAGTAACAGACCCGACTCCGGAAGAAGCTCGAAAAATTCGCAACAAATGTCTGCGTCGGATATTGCCTTTTCTTTGTATTGGGTATCACCTAATGTATGTTGACAAGCAAACGGTATGTTTAAGGACAGAAGGTAGACCAAATTTATGACCACACGTGCTGACGCCGATGTAGTTGGGAAATTCAGCAATTCTCGGGATTCTGAAAGACGCTAATCTGAACTCTAATCAGTACAATTGGCTATCTTCGATCTTTTATTTCGGTTATCTCCTTGCAGAGTGGCCGCAGAACTGGGCTTTGCAGAGGTTCCCGGTAGGGAAATGGCTAGCAGGTAACCTAGTAGTTTGGTAAGACAACCCACGTATTTAGGCTTCTAATAATCTGAGTACATGCTGATATACTATTAGGGGCGGTATTACCCTTCTACATGCCCCGTGTAATAGCTTCGCCTCCCTCTTCGTGGTCCGTTTCCTACTAGGACTCTCCGAAGCTTGTATCGTACCGGCATTTTTACTCACCATGTCAATGTTCTTCACTTATCAAGAGCAAGCCGTCTTGATGCCGATTATGTGGTCGATCGGCAACGCAAGCCCCATTACATCGGGATTGCTGTCCTACGGCGTGCTTTGGATTAAGACCGATGGCTTTGCGCCGTGGAAGTGGTTCATGGGTTCGTCTGTCATTCGCGGCCTTAGCAAAGACATTAATACTAACATGTCGAAGTGATTACGGGCGGAATTACAGTTATTTTCGGCGGCATCGTTTTTCTGCTTTTCCCAGATAGTCCCGTGCATGCTTCATTCTTGACAAATGAAGAGCGTGCGCAGGCTATATTGCGGATTAAGGAGAACCATTCTGGGATTGAGCAGAAAACTTTCAAGAGATACCAGTAAGGGATCACTTTTTTTAATAATTTTTGAAGATATCGTGCTAATGGATCCAGGTTCATCGAGGCGATCCAAGACCCGAAAACATGGATCTTCTTCTTGCACGCCTGGTCTCAAGAGATGGCTAATGGACTGACTAATCAATACTCACTAATTATCAACTCATTCGGATTTACGGTTCTCCAGACAACTTTACTTGGAACAGTCAGTGGTGCGGTTTCGTTCGTTTGTCTGATAACTGCTGCGATTGTGCTACATAAGACTACGGTAAGCTCGTAATTCAATTTCGTTGATCATGATGCTTTTGCTAACGATGTCAGAATGCTCGTGCTTGGATTTCTTTAGCTTCTTATATCCCTGGCGCTTTGTCAAGTATACTTCTTCTAAGTGAGTTCACCTTTCAAACCAACGAATCCAGTCCAGTGCTCATGTTTATTGCTGTATAGGTCTTCCATGGTCAAATCGTTGGGGACTCATCACCGGCATATGGATTCGATCTACAACCGGCATCGCGTATGCGGTCGTTATGATATGGGCCGCTAATACCTCCGCCGGACATACGAAAAAGACTACCACCATAGCCCTGTACCATATTGGTTACGGATTGGGTAATATCATCTCTCCTCAGCTCTTCCGGCCGCAGTGGAAGGTATGTCCAGTACCAACTCTTTCAAGTCTGATTTTTGAATACTGATTCTGGTATGTAGCCACGGTATAAACCAACCTGGATTATTCTACTTGTCGTAAGTCACTCTATCCTGCCTAATTACACTGACTTCTCTAATTTCTGGTACCAGGTCGCCGCAGTCCTCCCCTCTCTCTGCATCATAGCACTGCGAATCATCCTCGTCAAGGAAAACAAACGCCGCGACAAACTCCAAGCCGAGATCGATGTGCGCGATGCCGGAATTGTGGAAGAAGTCCACGATAACGGTACGACGGTCACTCACGTTGTCGATAGCAATCAGCTGGATTTGACGGATAGGGAAAATTTGACGTTGTGAGTATTTCTCTTATTGCGTATTATTTCTTACACATCACTAATCAACTTGTCGTTGTAGTCGATACGTTCTGTGATTTGGGCTCTCTGAAAAGAACAGGTTGCTGAAAGTCCCGAATCAGAGCTTATTGACAAAAATACCCAAAAGGGAAAAATAAGAAAACCACAAATTTGGGTCAGCGAGTCAATGATATCATAGTTGGTCTCCATATCACGAATCGATTCAATTCAATACCTAGGCATAGAAAGTACCTTGTTCGCTGCCAAAGATATTTATTACTGCAAAGATTCCAAGGTTGTCTAGAGCACACCAAGCAATCCTTCGAAGCGCCTCCCTTACACTATGTTTCTGCCCAACGTGAGATCTTTTGCCAGTTTCACCTTAAAATTGGAAATTTTTGAATTCGTGTCCAATTTTTGGTTGATAATGCATAACCTAGATGCCTATTCGGGATTTGGGCACTGGCACCAACCAGGATTAGAATGAGCGAAGAGGAGCAGAATATGGAGTTAGGACAGCTAGGATGAAACTATTACTCCGTACTTGCCACTATAATATGAAAGAATCCAGAAAAACAAAATTCGTAGTGTAGAGAAATCGGATATAACAATTCTCACAAGTATTTTCTTTTCTTTTTGGCGTTGTCGATTTACTAAAATCGCCGTTGAAATATCAGGTTATCAACCCCTAGACATTAATTGCTTAGACTAGCAAATCGGGATGCTCCATTATGATCCCGCATAAATTAAGGGTCTTCTTTTGATCAGGGCTTGCTTTAGCGCGTGAAAATCCTTTCGTATTCGTCCCTCTGCATAAATAACTGATGTAGTGGCACGGGCATAACCTATATTAGTGTGACTAGCCCCAATAAACATATATGTACATAGTAGAAAGATCAGAGAGAGGCAATTTTCATCCAATTATTTCTCCGAAGTTGTGCACTTATCATGATAGATAGTTGACGGGGTCCTCCCGGTTGGTTGGGGGAAGGCCCTTTTTCTTAAATCATCATCATATTACACACACTATAGGTAGTAAGTACGTAGTGGGATTCCTTGCTGCTCTTATCAGTATATTTCATTGGCTAAATATAAATGAGGTAATATCAGGCAGAGTTACGCTACTAGTATCCTTCTGTATAATCCGTGTTCTTACGAATAATCATCTTCGTACTTTCGGTACTTCCAACACTGCTCGCATCATGGCCGCTGATTTTCCGCCTTGTAGCCTCAACTAAAGAACCGTGTTCTACTCCAGTGCCCATATATCCTTCATATCTTTCCTCGAGGACGGCTGATGTATCTGAGCGGGGGGCACTGTTACCAGCCATGCTACCGCCACCACGTTTTCCGCGTGAAGAGCGTGACATGTCTTTCATGGCGTAGCTATCAACGCTTTTACCTGTGCGAGTTCTACTTCCAGATCCTGCGCCACCACTGCTGCTCAAAAATTCGTCGCCTGCAGTGCCATAATTTGTACTCACGGCGATCATAAACGGCCGCAGACAGAAACCAGTGGATGCAATCAAAGAGTAATGCATCGCGGTTTCGCCCCAGAGGTATGGTTCGATAAAAGCGAGGGTTGGATCGAGTGATTTAGACGCGGGTCCTTCGTAGTGTAAGCGTAACACCGCGAAGATGATGATTCTATCCAATAATTAAGTCAGCTAAAAGCGTCGAGCGGCTTTGCTCAGGTAAAGTACTGACAGTAAACGCGAGCAAAATGCAGACATGATAACAATCTTCCGATCCAGAGAAGTTCTAACATCGTACACTATGGCAATAGCGAGTGCAGGCCACGCGACTTCGGTGATGATGTCCAAGAAAGTGATAAACCGCCATCGAGCAAGCTTGAGTCAATGACCTGTTATTTGAAGCACTAAATTGAAAGATATTGGGATGACATACCAGACCCGTACAATGCTCAGCAGCAGGTTCCCAAGGCTTGTTAAACTCACAGTCAACAGTAATGAGTAAAACAGATGCCACCAGCCATACCGTGCAAACGCCGCCTACAACCCATGTCGCGAGGTTATGTTTTCTTTGCGGCGTCAATTGCAGTAAAATAGCCACGACGGATATTTTGGCAAGGTACTGAGTGATGATGTACAAGACGTCACTGGCGACAAGCATCTTCAATCGTGCATCTATCAGTTTTTGGTTCTTTCTGTTTTTCGTCAGAGTATTAAGGGCGTGGGAGAAAATAGACATACGTTCTGAATACGCACAACAGCGTCAGACTTTATTAACTCTATCGATGTGCCGAATCCATAATGGGCGGCCAGTAGGATTATGATCGACTGTATCAAAGCTATAACCTGCGGGAATCCTCATTAGAATAAAAATAGAGCCATTTGATTCTAAAAAGGCCAATCAAAAAACATCCGACATACCGAGGACGCCGCCAATATCCAGTCAGCAATGCCAAAGCCAGAAGTCAATGCAAATCGCACGTAAAGTCGGATCAACCAGCACACCAAGGAGATGGCTACGCCAAGTGCTGTAGTAATTATGATCCACGCGCCATGATGTTGGTCATCGACAACCTCGAAAGGTGGTGACTGTCCCGGCGGGACAACAACATAAGACATTTTATAAGGATGTGCGGTGTTAAGTCGTCATACCGTCGAGCATTAGCGAGATGTATGCCAGCAAGACACTTATATAAGAAAAAGGTCCAAGGGGAGGATCATCGAATCCTGTCCATAAGGCTATGTGATAAAGAGCTCAACATGAGTCCCTCTCTCTGATACATTGGGCATGAAGGACGATCCCAGCCTCTTCCGCCTTCGGATTGGTTATTGCCTAGGAGATCAAATTGATTGGTATAATTTTGGGGAAATCATCTCTACACGGAGTTTGACCTCAACAGTACTTGAATTATATGCACATATGTTGTTTTATTTACACGCAGACGCTAACCCAGGGTTGAGCATTCTCGAGTCTTGGACTGATATTTATTACGAGCGAACCCTGTGTTCCAGAAATTCTTTCTCCTTTCTCCTTTCTATTACCGGTCCCTGCAAGCTGATAAGAACAGAAGAGGCAAGCCCAGAGCCGGAATGCAATGTCTGGACTTTCGACCCTTGAAATACTCAAACACCATGCGTTAGAACTAAATCAGGTGAGCCAGTGATATCCTATATTGGCTCTCGGACTTGAAAAAGCGAAAGCCGAAAACGTAGATATAAAATTTGATTGCGCTACCTGCGGTGTTGCATTATTTCTCTCTGTTTTGGTAAGAGTGAGGCTACCTGCTGATCCTTCCCTCCTTCGATAGCTCTCGCCAATCGCTCGACATTCTTTCTTTTTTTTTTGTCTTGCGTGATACAACTTCTCACTTACAACTTTCTTGGTACAGTCAGAGCGACTCATCAGCATTATACTCAGAGAAAAAAAAAACTTGGAGGACATGGAGGCTTCGAAAAGTGCTGCCTGGATGCAGACCGATGCGGAGGAGGTGAATAAGTACCATGTGCCAGCCAAATACCTGGGAAATGGGGCGGATAAGCGTGATATGACTGCCCTAGGAAGAGAGCAGGTGCTACGGGTAAAACCATCTTCCAAAGAAGAAAATAAAAGGAATTGATTCATGTAGAGCTGATAAGAGAGTGGTCTGCAGAGAAACTTTGGATTCACCTCGATTCTGGGCTTTGGTTGCACTCTTATTGCAACATGGGAGGTTATCCTTACGTAGGTTCTTTTTGAATTTGTTCTCACTTCAAGTGTTCCTTTGCTAATACAGATCATAGTCTTCTCACAATTGGTCTTACTGATGGAGGCACTGCTGGATTAATTTGGGGATTTGTCATTGTATGTGTCGGCTTCTTGCTTGTTTTTGCAAGTTTGGCAGAGATGGCATCAATGTGAGTTGGATAGTGCATAATTATGTTTCCAGTGATAACTATCACTGATAATGAGCATGATTACAGGGCTCCCACTTCAGGAGGACAATACCACTGGGTATCTGAATTCGCGCCAAAAAGTTGTCAAAAGTTCCTCAGTTATGTCACGGGTTTGTCTACTCATCCTCAGACGAAAACAATCTTAACAAATCAATAACTAGGATGGCTCTGCGCAACTGGCTGGCAATGCGCTATTGTGTCAATTGCATTTCTGGCAGGCACCATTATCCAAGGCTTGATCGTACTCAACGACGAATCCTACGTATTTCAGCGATGGCACGGCACTCTTTTGGTCATTGCCATCACCGCGTTCTCCGTCTTCTTCAACACATTCTTGGCAAAAAGACTACCAATGGTGGAGGCCCTCATTCTGATTCTACATATCGTCGGCCTTTTTGCCATCATCATTCCTCTCTGGGTCATGGCTCCGCGTGCATCTGCCAAGTCCGTTTTTACGCAATTTAACAACGATGGAGGTTGGAACAGTCTTGGTTCCTCGACCTTGGTCGGATTTTCCGGAACAATTACTGCCATGATTGGTTATGACTGCGCTGTGCATATGTGTATATATCCATCCCCCGTCATGTATGAAAGCATCATTTGGAGGACGTTGGCTAACAGTATCTGAACAGCCGAAGAAATCAGGAATGCCAGCGAAACCCTTCCCAGGGCCATGATGAGCGCGGTTGTCGTTAATTCTGTCCTTGGTTTTGCAATGCTGGTTACGATATGTTTCACACTGGGCGACATTAACAGTATCTTAGCCTCGCCTACTGGATACCCTTTTATCCAGGTGTTTTTCAATAGCACAGGCAGCTACGCAGGCACAAATGTCATGACTGCAATATTGATTGTGACGTTAACCGCTAGTACAATCACCGAAGTAGCCACTGCATCTCGTCAGCTATGGTCCTTTGCTCGTGATAATGGTGTGCCATTCGGCGAATTCTTCAGCCACGTAAGCTGGAATCTGTACTCTCAGTCGAGGCACACTATATTAATCAGTAAAACAGGTCAATCCCGGGTGGAATATTCCGTTGAATTCGGTTCTTGTCTCCCTCGCCATCACTGCCCTGCTCTCTTTGATCAACATTGGCTCAACAGCTGCGTTGACTGCCATTGTTTCGTTGACCATTACATCTTTGATGTCATCTTACATCATCTCTATCAGCTGCCTTCTTCTGAAGCGCATCCGTGGCGAATCACTGCCTGAACATCGTTGGTCACTAGGTAAATGGGGTATGGCTATCAACATCGCTGCTCTCGCGTACTTGTGGCCGGTGTTTGTTTTTGCATTTTTCCCTCTCACGAGCACAGTCACGCCTTCCACCATGAATTGGAGTGCTGTCATGTATGTGGGCGTCATCTTTTTTGCCACTGCTTACTACTGGCTAGGAGGCAGACACAAATTTGTGGCACCGGTCGCCTTGGTGAAGAGAGAACAATGACACTACGTTTCGTTTAGCTCCCCCCGTCGAGTGAGAGCTCGACGGAGTAGCAGCCTGTATGCAATGAATAGACAGTTTGTAGTAAATCCAGTCTTTCTCTTTGGTACATCTAAATATCAAATCTACCCTATCAAGAACGAATTCTCGGAATTTGTGACATTTTTTCTGGAATCAACAAGCCTGATACGTGCTGAGTTTACTTTTTTGCCCCTGAACCGACATGCGGCGATAGCACGAATTCGTCGTGAGTCTAGAATCGGCCAATGCAAGACTCATATTATGTGAAAAAGCCACAAATCCGTATCCTTGTATCCTTTATTCTGTATTCGGCAAGCCGGAAATGCAGGGAACAGTTTCGGAAAATCGGTTTGGCCAGGATATGCCTAGTCTCAGAAACACCGAACAGATAGGAATTGGTAGGAATAAGTGGGAAATAGGGCCTGATCCTGCATTAGCGCCCTTCATATCCATGAGGGACGAAAGTATCCAGTCGGAGACATCAAAGATAGATACGATAGGAACCCCGAACCCCTCCACTTGATTTGAAAGTGCTGCTTTGTTACATAGGAGCATCCAAAACACCGGCAAGATGTTATCATCGTCAATTTCAATTGCTATAATCATTCTAGTCGTTGGGCTAATCTATCAATACTTTATTTATCCATATTTCTTCTCGCCACTCTCTAAAGTCCCGAATGCCCACCTTACATCCCCAATCACATCCCTGTGGATGTCGCATAAGCGCAAGACAGGGAACGAGATAAAAACGATCTATTCCCTTCACCAGCGATACGGCCCTGTGGTACGCCTGGGTCCCCACGAGCTCAGTGTGAACTCTATCGATGGCCTGCGAACCGTCTACACCGGCGGCTTTGAGAAAACCTCATGGTACAGGGATATCTTTGTCAACTTTGGCACCGACAATCTGGTCAGCACCCAGGAACACAAGCCGCATTCCATCCAGAAGCGCATGCTCAGCAACGTCTACTCCAAGTCGTATCTGCAAAACTCACCAGACCTACAGAGAGTCTCGTCTATTATCGTCGCAGATCGATTTCTACCCCTTTTGACCAAATTAGCACAGAGCCGGGAGGCGATCAATGTACTCCCTTTATTACAAGGGCTTGGCCAGGATTTCACTTCGGCATATCTATTTGGCTCGAAGTATGGGACGGACTTTATCCACGACGTCGCCAAGCGAGAACATTGGCTTGACATGTACGAGAGATTCAAAGTTTCGCATCCCAAGGAACGTAGTTTTGGCGAGTTTGAGCAATGGTGTCTTGCACTATGCGATAAAGTCAGTTATGATCTGAATGAGAAAAGAGCAAGAAACGATCAAGAAACTCAGCCAGTGGTGTATGCACAATTATATCGCTGTCTGGAGAATAATCACGAGCGTTGGGAAAGAAAAAGGCTCGTACTAGCTTCGGAAATGCTTGATCATCTTATTGCTGGACATGAAACATCAGGAATCACATTCACCTACACGTTGTGGGAGTTATCGCAACGCCCCGCCCTTCAAGCACATCTCCGAGCGGAACTCTTAGGCCTTTCGCCGACTCTGAGAAACACATCACCAGAGAGACAGAAAGAGAAGGAGACAGAAGGTGCACTACCATCTGCACAGTCCTTGAATAGTCTGCCTCTTCTAGACTCCATAATCCGAGAAACGCTACGGCTACATACACCAGTTCCGGGTCCACAACCTCGTGTTGTTCCCTCCTCCTCTCAGTCGGTAACCATTGGAGGTTATACAAATATTCCAGGCGGCACAATTGTCAGCAGCTCTGCGTTTTCTCTGCATCGTATAGCGGATGTCTATCCTAATCCAGATGAATGGCTCCCCGAACGCTGGCTCAATCCAGATAGAGGCAATTCTGAGGCAATGAAACGCATGTTCTGGGCCTTTGGTAGTGGTGGGAGGATGTGTTTAGGGAATAACTTGGCTCTGCAAGGTACGTCAACCAGCCCTCCGAAGAGCTGTGGGAGAGCACTAATTCAACATCTATTAGTGATTAAACTTGTCGTTGCCGCAATCTACACCAATTTCACCACTTCCATTGTGGATGACGAGGGGATTGAACAAGAGGATAATTATATTGCTCCTCCCAAAGGGCGCAAGTTGGTTCTTCAATTTACATCTGTATCAAAGAGACGGCCTCGTAGTTGACCACTGCAAATCGTGCGTTGTGTGGCGTTGAGTGCAAACGCTTAATCTCAAATATCCATGTTGCTTCTCGTTCTTTACTCTGTAGTGTATGTAATTTGCCGGGTGGTTTTGAACCGTATGTAGCATTCAGACGCTTTGACTGCTCGTTCTGGAGGGACGAGTTATCGAAGTTCTAAGCTTGCGATATTTAAGGGGACGGGGACCCTGCAGGTTGAATAGTGTGAGAAGGCTTGTTGACATATTTTGTACATACTGGTGTAATTGAAACTGAAATAACTCGGAATGAACCTGAGGTATGGGATGCATTGCTGCACAGTCCAAACATAGCCGGCGATACCCGTGGCTGGCAGTTGAACGCAGGAAATCGCGAGGTGATAGGTATGTGAATATCCTTTGGTATATAGAAGAGCTTGTGAATAGAAAAAAAAAGAACGAGATTGTCGCCAACGACAAATGCAAGATGAGGATCACGTTTTGACGCGATCCTTCAAGGGAAGAAGAGTACTCTTGATCATATCAAATGTCTGTATCTCCGTGTACTACCATTGACGTCGGTCGATATTAATGACTATCACTACCACCATTGTAACTTCGGAGAGGTTTTGTCCCATGCTTGATTATTTTATAGGCAGATTGTGGGCGATGGGAACAAAGCCTGGGCTCTTGTCAACAACCACGACATTAATTTACCTGGCCAAAATCATCAACGACGCAAGGAAAGCGTGATCATTGGAGCCTTCTTCTACTCATTTCTATTTTTTAACGGTTAATATGTTTATTACTACCGGCTGATTTATATTAGCAATATCCTGAGAGCCTCAGACGGCGACACATCTCAGGGTTACTACGGTTTCCATGTTCAACGGTGAAATCATTGTTGACTAGACAATTTCATGTCTTCGAGATTGACGTAGACTTATTGATCAACATTGCCTTTGAATTAACCCCAGACATCATCCCTTCTATGAAGAACCTAGTGAAAAGTATGTCCAGTTAGCTATACAGATACCTTCGCAGTACGCCCAACTACCCGATTAGGACGAGTCACGCCTGCACTTACATGACTGATCTGCAAAGTACTAAGTAATAGCATGCAATCCTGAGTCGCTATTAGTCTTGAATATCAGTGGCTATGTTTCTCCATTTGTTAGATGTCACATCCGATCAAACAAACCCTGCACGGCTGTAGTTAGTAAGCCACCTGTTTCCTCCTATAGAATAGCACGAAGCAGCATCGTGGCGTCTTCCATGGGAGAATAGAGCAAACCCAGGGTATCGATTATATGAGCCTTCAAGCACGATATATTCGACAGTTGTGGCACGATGCTCCTGTTGCGGCAAGGCGATGGAGCATTTGATATGGAGGTGGAGTCTCTTTGGTCCACCTCAACCCTAAGCCTCACAATATTAATGCGCGCTAATTCGAGACCCCAGATCATGATGTTTCGTCTCCCCAGAAATAGTATTGTATATCGAAAATTCCGTTCTCCTCAAAAGTGCTCATCCGATATCGGTCTCGAATCCTTGCAGAAACATTCCAAACCCTTGTCCTCTTGCTGTCATCATCGATCCGAGCCCTTCCATTCGGACCGATGTATTAATAATCATCCCACTCCGTCGGAGACAAAGAGCATCTACTTTTAACTCCGTACATAACCCCCTCGCAGAAACAACGCCCTGGACCTTTGAATTAGAATTACAAACATTTCCAGCCGGTACCAAAGCGACTTGATGCTGCCTTATTCTGGCAAAAGGCCGACGACAAGACTACTTACCATTCAAAGCTCCCAACTTATTCATTTCGCCAGAACAATGACAAATTTTACTATCGATATCACTTCGGACACTGTGTGCCCGGTACGACCCCTTCACGCGCTAGTAAATTTTTCGCAAAGGACACAACTGATCTTATAATTACAGTGGTGCTACGTAGGCGTATCCCGCCTCGAACGCGCCATCAAAGAACACACCAAACTTCATCCCGGCGACACGTTCGACCTAAAATGGCGCACATTCTACCTCAACCCCAACGCAGCGCCTTACCCCGGCGTCAATAAACTCCAATTATACGAGTCGCGCTTCGGTGGACCAGGGCCTGTGCAAGGTCTAATGGCCCGACTTCGCGCAGTGGGCGCTCCGGAAGGGATCAATTTTGCATTTGGAGGGAACACGGGTTCGTCGAAGGATTCGCATCGACTTTTGTATCAGGTGGGACAACAGTATGGAGGAGAGAAACAGACCCTCGTCGCAAAAGCGTTGTTCAAGAGTTATTTCGAGAAAGAGGAAAATGTGACGGATAAGAAGGTCTTGTTGCAAGCTGCGTTGGACTCAGGCGCAGGGTTGTCGGAGAAGGAGGTGAAGGGGTGGTTGGATTCGGATGCTGGGCGTGCGGAGGTGGATAAGGAAGCTGATGAGGCAAGAGCAAATTGGATTCAGGGGGTGCCGCATTTTTTGATTCAGGGACAATATGCTGTTGAGGGTGCGGAGGATCCGGAGCAGTTTTTGAGAGTTTTTAGTGCCATCAAGAACGCGCAGTAGAATCTACATAGCTCTTCTGGTCCTTGAAGTTATGGCTGTATGATCTTCAATTAGTTGTGTATATCGTGGGATTATCTATTGAGGGATGGTTTTGAGGTTATTGCTTGAATGTTTCTAACATTATCTCATGTTTACTTTTGGAAAACTCGCTGCACGGGTTTATTCTGGTATACTAAATATTAACCAACTAATGGTGAGAGTTTCAGCATTCCTATTACCCCGAGACTCGTCAGATATAGATAGATGAGTTGACCGTATGAGACGGGATCGATTGTAGGATGACAATCTATCTTTTATCTTAATCTATGACCTGAAACGTTTCAGAGGACTTTTTCTTGGTGGCTGTGTTTGCCAGTGTAATACGCGCAGACTTTTATAAATGATTGGCATTCTTTGGGACTTAATAATCATTACCAAATGATGTAGTCTCTGGACGATTGATCACTCGCTTATCAACCGTAAAAACCCTTCCACTGCCGTCTTCGGTCCATCAGGGACAATAAACTGTTTTGACGTTGGTACGAGTTTGAACTTTTGGTTGACAAAATCAGTAGCATCAGCTTGCACAGGTTGAATCCACGTCCAGCTGCCTTCTGCCGGGGCGTCGATCGGGAGTGTTGCAGTAGGAGACGCAACGCTCAAAGATGTAGGTTTGATTTCCGTAGACGTCAAGTCTGGAGGAGTGCTCGTGGGCAGATCACTTGGAATCAACAAAGGACCTACACGGATAAACGTCTCCATCTTCTTCAAAGCACTATCCAAAGCCCAAGGTGGTATGCTTAGGGAGGTTGTTGGCAAGATCCCTGAAAATCCGTTGATACTTTGGAAAGGATCGACCAGAGCGCCGAATATGCGGAGTTTCCGGTGATGTTCGGCGGCAAATTCTTCTATCTTGGCCGAACCATACTGCATTGGGTCAATCCAATAAGGTGTGAATGGTATGTTTTCTGCTCGCACAACTTGTGAGACAGGTTTGGCTTCGGAAACAGTAGATCCAGAAGATGGGGTGTTGATGACGGAGGAAGTGGAGGAAGCGGAGGACGGTAGGTTTGCAGTTTCAGCAACATTCCCCGTCAAGGTGGTCTGTGACGGCGATACTACACCCTTTCGTCTCCGTAGTCCTCTTTTCACTCCATTAAGACCATAGGTTGTATGAACCTCATTAAAAGTGAAGCTAGATCCCTTATCAGAGGCCTCTCCGTCTTCAAGAAAGTAAGCAACCAATCCATCATGTAAGCTCATCTGGTCTCCAAGTTTCAGGTCGAACTTATAGTCAAAAATGCCCATGTCTTGTTGAGTTCTAGAATCAGATTGATCCACCATTGGCATTGTGGCTAATTCTAACGACCATCCCATAGAGACAAGCGCAAGTGGTCGTCCTATCAATGCTGGCAGGAAATCAGCCAATGTGCTTGGGGCATGGTGAATATGCTCGTTCGCGTCGACTACCATGTTCCACACTTTGTGAAGAAATTCATTTGAAGATGAAAGTCTCTCCATAAACGCAGCGAGTTCTGGATTGGATACAGTTGGCACGGCGTGCGTGCTATCTGCATCGGGGTTCAACCACAAGCCTTTGTTCGTCGGAGAACCGACAAGAATCTCGCCGCAGAGAGTTCCGTCACCTTGAAAGACCTGTAGACTATCATCCTGGAAATTACAAACGACCCAGCCCCAGATGGGATTTTCCCATTCTAAGAGTGATCGCCAGGATCCGTTCGTCTTTGAAGGCGCATCGCTTTTTTGTCCAGCCTCTTGTTTTCCGTATTCTTGCACAACGAAGGTAGCATTGAATCTTATATTTTGGTTAACTCGCGGTCCGAGCTGGAAAAACTGACTCCGACCTTCTGGTTCTGGAAGTGCGGTATTCGCAAATACTCGCCCAGCAAGATGGCTGCGTTGACAGGCCATATCCTCGCTAACACTGGGATATATTGGACGAAAGGGCTGTCCAGGCCGTGGATCAAATGCACAGACGACCTGACCGAACTTGTCAACAATATTGAGCTTGGTGAATCGGACTTGACCGTGTGTGACGGGTCGAAATAGCTGCCCATCTTTGCTGCGGGAAACACCCTTGAACAGGCAACAGGCTCGTGTAGGGGGTGACATCTGCACCAACACCAGTCACAAGTGAATTAACCACCACTGCTCGATCATTAGACGATAAGTAGGGGAAAAGGATTGAAAGCCAGGAAGAAATTTGATCACTCTCCGCTGGACTTGCCGTCGCGTGTGTACCACGAACAAGCGTCAACAGGTGATCACCTATTCCCTCTAACTCTGCTGACAAAGTACTATCGAGGCTAGCCACAGCGTCACGGATGTCCTTTTCTCCTTGATCACCTAATATATCTTTTAGGTTGTCTGGACTGGATCGTCGAATGACCTGATCGACTAAAGTGCTGAGTGACCTTTGGCCCTCGGGGAAGATTGCACTTCGTCCACTTAATCCGCGACGAGACGTGGTTATCTTTGGGTCGCCTGTGATCTTTGCATCCCGTTTAATGCCATATTTCACTGTACCATTACCGGTCTCTTGGAGCTTCCAGTGCTCAATAGGAATATGAAAGTAATCTGCCTCCCATTCAATGAAAAGAGGGAACCATGCCTGAGCAGATTGGGCGTTGTTTCGTTCAGCAGACGCAGTGGTGCCTTTTTCCACCTCGAGGCGCAGCCAATCGTGCCTCAAATCATCAACGCATCCATGGACCCAGGAAGGGAGGGTGGTTAACTTTCCTTGAAATATTTGCCACGCTTCATCATTCTGGGGTACTTGCTTCCTCGAATCCGAAAGTTCGGTATTCAGTTGCACAGTGATGTTATCGGCCGTGAAGTCATCCGGCCAGGAAGACTCCATTTCCGATAAGAGTATAGTCGGGTCTCTTGTACTAAAAAACCGTGCTGCGGGCGCCTGAATTGTGCGAGGGCCGTGCTTTCTCAATTCTCCTATATGTGCGGCTAGTGTCACCAAAATACCAGACTTTCCATCACCCCGATTAAGTTTCATGAGGTCACCCAGTATTCTGCGCAACCGGCTGCGAGTTTCGTTCAAATGAGTTTTGTACCACGATCGCATGCTGTGGAATCCGTCATCAAGTTCGTCACTTGTGGAAGCATTGGAATCTCCGTAACCAGCCGCGCGGGCTTTCCACCATTCACAGAAAAGCAGGTGTTGTAGAAGATGATAGTGTCTGGTGGCTGAATCCAGAAGTTTCTGGGTAGAGTTGAGATCGTGCAGCATCTGAAGCGTTTCGGCTGGTGGCTTATTGTCGCTGTCAAGCTTTGTAGCTATTTGGGCAGATGGGCTTGTCTTTGGATTGGTCGTTGATTTTGGAGACGTGGGTTTCGCTTGCGTGACAGTAGGCTGTGAGGATGATGATGATATGGAAGACATGCTGTCGGCAGTCTTCTTTGTATTGGAGACTTTCTTTAGCTTCCAGGTATGTCCTCCATGCGCTGGTCTGTAGTGGCTGGCTTTCTGTTGCGCTCCCTGACTCGAATCGGACCCATCGTCACTGGGGTTGGCAGCTAAGATTTCAAGGTGCTTGAACGCAGCTGCCAGTTTGGCATCCGCCTTTTTCGGGTCTGCCGGTGACAGATACGAAGCTGTTAAAGCATCTAGAAGGTCAGTCCCCACCGCAACTGGATGAAGGCGAGCAAAATGCTCTGCAACTTCATCGGCAGGKATTTTCCTAGGAGCTTGCTTCAACGACCATACTACATGGTCAGCTCTCCCATGACAGAGAGAACGGATACGACTATCCTTTGGCTGACTTTTAAGCCAATCCACTTGCTCCTCTGACCTTAACTTCATGCCATGAGTTGAAAGTAACGCGCTATTACTTGACACTTCCCCGTTGGCCAGAGGATCATGTTGCTCAAGTCCATGATAACCAAGAACAAGATACGATATATCGGCACTTTCTAGTGTGCACATAGTATTATTTTCCACGGAATAATAAGTCAGATCGTCATGCATGGCAAACACATTCATGCAGTGATGCTGAAAGTCGGTAAACAGCGGGTTGGCCGAGTCGGCAATCGTCAGAGGAATATGAAAACTCTGAGGATCTACAGCAGCTGGGTCCCAAACACCTTGCCAATCTTCTAGGTGATACTTCGCGCCGAGGAATACTCCATGCTGAGCATTGGTGGTACCCTGGTGGTCCACGAATGGCGCAGCCTCGGTATCAAGGTCGAGAACGGCGAACTCTTCACGATCGAGGCGGCGCACCCGATTGCTTTCTATAACAAAAGCCGAGAATTGGGCATACGTTGCTTGTGCTGGAGTGGACGTGTGTATGCGTCGAATCACAATCCATCGGTCAGGTACGGCGACAAACTACAGCAACTGTCAGCCCTTCTGGATAGTCATTATGGACCAGGAAAATCAGTCTCACCTCCGTCGACCCCGTCGTGGTTTCTCTCTTCTCTTTCGGGAGGCCTTTCTTTGTGCGCTCTTTCAGGTATGAATCACTAGCCGATTCTGATGCTGCGAGACCTGTGCGAAACGGTTTGGGGATAGTCCAATGTAGATAGACGCCCAAACGGTCACGACGAGATTCACCCGAGTCGAGATCAGATAAACGATCATTGGTCTTCGCGACAGTGGCTGAGCGTAGGTTCAGATGTGGAATCACATCATGTTGAAGACGATCTCCAGGCTCCAGACCGCCATAGTCAGGCAGTGAGAATGGAGCAATAACTGCCTTGCCACTGTTGACGACATGCTCATTAAGGATGAAGGCATCCACGCTCAATGGGATGCACACCGCGAGAGGGGGTTGTTGATGAGCCATGTTGCGCAGGTCTCATCTACTACTGTCATGCTTGCGATCGTATCGCAGTGACAGCCCCTATTAAGTCATCTCGTAGAAAATGATTCTTCAAGAACTCGGCTATCGTGACCAACTATGGGTTTAGGTCAGTGGCGGAATCCTCACGAGCTGAATTGCGCTAACTTAGTCAATGAAACTATTGCTTCAGTGCAGCATCTGTTGATGAAAAGTGGAAGCTCACGAGACAAGTTCTGGTGGGTCGGCGGACTCGGTGCGTTTTGGTATGGTAATGTATGGTAGGTATTGTCGTGACAAAACCGATTCATACACTCCCTACCATCGCCCGAAATATACCAGTTGACCCTTCGTGTCCCTCTTGGTTTCTTTTTCGAAGAGACAAAAATCACTTAGCAAAGACCTATCCTAATTTATAGCAGGCAAATACTATGGCTTCATCGGACGCTGCAGAAACCGACGTTATGGAGCTGCACTCCTTCTTCACGCCCGGGCTACCAGCAACTGGAAAGCCATATACTTTGAAAGTCAAGCAAACCGTGAGCGGTAGGAGTCAAACCCTTACAAAAGAGTCTTGTATGAAGTTTTCTGTCGATGCGCCACGATTCACTCTCCCTGCAGAAGATATTCACTCTATCTACCCTGTCGACGGGGTGGCTGAACAGCCTCGAGTGCTGCCTCATATCATTCTCAACGACCCCCAATTACCATGGGAACGTGTGGGTGTCAAAGATCAACCAGAAGAAAAGAAGAAAGAATATGCCCGTCCTCCATGGATGGCATTGATGGTTTTTACAAACGAAGAGTTGCAGGTAGCACAACTGCCCGGATCGACAGAAAAGGTCCAAAGTTCTTCGACAAGAGCCGTGATCAGTACTGTAGGTCGCCTGGCACAGGCTGACCAGGCACAAAACTCTTTTCGGTGCCCGAACGTAGAGAACACTAGATCCACTGAAGACGCGAGTAGTGTCTCGTACATCCTGTTGAGCAAAGAGCGCTTCCAGACGCTAATTAGCCATCAAGACAACGATGCAGCACTCGTCAACTTGGATCGCTTCCAGTACTTCTCGCACGTTCGAATTGTGAGTGTGGAGGGAAGTTCACATGCTGCTGAATCAACTACTCCGGGAAATCATCCCTTCAGTGTAGTGTTCTCCCATCGGACAGGCCCGGTTGACGTGAAGGAGCCACAGACAGTTTTTGTGCATCTGCTATCACTTGACGGGATTTCTGATAATTTAAAGCAAGTGCCACTTAAGGCAACTGACCAGCAGATAGCGCTGGTGTCATTGTATTCTTGGACATATCGTGTTGCCCCTGCTGACCACACAAACTACCACGAGGTGATGCAAAAGTTGAATGAAACAAAACAGTCATTGCGCCGGCCTGATTCTTTAATTGCCAACTTTCAACCAGCGACAGATCCATCAGTTGCCTGGCTTACTGAGCGATTACGCCATGGATACACTTGGATACGCCATCGAACTTTGAGTGGAGAAGCGACTATGGGACTCTACCGTGGCCCCTTAACGCCCCGATATGTCACACCGGGACGCTGTGAGCCTACTGTCAGTGGAAGAAGCCTCCAGATACTTGATCCACAGGCTGGGGTTATTGATCTGAGTTACAGTATTGCATGGGAGCTGGGACGCAACCTGGCCATTGCAGATAAAGGTTTTACAGCTGCCATGTTACGACTCCGCACCGACATAAGTGCAATGGCGGTAAATGGAGGTAGCCAGAAATCAAAGAATACCTTCCAGGAACTAGGTAGGGCTCGGGATGGTACGCAAGGACCCAGTGAGCAGCTCTACAATGGCGTCTATCGATGGGCGAACATGGTCGTAGATAGAGCCAGCGAAACAAACAAAAGAGATCCGCCAGCGGGTGAAGCAGTTCTTATCAATGCACTTCAAACCGATGTAAGGAAAAACTTGACTCAAATGGCAGCTCAGCAACTTCTTTCCGAAAGGTCAAGCGACGAAAAGCCATGCGCATCAACAGACTGGCTTCTTGTGTTACAGTGGGTGAAGAAGAAGCTTGCACTTCAGGACATTCCATACGTCTATCTTTTCCCGGATCCGGCAGTTCTGCCCATGGAAGCCCTTCGAACATTCTACGTGGACGAAAACTGGACCGATGCCCTCATTGATGGTGCCTTTAGCATTGCCAATCACTCTACTCTTAAAAATGATCCAGTAAAACGGGAGATTCGCCTCAGTATCAACCACTACCTTTCGGGAGCGCAAGAGAAGGCTTCAACCACGGATCTATCGTGGCGGCCACGATGGGGCCTGGTGATGCGCAGTAAGGTTGTCGAGGCCTTTCCGAATCTGCGCATCGCGCGGGCTCTTTCGAAAGAAGGCGGTGCTTCTCAAAACCCAGAAAAACCAGCTACATTTGTCACCTTGGCAGCGGACACCTTGATCTACTATCAACAGGACACACCAGAGGTCGATGATGACGCCGCACTTGTTATTTCACAGCCATTCCACCATCAACGGTTTTCAATTGGTGATGAGCTAGACGATACTATGCTATCTCTTTCGTTCAAACTTTTCGGCCAAGCAGAGGCCGACAAACAGAAAGAAGGGGTTATCAATAAGGCCAACTGGACGAGCAATGGAGGTGACGCCGAATTCAAATGCAAACATACAACTGAAGGACAGAAATGTAAGCATCCACTGCTTCCTCTGAAGCTTAAAAGCATTTACAATTGGGAAACGCGTTGTCTTGATGTGGAGACATTTATAGATGTATGTAAGAAAGTCAATGAGGCGGTGATGGCAGAGACTCGAGATCCAAATACGAAGGAGGATTCGTCGGCTTACATGGGCCTACAATTGAACGATGAGCTACTGATGTTGCGCTTGGCGTATCCCGCAAGAGAAGGGAACAAGGACGCACAGCCCGGGGGACAGAGACGCACATTACATGGATCTTCAGACGATTTGATGGTCGCACAACCCGGCGATAATGCGGACTCCAAGAGAGGTCTGTTGAATGCCCCCCAATTCATCCCGGAGCCTTCAAGTATCAATGCCGAGCTCCTACCACCGGCACAAGGCTTCAATCACGAGCTGCTCGGCCAAGCAGTGGTCACGACCGCCAGAAATGATCCGTCATATAACAACCTGCTCCATCTTACTACTTCTCAATTGACTAAAGTGTGCTATCCAAGACTTCTTCATTCTCGACGTCATTTTCCTGCGGGTGGACGCATCACGCTCGATATAATCTTCTCTATCAATGCCATTCCAGATGTGCGACAGGATATCTATCTCCAATCCCTGACAGTCTACATACCAGTCGGTCGGGTCAACACCAACCTTCTGCAACCTTTGCAGACTCGGCCGCGAATGCAAATGGTTGGTCCCGGGCGATACTGGATCCTGAAGGCAGCACAAGTCACCGGAAAACGCCATCGCCTCAACCTAGACGGCACTTGGACAGCAGCGGGAGACTCTGACCATCATGATCAAAAGTGGCTTGCCATTACTGTATCAGCGGCTCCAAAGCAGAATGCTGACGGAAGTCGTCGGGAGAGACCATTACATCTCATCCGCCATCCACAATTGAGTTTCGTACTGCATGAGATGGAATTGAACTCTTTGCCGTGCGAAAGGATACCGCTATTGGTAGAAGAGCATTATTTCCGCGCGACAGATGATACTCCGAATGTTTATGATACTGCTGGAACTGTGAGGACGGTGGTGGGAGTTACGAAGCAAATGTGCGAATGGAAGTGATGTATGCAAAGTTTTATGACTATGAGAAATGAGTCCTCAATTCGGTAATTAGAGGACTGCTCTATTACTATTTCGCTATTTATCACTCCATATATCCTTGAAAAGAAAGGAAAAATGTGTAAATAAGCTATAAGATGCACATGTGATAGCTGAACAATCGAGTCGCCTAGTGTCTACCTATCAAGTACATAACAAGGTAGTAACAATTTAAGAGAACGTGCGTTCTAATATCAAAGGCCTTGCCATAGGAAAAATTCTAAATTTTCAAACTCTCGAGGCCAATGCATTGGTTTTACAATTTCAACAGTGAAGGCATGGTTGCACGGCATACTAGTCGTTCTTGTCTAAGGAACCATGCCATTTCTTCTTGGTTATTTCAAAAGAATCTTTCTTCCGAAGACCTGGCCGCTTATTCACCAATCCTTTTAACCCCACGTTCTGCGGTATTTCCTCAAATGAAGTATCTTCCATAAAGAAAGCGAACGCCGTACTCACTTTCGTGTACCGTGCAGCTTTTTTCCCGTCTCGGGAAACAGATATGGGCTTTCGAACTTCTATTTGCCTTATATACCCGTTGACAGACTCGTTGGTAATAAAATCAGGGATTATGTACTCGTTGTCGAAGTCAGCAGAGTAACCCCAGGCGTTTAGGCCGTTTGCCACCATTTCCTCTCGACCAGACTTCGGATCAGAGTTCGGATCATCGAAAGATACAGCGAAAAGCTTATCACTTTTCTTGCTTAATTCAGAAAAGTCGGTATCAAGATCGCCGCCATCATCATAAGTCTTCGTTAATTGTCGTGCGGACGGCTTGGTTGTCTGGGGAGTGATTCTGGGCCGGAGCTTTTGCAGTTGCCCTGAGTCATTTGTACTGTTGTTCGTGACGTCGCCGTTGACCTCAGGAAAAGCAGATTGGGGGTTTTGACCTCCACAAATCTGTACCCAGTCTTGTACAAGGCTCACGCGGCCGTCCATCTTGGGGTTGTCTGAATGACGCGTCCAAATGAAGATGGCCTTCCTCGGACCACTACGAGACCAATTCTGATCAACGGGGGAGATAGCCTCCCAAAATTCGCGAAGAACGGTAATGTGAAGTAAAACCTTGATATCCTCGGCTTTAACTCTCATCTTGTAAGTCTGGAGTCCGAATGGGTAGGACTTCATGAATGCTTGTGTTGCATGTGTCGTGGTGTAGCTTTGACAGAACGCAAATGTCGTCAGGAGATGCCAGTTCAAGAACCCTCCTTTTACGTATTGACCTCCGAATTTATCGGTGATCTGCTTGTTCAAGTTCAAATTCCAATTCTTATCGGGATCCAACTTGACCAATTTGCTTTTCGGAAGGTTATGTGACATGTTCAGAGCAACCTTGCTAAGCTTCAACGTTCCATGATGACAGTAGTCATTGATATCGAGGTAATAAGGATGTCGCAGAGTGTATGCAACTTTCTCATCAAACCTCTGGCTGTTATTTGGATCCCTCTTCCTTGCATCCTCCATTTGCCACCAAAAGGCATAGAGAAGGGCAATTATAGTCCAATCTATATCTGTTAGCCCTTATTTTGCAAATGAAAGTGATAGGATGAGTCTCACTTGGGTGACCATATTCATATCCCGCCGATATAATAACTTTGCTGGGCTTCATATTTTCCAACATTGCTGACGGCGTTGAGCTGTGTGAGCCATGATGCGAGGCCTTGACCACACACACATGTGTGTTACCCAACCATGCCGATAGCCTAGACTCGCTTCCTTGAAAACTATCACCACCACCAAAGTAGGAAACGCGGGCTTGATCGTTGTTTGTTTCATGTGCAGGCCAAACGATCAACGACATTATCGAGATGAAATTTTCCAGAGTTGCCGCGCTTGGCTTTGTGACATTCTGGGTATTCTTACGTGAACCCATGACATAACCCTCAGCACCGACACATAGGAAACGCGGTTGAGGATTGTCCATTTCACTTAGCAGGTCCAGCAGTTGTTGGAATGTTATATCCTGATTGTGTATATTTGCTGCGAATAGTCTTTCATTGGGGTTAGATGGAAAGGGGGAGAAAAAATCCACACCGGCCAGGTTCTCGTACCCCTCGCACACGCGGCAAATACGTGGAATCCAATCGTAAATATATTGGCTGCTTTGATTTTTTGTAAATCTTTTCAAATCGCGGTACCAAGTATTGTCATCCTTTTTCTTGAGAAGCAGAAAATCCACAAGATTTGGATCGTCACGATCGTCCAAATTTTTTCTCAGCATCCAATGCCGACCTTTGGGTTTCCCTTTGATTGTCTTGTTCCAGGTTCCATAACCAAAAAATGGGCAGTATAGAGTGGTTAGACACGTAGTGCCCTGATAAATCATGTACTTTGATTGCAAAGGAAGATCCATGTCAAACCTTTGCTGCAAGTCATCGATGATCATCCTTAGGGAACCGGAGTAATGATCTCGGTCCCAATGCGTTACCACCCAAGATGTGAATTTAATTGGGGTGCCAAATGTCTTTTCTAGCTCTTCCAGTGCAACTTTGATGGCATCTGCTGCGTGTTCGCCAGAAAATTTCGTGCCTCCATCATGGCCGCCGTCAACCAACACGGCGCTGACCACTTTCCCACGGGGCTCTGGACCAGCTACTTTTCGAATAGTCTCGTAAGTGTGCTTCACATGAAGCCTTTCTTGCCAGTAGTCTGAGTTACTCTCTGGGCTGTCTTCTAACAACAGATGGATTGAGCAGTCGCCTCCAGGAACGGGGATCTGAAAACTTTCAACGACATAGCGACCGAGGCAGCATTCCTGGGGAGTAGGAACATTTGTCGTGGCCATTTTTTCCCGCGCTCTGTCTGCCCTTTTTTGTTGTTCACCTGCAAGCGACGGGTTAGCACAACTACATAAATAACACGCTCTAGAAGCTCTTCAGGGCTACGTATCGATACTGTAACCAGTCTGTATCCACTAGTACCATTAGTGGATTACCGTACGTTACCGTCGCTTGTAAAAGCTTCAGAAAAACCATTCAGCTCCACTACCCACGACGGAGTAACCGTCGTAATGATCGACAATTTGCTGCGTACCATTTTTCCCGAAATGGTTCAATGTCAGCTATATCTATATTTCGCCCTTCGGAGACTATGTGTGCCTTGATCAGACAACGAAAGAGCGGAGAGACGAGAGAATGGCATCCGCGGTACGAATTCGACCAAGCAACAGTCCCCCGACCGCTGATGAGATCCCTCTCGCTGCCAGTAGCCCCGGGAGCAATTATGTGGCTGCTGTATGGCCATCGCAGGCCTGGGAACTGAGCCAACCTTTAGGGACTATCAGTGTAGGAACACCCTTCACGGTTCTCCTTGCGACAACAGACGTAACATCGTCGTGGTTGTCAGAATTCATCAACACTACGGAGTTGAAACTCACCGGGTCTATACAGGAGGGAAACACCTTGCGAGTCATATCCTTGGGTTGCAATTTAGTGCACCCTGCGCCGAGCAATGGGTTAGCGGTACTTTCGCTCGATTTCTCAACAGTAAGAGATACGGTGCATCGGCAATTCGGTAGTTGGGATGGAGATCAGACTGGCCTTGACGTGTTTGACCATGAAGCTGGTCTTCTCTTCGCTGTCCAAAGTACAGCCACGGCTCAGCCAGTGCCATTTGGTAGCGTAATTGAATTAAGTGGTATTCATATTTCAGCCTGGGCCATGACGTTGCTCGATGCCATCCATTTACGTCTTCGGACCGCCGAACCAGCAACTTCCACGACGTCTTCTTCAACATCAATTACGCCCGCTAGAAATGGACTGTGGGTGTTTCCTGTACAAAGGCGCACTGTATTGCGACTCGAATTCGAACTCGATACTAGCGAACTTCCCAAGGATTTGATTAAATTCCTGCCAGCCCACGCCTTGCAAGACTTAGTTCTAAGTTTTCGAAAAACAGCGCATTTTAGCCTTCTGCGTGACAAGCCAGAAATTGAAGGAGAGCTTTTTCTAGCCAGTCAGATTGTGTTTGAAGTTGACAAGGATCTAAAATCTTCTTTTCAAGACGTCAAGCTTGATTTCTATATCTTGCTCTCCCTCAATGGCACAACATTCAAAATTCACAACGAATGTAAAGTCTCTTTTGAAGACATGGTTCTTGTTATGGGGGAACATCTGGAAAAAGAACTACAAGCAGTGGGGTTGAAGACTGGGTTGGATGAGGTGAAGAGCCGTCTCATAGCTCACTTGACGCATGAGGGTAATAGCGATTTCGACATTCATTGGCGTGAATTTGCCATGACAATTTCAAAGGATACGCTAGTCGGCGTATCCCTATTGCTTGAAGTAGATACACCCTTTGGTGTAGATGAGGGCAAGCAGTCGGCTTTTCTGTTCAGTTTCCAATGGTCGCCCAGAAGTAACAATATCAAGCTTTCTGGTAAATTTTGGCCTGTACCGGCTCCGGAGCACCGAAACACCGAAAAAATGCCCATAGATCGCCGCCTGAATCCTATAGATGAGGGCCATTCCATCATTCAGCCAATGTCCTCCAACGCACAAAGCGTGCTCAACTTGACAAAATTGTACCCGGGTTTTTCACCTGGCAAGCTGCCACATTGGATTCCAGATGAGATCACCCTCCTTGAAGTGACCTTGTCTACAACGGATATTGATTTTACGATTAATCTAAATTCACAGTCCACTCCAGATGACTCACCCGGACTACCTTTTGACGAGGATACCATGTTTTCTATCTCTTTCCATTACACATTGGGCCAGCCAAAGTCAGCCGTGTTGTCCCTCAAAGCCGGTATGAGCTTATATGCACCGGAATCGTTCGTCGATATTGACCCTTGCCTGTTTAATGTTGGTGTTGATTACGAAAATTCCAAATGGACGGTATCTGCTAGCGCAAAAAACGTCCGATCGGCCAACCTACATTCTTTACTTCCCCAAAGCGTTCGAGATAATATTATCAGCATGATGCCCAATGTCTATGTACCAGGTCTTTTTGTTGACTACGCATGGGGTGGACCTGATCCCAGTCAGCTGTCAGTATCCGGGTACCTTGTTATTGGTGGATTGCTCCTGTCAGTCTACTTTCAACACACTAGTGATGGATCCTGGGGACTTGTTGCCAAATTGAATGCAGAACCTTCGAAGGCCGCCGGTGAGAAGACCACGATAAAAGATCTGATTGAAGACATGATGGGCGACGATGCCGAAAGCCTATTACCAGCGTACGTCAACAATGTGGAGGTTCCATTGGATGATCTGGAAGATGATGGCATCACTCTCCATATCATGAAATCAGAGGCAGGTCCCATATTCCTATTTTCTGTGCGTCTCAAGTCTGTTCATTTCGACTTTGTGCAAATTCCCGGTGATGACAAAGATCTGCCTAAGAGACTACTCAGACTATCATTACATGCCTTTCCGGACGTACCTGATATACCACTGGTAGGTAAGGTACCGCAACCTTTTGACCAAGTGAGCTTTGTGTGGAGCAAGTTTGACTTATCATGGGACGAGTTGAAACTTATAAACACAACTTTATTTGATGATGATGAAGATTCCCTTCAAGTCAAACTAAGTAAAGATCCAAAACAAAATCCTATCGCGCTCAAAAAGGGGCTACATTTCATGATATCGATGAATCAAGATGGGAAACCGACAGTCGTGATAGACCATGTTTTTGGCCAGAGCCCACAAAAGACTTTAGAACCCTCAGCCGTCACAGAAAAGGGAGGAGAATCTACTCATGCTGTGGCAACAACTAGCTCATCTACACAGGTCAATGATGAAAGACCAGAAGTTGGCCCCCAGTCGGAGATGGCTCCAATCAAAAAATCACAGAATAGCCTATCAATCACAAATGCGGGCTTGCAAATGACTGGCCATGTTCTAACCATTCATCTAAATGCCACGATAAAGCTTGGACCTATAGAGATGGCTCTTACTGGGTTCGCTTTACATTTAGATCTAACCAATGCAAAATTGCCTCATTTGGACAATATCACGCCCACATTCTCGCTCGATGGTCTCGCTGTTTCGTACGACCGCAGCCCAGTTCATATCTCAGGTCTCTTCTTACATCAGAAGACCGCAAACGCCAATACCTTTGCTGGTGGAGTTGTCATCGGGCTATCAAAGTATACGTTTGCCGCCGTGGGCGCGTATAGCGAGGTGACACCCGATCCTCCACAAAAGCCATTCAAATCATTCTTTGTGTTTGGAGCCATGACTGGACCATTGATGCACTTTGAATTTGGGGAAGTTCGCGGGATTTCTGGGGGCTTCGGATATAACTCATTTGTTACACTCCCTGATGTCTCGGCTGTATCACAGTTCCCTTTCTTATCCATGATGAATTCCGACACTTCAGACCCTCTCACAACGCTACAGTCATTTACTTCCGGAGATACAATAAAATCTCAAACAGATGCACTTTGGCTGGCAGCAGGGTTGAAGCTGCGTATCTTTGAGGTAATTGATGTGAGCGCTGTGGTATCATTGCAGCTGTCACAAGGCGACCCAGTTCTGGCTATATTAGCGGATGCCACCGCAATGGTGCCCCAAAGTGCCAAGTCAGCGGAAGATGCTTTTGCTCTCATTGACTTCGGCGTTGTTGCAACGTTAGATCTCGGCCACGGAACACTCATCGTCCAGGGCCAGATCAACCCTCAGTCATTCGTTCTGAGCCATGCATGCCACCCAACTGGCGGCTTCGCCTTATGCGTTTGGTCTGAGGATTCTGGACATGGAGGCGATCTGGTCTTCAGTGTCGGTGGTTTCCACCCAGCATTTGCCCGGCCTTCTCATTATCCAAATCCTCCGCGAGTAGGAATTTCTTGGATCTTTGATTCTCACATCAGCATCACTGGTGGAGCATATTATGCTATTACTCCAGCTGCTATTATGGCCGGAGGTACCCTGCAAGCCTTGTTCTCTATGGGGTCGCTTTCAGCGCACTTCGATGCACATGCAGACTTTTTAGTAAATTTTGAGCCCTTTCACTACCAGGCCTCGGTTGGTATAATGGCAGGAGTCTCTTATGAGTTAAAGGTATGGTTTATCACTAAAAAGTTTAGTATTGAACTGGCAGCCGATCTGGATATTCATGGTCCTCCAATGGCGGGKGTGGCCCATTTCAGTTTCTGGGTGATGAGTTTTGATGTGTCATTTGGATCATCGCAACCACATGTTGACCCCATAACACTGCAAGCATTCTGGGATATGTTATCAAAGGGAACGCCTGGGAATTCCAACCATATAATGACAATCGAAAGCGGATTGATCCCGTCTATGACTGAAAAGGATGATGGTATAAAAAAAAAGGAACCCATCTCCCTGGTCCGCGGTGGCAGTCTGCAAATAGGGGTCTACTCTCGCATACCCATCAACCGCGCGACTTATCCTGGCATTCAGGATCTGAAAAACGACATTGCTATCTACAACCGTCCAATGCAATTGACCGACACTAAAATGGATTCGAGAATCGATTTCATAATCGAACCTCTGCCGGAATCTGCTTTTTCGCTACAGCCTATTGTAAAAGACGTACCGACATCTATCTGGGGAAACTGTAAGATTTCTATATTCACAGAATTGCATATTTTTCTAACAACGTGGTAAGACAATGTCTCTGAGCAAGCTCTGCTGGTGGGTAACACACCCAAGACAATTTCACATACTATGGGAGTCCGTCTGGTCGCACCGGATGCAATACGGTCCGGGGACAAATTGCCTCAATTGGATTCTGAATTCTTTGGAAAATCATGCGAAATTGACGGTGATCTCCATCTCTCCGAAAAGCCGTACGTCTATTCGCTTCTGAAATTAGACAAGACATTGCACACGGATCCAGTCACAACACCAACTGCCACAGACTCGGCAACGATACCTTCGGTTTCAGCTGACTCCTCCAACAACAATTCTGGCCAGACCTCTCAGGCCCATGAGACATCAGCTGAACAAAAAGTCAAGGACAGTCCACCTACAACTGAGCAACCAAAGAGAGCAACTCCACCCGACGACGCTTTCACTTCAGCCAAGGACGCGTGGAAGGATACGACGCAGCGCTCAGTCGATCTAGGCAAGATACTCCGTGTTTTCGCACTTGAGGTGGCGGACCAGCTCGCCTTTGGAGCGGCACATGCTCCGGGCATGCAACCGAATTCAGGTTGGGCGGAGTTGGAAGCTCTCGCAAAACCGCCAATGCGGTACATTGATCACATGGAAGAGTACTACCTGCAACCGCCTCAGGTACTAGTCTGATGTGACTATTGTGATTAGTTTGAACTACAGAGTCATTCGCCTTCGTTTACTACAACAGATTCAGAGTACAGGGTTTGGGATATTCGGTTAGTAGGGCAATAGCGGTACTTAATGTCGTTGCTATAGCAGTAGTTGGCAAACCTTTGGTGTTTTCAAGCGAGCAGTGCCCCGTTTTCTTGCTACTATAGAATGACTATAGCCGTTTCTTGCTCTTCCCCATACTTGTCATCAGATTCTTCAGCAATATCAGGCGAAGCTAGCTTTAGTAAGTTAAGAAAGAGGAGAACGTTAAGCCACAGCCGTATCGCCCACGAACTCCACCAGCCGAGCTGCGAACACTGTTGGGTCTAGAGCCCGGAGGTGGCTTTGCTAAGACAGCTAAGCTAGAATTTAGTTTGTCTTTTTCAGCATACCCTGACATGGAAGCGGGGCGGGCCTTACCGTTGATACACGTATGTATGAAACGAGAGTATTTCATGGTATTCGTATATTCGTATGTAATTTACCCGCAAGCCCTAATGAGTAAAAGTTGACGAGCGTATACAAATAGATTCGCATAATATATAGAGCACTGTCTCCTCAGCTGATTAGGAATACCCATCTATGAGTCAATTTCTGCTATTGTTCTAACTAATTGTCCAAAATGGCTACCGTTGAAGCGCCCGTCTCTCTGCGAGAGTAAGTGAATAACAGCAACCCTAACTCAACCCGGCTTCCTATACCTACAGAACGAGAACTTACTCATATACAAATAGTACCGTGAATCAGATTGACCTCGACGTGAAATTCAACGGCGAAGAAATCAACGGCGCAAGAATCAAGTCGAAGCTGGGTAATCTATTTCGACGAAACAATCAATCCGGCCTCGATGGATCCATTTCAATAACGGAACAGATGTCAAGAACCAGTACAAGTACCACTGAGGTGGATAACGCATCTAGCTCGACGGCGACGGGTATCTATACCAATGGTGTGAAGGAGGAACTTACGAATGGCATACTCGAGGAAAATGGTGCGGTTAGAGGTGTCAAGCCTACTGGTGCATTGCGTGGTATAATCGAGGGAGTTGGAAGTGGCGCTTGGGAAGATCGAACATTTCCATGCCAGAAACATGAGCGTCCCTCTCGTTTCCCAGAACCTGATGGCCCCTTGCCATTTCCTAAAGAAATGCGGGATCTGGTTGCTTGGACAGATTCCTTCGTGGAGCATCTAGGATGGATAGCGTTGCGTGGAGAACAGGTACGACGGCCAAGTAGTAGCGCTTTAAGTTGGCTTTCTTGCTGACTAGTGTCTGATTGTTCTAGGATATCACCGGATACAAAGCAAGACTCCGTAACGCCGACAACGAAAAGATCACGCTGACCAAAGAGATCACGGATTTGCAAAACCAGCTGAAAGCGGTCAACAAGACTGTCGAGAACATGCGCCAGAAAAACGACACGTTATCCAGCGAAATTAAGGTCCTCGAGCTAGATAAGGCAGCTGTTGACAAGCGAATTGTCGAGCTCAAGGAACAAAATAGTCAACTGGATCAGGAACGGTGGCAATTGAGCCATGACAAAGAGACACTGATAAATGCTAACGAGAGCCTGACTCGGATGCTCAACGAGCTGACGACAAAGTATGAATTGAATGAGGACCACCTCCATGATTTACAGAAGAAATTGGACGATTTGAACGACGAGGACTTGCGTAAGATAGAGGAGCGCGAAAGTACTATTTTCAAGCTGCAGCAGGTCATTACATCTAAGCAGGAGACAATTGACAGTCTGACTACTGCCCTCGCAGCTGCCGAAGCGGCCTTGATCGTGGCTGAAGATAAGGTCGACTCCTTAACCAAGAGACTCTCGCGAGCAGAGACTGCTCGAGACGAAGCGGTTGCGCAACTGAATGAAAGTAAAGGCGAAGTTCGAACCCTGAAGGGCACTAATGCTGGGCTTGAAGAAAATATCAGAGTCTTACAGCGGGACATCGCTCACCATGAGGAAGATATTGGGGTGCTCAAGGGCCAACTTGCAGAAGCGAGTACCCGTGAGAAGGAAGCACGTGCAGCCGTCGTTTCTGTGCAGGAACATGCCCGAACCCACTGGAGCACTTTGCAGAATATTCGAGTGGTGGGTGGTTGGTTCCGTCAGAATGATTGGGATGTGTGTGACACAGTTGTACCTGATCCAGTTTCTGGAAGACCTTCAACTACTCACGGCAAATATATTCCTCCTCAGGTTGTTCCTGGTGGTGAAACTTTCCGTGGCTTGCCTATCCAACCTCAACCAATTGTCCCAACAGGTACTGCCCCAGGTGGGTCTGTAGGACCTAGTCAACCTGAAAAGTTGCCAAAACCTGTAGAGACATCAAAGCCTCCTACTCCGATTGTCATTCCTGAGCCAAAGCCTGTCACTCAAGGAACTAAGGAACCTGTTAGAACTACTGGTCCTGAAGCTTCTCGGCCAGTCGTATCTGATACTACGAGAACTTCAGCACCGACTGAAATCCCTCAACCAAAGCCTGCCTCCAAAACTGCAGAGCCCGTCAGAGCTCCCGGTCTTGATGTTTCTACTCCAGAAGCACCCAGCAAACCTCCAACAGTCCCGGCGTCCGTCGAAACTCCTATACCAGGACCCATCAAAGCTCCGGGCCTTGACGTTTCTCCCTCAGTGACCCCCCATCAGTCGGTACCTATCAAGTTAGACCCTGTGGATCCAGCCCCTGCAGATCCAGCCGCGACTATTCAAGCTCCGACTCCTGTACAATCAGAACCTGTCAATACGCCGGTCCCAACCTCAGCGGCCAACCCTCAAAGCGGGCCCGAAAATCCGGGCGAACCTGACTTGCGCGCACCCTCGCCAGCAGCCGCTCCTGCATCTGCACAGGGTCCAGCACCAGAAACACATGCACCAGTCGAGCAGCCCGCAAGCCCAATTCAGGGTTCTATTCCTAAGGAACCTGAGCTTGAGGAACAAGAAGCTGGGGAGCCAGACTTCAGCGGACCTCAGCATGAGCCCAGCGTAGATGAACAAGATAGCCCTGATATTAGCGAGGGCGGTGACGGTGATGAGCCAGAGGGTGAGGTAGATGGCCCCCAGCACGATAGACAAGGTCATCGTCGTGGCGGTAGCCCAGGATTCCACGGAATGGGTCGTCGTGGACATGGAGAATGGCAAGGTGCTGAGCATGGAGGTCCTCGCCATGATTGGGAGGGACGTCATGAGCGCCAGGGACCGCACCATCCAGATTCTGATGAGGAACCGCATCGTGGATGGCAAGGACATGAAGGACCAGGCCCCCGGGGACGTGGAGAGGGGCAAGGGCAGGGTCAAGGACGTAAGCGTCGCCATGATCGTTGATTAGTCACTCTGTTAGTTTGAATTCAGTCTTCTTCTGTATTGTTCCAAGGGTTGTGTTTTTGGTGTACGTTCATGGTTGTGTGTTGATGACGCGTCACATTGAATTTCAGACATGTTCCGAGCGAGAACATGTATTCGTATGATTAATGCCTATCTATAAGAAACAGTAGATAAATACGACTACCTAGGTAGAGTCTATCATACGACGCTCTCCTGTCGCATTCAACACATCTCACTTACTCATATCTAGGATCGATTTGATTTATCCCTGTAAGTATCATCTCTATTTGTCGTGGAAGACTCACACCACTGGGCTATTTAGGCCACATCGCCGATTCTTTAATTTTCTTGTATGAAGCGGTTCCAGTAAAACACCTAATCTCATCTATGCAAGAGCTTAGATAACTTTGAGACACGTATGATTTATGAGACCGTGTCTTCGAATTTGCAACGACACAATCATAGCTTGGATCGCAAGCAGATATCACAAATTTTATGTGAGTTGGGAGGCGCATGAGATATCATATAGCGATCAATGACCCAAGGAAGTTACCCCCAAACTCAACTTCCGAAAAAAGGAAAGCGCCACAAAATTGCCCAATTAGGAAATTTGACGTTATCAGCCAATCTTCAAGCTATCACAGATTGACTCGACCAAGCTTTATTGACTGTATCATGAATAAAACATTGACATTGATAAAACGACAATAAATACCGGACGCCCTGTTCAGGGTTATTTACTTGTGTTTTAACCTGTAGCATCTCGGAGGTAAGATTACTGTGATGTTGTGATATCCATCGTAGCCTTCTGTGCGATTTTTATTGACATCATACTGATTCATGTATGTCACGTCTTATCTCCAACACGTCCGCTGATTAGCCGATCACTCCAACAAATTCGATTCAGAAAGTTAGGGCTAAGTGGCGCACTTACAAGGAAACCGTGCATGGAAGTACGACACTACGTCTGTTATCAACAACCCTGATCAAAGCCTTCTCCAATGACATGGCTCCTTTTGTGACTAATCTTGATGGATGTGTCGTTCTATACTATAGAGTAGTTCGTATGGCTGATGATCAAACCCTCAGTTGCCTAATAAGGGATGGTGGGTGATTCTAATTGACTACATCTGCAGTCTAGATAGATCTATCAGATCCAATCCCAGAAGCGCACCATTCAAGGACTGATGGTCTAATATCATGGGCAGATTGAGTCACGTAATCTAGTAAGTGTTGTGTCTGTTATCTTTGATCATCACTACTATCGCGTACCAGTCAGTCATATCTCCTGCAGACACATTTAACGCTTCCTGAGAACCCAGGCAGCAAAATGCATCCTGAGGCACCGACGACGCTAAGTCCCGGAAGAAAGTTCCGACTTATCGCGATAAGCGGCACTCCTATCTCTTATCGGCAGGKCGTCATGTTCTCGGCCCTCTCCATCTCATTCTGTCTCTCTCTCTCTCCATGAATTTGTCAAAAATTAAATTGTGGAACTGCTTATACAATGTAATCGAATAGATCGCTTTCTCCGCGGATCTCAATTACCCACGATTCCCGCTCCGGCCGCTTCAATTCATTGTTTTGTCAGTGGCACCACCAAAGCCGAGAAAACACCATCATGCGCCGGTTCCTCGTCCGCGGAGATTCAGGCACTGCGCGAAAATTTTTCGAACGTACCCCTGGCCCAAGGTGTCAAATATCTCGTAATTCTCCTAGTCCTCCCGACCAGGCACAATCCAAAGTGCCGTCTGAAGCGGACTTTTATATCAAATGACCTGCCTTTTAGTGTCGGTCGTTGGTCGGCGACCTTTACCTAAGAAGACTTGGTGTTTTACGCAAGTCGGTAACGTACCGAACCACAGTCTATGAAGTATCTGTCATAGCTTCAAGGTTCAGAAGTAGCAAAGAATTTCTAATAGAAAGTCCGCGATTCGATGAGAGAGGCCAATTGTGGGTCCGCAACGTACGTTGTGGTCATAAATGTTGCCATTATGATTGTCAGCTAAGACATGGTAGCACGTATAAAATGCTTCATCCCGTCTGTCGATTATGGTTATGATAATGATTATTCAGACATTGAGACAATAGCATCATTTAAGTCATACTATATCAGTATGCCTCTCACCGAAGACCAGATCAACATCATCAAGGCCACCGTGCCTGTAGTCCAGGAACATGGCACCACCATCACCACCGTCTTCTACAAGAACATGCTGACGGAAAACCCAGACTTGAATGATTATTTCAACACCACCAACCAGCTGAATGGCCACCAGCAACGCGCCTTGGCCGGTGCATTGTATGCCTATGCTGCCAACATCGACAACCTCGGTGTTTTGGGCCCTGCTGTTGAGAACATCGCCAACAAGCATGCTTCCCTGTACATTAAACCAGAGCACTACAAAGTCGTCGGTACGTACCTGCTCGCTGCTATGGGTGAGGTTCTAGGTGATGCCCTAACGCCCGAGATTCACGATGCTTGGGCCGCTGCATACTGGCAACTCGCAGATCTGTTTATTGCAAAGGAAGAAGAGCTCTATAAACAGGGCGAGGGATGGCGAGACTGGCGCGAATTCAAGATTGAGAAGAAAGTGCCTGAATCGGATGTTATCACCTCTTTCTACTTGAAGCCAGTCGATGGACAGGCTTTGCCTGCTTTCAAGCCTGGACAGTATATCTCGGTGCGCATGAATGTACCAGATCTGGAATATATGCAAGCTCGACAGTACTCGTTAAGCGACAAGCATTCACCAGATTACTACCGTATCAGCGTCAAGAAGGAATCAGGGCTTGACCCCCGCCACCCAGACGCCAAGTACAACCCGGGCTACATTTCGAATATTTTGCACGACTTCAAGAACGAAGGCGACACAGTCCAAGTCTCGCACCCACACGGCGATTTTTTCCTTGTTGATGCCGAATCTTCCTCCCCTATTGTCCTGCTTGCTGCTGGTGTGGGCCTTACACCATTAACAGCGATACTAAACACAGTGACTTCCGGCTCAACCGCCGACAAACGCAAAGTCCATTTTGTGCACAGCGCGCGACAAGCCAAATCACGCGCTTTCAAAGATCACGTTTTGTCGCTCTCAAAGCAGCATCCTTCTCTAGAGGTTACGCTTTTCAACACCTCGCCCACTGCAGAGGAAAAGCAAGGAGAGGATTATCACGTCAAGGGTCCTATTTCCATTGACTCTTTAGCCAAGGATGGGAAATTGTATCTCGATGATGCCGCGACGCAGTACTATATCTGTGGACCGTTGGGATTGATGACTGGCACGGCCAAGGCGTTGGCTGAGCAGGGTGTGTCGACGGATAGGATTCATATGGAGTTGTTTGGTACGGGGGGTGTGCCTTCTCCTTGATTGTTATATAGTGTTTGTCTCCTCTCATGATTTATGATAGCGTTAAATAATCATTGCATTTTGTAAAGTACAGTCAAGAAATAGGAGCGTCCAATAGTTCAGTATGTATCAGCCACAAGTGGCTTGACATGGATTGACATGTGTGGCGCATATCTCCGCTTTGCGCGGACTCGACATTATTGTTTTCACTACACAAAGCAAACACGCCGCAACATCGTTAGGGTGGATATATAGCTTTGATCTCACTTCCACACTCTTTTAAAATAGAATATATCACTGAATCATTTCCAAGTCCGCACGTTCACTCTCCAGAAGCTACGGTCTGAATCTCCATTTCAAGCATCCATTCACTCAACGCAATGTCCCAAAACACCACAAACGGGACCGTGGCCATAAAGCTCGAAGACGAGCAACAGCCTACACTGAACCAGCAATTTCAATCTATAGACTGGGACTCGGAGCGACAACTCATTTCGTCCCTAGCAAAGCTGCAGGAACTTGAATCCAAGGTCCGCCCTTCTCCGCTCCCCATATTCTCTCCGCTCCACCATTCACAAATACTAAGCACGATCTTGTGGTGTATACAGATCCACGAACTCCGCACCCTCTTACCAGATAGACTCCTCTCCCCCTTGAATCCAATTGTCAACCCGCGCCTCCTCAACTCACCTTCACCTTCCTCAACCCCAATACCGCGCAATCCGCAAGCCCTGAGCGCCGCACTCCGCAAATCCGCAATCGAAGGCGTCGCCGAGATCAATGACTTTAAGAGCTTATGGAACAGCGCCGATATGCAAGCCATTTGGGGCAAAGTAGATGAGAAGTTGGCCGAGACGAAAGGCGCGTTTCCGCAGGAAGGGGCGGCGGGGATGTGGAGGGTTGAATATGATGAGGTGTTGAGGGGGATGGATCTGGAAGAACAGAAACATGATGGAGCAGGGGTGGTGCAGATGGAGGTAGAGGTGGATGATGGTGAGGCGCAGTTCCCGTCGTCCATATACGGATCAAAAGAGGAAACAGCCTCGCCCAAATCGGTTGTAGAGTCCTTTCAGGCTAGACAGGTCCCGGGGTTCAGGGTCGCGAGTACAAGGAACGAATCCACGATCATCGTCTCGCTTGGATTAGCGGGCCTCGCATTCGAGATTCAAGAAGCGCTCACCACTGAGAGTACTGCCACTCCATCCACCACCAGCACCACCACTACCAGCAATGCTACAAACAAGACATCCCTCCCAGAATGGCGCGTCTCAACCCGTCAACACTCAAAAACCGCCTTATCAGGAACAGTTACCAGCCGCCTCGAATCCGCAATCGTGGCCCAACTCAACTCCAGGCCACGGAAATGGGATTTGCGATTCTTACTCGTTCGTCCCCTCCCATCAATTATTTGAGCAGAAAGGAAAGGATACTAACTCACTGATGACAGGAACTAATCCTCTCATACGCAGATATAAGGAGTAAGCCGTGTAAATCGTGTAATCAATTGACGGATCCGGTGGCTCAGTTACCTGTTCTGCGGAGGGCGGTTGCTTCGTCTACTACTACCACTTCTGGCGATGGTGATGCTAATGGGACTGCTAACGGTAAGGAAGGCGTTGTCTGGGAGGGGTATCATGTTGGATGTATATAACGAGTATCAGCTACCTACCTAGGGAGGTTATTCAAATATAAGTGAAACGGATAGATTTCATTCATCATCTTCTATGGAAATCTCCAGTTGAAATAGTAAACATCATTCTTGATAAGTCTGGAATAATTCCATACACGAACGAAACTTCGAATATGCTCATTGCCATAAAACTAAACTGAGCAAAACGCCCAAACACCCATGCCAGTACATCTCATACAAACTCTCGGAATAACAAAGATGAAGTAAAACACGCTTTTCAACCGAAACCCATTAGTATGTTTATATGTATGCAAATAAAAAAAGCAGACAAGAAGTTGCGTCGTAGGTTTATTATATGCATAATTGCCACGAAAAGTGGCGAGATCAGAAAAGTCCGAGTCCACCGGTGAATGAATTGAATGAGAAAATAGTAATGGCGACCATGCCGAGAATGAAGCCGAGGGCTTGTCGGTCCATTGTTGACACGGCTGAGTTGCAGGTTACGCATACATAGCCTAGAACAAATCCATTAGTCTCTTATAACACAGGCAAAGTCGAAGTGACAAAGTAAGAGGTTAGAAAGGCTTACTGGCTAAAGGCGTATAACTTTGCGTAGCATACATCGCAAACGTATACGACGCAGGCCCCAACTCTCCCGCACCCGCAACGTCTGTCGGCGATGTGCCGGCCTCATATATAATCAAGGTATAATGCGCCGTAAGAAGCGGACTCTGCGAATCGGGCCCGTAGTTATCCGTTTCCCAAATCACAGATGTCGCGTTCGAGTAAGTGACGTTGCTGGCGAGCGTGTATGTGGCGCGGTTCGAGCTGCAAGAGGCGATTACGTCGACGGCTGTGGGGGTGACTTCGACAGAAGTAAAATTCCAGCCGAAGGTGATGTTTTGCCCGATTTTGTAGTATGTGGTTGAAGTTGAGGCTGGGTTGGTCATGGACGCGCCGCCGGCGGGCCATTCGGGGTCGACCGAGATGGAGGTTGATTTTGTGGTGCTGGTGGTTTTGGTGTTGGTTCCTTTGGTGGTGCCAGTGGCAGTGCCGGTGTCAGTGCCGGTAGATGTTGTTCCACCTGTGCCTGTGCCTGTGCCTGTGCCTGTGCCTGTTGTTGCTGTGTCTGAGGCTGTGTTGGCGGCCGTGTCGGTACCACTCGCAGTTTGCGTGTCTGAGCCCGTGGTCGCTGTGTCTGTGATTGTTGATGAATCTGCTAGATATGTTAGACTTGCATCGAGTGAGGTGTACATCTGACTGACCTCGTTTCAAAATATCGTCATACATATTGGCAGATGACCATGCCACTGATGCCAGAAGCACCAGGCTGAAAATCACACTCAATATCGTAAAGGAACGCATGATGTGTATTGACTGAAAACAATCCCCGTGAAGGGGTGTCCGAAGAAAGGGTTGATTCAATCGATCGGCTAAAACCCAGGGAAGATGTTATTGACAGCGGAAGTTACTCAAAAGGTAGCCTGAGTGTCCTGTTGGTCAATCAAGGGTGTCTTTTTTCACTCCGTAGTTGAAGAAGTAGGGTGAGACAAGGGATGAAAATCGGCGGGACAAACAAAACAAAGACGGCAGCAGCAAGCGAGCGAACGTTTGCCGTGAATGAATCGGGGTTAGCGAAGGTCGAACGAAGCGAGTGAATTCGAAGGTGATGCAGAACTGAAAATAGAAGAAAAACGACGATAGAGTAAATGTTGAAGATAAATGTCAAGGGAGTGAAACAACAGAAAGAAGAAAGATTGTTCGAGACACCCTGTCGTGGCCTGAGGACTAAGGCAGAGATGGGATCTGGTAGCCACAAGGGGTTAGCGGGTGCTATTATTGAACACTGATCGGGCAATGGTTCAGCTATAGACGCGTTATACTTGTATAGGCTTAGCATATACTATTCCCCCAGGATGCTATTGGCTCAAGATAGATGCCGAGGTCCTCATTCTCCAGGCCAACTAGCCGGTTATTGGCTGATCTTCTGCAAGTCTAAGACAGTGAGTCAGGCTAGTCTATTCGGGTTAGTTGTTTATTCATATTTCCTCTTTTACCATCCTGTTGCATCATTCTGTCCCATCTCTCCATGTCATATGTCATAAACAATCCTTTACTCGAATACGATATCCTGAAAGTCATATGCAAAATTTATATGCATTATCTATCTATCATACTTATATACAGATACAATCATTATTCGACGCAAACACAATCATCAATGCACGTCATCAAGAATTCATCATAACATTTCACGAATCAAGAACTAATAGCCGCTGGAATGAGGTCGACCTCGCTACACGAGGAGGGGTATGAGATATCACCCTCTTCATAAGCGATGAGCCAGAAGAGTTGTGGTGCTCCGTGCCACCAGTCGCATGCTAAATACGTTAGCCATAGTCAACAAACACAAAGAGGGAGTATTACCGAGCCATCCACCGAATTCAGTGCTGTTCCAGGTCAGCGTGTTGTTATTTTCCAACTCGAAGCCGGACACTCCCTGTCCTGCATTAATTTCGACAAATTCCCATGCTATGAACGTCAGCACATCCTCGAATATCAGATACTATTTGAAGGCTACTCACCAGCATAGTTGGTGGCACCGCCAACATCAAAGCCATAAGTATACTCTTGTCCAATATCCATCTGCAGATATGTCTCGTTCAGGTAAAAGTGGCCGGCATTTGCAGTAACAGTGGTCAAGACGGGATCGCCCAGACCGGCGCCCGTGTGGTAGGCTTCGACGTAGAGGTTGTTGTGGGCAGTGATGTTGGAGCCAGTGGTTTTGAGATAGAATTCGCTAGGAGCTGCGAGGGAGCCGGCCGCGAGGGTGGCAGCAGCCAGGGCAAATTGTGTGAAGAGCATTTTGTAGTGGATGAGTAGAGGAAGTATTATTACTTTGAAGATATGTTGATAATTGAGAATGTCCGATGCACAGAGCTCTTATATAGCCATAATCATAGACTGACGAGGTTAGAGGTTATGACGTTGGGCGGAGCAGCGTGTCGATCATGTCTCGGCTATGCGTGTACCACCCCATACTCTGCAGCGCTAGAGGTACATCTTCATTATCCCATGCTCGCTCTATTGGCTGTCTCTGTGGGGTGTTCTCCTGTTCATTTGAACATCTCCCTTGGTGCTTCTCTCTGTCCAATGGCAATGTCTCGAGCAACACCTGATCATCTCGGAGAAACAAAACAATACGTACGAGTCATTGGAACTAGCAGTATCGAAGATGAGACATGTCTCTTGGCAGTGTGTTTTGTCGATGTTTCTTGGTGATCAGCTGGTTGGGTCAGTGCTGAAGGTATCTATGGTTGGGTATATCATGAGTCATCGTAATTGTACAGAAGTATACTACAGGTACAAAAGTAGAATATGTATCGCATTATCTGTTTTGGGTTCAGGCCGTCTTGGAGCACAGCTTGTACGTACATATATCACATCCATGGTACATAGTATACAACCATGGATCAGACAATAAGTGGACGCATGATGGTTTATTGACATCAAGTGGACCGTATAGAATGGAAACAGGTGCATCATCAGTCTTTGGATCCATGGTTGTACCAGCAATGAAATCTGAAATATGGACCCGAGGCCCGCTGCTTCACTCGTTCCAATTTCATAGTACATCTCCAAGTACATGGTTACCATTGCATACGTATTTAGCTCGTTGAGTCAGGCATGGGATTACGAGAGTCTAATGCTCCATACCTAGGTAAGGATGAGCCTTTAATTTTATGCCTTTCACCGTAGTACTGGTCTATACAATTTGATTTCCAAAGAGTGTATGGATTGTGTACGCCAATTCGCAAATTTGTATTAATTCGTACGAGTACAACGAAGACTAATCCCAAAGAGACAACTTCGATGTTGGCAGTATTCATTCAGCACTGATCTCTGGGTTTAGGGTGTTGGCAATTCCATATATAGCTGCTCACGCTCAGCGTTCAGGAAATATGTACCGACCGGGTACCAGCTGATCAAGTCTTGGAGCTGTTCCCGTAGAAAATTAGGATACCAAACCCAATTGATCTTGCAATCTGTAATTCAAATCTCTACGCGGAGAATTTCATAAATCGCAAATATGGCTGATCAAGCACGTCTCACCCAGTTAGCCACAGACATACAAAAGGCTGTCGATACAATGATCCCAGGGACACATCTTCCCTCAAAAACATACAGAATGTTCTCGACACTGCACTAAGAATGATCCGTCCTCTTGGAATATCTGCACACTCGCAGCGGCCGAAATGGGTCTTCGCAAACTGCTAGCAGACAATCAAGACAAAAGTCTTACAGCGCGCGACTTGGCAGGGATGTCTGGATATGACCAATCTTTTGTTGTTTAATAGTCCTTATACCAAGGTTATACCATTGTACTTTTCAAAGCTCGCGTGATGAGATTAGTGAATGCGATGGGGAGGGCAAGTGAAGCAGGGATTCAAACCTACACGGCGAATGCGTATACTATATGCCAGACCCAACCTGGAGCGGAAGGGGGTTTCATAACTTCGTACGTCCTCCTCCATTTCCGACTTCCAACAGAGTATTCCCTTGTAAGCTACTTACGTATGCTAATGGAATAAGGTATAGAAATGCCATACAATTCCCCTTTGCAAGAAAAATGTGACAAATACCTCCAACAGAAAAAGTCCTGCAACATCATACGACTACGCCATGGGTGAGACAGTCTGGGAAACTTTCCAGAAGAATGCGCAATGGAAGAAGGAGGTTTGATGATAGTATGACATATCGCAGTAAAGTCCTCTCTGTTCCATGGCACATTAGATACCCATTCGAGCAGAGAACGATTCAAGCTTCGTCGCAACGACAAGCGGGCAAGATGGTGGTTATCGATATTGGAGGGAATCAGGGCGTCGATCTCGAACGATTTCCAAAGAGGTTTCCGGGTGTGGAGTGTGAGCTTGTTTTGCAGGATTTAAGAGAGACGTTATCGCAACTTGATAGAGAGGATGGGGTGTCCCGACTTGACGCAAGGTTTAGGACGATGGAGTATGATTCTTTCACTAGGCAGCTTGTACATGGTAAATCCATCATTCCGTACCCTTTTACTTGGATCAAGGGTATTATACTGATATATGTAACAGGAGCTGATATATGCTACCTCAAATCCGCCCTCCACCACTGGGACAATCTTCCCCCCCTGAAAATCCTATCCATCACCGCGAAAGCGATGACTTCTACCTCTCGTCTCCTTATCAACGAATTGGTCCTGTCGGATACGGATGAGTCATTGCTTGGATTGGAACTGGCTATGTTGATGCTGTTTTTGTGTAATGGGATGGAGCGCACAAAGTCGTAGTGGGAAGGGGTTATTAGGCAAGGCGGAGCCGCCGTTCAAGGTTGTAGTTGTTTGGGGTGCGGAGGGGGATGACCAAAGTGTTATTGAGGTGCGTTTAAAGGAGTGGTTTGATTCTTACATGTGCGATCCTCCTGGTGCTGACCAGGTGATGGTGAAGGCCGTATTTAGTAGCGGCTCGCACGCCAGAGGGKTCATATATGTAGAAGCTCAAGGTCAGATACTGGAAGTTTGGATAGAGGGTTCATCCCAATTATGCCTGCATAGATATACTAGTGCTCATAGTCTCACAGCCGAACCTCTCCATACAAATTTTGCAAGTTCATCCCTCGCAGCCCTCATCCTCGTCAGCACTTCCTCATTAGTCAAATCCAACAATTCATCAAACCTTCTGAGAACCATTCTCAAATCTCCCAATCTAACATACCAGGCCTCCGACTGTCTTTTACCCACAGCAGAAGCTCCCAACTCCAAACAAGCATCCGCCCAGAGTTTCATAACATGCCTACTCTGCGGCAAGGTAGGTATAACCACATTCCACACATGCGGCATAAACTCATACTCCACAAACCTAATCGACACACCAGATGCCCTCATGTTCCTTACCAGGAACTTTATTCCATCCGAATACGTCTCTCCGCCACACGCAATCCACATTGGTGGCATACCACGCCAATCGGTGTGTGTAGACGGGTCGACAAATGGATGACACAAAGCCGAGTTATCGCAGTGCAGGTCTCCGCGAGGAGGGTTAGAGGGCCAGATTGAGTCTGCTGGGAAGTTTGGTTCGAGCCATGGTGCGCGTTCGGATAACCAGTCGGTTTTCTCGTACTTTTTGACTGACGGTAGTGATAATGCGATGTCGGCGCCGGGACATATTATTGCGCATCCAGCGGGCATGGTGGGAGTCACGTCTCGGCCGAAGAAATGCATTTGTGGATTTGTCTTTAAAGTGGTGTTGCTGTCGCTATTGTAGATGTACTGAATGAATTGGAGAATGTCAAGATGTAGGATTCCGCCCCCGGATTCTCCGACGAGGATTAATTTCTTTGGGTCGATAGGTGTATGGAAGGAGCCAGGAGGTGGGGATAGGAGGTAGAAATAGGCAGTCAAGACATCAAGGACGAGTGTGAGAAGAGTGTATTGTGGGACTAAGCGATACTGGAAGGTGAATGCTCGACATCCAGTTTGTTCACATAGTTTCTTGATCAGTGGTCGTGCTCCAGGAGGGCCAGCGCGACTAATTCAGCATTCAGCAATATATCAATTGAAATCTCGCACGATGTATCATACTTACAACCATGCACCTCCAGAAAGATAGAAAAAAGTCAAATCATTTCGTCGGTTTTGCTCGATAAGATTGTATTTTCCTTGTTCAGTCATTCCGTCTTGAGCATCCCGCGTCGTCTTGCGCTCATTGTCGACCCCAATCCACTCCCCATCATAGCAAGAACAAGCCGCCGGAGGATCAAGTTTTTCTATCCCCTCAGCCTTTGATTTAAAGGCATCCCATACTTTGACTCTCAGTGATTCCGCTTCCTCCTCAGCTGAACGAGGTATTTGCACTTTGCTGACCACGGTTGAACCTTCCAAAGGTCTTTCGCGGAAGGATAGTGCTTGCATTTTTGATATTGGGATCCATGGTGCGCTTTTCCATGCTTTGCGGAAGGCGAGAACGGCTTTTTGCTGGCCTTGAGGGTTGTCCATGTTGATTGTGTGCTTGTAGGCGGACGAACCCCAATTCTGGAATGGCAGCTGAAAAGGGATTGAAGAAAGCTCAAAAAAAGATTTAGAAGCGAGACTTTTGTAAGAAAGCCTTACACATGAGGTTATTTGATGTATGACAAAGAAATATGCTTGATGTTGTTCAAGACATTATCGTCCGAAATCAGCAGGTCCGTAGCTGGCAAACTACAACATACGTCAGGTCATTACACGAGCTGAGCAAACAAGTCAATAGTGTGTGGGCCCTACTAGGAATGGTGGTGGATCTTCTTTTCTGGGATTGAGACATCTTCGGGGTATCAGTTCGCGGATTGCTAGTGTCAATATCTACTGACTATATGTAATATCCAAGTCTTATCGTACATCATTAATGATATCATCTATTTAAAACATCTATGATCATAACCCATAACGCCTTCGAATCCCATGGACCCCAATCCCCTGGTGGGAAAAGGCCTTGGACGTTAAGAGAAAGACCAACCAACCAACCAACCATCCAACCAGCCAACCAACCTAACCCATAACTCATCAAGCATCAAGCATCAAGGTGATCACCGCTTTGCATACTCCTTCTTCAGCAACCACTTCCCCCTCCCGTTACGTCCACCCTTTTCTAGAGTAGCAACCGTTTTGAGAGTCTCCTTAAACTCAGCTGATCGTTGAGGCGTAGTACAGAACCGATTAAAATGATCAATCAGCATCTGCGTATATGCCGAACCGCCCTGCGCAATCATGTAATCGCGAATCATAGACATGAAATCAGGGCGACCGCCTCCAGGGACAGGGCTGTCGCGTGGACTGCTGGTTCGACTTCGTGCTCCCGTTCGGTTGGCTAGATTGGCGAGTATACTGGCTGAGGAAGGTCCAGCGCCAGCACCCCGTGCAACACTGGCTGCTCCGCCAAATGCTGAGCGAGGTCGTTCTTCTGGTCGGCCGGCAATACCGAATTGTCCCGTCCAGGTTGGAGTGCCGACGGGAACTTGACGGGCGGCTTGTTCAGCTTTGCGGAGTTTCTCGGCTGCTTCTGCAGCGAGACGTTTGGCTTCGGCTTCAATGATGCTTTTGTCTGGGGCGATGATTTTCTTGCCGTTGACAATTCGGTCGTGTTCGAGCGCGGAGTGGACGCCTGATTGTGCAAAGATGGTTTCCATGAGACGGGCTTCGGATTTGGGGGCTCCGTTTCCTTCATCCTTGGCATTAGTTTCATCGGTGTCGTCGTGGAAGTGTTCAACTGCTGCTATTCCTTCAACTTTTTGGATTTCTTTTTCATCGGTTTCAGTCGCTTGCTCCGTCTTGATATTTTCCTTTGGTTCGTCTTTTTCTTGATATGTGACTTCCGTCTTGAACATACTGCTAGTCTCCGTTTGACCTTCTTCTCCCAGCGAAAAAAGATCGTGTAGATTGCTCATCTCGAAGGTCTGCCGCTGTTTTGGATCTTTCAAAACCTTGTTCGTCAGGAACTGTTTGAATATCTGTCGGTGATAGATCTTCTCCTCGATCGTTCCAGCTGTCATTAGACGATAGATTGTGACTTCCCTCTTTTGACCTAACCGCCACGCTCTTTCTCGGGCTTGCATATCAGTTGACGGATTCCAATCCGGGTCGTAGATGATAACTCGATCGGCCCCTGTCAAATTGACACCCAAGCCACCGACCTTGGTAGTGAGTAAGAAAACGTGTATATCTGGTGAATTGTTAAATTCATCAACGAGAGGTTGGCGCCGATGTATCGGAGTCTCGCCATCCATTCTCCGATAGTTGAAACCTGGTAATATTTTTACAAATTTCTCGAGGATGTTGAGCATAATGCGATGTTGAGCGAACAATAGCGTCTTATGTCCAGTATCCTTCCACAGTTCTAGCAGCGCTTTGACGACTTTCATCTTTCCGGATTTGGAAGGGTCTCCATAGCCGGTTGTCGCGGAGAAAAGTTTGTGTGTCACAAGGTCTGGGTGGTTACAGATCTTACGCAGCATATCAACTCCGTATAGAACCTGTCGTCGACCGGCAAGAATCGAGTTACATTCTTGTGAATTCAGAAATTGCTCGTAAGCCTTTCTTTGGAGTGGAGAGAGCTTGCAGAATAGCACCTGCTCGCTCTTTTTTGGCAGGTCGGAAGCGACATCGACCTTGAACCGTTGGAGAAGATAAGGGCTGATGGCATCTTTCAGAGTTTCGGCACATCGAGCTGCTGTCTGGACTTGCAAATTACTTGCATTCGCATAACCTCCTTGACGGATAGGAAACTCGAACTGGTTTCGAAAGTCAACCAGCGTACCCAAACGCATTGGAAAAACAAAGTCAAAGAGTGACCAAAGCTCAGAGAGGTTATTTTGCATGGGTGTACCGGACAAAATCAGTCGATGAGGGGTACGCAATTCTTTACAATGAATTGTAATCGAAGTATTCGGGTTGCGGATCTTGTGCCCTTCATCAAGAATAGCACAATCCCAGTCGACGGGAATCAAAACAGGTGCATACGTCTGCAAGCCAGAATACGTCGTGACCAGCACATGCCCTTCCTCAACTACTCTCTGTACAATCTTCTTCGCAGTCTTCTGAGCTTTGGTCATGGTATAAGGTCGATTTGGATCCCACATTTCATCGTTCAAAGCGTTCTCGCGATTGCTTTCGCTTCGAACGTTAATCATACCACTTCCCGATGTATGCAGAATGGAAACTCGAAAAGGCGGCCACCATCGGTGAAACTCTGTCACCCACTGCTTCATGACAGTTGCGGGAGCAACGACGATCACCGGTTTGGTCAGCTTTCCGCTATGGTGAAGACCGGCTAGAAAAGATATGGCCTGAATCGTCTTTCCCAGACCCATCTCATCACCAATAATACCCCCAACTTGCTGCTGGTAAAGCTCCCAAAGCCACTGCACACCAGTCTTTTGATAGTCAAAAAGGACAGGAAATATATCACCAGGTACACGATAGCCCCCGTCATATTCAGCATCGGGAACCGTAGGATGAGGTAGTAACCATTCCTCCGTAGAGCTTCTTTCTATGATATCTATCTGTTCAGGCTCTTCCGTTTTGATTTCTGAATCGGTTACTCTCTTGCGGGCGGCCGCGCGACGACGTACCCAGCGCTTTAATCGAGTTTGATAAAACTCTTCGTTCCCATCATCCAATCCTCGAAGATCTTCTACATCATCTGTATACTTTTTGCTACTTTGCCTTTCGCGGACTTCTCCGGGCGTAGGATCAAACTCGTCCGTTGAGGATGATAAATAGTCACTTTCTACGTAACTATCGTCTTCTGCCTCTGGATCGACATTTCGTGTCCGTTTGGTGCGATCCTTACGATGATCCTGTGTCGCTCGTTTCCTCTTCCGTGATTTATCCGAATCAGATATACCGTCAGAAGTGATCTCGCTGACGTCACTGATGTCGATACCCGGGAGTCTCAAGTTTCGATGAGAGACCGCAGCTCTTCGGGAGGCATCACGTAGAGCTTCGGCTTCATCGCGCTCGTCCTCGGCATCTATCAAAGCATCATGTAAACTTGCTAGTGGTCCCTCTTTCGGGCCAGTTCCCATCTTTGAGAAAGGTGTAATTTTTCCCGTTCGAATGAGGTACTCTCGTCTGGACTCGTTTGGCAGTCGCCCGGATTCGACATTCGCTTCAATATCCTTCTCTTCATGGCGATTGTCAATGCGTTCCTGTATTTCCTTAAGATCGTTTTCGAGTGAAGATAATTCATTTTGTGCCTTGGCAATGTCTGATTCGATGCGCACTCTTTGGGCAGGTCCAACACGTTGCTCCAAACGGTGATAGAGCTTTAGAATCTGGTCTTCTATTTTTCTACTGAAAGTCAATTTTGATTGCGCTGCGCGAGCTCTAATCGCTTACAGCTTCTCCTTTGTTGTGCGTTCGATCCGTTTCTGGTCTCGCTCGTCGGCTTGTTCGATAAGAAGCTGGTCGGCCTGTGCATCCAGTGTTCTATTAGACAAATATGCACTTATGATAAGAGGAAAAATGCTATTACCTGACGACCAAGCTCCCTTTCGAGCTCATCCTGATCTCGAATATTTGCCTCAAGCTCGCGCAGCTTTGCGGTCTCATCGGTTAATGATGTGTTGAGCGTGGGATCAGTGGCATCAGACTGCATAACGGCAGATTATCTGCGAGGCAGAAATCCGTGAATTTTGCTCAAAGTCGTGCCACTTGGTGGGCGAGCGAAGTGCAACTACAGCAGGCGGAAAGCAGTCATGACCGAATGGAGCTCTCATTCACTTGATATTGAGGGACTGATTGGTGTATGGGTCGAATTAAGTCGCCAGGGGTGTCTTCAAACCGCTTTTCAATCTCATATCAAGATGATTTTGGGACAAAAGTCAAGTGTCGCAAGAAAAAGAGCAAGTGAACAATGACATCGGCGCAGTATGAGCGGCAGAATCATGTGGCGTCGGTCACCGCCTCCACTGCTGTTGCCTTACCCATGAGTCAGCATCGATCTACTCCAACTCAATTAATTACACCTGGACATAATATAGTATACATGGGATTTGCGACTGTTCTAATTTCAATGCCATTCTTCTGCCTATACAGTTACTATTTCTCCATCAATTGACCCCAGCCAGCGCATTGCAAGACAAAGGCAGTGCGCGTCTTTTGCTCCAGCGGCTCTGTAACTCGACTCGTGTCGTCATGTGGAACAGCGCCAATACCGAGTCTCAAGTCGCTGCACTATTCGCTTAGGTATGAGCTATTGGCAGTATACCAGCTTGCGGCTGAACAGAGCTCTTACAGCCAGTCCAGTTCGATACGCATGTTGAAGCACAATGACATCGGCAGGTTTATCCATGTAGCACATCCGATTCTCGGTTACAATGACCAGTCGTGGCGGCAAGAAAGGATCAGTGTGATGCGCATTGATTGAAGCGATTGTAGGCATTTATACGGAGTAGAAGCTATAGAAATACGGTGATACACACGTCCAATAATTAGCAATAATCGCTGAAAAAAGTAACCCGGAGGAAGGAGCTGTCAATCTGGGTTGCTCTTTCCTGTAGTTGCCCGCTCCTACTCCCGCCCAACCCCAACCTCCCTCCTCCTCCACCACCATTTCTCCCCTCTTCTCCAGCTGCATTCATTTTGCTTTTCGCTCCCTTTTCTCTTACCTATCCGCCATTGGGAGGCATCCTTTATCTCCATACTTATTCGCTGCAGAGTACTCCGTAAAGACTTCGGATTCCATCCACCATCGTCATCCGTTCAGGCTGAAAGCCCAAATCGATCCTAGTCGCAGCCGATCCCCAGTGAGGGCTAGCTTCGATTGAGTCTAGCCTGTCAGCTCCCGTGCTTTTTACACTGCACCAGTCATTAATCATTTCCACCCAGCTGGCCGCCCAACGACAATCGGCTACTCTAGTTAGGTTCGTTCGGTCCATGACAACGACCTTTATCCTCTCCAACTCTCCTTGCACAACCATCTCGGACAAATTGGTGCTCGGCTTTCTTCTTCGCCCTCCCTCTTGCGAAGGCTATCAGTAGAGGATTCTAGATGATGATTAGCTGCGCCTCTTTATAACAACAAGTCACCCATTCCACGCGTCACCCGCTGCTCGCTTGCGTCAGMCGCCGTMCCCCCGCCGTTCTGCTCTACGTCGCCTGTACAGTCCGCAACAGTGTGAGCGGCTCGGTGACGTGCCTGCGTACCCAACCCGGCTCCCATTTCACCCTGGTTTAGCGCCGTCGACAATTCAGATATATTTGAAAATATCCTCGCGCCAAGTGCTTTGTTAACCCAGAATTCTACTCCCTCCGCATGACAGTGAGTTTGACGCCGAGCGCCACGCCATGGACTCTCAGTGGCAGTCTTACGGGGATCTCTCGTCAGGTCACCCCGTTCATCACGATACTTCGACGAGCCAGAATCCCTATCGATTGAACACAAAATACAATGGCCAGCAACAGGCTCAAGCACCCGCGGGTTATACTTATGAGAGTTACCAGTCTCCAATAACCGCCGCGCAAGCTTCCAGTGGAGGCTCCAATTCGAAGTCAGCATCGATGGCTTCATCTCCAGCGGCAACGCCTCATACGCGTGACTATTTTACTGATGCCGATACGCCCATGGAGGATGCTGATCCTTACAATCGTGCTAAGTATTCGTCGAAGTTGAATCACAGTACACGTCCGTCGTCGCAATACATGCCGACTGAAGAATCATCTGCGGCGCGTCGATACTCGCCTATGAATATTTTGTCGCCAACTCTGCCATACTCGTCGAGTCCCACAAAGTCGGGCCAAAATCCCTTCAACGCGCCGCCTTCTGGGCCAGGTAGTTCCCGCCAGTCTCCCACGCGAAATAGTGTTTATGCATCACTCCCGCAGGGATATCAATCACCACCAGGTCGGTCTATCTTCAGCAATTGCCTGATTGCGACTGTGTTTCATGACTAACGTTGAAATGATATTGTACAGGCTCCCGTGTTCCCCGATTGCCTATTCTGCAGTCGACCGATATGAGTCCCGATCAGTATTTCCCTTCGTCTGCTTCGTCACAATTGAGCGCTCCGTTCGGCTCCGAGTTGAAGTCACCACACACGAGCCAGCAAAACAATCACAAGCCACCTGGTCGCGGCCCGATCCCCAAATTCTCCAGCATCAAATCGGTGCAGGAGCTTAAACCCAAGGTCAACACGCAACCACCTTTTCGTCGGGCAAACCCTGAAGGAGGTTTCATCAGTGTAAGTGGTTATTCATTCTCCTAGTGTGCAATAAATTAATCAAAGTTGCTAGCCATTGCAAGCACTTACAACGCACCTACCGGCCACGTATCGCATATGCAACCCGACGTTCAAATACGAGTCCTCGCGCAATCCACGTCGTGTCCTCACAAAGCCCAGCAAAGGTGTCAAGAACGATGGGTTTGACAATGAGGATAGCGATTATATATTATATGTCAATGACATTCTAGGCAGTGAAGAAGGAGGTCACAAGTATGAGATCCGTCTTATTCATTGATGATATCCGCTGACTTTACCAAGCAATCGATACCTAATTCTCGATGTACTGGGCCAAGGTACTTTCGGACAGGTAGTGAAGTGCCAGAATCTCAAAACTCAAGAAGTTGTGGCCGTGAAGGTGGTGAAGAACAAGACGGCCTACTTTAACCAGAGTATGATGGAGGTGTCCGTGCTTGACCTGGTATGTCTCCCACTCTTGTCGCGATACTTCATTAGCTGACCATTTAAAGCTCAATAAGAAGTATGACAAGAACGACGACCACCATCTCCTTCGACTCAAGGATACTTTCCTGCATCGGCAACATCTGTGCTTGGTCTTTGAATTGTTGAGTGTGAATCTATACGAGCTTATCAAGCAGAATCAGTTCCGCGGGCTGAGTACAACTCTCGTGCGAGTATTCGCACAGCAATTACTCAATGGTCTGAGCCTTTTGAATAAGGCTCGATTGATTCATTGCGATCTAAAACCAGAAAATATCTTGCTGAAAAAGTGAGTCAGTTAGCAAAGGGATGACGGTGTAATAGAAGCTGACGAGAATCGCATTAAAGTCTAGAAAGTCCTATTATCAAAATCATTGACTTCGGCTCCGCGTGTGATGAACGACAAACGGTATATACTTATATCCAGTCACGGTTCTACCGTTCGCCTGAAGTTCTTCTAGGTTTGCCGTATTCATCGGCAATCGACATGTGGTCTTTAGGTTGTATCGTGGTCGAGCTTTTCCTAGGTCTACCCTTGTTCCCAGGCTCGTCCGAATATAATCAAGTCGCTCGTATTACAGAGATGTTAGGTTTACCTCCCACGTGGATGCTGGAGATGGGCAAACAATCAGGAGAATTTTTTGAAAAGACACAAGATGAATTTGGCCGGAAGTCGTGGCGACTGAAGAGTATGGAACAATATTCTCGCGAGCACAACACCAAGGAACAGCCTAGCAAGAAGTACTTTCAGGCAAACACTCTAGAAGAAATCATTCGCAGCTATGCGATGCCGAGGAAGAATATGAAGCAATCAGAAATTGAAAGAGGTAAGATTCTGCATCGACGATGGGACACGATAATCAGTTACTAACAATAAACAGAGGTCAATAACCGCGTTGCATTCATTGATTTTGTGCGAGGCCTGCTACAAATCAATCCGCTGGAGCGGTGGTCTCCCCAGCAGGCCAAGCTGCATCCCTTCATTACCCAACAAAAATTTACTGGTCCTTTCGTACCTCCAATGAATCTTAAATTTTCGGCACTCAACAAGAGCATTGCTCCCGGCATACAGCAACAGCAACAAGCAGAGGCTGCAAGCAAACAGAGAGCTGCGCAAGCGGCTCAGGCGGCTCAGGCCCAAGCTCAGTCTGCCGCACAATCAGCCTATGCCATGCAAATGGGACAATATCATCAGCCATCACATAACCAAGCACCACCTGTTTACAACGGACTGTACCCCGCTCATCAGCAAGGCGCACCGCCACCTTATCCTGCTCAACCTCCAGGATATGGACATCAAATGGGCATGATGCAAGGACAGATGCAACCACAGTACGCGCCTCCGCAAAGCCTTTATGCACAGGCAACTACCAGAGCTGGAAGGCAGCGAGCAACTACTCTCGATCCACAGCAGGGGGGAATTCCACCTACCATACAACGTGTGGCTAGTCATCTCGATCCTAACGCACCTATCAGGCTGCAGCCAAGCCCTGCGTACTACCCTCCTCCTCCGGATGGCTATGCGGAATCTGCTTCAAACTCGCGACGCCGTGGAAGCCGAGCAGGTGCCGGTCATCGCAACAGGGACTTTATTCGCACTCTTGAAGATGGCGCTCTTGGTGATGGCTTCATGGGTCAATCGCAATGGCATTAGTCGGTTTCTTGCTTCGCCCTGGTTACGTTTGATCGTGCTTCATAGACATGATTTAGTCAAAGCTCAAGGACATTCCAGGAGCTTTTAAAGTTGTTCGAGATACCGCGAGGTATAAGCGCTTCTTGAGACTAGTACCAGAGTTTTGAACTTTCTCGTACACCTGATTATGTTGTCTTGTGTGCTACACGGGTTGATGCCGGTCTTGAGGATCAGTATCTTAGCTTGATACTTGGCTTGCCATCTCCTATCGGGATCATACAAAGACCACTTTGATCTGTCTCACCCGCTTATACATTTCTAAAGAGCTATGGACATATGGTGATCAAGTCCATTTAGCACTACAGTCAATGTCTAAAGCATACTCTCAGCTCGCCTCTCGATTGTTGTTTCCATCCCTCGTGGAAAGATCATTATCATTAGGCATTTACGGGTTGTTTTGGCATAGCGCCGGCGCAAATTTTGGGAAGACTGTTTTTGTATTCCTTCGCATTGCCGTTTTCGATTGTGATAACCATGAATTGTTACGTTCTGATGATAAGTCTGCTTTTCATGGCTTTGCAAAGTTCGAAAAACGATTGAGCGCACGTTACAAGTATATAGTTTGTTTCTTTGTTACAGTCTTGTAGTTTATACAGAATAGCCAGCCAAATACACCTTATATTTCAGACCTATGACTATAGACACGTATTGGATAAGGAGAAATATCTCTGGCGACAGCCGCCAGCGTCAACAGCGTCTGGAGAAAAGTCTTGGCGCGTTGGCTCCGCCGTTGCCTGATTGGGTTAAGCGACCCCTCGCTTAAATTTTGTATCGCCGCCTTTGCAACTCATCCCACTGCGGGCTTAGGTAGGGAAACGCTTGATTCGCAGCGACTTCCTTCCATCATCAAGGGCGATATCATCGTCATCAGCCGAACAGGGTCTTCCGCTCCGGGAAATAATATCAACGTTTTTTTCTCTTTTCCCCTCCGAATAAAACGCGCAACAAACCCGCAAACATGTCTCGTTTCTTCCACGGTGGCGGCAGCGATAGCGAGTCCAGCTCCTCCGACGAGGAAGAGCTTTACTCCGATCACGATGAGAAGGAACAGTCCGAGGAGGAAGAGTCCAGCGAAGAAGATTTCTCCGAGGAAGAGGACTCTGAGGAAGAGTCTAGCGAAGATGAAGATCGACCCAAAAAGACTGGTGCCAATATTTTCTTGAAAGATGAGGGCGAGGATAGCGATGAGAGCGAGGATGAGGACAAAGTGACTGTTGTCAAGAGCGCAAAGGATAAGCGACTTGAAGAGTTGGAGAGCACTGTCAAGCTTATTGAGAATGCTGAGAAGATCGGTGACTGGGCTGTTATTTCGACTGGTGAGTGGAATTTTTGGATACAAGTTGTATTACGGCACTGACTGTTATTGCATAGAATTCGATAAGCTCAACCGACAGCAAATTAAAATTACACAGTCGGGACCTACACCAAAGGTCTATATCAAGGCCATCGCAGATCTTGAGGACTACATTAATGAGACTATTGCGAAGCAAAAGACCAGTGGAAAGAAAATGAACGCCAGCAACACCAAGGGCCTTAACGCGGTGCGACAACGTATCAAGAAGAATAACAAGGATTTCCAGGCCGAGATCGACAAGTACCGCGCTGACAAGGATGCCTATATGGAGGCTGTCGAAGCCGAGGAGGCCAAGGTCGAAAGACCATCCCGAGTCCGCGTTGCACCCACTCTCGATGCGCTCAGCCTCGCTGATGAGGAGGGTTTCTCAACCGTTGGCCGCGGCGGTAAGACCTTGCAATATACTCCCGAAAGCATCCTCAAACATTTGCGTATCATTGTCGAATCTCGAGGAAAGAAGAACACCGACCGTTTGGAGCAAATTCGCACCATGGAGAAGCTGCTCGAAGTCGCTCAAACTCCTTACCAACAGATTCGCGTCTACCTCACTCTCATCGCCACTCGTTTCGATCTCACAACATCTACCGCAAATCACATGAGCCCCGAGCAATGGAAAGCCGCCGAGACCGAGTTTACCAAGCTTCTTGCTGTTCTTGAAGAAAACCGCAACCACATTGTTACAGAGGGTGCTGAGGAATGGGAGGATGATGACAAGCTGCCCACTGTTGCTGAGGGAGAGGTTCTTCGCGTACCTGGAAGCATTGTATCGTTCGTCGAGCGCCTTGACGACGAGCTTACTCGATCACTTCAGCATATCGACCCTCACACTGCTGAGTATATTGAGCGACTTGGCGATGAACAGGCATTGTACACTGCTCTCCTCCGCTCACAATTGTATGTTGAGGAACTCGGCAAGAGCGACAAGAGCGAGCCTAGACAGGACAGCCTTAACCGGGTTGTTATCAGAAGATTAGAACACGTATACTTCAAGCCTTCTCAAGTCGTCTCTATCTTGGAGGATGCTACCTGGAAGGCCACTCCACCCACGTTGGAATCGGCCATCACTCCTCGTGCATCGACTTCTGATGTGCCTGCTCTGGTCCAGACTCTCTGCAACTATCTTTTCAAATACAGCGATGGCATCATCCGGGCTCGCGCAATGCTTTGCCAGATTTACTTCCTTGCTCTTCACGAGAACTACTACCGCGCTCGTGATCTTATGCTCATGTCTCACTTGTCAGAGAACATTGCCAACTTTGACGTCAGCACACAAATTCTTTTCAACAGGACGCTCGTCCAGATCGGTCTATGCGCCTTCCGTGCTGGTTTGATCTACGAGGCCCAGAACACACTCTCTGATATCTGCGGTAGTGGACGTCAGAAAGAGCTCCTTGCGCAGGGTATCATTCTTCAGAGATATTCCACCGTCTCGCCGGAGCAGGAAAAGCTTGAGCGTCAACGTCAATTGCCATTCCACATGCACATCAACTTGGAACTTTTGGAGTGCATCTACCTCACATCCAGCATGTTCCTGGAAGTTCCTCTCATGGCACAGACATCTTCCAGCCCTGAGATGAAGCGACGCGTCATCTCCAAGACCTTCCGCCGTATGCTCGACTACAACGAGCGTCAAGTCTTCACAGGTCCCCCCGAAAACACAAGAGACGGCGTCATCATGAGCGCAAAGTTCCTCGCCGCCGGCGACTGGAAGAAGGCCACCGAGATCTTGAACTCGATCAAGATCTGGGACCTGATGGCTCAACCCGAGAAGATCAAGGAGATGCTCGCTGAACAGATCCAAGAGGAAGGTCTGCGTACTTACCTATTCACCTACGCACCTTTCTACGATACCCTCTCCGTCTCCACACTGTCCAACATGTTCGAGCTCTCCGAAAAGAAGATTTCGTCGATTGTCAGCCGCATGATCTCCCACGACGAACTAGCCGCCGCCCTCGACCAAGTCAACGACGCAATTGTCTTCACCAAGGGCGTCGAGCTGTCCCGTCTGCAATCTCAGATCGTCACCCTCGCAGATAAATCCATGTCCCTGCTCGAAGCCAACGAGAAGACTCTCGAGCAACGCACACAGGGTATGGCCAACGCCTTCCAGCGAGAACAGGGACCTGGTGCCCGCGGTGGCCGTGGCGGTGCTCGCGGTGGTGCTCGTGGTGGCGCTCGATTCCCTGGTGGCGGCCAGGGACGACGACCAGGCGGTCAACAATTCGGCGGTGGTGCATTGGGCGGTGCTATTAAGGCATAGATTAGATGACATATCTCCTTCTTCTTTTACGTCTACCTCTACGTCTATAAGACTGATGAATGCCCTTTTTAATGTAAACATTTCCACACCATGACCTTTCAGCCGCCTTTGTTTTTTGGAAAAAGTCCTCACCATCATCATCATCCCTATTTCTCATGTCTCTAGTCAGTCATGTCGGAGTTTTTGCGTTGAATTTTTTTCTCTTTCTTAGGTAGAAAAAAAGAGTTTACCTATCTACATACATTCATGACTATGTCTCTGTTTTGGTGATGATGAAATATGGTCAGGTTGGTCTTTACAACTTCCATGAATCAAGATATCTTTAAACCAGTACTTCGATGCAGTTATATTATTCTAAATATCTACAGGTGATTGAAATATATACAGGTGTAAGGCATATAAAGCTCCAAGGGTCATCTTGGGGGATCACAAAAGATCGACCATGAATTGCTTGGACATGATATCCATGAGTCTTGAGTCCTGATTCGCTTTCAAGCTGGTAGGCAACAGGATGTGTCTATATTCAATTCATGAAAATTCATGAGTGTTGACCGGTGTTCATGTAGGCGAGGACAGTTGTATATATAAGAGTGCCGTTTGCCACGACTCCGATGACGCATGCTGAAAATGCCTAAGTTCTTATGTCTGAAGTCGTGAAGGATTGGGACTTGGCAGTAAAATGTTCTCACACATCCTCATCCAACAGACTCTGAGGAGACCAATATTGATTCTCCGGGCATTGACTATCGAGCCAGACCAGTCCGTCCGCCAACAAATCGTCTAAGACCGTCGTTGCGCGCGCCATTTCCCAGTTCAGGTTTGCCCGCAGCATAGAGACTGAGACCCAGCCAAGGAGTTGGATATATTCCAGAACGGTGGCTTGATCTGAGTTCAGTTCTTTGGGTATGGATCGGATGTACTGCTTGCTGCCGACGTCGATGATTCTGAAGCCGGAGCCGAGGGGTTCAAGTGATTTGACGGCTCGGAGGATATCGTCACTGAATGAGTCACATTATTAGATGTTCTCAACTGAGTGCTTCAGCTGTATGAGACATACTTGGAGACCTCCAACCCTCCACCGATGGCTTTGCCCCTCTCAACCCTCTTGCGACATTCTTCAACGCCTAACAAACCCCCATTCTCGCCCCTGGTCTCTCGACACAACTCAACAACCCTCGTCGCAACCTCGAAGTAAAAGTCATTCATATCCCCACCTAATATCTGCGTCCAAAAACTCCCACCCTCCATCAAACCTTTCCGCCCACTCCCTTTGCCCTTGACATTACTAGCGGCGAGCGGATCCACACCAATCGCATTACACATACGCGCAAACTCGGCGCGGAATGTTGGGTTTGATTTGATCTTGGAAGCATGTTCGAGCGCGAAAGTGTGTAGTAAAGTTTGGAAGACCGATAGTTGAGTCTGGAGGGAGGAGAGGTGTGTTGAGCGGAGGTTTGCGCCGTGGGTTGCGTAGGATTGGGTTGTTTGAGAGCGGTTGGCGAATGCGCCGAGACCGACGCCTCGACGAGTTGCCATTTGTGTCAGAAATCACATATCACAAACTTGAAAGTTGCATGATATAGATGTAGACGAGCAACACCATAGAGGCAGCCGCCGTCATAGCGGGACCGCCGCTAGCCCTAGCCCTAACTCCTGATAAGATAACACCGGAACCAATCCGGGCCGAAATCTCTTGTCGACTAGTCTAGCCCACAAACAGACTAGCGCCCACGCCTACCCACACAAACCATTTTCTCTCTCAACTTCGAACTTTTTCTCTCTTCCCGTTCGATCCTGTTCCAACGCCAACAATCGACAACCATCGACAACCGCACAATTCGAAATGGCTGCCACCACGTACGATTCCCCTTGACTTCCAAGCTGATTAGCAAGATGCTTCAGTTATAGTTGTCCTATATTCTCGCTGGAGTTGCTGTTGCGACATGCTCAGCGCCAGCTCGATTCGTCCCGGCTGCTGTTGTTGGACCTGGCGAATTTCGAAACGCCAGACTCAAGGACAGCGAGGGGTATTGGGGCTGAAGAAAGGAGCTATGGCTTGTTCTTCTCCCTAAAATAAATTGTCAATGGCTTGTATGGCGACTCGTCGCACTACTGAGCGTTTGACAATTTCTTTTCCTGAGCGTTATGCTTAGGGTTTTGTTGGCTGAGGCCTTGTTGATATTTGTTTAATACCTCGAACCTTGTCTACCTGTAGAATGGAGATAAGTAGTAACAGGGATGATCGAATTTATCTTCCTCACCAACTAAATGAATTTCGTCGAGTTCTTTTCGCGCCCCAGTCTGAGAATGTGGCACTATGCTGCAGTTCTTTCTACTCGGCGATTTTGAGTTCTTCCATCGGACACTATACTGACCTTGCATGTAAACAGTGTTCCTACCCAGGACCAGGTCCTTGTGCCTGAGACCCTCCTCAAGAAGCGTAAGAGCCAGGAGGCTGCCCGCGCCGCTCGCCGCGAAGAGGCTGAGAAGAGAAAGCAGGTTAGTCTACTACTTGAACATCACGGGGGGTATATTGGTTGGATGATTATAACAACCACACCGCGACTAGACCAAGGTCGATGCTGTCGCTTTGTTAACCATCTTTCGGGACTGACAACCAATATATTGCTTCGTGGATGTTCGTTCGTTCAGTTGTGGCTTATGCTGACAAACATTCATAGGCCAACAAGGAGAAGCGTGGTGTCATCTTCAAGCGTGCCGAGTCCTACGTCAAGGAGTACCGCGATGCAGAGCGCGAGAAGATCCGCCTTGCTCGCGAGAGCCGCAAGGCCGGTAGCTTCTACGTTCCCGAGGAGCCCAAGTTGGTCTTTGTCATCCGTATCAAGGGGTATGTTTTTCCTCAATCGAGATTTCTGAGTATTCAAATACTAATAAACTGTAGTATCAACAAGATTGCTCCCAAGCCCCGCAAGATCTTGCAATTGTTGCGTCTTCTCCAGATCAACAACGGTGTCTTTGTCCGCTTGAACAAGGCTACCGCCGAGATGCTTACCATCATTAACCCCTACATCGCCTACGGTTACCCCAACCTCAAGACCGTCCGTGAGCTCGTCTACAAGCGCGGTTACGGCAAGGTCAACGGCCAGCGCCTCCCCCTCTCCGACAACCAGATCATCGAGGAGAACCTTGGCAAGTACGGCATTGTCTGCGTTGAGGATCTCATCCACGAGATCTACACCGTCGGCCCCAACTTCAAGCAGGCCTCCAACTTCTTGTGGCCTTTCAAGCTCTCCAACCCCAACGGTGGTTTCCACTCTCGCAAGTTCAACCACTTCATTGAGGGTGGTGACACTGGTAACCGCGAGGACAACATCAACGCCCTCGTTCGCCAGATGAACTAAAAGTCTTTTTCTATCAAACGTGCGGGATTCTTTAAATGGGTTGTTGGTTTTGGGACTGCATTTTATTAGCGTTTATGATTGTCGATTCATAGGTAGTCTAGTCTATCAAGGTTAATCCGGACCACATTCAATCAACCCATTGTCCTAGAATATTTTTTGTCGTTGTATACATTGTCCACTACTTGGACGGTAGGTCTATATACGAATTACCTCCTGAACCCTCCTGTCTCTATTCACAACCAACCGAAGCTGTCTATGCCGCCATTCCCTCAGCGTATCCGAGTTGTCGGTTGTCGGCCGAAAGACCCCATTGCGCAAAGTTTCAGTAAATACTTCATACGAGGGGTAATCTAAATCCCAGAACAGAATATTAGCCGGGACTATGGCTATGGTGGTCACTCGTTAGGGAAAAGGGAAAACGTACACCCGTCCACGAAGTGATTAACTTGTTCTTCAGTCATGCCTATGCCTTTGGCGGCGATTAGGGTCCTTTCCTGTTCCTGTCGCCAGTCGTAGACGAAACGGGGATTTTGGGCGTCACTAAAAAGAGTCAGAACATAATATCCACGAAGGATGAGGTGTGGAGGACGCACATGTGTATAAAAGCATCGAGATGACTAGCAATACAAACAATTAGTTAGCCACTCCCCATGGAAACAGAAGCCATAGAAAATATATCTCACTTTGTCAAAACATCATACTCCCTCAACGCATCATTGATAGCCTTCACATCCTCAAGTTTCACATACCCCAACCTTCCCTCATACTTGCTTGTCGCATCTTGTCTCTGTCTCACCGCATCCTCCCACTTTTGTCTCAGTGTCTCGTCATCCAACGGCCTGAAGCCAACGCACCATCCCTCGAAAATGACCGCTTTGATTCTTGGCTTGCCTTCTGTGTTGACGATCTCCCATTGCGATTCGGGTACGCGATCACCTTGACCCGCGAAAGCAGATTTGTCGTACTGCGGGATTGCGGTTGGTTTGTTGAGACGGAGAGACTCAAAGACCTTTCGACCGAGGGGTAGGTCGTGGGTGGATGGTTGACCACGGTGTTGAATAAGGGGGTTGTCCGGGTGCGCGTTTGCGAGTGCGACTTGGTCTGCGTGGGTGAGGTAGATGTCGTCTAGGGAGAGGGTGACGGTGGGGAGGGAATAGGGTGGTGATCGAAGGAGATTTTGTAATGTCGAAACCTTTATGTTGTTAGCAATTGACCTCTTTCCTCGCTAGATATAAGGTATTAAGTATAAGGGGGAGGTACTAGGACGGTCTTGCCAACACCCTGCACGCCGTTTAATCCAAGAAAGAACGGCGGGGCATTCGCATCATTCGCATAGCGGGCTTGATGCTGTTTCAGGCGCTCCAAGAGGAAGGGGATGCAATGCTCCGATTTGTCGTCGAATATTTCCGGCATTTTTTTTTTTTCACTTTCGTTACAGTTGAGTCAATTGATCAGGATTTCGCATTGCATTGTGCAAGATATTTATTGATCGGACTCCCGGCCGATAGACCTCCCCGCCCATAAACATTTGAGTGGGTGATAGTTCTGCCCGGTGCTTCCCCATGTGGAGCTGGAATTCACCCAGAGCTTTGGAATATGTGCTCTACCTTGCTGTGCGTGACTATGGTGCTTATAGAAAGTAATTGGCAAAATACTCGACGTACTTCATTGAGTTGCAGGTGTAGAGTATGTAGGTGGACAACCCTGGAACGCTCGTAGGTCACGGTCGACGAGTAAGTAGTATGTATATATACATCTTATAATTGGCCCATTTCAATTTCAAAGAGACGACTGAAACGAGGCCTCTATTGGGTTTAATACGCTCAGCTCTTGCTAGTAGACAGTGTACATATATAACAGTATACATTTACTCGTAGTATTCCAGACAGCCTGACCCCGAAATGGATTTCGGCATGTCGTATGTTGCTTTCGGCAATCGATACCGGAATATGGGGAAGTTCCGTGGGATATTGTCCACGCAGCCGAGCTAGTAGTATTGCATACGGAGTATGTATCGATAACTGTTCGTTGAATTGCAAAGCGATGTGGATTTGAGCTAGTCTGGTTTGTAGATGGGACTCGGGGCTATTTTGGCCCGTTCATTAATGAATACGTACGTAGTTTTGCTCTACGCTGTCCAACCGACTCCAACGTCAGACTCTTAGTGACAAGAGCAGAGCGGACCAGTATTGATTAGGAAGGATCTCCGCTAGGATATACCGGATGTGGTTATATCCTAGCTGGTAGTCTTCATGTGCATATGATGCTGCTTAGAAAAAAAACAGTACGTGTATTTATTGTCAGAAGATGAAGAAGAAGAAACAAGCATGTGAAGATGTCAACTAGTCTGGTGATGTCAGCAGGGTTACTCCGACGGAGAAGTGGGCCGTCACCGAGGTAGGCGGGCTGCGTCCTCATTCGCTCAGCCGCGCTCTCCCCAGAGCCGAGGTTCGTCTGCCTGGTCGGATGCCAACCGGCACTGCAACTTCACCTTCTTCACAGCTTATTTACACTGCTCTTTTCATCTCTGTATTTCTACTTCCTTGTCACTTCTATCCTCTTTTCGTGTCGGTAGAGTTGATTGTATGACACATTGATTGACACATCCTACATCTACATAATGTCCGAACTACGATACGACGGCCAGACCGTCGTCGTTACTGGCGCTGGTGGTGGCTTGGGCAAGGCATACTGTTTGTTCTTTGGCTCAAGAGGCGCCAATGTCGTCGTGAACGATCTCGGTGGTTCTCACAAGGGCGAGGGCAACTCGACACGGGTGCGTTATCGTCACTTACCACAAGAAAATAACAAAGCTGACTGGTCGACTTCAGGCCGCCGATGTCGTTGTCGAAGAAATCCGCAAGGCCGGTGGAAAGGCCGTCGCAAACTACGACAGCGTGGAGAACGGAGAGGCCATTATCGACACAGCCATCAAAAACTTTGGCCGCATTGATATACTCATCAACAATGCCGGTATCTTGCGAGATGTCTCATTCAAGAACATGCAAGACAAGGATTGGGATTTGATCAACACAGTTCACATTTACGGTGCATACAAGGTAAGCTACTCGAGCTCACCTTCAGACTTGACGCTTACAGTTGTAGTGCGCACGTGCTGCATGGCCTCACTTTAGGAAACAAAAGTACGGTCGAGTTATCAATACTGCCTCGGCTGCCGGTTTGTATGGCAACTTTGGCCAGGCCAACTACTCCGGTAAGTCTACCTATATTTGGACTGAAGATAGGACTAACAAATTAGCTGCCAAATTGAGTCAGGTCGGTTTCACCGAAACCCTCGCCAAGGAGGGTGCTAAATATAACATCATTGCCAACGTCATTGCACCTATTGGTAAGTTTGACTACGATCCTTCTGAATCATGCTAACAATCGCAGCCGCTAGCCGAATGACTGCCACCGTGATGCCCCCCGAGATCCTCGAGCACTTCAAACCCGAATGGGTCGTTCCCCTCGTCGCAGCTCTTACACACTCCTCCAACACTACCGAGTCCGGAGGTATTTTTGAAGTTGGCGGAGGTAATATTTCCAAGCTCCGATGGGAACGTGCCAAGGGAGCTCTGTTGAAGACCGACTCTACCCTCACTCCTCAAGCTATCCTCGCCAAGTGGAACGACGTGAACGATTTCTCCAAGCCCAGCTACCCCTCTGGCCCTGCAGACTTTATGACTCTATTGGAGGAAGCCCAGAAGCTTCCTGCCAACCCATCTGCTCCTGATCTGGACTTCAACGGTCGTGTGGCTTTGGTCACTGGTGGCGGCGCTGGGTAAGTTCCACCTGTAGGATTTAAAAGGTTCCTGCTAACATTCGCAGTCTCGGACGCGCATACTGTCTTCTCTTCGCCAAGCTTGGCGCTTCAGTCGTTGTCAATGATTTGGCTGACCCCGAGCCTGTCGTTCAAGAGATCATCAAGGCCGGTGGCAAGGCTGTCGGTAACAAGGCCTCTGCAGAGGACGGTGATGCAGTCGTCAAGGCTGCTATTGATAAATTCGGCCGTATCGACATTGTTGTCAACAATGCTGGTATCCTCCGGGACAAGGCTTTCACTAACATGGATGACAACCTTTGGAACCCTGTTATCAACGTACACCTTCGCGGTACGTACAAGGTTACCAAGGCAGCTTGGCCTTACTTCTTGAAGCAAAAGTATGGTCGTGTCATCAACACTACTAGCACTAGCGGTATCTATGGTAACTTTGGACAAGCTAACTATGCTGCTGCCAAATGTGGTATTCTCGGATTCTCCCGTGCCTTGGCTGTTGAGGGAGCCAAATACAATATCAAGGTTAACACCATCGCCCCAAACGCTGGTACTAACATGACCCGTACCATCATGCCAGAAGAGATGGTTCAGGCCTTCAAGCCTGACTATGTTGCCCCTCTTGTTGTTCTGCTTGCCTCTGATGCCCTCGAGCCTGGCACCAAGGGTCTTTTCGAAGTCGGCAGTGGCTGGTACGCCGAGACCCGCTGGCAACGAAGCGGTGGTCACAACTTCCCAGTTGACGTTGATTTGACTCCAGAGGCTGTTCTCGCTCAATGGAAGAAGATCGTCGACTTTGAAGATGGTCGTGCTGACCATCCCGTGGACGTCTCAGCTGGTTCTGAACGTGCCATGGCCAACCTTAACAACAAATCTGGTGGCTCAGCCAAGGCTGCCTCCGCCGATGAAGGCATTCTGGCCAACATTGAAAAGGCCAAGAAGTTGACTGCTGAGGGCACACCATTCGAATGGACTGACCGCGATGTCATCTTGTACAACATCAGTCTGGGTGCTAAGCGCACCGACTTGCCGTTGGTCTACGAGAACAATGAGAACTTCCAGGCTCTTCCCACCTTTGGTGTCATTCCTTGGTTCGACACCGTGACCCCCTACAGCATGGACGATATCGTCAAGAACTTCTCCCCGATGATGTTGCTTCACGGCGAGCAATACCTCGAGATCCGCAAGTTCCCCATCCCCACAGAGGCCAAGACGATCAACATTCCTAAACTGATCGACGTCGTTGACAAGGGCAACGCCGCCATTGTCATCTCCGGCTTCACTACCAAGGATGCCCGAACTGGCGAGGACTTGTTCTACAACGAATCTACCATCTTCATCCGCGGCAGCGGTGGTTTCGGTGGATCTCCCAAGCCCACTGCCCCTCGCTCAAAGGGCGCCGTCGCTGCTTACAAACCCCCCAAGCGTCCCGCCGACGTCGTCGTTGAAGAGAAGACCTCGGAAGACCAAGCCGCTCTGTACCGCTTGAACGGTGACCGCAACCCCCTCCACCTCGACCCCGAATTCAGCAAAGTCGGCGGCTTCAAAACCCCGATCTTGCACGGTCTCTGCTTCCTAGGCATCTCCGGTAAACACGTCTACCAGACATTCGGCGCTTTCAAGAACCTCAAAGTCCGCTTTGCGGGTGTTGTGTTGCCAGGCCAGACCCTCAAGACGGAGATGTGGAAGGAAGGGAACATGGTTCTTTTCCAGACGACTGTTGTCGAAACTGGCAAATTTGCCATTACGGGTGCCGGTGCGGAGTTGTTGGCGGATGGGAAGTCGAAGTTGTAAGAAGCAAAAGCATGAATAGAGCCGATACCTTTACCCTTTAAGTAGCAGAGATTATTATCATGATGATTTTTTTATCCTTTCATATTATGTTTTGTTTACATAGGCTTGTTACAATATTGGGATCAATTGATTTTCTTTTATGAACTCACACCGTACCATAGTATGCCTCTAAATATGATTGAGCAGCAGCAGCAGCTAACCAGGTAACCTCAAGGTAAACTATATTAGGTGCTGGTTTGATGAATTAGTGCTGGGAGTGAAAGGTAAATCGAAAGGAGATAGCTAGTCAGCCTACGACAAGGGGGGGCTCGAGACAAACTACGCAGACTTCATAACCAAGAGCAGTGTGAGATAATCCAAAATCTTATTCTCTTCTCGCCTCGATTCAAGAGCGAGTCAAATCTATATAAAACAGCAGGAAAAATATGCAAATGGAGCAACAAGGTCCAGCGCAGAACGCCACAAGTAATGAAATCAAAGGAGAGAAAGAGAGCACATCATCCAAAAATGGCAAAAGGCAGAGACGAACAACACAAGAAGGACAGACAAACATGACAGACGGATAGCACGCCAAAAAGAAAAGTCGCTAGACGCCGGTATATGCTCCGTGATAAAACAGATACAGTCGAGAAATGAGATGGATAAGTCGAGGGACGGACAAGCAGGCTAAGCAAGCATTCAAACTAGCGTCAAGGACGATATAGAAATAGGTACAAGAATAAATGAAAATAGCAAGGCTGTTAATCAATTATGCCGGGTGTCCCGGATCATCGAGGATACAGGTTAGATCTTGATTGGCGAAAGCGGAGGCCCCAGCTCTGGTAGCTGGGATATGCTTCGTCGATGACTTTTGCCGGTATCCTCGAGATTGGCAGGKCGGGKTTTGCGTGGTGTCGATGCTGGTTTCACTGGTTGATTGCTGTCAGAGAGATATGGCTGGCTGCTGCCGGAAGATGAGATCGCAMGCTCCTCGGCAGCTGACGAGGACTCAGGGAAGGGGGATTCATGTTGCAAGAAGTTTGGAACGGTAGTACCGTTACGACTGTTGTTGGTGTGTTTGCTTCCATTGAGTTTTGCCGCTTGTGCCTCCTTTGCTTCCCTTGCAGCTCTCTCTTGGGCTTCCTTTTCCTCCTGCGCCCATTCCTTCTCTGTCCAGCAGCCCTGCCAACAGTTTTTCCAGTCACAGACTAGGAACTGAAAGCAGAACCCGTCAATCTTCATGCATGGTTGGAAGCAAATGCACAGATTCTGATAGTTCATCTTGTTCTGATCGACGTACGAATGAAGCAGATTTAGATGACACGTTATCGCAAATAGCAGGTAGTAGTTGTATGGTGGAAGTTTCGATAGCTCATCTTTCAGTAGCTGTGGCGCCGTTGTTGCTCCTTCGCATTTCTCCGCAATCATTTGCTGCGTTGCTTTCGGTAGAAGCTCATCCGGCAATTCTCGCAACCACGCCTTGAACATAGACCCAATCGTATTGATATCGTACAAGTCGGGTTCATCGAATAGATTGATGTCACCTTCCGAGTCGAATCGGCGCTGCCAATGTTTGACTTCTTTTCCACTTCCAGGAACCCTATACAGCCCCTCCTCTTCGCATCCCTTGTAGTTCAAGTAGTCAATACAGCGATAGGGTAGCGCGGGCATCCAATACTCAGTCTTATCCTTGCAGTCTTCTAGACGCTTCGAGATTCGTGTTTTTCGGGTCTGTTCAATAAGAGGGAGATTGATGACGGTGCACACGTAGTTGTCATCCAGGATAACTTCTCGCTCATTTGTACTTCCGCTTCTCGTGATCTTACCAAAGAACCCTTTTCCAGCCTTGCCTAGACGGTCCGCGGCTCCACTGGACGAGTGTTTGATATTGTTGAACAACGAGGCAGATGCTCCAGATACCTGCATAAGCGAGCTTGATGGTGCTAGTGATGGGTTTCTCTCCCTACGACTGGTATGCGGACGGACCTCAGTTGGGCGATCAGTCGGGCGATTGTTTCCATTCGTGCTGGGCCCTTCGTAGAAATCCTTGTCAACTCGTAAGGGTGCCGTTTTTGGAGGTGCTGAAATCTCCTCCTGGCTTTCGGACACTTTGAGCAGAGTTGCATTTGACGGGCGACGCAGGCCAGCGCTCTTAAGAGCGGATTTTTCATCTACCCTGACTGAGCGAGTTCGGGAGAGCAGATTTCCAAATCGAGGCTTGTTCTTCTTCACTGGCGGGCCCYGAATGTGTTGCCCATCATTTCGATTATCATCGACAAATTGGCCTCTGGGTTGGTTGTATTGTGAATCCTCGGGTTTATCCTTGCCTTGCCGCGAAGCGGTGTCTAGTAGATCGGGGATTGAGCTATTCTTTCTTAGCGTCGGCTGAGATCGATCACGAGAGTTTCCTCGGCTCTTAGACGGCGGTTCTGCTGAAAGGCCTGAACTGTCGGAATTGGTAATCTTATGGGATGATCTGGAAGCTTTCAGGTTGGCAAAAAACGAGCGTGAAGGGTCGCGGTTATGTTTGTTTTCTTTTGGTGATGGTGGATATTGGGGCATCGCTGTAAAGTTCGGAGTAGGAGGTTCTGGATCACTGGGAGAAAGTGGACCATTCGTCGAGCCAGTTCTGGATCGCGAGGTCACTGGACGTATCGTTGGTTCATCTCGGATTGACCGCGGCGACGATGGTGAGGATCTCGGGGAACGGGGTGTGAGGGGGCTTAATGTGGACTCTGGTTTCAGAGCATCGGCGCTTTTCGACGCGGGGTTCGACATGCCCTTGTTGAATGAGGTAGTTTTGAGATCGAGGCTCGGAAGTTGATTAGATTTGGAAGGCATCTTGTTGGTTACTCGGCACAGCCAAATGGTGTATCTGTTTTGTATAGAATGTATGATAGCTCACCCGCCAGGTGTGATTCTGATCGACCAGAAGCGAGTCACGGCGAAGGATGGGCAAAACTGTATTGACGTCTCTAAATTAGGCAAATGTGTCAATTAGCATCATTTCCGATTAGACAAGTGAGATGATGTTGATGCAGAGGCATGACTACTCATCAAACTCAGCGCTTCTTAGTAGCAGAGCAACCCCACTGACACTGTTGAACGGCTCATGGTTGCGTAAATATTGTCCGCTTGTGCAGAGAACAAGTGAGAATGATAAACAAACCCATGATCCGGGTACACATAATCTTCGACAAAGAAATAGAGATTAAAACTCACCAGATCTGGCCTGTCATATTATCTCGGAGACTTTCGCGTCGTCGCTACCGTCCAGTGTGACCGCCGTATCCAAAACGACCGACAGAACCTATTGGGGAATGCTGTTGGGGGCATATACCACGCAAGCGGAGTGTGAGTGTGTTGTTTATCGCTAAATAATGACCGGCCCAATAACGATCAGTGCATATGTCTGGTTCTCGGGTATTTTTACAGCAGAGTTCGAACGAATCAGGCGATGAGCGCGGATAGGGAGGTGAGTAGCTGTCTCGTTGCGTGGGCGACAGGGTCGTTCTGAACGGTGAGCAAGTCCGATCAATGAGTCGTAAACACGACGGGTCGTATAGCAAATGAATGTTATTGTGGTCTTCCCTGCTCGATGACGAAGAAAACAGTGATATATCACAACAGCGATAACAACCAGGAGATTTGCAGCAGCTGAATGTTTCCGAGCGTTACTTTTTCTTGGGCGGGTTGGGTTGGGCGTGTTAGACGCCAGACCCGCACAGACAATAACGCATTCCTGTGTGGGTTACGGAGTACGGAGTAGGCGGTGGCGCCGATATTGAAATGCAGGCACGGACCGGCAGTGTCGAGGCTAAGAAGGCACGGTGGAGGCGATGTTATATGAATACAGAAAAGTCGTCGTCAACCAGTGATAAGTTTTATGATTAGGATAATGAGGAGATGAATTGTGGGAATGACTGAGTGAATCGACCCTGCGAAAGGAGCTGCAAGCCCCCCGAAGGGCAGGTGCACCCTGGCAGGGGCAACTACTGTAAGAATGTCAACAGAGACTACTACGTAGATACTTCTCAGTATGCTTCAGTGAATTTCTACGATATTCAATCTCTCACAACGATTCTGTTATGGTTGGAACATTTAAATGAGCAAAAGAAGAGCTACGTTAAGATTCGCCTCCGCCCCATGACCACAGCATAGGCAGAAAAGGAAGGCTGATCGTATTTCAGGCCCCATGTTGAACGTCTGAGATCTCAGAGCCTCCACCGACCGCCATGGATCGTCACGCCGTGATAGGAGCACCACTGATTCGACTGGAGATCGCCGAGACAGACAGTCACAGACTTGATTGTCTTTCGCTCATATCATGTAGAGTGCCAGACATCGCAGACACGCGAGCAGCCATTGTGAGTGAATGATGACAGCGTGGTGGATGCAGGGGTTGCTCCACTCGGGACGTACCTGGTCATTGTTGAATTGAGTCAATTGACAATGACAAATGGCTGGTCGCCTGCTAGCTTTGATATTAATTAGTCGCTATTAGGTGAATAAATCGAAGATCACATATTAATATCTCAATCTGAATGTAACGACTAGAGACAGTAGTGGAAAATACCATGTAAAAGAAATAAATCCCTCCGCCAGGAACATTTGTCAAGGTACTAGCCGCTAGTCCATATTGAGTAAAGCGGCACGATTGACTCCACGCTGGACCATAAAGAGAGCTGTTAAGATGGCGCTAGGCCCGAAAAGACGTAGTGTGCGACGTCGTCCTCGACAAGAGCGTCCAATGAGCCTTGTGGTTGTAAATGCGGTGAGAAGTGACTACGAGACCGTTCGTCATCTCCATAGAACGCTACTAGTATCCCCATATTAAATTTCTTCTTCCATACTTTGTATGGCTGACTCTTGTTAGTTCTACTCTGTACGTTGGTTGAGCATAGGCCAAGGGGCATACATACCACCCTGCCCCCACTTGACTCTGAAACATGTGTCGTGTGGCGGTTTACGTGGGCTGCGCGGGTACATGAAACGCTCTCCGCGAACTGCCAACACTCAGACCATGTTCTATACTTCGACTTCGAGTCTGTGAGTGTTATGTAGAATGCGAGAGACATGATATGGAAGAAGAACACAGTGCCCAGGGAGGCAACAGATCTGTTCCTGTTGTGACCATGAGAGGCTGATGTATTTGCCTAAAAGGGCTTAGCCGGCGGTACCACAGGGCACGTACCATGGGCATACTATCTGCTAGGACAGGTACCCACTATATATTCTACTGATAGAGGTGGACCTGGTAAGTGCACGTGCTGTCGCTGTCTCCTTGCCGACATTGACTGTCATACATTCTTATGCCCTGCAGCACTGAGAACCCTGAGAACCCCGAGTCCGCATGAACTTTGAACTGCATGAATCCGGGGATTGTGTCATCTTTTGCAACTGACGCAGATGGAGTATCAGTGCACGGACCAGATGATTCTCCCAGGTACATTCTTGTCGGTGGCTGTCACGCTGACACTGCTTAGGTAGTGCCAATATGGGCTCTGGAGACTGGAGGATTGGTCTGGAACAAGTCTTTAGCAAGAACAAGCATCCCATGGATCTAGACTCTATAGACACTACAAGCCTGCTGCATCTAATCCTGGATTATGAGTCAGCGGTGCGCCGTATATGCTTCAATCGAGCCAGATTCTCAGCTCTAATTGATCATAGCCAATGGTCTGAGGCACCGTGGAGTCGCGTCGAGCGTTCTTGCTGTCATCTTGGACCACCTTGCATGCACACTGTTATCAAGGAGTAATTGAACAGTCTTCTAGCGGAGCGGCTCGGCCTCCACGCTCGATATTGATATCTGCACCCTTACCAAGGAAAAGTCGAACTGCCTCAAGATGGTCAGCTTGCAACGCGGCTTGTAGTGCAATTCTTTGAATATTGTCGATATCAGCCTTGGCATTCACATTTGCGCCATGGTCGAGGAGAATGCGAACCCTTGTGGCCGCAAGCTGCTGCAATGCCTAATGAGTTATCATAATTTCCAAAATGAGTACTAGAACCAACAGCGCGACTGGATAGTAAGTCAACAGTACCCTATCCTGCCCTTTTTCTGATGCTACATACAACGGTGTATGATCTTCATTGTCCTGTGCGTCAATAGCAGCACCCTTATCAAGCAGGTACTTAACAATCTCATCATCTCCCGGACGTGCTGCAGCATGTAGAGGAGAGCGAGCTTCCCCGCACTCAAGATTCGTATCACTACCCTATTTTAGTATCCTTTCAATAATATCCATGTGGCCACCGGCCGCCGCTTTATGTAGCGTAGTCAAATCCAACCCTGCTGGAAACTCATCAGTTGTGTACCGGCTGCAGCTCCGACACAACTGTCGCCTTTTGAGGTCATCCTTAGCCACCATATCTGCAGCGCACGAGGCCAAACCGTTTCTCGAACTGGTCAGGCGCTTCTGTGATTCGTTTCAATAACGGGATACCGCTTGAGTAGACCTATAGACAGGGGCTTCGCAGCGGGCGCATCATTCATCAAAAGCCCTAAAGTGCCGCTCAGGCTCTCAATGGGATTTAATTGATTCGGGAGTGAAGAGTTTGGGCCTCAGATGGTCAAGGAATTCTTCATAACTTTTGAAACGCCCACAATGCATGATAGATATTCTTCATAGACCAGTGTTCACAGATAGGATTGATGGCCGCTCGATTTAGTGTGTAGAAACTCACGGCATCACACTGGTTCAGCAATCGAGAATATTGGGAACCCATTATCATAGATTAAAAAAAAAATGTTCAAAAGACAGAACCCGCGGATTGAGGTGCAAAAGCCACTTCGGCTTCTAGATCCTGCTACAGAGACCGACACGCCATCGTACGGATGCCAAAAATTGAGCATCGGATGAGGACCGAGAATTCAATCTTCGTATCCTAAATATATGAAATATAGTTGCGTATCTTGAACAGAATCTAGATTAATTTTATTTCTAAGACATCACGCCACAATCCACGTACCTAGATATGAAGTTCCAAGGTCCGGACCGAAATCGTACATCTCCAAAAGCCGACAGAAACCGAGATGCAAAATAAGTTGTCGAATCAGTCATTTTATTATATATTCGCATTGCAAGGTCGTCTCCATCTAACACCGAAGGACTTCTTTCCAGGTTTCTTTGATATAGTAGTCTTTATCTTGACTTGTAGATTTGTACCGCTCATGCTTCGCCCTGGGTTCGCCACATATTCGCTCGCCGCCTGCACGATTGTCGTTGTTTGCGCCGGAGTAGCCTCTGCAGAGACTAGAACATCTCCAAAAGATTCAATGCCGGTGTTTAGTGGTAGGCCGAGCTTCACATCGCTCCGGCTGCACAGTGTACAGAAAGTCAACCACAATACGAAACGCCTAAGATTCGCCTTTGCTGATGAAAATGCATCCAGTGGTCTCCCATTAACATGTTAGTCCAGCCTTTTCTTACGCACACGAGCCATTACGAATGATGCTAACTGCCTGTGTATCGGCGTGTAGCCTCTCTACTCACATTCATGCGTCCCAGTAATGCCTGGCTACCGGTGCTCCGTCCCTACACCCCAATCAGCGACCTCAGCGAACCAGGATTCATCGATTTACTAGTGAAGAAATACCCAGGCGGCAAAGCGAGCTCTCACCTGCATTCCTTGCAACCGGGAGAAGCGTTGACCTTCGTAGTGCCGCTGAAAGGGTACGCCTGGACCCCCAACAGGCACTCGCATATCTACCTCCTTGCTGGAGGAGCCGGCATTACTCCAATGTATCAACTCATCCAGGGCGTGCTCAAAAATCCTGAGGATCGGACCAAGGTGACTCTGGTGTTTGGGGTGAATAGTAAAGAGGATGTGGTTCTAAGGGAAGAGTTGGATGCTTTTGAGAGCCAGTACCCGGATCGGTTCAAAGTGGTGTATACCATCAGCAGCAACAATACGGCAACAGAGGGGGAATCCCATCATTTCAAGCAAGGTCGGATAACGGAGTCGCTTCTGAGGAGTGTCATGAAGTCGGATGAAGAGGGTGTAAAGGTGTTTGTTAGCGGCCCACCGGCGATGGAAGCTGCATTGATGGGATCAAATGGATGGGGTAATTCTGGAGCTGGTGGTATTCTGGGGAAATTGGGGTATACCAAGGACCAAATCTATAAGTTCTAGCAATTTGCCCGAGTCACATAGGTCTAATCACCTCTTGTTGTATATTATATGATTTCATTGATGATTTGGTCTGTTGTATAGACAGATGTATGTCCACCTACTTCTTGGAAATCTCGGACACTGAAAAAGAATATTGTCGAATCCCGATATAGGGAGTCATTCGACTGATCCTTTGAAAGCGATGTTACTGGCGACCGTCGTGGTCCATCTATGTAAGGCTAGCCCTGAAACTGTTCGCTGCAGGGGATGTCATCACGATCAGATTCGGCCGATGTTTTGAGGTTGTCAGAGGTCGCGTACGGCTGGTTGAAATCGTCGGCCGAAATGACCTTTCAAGCTGTCGTTTTTCATTCGCAATGACCACATTCATTCTTTAACTAGGTACGACTAATGAAAGTGGCCGCAGAAAATTCTATAAAGAACCAGCAAACTCTATACTTAGTCATAGTCATGTTTATGTTGTATCAAACATTATGAGCTGGTACATACATTTGGCAACAAGCAATTCTCGGTCAAAATAAGTATCTTCTCACCAAACGCCTGCATCTTGGTCTGATAATACAGATGTTTATATGATATTCAACTGGTCCAACCAATAACTCTGATTAAAGATGTCAGGGATTGGCGGCGGAATGAGACCTGCCGACCCAGGCCAAGCACCATCTGAATGCTCACTCGCGGGATTTGAAGCCCATAATCATCAATCAGGTCGTTTAGGCCTACACCAGATGTACTGTGTGAGCCTGACCTCAGTCATGGAGTGCTGTCATCTGACGCGCAAGTGATTTTAACCCTTTGATAGGACCGTTGGAGAATATCCAAGCCTGATCTGGCTATCGAATCTGAGGGCTGCATATGTAAGAGATCCTTGATGGCCTACTGAAATCCTCACCCTGGCCCAAGTCTTAGGAATACTCCGTTCACCGTCCCGACTAGACGCGGTACTTGTGTGGCTGCTGCTTCATATGCAGAGAAATGATTGCCTATGGTCACCGATATGTAGGCTAGTCATCACAAGAAACAGGTGCAGTCGACATACCAAGTGTTAATTATCACTTTGCAAAGCCATAGATGTGCACATGACGCCAAGATATAGACAGGCTCTGGATATAGACTTAAAGAGAATATTTGCATTTGCCATGGGTGCAATAAATAAGGCCTCAACAAAAAATACACCAGAGACCATATACAAGAGCTGCCACAATGAGGTATAAGCTTGGAATCGGGTTTGAGAAAGTATGGCATTCTTCCTTGGACTTGAACAGGGTACTATGTCAGAAGAAAAGGATTGGATATTTGCGTAGCTTGAAAGAAGTAGACACGAAGTGACGAGGGGAATCTCCCTGCCTTTGTTTCCAGGCGCAGCCTTCCTCATGTATTTAGCCGTATTTCAGTACGTATCATCACTTCATTGACACAAGCATTTCCCACCGAAATACAATTAAATACGTAATAATTACTAGTGCTATATCTTTTTGGGATTGTCTTTTGCAGCGATATTATTGGTCTTTAATCTGATATCACATGATTTAACTGGAGAAATCGCTTGTTATAGACCCACTTCGACTTCACATGCACCATCCAATTCAGGCATCAACCAAAGATTTGGACGGAGCATTATCCAGATTATCTTTTGTAAATATTATCGTTTTGTACCAGGTCAATCTGAAGAAGGGCATCAAGCAATCTTTATTGATACTGGCACTTATTGGCATACCCGTTAGCAGATGTCGCTGGTTTCGGGCCCTGGTAGGGGCGGCGGAGGAGCTGGCACCCTGGAAGAGCTATGTATAGACAAACATGTGGCCTATATCCAGAGCCTCAACAAAGTGCGTTATTCCTTATTATTGCCACTACTCGAGCGCTGAAGTAACTAAGAACGAACCGCTTTAGCGCAGTGATGAACTTGAGTATGCCTATACAGAACACCTTCGTATGAACGGTGTCTATTGGGGACTGACTCCTTTGCATCTGATGAATCGTGCGGAGGCGTTACCGAGAGACGAGACAATAGAATTTGTACTCTCGTGTCAGCACGAAAATGGTGGCTTCGGTGCTGCGCCTTTGCATGATGCGCATATGTTGTACACTGTGTCTGCTATACAGATATTGGCTACTCTCGATGCCCTAGATGAGTTAGACAGATCAGGATCTGGTGGGAAGCAGAGAGCTGCGTCATGTATGCTTTTCCCTGCTAATGCATCTCAGTACCAGAAATACTGACGCTACTAAAAAATATAGTCATAGCGTCTTTACAAGATCGTGAAACTGGGGTTTTCAAAGGAGATGAATGGGGCGAGACAGATACACGTTTCCTATACGGTGCTTTAAATGCTTTGTCTCTTCTGGGAGAGCTGAAATTGGTTGACGTCGACAAAGCTGTCTCTTACATTCAGCAATGCGTGAATCTAGACGGAGCCTATGGTGTACGACCAGGAGCCGAGTCGCATGCAGGCCAGGTGCTGACCTGTGTAGCTGCTCTAGCTATTGCTGGTCGCTTAGATCTTATTGATAGGAGCCGGCTTGGAACCTGGTTGAGCGAACGCCAACTGGAAGATGGTGGACTCAATGGACGACCTGAGAAGCTTGAAGATGTGTGTTATAGCTGGTGGGTAGCTGCCAGTCTAGCGATAATTGAGCGTCTGGATTGGATCGATAAAGGGAAGCTTCAGTCTTTTATATTGCGCTGTCAGGTAGGGCACTGTCTTTCAAATCTCGACTAGGCTTTGACTGACTAGGGACAGGACTACGATCACGGTGGACTGTCGGATAGACCGGGGAATGTGGTTGATGTATTCCATACTCATTTCGGTTTGGCTGGTCTAAGTCTTTTAGGCCATCCGGGTCTTAAAGAGATTGACCCTGTGTAGTAAGTTCAACCGCAGCACAAAGCATCGAGTCTAGCTAACATGAATATCGCAGTTGTATGCCTAGAGAAACAATAGTGAGACTGCTAGGAAAATAAATGTCAATTGTTCTTTGTGTTTGTTCCGGGTGCGAATTTTTGTGCCGCCGTGTAGGTACAATAAGTCAGCTTCCTTAATACCGGATCAAGTGACTTGAGGGTCGTTCCTGCCAGATGCGGCAGCAGCTGCTATCGCCCGTTTGTCTCTTCCCTCCTTGCTCGTCCTCCCTCCTCTCACAACATCATTTGTTCTTCCTTTCACCAGTATAGCCCCTGACCTGACTTCTCCATCACTTTCTTGAGTAAGACCCTTTTTTTGCTATAATCAAGCATCTGCTTGATATATACTCCCATGACAACTCCCTCCTCAGCTATCATGTGGTAGATTGAGCGAGCGGAATACCACCCTCTCTGTTCGTTCCTGTTCCCATCTTGTTTGGTTTCGTTTCTTCATTCAGTGAGCCCAATTACACGCTTTCATCTGTTACTTTTCAGAACCTAAGTTCACAAACACCACTACACGTGCCTTTCATTTTATCCGCGATGGATGCAACCTCTCTCACCTGCACCATCTGCAACAAAAGGCCCCAGTTCAGCGACACGTCTCACCTCCTTACCCACATCTCCTCAAAGGCCCATTTAGCTACCCACTTCAAGCTCCAGGTCCAAAGCAAGCACAGCTCCCAAGCTCTTGAAAATTTGACACAATATGATCGGTGGTACAAGGAGAATGACATCGCGAGACTGCTGTCCGATCGAATGGCTTCGTCAGCAAAAGCGAGTCGGAGACGACGGAGCAATCGATCGCTTGGAATGGAAACTGGCAAGTCTTTCCAGTGTGCTTTTCAATCTCGTATCAGTGCGCTAACTGTCTGGTAGATGTTCCGTCTCAATCATCGTTCGGCAGCCTCATTGGGGACAATATCGATCCTCGTCTTTCCTACATGCAACCTTTGACCGATCATCATTACAGCACCAGGATCCCCTCAGTAGTCTATCCATATGATACATATGAGGAGTTATTTGGCCCCAAGCTTGAGCCAGAATCACCCCATTTGTCAGAAATCGACAGTATCCCATGGTCTGATCATCATCGAGGGTACCCCAGCGTCTCTGAAAAATGCAATCCATCCGCTTCTAGCGAGCTCCCCAGAGCGCCATTACTAAAATCAGAAGATCTTCCATTTTCTGGTCCCTACCTTGATCTTGCAGAAGAAAAGACGGTGGAAGAGGTTTCAAGATTGAAGGGTGTTCAGTGGCCAGGCATGGATTGTTTTGATGCTGCATCAGATTTTATGAGACGCCAAAGAAACCAGAAAAAAGACGCAAGTATTTTCAAAGCCATGGAAGAAGCTTCCTGTGCTAGCGAGCCGATCGAATGGGTCTTTTCACCTACAGGGACATTGCGCAGAGAGCGTGAAATCACTGGCTTTGTTGAAGAGGACGATCTATTGCCCGAGGAGTGGACTATTCCAAAACACCGTCGTGATCGTCGAGATCGTCGTGGTCGCAGGACCCAGGAGCCGTCTACACCTCGCCGTAGACAAGGCAGCCAACGAGTTGCGTTGGCTGTGACGGATGCTAACCGACCTGTTTTGGGAAGTCGGGTGACGAAAAAGGAGCATCAACCAAAGCGTCCCGTGTTAGGGGATACAAAGCGTCGAGAGTCCTCAACCCGTACTACTTCTTCGAAGAGCGAAAACCACGGACTTTCTCACGGTCACTTTCATCGTGTAAATGATGAAAATGAAGACCTGCATCTTTCTATTGGGCCAACTAGTAGTCACCACACATCTCGGTTGACAATCTTTAGAGACGATGACTCCACCAAAGCAGAGAAACGCAATGCTCCTGGTCCCGAGATAGTTCCAAGTTCAGCCACTCGCAACGAGCAACATAACACCTTGTACCAACGAGCGAGAGATGCTATGCATACTTTATTGGAAACGAACGAACCGTACAAGCTTCCAACTCTCTCGAACGATTCTGGCCCAATCCTTGAAACCGATGATCCACACAACCTTACCAGCGCCCCACCAAGCACATCCAAGAATATTGACGGTATATATCTTGTCGACTCTATCGGCTCGAACCAGCGCATTCCATATGATCCTCTTGTTGGAGGCAGCGTACTTCACTATCGATGGGACTGGCGTGGCTCGGAACTGGGACGAGGATTGAATGATGCCGACGACGCCCTTCTCGATGGTGGCTTGTTCTACAATCGTGCAGTATCTTCCGATACAACCATCCATCAAGATGACCAGGCGACCAAAAGTTGCCTTTGGCTTGACGGTTATAGCCGATAAACGGTAGCCAATGCACCGAATGCTATCCCACAGATGGACTTACCGATGCATCTCTTTTCTTTGCGACAGCAATTGTGCGCGATTACATGAAGCCCGTATCCGATTTGCACCCTACCTTTCAATAGTTGATATTGATACCCAAATTCACCGGGATTGTCTCATACGTTTCACCATGATCAAAGCTTCTCATTGTTATGTATGTTTGCTGTGAGCGAAGCGCATCAGACTGGACATGTTGTCTTCGTTGGCCAAGAAGATCATCACTTATATTATATCTTTTATGACGCATGTTATGTATCTATTATCAAATTAGCCAAAATATTGATCAAGTCTGTAGTCTTTCAAATTTGATGATGATTGCACGAATGCTTATGTAAGTGGGCAATCAAACCGAAAAGGGACGGCGCGTCGCGTCAAGCTCTCCGCTTCCGTAGATCTATCTAACTCAACGTCAGGAGGTTTCAATTTCGAGTTCTTACGAACAATCAAGTTGTATTCGTATCAGCACATTCGATACGTTGCCTTCATGTGTCACTCTCTGTAAAATTTTGAGTCTTTCACCCGCTGCTAGGAGCAAGTACATCACAACTCTTACTCGCCACTCCCCAAATTCGTTGCACATATAGCTAACAGCCTTGCGGAGAGGAAGCAGGAGCCAAGGATGCCCTCCCAATCATCCCCACCATCCTCCTCGCCGGCATTGAAGCGCAAACAACAGACCATATCGAGCTTCTTCACGAAGAAACCATCCGCAAAGGACCAAAAGGGAGGAGAGGGACCTTCCTCCAGTCAATCCACCACAAAAGCCGAAGCCGAACAAACCAAGACGATCCCCTCGGGTAAAGAGAATGCCGTCTTTGTCGATGAAACGTTTAGTCGAATATCGGACGACAAAGGAGAAGATGAAGACGATCTCGTCCTGCCGGCGCCGAAACGAGTCAAGGTTGACATTGGAAAGGAGACTCGAGCGGAGGCTAATAACGTCCTGAACTCGTCGCAGCGTACGGATAGATTCAAGTTCAATAGCTCTCAACCGGTTACCGAAGACCAGGGAGATACATTAGATGAACGATCCCGCAAAGAGAAGGAGAGACTACACCAGAAATTCGTCAGGCGGCTAGGCGGACCAGATTGTCTCATTGGTATCAACAAAACTGCTACAGGTACAGAAGAGGGACCTACAGAGGGCGACGAAGATGCGGAGGAAGATGAAGAGCCTGCTCCTCCGCCACCGCCAAAAGGCAGACAGACGAAAAAGACCGGGTCAAAACTCACGCCAATGGAAAAACAGGTCATTGACATCAAACGCAAACATATGGATACTTTGCTTGTCGTCGAAGTGGGCTATAAGTTTCGATTCTTTGGCGAAGATGCTCGGACCGCCGCGAAGGAGTTGAGTATTGTATGTATACCAGGCAAGATGAGGTTCGACGAGCACCCCTCTGAAGCGCATTTGGATCGATTCGCGTCTGCGAGTATACCAGTCCATCGGTTACATGTACATGTGAAACGGCTGGTTACGGCGGGACACAAAGTCGGTGTTGTGCGGCAGTTGGAGACGGCGGCACTCAAGGCAGCGGGTGATAATCGAAACGCGCCATTTGTGCGCAAGCTGACGAATGTGTATACGAAAGGGACGTATATTGATGATGCGGAAGGGTTGTCGGCGCCGGCTGCTGCTTCGGCGGGKGCCACACCGGCAACCGGGTATCTATTGTGCATTACAGAATCGAATACGAGCGGTAGTGATGAGAAGGTGCATGTTGGTATAGTCGCTGTTCAGCCAGCGACAGGTGATATCATTTATGACGAGTTTGAAGATGGATTCATGAGAGGGGAGATCGAGACGAGACTACTACATATAGCCCCCTGTGAGATCTTGATTGTCGGTGAGCTCACGAAAGCCACGGATAAGTTGGTCAAGCATCTCTCGGGCAGCAAAATGAACGTCTTTGGTGATAAAGTTCGCGTCGAACGAACTGCACGATCAAAAACAGCTGCAGTAGAAGGGCACAGCCGCGTTTCGAGTTTCTACGCGGAAAAGCTCAAATCAACAAACGCTGATGACGATAGCAGAGCAAGCGCACTTTTGGAAAAAGTTCTGCAACTGCCCGATCAAGTTACGATTTGTCTATCTTCTATGATTGATCATTTGTCAGAATACGGACTCGAGCACGTATTTGATCTGACCAAATATTTCCAATCGTTCTCGGCACGATCTCATATGCTCTTAAATGGCAATACATTGACCAGCTTAGAGATTTATCAAAACCAGACAGATTACTCGAGTAAAGGTAGTTTGTTCTGGACTATGGACCGAACACGAACCCGTTTTGGTCAGAGACTACTTCGAAAATGGGTAGGAAGGCCGTTGCTGGACAGAAAACAACTAGAAGCCCGAGTGGGTGCTGTGGAAGAGCTGTTAAATTCCGAGCAGAACATGCTCACCGAAAGACTGAAAGACTTGCTTGGCAAGGTCAGAAGCGATCTCGAGAGAAGCTTGATTCGTATCTATTACGGAAAGTGTACTCGGCCAGAGCTACTCACGGTCCTCCAGACCTTGCAAATGATTGCAAACACATTTGCCCACATAAAATCCCCCGAAGACACTGGTTTTGAATCGACTATGATTAGTGAAGCCATTGCTGCACTTCCTACGATTCAGGAAGACGTGGTCATGTTTCTTGACAAGATCAATATGCATGCAGCAAAGCACGACGATAAATACGAGTTCTTCCGCGAGTCTGAAGAGTCAGACGACATCACCGAACAAAAACTGGGTATAGCTAGTGTCGAGCATGACCTAGAGCAGCATAGGTCTGTTGCTGCTGAGGTATTGGGCAAAAAGAAGGTCGAATATGTGACTTCAGCGGGTATTGAGTTTCTGATTGAAGTTGATAACAATTCATCACAATTAAAGCGTGTGCCTGCTTCATGGGCCAAGATCAGTGGGACTAAGAAGCTATCGCGTTTCCATACCCCGGATGTCATTCAGCTGATTAGACAGCGAGATCAGCACAAGGAGGCACTTGCAGCTGCATGCGATAAAGCGTACATGAGACTCTTAGCTGAGATATCTACTAGATACCAGTCATTTCGGGATTGCATTCAGTCTCTGGCATTGCTAGATTGTTTATTTTCTCTCGCTGCTGTTGCCACTCAGCCGGGATACACGAAGCCTCAATACACGGACGAAACTCGCATTGTGGTTGAACAAGGTCGCCATCCAATGGTCGAGCAAATTTTACTCGATACCTACGTTCCTAACGACACAAACCTTGCTACGGACGAAACGCGTGCTCTTCTTGTCACTGGTCCTAATATGGGTGGAAAATCGAGCTATGTCCGGCAGATAGCATTGATAGCGATTATGGGTCAGATTGGATCTTTTGTGCCCGCCAAATCAGCTACGCTGGGCATGCTAGACGCAGTCTTCACTCGTATGGGCGCATTCGATAACATGCTTACTGGTGAATCAACATTTATGGTTGAATTATCTGAAACAGCAGATATTCTCAAACAAGCAACACCTCGCTCCCTAGTCATTCTCGACGAGCTAGGACGTGGAACATCAACACATGACGGTGTCGCAATCGCTCAAGCCGTACTGGATTACATGGTCCGCTCCATCCGCAGCCTAACACTATTCATCACCCACTACCAAAACCTCTCCGTCATGACCAAATCCTTCCCAAACAGTGAGCTCCGCAACGTCCACATGCGCTTCACCGAGTCCGGAGGCGATAAAGAAGGCGAAGAAGAGATTACATTTCTGTACGAGGTTAGTGAGGGCGTTGCGCATCGCAGTTATGGTCTTAATGTCGCACGACTGGCGAATCTGCCGCATTCGGTGCTGGATCTGGCAAGGACGAAGAGTAGTGAGCTGGAGGAAAAGATTAAGCGCAGAAGACTTGCCAATGTTGTCAAGAGTGTCGGGGGGATTTTGTCTGATGAAACGAAGTCTGAGGATGCGGCGATTGAGAAGCTTGTTGGGTTTGCAGATCAGCTTTGATATTGATTTGTGTAATACTGATAATAGTATCAATAAGGGATAGAACTGTATTTAATTCATGGAACTACACATCCTCTGGCAAGCTGAATCTTAATGGTTGTCAGTGTGTACTATTTCCTATTCGGGACAGCCATGCGAAATAAACCCACTATATTAGCTTAAACCAATAATTTTCTGGAAACTGTATGTGAATTACTTTACTGAATCATACCTAACTAAAACTCATCTCATCAGTAGGAAAGGCTGAGACTGGACAGGGGGTGCGCGCGAACTGATTAGCTGCATGTGCTTAGCCAAAAATAATCAACATCGTAAGCGCCGACGTCGTACCGAGTCAAGGATCAGGCTGATGGGTACATACTCATGTTGTTCACCTGCCTCATTGCTTCTGTGCAGAATAATTGTGAATCTATATAGATATCACGCATGTCTTCAGACAACTCAAAAATGAATCAGAAAATTCTCGGCCAGCATGGCATCGTTCTTTCAAAAGACGTGTACTCTCCCCGCAACAGTGATACCAGGTTGCCTGAATATGTGGAAATTGTCATAGAAGCTCTCTTGGACCATAACATCCAAGTGGACGAGTCTGCGCATGGAGCAAAATTAGCACGCATAGCGAAGGAGTATCATGCGGCAAAAGTGTCACAGGACGCTTGGGCACAATTTTTAGAGTCTTATATTTTTCTGAGCTTTGAGGAAGAATCGCTCGGGAAGACTCCGGGACGCAGGTGAGTTGGACCCCAAGCTGATGGTCGAATATTGCATTCGATTTATGTGACTGATTAATTTATGTTTTTGAAGTAAACTTTTCGATGCTTGGTCTCTGTATGTTGTCACGCAAATCAGTCCCAAAGTACCTATGTAGACCTCTGAGCCATACGCACTAAAACGACTGATATCATTCACTCTAGAGAGACCAATATATCCTGGAACGCAGTGACGAAGCTCAACCAAATCTCCGAAGATCCTCCACAACCAAGTTTCACCTACGGATTTCCTGTACATGTGCCCCTTGATGAATCTGAAAAGACGCCATTGACTGGATTTAATCGAAATGAGCTGGTGACGAATTTTTCCCTCAGCTCCCTCGTTGACCTGGGGCCGATGAGTATCTGTCCCACAATCCTTCCATCAACGCTAAAGACACGCATGGCCGAAGGTTACAAGCCAGACCAAAAAGATTTGATATGCTTCCCATGGGCACTCGTAGAAGTACAATCTGCTTCCACGAATGAGCTAGCTGAGGAGGCATGCTACTGTCGGGCTGCACTTGCAGCAAATGCTGCGTTGGATATGCAGAGACAATTGCAGCCTTTTTGGGCAGTATCAAGGGATATTCCGCCAGTCATAATCTTTACTTGTTTCGGGCCTGAGGTTCGGGTATGGGTTTCATTTTTGGAGATTAAAAGGCCCACACCATCTCAGGTACATTTCCCCAGGTGTGTCTTTCTTTGACGTACACAAATTTTACTAACAGGGGATAGAGGTGCATATGTATTTGGGCCGGCACTCTCACTGCAGAAAGGTCCATAGTAACACTGCGCGAGATCGTTCAAAACATGACGTTTTGGGCCTCAAGGGTCTTGAAACCTCAAATCTCGTCGCGGATAAGTCTGTCTCGACCTATAGTGTATGCTTCTCCAGCAGTTCCCCATGGCACAATAATGTTCAGAAATACGGCTTCACACCAACCTCGCCCATCGGAACACGTCAAAGAATCTGATAGTGAAAGGCCATGCCAAGGTACAAAAGAAGACTCATCTTTGAAACAGAAGATGTTCGTCTTTGGCTCGTCGTCCAACGCCTCGGGCAAGACTTGGAAGTTTCATACCGAGAAAAATGATGCACTCAAAACAGAGAAGCCAATTTCGAGTAATCGAAGTACTTTGCCAGAACAGAATCTAACATTATTGGCCGCTGCAGTCAAGGCTCATACTGAGGGTATTAAGAAATCCGAAACTGAAAAGCCAGTGACGAACATCCGAAGTGGTTTATGGTCACCAGAACAGAACTTCCCTATTATACAATCGTCTAATGTTCCAGTCACAAAGATCAAGAAAATCTATTTTCGCGGCAAAGCGATCATAATTCGACTACCGAGTCACGATGAGAGGCAGCCGAGGAGGGTAACTGAAGCTGATTATGAAGATAAATTCTATTCATGGATGGCAGCTCATCAAACTATCATTTCTACACCGACGGCTCTAGTTGATAAGCAGGAGACCGCCGGTAATTACGACGATCCTGCCAAAATCTCAGAAGATTTAAAATCCCTTCAGATCGGCACAAGTGAGAATGCTAAAGGGAGCAAGGAGGCAGACGGCAAGTTAGGTCTGAAAAACAGTACACCTGGTAGTGGTGAAGGCGAACTCAAAACGAAGAAAAGTCCTATAGTCGATGCTGAAGAACAAGGCACTCAACCTAGCAAAGATCAATCACTCGGAATATCTTATACTGGCGCTGATGGCTCCGATGAAGTTGACGATGACTCGATCGGGAAATATTTCATCTACAGAACGAACGAATCATTTCATGCCAGAAGTTACGATGCAGCGATCTGGGACTCGGATGGCGAAAATGATCAATCTTATGCCTCACCTATTTCAGGCAGTGAAGCAGACTTTGAAGGATCGGATATTGACATTGAAGAAGATGACGCTGATGACGAAGGGAGCGAAAGTGGTTCTTCTAATGACTACGACGATGCCTCTATAGAAGCACTTTTATCAGAGTTAAAACCCGAGAATGAAAGAGTCAACAGCCCAAGCGGTTCATTCCAGGGTCCTCCAGGCCAAGTTAGCGATTTGACTCTTGACGACATAGACAATTTTTTGTATACCGCTGCAAACGTTATTTCTGGCGAGGCATTCATACGGCTCAAACCGATCCATAATCTGATCGAGAATCTGAATGGCGTGGATCTTCTAGACGCCACCTGGCGATGTATAGAGAATTGGGATGGCCAATCTCCTAATCTATATTCGGATCAAATGAAACGCCTCCTAGCAACAGTCGAGAATCTAAATGACTTTGTTGTCACAGAGTGTGCAGACATCGACCCTTTCAAACATCATCATCTCACGATGGGTTTGAGAAAAAAAGAGCTCGACGAAACACTGCAGAGGATGCAAAAGAAGGGTGATTGGAGGCTACGGATTCTTCTGCAGAGTTTGTTGAGAAGTTGGGATGGAGAGAAGTGCATGGAATTACTTAGCAACGAGTTGCTCGAGTCGGCTCCTGACGAGTTTGATAACATGTTACAGGAGGCTTTTGATGTTGTTTACTCTGATTCGAATCTGGTGGATACCGTGCAATGACCCCGGGTATTTGAGGGAAGTCGGTCAGGTAGATCTCTTACAAGTCTTCATCAGCTTCGTGTACTTGGTCTTTATCCTGAACCCTACCTAGGTGCTCGAGATGTTATGATCGATCCAGCCTTGTACCATTCGTTTGAAGATTTCGAGCAATCTGGCAACAATACTGAATGCTAAGATGGATCGACGTCTTTTTGTCAACCTTGGTTAACAATGAATATTGGAAGATCTAATGCTGGATACGATCGAGACCGGTTGATATGTATCATGTGCGCTTCAATTTCAAAAAATATGCCTTAGGTACTACAGCTGACATCGACATCAAAATTGACGTCGACGAGAACAGCAACAAMCCTGCCAATATTTCATGAGCACATGAAGTACACCTAGATATTCAATAGTCTTGTAGAGAAGTTAGCATGGTCATAGCTCCTTACCTTCGGAGTCGTAAATGGATGGAGAAAGTATGTAGGGAATGAATAAGATGTCAACCACCACAAGTGGGGTATCTCGGTAAATGGCGGATTTCTCCCCGATTGCGGAGTATAAACGCTAAACATACGTTCAAAAAGTTAATGCATTAAAACAGAACTTCTCTGTAATCTCAGCTCCAAGCTTACGGTATAGAACTAAGTCATCTGATTACAGGATGAACTTTTTTATCTCGTTGGAACATATGCGCTGATTGTATGCTCATATAGCCTTTCTTTTTTTAAAGTAACCGAATGGAAAAAGTGGTCTCTGAAATTTAAGAGAATCCGATCGTGAAGAAGTACAAAAAACGACCCAAAGCGCTTTATTAAGCGAGGCTTTGTTCATTTGCGTTCAAACTGCCTGCAAGATGACCGAATCAACTCCTAAATTATATCCCGGAGAACAGCTGGACGAGGCTGCCGGTTTTCCAACCCTTTATAACTACTTTCCAGCCGATCCCAATAAATCCTTGGTTGTATTCATACCCGGCGGTGGACACAACGCTCGAGTCGCCTATGGCGGGCATGAGGGKTTCCAAGAAAGAGACTTTTTAGCACACTGGCTGAACAGTCACGGTCATGGCCTACTAGCCATTTCATATCCTACCGAAAGCGAGCCGGAAATTGTCCCAGCTACTGCACCCCATTTCCGTATCCGTGACTGGGGAAAGCAAGCTTCCGAAGTCACGCACAAGATGATTGAGAAGAATGGTCTGTCCAAGCAGGTCGTACTCGTCGGATGGAGTATGGGTGGTAGGATTGTGATTCCATATTGTACCCACGCGCGTTCTCTGGGGATCCAAGTGGTCTTGTTCGTATCTCTTGCAGCTACTCCCGGCATTCATGGCTCACGGCCGCCGCCAGCTGGAGTAACCAATACAGCAGCTGGATACGCTACTGCGACAGACTTATACAAAACCTTCGCTAGACAAGTCCGAGATCAGAACGAGCAATGGAATAACGGTAAAACAATCGTCCCTGAAGACGTCTATCTTCAAGAATATACTGGATATACGCCAGTGAGTTTGACGGGATGGAATTATCGCTATGACACCGAAAGCCGGCAATTCATCGAAGATTATTGGACTTCGACCGAAGACGCGATAGTTGATCAGGCCGAGCATTGGCCCCTGATAGCTGCTCTGGTGGGGAGTAGTCCGCTAGATGCCCGCCACGTTATGACTGACCGGGCAACTTGGAGTTTTGTGCTCACACGCAAATTGATGCATGAGATAGAGAGCCATAATGTTGCAAAGGTTGTCGAGAAGGGGAATTGGAACAAGCTGATTGAGATGGTGCATTCATTGCCTAGCCAGATTTCGTACCTGCTTCCGGGCAACCATTTCTTTTTCATGGGCGAGCCTGGGGCACGCCGAACAGCGGAGATTATTGTAGAACATCTGGAGAAGGCGAATAGCTTCAAGCGGGATTTTGAAACTTTGCTCAATTGAGATTTAGATTCGCTGCGAAGATTCCAGGAAGGATATGTTTCTGTCTTTGCCGCGAGCCATGTGTCTCGTTTTTTAATCAGAAGGTATCCAATTCTCCATTATAGAATGGGAGATGCATCGGCATAGACAAATCAAGGTTGCTTTGAAAGACCGCATCAACATTCTCAAGCCCAAAGTTTGGATCAAACATATCAAATATATCAATGTCAGAGACACTGAATTCGTTGACAGTAGAAGATAAATCGGAGGTCGCAGTTCTGAAATCATTAAGATCCTCAGATGCATTGGGAGCACCTGTTAGGTCATTAGGAGGACAGATTTCTGTCCGCCTCCGAGTATCGTGAGAACGTATATCGGTGTCCTTATCACGAAGCACATTCTCAGATACTCGATCCAGTTCTGCTACTGTCGCTTTTCCCATACTGGCCATAGCAGACGCAACATAGAAATGGGTACCCAGTATTTCGAGCAAGCTGCAGGTAGATTGTAACTCTTCCCTTGCGCGTGTTCTGTACATCGCAACTTTGGTATAGCGCATTTGATTATAAGATATACTCAGTGAGAGAGATACGGCGTATGGAATAAACGGGAGGAATATGAGTTGATGGTCTTGATTCTGAAAATCTTGTTCAAGGATGGACTTGATTTTGGAGGCAGCGTAGATTTGTCGTACGTGACTGTTTGAGGGCTTGTCTTTACTTCGGCATGAAAGTATGGCGACTGCATAGTACAAAACTTCAACCGTGCCTGTTTGATTTCAGCGTAAGATCCACAGAGTTATGTGTATATTTCCTTACTCAGTATTTTGGCATTCAGATTTGTGCATTGAGTGGATACCACAATATCGTCAAACTGTGGATAGTTGGACTCAATTGCTGCACCTTTTGATGTCGAACGTGGCCGATAGAGATCAATTACTTGATCGAGCTGAGAAATGACTGATAGTAGCAATCTGAAAGCAGGTACTTGAATCTCAAAGCATTTATCGAGATCCATTGCTATATCTCTCTCATGCATAATAATAGGCCGCCCATGAATTGCTGCATTGAGTCGATCCAAAGCCCAAGCGCAACAGAGACATGTCGCATCATATTCTTCTTCGTGAGTGGATCCTCTTTGGATATGAAGACCAAGCGTCTGCACCAGCTGTATCATCTTCGCGCAAAGCTGTGATGAGATTTCGGGACCTTGGGGACCTTCTGTGAATAATGACAAGGAACCCAGAGCTTGTATTAGTATCATTCTGTTTGTGATTGCACCAAATTCAATAGCACAATACATAGCGCTGAAAATATGGCGTCCAAATATTCGAGGTGCAAGAGGCGCGTTCTCGCCTGGCAGGTACAAAAGAGGCTTGCACCGTGGGTTCAATGAGGCAAGAAGACACATAGCCTGAGAGAGTAGGATCTTTGAATTGCGGTCGATGTTCCTTTCGAAGGATTTGATGTCAATGAGAGGCAATAAAGGATGGATCTCCTCCACATAGAACGAGAGTAGCTGGGGAAGGTACGGCGTTGGTGGTAGCACATTGAAACATTCCGTCTCAAGCAGTGATTTCAGCAGCTTTTGAGTTGCTGGACTCGGGTTAAAGAATATGCTGCTCAGCATAGTGGTACGATTTTCTTCTTCGCGTCCAGTGGACGCGAGACTGTCGACAAGCCATGTCCCTACACTATTTTGACTAGGTTGTCCGCGAGTAGTTGTCTCAGGACTAGTGACAGAACGAAAAACGCTCTCTGGATTCAAGTCGCCAATAAATGTTCTTGAAGAGCGCAGACTGGAGTCGTGGTGGCTTTCCTGATGGTTGTATTGTGCTGCTTCAAGTAGCTGGCCGATTGAATGCCTTGGACGAGAAACAGCATTCGCATTTTCTAAAGTAACTGAGTCTGTAATTAGGTCATTACCGCGGCCAAATCCATCTTCCGTGTGTTCCTGCTGTGCATGGGGTGCTCTATTCGAACGAACAGTGCTGTCCGCAGCTTCGATCGCGCGAGTTTCGAGACTCAGTGTATGATTGCAACGCCTTTTACCCCTTCGGCATGCTTCGCAAGCGCGCCGCGTATGCTTGCGTTTGTGAGAGATCGTCTCCGCATTGTGTGATATGAATTTCATCCCGGCGCTCTCGTGACATAAAGACCCGTATGCCTAGACAAGAAAACCCCGTGTAGTCTGACTCTATGATGGAATGTTTTTGCGGCTTTGACGAAAAGGGAAAATTACCGCTGCCCCACTGCTCCTTAGCGTGATACCTGAAATCTAAGGCAGCAGCGGATGTATATTCAAGGTTAAGACGCAGGATCCACTTGCGGAACGTCCCGCTGCTGCAGCACGCCTACCTTCACTTTACATTTTTATATACGTCCAAACACTGGGTCTGGAACGAGAAATATCAGGCCTTTCACTTAAAGATCTTGGTGGCGTAGATAAATCTTGCCTGTTGCTTGGCTGTCAGTAGAAGCTCCTCTCGCCGCCTTTACGATTGACGCCAGATCGCGGCTCCTCCAGCGTATTTGGACGTCGGTAGAGAAGGAGTTAATCAGCGTTCACCCAACATCCTAAATTCTCAGGCGAGAGAGGTAGTATCTTACTTTTGAATTAATTCAACTATTTCGGAAAGGCCTGAGACAGATGTATGATCACGGCGATGGGCAAGTCTCTGGTCAAAGGGCATAGATGTATACAGGCCAACAAGCCCCGTTGAGTAATTTCGCAAGATGAGCGAGGTGCAGATAGAGACCCAGTGCTGATTGCCATTGCTCAAGTAAATGGCTTGCTATGTCAGAATTGGGAGAGGCCATGGTGGTCGGTGAGGAGTAATCATGCGAAAGAAAATTAGTAGATTAGCCCTAATGTAATTGATTTTGACACGAAAGACTCACACACCCAACGTTTCGTTGTCAATTATTAACACTATTAGGTTATCCAAGCCATTAAGGCCAATTTTTGCGTAAAATATGTCCTTTTAGAGGGTGTGACTAGATTTGAGGGCAGAGGGTAATGACAGTCACTCGAGGCTGGACCTGAGTGACTGGACCTGAGTGGCTGGACCTGAGTGGCTGGACCTGAGTGGCTGTGAAGCAAATTCTAATGAATATGAATAGCCTTGCTACCAGAATATTGTGCAGCTAGCCAGTGAACCATAATTTGTCCACATTCATAGTATATTTGGCTCCCAATTCTGCTTAGTGATCGATTGAACTCCGATATTGACTCGAATGCACGGATAGGAATGCATAACTGGCGCGGTGCCAAAGTCCCCCGCCGAGTGCTTGCATCACGGTAGGTGCAACAACCAAAAGAAAATCCAAAGGAACAGTAGACTATATCTGGTACTTGTACAATTTTCCATCATTTTGTCATAGAACCGGGGTAACTTGTATGTCCAGCCTGAATCTCAGAGAGACCGGCTGTCATAAACCGTCATTATTACCTCGGCATGCATAATCGGTAAATTTCAAATAATCACAAGCACAGTGGAACTAATAAATATAGAAAAAATATTCTAAACTATGCTTACATCTTCCTTCCTCTAAGTTGACATCACAAGGGTTCCCCGCAAGCGGCTTATTACTTGATTAGGAAACTCCGCTTCCGCATGGCATGATCGCCACAGAATTTGGACAAGGATATAAGTACTGGGTGTTCGCACTCCACTTAATTCTCTATACGAGATGACAGTGATTGCCATCATTGCATAAATTCAGCTAGTATAAAAATGTCAGCTATCAAACGAGTTCCCTTATCCTTCGTTCGCAATGTGTCGACAGCGACAACCCCAACCACAAAAGCAGCTGGTGATATAAGCTCTGTTTTCCCATCATTATCTGGCAAGGCAGCGGAGCCTCTTCCACCACGTTTTCAAGCTCTGAAAAGTCAACTTTCGGCCGGCAGAGAAAAAGATTTGACAGAATCTTGGTGGCGCCTCTTGGACTCCCTCCGAGATGAAGTCAAGAAAATTAAAGCGCTGGGAAGTGACGTAAGCGAACATCTATCAGAGAAATATAAATTACAATGCTCATCTCTAACCAACTGCAGGCTATTCCTTCAATCGATTACAAAGACGTCAAAAATGGAACCCTGACCGAAGCACAATTGAACGAGATCCGGCATCGTGGCTCTGTTGTCATTCGTGGAGTGGTCCCTAAGGAAACTGCTCTCGAATACAAACAGAAAGCTAGAGAATACATAGCAGCCAATAAAGACAGGGTTAACGCCTTTCCAAAAGATGACCCGGCGGTTTATGAGCTTTACTGGACGCCAAGCCAAGCACAAGCCCGCGCACATCCAGGCATGATAAGCACACAAAAATTCCTCACAAAGCTATGGTATTCCTCGAATCCACTGTCAAAAATCTCGACTACACATCCTATAATGTATGCAGACCGCTTCCGCATTCGGAACCCAGGAGATGCCAAATTCGCACTAGGTCCCCATTCAGATGGTGGATCGCTTGAAAGATGGGAAGACCCCGAATATCGTCGATGCTATTCGAAGATCTTTGAAGGGAAGTGGGAAGAATACGACCCATTTGACGCAAATCACCGAATTTCTGCTCATCAGGATCTCTACAACGGCGCGGGCGCATGCTCGATGTTTCGATTCTTCCAGGGCTGGTTGAGCATGTCTTCTACTGGGCCGGGTGAAGGGACTATGAAGATTTGTCCGTTGCTGAGGCAAGCGACCGCATACTTGATGCTGAAGCCTTTCATGACCACTGGTTCTGTTCAAGCCCCTAATGCGGAATTTCCTGGCTCCGTGCCCGGTGCCTGCCAAGAGTATAATGATGAGACGCACCCGGATCTTGATTTGGCTAATACCATGTGCCCTGTGCCTCATGTAGAGCCTGGTGACTATGTTGCATGTAAGTTATTCTGATGATCTCCCATATTCCTTAACTCTGTACCATCAAGTGGCTGACATTAACCTCAAAGGGCATTGCGATTCTATTCATTCAGTCGACAAGGAGCACCATGGTAAAGGTGACTCCAGTGTAATCTACATTCCAGTATGTCCAATGACATCTTCTAATGTACAGTACCTAGTCAGACAGCGCGAGGCGGCCCTGAAATATAGCCCACCTCCTGACTTCCCGGATGCCGGCGGAGTCGGTGAGCAAGGCTTTACCGGTCAACTTGACTGGAGTTCAGTCCCTATTGATGGGCTCCAAGCCATGGGTATGGGATCAAAGTCATGGGAGACGAGTGAGAATATGTCGGATGGCGAAAAGGCCATCATTGAAGCCGCAAACAGAAGGTGCTTTTAGCTGAGTACCTCGTTTATGTAAGCTTAGCAATTGTACATTAGTGATAGGCGCTCCGGTGCTGATTTAGTGGCTTTTTTGAGGCGTGAGCTGTGTTATTTGACTCTATATTGTTTGCCTTGAGCAATATCGATGATTGCAACAATCATAATCAAAAAGACTGATCCACTGTTCTGAGCATTTTTCCTTCTCTTAGAGGTCTACTTCGTCAAGGAGAGGTCACAGACCAGGACCTCCACATTTTGACGAAAAATTTGATGGATGAAATCTCCCCTTCCTGAGTAGAAGGGTCCTAATCCTACATCTCTCTGAATATCCGTTTGTCTCTGCCAACACCGTTAAATATCCATTTTAGGTTAGTGATCTATGTAACCCTAATTATCACGGGGCATCTATTTCTCGTTGTACATATCCGGATTCACACTGACTATAGCGCGTCTAATCAGAAACATATCAAAAGCCGATTTTAGTAATTTCTATATCTGGGTCAGTGGACATCTCTTAGACCTACTTAAGTGTATGGTAGCCTATTTCTAACCCCAATTAGATTTAAACAATTTTGATCGCTAATAATCTTTTATTTTTTAACCCCGATATGGCCATGGTACCGAGTACCCAGTAATGAAAATGTCAATCCACCAGCCTTACTGACCAAGGCCAGCACAATTCTCATCAGTGATGGTGGTGATAGTATCCCAAGGATAAGGAAGAGTCCAGATCTGACCGAAGCTGTTTATATTATATTAACACTCATTCGGCACGACTATCACTGATTGGGATGGTTAGACTAGGAGGAAAAACTCACTCATCATCAGGGTAGTCTGGTGCATCGTCAACACCCAACTTCTCTGCAATCAGGGTCAATTCATCGTGCTCCCAGCAGATGAGAATGTTGCCGTCTCCATCATAGGCCTCAACGGCCTTCTTGACACACTTTTCGTCGGTCTTGTCGCAGGAGGTATCAACGGTAAGACCTAATTCTTCGGCGAGGGGCTCGACGGTTTCGTATGGGCGTTCACGGGAGCCATCTAGTCAAGAAATCAAGTCAGATTGTCAATAATAGAGTCGTCCGGGATGGCTTCCGATGCTCGAAGGCTGACATACCGGACTTGGGTTGCTCGGCCAAGATGTATCCAATGTTATATGAAGAGCTAGGGCCAAAGACAGTGGTCAAGCATTGAGCGCGCTCTTCGCCTTCTGCACTGAGACCATTGCTGCCGTCGGAAGGCTTCTCGCCGTGCCGAATCATGTAAACGATGGGTTCGGCGACGGCAGAACCTAACAAGAGGAGGGACACATTGGTAAGAGTGATGAACTTCATCTTTCCTTGATGTTTTATGATTTTACTAAAATATTCATTGGAATACTCTGTGCGAAATAAAAGATCCGAACAAAGAAGATTGAGGTAGGGCAGATGACTCTACTTATACTAATTCGTGTCACCATATTACCGTCAACTACGAAATTGCGCGAGAGATCATCTACCTCTAGTACAATAATAGTAAATGGAAACGAGGTAACAATCAGTAACCTCACACGGAAGACCTAATTTGATGTCACGCAGCTTGCCATCTTGCGGACCTGACGATCTGCGGGGAGATTAGACAAGGATGTTTCGCAGATGAGCCAATGGACTTTCTCGCAGCAACCCTGTAAACGAAAAACAAGCAAGTCAAGCAACCCACCGCGATGCATGCAAAATGACTCGATGTCACCTCATGATTTAGAAGCACAACGATGACTGACGATCGTGAAACTGCCCACGTGATGGCTCTGAATGGTCACATTGGCGCGGTTAGTGCGTTTAATTTTCAGAATCTGGTTGTCTTATTTGAGGCTTGTTTCGAGCTGTTTTAGCTACAATTAGTAGGATCTATGCGGTGGGTAATCGGGATCTGAGCGGATCTGATTTGATCTCCTCTGAAGATATTTCCCAATTCAGAAATAACCCCATCACTAGCCCTAGATTGTGCATAAGCTTAACTATCATGGTTTGATCAGTCAATGATATTATTGTTCATGATTTTCAACAAGATCGAAATATATATCGACATCTGTTGCGAAATTAGAGAGGATACCGAAGAAATTAAACGGCCTTATCCATAACGATAAAATCCCATTCTACACGTCCATGCAGATTTGCCAGTAGATCGGGGATTATCTGATCTCTAGTAAGATCGCTTGAAGAGAATCGAAGTGTACTATGTACTAGAAACTCAAATTGCAAGCTAGGTACATAGGTCCACCCCGGTGGTCATTAGCCTTTGATACACTACACGTGCTCGATCATATACCCCGCTGTTATGCATCAATTTCCTCGAAGATTCGGAGTTGATTAGATTGAGATTAGATTGTAGAGGTGAAAGATTAAATCGTGTCGTCCCTCTTCCGGACTCTGGAGGGGTCTCCGAGCCGAGAAAGAACCAAGATTTAGTCAACTTTTTCTACAAATTATCATGTACAAGAAAATAATGAGTATTATGTATGTGAATTGATCATACACTGTAGCTTCAACGCTTGACATGAAAATAACCAACTATCAGAAAAGTACGTATCAAAACGGTATATGGAACCCTAGCCTATCCGCAACACCGTCCAAAAAAGCATATTCGCAAGGAAATATCAAAATCATTGATTAGAAACCGTTCCATCGTTGTGACTTCCCAAAGTAGTCAGATCCAGAGATATCTGCTCCTTATTCTTGTTTTTTGGAGCACCAATTGGCCACTTCAGACCGATATACTCCAACTTCTCCAGCGGCACGGGCTTTCCATCCTGCAACGTTTCTGGGGTTAGCCACTTCGTAAGCGCGGCACCAATCAACATAAAAGCACTAAAGACAATAATGCCGTATCCGAACTCGTTTGAGTCCCCGTACGGACCCAGTTTGGATAGTGAAGCAAATACCTGCACAATCACGGCAGCTGCTTTGCCGGCTGCAGCAGAGATGCCGAGGGCTGTGCAACGTAATTGAGTTGGGAATAACTCGGATGGTATGATATAAGTCGTGAAGTTTGGACCGATTTGGAAGAAGATCATGGAAATGACATACAGGAAAACAACGAGTGGTGTTCGAGACGGCGCAGACAGAAAGCGGAATACCAGACCGACGACGATGAAAAGGATGAACACGATCAGAAAGCCTACCAGTTGGAGTATGCGTGGTGAGAAGCGCCCTACGAAGAAGATCATGGCTCCACCTCCAAGAATTGACCCAAGGGAGACAATGACTAGTGAGTGCCACGATTCCGTCATCAGAGTAGTGTAGACGTCTTGCGGGGGAGCGCCGGCGGTATCGAAAACCTTGGTGACGACTTGATATGAATTGGGGCCCATGACATAGAAGGCAAAATCGAAACAGAACCATGTAAGCGATGTGCCGAGGAGCACAACCCAATAGCCCTTTGTCCAAAGATAGTCGCTCAAGCCAGAGCGATAGATGGCCCAGACATTTCGGTTCTCGATATCAGCCCCATCGCTCTCGGCGGAGGAGCTCTCATGCGATGACTGACGGCTGAGCATGGTTGGACTGAGAGCCGATGAGGGCGGTCGGTCATGTGTATAAGAGGCTTCGTGGTTGCCAGTAAAAGTGGGATTGTGAATTTCTCCGGCAGCTGTGAGGTATTGCGCGGAGTTTACATGATGGTTACCTGCCTCATCCACGATGCTCGAAGATGCACCGCGAAGCATCGCAGATCCGGGACTTGACATCCAACTCCTTACATCAGGCGGCGCATGCTCCTCTGCCAAATGGGGTTCGTGTTCGTGCATGGTATCCTCATTAAATTCAGGAACTTCCGCCTCATGATGCATCTCCATGTCGGGGATATTGTTAAAAATTTCTGCTGGGGTAGGCGACGATACGGTAGGTAAGTCCATATCATTGACATCTTCCAAAGCTTCGTCTGGCCGATTCAAAACCTCAATTGTGTACCGGGGGCTTTCCGGGATACTGAACCGAAGAAAAATGGCCAATGCGGCCGGTATAGTACCGAAACCAATGATCCATCGCCATACACTATCCAGTGCGCGCAAACAGTCATCATCCACACACGTATCATAGCCATCTGTGCTGAGTTGGGTAAGATGGGACTTGTATCCTGCTAGCGCGACAATAGATACAAGCGTCGCAAGCAAGTATCCCACCGGCTGCATGAAAAAAACAGTCGCCAACATCCTACTCCGACTCGCTGTAGGCGCAAATTCGGATGTGATCACAGCACTTAGAGGGTAGTCGCCACCAATTCCCACACCGAGTAGCACTCTCCATGATATAAGCCATCCTAGCAAGTTCATCGAGCCGAAAGCGCCCGGAGAAGACATTGTGATACCGACAGTCGAGACAATGATTATGAGCAGCTCGAGACCGTACATGGACTTTCGACCAAAGACGTCTGCGAAGACTCCGAACCCGAGTTGACCTATAAATGTTCCAACGAGAGTCGCGGCATTGAGTGATGCTTGTATGTTGGCGGGCATATTGTTATTCCAGTATACGTGGTTGATCATGGGGATCGTTAGGGAGGCAGCGTAGATCTATTGAAGGGCAGCTGTTAGTTATAGCAATTAGATTTGGGTGCGATTGTAGGGGAAATACATCATAGCCATCGGCCAAAAAGCCGACACCGGCTACAAACACCACGAGCCACTGGAAATGTGTTCGATCGAGAGCATCGAGAACGCGGCTTCTTCGAAGTCTAAGATCCTATTTGGAGAAATCGGTATTAGCGAAGGTGAATTGCGGTGGGCATGCAGTAAAAAACGTACCGTAATGTGATCGAAGTTGACGGTTCGATTTTTGACATGCAAAGTAAAGGGATTCTTCATTATGCCGGTTGCATACAGCTAGGTATGCAATGCCGAAATGCAATTGATCATATGCTGTCGCTGTATTGAGCACCTTCAGGTACTACTATCAACTATGAAACTGATTCATCCCGTGATGAGCGACATCATGGGCAGTTATAGCTCGTAAATAAATAAGGCAAGAAAAAACCCGAGTCTGCCCTCGAAGACTCGAAGTTGGTCTGGAGAGGCTCAAAACCATGTGCCATTTTCTGTGCATGATAATAGGCCATCTCCCCCATCACCCTGACAGGCGCTTTTACCAACAAAAGAGGCTAAGCATGCGCGACAAGAAGCGAGACAAGAGTTTGTCTGATTACTTTTGGGAAAAATTAACGAATCGATTGAGGCTGAGCGAGGCACACTTGTTCTATTTCGACACGCTTTGCACTAATAGGTAAATTAACTAAAAGTGAGTATACTTGTGTATTGGTATTGTAAGTGCTGTGTTGTTACCGTATTGCTTGTATTAGGGCTAAATCAACTAATTTAACTCAAATGATGCTGCTGGGTGCTCCGTGCATGAGAACAATTCCCCGATTTTAGCTTTGTTACCGGTCTTGGCTTGATTAGACAGTCCGAGGAATGGAAGCTCGAACAGATACGAGCTCCTATGACATGGCAGTATTTGTTTTGTCAGGTAGAGTACCTTGCTTTTGCCACGAACGGGTGGCCTGAACACCCGTCCTCAAACGCTCAAGAGTCAACAAAATGCGATGCAATGTTTAAAATACTCTACACACAAGAATAAACGCTGAGTTCTATTACTACACTGATCATATTCTGAAAATATAAAATTAAAGAGGCGAATTATACATTTATAAATCCGTCAACCCAGGTATTCGTTCCCCTGAACACCACATCCAAATAGTCATAAGTCGTAACATGCATCAAGTTCGTAGAGTGATTTTCCAAATAAAACATCAAATCTCTTTCAAAATGCTGAAACATAGAAAATGAAGTGGTATAATATTAGATGAAATAGAGACGGTTGCTTAAAAAAAGTGCTTCATGATAAGAATTGGGTCGAAAACAGGGTAAGATCTGTCAATGTCCGTTAGATATGCTCATAAATAAAACTCGAAAAAAAGCAGCAAGACAGTGGGACTAACCATCTTTGTTTTCAAACTCAATCTTGAGATCCTTCAGATCGTGACTATTGTTCTGAAGTTTGAATTCCACTGACGTCTTGCCCACTTTGACTTCATGAACTTCTTGAGCTTGACAATGAGTCAGTACATGTTATTGCAAAAGTATACATGAATTACGTACCAAGAACAGGATGATACCGCCCCTTCGCCTTGTCAGGTTTGTTGGTCGTGTAGAAAAGTAGAGATTTTGTGTCGCCTTTTGTCCAGATACGAAGTCTCTGGTTTTCACTGAGGGTGCGATTGGATGACAATATCTTCTTGAAATCGATGCTGAATAGTAGCTCTTGGCCGTATACCAGGCTCTCAAATTTGTTTAATGCTGTCGGTCAGAATTGTTAGCGCAAGTTTTGTAGGTTGATAGGGATGGGTACGAACATTTCTCTTCTTGGAAGAAGAACTTTACTTCCTCATCTTTGGGTTCTGTATCAAGTGGGTTTATGAAATAAGCCTGGTATCCTTCTTTGGCGACGTGACGTCCCCAGGATGGCTCAACTTGAGGGATTGGTCTTTTTTTCTTGGAGACTAAAACGATGAGTTATTGGCTGGAATGAAGTATCAGTTTCAAATACTCACGCTTTATAAAAACTAATCGAGTGTTTGTATCCTGTCGTCGGATGTCAATACCATAAACCTGACCATTCGAGTCGTAGCTCCCATGAATACTGCAGGGAAGTGGCTTGTGTGAAGCTTTCGTACAACTGGATGATTATGTTAGTATCTTGCTTTCACATTCTTTATTCATATTTCGTACCATTTCAACCATCCTTCAAATGGAATTACCTGCCAATATGCGATTGTAGAGATAAAAGAACCTTCTGATGAGGTCATGCTAAAAGTACCTGATTGACGGGGCGAGCGCGTAGTTGGTGCAGTAGACGCTGCGACTGATTCGGAAGATGAAGATGGAGTCACAACCGGTCTTGTGATCGAGTTGGCCGATAGAGTGCGACTTCTGTTTAGAATATTTCTTGGCGCTATGGGTGGTGGGTAGCGTTCAACCATCCCTTCAGAGAAGGAGGAAGAAGGACCACCATGTTTGTTGAGATGACCACTTTCGACGAATCCTTCGGTAAGACCAGAGCTTTCTTCGCGCACCGAAGCCAGTGCCGGTGGAAGCATTTCAGCGAATCCACTGTCGTGTGTGTCGACTCTTTGTACAGGTCGTAACGGCGGTGTTCCCATATGATGAGGTGTGAGCATACGGTTGAGCGCAATCTGGTGCGAAACCGATCCGGTGCGCCGTTGTGCCGTCGAATTGGCTGTTCTCTCCGCTGCATTCAAAACCCTTAGTCTTATCAGCTCAAGATGGCTAAGAATATCATTCAGTTCTTCGAGGTTGTCATCATTGTTGGGTCGCTCGGCCTCGATTAGAGCTAATCTTTTTTGCTCGTTGAGCTGCCTAAAGATAGCCTCGTAGTCTTCATTATCGGGCTGTCGTTGTTGTATACGCGGTGATTTTGGAGCAATATCTGGTGTTGCTGTGGCAGAGAGACGTCGGACCGAGTGCATGTCCTTGACCATGGCCTCGACATTGGATAAGCGTTTGTTGAGTTTGATATCTTCTGTTGTGCGCCGGTTACTATTGATCAGTTGTTAGTCGAAATGGCCCTGTAGTGGGTAGCTCAAACATACCGTTCCAAGATCTGGAGATAAAGCACCAAAGTCTGCCGATGTCGCGCAAGTCTGCGCTGCAGCACCTGTAATTCCTGATCACCACCCAGCGTCGAAAATACAACTGCCTGCTTGATCTTAATCCCCGCATCCTTCGCATTATCCAACAACTCTTTCCCTTTGGAAAACGACGGTTTGCGCTTGAGACCAGCGTACTTGGTAAGATAAATGTTGCAAGCTTCGATGGTCTTTTTCATCTCCTTCATATCGAAAAATGCGATATTCTTGCTTTCCTTGACAACTGTGTGCAAGTGCATGAGCACCGCTGTGAATTCTTCGAGATCATTTTGTAAGCTGCTAAGTTGTAGGGATGCGCTGGTTAGTCCGTCACGGCAGGTATCGACAATCCTGTAGCAGGTGACTACAAGTGTGAAGATGTCGCCGGCAGACCAACCAAAACTCATCGAGACGTTTTATTAGGTGGTAGGTATGTATCCTAGTGTGTGTGACGGTGTTGTAAATGTCGCCGCACGTCTCTAGACATGCGAGACACGTGCGCCGAGATTGCGCAGTGAAGATCCCTCGTGTGATACTTTGTATGTAGAAAGTTGCAGATGGAACGAATAATAAGATATAAGTTTATAAACAAAACCATATATTCAGATCCTCAGGCAACAAATTTGGGCGGAATGCCCGGGTGTGTAAGATGTAGAGGTAGAATTGTAGAGATAGCGGACATCTGTCATAGATCCCAACACGATGAATTGCACCCTAGTGACTTGGAGTCTGGACGAATAGAAAGCTGGCGCAAAGGCGCTAGACTCGGAAGTAAGAATAGTTATCCCCCTCGCCCACCAGTCTTGATCACTGGGCGCAGGCGCTCGTATGTGACAGGATAGTCATTACAGACTCCTGACCGAAGTGAGTGTCGCGCCTTCGGCTGATTTCTCAGACCGAAGTGTCAGAATGAAATATGGGGGTCGGCATCTCACACAAAAACCCGATGAGTTTGCAATTTCATCAAAGAGGGAACCGCAAGTCTGAAGGCGGGCTCGACTACAATGACTTACAATCCAGTCGTACGTAACACTTGTGCATGATTGAAAGACCCTGCCAGCCACCGCACAGGCACCAATAATACCTGGTCGAACCAGAGTGGGAATCTTGCCATGTGTACGGAGGAACTAAGGAGTCGAACACATGGTATGATAGATGAATCAATACAAATACATGTATATACAATACATGTACTGTCTTACCACGCAGTACGAAACTTATATGAGTTTTGACGCTATGGTTGGGTGATAGGGGTAATTTTCACGATAGCGCCGTATGCGTCCCGTCCTAAATACAACCTAGCCCTAACTTCTCAAGTTCCTGAGCTAACGACGAGCCTATCGGAACAGTGTTCAGCATCACGTTTCTGACCTACTGGATGTCAGTTTGGTGTGCACAAGACACGGAGAGAGAACAACCGCATGCCGGATACAGACCTGTTTGGGATTGAATTGCTTTTTATTGCGGCTGATTGAACTGAATGCGTGTTTCAACGCGGCGTATCGCCTTTGATTCAAGCCGAGTTATTGGGGATAAACGTCAGGAGAGAGTTAGAGTGCTCATCAATCTACTCCGTAAATTCCGTACAAAGGCATAGGCTCATGTGTATATACAAAGTAGGCCTGAACGATGGAGAACAAAATGGATACCTTTTCGCTGCCAGTTCCTCGAGTGAGTAAAGACACCAACTTGGCACTTACAAGGCCAGTTTGTAAGAACGATTGAGGGATTTTCTTTCTTTGACTCCGACTAGACAACTTCGCCATAGACCCTCAGCCACCTTTCAACGCCCCTATTGTACTTGTCACAAGCCATTGGGCTCACAGCCTCATATTCTACAGTCTAAGAGCTTAGAGCTTCGAGATGAGGATTCAACCAATCACATAGCTCCTTCGCCTGTCATGAGCGCTAGTCCTCTTTTGAGTATCGAAGCTTGGCATCGACTCTTAATCTAATCCGACAAATAGTCTACTAATAGCTAGCTCTAGAAAAATCTGTTAGAAGCAAATGATAAACCTGTATCGCACTCCCATCGAGCCAAATATGTGACCAAGCCAACGTGTTGCGTTTACTCGATGGGCGCACTGGTTGTCGCTGATTCTCGCACGTGGCCTGGTTGAATGCCTTAGGCACCAACGGAGGTCCCCGCGATGAGTCAAACTCCGGTATCGTCGCCGCAAACGTTTGCAAGAAATCTAATCTAGGAACATCGAACAACACCTCCTGCACCTCCTGCACCTCTTACACGACCTGCGATCAAATTCGAGTTACTGCCAATTAATAAAGGGTGGCTATACATCAATTGGCAAACTCAATTGCGCATCACAAGATTTTTTTGGGCCGCCGATAAAATCTGAACCCCGCGCATTCTGCGCTTTGAAATCTTGTAATAACACCTTCAGAACAACGACAACATGGATTTGGTCAATCAGTGAGTTTTACCATGCCAACAGGATACAATTCAAATCGAAATAATGTCTAATACTTTCCATTAGCCTCGAAGGCCGTTTGTTGTTTGCAGTGCCCAAAAGTTCGCTTTCCACCTACGCTCTTTCAGATCAAATGCTAACCACGTTCGACGAAAAATAGAGGGCCGCCTCCAACAAGCCACACTCGACCTCCTCTCCGGCTCCGACATCCAATTCCGACGCGAAACCCGTCTCGACATCGCACTCGTGAAAAACCTGCCCATCGCACTCATCTTCCTCCCCGCCGCCGACATCCCAACCTTCGTCGGTGAAGGGCGCGTTGATCTCGGCATCACTGGTCGCGACCAAGTAGGCGAACACGACGCTGCTCTCTCTGAAGGCGAAGAATCCGGCGTCACGGAAGTCCTCGACTTGGGGTTTGGAGGATGCAAATTGCAGGTGCAAGTACCCGAAAAGGGGGATATCACAGAGGCGAAACAACTGGTAGGCAAAAATGTGGTTACTAGTTTCACGGCATTGTCGACGCAATTTTTTGCGGGCTTGGAGGGTGTGACAGCCGAGAAGGCGTTGAAGACGAAGATTAAGTACGTGGGTGGTAGTGTGGAGGCGGCGTGTGCGTTGGGTGTTGCTGATGGGATTGTTGATTTGGTTGGTATGTTTTTCTGCCCTTCAGTCTAAAATTATCGTGAAATGGGGCTAATGATGGCAGAATCCGGTGAAACCATGAAAGCAGCCGGCCTCAAGGCTATCGATACCGTTGTCCAGAGCACTGCTGTCCTAATCAAGTCCAAGAACACCAAGAACGAGCTCGTAGACTTGATTGCCAGCCGTATTCGCGGTGTCATCGGTGCGCCCTCTCCCTTTGTCCCCCATATACTATCGGGTTTCATGATGCTAATGTTTGTAGACGCACAAAAATATGTCCTCTGCCAATACAACATCCCACGCAACCAACTCGTCTCCGCCACAAAAATCACTCCCGGCAAGCGTGCGCCGACCGTCACCGCACTGGAAGAAGCGGATTGGGTTGCTATCAGCGCCATGGTTGAGAAGAAGAAGATTGCCACTGTGATGGATGAATTGACGACTGTCGGTGCTACAGACATTTTGGTGCTGAAGATCGAGAATACGCGATCTGCTTCTGCTTGAAGTTAAAACTTCATACCCCCCAAAAATGGAGGAACAAGGCACTTTATGACCAATATCCATAAAAAAAATAGACACGATATAGATGAAATATGCCTTGACAAACATTGAGCTTTCCGTTTATTTATGCTATCTGCCTTTTTACAAATGTCCCTTTTTTAAAGAGACCCAGTAGCCAACACGTAACCACCATCAACCACAACCGTCTGCCCATTAAGATACTGATTCGTCGCCGCAAACAACACCGCACTGCCCATATCCCTATCATTTCCTGGTCTTTGCGCCGGCACTTTATCTTCGTACTTTTCTTTCGCTAATTCACTCTTCTGCTTCTCATCGCTTTCCTGCGTCGTCATCTCCGATGGAAACACTCCCGGCGCAATATTATTGACTCTAATCTTCAGCCCGGACGTATAAATTTCATGAGCCAGCATCTTGGTGAGATGAATAGCCGCCGCTTTGGACGCGTTGTACGCGAAATGGTGTTGCGATGCTTTGATAATACCCGAAATGGAGGTGATGTTGATAACTGTACTACTGAAACCGGGGATTTTATCGGTAGCTTTTTGGAGTAGAGGCAAAAAAGCGGATGTCATGAAGAAGAGTTGTGCGATGTTGGTGCGCGAAACGCTCTCCCAGTCTTCGAATGTGGCGGCATCGTCGTCGAAGAGTGTCTCCTTTAGGGCTTCTGGGTGTTCGCGCTCGGTGTCGTGGCGCGCGGAGCTTGAGATGCCGGCGTTGTTGATTAAGATGGATAGGTGGTCTTCTTTGGACTTGAAGTCGGAGACGAGTCGTTCAATGTCTGATTTTTGAGTTACGTCTGCGACAATAGGGATGATTTGCCCAGCGCCGTTTTGCCCGGTGGAGTAAAGCTCAGCGACGCGATCGAGTTTCTCTTCGGTGCGGCCGACGATGTATACTTTTGCGCCGTTGACGGCGAGAGCTTGTACGGCCATGAGGCCTATGCCTGAGCCGCCACCGGTGACCAGTGCCACTATTCACGGCACTTAGTTTAGTGTATCAAGGACGAAAGAAGGGAGAGACGAACCTTTGCCCTTGACATTAAACAAATTCTCAAGCTTGAATTGCTCATTGTTTGTTTCTGCGCCCATCTTTGCGGATGATGATACTAATCTTGATTGGGTAATGGAAAGAATATTTTGTTGTTTGGATGGGTGATGGTTGAAGTAGTGATATTTCCTCAAAACTGGATATGCGATCTGCACTCGCTGCAGCGTCTTATATGCCCTTCTACTAGACACGAACAGCCTATGACGCGCCGGTGTGTAAAGGATTGATGACATTTTCACTGCTCGGTGCCCACTACTTGGTGAGGAAAAGGTACACGTCAACGTAGGATATATGCATTCATATCTAAAGAAGTATCCATACAGGCCAGGCTGATTGGCGTGTGAATGGGAGACATTCTTGATTTTGACTGTATGCTAAAAATACGTCAGGGTATAATCATTTGTTGCTGTATTTACTTGCAAAATGCTTGAATAAGAAGAGCAGGAAGAATGGGGGTACGATGTATCATCAGCATGACGTCTTAGGGCTAGACTGGTCATGTGGGACGGTGCATACGTGCTTATCTAAGAATGTCATTTTCAGACAACGTAAACACAATGCGATTATTGTAGAGTCCAGACTCTGACAAGATGACCATCTGCTATATAGACCAATCTAGACCGTTGGTGGGGAGTATGCCATCTAATGGATGTCGATCCCCTATGCATAGATCGCGTGACCTTATCAAGTCCTACACCTCATATATGTACAATGATTTTTTGAGCTATTACAGCTTAGCCGTATTGTTGCCGTCTGGAATCGCCTCTGAAAAAGGGACAACTTCAACCATCGTCTTGCCCGTGTTGGCTCCCGCATACATGTCCATCAGTCCCTGAGGACAAGCCTCCAGACCGCCCTTGATGATATAGTACTTTCGTTTGATTTTGCCGTCAAGCAACCACTGCTGCAGATCGGCTAGAGCAGCAGGGAATTTCTTACGGTAGTCGAGATAGATAAATCCTTTCATCATGACTCGTTGTCCCTGGTACTCGTTAGCATGCGGTCAGGGGAAGAGGTAAAGGGGAAGCTTACAATCAGCATCATAATGTTCTTCGGTCCCTCTGGTTTCGCCGCAGAGTACTGACTAATGTGTCCACTAATCGCAAACCGCGCATCTTTCGCAGCAAGCCCCAGACAAGCATCCAGGATCTCTCCACCCACATTATCAAAATACACGTCAATGTAATCCGGGCACGCCGCTCGCAGCTGCTTCTTCCAGTCCTTATCCTTATAATTGATGGCGACGTCAAATCCCAGCTCCTCCGTCAAGAACCGACACTTGTCCGCACTTCCCGCCAACCCAATAACGCGTTTCGCGCCCTTGACTTTCGCAATCTGGCCCACAATCATMCCCGTCGCGCCCGCCGCACCAGAGACAACCACCGTATCCCCAGCACGCAACTGCCCAACTTCCAACAACCCAAAATAAGCCGTCAGACCAACTGTACCCAAAACCGTCATGGCGTCCAGGGGCGAACATCCAGGCGGCACATTCGCTCTCTGAGTCGCGGCCTCCTTCGCACTCAACAGCGCATATTCCTGCCAGCCTGTAACAGCAATTAACCATTCGCCCTTTTTAAATTGTGATTGCAGCGATGAGCCAACGTCGATGATTTGTGCGACTGCGAGACTGCGCATTACGGCGCCGAGTTCGACGGGGGCAATGTACGATCGTTTTGCGGTGAGCCATTGGCGCATGGCCGGGTCGAGGGAGAGGTAGTGGTTGCGCACGAGGACCTTGTCGGAGGGGATGGGAAGGGAGATGCTGTTTTGTTTGAGGCTGAAGGTGCCATTGTCGCTGGTCAAGTCGGGGTTGATTGCGGGATTGGGGGTTTTGGTGTAGAGGATTTGTTTGTTTGGGATGGCCATGTTGACTTATATATATGTAGTGTGACTGATATGATCGAATGTTGTGTGGTGAAGGTATACAGAGGTGAGCTGTCACATCGTTTTATTTCAGGTAGGAGTCAACTCGGCTAAACACTGTAGAGAGGATTAGCAGGAACCTCGGCAGATATAAAAGTCACCGACATTTTTATTGAAAGAATGATACGTGCGTAGGAAGGAGTGGGACGTGAGTGTCAAAACTGGGGAGAATGTAGACAGACTCGGCGATGTTACCCCATCGAGGCTGCCAGTGCGACGCCAACGGAGATGCCGATGTCAATTTCTTATTGGTTGGTGGTTGCAATGCTTAGTCATATCGCTGAGTCATTTGCAAGCTATATCGACACATCCACCACGACGTCTTGAAACATGAACAGAAGACAATACTAAATGTAGCGTGCTGTTTCGAATAAGTGCCTCAACTTTCCAAGGCTAGTTTGTGACCTGAGATGAGATCGTCCAGTAAAAAGTAGAGATGAACTGCCTGAACAAGATGACAGCAGCAACGTCATCTCAGTGACGTCAAAAGTCGATCGATGATGTCGCCGGGCAGGTGGTCTAGACAACTGGAAAAGACATAGTATTTATACAGTCTGGAGTCCTCATTCCGTAACTACACTAACACTGATAGAATCCACTGACATCGAAAACATCAATTGATTAAACATATCGAATCCGATCTATCAAGTGAGACTACATCATATCCACATCATGGCATCCACAAATAATGATGGGTTCGACTTTAACCCTCAAACCCATCAACCTCCCCAAGCACAAGAATACGTCCCCAATCTGTCTAGCTACGAAACAGGGCCTGCCAAAAACACCGCAGGGCCGCATGAATCCGATATCGCCAACAAGCTCGATCCCAGGGTGGACAGCGATCTGAATAATCGCGCTCAATACGCACCAGGCACAACGACAGCCACAAACTCGCATCCCGGCGCAACCTCGCACGTCGCAAMCCCTCAAGCCAGTAACACGCTGGGACCCCACGAGTCCGATCTCAAGAATAAACTCGATCCCCGCGTAAACAGCAAGACTGGCGAAATGACCACCAAAACTACAAATTCCGAGGGCACCGGTTCACGAAGGGAACCCGTTAATGCAGGCGGCAATAACACAAAATTGGACACTACACCTACCAACACTGCCGATTATACCAACACCTCAACTACAGGCAGCAATAATCCCGGGCAAGGGTACTCATCATTTAAACCAGGCACGAGCTCCCAACACAGTACTGGCAGCGGTGTAGTCGGCGGCACATCGACGGGGGCACCCGCTGTGCCCTCGCCAATCTCGACCCCGTCGGGATACAGTCGTGAGCAAGGGAGCTACAACCCATCGATTGGAACGGGATATACGCCTGCCCATCGAGAGCAGCAGCAAGCATCTACGCAGCCTGCAACGGGGCCTACGGCGGCCACGTCAACGGGGACGCAAACTTCGACTGCTGATGCAGGTGCGTCGGGAAGTAAAGGTATTGCAGGGGGGATTAAGGGTGTTGTCGCTGGTATTCACGTAAGAGTCTTCCCATTCTCTCTATCTTACTCTTTGAGCTCGAGCTAAGAGGTTTAGGGCGCTGGTGAATCGATCCGAGGAACATTCAATGCCGCCGTTGATCGTGCCTTCAACGAACCTGAAGGTGTAGCCAAGAACGAGGCTATTGGACGCGATGGCGAATACGAGGCTCAATCAGGACAGTTTTCGACCTCGACGAAGCAACGCGAGGGATTGAATAGGCAGAATCGGACCTAGGCTGTGTTGATCTATCAGATTGAATGTGTGCTGCGTTTAGCTGTGTTACGATGTGATGATTGACATTATGTATACCAGAATGAAGTTGATATTCAATAACCTGGCACCGATAGTAATAAGAAATGGTATCATCCGTAAGTAGACGCCTCGAAGCATCTCCACGCAGGTGGGAAGGTAGGTAGGTAAGTAAGAAATCAACCACCCTCACATCAACAACTCTCTCCCCATTCTGTCCGTCTTCCACATCAACCACGATCCCATAGTCCATCAGCACCTATCTCAATTTCTCCATACTCAACAATTCAGGCTTCGAGGCCAGATCGTCCAGTATCGCTTTCAGCTCCGTTTTCGTGTCTGCCACAGCATCCACAGTTGCACTTGTACGTGCATTCGCCGCACTTGCGTCGCCCTCCAGTAGGCCCTCCAGGTTCAGATCGGGATTCGCTTCTGCGGCAAGCACAAAGGCATAATGCTGCAACAGACACTTGATTTCGATGATGGTGTCGAGGTAGGTCTTTTCGTAGAGACTTGAGATTTCTTTGGGAGACGTGTGTTGTTGGACGTGGGTCTTCGTCGGAGATTGAGTTGCATCGTACTCGATGGGGTGGGCGAGATCTGCTAGGAGATTGGCTGAGGCTTTGCGTTTGAGGGAGGACTGTCTTTGTCAGCTTGCTCAATAGAGTGTTTGATGAAAGATAAAAAATCTAAAAGTAAAGCATTAAAGGAAGTTCTGATACTAAATCTTATATAGATAATATCAAAATATACTTAAGAGAATAATGTAACTATACTAGCTATAGTTATCAAATTAAAGTTATTAATTGATATTTTTCTAGCTCTAGACTAAATACCTAAATAATTATATGTACAACTTTTACACTAATAAGATAGATTATCTAGAACAAACGCATTGGTAGAATCATACTGCTGCAGTTCATCATTTGAAGGCCTAATTAAGTTGTCTCTATCATTGCATGATGAAAAATATGTGACAATAGTTACTGGTTTTGACATTAAGCCAATCTTTTATTCGTGAAAACGGTCTACCCTCCGGAGAGCCTAGAATAAGACAGGAACACCGCCATCTTCTTCACTATCTGAAAACGTCTCGCTCTCCGGGCCATCTGAGAAACCAAGGTCGGACTCGGACTCTGATATCTCTGAGTCATCTGACAGCATCGAAAACACTTGGTGATTCACGGTATGCGGATCTGTGATACCCGTCCTCGAGTCGGGATGCCAGTGGCTGTGTTTTGAGCGTTGCAAAACTTGGTTGATGATCTCCTCGCGAAGATCCTCAGTGATTTTGCTTAGGATCTTCCTTTGCTGTATTGCTTGATCACCCAGAGTGGCACCATACTCGACTTTGGGGGGGCTCCATTTCGTCCAGACTTTTTTGTGAGACGCCGGGATCACGAAGCGAGCAGGATGGTGCTTAAAGTACAATTCACAACAGAAACATGCCGGCTTACTGCAAGCGATGAAACGGTCGTTTCCCGCAAAGTGAAGTCCCGATCGATGAAAATGCTCCAAGACTTTGATTTCGGCATGCACATCAACATCAACGCCAGCCTGCTTGTAGCAATCCAGAAACTTGTCAAAAGTTCCTGAGACTTTATCTATGCTTAGGAGCCCTTCCTCAACCAACCCTTTTTCCTTTGCATTATCGATTCTGAACATTCTGTTCAGGATACCTTTGAGATTGGTATGTTTGTCACGTACAGGTATCTGTACGCCAGGAAGACGATCAACAATTTCAACCTTATAAGTTTGCAGTATTTGTTCCATATGATGAGAGTCTTGGATAAGCTCCTCCGGTGCTCTTATATGGTGAGAAAGTCTTCCAATGTGATGCTGAACTAAGTAAAAAGGCGATCTTTTACCGTCCAATACCAGGTCTTGCTCTTCTCTCAAAGCAATGGACTTGAGTCTGGTCATCCATTTGGATTGCCGAATTTTGTTTGAGAAATAAGAGAGTTCAATCGCATCCTGGTGATTAATGATGTCTTGCAGTATCGGAATCAGATCGCCATATGCTTCAGAATTGTTAGCGTTGATTGTAGAATGGGATCACACAGGTCGTCGAACTTACGTCTTTTGTTCGTCTCGCCCTGTATCTCGTCCAGACATAACCGAGCCTGAGCCTGTACAAGTTTTTTTTCCTGAGCTATGCGACTTTGGGCGAAAATTGCACAATATTGAGTGAAATCGCGCTTCCTGGCGTCCAGTTCTTTACCATCAAGGTTACTGGCGCAACACAAGAGCTTTAGCGTGTTATTGAGAAATGATGCTATATCTGAAGATTTTCCGTTCGAAGCAAGCCAGAACTTGTATGTGTCCGGGCGCTCTTCAAGTCCAATAGCCGTACAAGACTTTCCACCTTTCACAAAGTCACACACAAAACAAAGATTCTCTAAGAACTTCCGTCTTGTTTCTGTCTTCTCGTCGGCATCTCGCGGTCGGCGCGTGTGTACACCTCTTGTCTGACCCAGTGCTTGTAAGAGAAATAGCGGCTCATAAAAGCGAGCAAGGATTCTTGAAGACTTGTCCAGTCGCGGACGACCTATGCGGCTAGGTATGTGTTCTAGAGTTTCTCTCGCTGATTGAGACATGATGAATAATCTTTGCAGGTGGGCTACCGGTGAGAACTTTTTGTTTGGGCACAATAAAGACTGGTTTTCACTGAATGCGATTGCCGCTGATGAAGAATTGATGACCCAAACACCAGTGCAGCACCTTGTTCTACTATATATAAGGCTATATGGAAACCTGACCTCACAAAGGCTACCATGAAAGTGGGCTCCCTACGATGCGAGAGGCCATCATGCGAGAGGCCATCATGCGAGAGTCCATCATGCGAGAGGCCACCATGCGAGAGGCCATCATGCGAGAGGCCATTATGCGAGAGTCCATCATGCGAGAGGCCACCATGCGAGAGGCCACCATGCGAGAGGCCATGTCACCAGGGAGGATGCCACCATGCGCGAGAGGTCTCGAGTCAAAGATTCATGAATTTCAAAGATTTTGGGTCTTCCAGATGATTGACGTCAAGGGTACATATGAATACCAGTACCTTTTAGTGTGACACACACAAGGCCCCACCACCGAAGTAATGCCTCGAAAAATAAACAATTCAAATGAGAATACACTGGAAAAATCATCGGATAGGTCGACTCTTGCCCAAGTCAGAAGGCTGCGTCGTATGATGAGTGTAGATGTCGTAAAAACCGTTAATTGATCTTGTACAACCACAGATTCCAGGCCCCAGCCTTTTCCCTTCACGTAATGTCCATTGCTTCATTCAGAAAAGGAAATGCTTCAACATTCGACCAATGAGGGTTATGTACGCTCTAAAGCCTTCAAAAGATACGGAAACCTCTGCAAAGACTCTTGGCTTTAAATTGAGTTTTTTTTTCTTAAGTTGCGTATTGCTAGTCGACGTGGAAACACTGACATTCCTTTCTAGATGAATGAAAATTTGTCATTCTCACAAAAACCGAATGAATCTTGTGCAAATCGCATGAACTATGACTTAATTTTCTTGGAACATGTATAACTTTTTGTGTGCCTTTTGAGATTATCACGTCGAGTAAATCCACGACCGCAATATTGGCACTTTACAAAATCCGGACTCTTGGGTCGGATGGAATGATATACCTCAAAATGACGGTGCATATCACCTTGTTCTCCAAATCGTTTATCACACCTCTCTTTGGGGCATCGAACAGGCTTCGAATGCGTCCTCATATGTCGCCTAGATGACGGTCAGCTAGATAATCACTTATTCATGCATCTACCAATTTACCTACTTAAACTGACTTCTATTGTCAAACAAGAGCTTTGACTTACAGCCCACTTCCGGACAATGAAAAATCCCATCGGAAGCCGGCATGATGTGATCAATAGAAGGTGTTTCTGCATGTATAGATTCGAAATGCATCGGCTCTATCTCTGAAGGTGTTGTAGCGTTTCTGCTTACAACCTCTTCATTGATATGACTCCCCACAGGCGATATCTCCTGAGCATCGCCGCCTGGAATGTCCACAACACTAAATGATGGATCTGAGGAGGCGCTCTATAGAGGCTGATTTCCAACAGAGTCGTTGAATGTTGGGGGCAAAAATGGCGGGKTCACAAAGGAAAARTCGTCCAATAGGKGGGTCTGGTCGTTTGTTGCGATATTCAAGTACTGAGAGAGACCGAATGACTCGTCAAAAATGTTTCCAGAGGAGACACTTGTCGCAAAATAGTCTTCCGAGAGAGCAGAGAAGTTGTAGATGTCATCGTTAATCTCAGGGATCAAGCCGTACTGGCTTGGGATGTCGGAGTCAATATCGGACGCCATCTTGACTAGATGGAGCAGTGATTATTATTCATTGAGGTCGGCAAGCTTTAGAATTTATAGCTGTCGAAGCCATGGACTGCTTCTACTAAAGCATGCATCATCGAAGAATCCATTATCTATCAATGCATCAGTGGAGGGCGTACCTTTCGCATTAACTTTCATTAGGCGACAGCATCCCTGCATCAGCAGATAGTACACAAAGATCACACTCATGCAAGTGCATAGTTTCAAATCCCTTTGGATTACAGATGTAGACGCATCCCAATGTACTCGTGAGCAACAACAACAACAACAACAACAACAACATCTGACAGGTAAAGTCACTCAGACCGCATCACTCAATTTAGCGCATGTCCGTCGTACATGATACACCAATTACAACTTCTTGTACTACTCCAGATTCCTGAGATATGACGTGTTGTTCAAACATGCAACGACCAATTATGCCTGCTTACGTGTCCTACTTTTCACCGCCGGAGGTACCTCGTACCTCATGGTCTCTTTTACGGTCGAGATCCCTTCAAGATGCTTAATTGAATGGAGACGGTGCCAGACTGCACGGTCCATGTCTGCATGAGCTACGAACACGATGCTTATCTTGCGCACACATTGAGTTTATGACTAGTCACTCGAGACTTAGTAGCTCATTGAGGCCGTATAGTCCAGGCAACTGTGAGGCTCCCTTCATCTCAGTCAGGTATATCCCTCAACCTGCAAGGGAGCTTATCTGTCATGCGCAAATGCAAATTAGGCAGAACTGACATCATGAAATGATTCGGACAAGCGATCGAACTCTTCGCAGTTCGTAAGACTTTCGAACGACGAGGACATCAAGCAGCACCTGCGGATGACTAAAGATGGACCCAAGCCGAAGATATATACAGAGCCTCAGAGGTCTTTCTCCTGGATGCTGGGGACTGACTATTTTCCGCTCGTTCTACTAGCAGCTAGCTCACGCCTCGCACAAGAACTAATGAACTTTTGGTTGGAGACAACAGACGAACGCACAACAATTCTGCGACCAGCAGTGATAACATGCTGCCAAGGTATAGTTCTGTTCTGAGCCTTGAATGGTCGAAATCCTTGTCAACTTTAGCTTTACAAAAGAAGCTGGTTGCCCATAATACCGAAAATGCTAGTCATATAGCTCCCAAGAAGACTGGTGATAAATTGTAAGCGGCTGTTACTGAAATTGTCAAATAATGATTGTAGGTCTGGAAATTAGCGTCGTTGTATTAACTGTGCCATCTTGTTGTCTTCAATCAGTAGGTGCGTAAGCCCTGTTCCCCAAATTGAAATGACTCAAATCTACCAGGAGATCACGTATCTTGATTCCTGAAAACAGTTTCTCAAACCCAAATATTATTACACTTTAAATCAATTTGGGGGAAAACATCACTTTGGTCACTTGTGCATTGGTTTAATTTCAGAAGATTTCCTCATCAAGTTACCCATAGCCGGAATTGACAACAGTAAACAATTTCACAACAAGTTCATGGCAAGTAAATAAATAGCCGAGATATAAGACAGGCAGCGGAACATGAGTAGCTCCTCTAAAAGCTATTTGATGTTGTTCTTCGCAGCAGCCTTTACACATGTAATCAATCAAGGTTGGTTGTGTTGAACAACCTGTTACCGGTATCGGTGCCACCTTGGCCGGTAAATTGATTTTCGGACAAACGAAGTGCAACGAACGACAAGTGGCGAAATCTGCAGAGCTGCTGGCTCATTTCGCTTGATGTCACTGCTTTGGACTGTATGACACCAGCGATAACTACAATGCGGATAGTGGCATGAAGTGTTCTGATATATTGCACAAATTCCAAAATGGATTTGCCACTGTTCACCACCGAGTCAACGAGAAGAATGGTCTTGATGCTGTTTAGATGCTCTGGTAAAATATCGATTGCACCCCGAGCATGGAGGAATGCTGCAGAGGGCAAAGCATCACTTATGCCGAGAGCCATCGGTTCACCGCCACGCATCAAAGCTACTATCAGCGTCTCTTTCTCATTCAGAACACGATACCCGTCAGTTTGATGGCCTTGAACATGAGGAATTGGAAAGGTTTCCAGGCCCAAAATTTCGGCACAGAATTCAGTCGCGAGATACAATCCAACTCGGTGGTGCGCTTCGCGCAAACTTGGGCCTGAGAACGTTGCATTCCTCATGGGTGTCATAAGCAACTTTGCAGCAGGACGATGACTTGCGTCAACAACGTGAAGTTGGTATCGGTCATTCAATATCGAATCGGAGATGAATCGCTCAGACAATTGTATGAGAGGGAGTCGTAACAAATCAAGACGCGGAGACGCATGGCTTGGGAGAAGGACTTGGCGCGGATGGAAACCCCCTTTTCTGATAGCATCGGCTAACGCGTCATCCATACTTGCGCTCCTCGTTGCCTGCTCGCCTGTGATGACAACAGCTCGATTGGCAGCAATCAGCATCCCAAGATCTAAAGGGCTATCGCCAAAGGCCCAAACAGAAGCATTTCCGGTGCTGCGTACATGCTTTGTCAGTCTCTCTTTTAATTTCGGTGTCATGACGAGGCCATCCGATAGACGCCCACCACCAATAAGCGTAATGGAACTGGAGAGCTGTTCCTTCTCAAGCACCTTTTCCCACACTCCGCGAATGCCACAAGTGAGAACAATCGCACGAACGTGTGTTCGGCCCGCTACCAGGCGCAGTAGACGTAACATATCTTGATGCATCGTTATCATACGGGCTACGTTTTCGCAGTGTTCGATGTACTCGTTATCCCCGATGGCTTCTTCGTAGAGCATGGTTGCTTGACGGAAGGCCGTATATGAGTATTGCAACGTACTGCTAAAGAGCCTTTTCAGTGGAGACATCGTGTCTTCCAAAAACTTCAGGCTGGGTAATGCTTCCCAGAATAACTCGCCGCTGTCCTGGGCCGTCAATGTTTTGTCAGCATCCAGAAGTAGTACCGTATCGGGCCCAGTCACAAGGGCCTTGTCCATCTGTTGCTCAGCAACTTTTGCATTGAATTCTTCCGTATGCTTGGAGAAATCCCGAAGTACGGCCATGAGCTTATCCGAAGAATCACGACTTGGTGAAAAGACTGAGAAGATGATATGATGGGCTCTGCAGCGGTAACGGAGCTCTTTTATTTCGGACTCTTGCCACTTCTCCAAGTGTCTGAGGGATGCATCTGGCCGATGTTTTGCTTGGTCATTCAGTCGATACTGCCTAATAGTTTCAGGCGGGACATTCAAATACACAATATGTGTATATGATTCGAGATCAGCCTGGGTGCAGACCCATTGACCGCCACCCTCTTCCTCGGGCCATAACATGGCGTGCCCAGCAACTATGGCAACTTTGCTACTGTCGCGGGCTTCCTGCTTGATCTTGTTGATGGCACGCTCTCGAATGTTGGCTTTAGATTCCTCGCTCAAACTCTGGAATGCCTCCAAACCCCCTGGTGTCACATCGGCAATGACCTGGCTGCCGTCGTAAAACATGAAGGGCTCTTGACCAAGTCCTTGCTTTAGAGTATCTAGTAGGAAGGATTTTCCAGAGCCTGGGATACCATATAATCCCACAATGGTCGGCTCCGAGCACTGGTAGGAGCTGGGCGGGTCCAAGGGTTCATGTTGTTCATGTCTGGCATCGCAGCTTTGACACCTCTGGAGTTCGCCGGAATGCATGGTGATAGTTAAGTCAGGTAGAAAGAAAGATTTGGAACGTGGGAGGTTGTGGATCAGAAAGGTTGAAGGTGATAAAGATCTTTCAAAGTAAGATCTGGACACAAGAGTAAAGCTAGGAGGACCAAGCTGCCCTCAGCACATTCATATATAATAGAGTCGAGAAGAAGCGGGAAAAACTGAGAACAAGCGGTGAAAGCTAAGAATTAGATGGAGGGAGAAACAAGCAAATCCACTGCGAGAAAGAATAACGATAGAGCCAAAATCAAGCTTGGCAGCCGCGAAATCGCGCAGTGACAGGACTCCCACATCGACAGTCTGCATCCAGGGTCATTAACATGCAGATATGTCGTTATCAGGCACGCTCGTTAGGGAAGAAGCGGCCAGACTTGCCTGAGCTGCCTACAAGCTCGCTGGAATCTCTGTGGATCTATTTGATGGCGGCTGGCCACTTCAGCCACCTTGTGATCCTTGATTGGGTTGATGACTTCACGGACAGAGCTATAATTTTTGGCATGACAGGCAAAAGCTGCAGCTCTGAAAAAGAGCCATCGCGACGTGTACTTGGCGACCATGTAAACATATACTGGTGCCACGCGTATCCCAGCAAGGCTGTGCAGTGAGCGAATTGGAAATCCATCATGCTGAGCTCGTTTGGCCGAGAAAAGAACATCTGCGGTTTCGCTCAGCTTGGGCCAGCCTGCTTCTGCATGGCGGTGTTCTTGGAGCTCCTCGCGGAGACGATTTCGGTGCCAGGAGGCTTGCGACTGTCTAGGGAGATTGAGTACTCTCAGCCAATAATGGATTGCTGTCTGGCCCATTGAACGCATACCTGGCTGTATTTGATGCAATTGTCGATATCGCTCAAAAAGCAACTTGTCCTGAGTTGTGAGGGAGTAAATACACCGGGGAAGGATCATAGTTGCTCCGAGGTATTCCACAGGGGGACGGCCTCTTGCATCGATGATCTGACCAGTTACAGCGGCTCAAATGATAAATCCAGTGTTTTTTTTTTGTACTACATAGTAAGCCTCCCGCGTCAAGCAATTCCTGCACAGCCAGTGGTTTCCACTTATCTGCTATATGGCCACCCGCAGATGTGGCCTCCAGCATGATGGTAGACCAAAAATAAGATTAATTCATACACCAGAAAATGAGTCATTTCAGTGTAGATATACTCCCCTCCCCTATTGATGTTAAACACACCGCCTTCCTAATTCGGCAGCCTTGTAAAGTTTTCCATGTATGACGTCATTACATCATTGACCTCTGCCTTTCTTTCTCTCTTCCTTGTCGACTCGATGTTTCGCAATTGACTCGATTACCGATGCATACTGTGTATATAGGCTCGATCTCTGCTTTGAAAGCACTGGAAGCGCTGAAAGAACCTGGAATACATCACGCCAATGCACCATGGCGTCATATCTCGATACGATCTGACGGCCAAGATCGGGGCAACTAAGCTTTTTAGTTCTACTAGTTGTTATCGTAGTGTATACGCAAGTATTATATAGCCAAGTGTTGTAATTTCGTAATTTGTATATCATCTTGGAATGAAACTCAATCGGCTGTGCATACCAGGAACGAACGATTGACTTCGGCTCAGCGCGGAATGGCGGGGATCCGCTATCTAGGCTGTGCTTACTCTCCGTCGCTCTGTCAGCTCTGATCAGTCGGACTTTTTTTTTCTTTCTTTTTTTCTACTTCTGTATACATTCAATATTTGTACATTGACTACTATTTTTGTGTTTGTGTATATTCTTTGTTGTATTTGCATTCTGGGCATATCGATTGTAGATCGCGCGTCTATATGGCTATATTGTACTCCTCCATCCACGTTGTGCTTCCATTGGATATACGCAGTCGCAGTCACAGTCGCAGTCAGCGGGGTCAATAACCATGGAGACCCAACAATTAGCTTCAACAGCGACATACAGCGAAAAACTGCCTGTCGAGCATCCGCCGTCACAATTACACGAAATGACTACCCAGTCAGACATCGCATTGCCCGACAGCGACAAGGATCAGCAATCCCCGAGACTGTCAGACTCCAGTAGCGAGGGGCTGATCAGCAGCGGCGACGAGATCGATAACGCCGAAGCTGATGAAGATCAGGTCAATGATGTGCTGGGAGTCAGCATCAGTCAAGTCCAGAGCCGAATGAAGGCGCGCCAGACACCCGCCGAAGAGAAGACTCGCGCTATTGAAAGATCGGGCGGTTATTTCGATGCGATACCAGATGAGACTTCGGGCGCGCAGGATCAGCCGCAGTTGTTCGAGGAGCCGGAGACTATTGAAGAACCTGCAGTCGAGAGGCGGAAACTTGAGAAGAATGCGCTCAAAAACAATCGACACTCATTCACAAGATCAATGCTCCTGTCGAGCCTTTCCGGGAGAAGGCGCGCGTTGTCTGGTGATTCTGGGTATAGCATAAACCTGCGCAAATTGTTGCCAGATTTCAGCTTAACGCCGAGTCGGCATAGTTCGTCGTCTACGAAATTTAATTTTGCTGATTCGACGCTGCGGTCGAGGTCGTCGAGTACGCCGCAGGGAAGCCCTAGACACGTTAGCGACAGTAACACGGCGACCGTAGCTTCCAAATCGTCGAGTACGATACACTCAAATAACGACGACGACGGGCTAGCGGCATTGGGCGCGTTAGAAAACACCAGAACGCATTCCTATCAGCAATACCCGATAACGAAGAAACGTCCTCCATTGAGTGTGCGGCCGTCGTTATCCGATGAAAGTTTATACGTGAGAAGTCTGTCACGGGTGTCGACGCTGGAGCATCGACCACATTATGAGAATGTCCACTCGCAGGTAAACAGTCGCTACAAAGCGATCAAGGACAGTCTGCAAGACTCGAGCAGCAGAATTTTCAGCATGCCGAGTTTCAATCTCCCGGATTTCAGACATGAGTGGCATCCTGGTCGTTTTCTAGGAGAATATCAACGAAAAGAGGGTGTACAACCGGGAGATGCTCGGATGAATGGAGCGCCGGAAGTCAATGGCAGCGAAACGAATTTCAATGGTAGCAAACCTAATATCAGATCGAATACGATTTACCCGTTTCTGGACCAAGCAGCCGCCCATATAACTGGCGACGTCGTCGTCATGGGCGGCTATCGAGGCTCAATCCTTCGATCTGCGAAGCCACCCCATCGACAACTCTGGGTACCCATGAAAGTCGGCTTGAACATTCGCAAAGTCGATCTCGAGGTTGGACTGTCTCCTGAAGACGAAGAACGCATGGAAGAAACCATCATCGCACGAGAAGTCTTGTCACATATTGGTCCCGTGGATATTTGTCGACGTTTATTGCAGCGACTGAACAAGCATGAAAAGTCCCGGAATGGCGATATACGGGTTTGGGATTATGGTTATGATTGGCGATTGAGTCCGCATTTGCTGTCGAAACGACTCATCAAATTCTTGGAAGGATTGCCGTGCAATGCGCCTGGAGTACCTGCAGAAAAACGAGGCGCGTATGTGATTGCCCACAGTCTTGGGGGTTTGATTACTCGACACGCTGTCAACCAGCGACCTGAACTTTTTGCTGGCGTTGTGTATGCGGGTACTCCGCAGCATTGCGTGAATATTCTCGGACCTCTACGGAACGGCGACGAAGTGCTGCTCAGCTCCAAGGTTCTCACTGCGCAGGTCAACTTCACGATTCGCACAAGTTATGCGTTGCTTCCGGATGACGGGAGATGTTTTATCAACAAGGACACTAAAGAGGACTATTTGGTGGATTTCTTTGATGTGAATTCGTGGGACAAGTATGCCTTGTCGCCTTGCATTACGGCACCGTTGCCACCAGCGGGCAACGAGACGAACAATAAGAAAGGAATTATGGATAATCTGCCGAATTCGCTTAGCACTCTGCCGAGAATTGGTCTGGGCAAGAAGAGACTTTCCATGAAACTCAGCAAGTCGAATTCCGTCCCATCCAATGCAGCACCGCGTGCATCACGCGAAAAGGATCAACGTGAAAACGCGCCCGGTGGAAGCGATAACGAAGAAATACCCGTCGACAACAAATCCAAAGGCGGCGCTGCAGCCATCGCAGGCGGAGCAGCCGGCGGAATTCTAGGTCCTAACACCGCAAAAACGCCACCAGAAACAAACACAAACCAAGCAACAACCAGCAGCAGCAGTATTCCTTCGAATATGAACACCGGCGGCGGAAACGCGGCTGCAGCTACGTGCACGATCCCACGGGAGGAAGCGCTCGCATACCTGGATCGCACGCTAAAGGAAGTGAAACGTTTCCGACAGGAACTTGCGTTTGACGAAGCACATCAAAAGGCGAATCGATACCCGCCGTTTGCTGTTATGTATTCCAAGGCTTTGCCGACGGTATATGGCGCGCGAGTTGCGTCGCGCGACGACATCAAGCGAACGGATGCGTACGATAATCTTGCCTTTGCGGCTGGTGATGGCGTCTGTTTGGCGTCGGCGGCTATGCTGCCGCATGGGTATAGGGTCATCAAGCATGGTCTTGTGAGGAGTGAGCGAGGGCATGTGGGATTGCTGGGTGATTTGGAGGGTGTTGGACAGTGTCTGTTAGCCTTAGTCAGAGGAAGGGAGGCTGGTGTGGGCGTCGACCAAGCATGAGGAGACGATTCAGTTGACGGAAGTGGTACATAGATGAATACCCTGTATATAGAAATGTAGATGACGATTATTACGATTTGATATGACAATGAACGCTGGACTTTTACCAAAAAAGAAATAAAGCAGTGGTCAAGTCAAGCAGGATCAATCTGAATAGCCCTAACCTTCCTAATCCGGCCCTTGAGGAACAACTCCGCCCCTGTCGCCTCGACCTCTTTGATAATCTTGCCAGTCTTGAGTAACCACTGTCTCGAGCCATCTTTCCCTTCCACGCTGCGCACAACAACCTTGCTCGGCCATACCTTTGCCTTTTGGCCGGTCGTCGCCATCTCGAGAACTTTATTGAGCTGTCGATCCCGCACCGATTCATGAATCCATTCATTCGTGTAACCCACACGATCATTCCCATCCAAATAATCCAACGGCGTCCGATTACACTTTCCAAACACAAACGCCTCCATATACACCGCAAAAGACCATACCTCCTCCTGTCCCAAACTCGTTGCCCATGGTATTATAGCCGCCTCTTCCAGCTGCCGCGCCGGGTTATGAAACAAATACTCCAAATCGAACTCCAGTTGCTTATCCTTACTCGCATGCGAAATCATCCACGCAAGCGATATATCCGACAGTCGAGGATCCTCCTCTCCACCACCGACATCCGCATGCGCACCCGAAAACCATACCTGCAACAACTCCTGCTCCTCCACTTTTTCCGGCGTATGCCACAACGTCGGCGTAAACGCTTTGCGTCGCTCATCCAACGACAACGCATGAAACGCATACCTCACATCCGGCGAAAGGATTGTATTGGGCAACTCAAATTTCTCCCCAAACAACTTCGACGTAAATTTGAAATCGTGGAACCCCACTGTATCAAACACGCCAATCATGCGGATTGTGAATCGGGGTAAATGGTCACGGAAACCGAGCTGACGCCGCGATTCGTCGTCATAACTCAGTTTTTTGAGCTTGTAGTAATCGTTGTAGATGATGGGGAAATTGTCCATGCCGCGGGGAGTCAATAGACCCATGTCAGCGACCAGACCGGCTATGGCGCGCGCGGTATAGGCGCCACGCGAGAAGCCGAAGAAGAAGAGCTCGTCGCCTGGTTCGTAGTTTTCCGCCAAAAAGGCGTAGGCAGCGCGGACGTTGGCGCTTAGACCGACGCCAGTCAATCCTTTACCTCTGTCAATACTTATGTTCACAAACATCTATGAAGCGTTGTTGTGGGGGGGGCGAGACGTACCGCCGAGGTACTGATCCAGAACACCCGTCCCGACACCCTTTTGGTAATACGTGATTTGCGGGATAATGGTTCGGACGCCATTGACAATAATCTCGGCGTGCGGCTTGATGGCGCGTGCGATGCGGGTTATGTTGCTGAGCGGGTTGTTGATTTCTTCGCTATTGCCATCTTCCCATGTTCCTACATATGAATCGTTAGCTTTAATTAAAACATGGAAGGTTTTAGGGCTGGAAGGGAGGGTACCATCGCAGCAGACGATGAGGCGCTTGTTTAGGGAGACTTTTGGTTCGGATATGCTGCCCATCGTGAGACCTGAACCTTGGTTCGCCTATTTTATTATTATGTTTCGATCCACAATATGTACTCTGTATACATGAGAATTAAATAGATTCCCACCAGGGCACAGTCCGCTATTTGTACACCCGATCATGGGCTAGTACATATGTACTAACCCACGCACGGTTCAAAGTTCAAACCATCATCATCCGTGCGGGCCTCGCCTTGCGGAGAATTCCCCATCGTTCATACGATCAATTCGATCTTTTTACTCTTCGGGCTCAAAAAAGTCAAAGCCAAAGACTCGAAAATGGCTCGATACGAGCTGATCGGCAATCGATGAATCGACGCTGATCTAATAACCAGCAAACTCATTGGTTGAATGCATGTTTGTCAATGCGTGGAGACCCGTGGCTTGGTGCCATTCAGCTGAAAGATGCGTCTTTAGACTCGCTGCTAAAGGCTGCTAGAAACGCTGAGATGTGACGAGTCTGTCTAATATCAGCTAGACGGGCCCGCTAAGTGGGTATCCCTGGACCGTCCCAGTGTCCTAGGGGCTCTAATCCCCATGCCCTTCTCGGAGTCAAGCCTGAATCTTGGGAGGGGTTTTGTGGTCCACTGCGGCATAGCCCGGGACTAGTCTGTTGTCTGTGGGACTATTTTCGACGAGCATGAACGCCTTCGAATTGATCGGCTGGGAATAATCTATTTTGACTTGTCGAGATGGGAGATTGGGGAACGTGCTGATGCAAAGTCTCTGATTTGTATAACTACGCAGCTAAACTTATGCAAAGAATCGGACTCGTGAGATTCTCTGTTTTGGCTACGTACGTAACTTGTTTGTATGTATGACTAATCGGAGTACGGCTGGGCGCCATGTGGAAACCTTGCTAGACACCATGGCAGTCTCATGGCTGAATACGCCTGATGACCAGCTGAAGAAGACGGTGTTTTAGGTCTTTATTCAGTCTTAGAATAGTAATTTACTGAACAATAATGAGTAATGGTGCTGATTAGGTATCGAGTACAAGAGTTAAGGTTCATGCGACAGGGTACAAGCTGAATAAACGGCGCCTGAATTTAGAAACAGAGTATGTCAACTGTGGCAGTGTTAAAGTACAATATTTATACTCTTTTGGCATTATTTTCGATTTGGTTCACGAGTAACAAGATTTAGGATCTCTCTAGTCATAGAGCCCATTTGGCATTCGAGTTCGTGCGTATTGAGTGATAGCGCAGTGATATTTTCTTCACGGCAATGTCAGTTATCCCATACGTCTCAGACAATTTACAAATCTATTACTGCCTGGGAGCTTATGTCCTGAATCGTTTCTGTAATCTCCTATTGATGTATCCCCAACCCTTATAGCGACGATGAGAATTGGTATTCATCCTGTATTAAAAATTTCGTCCCTTCGCGCATAAATTGTCGCACGTATATAGGCTTCGCTGGCCGGCATTACTAGTATCTAACGCGAGAGAGTAAGTAACGGGGAATGAGTGAATGATTATATTCTTCTCTTTTGTGGGATCCCATGTTTACAACATTGAATCCTCGTGTGCTTGGTTCAAGCAGGTCTTCGTTCCCTCAATAGACAACTTGGCTGTGAGGACTGTTTTCAACGCGGTTAGTCATAGACTGGCCGGCTGCATTAGTATGTCTAAAGTGTCGGCGCAGGCATATTCGCTGCGATAGAGGCATGCCGGACTGTCTGCGATGCGCCGATTACCTCCCATCGCGCCGTCGACTCAAACGGGGACCTCGCACCTCGAATTCCAAAGCTACCAAGCAACTTCAACCACCCACCAGCAGCGACAATACCGCGGACTCGCAATGCCTAAGTTCGCATGGGACGACTCTTCTTGTAAACAGCCCGGTGACCTTGAGTATCTCAGCCGCCGCCGGCGGTATTGTGCCATCCGTGGTCGCTGAAAATGACTGCAATCTGGGACTGCTTGTGGAATCCACTCCCAAGCCGCGGATCAAGATGAGAATGGGCTAGTCACCTTATACTATGCCAGTTTCTGTGCATTTCGCCCGTTTCTAGTCCCCAAACAAATGTACTTCAGACTAGGTCGTCTAATTTGTAGGAAATCATTATTCATTCTCACTCATGGCCGAAGAAAACCGGACCGCAGCACTCGAGGCCTTCTCGAGCAATCGATCGAAACATGAGACATTGTCATCTCGTCCAAGCCCGTCTGCATGCTGCGACCGTCTAACACGCGCGGAGTCAGATTATATTTGCTGACGAAATACTCCCCGAAGCAGTGACACTGGCATTGGAAATCGGACTGCACAACACAAAATTCGCCACCGCTAATGGAGGTCAATTTAGAGTATACGAATAAAGTCTGCGAAGAACCTGGTGGTATCTGTATGTGATGGATGGATGGCTTTATGGCAGCGCTGCCACAATGTCGAACCTCGTACCCTACTTCCGCACAATGAGGTGCTATATGCTAAAGGAGGCGACATGTCCGAGCCTGCCTCGTTGGCCGAATTTGATCTAAGAATATATAATGGTCGGCCATGGTCATCCTTTTGTTATCGGATCGATGCAGTGCGTATGTTTGGTCGCATACTGCCAATCGCCTGGATTATAGACGCACGAGACAGTCATATACAAGCCATCGACAACACAATCGCGGCATGGCCTCATCACGTATCGCTCTCGCAAGAGTACATGGACGACGCTGCAGAAGAAAGCGACGAGCTCTTCTTCCAGGCCCGCATGCTTTTGTATTATGCCATGATTTTATCTACGGTTTCTACGTATAAATCTAGTGGCCACCGTCCCTGGTTGCTGGAGATATTTACAAGGCAATCACTGCGTCTAGCTAGCTCTACACCCCAAAGGCATACAGTCAAAAGCCATTAAGGGCGCCCAGTATGTTGGCAATTAAGCACCGATGCCAACGGTAGTGCAAAATCACTGCCCCCTTTTTCATATGCAGCATTGTCTTTAATATTGTTGTACAGGTGTCAGCTTGTGGACGGGGGTTGGATGACCAATACTGGTATCAAGTTCATCTCATCCTCGGGCTGCTCAAGACTTTGAGACAGACGTGAGCTCCGTCGCGGATCTGTGTGGAAAGAACGAAGAGAATTGCGTATGAGGTGTCGGAGTCTGCCAATGACATCGGCATTCAATCTCATGAAAGTAGTCGATTCGGTACGGTCATTCCGAGCACGCATATATATATACGTGAAAGGCAATTAGAAGATTTGGATTGAATACATCTCTTTCGGTTGGATACCTTGACCTAGATAGATCGTCGATATATGTAAATATAAAAATATAAAATTTACCAGTGTACCCATGTACTTGATTTTTTCTGACGCCCCTGAGCTTTCCTAGAACTGAGCATCAGATCAGTGAGCACTTACATAAGTTCCCGGTCATACTCAGTGATCCAAAGCTGAGCACATCAGATGCCTTCATGGCGCTGACCCTTCCTACGAGATCACTACGAAACCACGTCCCCTGTACGAGTATTCTGTTCAGGCCGTCGAAATACAGATCCAGATACTTTGTTTCTCGACATCCTATCTGTCTGCTTGACCTCGTATTAACAGCGGTCAATAAATCTTACCCTTAGCAACAAGAAAGGTGAGTTTATGAAGAATGAATTAACCTAGGTTTCAACAAGGCACTTTGGCGGAGTGGTTAACGGTAAGATTTCACACTGCTTGTTTTCACAATAAATCACTAATTCATATTAGCGATGCCCTGCTATACCTCCTGGGTTAAGTCAGGCATTTCCTTCGGGAGCGTGTGTTCGAATCACACAGGTGTCGTATTTTTTTCATTTTTATATTCTATCATTATTAGCAGTGAGCTGAAGGCGAAATAATCTCATTTGGTGTCAACGGGGCACTTTGGCGGTACGGTAACACCTCCGAATGTAATTTCAATTTGTCACTAATCCATCAATAGGAGTGGTTAACGGTAAGATATGATGTCATTTATGCTCATATTCATCAACTAATTCATGTTAGCGATGCCCTGCTATACTTAAGTCAGGCATTTCCTTCGGGAGCGTGTGTTCGAATCACACAGGTGTCGTATCTTTTTCTTTTTTATGTTCTGTTAATCTGTTATTTCAATCAGACCCAATAATTACTAAGCAACAATAGCTCGTGATGACTGCAGTGCCTTTCACCTGGCGGCAATTCAACATTCACTCCATTCCAAGCGGGTGTGTACGAACATTGAATAACTGCCCTAAGTAAAATACATATACGTAGCCTCGCGTCTCTAAGCAGTTCTTTGACATCCTTTTCTTCTGCTCTAGATCATACCACACAGAAACTCTTTTGTACTTATTAAGTGGGTCGAAGATTCGTTATCTATACTTCTAATTAATAATCGTCTCGTAAGAATAGCTTTCTTTTCTACAACTCCCACAACAAATTTATTGTCCTATACTAGAGTACCAAGACATAAGACAGACTAGCGAATTCTTCACAATGAAGGAATCGATCGATACTGGTAAACATGCTCTATGCCTCATTTTCTTTCGTCTGTTATGAACGTGCTAAACACGGCCCAGGTTTCTACTTCACCTCAGTGACTCATACCGACACATATCCCGCCATCGATCCATCGCAGCAGGATCTAAGCAACAGATACGTTTTTATCACCGGAGCCTCCAAGGGGATTGGACGCGAGACAGCATTATCATATGCGCGAGCAGGTTGCGCGGGAATCGGCATCGGCGCTCGATCGGATCTTTCAGATTTAATCCCTCTCATAGAACAAGCAGCGCTGAGTGCAGGAAAGCCTGCCCCTATAGTGAAAGCAGTTAGTTTGGATGTGACTGACGAAGTAAGCGTGGTTGAAGCCGCTGCATCAATTGCCGAGGCCTTCCCGCGCGTGGACATTCTTATCAATAATGCTGGATATCTCGAAACAAGAGCAAAGATTATGGAAAGTGACCCGACGGAATGGTGGAAGAGCTGGAATGTGAATGTCAAGGGTCCATACCTGGTGACGCGCGCGTTTTTACCGCAAATCCTAGAGCGTGGAGGGCAGAAGATTATTGTCAACCTGAGCAGCATCGCCGCGCATCTGCGATCACCGGGCGGCTCGGCATATCAAACTAGCAAGCTGGCGCTCCTACGGTTTACGGAGTTTCTGGATGTGGACCATGGTCCCGATGGTGTCTTGACGTTTGCTATCCACCCTGGGGGTGTCTTGACTGACATGGGGAAAAGACTTCCGTTGGAACGGCAACCAGCTCTAACAGAGACGCCGCAACTGTGTGCTGATACCCTGGTGGCTTTGACGAAGGAGAGACTGGAGTGGCTGGCCGGACGATATGTGTCTGCGACTTGGGATGTGGAAGAGTTGATTAGCAAGAAGGAAGATATTCTCGCAAAGGATTTGTTGAAAGTTAGAATGTCTGTTTAATCTTGTTAATCGGTGAATTACTTGAAATAAGAGTAGGTATACAGATGAAATTCGGTACATGATTATAAGCTTTTGAAAGAGTCCCAAGGTGGTTGCATTCTGACTAAGCTAAAAACATACTGACTTTCTAGCTCAGTAGAATTGACCCAAGCTTGCAAAATCTAGTTCTTAGCGAAAGGATATGAAGACTTCGTCCATGTCACCTCTATATCACCACTATTTCTGTAGGAGTGCGGTCTTAGTCTATAAGTTCAGGTGATTTTACTAGTGCACAAGAGTACCTAACTCAATTGAGAGTCTGGCACCGCTTACAGTTACAGATGCTACTCTACAGGGATTTCTCTCATTTTATGCAATGCTTTAGCTAGTATACAGGATAGCAAAAGGAAAATATTTAGGGTCCATTTGAAGACTAAGCTGAAATAACTTAAGAAATTCAGCTACTTTGGTCTCAGATAAGTATAACGAGTGATTCAATGCGAATCAACTGGAGATAGCTATAACTAAGGTATCAACCATGTCCAGATATTCATTCCAATCTTTCTTCCGGAGAGAACAGGCAAGCCGGCATGCAATGTAGCCGGATACTTGATGCCATCGTCTCCAAAGTTCTCCCAGTAAACAGCATTTCCTGCGATGGCCTTAAACACAACCCCTGACTCCGATGCCTCGCAGTCGACGAATTCGCACCAGCCACGATCGTCCGGCATGTCAAGGTGCGGGAAATGGGTTCCTCCACCGGTGCAGTTACTTTCAAGATAAACATTAAAGGTCGATTTCCGATCGCCGAGAGTAGGAGCAGTGCCAAAGGAATCATGGTGGTGTTTGAAAAATCCGTTTTGCTGGTAACGCTGGACACCCAAAACTTCCATTTTCATATTAGGCTGCCAGTTCTGAAACTGCTGTGCTCTCTTCTCAATGCATTTTACGACATGACTCCGCTCTGGCCATGCATTTTCTGACTTGCGGACTTCGTCATTCGGCTGGCTTTCTCCCTTCTTATAGACAGGACTTGGCCTAAATTTCGGTTCACTTTGTGTGTAAACTGTCAGTAAAACTGAAATAGTTGTGCATATGAAACCTTTTCTTTCAAGAGTATACCGACCTAGCTTTGATCAAATCATCAATCTCGTTTTCACTAACGAAAGATCTGATGTAGATAACAGGAGGACTCTCACTAAACGTGAAGATATCATACGGTTGCTTATAGCATTGCACATGATCATCTAGCTTTATAAATGCAGTGTTAAGACTGGGATCATTCAATTCTTCTGCAAATTTGATTATCGGTTCTTGCAATGGGCGAAACATGCTGTAATTTTGAATGTCAACGACACCAAGGCTTAGAGAAGAATCTGCGTCCATCGTAAACTAGAATCGGGGAAGTTGTCTTGTTTCATATAGTCAAGTAGCAACTTTGATAGATCTGCAATGAAGAAAGCCTCTGCTTCAGACTTAAGAAAATCTTTCGTTCTCATATATTCCTCCTATTCTGCAGGGACTTCGGAGCCTTGAAGAATGATCCCTTGAATCCACTAGAACTTCCCAATCAAAGCCAACGGTGTACGTCATGGACTGCGTCAATACTACCTTTTTGGGGTGGGATTGAGACGTTTTCTATTGCTTTAAACAGAGCTGCTTTATCCTCAATCGGTATGTACCGACAAGTGCCTCGAGTTTCGTTCCGCTGGTTTTTCAGATCAAGCAGGTTCTCTTCCAGGTCACTAAATCCGACTCATCACATTGACGAGATGCATGTTGAGCATAATGTGATGTGTAATTAACAAATCTAGTCTTCTGATTCGTAATAAAGTGGAACATATCAAGCTAAGTTCACATATTGTGAATATTTCCACACTTATTTAGATGGGATAAATTGCGTCTCGCATGAAATTCTTGAGGATGATATTAAATCGCACGAACTTAATACGTAGATCTCCAGACCTCACAATCATAAGTGGGATGGATATATCGGACTGTATCTTTGGATTTATGAATATTTTAATATTTGCACAAACGAAGATTTACATATTCCCATCGTAGACTAGGGACACAAACATCAAACAAAAGCCAACCTCCACATTTGTGATTCGACATGGGAAAACCCTGTACAAGGGAAAGAAAAACCCATATCAAGGTTGATAGTTCACAAGGATAAAAAAACTAGGTTCCGAGCTTTAAGGGTATTAGAAAGAACTGTTGTTATAGACTTTGAGAGAAAGGTGGGGGGAAACCTTTGGAAGCTTTACCTGTGGCGGCCTTCCATCCTTATGTAGGAATTGAGCATGAAGTTGTGCGAGGGACACCACTGCAGATGATATCCGTCACGGTCCACGTGTGAGTCTGTACTGGAACGACTGAAGAATATGGCCGAAAAGTGGTAACGCAGACATCACAGGTTTTTGATGCTGATTGACAGTTCTCACAAGTAGTACTTGGGCCGGGACCAGGACCAGGACCAGGACCGGGACCAGGCTCGTCCGCGAATGCCTGTATAGCTAAAGGTATAAGGAGGAGAGATAGAATCATAGTGAACTAGAAATGCCTCGCAGCGGTTTATCCGTGACAATGAAATGTAGTATATAGCCCTTGCCCAAGTTTGCCCTTTTCTTTTGAAAAGAGTTAAGATGTTCACATCAAACAAGTAATGGCTGATATAACAGTAAGTTACAGTATTGGCTATAAGGATGCTTCTTGGATATATATATATATAGGTATGTAGTCTGGTATGCCGATGTCATGCTATGAGCCTGAAGTAATTGGTCTACCTGCGAGGTTGTAGGGATCCCTGGCAGACCACCGCTTGCAGTATGGTGATAGGTCTGGATATGACGTTGACGAGTAGCCAGCTTGTACGAGATTACCTGTGCACCAGACGTTAAAACCATGGACCGCACTAATGACTCACAGTAGACGTAGACCTTTACAGGACTGTGTATAGATACAGAGCATTACAGAGGTCTAACGTTGAAAATAAGGTAACCAGGAGAATGAAGATTGACTGGTTGGGTTCGCCGATCAATTGTAGAAATCGGTCGCTGTCATGATCTTATGACATCTTAGAGATGCAATAGGAGAGAGCTTATGATAGCATCACGTCCATATGTAGCTACTACTCTTCAAAACGGAACACCTGATTGAGGATTGCTTTTTCAAATGTGTCTAGACCTTGTACGGGTATATCCCAAGCGCGTCTAGAGAAGTGACTCGAGTTACAGTTTCGAGGAATGAATTTGTAGGGGCTTATTTCCAAACATAGTAGTGCACTTGACGTTTACATCTACTCCATAATTATCCTAAACTTGGTTGCCATTGAGATGCCCGCCCAGTATATGCTAATGATGCGAATCGGAGCTCGATCATGAGTACTTGTCAAACAACTTTGAGGTCATCGACTCAATTCTCGGTGGTTCCAGGATTTTTGCAACCTGTCATGTTATGGAATCATTAGAAGTATGGGGTCCAGGTAGTATTCAACGTGATTCCCATGACGATTTGATATTTTACGCCGTTGGTCCTCTTTTTGTCGTTTACCTTAGGATGTAGCATTATCTAGCTGCCGTCTATGGTGCGGACTACCAAGGTATCAGCGTCCACGGAGATTCTGCGAGGCCATTCAAAACCTCATGTTGAAATCCATATTCTCCATCATCAATTCTAGATGCATTGACGTTCCCTGAAAGGTTGGATCCCTTTCAAATGAAGTAAATTGTATCAGCATGCGGGATTAAATATAAATTGAGACCGAAAACGTAAAAGCCGGCTCGAGGGTTACGTAGCCTTCTTTTTCTCTTGGATCGTCGTCGAGATTACCTAGTTCTCATAGTAGAGTTTCCATTATAGCAGCGTATCTTCATTCAGTGTTTGAATACATCAGTAACATTGAGAGAAAGCTAGTACCAATAACCATGGATTCCTCATAGTCATAATATAACTGGCCGAAATCTGATCAAGAACATTTAGGAGAGCAGCGTATTGTAGGACGAGTATTCTCTCATAAAAAATAAAGTGGAGAATATCACTTTGTCATAATACAGAATAGGGTTACTCCCTTGGACTGGGGTTCCCAAATCCGATTCCCGCCTCCCGAAAGGCCCCACTAAAGCTTCCCGTGGTTGGGTTCCGATTCGTCTGGGACATGGTAAATGGCTAGCCAATTACGGGCGGCTTGGCTATAGCTATGATTGCTGATGAATCTCATCCTCCATCCATGCCAGGTTTGGTTGCTCTATGAAGAACGAAGCGATACTCTGCGAAATATTGCCTTTTAATGGAACCAATCGCTTTCCAATTCGAGTAGTATATTCCTGACATGTTATATCCATGGTAGCTAACGGTCAGCCATATTCTAATAGGGAACGTTACACAGCGTTGCTTTCAGCCGAATGCATTCTTCTTTCAGATGTTTCTTTTTTCTTCAATCATTTGCAAGTAGTAATATGGGTCTGGTTGCGGCAGCTATTGAATAAGTGATGATATCACAATATGTCTTCTGCAACGAGCTTAAGGCTATAAAGGACACCTTTCTAGCCCTCCCAGTTTGTGAACTCAGTATTCCGAACAAAAACATTGTTGGCGATAGAAAGAAAACATCCAAATATTTTTCACACTTTTCAAATTTTTCACGCTTGAACCTCAAATAAGCAATCAAACATGCCAGTCCACTACGCTTATGCAGCTGATGTAAGTCCTCTGAAGACAGATTTAATACACGTTGAAGTTAACATCAAACAGATGACCGGTCCTGATGGGTACAGGTACCTCCTTACCTTTGCCAGTCAAGAAGTATCAAATCAATGGTGGAGGGCTATACAAGATCAAGCCGCACGTGGCACCAAAGGCTACAAGGATGTTCAACGCATATCCTCGCAATCGTACCGTTTCTCCACGGTCACCTTTGGTGCATTCCATACTGCAGTCTATCCTGATATGCCTTTGGCTAGATTTGCTGGCATTGTCGTTTATACATGGCTACCCGACACCGGCTCAGGTGACCGTCCTAGACTATGGCCTCTTCCTCCTCCGCCTGAAAGGGATGTGATCCCTAACAACAGGCAAGTTTTCAACCCCCTCCTCCAGGGAGTCAGCGGGCCCCGAAGAGCGACCAGCACCAGCTTTGTAATCAAAACTAACCAGGTATATACAGTTACTATATTTGCACCAAGACGGAGCCTCATCTCTATTTGGTTAAAAGCCCAAACCCAACTGAGACTACGATTCTGGCATCCCAGTATGCGCGAACGAGGTTTCGCATTGAACTCGAAAACAGGCATGGCGATGGCTCGTCAGAAACATTCAATCCCGTGGTCTTGATAGACAGTGACAAGATATACATCAGGCTGGCTATTAGTTCCGCTGGTTATGTGGTAGAACTGCCTAATGGTAATCTTGGAGTCTCGGGCCAGGCGACTGTATTCACCTTTGGCGACTTCAAAAGGCGCTTCGCGACTAGAACGGGCAACGACAATGCCGTCGACTGGAGCGAGGCTAAAGATAATGTAGATCCTGCAAAGTGCGGCATCTCTGCTATTTACGCTGAGGACCATGCTGGCATTGAGTGGGAGTTAGTTTAGTATGCCTAAATAGTTAGGCATCCAATCCGGATTATTCATACTCTTATTCCTCCCGTTAGTCCCCGTTTAATCTACCAAAATATTCATGCAGTTTCGTTCAGGTGCTGAGGCGGTTAGCTGGTAGTTCTCTCCCTCGAGGCATATGACTAAGGTTCCTTAATAGAGATCAATGACGGCACCCATTGGATTTTGGCAATACCAGCTATGGAATTAGAACGAGTGGGTTTGGAGAAGGGTGGCTCTCACAGGGAGTTTACTAGGCTTTTTGTAATAATATTTAACGCAATCATCTTGATGCATAAGTACAAGACCTCAACAACTCCCGTGCGAACGTCGCAAAGGGCCGAGCGGGTGATCTATTAGGATGCCTCTTTACTACGTTAATAATTACTTTGTATTTTAGAAACCATCCCAAGGATGGATACATTTCTAGACACCTCATAAAAAAATAGTAACCTCATTCCAACATGATAAATGTTTTAAGTGGTCTGTCACTTTGTATGAGCCTCAAGAATCTGCGGGATGATATAGGGACTGATCCATGTTCAAACATCCACATCGAGAGAACTACACAAATCCTTGATTGAATGCGATAATTCATTGAACAATGTGAAGCTCATATCTCTCCTCAAGAACAAGATACTTTATTTGCTAGCACCATCACTGTCTTTGACGCGCTGGGTACCGAGCAAACGCTACGACAGGAACCTTCAATTTTGGCAGATACACAAAAATCCGGGAACAGAACATTGGATGAGAGCCCCTCTAAAGTCTAGCGAAAATCTGAACTTTGTCCTGATGGTTATCCATACCGGAGTTTGAGCACGCGTCGTGATCTAAAGATCGTTCTGGGCTTACAAAACGATTCAGTGCGGGTGATGAAGGACATTGAAAACGGAAAGTCATGAATGCCGTCCTGATTTTCCTAAGGTCGGATTCAAGGAACCACAAATCGCCTTGAAGGCTTCATAAGCCTTACAGAATGTCTGTATTCATTACGAAGATACTCCTTCCCCCTCTTGTTTTAGTTCAGCGATTCAAGGTGGAAAAAATGAGAGCAGAGTGGATTCTACCATCGCCCGTTTTCAACTCATCTTAGTAGAAGCTCATCATAGGTGTTGTTGATCTATCAAGCGCCATCGACCGGGCATGGGTGGTAAGCAATCTATTCATTTTCATTAATAATTCTGCTATGAAATCATACATATCGCCGTTTGCACTATGTACCAAATTATTATACATACCCGATCAATACCAGTGTTGGACCATAAGAATCCTCAAATACGTTTAAAACGTATCTCAAGATGATAAATAGATAGCACAGAGTGTACTTATGGAACGTATAAATGACATTTGCTTCTCAATTGACGATAACCATGCATCCCATTGTAGTATTTAGGTAATCGTGGTAAAGAATGATATCTTCCAAAATTCCATTGCTACGGAGATTTGATTTTTCTATCACAAGCTACAGAGCTAGGAATATCCATCATCCCCGATCTGGACCAATATATACCTTTCCACATAACTTGTACTCCATATCTCCAAAACACTAACCGCTGTCAAGGGGAGGCCATCAACTGTTTGCTATCACCATCAATCATACGTGTCGCAAGCTATTTGAAAACAGCAAATCTGTACCCCAAATTTCGATACGTGCTACGCACCAACGTGTACCTGCGCGTTCCCGCGGTGGAGCGCTGCATGTTTTTATTATCAAAGGACACTTTGATATGTGTACTATTACAATGTTTTTCCACTTGTGCACTTATATTGAATTGTGCACTGAACAAATTATACAACAGAACGCCTAGCTAGGTACTTTGGGCGGCAGAGGGCCTGGGATGAAAAATGTTGCTATTTCGACTACTTAGCCGATTGAAGCATGGATAATTGCTGTTTAAGTATCACGGTGTACATCCACGGACATATTAGAAAGAGGCAAGCGCGGGGCTTGCAGATCTGGGGTAGCACATCCCCGCATCCTCTTCTTGACATGACAAGCTCGGTCTTTCATTCTTCTCCTCTTGGTCACCTAACCTCCCCATGATATACTATCGTTCTGTTCCATTTTCCGTAGAATACAGAATATAATGCCTACGCTCTCCCAAGATCGCATCGAGCCGGGGTCCGTCAACATCCCTATCGGAAAATTCCCATCCACAACCTCACCAGACCCATCCTCAACCCCAACAGCAGCAGAAATTGCCTCAAAGCTCATCGCAGACTTCAATGGCGGCCTAACTAACAAAGATCCTGCTGCGATCTCGAAATTGTTCTTACAAAATGGTTATTGGCGTGATCACCTCTCTCTCTCGTGGGACTTTCACACGCTGGCGGGGCAGGAAAAAATCACTCAATTTTTGACAACAAATGGTGTACGACTCACAAAAGTCGAGATTGACACCTCGACAGTTTTCCGGACGCCTCATTTTGGGCCGATTGATGGCGGTCTTGGACAAGCGAATGGCGTGGAGTTCTTTATCAAGTTCACCAGTGACGTCGGATCGGGCGAGGGCGTGGCCCGCGCAGCTGCAGAGTCCAGTTCTCCTGGACAATGGAAGTTTTTCATGTTGTCGACAACACTACTCGAACTGACAGGTCATGAACGACGAATCAATCGCTTCAGACCCAGAGGCGTAGAGCACGGCGGTGATCCGAATCGACAGAACTGGAAAGAAAGGCGTGCCGCGGAACTAAACTTTGAGAATACGCAGCCACAGGTCGTCATCGTCGGTATGTATACCTCGCAGATACCAGGAATTTGAGACTGACGAGAACAGGTGCCGGCCAAGGAGGCCTCAGCGTTGCCGCATCTCTCAAAGTGCTCGGCGTCGACACACTCCTCATCGACCGCGAGAATCATATTGGCGACAACTGGCGAAACCGATACCGCCATCTTGTCCTCCATGATCCCGTCTGGATGGATCATTTACCCTATATGCCCTTTCCGCCGACATGGCCGATTTTCACGCCAAAGGACAAACTAGGAGATTGGTTGGAGTCTTATGCATCGTTTCTGGAACTGAATGTATGGACAAGAACGAATTTGACCTCCTCGTCCTGGGATGATACCAGCAAAACATGGACGATTACAGTAGAGCGACAAAAAGAAGACGGCAGCAAAGAGACCCGTACCTTCAACCCACACCATATCATTCTCGCAACGGGTCACTCCGGTAAGAAGCATTTCCCCGAAATCAAGGACATGAATCTCTTCGCTGGAGATCGACTATGTCACAGCTCTGAATTCAGCGGCGCTCTCTCGCTGCCTGACAAAACCACAAAACGAGCTGTTGTAGTTGGCTGCTGCAACTCAGGCCATGACATTGCACAGGACTTTTACGAAAAAGGGTACGACGTGACCATGGTGCAACGCAGCTCAACTCTCGTGGTCTCATCAAACGCCATAATGAGTGTCTATGTCAAGGGTCTGTTTGATGAAGACGGTCCGGCCCTCGCGGACGCCGATTTATTCATTCAAAGTTTTCCGGCGGAAGTGTTCAAGAACATTCAAATACAAGTCACGGATCTGGTCGCAAAGCAAGTCGACGCAGGACTACACGAAGGACTTGAGAAGGCTGGATTCAAAGTTGACCGTGGCCCAGATGCGGGCGGTATCTTTATGAAGTATTATCAGCGAGGAGGGGGTTACTATATTGACGTCGGGGCTAGTCAGTTGATCATCGACGGTAAGATCAAGATCAAGCAAGGGCAGGAGATTTCGCGAATCCTGCCTCATGGAATTGAATTTGCGGATGGCTCGACGCTTGAAGCCGATGAGATTATCTTTGCGACTGGATACCAGAACATGCGTACCGAAGCGAGGAACATCTTCGGTGATGCGGTTGCAGATCGTTTGGATTCCGTGTGGGGGTTTGATGATGAAGGAGAATTCAGATCGATCTGGAGACCAAGTGGACACCCTGGATTCTGGTATATGGGCGGTAATCTGGCCCTAGGTCGATACTACTCCAAATTGTTAGCGTTACAGATCAAGGCTATAAAGGAGGGACTGAACCAGGGTTAATCCATCTTTCTATCTAACATAATGTTATGGTCATACTTTCAATTCAAATCTTTATCAAAAACCTTCACAACTTTAGTCTACGTAACATCTTTTTTGCTCCTGTCCTCCTCTGTTATCCTCTTCACCACGTGTCGCTTACAAAGCTATACCAATAACATTTGTTCCCTGCATATAGCTTTTCTGAATAGAGTGTGTTTTCATGCTGATGCCCTCTTCTATAGAACTGTTCAGCCAATCAGGTCTTGACGATGTGTTTACTCCGGCTTCGGATCGGATGGTCCGATAGCAGCGATAACGTCGACCAGTTCCCAGCAAGTTCTTACAACCTCAAAGTATCGGATATATTCTATCTATTGACTCATATTGACTCATATTTGGAGTCTACAACTTCCCAGTTCGATGTCGGACTGAGGTAGCATTGCTAATACCTGCAGAAGCAGAGGTGAGATTGTGACTCACTTCAAAGTAACCGATGTGGGCGAAGCTAATGGAGTAATTAGCGACGGAATACCAACAATTCACGGAGTTCGACGTTACTTCGGAATAGACTCAATTCTTTAGAACAACCTGTTTCCAGGTCAAGCCGTTGTAGTCTTTACACACACACACACACACACACACACACACTCACACACACATATACAATAGACTCAACCAATTAACATGCCATCCGAACTCAACATCATCGTCCTCGGCGCTGGCGTCGCAGGCCTGACTACCGCACATAGCATTCTCGCCAAATTCCCTTCCATCAAAGTCAACCTCACCATTGTTGCCAAACACCTTCCCGGTGACATCAACCAAACTGAATACTGCTCTCCGCAAGCAGGCGCCAACTGGCGCTCCTTTGAGCCGGAGCTCAACCAGTACGGCCAATACGATAAAGTCGCCTTTGAGCGCTTCTTGCAAATCGCGAAAGAATCACCCGAAAGTGGTGTCAAGCGGTTCCCGTTGAGACTGGTATATGGTCCTGAGGACGATAGGCGGAGAGAAGGGCTCTGGTTTGGGGAGTTGGTCGGTGGGATTGTGGATGTGCCCAAGAATGAATTGCCGGAGGGAGCGGGTTGGGGGGTGGATTTGGTGACGTTTATATTTAGTCCGGTTGTTTACTGTAATTGGTTTGTTATTTTCTGTCTTCTGATACCTGTGATAGGGAGAGGTGGAGGCTGACTTGAATAGGTTGTTTGCGAGCTTGCTTCAAAGAGGAGTAAAAGTCGTCAGGCGCTCTTATGATCATGTTGATTCTTTGCGGTCTGATTTTCCGAATACGGATGCCATATTCAATTGTACTGGACTGGGTGCGAGACATCTTGGTGGTGTGGAAGATACAAAGGTCCATCCTACAAAGGTAAGCGAATTCTTCCACCTACTACGTGCTACGATCGACACTAACTATCAACAGGGTCAAACAATCCTGATATCAGAGCCCAAGAAACCCCTACCCAGAATGTCCGTCTGGACCCAACCCTCTATCTTCCCACCCGGAGAATTCTCTCACGTCTTTCCCCGACCTTTAGGCGGGGGTGTCATCATTGGCGGCGTACGTCTAGACAATGACTGGGATGGCTCCTTTGACGAGTCGCGCGTCGAAAGAATCAAGCAAAGAGCTTGTCAATTAGCCCCTGAACTGGGCAAGCCGGACGATTTGCAGGTAGTGCGGCATAATATTGGATTGAGGCGTAAGTCTATCTCTCTGCTGACAAATACATTCTTGATTATGATTTGAAGGAGCTGACTGTAATAATTCTCTTAGCAAGCCGAGATGGAGGGGCAAGAGTCGATATCGAGGATCGAAAAGGGACGTGGTTGGTCCATAACTACGGTGCTGGTGGTGCAGGATATCAATCGTCGTGGTATGTAACACAACAATGGACTCTTCAAGAAATATCTCTAATTTGGGGACTAGGGGTATGGCTGAACATGCTGTTGCCTTGTTTGCCGAAAAAGTCGATACGGATTTCGGTGGCCGTCAAGCGAAGCTTTGAGAAGTTGGGATCAAGGAGTCTGTCGGTACCTGGATAGGCAGTTACTGACGGGTTTCACCAACGTTCTCCATCGTCTGATAAAGAATGTAAATATTTGATTCATAATGATATATCTGTCTGTGCGGAATTGATTATGCCTGTTTTTCTATATGCAACTGCTTTTGATATGACTGGACTGGTAATATCATTAAGCAACATGAAGTATGAGTCAAAGAGATACACTTTGAGGTAACCTGTATTGTTTAGTGCTACCAAAAACCGGGTCAGGGACCTGACTATCGGTGCACTCAACTGCCTGTGTCAATCTGATGAGAACTTTAGTTTGATATTGGATAGCAATTTCCTTGGTTGTGGCAATATCAAACAGCAATGCCCGACGCTTGGGTCAGATGTAACAGTGGAAAGTGTATTCCCTTTCTGTAAGCATTTTACCAGGCAAATGTGAAGATCTGAGTCATGATGGGCCAAATGTGAACGGCGTTTCCCATGCAGGTTTCAGTACCTGAGTAGGTTCCTTCATATCAAGATCCTTTGTCTGTGTTACTAAGAATATCTAGATCTTTCGACAAGCGGTTCATTGATTGTTCCAGGCTGTGTATTGACCTCACTGGAAGCGCCTTATTGCGTGCTGTGATTCTATAGGGCCGTGAAAATGGCTGGGGATATGAGCTTAGGGTTTTCCCTTCTCTTTCTGACCGCATGTCCCAAATAGGCAATCTTCAGCTTTGTGTTTGATAGTCAGGGACTCTCACCGGCGGTCATGTCAAACACGCCTTTGTTCACTGTTTGAAGAAAACGTCATTCATTATCCACAACCCCCTCAACAGATTGCGCCCCGTGAAGATTCTGTTTGATAACTGGCAAATGAAGAGTGATTTCTAGGTGCTTCCACATGAGGAATCACCCATCGTCGAGGCCTCTTCCCGAATATAAATAAGTCCTTCCTCCCCCCTTCCTCGACCTCCATTTCTTTTCCTCTTTATACTCCAACAATCTCAAGCCCCTATCCAGGCCTCGACTCCGTCTTTCCTTTTCAAGTCCTCTCACTTTGACTTCAACCTCTTACTTGCTTTGGCGTCATTCCTTTCTCTTTCTTATTTGACTTCGATTCTCTCTTTCTACTCAAGGGCTCGTTTTATCACAGCCCTTCCTCGTCTCCGAACTTAAGTCATGTACCACCAATGTCTTCCCGGTCTTGTATCTTTGAATATTTATCACTTATTTCTAAAAGTCATGTATTTTGGAACATCCACTGTATCTCATCTTTCCAATCATCAGCAAACCCTATGATTTCTGTATGTGAGCTGCCAAACCATTGCTGCATAGAACAAATATTCTGATGCGGTGCTTTGGTCTTTCCAGATTGCCTGGATCTACTGGTATGAGCTCACTTTCTTGTTGTAGTGGTGATCTTCAAATCACCAGCAAGCTCGATGGTTTGTGTTTGAGGTCGAGCTCACATCGCTCACTCGCATTGTTCTGTGCCTGACGAGGTAGTGATGAACGAATCAGACAGTGTGCTGTCTAGATTTTGGTTTTATTTTGTATCTCATATTTGCCCAGTCATGTATCCTGTCCCTTGTGGACGTCTGCAGCCGGGCTCACATCGCTTCACAGGGCCCGGCAGCAGAAACTGGAAAAAATACAGGCACATGTGCCTTCTATCAATTTTGTCTTCGTTTCTATTTTTCTTTCATGTTTCGCCAGTCATGTATCTTTCGACTAGTCGAGGCCTGCGATGTTGGGTTGCTTGCCACTCGAAATCAAGCCGAGCTCGTGCCATGTACTGTCAAATGCCTTGGCTTCAGATCCAAAGGCAATATTTCCGACGACATTTTGTGGTGGCTTTATCATGTCTCCATCGCATGTGCTGCATAGTCAAGCACCCTCCATAGCCACGGCTGATCAACTCCAAAACTTTTGGTTGATGTGGTAGCAATCAACCACATTTCGTTGAGATGGAAGAGCCATGGAGTAAGTCCAATCGCTTTATCACTTCACACATTCACCAACTAACGTGCATAGATATCCTCGGATCAAAGTCCACCCCCAGCGATTTTGTTGATTGTCGGGAATGGAGACGAATCGGCACAACTGTCCACAGAACAATTGTCAACACAAGTTTGTCACAGCAACATGGTCGAAAAAAGTGTAAGTCAATTGTCACGACACTCTCATGCAACGCAGAGACTAATCTTGTAATGATTTATCAGACTGGATCTCAGTGACAACCGTGGCACTTCAGTACGACCTTGCGAGGGATGTCTCGACGTGCTATGCGGAGAAAAGCATGTTTGACAGCAGTATCATCGCTTTCGATTGTGGCTCSTTCATGTCACCGATTATGAAAATACCTCCAAGAATTCAGACATGTGCATTTCATCGCAAGAATGTCAATGGACTTTAAGATCAGGGCTTGCCTTCATTCGACCTTCATGTCCGGTTTACCATCATCCTCCGCTTGAGACCTTGCAGTCGTATCGACAGATTAAATACACAGCTCATTGCCAGAGTGGACCTTACACTTTGGGGCCACGGGCACTGACATGGCCCCATACAATGATGGTGATCACCAACCGAGCAAATGACAGATTTCGAGCATGACGTCCTGCCCTCCATTCACGATAGGAACAACACACTTGACAAATCTCGACTCTCATATTTTGTGGCGGGAATGCGACTCGCAAACAATCTTCCTCGCACAATATACTCCATTTAAGAGTATTTTGCCGACATCTTTCGGAGGCATTGGTCCAGAGTCATGGTGTTTCTGCTCTAACCATTTGGTACAGTGAGCCCAGCTCGTTGAAGCGAGCTGGGCTCACATGTGTCCTGGCTTCCTATTCCATCTCGATTGCAAGAACTGGTCCGAGACTCACATGATATTCATTTGGGATTGCTTTTCAGACGCACTGTACATGGATCATTTTCGACGAGACAGATCGTGCGGTTCATCTCACCGGAAAAATGAAGGACAATGGGCCCAGCTCGCTTGAGCGAGCTGGGCTCACATGTTCCTGGGCTGCTTCAATCGCTCAGCAGAGAATCTGTTCAAGAACCGCCTAGGACTCCTCTTTGAGAATTTGCGTTCTATGAGCGGCTTAGGAGAAAGACTAAGGTGCACCCGAAACATGTTGTGCTTTATCGCATCAATTTTACAGCTGAACCAGTTCATTGCAGCTAGCCCAACCCGACTTGCTCCGCGTGCTGGGCTCGTATCGTCTGTGTCGCTTCAATCGTGGCCCAAAACAGAACGATCGCAAAACCGATGAATCTCTTTGGTACCATTACTTCCGATCATATTTCTTTGAAAGGCCAACAATGCATATACCGCATTGTTGCGGTGAGCTTCTTGAACTTGAAGCCCAGCCAGGCGAAGCGAGCTGGGCTCAGTGTCGGTTGTGCTACGACTTTGCACCAAGAAAAAAGGTTTAAGTCACTGTCCTCTCAAGTGTACCTTTGATTCCCTGCCCTCCTTGGTTAGCATCGATTGTTTTGGGAAGACAATGTATCCTATTGATGGTAGATAGCATCCACAAAATCTTTTCATGGATAGCAACCGGACTGAAACGACATGAGCTCCATGGAGCTGGGCTGACTTCCCTTACACTTCTTTGATAATATGTCGCCTCACGATCAGTTTCCCACCGCTGCAGGAGAACAAGGCATTGTGCTGTCCATTCCAACTCGTCGGCAAAACCTGTTCGTATTCAGGAGTCCAGTCGAAGCGAGCTGTGCTCGATGTTGGTTGCGTCGGCTATGCTTTCATTATTTCAATACTGTGTTGTCTGGCAACCTCGACACTACATCGTGGTTTCGGAATATCATCGAACAGATTTCGCCGGCAGAAGCAAAGACAAATTTCACACTTTCAACGATGTTCTGGATGCATCGCGAAAACCCAAGCAGTTTTTCATTTACTGCCGTGCAGGGCAGACTTTCTCATGAGAAGCCGAAAATGACCGCATTCTGAAACGGATCCTCGAAGCAGCAATATCTTCTCATGACATCGTACGGAGTACGAAATTCGTTCTCTTCCGGAAAGGGAATCACTCAAAACGAGAATAATTACGTGTAAGTACTTCTGGCGGAACCGGAAAGTCATCTTGGATCTGACGAGTAACTCCTCTTACAGTGCACCGCAACATCGTTTTTGACAAGACAACCGAGGCAGATGTCTGCATCATATAACCTGATTGACTCGCTCATTATTGCTTCTTTGTAAGCGTCCCTCAGACAACGCCAGCAGGTTTGCGTTCCAGTTGCTAACTCGCGATGGGACGGAAGTTGGAACCTCATGAACTTCAAAGCAGATGCCTCCGACCCTTCCGCGGACATTCAATGAACCGAACGATATCGCCGCCGCCGTCAACCGTTCGTTTACCATTCGACTTTTCCAGAACGACAGGAGGAACAACAACAGGTTCTGCTAACTCCAAAATTTATCTTGATGCCGTTCGGAGACTCCGTGACGCACAGAACAAGTCCGATTCGCGTCAAATCCGACTATTCTGAGCAAGCACAGGCCCAGGCTCAATGTGCCACGCCGCAACGAGTCCAATACATGCGGTGGTCCAATTTCGATGGTGGCTTACATATGCCGGGAATACTCATGGAGATCGACCAGTGATGAAATAAAGATAACCAATGGGTTATCGATAGCTGAGGTCCTTGACAACTCCATCTGTGTCCCTTGTTAGTACGGACCTGAGATAGGACTCACCATGCCTCCACACGACGGCACCTCGAAAAGATGTTCCCCAAAAAGATTCTTCGGAATATGCTGAACACAGAAAGACCTGTGAGTGGAGTTGGTGTTATCGCTATCGGAAAACAATATTGGCCGAGAACGTCGAGATTTATCTTACCGAATGCTTTACTTGTACTGTTGTTGTGCTATGCCCGATACATAAGGTATCAATAATGGGCAGACTTCATACTTGAGTTACGGCCTGTACCAAAAGTCGAACGGCTTCGAAGGCACCTTCAGATGTGACCTG